CCACCCCCCATCATGCCCCCCAAACAGAAACAGCAGCAAAAAGTCTCCCCCTACCAAGAACGCGTCTACACGCTCCTGCAGCAAATCCCCCCAGGTCGCATAACTACCTACGCCGCGCTGTCCAAAGCGCTCGCCAGCTCCCCGCGCGCCGTCGGCGGCGCGCTGAGGAACAATCCGTTTGCACCCGATGTGCCGTGTCATCGGTGTATTGCTAGTACGGGGGTGCGTTGGCTGTTTTTTTTTGGGAGGGGGGTTTATGTGTTGGGGGGTTTGGGGGTTATGTGTTTTGTCTGCTTTGGGGTTATGTTTCTATGGAGAGGGGCTGACGGAAATTTTACAGTTTATAGGCGGTTTCAAGGGCGACTGGGAGAAAGCGCCCACTGGGCCGAATCAGACGTCTAAAGTGCAGTTGCTACGTGAGGAGGGGGTGGTGTTTGATGAGAGGGGGTATTTGGTGGAGAGGGAGAGGCTTTGGGATGGGTTTGTGGTTGGGGGGGGGTTGAGGTGAGGTGAGGTGTGGTGAACGGGTGGGGTTGGAAGTGGGGCTGCATTAGAAAAAGTCTAGAGGTATGAGATCATAACGTCAACACAAATGTGCAAGTGGAGGACTTGCTTGACGTTAACTTACAGTAGTATTGTAGCTAGGGACCTTGTACTTTCATCACGACACTACTGAAATTAACCCCATTCCGAGTCAAAAATCTCCATCGAATATTCTCGTCTCCCACACCTTCATAACTCCCATCAATCGACACAACCATAACCAACAATGCCACCCAAGAAGTCCCTCCTCAAGCCAAAACCAAAATCAAAGACAAAAGCCCCCGACCCCCAATCCGAAAACGACTTCCTCGACACCGCCGACGAGCACGAACAAGCGGCGGGAAAATGGCGCGCCGGTGATGCCGCAAAAGCAGCACGCTTCTTCACGCGAGCACTCGACGTGTACAACGCCGGCCTAGCGCGATATCCGCGGTCTTTTGATTTGGCGTATAACAAGTGTGTTCCATGCCAGCCCACGAACATCTCATCCAAACATCTCCGCTAACCAGTCACGTGTAGAGCTGTTCTAGAATTCAACATCACAGAGGACCCGCGCATAGTAGCGCATCTGGGCAATAACAGAAACGCTTTACTGGAAGCTACGCTAGTTTCTCACCGCAATGCTATATCGCTTAATCCGACGAATACTGATATCCTGTTCAACGCGGCGCAGGTCCTTACTTCCCTGGCCGAAGCACGACTCGATGCAGGGCCCCTGGATACTGCCAGACTGCCCGCTAGGATGCTGCTCGAGGAGTCCGTTGACCTGTTTACTAAGTGCCTCGACAGCCAGGAGCGTGAGTACGCGCAGATGCAGGATGAGATTGCGAAGGCGCAGGCGTCGGGTGAGTATCAGGAGGCGTGGGGAGGGGAGAGACCTGCGAAGGCGCAGGAACAGGAGGAAGAGGAGGCGGATGAGACTGAGGTGCCGGAGGAGTGGGCCATAGTGGAAGAACCCCTGACCCCGGAGAGCATTCTGGAAACATGTACTGCGCAGCTGGGCGCGCTGACTACGCTTCTTGGGCTGTACAGTCCCGCGGATCTGGCGAGTATAGAGAAGAAGGCGCAGGATGGGCTGGAGACGGCGAATAGCAAGATCCCGGCTTTGATTGATCTTGTGGACAAGTTTCCGTCCTTGGATGTCGTGGACGAACCTAAAGCTGGTCCAACACTCTCCATTGGCTCAGCAGCTGCAACAGAAGAAGCCACCACCTCACCCAAAGAAGACGCAGTTCTCGCCGCTGCAAACTTCCACGCCAGTATAGCCGAGGCGATGTACCGTAGCGGAAGAACCACCTCCACCGAGTACGCCCAAACCGTCGAATCAACATTCAGCAGCCTGACAAAAGGCACTGCCACCACCACCGACCTCGCATTCATAAACATCCAATCCGCGTACGCAGACGCACTTATGGACCTCTCCTCCGCCCTGGCAGACGGCACCCAATACACACCCTCGTTTCCCACATTCTCCACAGACATCGAAATCCAATGGACGGCCCTCACACAAGTCCAAACCATCCTTACGAAACTCTCCTCCGCGCCTCAGAGCTCGTTCCTCTCTCCATCGCGACTGGCGGACGTATTCCTCGCAAGAGGTGACGTCGACTTGTTCCGCTTCCGCATGTCGTTGTTTGAAGCGGCGAAGCCGGCGTGGGTGAAGAGTAGAACGGTGTTAGTGACTAACGCGGGCGTGTTCTACCGTGGAGCAAGGAGTTATGCGGAGAGGGCTGGGACTTCCGGGGTACGTGGCGTTGCTGATGCGAAGGCGATCGTTGCGGAGATTCTGAAGGAGGTGGCGAACGGGTCTGGGGCGAAGAAGGAGCATTGGAAGGGTAGGAGTGCGGATGTAGCGAGGGTGGTTGAGCAGATGGCGGAAGAAGGTATTGTCGGGCGTGAGAATGTCGAGGGGGTGTTGAAGTGGACGACGTGAAGTTGAGTAATAGTGGAATGGGTTTTTATATGTGGTAGGCTGCCCTGGTGGAGTAGTGGTTTGGCTGGCTGTGTATAGACGGTAACTGCAACTTCTCTGATCACTTGTACAACTCGTCTTCGGAACTTTATATCTTCATGTCCAGCGAAACGCGTGAGTAACTCGTATCTGTCGTATCATTAAAGTGTATTGACTTGCTATACACCGTGCATTTCTTCATGAGCCAATGAGTAGTCTGTCATACGTCTAATACGTCTCTTTAATTCTTTTTGTATAGTTGGCTGCTTTCCTAAAGCGGTCTGTAGGTGATCCGAGGCGGGCACTCTTTTCATGACGCTCGTTGTCTTTACCTCTTACTAGCTGAACCTTTTTGTCCACTCTCCTTACTTCTACAGGATCATGGAGCGGTGAAGGCCCACCAATCAATTAGGAAAAGTCTTCAATCGGCGGCGTGTTTGGACTGTTACTGTTCGCAACTTCAAGCAATGGATTACTTGTTTGTAAATCACCCTTCGGTGGTGGCTCTCTTTCGGGTTATCGGAGGGAGAAATTTCTCCCTCTCAGTACTATGGGTAATTAACGAATTCACCACTCGTAAAGAAAGTCAGTCCCTTATAGTAGACTAATTGTGAATATTTTTTATGGTCAAAATAATAAAAAGTTACAAGTAAATTTACTGAAACGTTTACAATAACTAAAAAGTCCAGGTAACTAGTTTTTTATCCTTCTATATCATTAGGTATTTTCCTTATCATAAGAGAAAATTTCTCTGTATAGGAGAGTACGTTTCTGTTACTTGGGAATCTACCTCCTAGTACTCGGTATCATCAACCCTATACCAGGGGGGCCTTGTCGATAGTGCTATAAGCGTGTCAGTAGCTGACCGTGGGAGCTGTTCTGTGATATGTGTTGTTGGCGTGCGAGCCTGGCCGTTGTCGAGGACTCCTGGGTGATCTTCAGACGGGTCGTTGGTGGTCATTGATTGACTGCTGATGCCTGCCTCGTCAAGTTCATTCAAGGGTCTGAGCACTGGATCGGCTGAACTAGATTGCTCATTCGCTAGACGCTCCTTGACACGGCGTGCTTTACGACCCTTATTACCCTTATGTGCATATCGTTCCTTGAGCTGCTTCGTTTCCTCTTCATGTGTTTTGATCAAAGTTGATAACACTTCTTGGTGCTCTATAGCCGCGTTGTAAAGCTTCACCCTCAGATTTTCGTTCTCTTCCACCAACTCGGACATATCTTCTTGGTGCTGCTGAGAAGTGACGTATGTCGTCTTACAACAAGCGCCGAAGATAGAAGGTTTTGCCCAGTCATCGCATATCTTGAGTCTTGCAAGTACATCTGCTGCAAGAGGACGGTCTTTTGGCTCTGATGAGAGCATAGCTCGGATCTCCCATACAAAGTGATTTTGTCTAGCATCAGGTGTTTCAACGATGCTGACCCATTCGTCGATTCGATCGAGGTTTGCATGGAATAGTGGGTTCCTTCTTGATCGGCGTTGTCTCAAATGCAGCAATGTGCCTTTCTCTTGTAATACAAAAACCTCCAGGAGCACACAGCCGAGAGAGAAGATGTCAGCGGCACGCCCACTAGGTTTCCATTCCGCCATTTCAGGAGCCCAATACCGCGGCGTTCCACGTTCATTGTCGGTTGCGCTTTGAGATAGTAACGAGAAGTCCGTAGCGCTGCCAAAATCGCTCAACCAAAGGTGATCCCGAGACAAAAGAATGTTCGAAGGCTTAAGATCTTTATGTCTTATCTTATTGGCATGCAAGTACGCAATCGCTGAGACGAGGCATCCAACCTTGGTGAAGATAGGTAGGGCTTTCGATTCTGGATTGGAAACGTAAGCGAGAGCTTCAAGTCGTGCTTGCTGAACTGCATCAGTAGTCCCCTCAGTCCAATGTGCCTCGACATCTTCGAAGAAGGTATGCAGATCGCACACTGCTACTGGGTACATCAGAATCCCAAGAAACCGGTTATGGGTGTATGTGCCAACGAGTTGAATCATGTGGACATGAGAGACCTTCTTCAAAATGTCAATCTCTTTCCTTTCCGCTTTGCCAATCTTGCGTCTAAACGGGATCCTTTTCCAGGCCAGTTTCTTGTCTCTAATGGTAGTTTCGTGAACATATCCAGCGGCTCCTCTACCCAGGAAACGACCTAATATATTCATGGTCAGTTCAAGTCCTGTTCGGATGGAGTACTCGCTTACCCTCTTCCAATGGCACCGCCTCCTCAGACCCAAAATCGACATGGAAACCTCTACCAGTCTGAGACCAATCGCAGATGATGTCACCAACCCCACTGTCTGCTCTATCTCCCGGCTCTTCGGTGTGATCCATGGTTTGCTAATGAGTACGCAAGGCTGAAGGTCAGCTTCGATTTCATGCGATTTTTAGTAACCAAATTGGTGTGACGGTGCAGGGTCAGATCAGACGAGAAACACAAACAGCCAGACATTATGCAGGCATTCGAGGGAGGGAGTGCAAACGTCGTATTGCAGTTGTTATCAAGGCTTGGTCGAGACGATGGCTGAGCCAAGTGGTGGCGGCCGTGCTTACAGGGAGTTAGCGACTAGCGTTGTATGCAGGAGGAAAGAACGCTGACGAATGAATTATATCAGTGAGATCGTGAACTTTAACTTTTGCTTGTGTATTGTACATCTCGCCATACAGTGTCTCACTACAATAGAGGCCCCGACTATCTAGGGCAGTCTCCAGAAAATAATGTCAAGTGCTTTTTAACATGCTGCTCTTTCCAGACTCTGATACATAGATATGCAAAGCATCAAATCTAATCATTGTGATAAGAGACTCCTGACCATCTCATCTCAGGCCAGCCAGACGGCGCTCCTGAACCTCAGACAGTGCCCTGCTACCACTCAGGAAAGCAACAAATCCGACGATAGCAGCCGCGGGCAGAGTCTGGAAGAGGTTCCAGCTAGTGTAGTACAGGAAAAAGATACCCTCCATGGACAGAATGGAGCCATAGAAAAGTGCATGCGACACAGGTGCGTCACCCAATGCTTTGCTTATGTGGTTTGCATTTGCGCCCAGGGTTGCCCACACACCCAATAATACAGGGAACGCCGCAGCGACAGCCGCAGCAAACACTACTGTTATGATCTTGGGGGGCGAGCGAGGGTCCTCACGGAAGATGTGGTGGATCTCCGACTCCGCAGCGTAGCGGACGGGTGGCTCCGGAACAGCGAGCGGGACATTGGCATCGCGGGACACGTTGAGGTTGAAAACCTTGCGCTTGTAGGGCGTAGATTCGCCAAAAGACCCAATGACAATGGATGCGATGATTGGCTTCGAGGAGGTGAGGAATTGGTGAGGTAGGTCCTTTTGGGTCTACACAAGTCAGCCCTGTTTGCTGCAATTGAGCAAGAGTACGTACCAAATCGACCTTTCCTTTACCGCTCTCCTTGATGCTGAACACAAACGACTCTTCCAAGCCGGTAGTCGGTTCCGTCAAAGTGAGGAAGGCCTGGTGTGGCCGCTTCGCTGTCTCCCCATCGACGGTGGTAAGAAGTAGCTTCAACGAGTCGGTTGCGCCTAACGACACGGATTTCGATAATGGTGTAGAAGAGCTCAACCTGGAGAATTGATCTGTTAGCTATGATAGGAAATCTATGATTGCCATACTTACTGCTGCTTAGAGCCACCACCTACACCAGCACCTTTGCCTGAAATCGCAACTGTAGCATCTTCGAAGCCCCAAGAGGATGCAGCCGAGGCAATTGTCGCGCCTGACAGCAGAAGAGAAGAAACGAAGCTGGAAAGAACCCTCATTGTCGTCGACCTGGAAAGAGTGTACGCGGAGCTCTTGAGCGATGCTCGGGAGAGACGTAAGCTGTCCTTCCAGATGTGCACGGACATTGCCTTACGTCAGCCTCACCACGACGTCTCTTTCTCTAGTGAACAATTCTTCCACCTTAACTACTTTATTATGGACGGTCAATATTATTGTTGTATTACTGATACGCAAGAAAAACTCACGATTGATTCGAAGCAACTCGAGAAACGATGTCGGTTGAAGAGATGTTTGCAGAATTTGCAAAACATCTTCCCTCACCAAGGGGAAGCAAAATAGTGTAAAGAGGAGGACTCAATCGAATGCAGAAGGAGCGTACCCAGTCCCAAGTGGACTTTCAACCAAAAACGAGATGTGCGGACCATATACTACCTTCGCCTTGCCACCACGCCTCCCTTACATGACGGCCTATTTATCTTCCTCGCACTCACCCTCAGCCTGCCGAAGAACGCGTGTCCTGTCCTCCCCCATATACTCCCAATTCTCATTTCCCGTTCCATTATCCTTCTGTCCGCCTTTCTTGTTTGGCTCCGTCTCGCAATTTCCAAACACGTTCATGGCCTTGTGCCTTCTTTTTAATTCTTGCTCTGCCCACTTCCAGTCAAGGTGATCCTCGCTCTTCAAACCACTCATCTTGTTCAGCGCTTCGTACTGGGTGACTTTCTGTCGGAGGTCATTCTCAGTATCTGGATCGTGCACGGCATCACGGCCAGATGCGCGATCGATACAGTGTACGAGTGCGTCAACGATAACTTTGGGCCCCGTGACGTCGGCTGTGCTGCCATCGGTGTTGACGCCCCACATCCTCCAGCCCCGGGCACCACATTCAGCCGTAAAAAGATGGATGGGAGTCGCGACTCTGGTACTCGGTTTGGAGATGCCGAGCATGTGGGTAGCGTAACTGACTCCAGATGTTTCGTCACCATACACGCCGCCTATAAAATGATGATAATCCACGATCGCTATGAACACTTGTTAGCACTGGTATATCCATAGGCTAACGAGCTTGGGGTACATACTGCATACTTCCCTCAAATCGACCTGCTTTCGCTCGTGGACGCGCATGTGTGGTTTCCCATACCAACCTTCAAACCACACCGTCCCTTCTTGAATATCGATATGCAGCTTTCCGACTTCGCCCTTGAAGATTGGTGCTGTCCTGTAGCACTCCATATATAGGTGAGATGGCCAGGGAGTCGGGTCATGGGTGCTCTTTGCCCGTTTGTTGGATGGTGATTGAACGTCTAGTGTTGAAGAAGCTTTGCGTTTGAGCCCTTGACTTGGAGTATCACTTGCGCCCTTGACCAAGTGGAGAACATATTCAGATCCAGGCTTTGCGCTCATCTCAGTTTGTACTCCGGTACTTGAGAATGAGAAAGGTTTGACCCCATCATCGTTCTCGATCTTGGTATGCGTACTCGCTCTTCTGGATGCCTAGCACTGGTCTGGGTCATGGCGTCGCCCATATTTATCTTTCCCGTTTGCGTATTTTCATCTTGCATATCCTTGACTTCTGTCTGTGTTTCACCATCACTCGTATCCACTTCTCTCAATCTGTCTGCCCCACAAGTTGAGCACTTCGAAGCCTCGACCTCAGTTTGCGTAGCAGCAGAAGCAATCCTTGGTCCTCCAGTCACATCGTCCATACCGTTGAAGGCCCAGTTGGCGTCGCCGCCGTCCTTCCTTTCGAATACCACGCTGAGCACACCGTCGTTCTTGACCACACGGAGTTGCACTCCAACTGCACTCGCGTCAGTGCCCGGGCCTACCTTCGCTACGGAATCATCTTGGAGCACGGCATCGTTGTCGTCAAAGTCCTGCTCACAGAGTTCGTACTCCCTTGCTGGTTTCCCTCGGTGCGTAATGGTATATTGCAGCGTCCCTTGGAGTTCGAAGATGTAAAACGTAACACCAGGATGGGAAACTTTGAGTGCTGGCATTTTGGCGGTGACAGAGCTAAATTATGATGTTTCTGAGGGTAAGAACGACTCTTCTGTTGTCGTGCGTATGCGAGCAGTTGAATAGTAGTAAGAGTAAGCGAGACTGAAGCTTCCCAATGAAACGACTTCCGAACTCTTTTATAAGAGATTTACAGAGTGGAGTAACTTGGGAAGAGGTACAAATGTCAAAGACAAAACTCGCGGATTGTTGATACGGAGTAAAGTTGGAGCTTGACGGGCTTCTGACTTTCCCTTCACTTTGCGCTCTCACTTTGAGCTGGCACGCTGACATCAGGAATACCAAGTGATAGACAAGATCTACAATCTTCTACTACCATTCTTACCTAATAGACTGAACTAAACCTCTGAACAGACCGAAACCTAGTACCAGGAGTGAAGAAGACCAGGAGGCGATCTTATTTCAGATGGCGGGCACTATTCGGAGGAGCTATGCTCGATACCGAGGCTCGAGAAAACTGTACCGCTGATAGTCTAATCTCGATATGTATTAAACTGTGTTCTCTTTAACAGTCCCAATTAAGTAATTTCCAAGAAACCATCAATGGCGGTAGGATTTAAGGCAACTGTTGCACAGCAGGTCCCACCAAGTTCTACCCTGGGCATCGCTCTACCGAACAGTGGCTGCCTTTGAAATCATTCGGTCAATCCCGCTTCGCCTTCGAGATATTGCAGCAGATTCGTAATCGAATGACGATCTCTTTTCGTGGATGAATCGTACAATATCTCCAGACCATGGCTCTCCAAACCTCTTCCGTCCTTACCGTGCGTAGCATCACCGCGCTCTCACTACATGATATCAGAGTCTGTGCCGATATTCTGGGCACTACCGCCAATAAGGATTAGACTCTTTACAATAGGCTTTTACCCTGGAGCTTTTGGTTAAACTGTTTCACGCAGACCGACATGTTTCTTCATGTCTATAATGTCACACAACCTGAGATCTTCCAAGATCCCCAACAAACCTACGCCCTCAAAAGGTCATCCACCTCCCTCTCCCCAACCCTCTCCACCCCCTCCACACCAACCAACCTCCCAGCAACCTCCCTCACAAACTCCTCCCCAACACCCTCAACATCCAGCCCAACAACACCCTGCTTCACAAAACTAGTCGCCCTCTTTCCCTCCAACCCACACGCCACAATGCGATCAAACCACCACAAATCCGTCCCAACATTCAACCCCACCCCATGACTCGTAACATTCCTCCGCATATGCACCCCAATGGCCGCGATCTTCTCATCCGGACTCGTCCACACACCCGTATTCTCCGTCGTCATCGCCTTAATACCAAACGCAGCACACGTCGCAATCAGGCTCTTCTCAAGCAGACACACATAATCCCTAGGCGTGAGTTTGTGCGCGCGCAGATCGAGAATGGGGTACGCGACGAGCTGGCCCGGGCCATGGAACGTTGTCTGCCCGCCGCGCAGCGCTTCGACGAATTCTGCGCGCCCGTCGGCGCGCAGGTGCGCTTGTTGCGTGGGGGAGACGGTGCCGACTTCGCGCCGTCCGCAGGTGTAGACCGGGTGGAAGGAGGTGGTTATTATGTGGGGTGGGGGCGCGGGCGTGGTGGATGGCGGCTTGGAGGCGAGGAAGCGCGATACGAGGCGTTCTTGGAGGCGGGCGGCGACTTGGTAGGGGACGGGGCCCTGGAGGTGGATGTGTAGGAGTTTCTGCCGCATTGGGCTGTTCGGCGTGGTTATGGCGCGTTGGGCATGTTTTGGGTGTTTGGTTTGGGTTGGGTTGGTGGAGTGATGGGGAGTTTGATTGAGCGCGTCATATGGTGGCTTATCGATAAGCTGGACTTTTTGGAAAAGTACGCGACTTTTACGACGCGTGTTGGAGCTTTTGTCGCAAGACATACAAGAACACTTGATAACGCACATCACTCAAAACACTCAAACATAATGGCCGGCAAGAAGCGAACTCGCACGGGCGAGCTCAAACCATCCACACCCACACCCCCTTCCACATCCTCAATGACAACAGACGCAATCCCACCCTGCGCCCAACCCGAACCCCAACCTCAACCACCATCCAGCACCCCCGCCCCACCAGTTGCCAACCCAAGTCGCAAACCCCCCAAACCCTCCCCAGCACGACAAAAGCTCCCCAAACTCCCACCCAGTACGTCCCCATCCCCTCTCCATCCCACCACCCCCATCTCACTAACACCCGCAGACGCAAAAGTAACCCCCCGCCCACTCCTCCACCCCGCGCTCCCCACGCCATTCAGTTCCGCCACCTCCCCCAAAACGCTCTACATCCGCGCCTCAACTCCCTACATACCCAGCATAAAACGCATCCGCAGCCTACTAGCGGAGATCAGCCGGCGCGAGGTACAGTCGCGGGGAGGGAGGCGGGGGGAGAAGATTGGGGAAGGAGAAGCGAATGGGCGGTTGAGGGCGGGGGGTGTGGAGGGGCGGATTGTGGATGGTGTTGCGAGGGAGATGGGGAAGAGTAGGGGGAAGGAGAGGCTGGGCGAGGTGGTGTATGTTAAGGCTACGGGGCGGGCGATTCCAAGGGCGTTGGAGATTGGGGGGTGTTTTTTGGGGGAGGAGGGGGTGCGGGTTAGGGTTGAGATGGGGAGTGTGAGGGCGGTGGATGATGTGGATGTTGGCGATGTTGGGGATGGGGAGGGTGAGGAGGTGGAGGTGGATGTGCCGGAGACGAGGCTGCGGAGTGTGAGTTCGATTACGATTAGTATTGGGATGGAGTGAGATAATGAGGTAGGATAGGGTGTTACGATATGATATTCAGTGTTTGAATGTAGAACACCGTGTCAAATAATCAACACCATGAGAAATCACAAGCATACGACACATAATATCAAGTCAAGGCCCAAATATATATCATTGAAGCCGAAACTCTCCCCACCCATCCCAACTCATATACCCCCGAGCTCAGTCTTGATCATATCCTCATCCATCCATCCATCCAAGCAAAAAACACAGAACCACCAGGAGCAAGACAAAACAAAACAGGACAAGACAAGACAAGAAAAGGGTTGAAAAGATGTCATGTTACAAAAAAAACAAAAGAAAAACGTGCGCAAGCTGTTTACAGTGAGTGAGTGATTTGATCGGGGAAGCCCGAGTCCCCCCATCCGAATGGTGTGTCCAATTCAATCCACTCCAATCCACTCCAATTCAGTCCCATTACAATCCAAAACAACGCCGAGTAGGCAAGAAGAGAAAAGAAAAAGAATATGTAAACGAGGGATAGCTTTCTCCAAAACGGTCAGCAGCCCCAAGGTATCAAGAAACCCTCGAGTGTGGATGGAGAGCCTGACTGGACTTGCAATGTATTATGACGTGGCGGAGACGATGCCTTTCTTGTTGCTGTTTAGGCGATTGCATTGAGAGCTGCTGCGAGACCCAGGCGTCTATGTGTACGGACTGGTTAGGTAGCATGGATATGTTGATGATTAAGTTCTAGGCGAGCGTCGACATGAGTGGTGCAGGAAGACATCCCTTTTTCGGCCTGCGTAAGTAGAATATGCCGTGCTTGTACCAAAAAATATTGACGACCTTACATAGCTCGGACGAGGTATGGCAAGGCAGGGTAGGGGCGGCCAACAGAGTGCTGATCCTTGCGATGTCGATAGTTCGAGAGTGGTGACGTGGCTCCTATTGATATGCTATCCGTGCGCACCCCGTCGATATACCCGGGCTCTACACAGTGCCTGCGTCGTCATGCAGGGCAGCGTGGATTAATCCACTTAGCGTTTTCACCGCTCAACCTTAGGGTATTGATTGAGCATAGCCATAACAGCTACACCAATGGCAACGACTGTCACAATGGCGCCAGCGGGCCCGCCGTAAAACATGAGGTTGGTTTCATTTTGACGCCGGACAGCCAGGGCGTTTGGCGTCTTTTCTGCATGCGCTGTGTCGTTGTGTGCAACTGCGTGCCCATTCTGGAGGCCGGTTTTCCTAAGCAGTGCGCCTGCACCGTCAAACTCGGCATCTTTCTCCTTGATGGTTGTGCTCTCGCCATCGTCTGCTTCCATGTAGTCCTCAGATCCGTCTACTCCCGTGCTTGCAACACCTTTAGCCGATTCGCTACTGCTTCGACTCCGGCGCCTGGCTTCTCTGCTGCTCGCTCGCTCGTTGTCTTTCCTGATGCTCTCGATCATTTCAGCCAAGCTTTTGCGATCTGCTTCTGCAGCTTCGGCTCTTTCTCGGTAGCGCTCCATTTGCTGCTTCATCTCGCCCATTTCCGACATCATCAACTCCAAGCGTTGTTGCAAGCCGGCAGCAGCGGTATCGGTAACGTCAGGAGATGTTGATCCGTTTTCCAAGCCGGTCATCGCTTCTTGTTCGGGTTCAGCGATTTCAGATTCGTCGATTTCTGCATCAGCAACTGCAGCCTCTGCCTCCTCCCGTTCCTTGATTGATTCGCGCTCCAATCGATTGGCTCTTTCCTCGGCGTCTTCTCTTGCACGGCGCTCTTCAGTTAGCAGCGCCTCCAGGTCTCGAAGTCGGACGCCTTGGGACTCTATCTCAGTTTTCGCGACGTTCAGGGCCTCGGTGAGTGAAGACATTTGTGCGTCTGAGCGTACTGGCGAGCCCGTCTTCTGACGCTCGGTGTTTGATCTTTTGAGCGAGGACGCGGCGTTGGGTTTCTCAGGTAGCGGCTGTTGGGGCGGGGGAGCTGGAGGGTCCGAGAATCTGGCCTTCATGTTCAAGTCCTTAACAGGGGATATCTTTACTGAGTTGGCGGGTGAGATCCTCACCGAATTGGCGGGTGAAGGCTTTGCGGGTTCTTTCTTGGGGTCTGCAGACAGAATAGTGTTGATGAATTGATGAGTCTGTTGGAGCTCCTGTGATTGTTGCTTGGCAGCTTTCATCTCAGTCTGAATTTATTAGTAATGACCACCACATCGTCTCCAGATAACTCACATTGAGCTTCTTGACCACCTGCTCCATGGTAATGGGCTGGAGCCAGAAGTTGGGGTGGCGCGGTTGTTGCAAGTTGCTGCCGTAGCCCGCCATCGCACCAGGAGTCGTCTGAAGACGCTGACCATTAATCGAGCCTTGACTCGGGGTCCGACCACGCATGTTCGCCATCTGTTGCTGGGCGCCAGGCCCCATCATGTTGGACATCTGAGGTCCTTCAAGCTCGCCAAAGTTGAGGTCGAGCACGTCGCTGCCTGTCCTGGCATAGATGCCCGCATGTTCGACGCGGGCAGCGACCTTGTGGTGTACAATCGTCTTCTGATCTTCGCTGACAATGTCGATGCCCAGTTCCAACATGTCCTGTTCCCGCAGCTCATGTGGATCAGAGTCCCTGTTTTCCTGTGACAGCCGTGACCCGTTGACAAAAGTGCCGTTGGACGACTTGACGTCTCGAATCCAGATTTTGCCGTTGCGGTCCGCCCAGACTTCAGCATGCTGTCGAGAAAGCACTTTCGAGTCGAAGTACCCGTTCAGTGGGGTGGGGATCGTCTTGTTGTTAGTTTGGCGGCCGATGCGGAGGACGTCGGGGAAGAAGGGGACGGTGATGGTCTTGCGCTCGAAGGTGCCGTTCATGGGCACGAGGTGCAGAATGGCCGAGTGCTCCTGGAGATGTGCTCGTGGACCGCCATTCTGTTGTTGCTGTGCTTGTTGCTGCTGCTGCTGTGTTTGTACGGCGCCGTTGTGCTGCGAGGGCACCATGGCGGAGGGTGACTGTAGGGCGCTCATAGCGGAAGCTGCCGACGAGCCGGGTCCTGCAGACGAGATGGGCTGCGGGCGTGCGGTGGTGATTCCAGAAACAGGCTCAGTCTTGGAGGCAGGCCATAGTCCCTTTGGCGGCTTAGTTTTGCGGGCGGCCCAAGCAGTGGCCTCGGAGGGCGGGACGCCGTTTGGCTGTGCGGGCGGGGCGGCTATGGTGGACGTGGTCGAGGCCTGCGAGGAGATGGACGACGACGAGTTTGTGCGTTGGACGCTCTTGCGAGGCATGAACATGGCGCCGTTGGGGCCGGCCTCAGCGCTCCATGCCTGCCGATTGATGTTCTGGAAATTCACGGGGGGAGCTACAGCCGTCATTGGCGTCGAGGGGCGTGGGCGTGCGGCTTCCGTCGAAAGGGCGCTTCGGTCGCTGGTCTGGCACACGCCGGCTTCTCCCTGGGGGGCAGCGCGGCAACAGCGTGACGGCGGCGAGGGCAATCAACGGCAGCGGCGACGGGCGGCGACGAGCTCACACAGGCATGCGTCACGGGGCGATGCAGCAGGCCGGACGGCGCGGTGGGCGAGAGCGTCGGGGGTTGCGCGGTTGTTGTGTGTCGTGTGCTGTTCGTGAAGCCCGTGCGTGCGACGTCAGGGCAGCAAATGCAGGCGGTGCAGGCGGTGCAGACGGCGCTGGGCACGGCAGCAGGCAGGGCGGGCAGGCGAGAGACAGTCTGGGGCGGGCGGTGTGCGTTGCTCTGCTATGCTATGATGTCGGGCTCAGAGATTCCAACGAGCGAGCAGGCGGGCGGGCGGCGGACCTCCACGTTCACGTTAGGCCTTTCGAGAGCTGCAACCCTGAGTGGCTCCGTGTGCGAGACTGCTGGTGTGATATAAAGCACGGCGTACAGGGGGGAGTGTGGACTGCACGGAAAGGAGGCCCTGCGACGCCAGGACACTTGTTTGGACGATGGATGCACCCTCGCGGAACAACAGGAGGGCGAGCACTGACACATTTCGCTGCATCGCTACGCCGCAGTGAAGGCTGGCTGCGTCACGTGTTTCGCGTTCTCGGCTAACCCTGTGCCCTTGCGACGACCCCAGAGTGGGTGGCATGGCCAAGTCGCCGCGATTCTTCTCCGCACTTGCTTAGCCATTCGACAGAGCCGCCAACATGCCCGTCCCCGTTGGAGCTATGCCCCGAGGCCAGCATGGGCCCTCGACTCTTGACAAGCGTACGGCGCTGCGACACACCCCGCGAGACACGGCCGGCTAACAGCACGCAGTGAAGATGGGAGGCATGATGGGAGGATGTACGCAAGCACCTACCAGCAGCCCCAAGATTGCATGCTGACGACGCAAACAGCCGTCGGTCTCATCATCGGCTTCATCTTTGGATTCACAAACATTGTTCGTTTTGGTCCTGGGCCAAACGGCATGCTGCGAACCCTAGGCCAGTACATGATGGGCTCTGCAGCAACATTCGGGTACACACGCCACTTTCCGACAACCTCACGCACTACTAACCACCGCAAACAGTTTCTTCATGGCCATTGGCACCACAATCCGCACAGACAGCTCGCCCATGGCCGCCGAGGCCTTCAGCAGGATGAGTGCGCGACCCACAATCCTGCCGCGATTGTACCAATACCCACGCGCGGCCCGCGACGAGAAGAAATAAGCAGGGATGGTAAAGAGGATGTGGGTTGGATGTGTAAAACACTTAAATATGTGCGGCTACGGGTGTGTATGTATAGTATCAGGAATGCTGGGAAGCAAATAGGTCGACCTGTGTTGCGAATAGCGTATAGGTGAGGCAATAACATGATATCTTATGGTTTGACGTCTCGTCAACTAGAATTTCGCTTGTTCTTTCCCGTCGTGTTGAAGAGAAGCTGTCTGCCTTTTCATCACATGTATTGAAGCTACCAGACGATTCTACCTCATTATGCTCTGTCCTTATTGAACCATTGCAACACACTCTGAACACGCTCAGACTAATGAGTCAATGAGTGCTCTGATATGCATCTTTTTTCTTTCCTATATCATGACATGATTTTTCGAGTCTCTGTCCTACACACATACCGCTGATCTGACCCCGCCGGCAGTCAAGCCGAATGCAAAGACCTCCTTCGTCCACCTCCCTCCCATCACCTCCTTTTTCCTTTTCTAGAAACGACCTACAACATCACCAACCCAACTCCACCCATGTGTTTCCCGCTTGCCCGATTGGCTGCATCGATACCACCTGGGATCAGAGCGGCGCGGTAGTTGTACATATAGTAGTGCAGCGAGCCATCTCCGGCGCCGAACTTCTGATCATCGAGGAACAGGGGGTTGTCGAGTAGAGTGAGGGCGTTGAAGACGTCGAATCCAGCCTATCAGAGTCAGTAAAAACACAGTCAAGAAATATTCAAATGCTCACCTTCTTCGACAGAATCAATGCATCCTTGACCAGCATGTTGAGCCGCTGCTTCAGCTTCGCGTCGTCCTTTTCAAACGCAACCTCCGTCGCGTAGTAGAACAGATACGCCGCCTTGACGGTACTGTGCTTCTTGTGTCCAATGACTGTGCTTTCCAGGTTGTAGAACGAGAAGAAGTCTGTAATCTTGTCTGGGGCATCAGGATCCTCGATAACATAACTCCACACGACCTGCTCCTCGGGCTTTTCCTTAGGAGACATCCAGTGTTCGAATTCGGTTTTAGAGAATACCTGCGCCATGTCCATGCGCTCGAGGTACCGCTTCAGCAGGTCGAGCGTGGCATCGACGTCTTGCGCTTGCATCTCGCGGAGTCCTGGAGTCGAGGTTGTGTCTGGGAGCTTGTAGCGCACGACCTGGCGCTGCTTGGTGCTGCCGGCGGGCAGCGGAGAGAAACCCACGTCGTACAGCTTCTCCCAGTCGATAGCGCGGTGGAAGTAGCGACATGTCGAGAAGGGGGTGGGAAGGAGATTGCCGACGGTGTATACAGCTTGGAATATGCCCTCGACGTAGCATCGGCGTGTGATCTCCTTGATGAGGACGGGAGCGAGACGCTTCGAGCGGAGCTTCTTATGCACGCATAGGAAGTTGACTTCAGAGCAGTTGAGCGTGTTTTCGCGGATTCGTAGCTGGATTGGGATGCCTGATATGAAGGCGACGAGCTTGCCCGAGGCAGTTGCGCGCACACCGACGTGCCATTCCTTCTTCCAGCCGGGTGCTTTGAGAGCCCTACGCATGTCAGACTAGGCACAACACAATCGGTATAGTAGAAGCATACCAGTTCAAGAACGATGGCGAGTATCTGAAGCGGAAGGTCGCGTCCTTGTCCTCGACGTAGTGGTTCGTGAGCAACTCATACACCTCCTCCAGCTGCTTCTCGTCCTCAAGGTCCATCGTCACCCACTCGAAGCCAGGGTACATAGGGCTTGGGTTCTTGTCCACCTTCTCAATGTCGATCTCCTTGATCGGCCCATCTGCGATCTTCTCTCCGCCTGCCATCTCGTCGAAGCTAGGCACAGGTTGTGTCTTCCAGAACGCATGGCCCGCCATATCCTTAGCGTTCTTGCCCTGCGGCGCCAGGCCAGTCAGCATCTCGTTGATGTTGAGCTTCCTTATCATCTCCTCCAAGTCTGTCTTGCTTTTCGCCTTGGACGTCAGGTCCTGCTTCAGCGCGGGATTGGATTCGAGCAGTGTGGCCATCTGGTTCTTGCTAAGATGTGCGCCCGCTGGCGAATTCGCATCCGTGATCTCTGGCGCCTTCCCCTTGCCCGTCAACGCGTCCTTGATCTTGCGCTTTCTGCTCTTCTTCTTTTTCTGCGTGGCCTCCTCGCCGCCAGCTACTGCCTCCTCGCCGCTCTCGTTCTCAGATTCTGGCGCATCTTGCTGCTCGCTGGACTCAGCAATTGCTTCGGTTGCTGCCTCAGCTGTAGCAACGGGATCTGAAATCTTGGAGTTTTCTTGAGGCATGGCTGGCGTTTAGGTTTTGAGTTGTATTGTGAAAGCTGTCATCGAGAGTGAGCTGGCCGGCAACAATTGGTAGCGTAGCGCGCAAGGTGGGGTATGGAGGGGCATCGCGTCTCGCGTCTCCTCGCTTGCAGCTTCCTTCCGAGCACCTTCTTACGTTTCGCATGCTCTATCATCATATATCCAATTAACAAGTCGTAAAAACTCAGTATGTTGAAATAGATAGGCGACGTTTCTCGTGCCGTTTCCTTACGCTTGTGGCTCTTGAGATCACGTAAAAGTTGCATTACCATACAGTCATGGCATGTTCACAATCTCAAATAGACAATTCTCGGGTCGTAGGTACATGTACATATACTATTTACGAAAGAGTAGTGGGTGTGTTCATCTTCCAAATATTTGTACACGTCTTTCGGGGTTATCATTGGTATTGAATAATCGACCATCATAATGTTCCCGCACACAAAGATTGACTTGAACAAGGCTAAAAAGGCGACGGTTTAGAACTAAGTTGGATCTAATGTCCTGTCTTTTGTGCATCTATTATCTTCTTTCAATTGTCAAATATCTGACAGTTTGCCAGAGGTAAAAATGAGTATGATGATAAACGTATATCTTGCCACCTTGTCTTGACTTGACTGCGAAGTGACTGCAATTCTACGACAAAACATCCCCGAGGACGTTACTGTCGTACGATCTCCTCTTTTCTGAGCTCTGCTCATGTTGAAAGAAGTGGTAAAGTGAAGAGCCCCTAACTTTTCAATGGTAGTTCTTAAATTAAAGCCGATGATCTCTGATCTCCGTCAGCAAAGTCAAGTACAGGTACAACGTACTAGCGCCGCAATCCATACACAAGACTATCTGTGCATGTGACCGTGTACGTCTAGTTTGTTTCATGTCAGGGTACGGATATTAGCCACTGGTCGGCCGCTCCCATCACGTATACAAGGGGGCCACTAGACACCGAGTACAGCCCAAATGTTCACGATGCTAGACAAAGTCGTTCCCGACCACGTTTGGCAAAATGAAAATCGAACCATGATAGTCTTGAGTTACATGCACGCAAGATCTATCGTTCGCGTACATCAGTTCCTAACTACTAATCACCGTAACATCAATGACCTTTGTAAAACGCCGCGCATGGTATGCCCTGGGTATCTCATCTCGAATCATACATCAGTCCATCCTGGACACCGAAGATAGATAGCCGGTACTCAACTGTCTATCATGAAAGCCGTAGCAGCAAGTATATCGAAATACGTACCCAGAAAGGAGTACGTGAAGAATTAAAAATAACAAAAAAGTAGTACAGGTACAAAGTCCTGCTTCGAACGCGCGCTGAGTGGCAGTAAATTCGTGTCAGCTGAGGTTTGCCACGCCAGAACAGGATGTGTTGTTGCACCATAGAACCGCCACAGTTGCACGGTGACGTCGAGAAACAACTGCCTCTCACGAAGGCTCCGGGTTGAGGTGAGGCTTGGTCGCCGCTACACTATCAGGAACGGATACGGGAGAGGAGCACACTTGTCCTCCTTGCTTAAGCATCTCCTCAAGTGGAATCTCAGCGTCAGAATCTTGTGTCTTTCTGGAACTTGTCATCGTGTCCTCGCAATACGTGTGCTGCGACGATTGGTATCGAGGTGCGGTTCCAGTGATTCTCGACCTGATGTGCCTGCACGCCCGTTTACACTCAGGCCATGTCGTCGAAATGTAGATCATAGCATTCCAAAATCCCTGTAGAGGGAGAACTAACGCAGAGGCAAGGTTGAGGCCGTAGCTGAGATTACGGGGTTGGTCTCGATAAACAAACTGCTCCAGTCGATTGATAGTTGATGGCACCCAAACCACAATAAGGGCCACAAACATGAGGAAGGCGACTTTGAGATACGCAAACGCCGCATCGTGACCGTCTACGTTTCTCAAACGGATGTTTGAATGCTTCGGAGCAGCAGGTGATGATCCGGGTGGGGTGGGAGCTGATACCTCGAGGCGGTTCGCAGCGGAAACGGTTGCACTATAACCGCTACGCGTATGTCCGTGGTGTTTATGCGGACCATCTTGTGCTTCCAGTGATGCTCCAATCTCCCAATGTATGTGGGATGTGTGCGCTTCCGCTGACACCCTCGAGGGTGACTCTTCTACAGGAGATATAGGTGATAGATTGCGGGTGCTCGAGAACGAGCTCGCCGATCTGTTTTCAATATCGGACGACGTGGGCCATGAACTCGGATTATGCGGGTGGTTTTCGTACTCGATCTGCGTGGTCACAACGATGTTGTTGCCGACAGTGAAGGGATTTGCCAGGCTTCCTTCAATAGCATACTCATTTACTGTCGGTGGATATCTCGACTGTCTGGAAAAAGAGCGCAAGATGGCACGTCTTTTGAAGATTCTGAAACCAGTGACGACGTAAATGGCCAAGGTAGCAGACACACAAACCCTTTACTACTTTAGCAAATATACCACAGGGTGATGATAGTGACTTACCACACAGGAGCGTAGAAAAATGCAATGCGCATCCATGCCACTTCCTCCCTGACCCAGCACCAAATCTACCTGGTTAGATACGACCACAATACAGAGAGAAGAGGTAAACTTACAGTTGCAGGACCAATGATACGTCGAGACCCGTAGTGGTCGAGGAAAATATATATCAAAGCTGGAACAGAAGGTATACCATAGGCAAAAAGCAGGTACCACTTCTCTAAGCAGCGCAGCTGATGGGAACCATAGCCATGGAAGAAAACTAGCATCACATTCAGGGCCATGCAGAAGACCTGTTTCTCATCAGCGGGGCTGAAAAGAATGGCTAGATCTGACTAACCCAGAGCGAGTCTGCCATCATGAACCATTGTATCAACACGCCCTGAAACTCGCAAAGTGCAGTAAATTCATTGGGATCCTTTGGTATCGCTGAAGTTGACATGAGTGTCGCAACATTGGCCATGATGTTTCCCCAAGTGGCATAGAAGACTAGACGGTTTATCGGCTTACGGTACTGATTGCAGAGCAGGAATGTGCTGATGATAAACAGTGAACCCAGTAGCGACAAAACAGACATGGTGCGCTCCGAGACCTCGATGGCCTTGAGTTGACGAGCGGTAAACGACACCATGTTGGTTGGAAGAGGTAAGAGCTAAGTTACAGTATTCCGTAGTGCCTGCCGGTCTTGTCTGAGAAGGTTTGCATGAAGATGCAATGTCACTGCCGCCGTAAACCTGATAGCAGGCACACGATCGCAAGGTTGGCGCCGACAAACTCGAGTGAATTACTGTTTTCACAATGTTGTAAGTAGGAGGTGGGTGAAGGTGACGGACGGACGCGTGTGTCATAAGGCTGCAGGGTCCAAACGCAAGTGACAGGGTGGGAGTATTTAGGAAGGCGCGAGCGGTCCTTGAGATCGAAACGATCGAGTCTTGACAGAAACAAGAAGGAAATTCCGCAAGGATATGTATGTAAGTATTAGTCTGGAATGTTTGTATGCCGCGGATGTTGAAGTGTCGACCAGTGTGAGTCCACAGCCAGTTCCAGCTAGGCCTGTTGGGGGAGGCATAAACGCCGGGTCAGAGAGACAGGGAGGACGAGAAAGGAACGCTGCGCCATCGGACGATATGTGAAACTCGATCTCGAACTCAATTAGGGATGAGAAGAGGCCTTACGTATCGCGCTCGCCTCCTAAGTAGTTCAGACCGTCAGAGTATCACTTCATGAGTAGAAAACGACTCGCATAAGTACGATACCACGGTCGCAGCTCGCCATAATCGCAATTCCCAGTTTATTTTGTGCTCCATTCAAACACGGAACTGCACCACCGTCCACGGCTGCGAATGATATGCCCACAGAGTCGCGTGGCGTACTAGGGCGGTGTTGTTGGACGTTGGAGTAAGCGAGCCTACAATCTGCCATGTTTCCCCGCTTCTTCGTTCCTTCCCGCTTAGGTCCGTGTACTATCCTGTCGGCACCTCCAACGGAAGTCCACTAATACCTGCTCAGCCTTTGTCTGTGGGAGGACGGGCTCCCGGAATATGGCGCGCTGATGGACACAGTCGGGATTGCGGCATAGAGGCTAATTTTGGACAGGCCGAACGAATAGCTAGCAAAAACATCCAGGACAGGAGAGATCCTCAACTACATCATATACTGTGTATCTGAATAGAAACAGAATGCGATATTCTCCCAAGGCTTCAATCGAGATGTGCGACAATAGCGCGTCGGATGAGAGACAAACGCGCGAAGGATTTCCTTGCATGGGGCACATCCATCCAGGTCGGTAATATTGCCAGCCACTTAATCTGGGATCGTCCTCGTGGCCGTTTATGCGCCTTGCAAGGGTGGCCTAGGTATTGCGTCACCCGTGTTCACATGGAGACTTGTGGCGTAATGTTGAGTCTTCTCCTGGTATACATACTTTTGGAGCGTATTTCTGCCCAAAGGTTGACAGGGAAGAGATTTCGTATACTACAAGCCTTGTACTTCCTATAACAGTGCACAAAGATGATGGGAGCTGTCACTCCCAAGATGACGAAGATTGGTCAGGACGAGTCATCTCCTTCCGTGCCGAATGGAGTATGGCCTCGGATGTGCAAGAAAATTCCTATCTTAGTATATCGTACGAGAACTTCTCCAACCCGGTCTTATTCGAGGTCAGCCGCTAGTCGTTCAGCCCACAAGTTCTATCACTGAGGAGGTCCTCGCCGATACGGCTTGTTCGATTATGTCCGGAGAAATAGGAGTTTGTACACATTACCGAGCGGCAAATAAGCTCACCCAAACATTAAGATAATGCTCAGATTCGTGTGCCGAGATCATAATACCATAGGTCCTGAACGGGAACAACTGTGCCAGATGTCCCACATCTTTCTGCTTCACAAACCTCGAACAAATCGTAGCCTTTCTATCAGGTACAACATTGATCAAGCTCTTAGGGCAGTTGATGTCTTCTGCCACCTCTAAGGCCCGCCGCAAGAATGCCTTGGTCATGAGTTACACATCAAAATGTCAAGCCATGGTCAGCAAGGGTGGCTCAACGCCCTAACCCTTGCTCTACGCTAATGCACGTCAACTACATGGTGATCAGAGGACGAAAAACAAACCAAGAACCCTTGGTTGTTCATGACAAGGGATGTAATCTTCGCACTAAAACAAATTCTATTATCATCAGCCATTTGAAGGAACACTTCTCACGTCACAGCCTCCACCACCTCAGCCGCAGCGACATTTGTGAGCTCCCTCCTTGATTTCCTCGCGATCATACATATACGCGCGCGAACATCTAAAGGCGAATCATTACTAGGTTCTACACTCTCTTTCCTTGGGATGGGATCGGAAGTGATGTACTTCTGTTCTCCCAGACTCTCCTTCTCGTTCATCGTTTTCTCGATCTTCAAGCTGCCAAGTTCAACAATGTTCTTCTGTCTGGCCACATTCCCTCCTCTGTTCTCTGAACCCGCAATATGAACTCAATGAGTTCAATCTGCAAGGGGTTCTCATCCAAAAGGTAAGAAGTCGAGTTCGACTCCACCTGCTCAGCATCTGGACAACGATGGTTGGCAACCGTCATAATGCGGTGATATAACACCGTCACGTTCTGATCTGCACCGAAGAACTTGAACGCATTCACACCAAAGTATTTAACCGTCACAAAACTAGGAGACGCCTGTCTTTGGGTATCGCCTAGAAAGTCTGCACAGCCGGTCATTTGAATTAGATGGGCGCACAGTGATAGGTGTCGATCGAAGCACTGTCGAAGTGTGGGGCCGATGTTAAATTCGAGGCGTCGCGGGACGGCGTGAAGGACCTGGTGAGAAGGTGGTCTTCAGCCTACGCTTTTCATGTGTTAGTCCGATCGGTGAGAAAGGAGAACACTACGCGAGGTTATGCTCACCTGATCTGAAGCTTGGGTGGGGACCAGCACCTCCAGGAAGGGCGGTGACCAGACCGTTGTTGATTAGGAGGACTTCAATGTCTAAATTACGCAGTAGTAAAGCCCTGTGACCGTGTTTTAAAAGTGGTTGTTAAGATAATAACACCATCGGTACGTTTTGTTGAGCCGATAGTGGCTGCAAGGTAGTGGTTCAGTACGATATCGATTGTGAGTTATGTAATGAAGTTTTCCAGTCTTAGGACTGAAGTTTTTTCTTTCTGCATCGCACTGTGTTGGCTTGAACCGACACGCCTTGTTCTCTCACGTCCTGCAAAACTCCACCACTTTCTGAGCACGCCATCCTACCAACCCATCCACATACCCCAAAAACACCTCCAAATCCAACATATCGACTTCTCCCAGGCTTGGATTCGAACTTCTCAATACTTGACCACCCCAGAGGATCCTAAGATAGTTCTTCATATTGTCTTTCTGCATATAAACCTCGAAGACAATTTCAGCACCCATACCCACCCACACCATCTGCTCGACCTGAAGAATACTGAGAAGACGTGATACTGAGCCATCATGTGCTACGTTGTGTCGGTACCTCACAGGGCCCTTACCAGAGATCGCATCCCGGATATTCTGCGCGAGCTCGGCGAGGAACACGCCGTAGGATCCTACGGCAGCTTGCAGACTTTGTGGGGCGTCGCGATGAATGAAGCTGTACTCGTATTGGCCTAGTCGGTAGACAGTGTCCGCTTGGTCTTGTGTAATGCATGAGCTTGTGTCGTTGATGTTACAAGGCAGTGGTTTCGCATGGCACTGTCTGCTTGAGAGATTGTCGTAGTAGTGGTCAAAGGATTTATGCCAGTCTGTGGAGTCGCTTGCAATACCGGAGATGTTATCCAGGGACTTGAATAGAGGTTTTGCGGCGCTCAAGTGCGCAGTCCATGTCGAGTCGGTGCCTCCTACGCCGTAGGAACTGTAGAGGAATGACGCAGCAGGACAAGGGTACTGGGGTTCCAGAGAGTCAACACCAGTAGGTTGAATTCGAAGGGGTACGTCGGCATCCGGGGCATACATGCCGTCAATAACCATCCCAGCGACTTGGCTTGTGATGACGTTGTTCGTTACCCGGTATGTAACTTTGTCATCCATCTCGTCGGGAAGAAAATGTAGCAGATCATGATATACGCCATGTAAGTCCCTGCCATGCTGCCACGAGTCATCCAAGCCCTCTTTTGTGATTTGCGGAAATTGACAAGAGCCGTTGAACCCAGACTGCGGAAACGGATTGGTTTCGCTAGTGTACACGCTCCAGTATGTCGGACTCGACCCGTTCCCAGCAGGATTCAAGGGTCTGCCATAGTAGAAGAGGCCCTGATTGTCGCATTGCCATCCATACGCCTCTTTGGGAAATGTGTTGGAAGCATACGGTGTACGCTTGTGATGTCGATGTATGCTTGCAGTCGTCATCAGGAACAGTCAAATGTGGGGGAAAAGCGATACGTACACCTCCACATACTGCAACTCAAACCCCACTCCGGCTCTTGGATACTCCCCAGCCCTCACATGAGGCATATTGCACCAATTGTACGTTCCGTAAAGTGTCCCAAGAGGCAAGTGCGAGCTATTGAAGATAAAGTCGTGTGTTCCAGTCCCATTCATAACTTGTTCTAGATCATTTATCCAACTCTTCCTTGGTGCATACCATCCAAGATCTACAGTAGAATTCTGAGCTATGGATTGGGAAACCCAGAGTAGCGGGAGGGCTTTCTTAAGGAAAAACATGTCCAAATGAAATAGTTGAAGAAGCATCAAGGTTGCACAAGCCAGACCGGCTGCGTAGAGAACAAAGAGGCGTACATTGTGCATCTCTTATACATGCCTCCTCAGAGAACGATATCAGATGGCACCACGCATGTAGAAGACCATGGTAACGATGGTTGAATGGAGGAATGATGCACTCTGCTGGAAGAACGTGGTCGAACGCGTTGTGCGTCCATCGACCGTGATTGGCTGTTGAGAATTGGCATGTACCGAGTTTGGAAAATGATCGGCGACATGGAGCCATCAAAACGGTCGAGGCAATCGAAAGAGTTGCCTGTGAATATATGCAAAGATGGCACGAACATTGACTCATCGGTGGCAGGCAAGATTACTTTGCTATATGTGTCCGTAGCACGAACGGTGAACATACCGCAATCCAGGTTATGGTATGCACTGGCATGGAGGATGTACACATCGACGTGCAATGCTGCGTTTTTGTACAGAGTTTTAGCAGACTTCCAAGTGTTGTCGCTGCGTTGAGTGAACTTTACAGAAGCGGCGCCCCAGTTATATGTTTGTAGAACACGTCACAAACCAGGATGAGATGGAGCCTCTTAGGAGATCGGCAAAGTCCGGAAAGCAATCTTGCACAACCAGCGGTGTCTCAGTTTGTTCTGTGAAACAACCCGTGCGAAGCGACAACTCGGCCTGCGGCAGGCACGATGTTTGGGGTTCAAGTAAGGTTCTAGATGACAGCGAACCCACAGCCTAATGTTGCCCGGCAGGTGGGGGAACTGTGGATCTTTTCTAACGGGTTGGTCACCACTCTCGACCGAGCGCATTGTGGAGACCAACCAGTAGGGTAGGAACGACGCGACGAGTCCAAGAGGTCGGACGACAGCAACGGCCTTTAAACACTTTGATTGCGCCGCTGACGCCGCTTGTTCGAAACATCATGTCGTGGATCTTCCCGGGACAGGGTCGTGTTTGGGAATAATTCTCATGCGTGAATAACGGGGATGCTCAGCTTCTCATATAAGATGATTATGCACTAATAAGGACTTATCTTGTCTCCTTTGTCGTGCATGCGATGCGATAACCTTAACTGCCTAGCCACACAAGCATGTCGCGCATAAGCAGTGATTGCCGCCTCGGTAGCACGCTTTGCGAATTAGAGACGCGTAGAGGGTTGCTATGGTCGGTCAAGAGTTTCATCTCTACCCAACCCCGGTCTCCCATCGCCCCTGAGCTTTGTTGTCCTCCGCTTGTGGCCAGCACACGTGTTTTATGTCTTCTCCGACGTGCCACCTAGGTTTTCGACCTGTGCTTTACCCTCTTCTGTGTCGTTCTCTCTGCTTTTCCTGCGCCCACGAAACGCTCTCAAAATCCGGGGATCGTTGTGAGCCGTGCCTCACTAGTGCCTGCAGTAGTGCTGCCCTAAGGTAGCTAATCTCCGGCCCCAGACCCTTGATCATTCACTCTGCGCGCTCCACTATATGCGCGTCTGAACATTGGTCGTTGCTTGGAGTTACACCCTTCAATCTCACGTCTGCGCAAACCTTTGCCGCTCGCTGAAACTATACGCGCTTGCGTGGTTGATAACAAGACCGACCCGCCTGCCCATCATGGACACAACTCCCGCTCCAATTTCTAATTCCGCACTGCCTCTGGAAGAGTCGCTCGATTTGTCTACAGTGCTGCCCACGGTAGTAAACTCCAACGACGAACAACAGCCTGGACCCGTACACAGGACTAGTTTTCACTTTTTACGTCGCAAGAGTTCAGCTGAGACTCGTGGAGGCTACCGCAGCGCGTCCACTGGCAAGATGAGCAAGAAAGCAAAGGTGCTTGCGCAGGAGGAGGCCGTACGGAAGTCGAGAGAGGCCGCGATGCTTCCTGTGCAGCCACCGCGCCTTCCCTCGCACTCCTTTGACAATTTTGGCGGCGGCGAATACTTCCGCCCGGATTCTGTTGCCATCGTTTCCAATCAGGCCAGCAACCACGCCGGCAACCACGCCAACCACGCCGGCAACAACTTCAGTCGTCCCAATTTCAGCAGACCGTCCGTCGAACAAACTAGGATGGCGCCCACTTCCACTTCAGCTGTGGCGCCGCCCATGCCTGTCCGCTCGACTTCGCCGTCATACGTAGACTACGATCCCTACCCCAGAACTGAGAGCATGACAAACCGCGGTCGCTACAGCTATGCCAGCAGTCAGATCAGTACCGTGAACAGTCCCCGCCGTGTGAGGAGGAGGAAGGACCCCACGCCGTTCAAGTGAGTTGCATGACACTGCGCACGAGATCCTTGACTGACGAGTCTACAGCATCCTCGTCATTGGTACCAAGGGCTGTGGCAAGTCCTCCTTCATCGACTTTCTTCGCACTGCACTTGCACTCCCTGCTAAGAAACGCACTCATACTCCATCTCCGCCAGCCAGTGCAAGGGTGCACGACTCGCCCTTTACCTCTCAATCCCTCGAGACAGAAGTGGACGGCGAGAGAGTCGGTGTCACGCTCTGGGACTCGGAAGGTCTTGAGAAGAATATTGTCGACTTCCAGCTACCCATCATTACGTCGTTCCTCGAGTCCAAGTTTGAAGACACATTTGGCGAAGAGCAGAAGGTAGTGCGTGCCCCAGGCGTTCGTGATACTCACATCCACTGTGTTTTTCTCATCTTGGACCCTGTGCGTCTAGATCAGAATATCGCCGATGCTCGCAAAAGGTCGAACGTTGTCAACGTTGGCAGTGCAATTTTTGGCGGCTTAGACGAGGACCTCGATCTCAATGTGCTTCGTGCGCTACAGGGCAAAACCACTGTCATCCCCGTTATTGGCAAGGCTGACACCATCACGGGCGCGCACATGCGTTATCTCAAGAAGACGGTCTGGGATACCATAAAACGAGCGAAGTTGGATCCACTCGAGGCTTTGAACCTCGCCGATTACGATGAGGAAGACCCCGATCGACTAGACGAGCAAGACGAGGACGAATATGCTGAGTCTTCTGACGGCGAAGGTAAGACGGATGTGTTGAACAAGATCCTCGAGCGATCATCTTCCGAAGCTGCCCGTTCAATTGCATCTTCAAACTCATCATCCAAGTCTCGATCACCTCCAACGTCGCCCCCAAGCGCCAAAAAGAGCCACAGTCGCAAGGCATCAGCCATGTCCGCATCCATTCACAACCACAATGAAGACATGGAAACTCCGTTTTTGCCTCTCAGCATCATCTCGCCGGATCCCTATGAGCCTGAGGTGGTGGGCCGAAGATTCGCATGGGGCTTTGCGGACCCTCTCAACCCAGAGCACTGCGACTTCACGAGGCTGAGGGAAAGTGTCTTCAGCGAATGGCGTGCCGAACTTCGCGAGGCGAGTCGCGAGCAGTGGTACGAAGGCTGGCGAACAAACCGACTGCAGAGGGGCAACACCAGGAGACAAGTCATGACTTCAGACGGACCAGCAATGAAGCAGATCAGCGTCCCTGCTGCCAACGGTAGGGCTTCCAGCGCAGGAACTCGCGACCATCGTCCATACCATGGCACCGACTACTAGCCAGACCTACTGCTGGACGCTCATAGCACACCTATGCAAGCCAGTCAGCACCTGAGTCTCGGATTTCGGCCTTGTCGCATCTCCTGGCTTACGTTTATTCACACCGACGAAACATTTCCGTCGAGGTATGGTACTAGCACATGCGACGTCCTGATGCAGTCCCGACCATATTGGGCACCAATTACTGGACAGTGCGTATTGAGGAGAAGATAAATTCCATTGGCCTCGGCGGAACATCCTGCCTTTCTTTCTATTTGAACGTTTTTCCGAATTATGTACTTCTCTCCATCATACCCTCACCCTTACCCTTTTGTCTTATGTCGAATTGAAGGCAAGGATTTAGTCTCTCACATGTTGTTCTTCTTTCCTGGCCTGCTTTTTGTTTTCTGGCATTGCTTGTCAATAAAGCGCATACCCTTTCTCATATTGCTTAGTGTCTGCTAGATCTCGATGTTCCAACATTTTCTGTGGCCTTGAAACAGAGGACTAGTTACTACGCTGGACGTATCAAAAGCAGGACTTAACTAGCAGTCAGCATACTGGATCCGAACAAAACATGCACAGAGTGAATTTCCGCGTGACAGTCTCGTACATCAAACATCAGACCGCCCGGATACCACGTTAGGCCCGATATCTTTGAGACATAAAATCTTCACCTCCATGATCACGCCCATTACTGGTAAGTCGTTTGAACCGCTAGATCATGGACTCTACGACGGCCACTATTTCGCACAAAGGATACTCTGTGGTGTCATCGAAAGCCCGTTGATCGTGCTTGATCTTTGTCGATGGGAGCACAGCAACAAGCAGGGATCCCAATTCCACCTATATTACAAAATGCATAGTTATTGAATTGTCGAAACCCTCCCTTACGATACTCTCACTCAAAGTCTGACCACCCACTCACAGAGTTCGAACCTCCGCGTTCGCCGAGACGCCCCACCAAAGCCCTCCACCTCGACCCGCAACCAAAAAAGCACTACTCACTCTCTCGCGAAGATGCCTCGCACTCTTCTGAAACGTCTTTCCAAAGGACTGCCCATAACATGAATTCTCCACACGACATGTCGCCCACGCAGGGCCCAACACAACTTGCTGCCGGCCACGCGCCGCCTACCCCACCACATGAAGACCCGCTCGATGACATCTACGGCTCCGCGCCCTCATCCCCAGTCAACGAAATGCTGTCTGATCTGCCCTCGCGCCAACGTGCGCTCGACAACGACGCCTATCGCGAAGGTCTCGCGCAGAGCAAGGGCCAGTACGTGCAAGCCGGATTCGACGAGGGCTACTCTCTGGGTGCGAATCTCGGGCTGCGTGTGGGCTATATTCTGGGCGTGTTGCAAGGGTTTGTTGCGGCGTGGAAGGGTCATGATGCGGTGTTGTATCGCGAGACGAAGGATGTTTTTGAGCAAGCGAAGACGGAACTTGCGATTGAGGAGCTGTTGGGGGAGAAATGGGTAGATGGGGAGGGTCTGTGGAAGTGGGATGTAGAGGGCGAGGAGGAGAAGGGGTTTAGGGTGGTTGCGGATGCTCATCCTGTTGTGGTGAGGTGGATGGGGAGGGTGCAGGATATGGCGAGACGGTGGGGGGTGGATATGAGGGCTGTAGAAAGGAGTTTGGGGGACGATGAGGGGACGGGGGAGGCGGAAAGCTGATATCCGGGTGTACGAATATATATCTTTTTGGGTCAGGCCCGGCCTAGAATTAAGCAGTCAGGATACTGAGGTTTTCGAGAACCGTGTGAGATCGAAAGTCTGGACCTGGAGTAAGTCGTGCTTCCGATCAAGTGTAAAAGCCGGAACCAAGCTGGAGCGAGATCTGGCAACGGGTGGACAAATACATGGGGAAATCGGATATAAATGTGCGCCTGGAGCATCACTACTTGAGAAGTTTTACTTCTAGCGTTTTGGGTTCCAATGTGGTTGTTTGTTCGTACCCAGCAAAACGTGGCTTACTTTTGCCTATCTCAGCGGACGGAAAGGTCATGGTCTTGAACTTGGACTGAATGCCGGCCGGCCTGGCTGGGTGTAGAGATGCGAGCATTGACCAAAGCTGAATATCAAAGAACAACATTCATATTCCTTCATCGAACAAATCTCGAGTCGTATAGTGGTTAGTATTTCTGCTTGTCATCCAAGGACAACTCGCAGGAGACCAGGGTTCAATTCCCTGCTCGAGAGATTGCCTTTTTGCACGATGAGCGATCTTTTTGCGCGATGTACGGTCTTTTCGCACGATTGGCAACCTTTTTGCTGGGTAAGGGTGTATTGTTAGTGTCCGTCGGGGCGGAGAACGTGTATTGGCAAGCCGGTGGGGCACCTCTCGACCAATCGAAATACCAGGAACCAGGGTGCAGCGAAATCATGCAACAGCTGGACAACTACAACTAAGTTTAGTATAGGAATCTTGTCCCTAAATTTTGCGCTGTATACGCCTTGCGTGCACTTTAACAAATTGCAACTGTGTAGTTTTGCGGCTTGTAGGAGCCACAAAGAGTGTAACTTACTTCCCGCTTTTGCAGTTGACCGAGGGCACCACGGCTTTTGACACTAGCTTCTAGCGAGATGCTGTCATGATGCAATCCATCCGTCGCAAAGATAACATGAGTTGAGCTTCCGCTTCCATGTCTCGCCACACTTTTTGCTCGCTGTTGTCCCCTCACTCTGAACAGCCATGATACATGGCCTGTTCGCTCTACGGAGAGCACAAGCCAAAAATGCCAGCTCACGGCTGCTGACGTCCGCCTTCGCCCCCGCGCGACCACTTACACAACCACTTTGTCGTCGCCTGCAAACGCAAGCATGGGAACCTCTACGCCCTCCAAACCCCGCCGACCTGCCCAAGCCAAGGCCTCGAAAGATCAAGCCGCCTTTTCGCCGCCGCAAATGGGTGCGCCGCCTCGCTGTCCTATCTGCGTTGCTCGGCGCCGGGTATCTGGTTGACAGGCAGTTATATGCTTCAGCAGTTCTACGCAGTGCGCGCACGTTCAAAACTGGCCTCTTGATTGGACTTGACTACAAGATTAACTTTCGCGCCAATCCACCGTTGGCGAAGAGTATCGAGGCGCTGCACGCACGCAATGCGGAGAGGATCTTCGACTTGCTGAGGTACAATGGCGGACTGTATCTGAAGATTGGGCAGGCGATCGCCATGCAGAGCGCTGTGCTGCCACCTCAGTTCCAAAAGATGTTTGCCAAGATGTTCGACGACGCGCCGCAGAACGAATGGGCAGAGGTCGAGCGGGTCATACGCGAGGACTTTGGGAAAGGTGCCGAGGAAGTGTTTGGCGTGAGCTTCAGCAAAGAGGAGGGCAAGGGCATCATGGAGAAGACAGCGCGAGCGTCTGCCAGTGTGGCCCAGGTACATTGGGCGAGACTAGCGGACGGTAGAGAGGTTGCCATCAAGATTCAAAAGAGGGAGATTGCACAGCAGGTTGGGTGGGATCTGTGGGCTTTCAAGGTTGTGGCGAAAGTCTATACTTGGTGGTTCGGCATCCCTGTCTACACCCTCGTGCCTTACATCTCAGAGCGTTTGATGCTAGAGACAGACTTCGAGAACGAAGCAGATAACGGCGAGGAGATGCGACGACTCGTCTCTGGCGAGAAGCGACTGAATGGTCGAGTCTACATACCGCAGGTCTACAGGGAACTCTCCAGCAAAAGAGTCATGACAGCTGAATGGATCGAAGGCGTGCGACTCTGGGACAAGGAAGGCATCACAAACAGCTGGCGGGGTGGATGGCGTCAAGGCAGTCCAGGAGCAGGCGGTACCCAACTACCAGCCATTTCGAACCACGATACCAAACTCGATACACACGTTCCAGAGGACGCGCCGAGAAACGAGTTTCTCAAACCAGATCGCACCTCGTGGCGCGGAAGAGAGGGTAAAGGCGGCCTCGGTGTCTCTCTAAAAATCACGATGCAGACCATTGTCGATCTCTTCTCCGCTCAAATGTTTCTCTGGGGCCTTGTCCATTGTGATCCACACCCAGGCAACATCTTCATCAGACGTTTACCTTCCGGCAAACCCGAGGTAGTACTCATCGACCACGGCCTGTACATCCGCATGAACCCAGAGTTTCGCCATCAATACGCGCTTTTCTGGAAATCTTTGCTCGGCTTCGACAACGAAACAATCAAGGACATTGCAACGAGCTGGGGCGTTGGAAATCCTGACATATTTGCCTCGGTGACACTCATGCGACCTTACCAAGGTGGCGATAACCACACGCTAAACGAACTGAAGAAGGGCGTTACAGGGAAAGACCAACAGGAGCGTGCATTTGCAATGCAGGTCAAGGCGCGCGATGGCATCAAGCAGATCTTGGGTGACGACGACAAGTGGCCACGCGAGCTCATCTTCATTGGGCGGAATCTGAGAATCGTGCAGGGCAACAATCAGTTCCTCGGCTCGCCTGTCAACCGAATCAAGATCACTGGTCTGTGGGCATCGAGGGCACTGGCTGAGAGCAAGGATTTGGGGCTGAGTGAGCGGTGGACTAATTGGGTCAAACACTTGAGGTTCAGGTGTGTGCTTGTGCTAAGCGACGTCGTGTTCCTATGGAGTAAGGTCAGGCAGAAGCTCGGTGTGGGGAGAGGTATGGAGGATGAGATCGAGGACAGGATGAAGGTCATGGCTAAGGACTTTGGTGTCGATCTGAACCATGGCGTCTTTGAGGGCTAAGTGGCTTGGAGATGGATTCTGGAGATGTAATGTATTGTGTATTGATGCAAAGTTACTTCTTTATGAGATACGAGAAATGATGTATATCAAACTTGATCACACACTTTGAAGCTTGCAAAGACACGTTCACTGTCGTCAAACGATGAACCCACATAAGCAGATTACCGAAATCGCGCTCGACACGTCCCCTCCACAGCATACACGCGAAACTGACTCGACAACGTCGCGCCCCACATTTTCCCCGATTTCGCACTGGACCGAGGCTACATCGCAAGCTTACTTACACCCGTGCACATCTCAGCTTATATCACCAGAAGCTTGCCCAAGCGACTACCACTGCACAAACATTCTCTCACACCACATCACCATTCCCTCACACCCCTAAAACAACCAATCCCGAACCAACAGAAGCCAAACCTCAGCAGCCAAACACGAAACAAACCGCAAACATGACGTCTACGGCAGATTACTCGGACATCAAGTTCGAAATCAAGAACAAGATCGGAATAATAACTGTGTGTACCGATCATCACACCGTTTTCAATTCGTTATCAGTCTGACGAGCCTGATAGTTCAACCGCCCGAAAGCGCTGAACTCCTTCGGCGGCAACATGGTTCCGGACATCATCGCCGCGCTGCGTGTGCTGAATGAGCACCCGGAGACCATCTTCACCGTGATAACGGGCGAAGGGCGGTTTTTCTGCGCGGGCGCGGATGTCAAGGCCTTGGGGTCAGATACGGTATGTGTTTTGTCTGATGATTAATTGGTTGGGAATGAGGGTTAACAGAGTGGCAGGCGGCAGTGTATAAGAACGTTGGGGAGAAGAAGATTGCGCTTACGGGGCGGTTTACCTCTGGTGAGTTTTGGCGTGTTTCTTTTCTCATCTTTGGTGTTGGGGCGAGTGTTTTGTGGGCGAGAGATGACCACGGATATGCATGTTTTGACATGCTATTCTCTATCCCCTGCACGATTTCATACACTAACCCATCTCCAAGCACTCGAACTCCTCCGTTCCATGATCGACCACAAAAAGGTCCTGATCCTTGCTCTCAACGGCCCTGCAGTAGGCGCCGGCGCCGCTTGGTTTCCCGGTATCGCTGATATCGTGCTTGCGTCCTCAACTGCATGGCTGCAGTGCCCATTTAGTGCTTTGGCCCTCGTGCCCGAAAACGGATCGGCCTTGTCCTTTGCGCAACACATCGGTATCCACCGCGCCAATGACTTTCTCATGTTCGGGCGCAAACTATCCGCGCAGGAGCTGCTGGACGCAGGAATGTATAACTACGTATGGGATGCCACTGGCGACGCATTCCAGACCAAGGTGGTGGAGTTTCTGGCGGGGCAATTGGAGGTCAACGATGGCAAGAGTATGATGGAGATGAAGCGGTTGCAGAATGCTCCGATACGAGATGCGAGAATGATTGCAGTGGTGAACTCGATTGACGCGTTGGCGGAGCGGTTTGTTGAAGATGCGCCGACGAAGCGGTTTGAGGCGAAGAAGAAGGCGATGGAGGAGAAGAGCAAGGGCAAGTCGAAGCTTTGATTGGCAATTTCGTGCGAGAAAATGTCGATTTCTGCGTTGATAGAAGTAAGCTAATCTCGTCTGCTCTCTCTCTGCCTCTTGCTGTGATATTAATCGTCTTTTTCTCACGATCATACACGCGGCTTCAACGGCAAAGGCTCTCTGGGAATGCCAATTGCAGCAAGGATAGAGTCGAGCTTCTCAGGCTGTGAGCGTAACGCATCCCACTCTTCCTCGTGCTTGACCATCATCGTACCTCCCAGTGTAGTACCATTTAGCGCCACAAACCCAATCTCACTGCCATCCTGACGTCGGAGCATGGCGCCTTCGCTTCGTCGTGGTAGAATGACCATACCGGACATGGTCATGGCGAGGTTGTAGCTTATGGGTAGCTCGCTTTGGTTGGTAGAAGTTAAAGCGAGCTGGTCTGGGTTAGCACGAATGAAGTCGTCGACCACTTCTTTCGCTGCGTGGTAGAGTTCGTTGTAAACGTCAAGTAGCTGTGCGCCCGACGGTTCAGCAGCAAACTTCCGAGCAAAATGCGAGAAAGGTAGAGCAGAATGCTGTAACAGGCCAGATCCCGAATCTGCAACCCACATTAGCCATATTTTCCTCTGCAAACGCGAGCGTACCCACCTCCACCATCCTCCAGAATACGATCAATCAGCAATTCCCACCCCGCAGCCACCTCACCATCCCGCATACCCTCCAACGGCAAAAACTGTAAATGCCTATGCGGCTGGCTCGCTCCGCTATGATCCCCGGAGTTGAAGAATGCAAACAAACGCTTCTGATTGCTCCCTTCATGCCACGCCTTCAAGCAAGCGTACGTAGCCTCCAGGTCATCTTGCTCCAGCGCATGTGTTTGTTGTTTGTTCGATTTTGTGGCGAGGATGAAGTGTCCCGCTATGACAGGGAATTTGTTGAGGACGAGTATGTGGCTCGGATTTGTGGTAGGAATGTCTACGAGGTGGAGCGCTGGCGGGGGATCGGCGAAGGGGTCGAATTGTTTCTTTGGTGTAGCATCGTGCTTAGGCGTGGGCTTCTTTGCGAGCGACGGACAATAGCGCAATTGAAACTATGATGTTGTGGTGAGCTTTGATTTGGAGACGAGCTTGGGAGTGGTTACTGGAATGCCGGTTGACGTGCGAATTATCGCGAGCTCTGTTGGCGAAAAGAGCAAGCTCGAGGTTGCCTTTGCCGACTTGAATTTGGCGTCCACCAGGCTAGGCAGCGATTCAGAGAGACCGAGAAGCATGCTCATAGGGTTAGAGTCAATGGATGCGGAGAGGAGATCAGGTGTTGCGTAACTTGCTAGCAGTTCACATGTGCAGCCCACTAAGGACGGCGGTAAGCTTTAATCACGGAGTTAGCGCGTACGCCAAAGTCTTGATCAAATGTCAGACCTCAACGCTCAACACCACAATCATCGCCCATAAAATATCATCATCAGATTCCATTTAGTTTTCATTGACACCGACTATTTTGAACACAAGAGTCGAAAGACTCGCCCAGATGACCTCCCCACTCGAGTTCTGAGCCAACGCGCTTTGCAGCAGTACCCATCTACGATCTTTGCGCCTATGCAAAGGAAGGAAGAACAAAACCCACAATCGTATAACAAATGTCGCTAACAAGACACGGTGAATAAACCCAAAGGTTGTACAAATTGAAGAAGACAAAACGTTCAAGGGCAACATAGAACAAATCAGGACATGCCAGTCAAATGCACCGTGCAGATGAGGAGGAAGAATATCTGACGCAGCCTCGAGGAACAAATGGCATGAAAACCCATGATACTGAGATCAAACACTCTGGAAACAAAAGTCAAAGAGATAGTCGTGTACATGAGAGTAGAACAAGGTCCAACACAAGGCGTGGGAGATCGAACAAGTAAAGGTCGAGAAAGTCCAGCATAGAGACATCGAGATCCGGTACGTAGCTTCAAGACGCGACCACTTGAACACTGAGAACATATCGGATGTGTCGACACATTTAACCTCGCTCCATTCGAAGTCGTTGCGTCATCGACCTCGGCGGTCTGCTTCAATCTCAATCCACTTCTTTTTGCACGTCGCATTTCCGAAATGGTACGTTCCGCCATTAGTGTCGATGTAATCGGCGACCTTCTTCCACTGGACCTTGCTGAGTTTTGAGTCGTGGTTGAGCCCATAGCCATGAGCAGTCTCGACGCGGTTGATTTCTTGGATGACGGCTTCTCGTAGCAAGACAACCTTCTCATACATTAGCGACAAAGCCTTCTCTGGAACGCACATCTTTAGACTCACATCATTCTGAGTCCAAACCGGCTTCCGCACGCGATGGCCCTTTGGCTTGGTCAACGAGCGGTAGCGACCTCTCAACGTCGATTCGGCAACGTTCGTGTGCATCCTCTTCCGGATCTCCTTATATGTCAGGCCTAGAACATCCTTCCCTTCGATGAGGATCTTGTCATCACTCTTTCGTAGGGCTTGCGAATCGTTTCGAGGCATCTGTAGCCCATCGTGGGTGGTAACGTTGTTACACAGTGACCTGTATTGCGACTGTGCGTTACTGCTGTATGTCGGAAACGTGCTTCTCTGCGAGGCAAAAGAAGTTATTCGGGGGACTTGTGGCGTGGAAGAAAATCCCGAAAGATCGCTTAGATACCCTGGCGGGTACCATGGAGTAGCACCCGGACTGATCTTGTACGAAGACGGCTGTTCCGAGCCGAAGTGTTTGCTGTGGTCAAACGACAACCCAAGTGTATGCCCCTGTTCTGCTTCGGTAGTTGTTATTGGTAGATCGATACCCAAGCTATGTTGCGGGAGCCCTGAGAAGTCGAAGTCGGAGGAGCCTGCATCGTTGCGGAGTGCGCGGGACGTTGTCTCTGGCGTGGATTCTTTCAGTAGTGCATACCTCTCGAAGTCCGGCCAGCTGCTTAATGACGCCCCATTAGCCTGTCCTGGACTCAAGGCGTGTAACTCTGACGCCACAGTCTCGCTGAAGAAGCTCCTCGGCGAGGTTGAACTGATCGTATCAAGATCTGAGCTGATGAGGCTCATGTCACCATGATGTGCTCTACTCGCTCCAGGAGGCACCCAAGATGCTTGACCACCGTTGTACTCAATCCCGCTCTTGCTGGCCATATTCTGCGACGTTGCCATGTCCTCGAACGCGAAATCGTTGCTCATGAGTTCATCTGACTCTGGCATAATGAGAGGCTCCATCGACAGAGCGCCGTTCCATGCAAAGGCGCTTTCGGATGGACCCCAGTATTGACCTTGCGATGTAGGGGGTACGGCCGCAGTTGATCGATACTCTCGAGGGAATGCTTGCGGATGCCGCCAGGTTTGAGCCTGCAAGTGACTCTCGGGTCTGTACTGGCATTGCTAAAGATGTTAGCTTACATCTAGGAATCTACAAGACTGGCCTGTTTCTATACTCACTAGCAGTGGTTGCGCCATCGAGTGTTCGTGCAGGATAGTATTGCTGGGCTGTGAGTTCGCTGTGGACGTGCAGTTGAAGAGAAACCGAGGTTGCAACTGATATGGGAACGACTGTCGAAGGTCTTGCTCGTCAAAGCCAGGCTGTCGGTGAAGTACGTTTTGCGACATGGCTGGCATCTGCGCTTTAATAAGGTCGCCAGTACCCAACAATACTGCAACAGCCCCACCACGCTGCCGTGAATGTTGGTTTGTCGCTAACTCTTCAAGCGCAAGCTCAGGGTGAAGGGAGTTTTGGTATTTGGAGGAGACGTGTGCCGGTCAGGATGCTCTAATCATTCACACTGTGGGGCTGTACCATCTGCTGGGTAGGTTGACCGCTTCACACAGATACTTGGGTAAGCGGTAAGATCGCGGGGGGAGGCAGAACGTGTGGATATCTTGGTCGACCAGACAGCGCGTACTTCTTGTCGAGGTCTGTGAATGGACCGATGATGCGGAGAAGATGAGGTTCGGCCTCGTTATCTATACTGTAAGACCTCACAGAGCTCCTAGTCGATACGTATCAGCAGCCTGCGCTAATTGGGTAATAGATATGTGAAGAGGCCTCACTAGTACGCCACGAGAGCTTCAGAAAGACTGGCCTACAGCGGCAGGCAATGATCGCATGTGCACGCAAACACACTAACAAGATATCTGTGACGTGACTCGTGGAACGAGTCCTTTGGGCAGAACGCGCGGGTTGACGTGCAAGGAGGAAAGACAAAGTGCAAGAGAAGGCCAAAGCCACTGGAACAATACGATTATGGTATGACCTGCCCTGGAGGGAGCAGGTCTGTGGTTTAAATCTCAGACACTGCAACACCTTTCCTCATCATAATGGCTGCCGTTTGAACACCCCATGTCTCTACCACGGTACCGGAAGGAAGTGCCTGAGCTCCCCGGGTAGGCCCAGTGCCCTTAATCATAACAACTCTGTATCCGACACGGGAGGAGATCGGGCTGTTAGTATTGGCTATTCTATATCATCCGCGCCATTATGTCCATTACGCCCAGCATCCTGAACAGCAAGCACAATACTCATCAAGCACAACGAAACAGTGACGATAACTCTAGATCTTCAACGTGGCTAGCTCGCGAGTGAAGGCATATACTCAGCCTTGCTGACAGCGATAGCATCAAGCTCACGTCGCGGCAGTTGACCTATCGGCTATCAGCTGTAAAGCTCAAGCCATCGAAGATTGCTCTTCTGGTGCTAGCTGAGCTGGCGGAAAACTTCTCTGTCGTTTTGTTTGGCTGCCGTAGACAGGCGAACGGCTGTTTGCATGAAAATCCCTTGGCATCAAGCCATCACCTTGTCAGTACCTGGCAGAACAGCTGAGCAGTCATGGTGTCCATGTTTTGCAGAGACTTTACTGCACCAATCTTCTTTGACGTAAGTACTCGATCATTGGCAAGCATGGTACGTGTGTGGCTTGCAGTGAGCTACACGATGGCACAACTCACTTCTCACACATCAGGTCGGCAACGCCCCATTCCGCCGGCTTGGGTCTATAGCTATGCAGAATTACGAGAAAGCCCTACACAAGTGTCTATCAACACACGCCACACCTGCCAGCGGCTGTGCATATTTTCGTCTTCCACATCTACGACCTACGATGTTACTCCACAAACTTTGATAGTGTCTCCGGTTCCGCCTCTCTATAAAGCGGACGCTCGCAGTCAAGTAGCCATCTACAGCTAACATGGCTATCGTAGCACGGAACGTGTAAGACACGAATGATATCCGCTCAGGCTATCCACTCGGACGAACGACAGTACCTTTCTGACAGGTCGAGACAGATAACGGAGCCTCTCATGTAGCCAATGTCGGGACGTTGCTATCCGTCCGGTGGCAAGAGATTTACACATGGTGCGCATCGAGAGTCGCACAAGACGATCCCTGCGTACTGCAGTCTGCAGCGTATGTGCGAGGACCAACAACAATACGACACGGAGGCTCTCGAATGCAGGATACTCGAGTTTGCAGAGGTGTTGGAACATTGAGCGAGTATTGCCAGATGAGTGGAAACATTCTTCTCGAAACTTTGGCCTTGCCTGCAGATGCATTCACCAAGCCAATTCCTGCAGTCTCATGCAATTCTTGGGCATCCATCTCCTATTTCCTCACGCATTGGTCTAAATGCAAGTCTTCCACTACGCATACTCCATTGTCCAGGTTCTTTCAGATCTTCGCCTTCGCTTGCTCCGGCGCCACCAGCCGCACGTCTTGCCATGGCAATCCCAGATATTCCCACATGAAGTGGAACCTATGTCGCATCGTTAGCCTGCCCCACATCTTTGTCGCCATTCGTTCGTCGCGTTTTATGGTTCGCATCTACTCTCAAACACCTTCCCCGGCCGCGAAGGAAGCTATGCTAAACATGGCTGTACCTATGAAGAGCAGGGATAGAGCTGGATCTGAACGGTACGTACCTGTCACTTCCGAAAAACGGCTCCTCCTCTCCTTTCGAGTTACGCACCCAGAACCACGGGCATCCAAACGCACCACGGTCAAGAGCTTCTTTGGTGTTGTCGTTCAGACGCTGCTTATACGGGGCACTGTTTGCGTTCTCCATGATCTGCCCCACTTCATCTTCCTTGAACCGATCTCGGAGTACTTGGGCGAGTAGCTCGGGTTTGCTGACGTCCAAACCTATCTCCCACATGCCACGAAATACGTCGAGAAAAGCACACACAAAGGCCTGGGGATGCGTTTCCTTAATGTACCCAAGTGCTCGCTGAGGCAGGAGTGATAGGATGGGAAAGAACGATGGGGTCTTAGTATTTGGCACACCGAAATACTGTTTCGCCCTCGCACTGTCGTACTTGCTGTATGCACCTTTCGCGGGGAGCGTCCACGGCGGCTTGTTGCCTGCATGGCGCCGTTAGAACTGAATTGATAGTGCGTGGGATATCCTAATTTAGGTGTGGGGTGGGATCGGGAGAGCCGTTACCGCTGCCGACATTGATACCCCCTAGGAAGACGGGAACTATGCTATTTTCCTGTCAGTGGCTGTTCATTGAGAGACCGCGAGGGCGGAAGAGGTGAGGATCATGTGATAATGACACTAATGTCGTCATTAAGATGATAGAGCATGGATTTAACACTCACTCAATCTCCACATTGTGCAACGCAAGTACCTCTCGATTCTTTTCAAGATGGAGCAGAGCAAAGTACGAGTAAGGTGATACTAGTCAAGGTTAGCTCTGTATGGTCGATGCTAGGTATCAACTACCGTACCACAATCGAGATAGCACGTAATTTTGCTTGACATTATCGTCATTCTTCCGCTAACAGGATGTTGAGAAACCAAACTTTTGGATCAAGCGCCGTCGAGTAGTCTTAAGCTCGAATGGTTGATCCTCCTTACTTGTGACGTCTTGGCAGCCGAGGTTCAAGACCGCAGCTGAGCTCCATCACTAATCACCTCCACCTCCTCGGTCACACATGGAATTATCCTAGGTACTCCGCATATAGACGTGGCTGCGTACAGATATCGGTATGAAGCTCATAAAGTCGCTCGCCGGAAGCTGAAGTACCGTTACTCCCTATAACGTTGCGAATCGCGGGAAATTGACACTGTACCTACGCGAAGTAACTCACAAGCTCCAGTAACATGACGACGTCAAGTAGACAGGTCGCCCTCGTCGTAGGCGCTTCCAGAGGTATTGGGAGGCAGATCGCCATTGACCTGGCTAGAGATGGGTATGCAGGTCAGTACTCTTCCACCAACACGACTATTACCAGGAAAACTGATTATTTCCCAGTCGCCGTCGCAGCGAAAAGCACTTCCGATGCCTCACAAACACACCCATTCCCTCCCGATCCCAACTCAAGTGAATCCACCGTAAGCACCGTTGAGCGCGAGATCCGCGAAGCCGGCGGCGAAGCAACAGCAATTAACGTCGACACCCGCGACTTCCCAAGCATACAACGCATGGTCGACCAGACTGTCGCAAAGTACGGGCGTCTGGACGTACTCGTTTACAACTCCGGTGCGATATGGTGGGCCAGCGTGGAGAAGACGCCTATGAAGCGATTCCAGCTCATGCAAAGGGTCAATGTAGAAGGCTTGTACGGCACGATTCAAGCTGCACTCCCCCAATTCGAGAAGATTGGGTGGAAAGGACGTATCATTGTCGTCAGCCCGCCGATATACTCGCGCTTTTTCCGGGGCAAAACGGCCTATGCAATGGGAAAGGTCGCTATGAGTGTGCTCACGCAAGGCCTGGCCATGGATTTCGAACGTGAGGGCAAACGCGACATGGCGATTACTAGTATTTGGCCTGCTACCGCTATCCAGTCTGCTGCGACGGAGAAGCTGGCTCGAGAAGATGCGAGCGATCTGAGGAAACCGACTATCTTCTCGGACGCGATTCTTGCTATGATTCGTGCGCCGGTGGCTGATGTAAATGGGTGTTTAGAGCTTGACGAAGACTTTTTGAGGAAGAGAGGCGTGAATGAGTTCGGGGGGTACAGTGTAGTGCCCGGGTCGGAGCCAAGGAGGATAATGCCAGAGCACTTCCCCGATCTCACGGTAAGGGAGCAGGATGACGAGGGGCGGAGGATGGACAGTACCAAGTTGCGGGTTTCCAAGCTATGACTGACCTATCGTTTGTTAATCAAGGCATCAAGGCATTCAACGAACACGAAGCTGGACATGATTTCCTTCATCTATCATATGAACTGGCATGATCCGTTTCGAGGCGACGAAGAAAGCGATCGAGGTATCTGGCAGTATCAAGATGAAGGCGTAAGCAGCAAACGGGAGAAGAAGCGAAGCTCGAAACATGTTGTCACACGTAGAGACGCGCCGCAGTTTTTCTGACGGGATCGAAAGGCTTCGCGCATGTTGTTTCATGATATTCTCCTGCTCATCGCATGGTCCTTCCCTGCTTACCGTTTCCAAAGCTCTGCGTGTAGAAGCTTCGAAGCAGAAGGTGGCCCCCCTCGTCAACGCTTTCCTCTGTGAATGCCTCTTTCTCCGTTTGATAAAGCCCCAATGTATCCCAGGACTCTCAACCACTGTCCCACCTCTTCGTGTATTGCTTTCCATTCATTATCATCGACCACAGTACTCTGAGCCAGCATGGCTGAACACGAAAACATTCTGGATTTCCTCCAGAACGGCGTAGAGGCCGTCGAGTGTCCCATCTGCCTGTGAGTAAAGCCATGACATCACCGCGGAGTATAGCAAACAAAAGCTAACTCCCACCGTGTCTTCAGGGAGGGAATCTCCAACGGCGCTCCAGGGCCCAACGCTCTGATCCGCATTTGCGCGTGTAGCCACCAGATGCACATCCGCTGTCTCGTGCGCTGGCTGACCCACACGCCCTGCGACAAGAAGTCGTGTCCGATCTGCCGAGAGCCGTTATTCGACGACTTGACGACGCCGACCCAAAGAAGTGCAGCGCTGGAGATCGAACTCAACATCCTGACTGCCATCGCGGCGAACCGCATCGCCGACGGCGGCGTCCTACACCTCCCACGGACAGCACACACGATGGCTACCGCGACGACAACTGGTTCTTCGTCCGCCACACACCCACCATCCGTTCTCCCCCCTTTCCCCGCCGCACCGCCAGCGCCAGCGCCAGCCCCGCCAGCCACACAGCTACCTTCCCTCCTTCCCCCCTTCTCCACCGTACCGTCAGCGCCAGCACCCTGGCTCGCAAACCACAACGCCGCCAGCGCGCAAATACCACATTCCACCTCACACCACAACAGCAGCAGCGCCCAAGCCACATCCTCCACAGCCCCAGCCCCCTACCCAAACACAACCCCCTACACCGCGCCAAACCCACAAATGGGGGGATACCGCCCCACGCCCGCCTCAACATACGCCTCGCCCTACAACACCCCGCAATACAGCGCCCCGCAATACACCGCTCCCCAATACAGCGCTCCCCAGTACAGCGCCCCTCAATACAACGCCCCACAATACAACGCCCAACAGTACAACGCCGTCCCCGCCATGGTAGGCGGCCAGGCGGGCTATATCATGCAGACGCCATATAACCCCTACACCGCACCGTACCCGTATCAGTATCAGTATCAGCAGGGGCAGGGCCAGATGCCGTGGGGTGCGCAGTCTGGACCTAGTTCGCAGCCGGTGGGTGGGCTGCAGAGTGGGTATGCGTCGCAGAGTACGGGGGCGGGGAGGCCGCGGGAGGAGGGTGGGGCGCAGGTTAAGCGGGAGGAGGAGGAGGAGGAGGAGTATTAGGGGCTTTGAGATGGTGGTGTAAAGGAGGTGGATGGCTGGGGGTGAGGGGAACGATGACTGGAGGGAAGGGGATAGGAGGGTTTTGGGCAGAAGGCAGGAGATGGTGGTTCCCCTTTGGTTGGCTGGCTGGCTTGTTTTGTCTGGACACTTATTTTTGTGGATGACGTTGACTAGGGATATGTCTTGACTACCGGTAGTCCAACGATATCGAATAGAAAACAATGCCAAACTTGCAGCATGTTTCCACTTAGCTCAACTTCTTAGTGTAAAGTGAAGTCCTACTCACATCAAGACCCGGTCCGGTGCTGGATGGGTGGGGGGCATGAGTAAATCCAACGAATATTAACACGCACCTCGGCTACACGTTGCGTTGCATTGAATCGAATCGAACCGGAAGATATACACATACACATACACATCTCATCGCTTCTCCACACGTTGCGTACAGGACAACAAACCCACCCTCTGTTTTCTTTCCCACCTATGTCTCGATGAAGTGAAACCGTGTGAAAAGCCCCATCCCTCACCGCTGCGCGAAAAAAGCCCGCCAACCACCCTCCTCATTCCAATTCCATCTACGCAGGTTGATATTTCCTCAGCTACATAAAAATTAGCATTGATCCCCAAAAACAACAAGCAAAGCAAAAAAAAAACACGAAATAGAAGACTTACATCCAAACTCAAATACTTGCTCGTCATCCTCCCCTGATCCCGCATAACGCCCACCAGCGTCTCACTCTCCTGAAAGAACCCGGCCTTGAGGCTAATAACGATAAACTGCATCCCCGGACTAGCATGTTCACGTACGTATTTCGCAACACGGCTCACATTCACGTTATCGAGCGCGGCGTCCACTTCATCGAGGACGAAAAAGGGGCTGGGCTGGTAGCTATGAATCGCAAACAGCAGCGCGAGGGCGGCGATAGTTTTCTCTCCGCCGGATAGGTGCTCCATATCGCGAAATCGTTTGAGAGGCGGCATGGCGTGGTACTTTAGCCCTGCGAGATAGGGCTCGGTCGAGTCTTCCATGTCGAGGTACGCCTGCCCGCCTAGGGGGAACTGGGGGGATTTCGTCAAGTCTTTGTACGTGCCGCCGATATTTTCCGAGATGTGGTTGAAAGCTTTCATGAACAGGTCGTGGCGCTTTTGCTTTACGTCCTCGAAAGCTTTTTTCGCGGCGGCGGCGCGCTTGCGGGTATCGGCGAAGTGGGCGTCGACGTCTTTGAGGCGGGCTTCTGTGGCGGTGAGGCGCTCGGCGGCGCGCATGTTGGGCGTGGCTTTGTTGATGTCGGTTTCGAGGTTGGTGATGTGGTCGGTGAGCTTGGATTCTGCTTCTTTGAGGGCGGTGAGGGCTTGGGTTTGCACGGTGTCGTCGACGTCGTCTTCCTGGGGGGGTTGTTAGTTTTTGCGGATGGCGGAGGGGGTTAGGGGGGGTTACGCTTTCGAGGATCTCTATTATCTCGTTCCGGAGCTCGTCGTCTAGTTCTTCGAATTCGACGGTGATGCCGTAGTCGTCTACTTCGGCGGTTTGGATTTGCGTCGCGTCGGGATCCTCGTCGATGTCCATGGCGTCTGTGTCTGGGCGGGCCATGTCGGTCATTGGAAGGGAAGTCAACGGGCTGGATTCTGCGGTGAGTGGGATGCCGATCTCATTCACTCTGCACTCTTTGAGCGTGTTGTAGCGGTTCGTCGCACAGGTCTTGATCTTGGCATCCTCATTATCCACTTCCCTCAAGACCTTCTTGACCTTTTCATTCCGCTGATCCAAGACACGTCGCGCTTCCTTGACGGCGGCGGCTCGTTCAGTGAGCTTGTTGTCCAGCTCCTGTCGTTTCTCTTGCAGCTCTTCCAACTCGGCCATCAGCACATCTCGGGTGTTCTGCAACTCCTCCTGCTTCTCCTCCAGCTCGGCGATATCGGCGTTCTTGCGCTCGATCTCGTCCTCTGCTGCCTTGAGACGCTCTTCCATACCCCGAAGCGACGATTCGTGCTGCTTCATGATAAATTGGAGTTTGCTGCGATGTGTGGTGTATTCGAGACGTTGCTGAGCAGCCTGTTGCTGAACGGTACCTTGCTGTGCTTCGTAATCCCGGATAGATTCGTATCCCAACCGCTGGCAAAACGCCGCGAAAACTTGGTCAGTGACTTGGTCGACTGCATCTTGGAAACGTTTGAGTTCGTCCTCCCGATTCTGCAGTCGCTGTGCCTGTTTCTCGTAGTTTGGTCGCGTTCCTCTCAACTGCTCCTTTGAGTTGGCCAGCTCTTTCTTCAAGCTCTCGATATTGCGACTGAGCGTATTGGCCTCCCCTTGGGCGCGTGTGATCTGCTCCTGAAGATCGTTGAGCTCGACCTCCAGAGCTTGCTCCTGTTGCTGGTAGCGATCGAGCTTGGGAAGGGCGGCAAGTTCTTTCTCGAGCTTCTGCCTCTTGTCGAGGAGAACCTGGTAGGATCGATCGTCCCAGGTTTGTTCGCCCCGGTCGTCGTCGTACTCGAGTTCACCACCAGTCTGTGTGCCGCCCTTGCCTATGACACGGCCGTCAAGCGTGACTGCCTTGGCTTCAACATGTCTCACATACCGAAGCTCCTTCGCAATCTGTTCCGTGTCGCAGATGATGGTGCTTCCACATGCGGCGGTCATGGCTCGGTCGTACTTGGAATCGAAGTTGATGCAGTCACTGGCAAGGCGCATGCCCTTGTGCATGCCCTTCAGCTGGGGGTCAACAGCCTTGATTTGAATAGAGTCCAGTGGGCTGAACGACATGATGCCAATTTTTCCTTCTTTGAGGTACTTAATGCACTCTTTGGCGGTGGCCTCCGTGTCGACGATAACAGTGTTCATTTGGTTACCAAAGACTCGACCCACAGCCTTGCGGTACTTTTGCTGCTTGGGCGTCATGAGGTCCTTGTATGTGCCGTGGACCTTGTCGTGGCCAATTCGAGTCTTGAGCTTCTCGATTGTCGTGCGCATTTCTCTCTGCTTTTTCGACTCTCGACGGCTGCTCTCGACGACGTTGAGTTGCTTCAGCGCCTCCTGCAACAGCTGGTTCTTTTCTTGGTACGTCGACTCAAGTTGTTGGCGTTCGGATCTCAGCTTGGCTAGTTCTTGCTGCTTAGCAGCCCTGGACTTCTCGAGCTCTTTAATGTGTGCCTTTGACTCTCGTTGACGTTCCTCTAGCTGGTTGATCTCTCCGGTAAACCTCTCCACCGCCCTCTCGTGAGTGTCGACGTTTTGCTGCAAGTTCCTGACGTGGTCCCGATCTGTGTCAACTTCCCGCTTGAGTTTGTCGCAGTTCATCTGGTCGCTGTGGGTTTGCTTTGTGACATCAGCGCGCAGCTTGTTGTACTCTTTGACGTCCTGCGCAGAGAGGTCACGACCTTGGCGCTGTGCAGCGGCCTTGAAGTCGTCTTCCCACTTTTGCTCGGCCTTTTGCACGCGATCCAGGTCCTTTTGGTATTTCTGAATCTCTTGAGCTTCTGTGTCGCGTTGCTTTCTCAGACCTGCAATCTTGCTCTCGTACTTTTGGCGGGATTCCTTGGAGAGGCGAATCTTCTCTTCAATCGGGGCGAGTTCGTTCGAGGTGTCTTCAATCTCCTTTTGCTTGACTTTGATGCTGTGGTCGGTCTTGGTGACGTTGCGCTTGATCTTGGCCTCTGCCTGCCTCTCCTGCTCGTGCTTTTGGTGGTACTTGTCGACGCTGCGTTTGTGCTCCTTGAGCTCTTCTTGATGGCTCGCGATCTTGTTGCGGGCCTTCTCCATGGTCTGCTGGTAGAGGAACAGCTTCCACAGCGTCTTGGTGACGACGGCTTCGTCGCGCTCGGCCAGCTTCGCCTCGTACTCGTCGGCTTCGGTCTTTTGCTCCTGGTACGTCTTGAGCTCGCCGTTGATGCCGCGACGCTCGTGGAGGTGCTTGGCGTTGTCTTCGGTGGCGGCCTCGGACTCGGCCTTTAGCCTGTCGTAGTCGGCCTTCTTCTCCAGACTGCCCGAGATGCGTTCGACCTGTTCAGTGAGCTGATCAGGCGCCATAGTCGCAATCTTCTCGACGTCGCCCTGGAAGACGAGGAAGTTCCTGGCCTTGACCAGGATGCTGTGCTCCTCCAGCGCCTCGTTGTACTGCTTCTGGGTGACGATGCGGTTGTTGATGCGGTACTCGCTCGCGGCCGAGGGTGTGATGGTGCGCTGCCACTCGTGCGTCTGCTCAGCGTCGTCCTCGAAGACGGCCTTGACCCAGGCGTTCTGGGGGTCGTTGCGCTGGGTGCTGGGCTGCGACTCGCCGTCCTCCTGGGTGTCGGCGGCCTCGGTCACGGTGCCGTCGGCGTTGACTGTGGCGTCGCGGATGACGCGGCCGCGGTAGACCATGTCCTTGAGCTTGTCGGAGCGCAGCTGGGTCGACTTGACGCCCAAAACGAAGGAGATGGCGTCCATGCTGTTGGACTTGCCCGAGCCATTGGGGCCGATGATGGAGGTGAAGTACGAGTCGCCGAAGAGCAGCGTGTGGCGTCCGCGGTAGGACTTGAAGTCTGCGCGGGTCAGCGGGCGGGTGCAATTGCGCGTCGGGCGACATACTGAAGATCTCGAGGCGCACGAGCTTGCCCATGATGGCGGTGGAGCGCGCACGAAATGCGCTGCTGGAGGGCGAGGCGGTCGCGGTCGGGGACGAGGTCGAGGTCGAGGGTGGTGGGGAGGGCGACGGCGGTGCTGGGGATCGCGTCGGCGAGCAGACGCGTCTGGCGGTGGTGCAGCCGGCCGCCGTAGCTAGCGCCAGCCAGCGTGGATGCAATGACGAATGACGAAACTGGCACATGCATCAAGCATATTTACAAGACATCTCCCACTTTTGTCTTGGAACTGCTTCACACTCATACTGCACACACACACGTCCGCTCTCTCCATCGCATCGCCCACACACGCTGCACACGACAACTCCCTGCACGACGACGCCGTCCACTGCCAATCACCAGCGTGCATCCTCCCACGGCCTGCATCCGCGACACCGCCAGACGCACTCCAAGCAGCAAACCCAAAAGCCCCGCCTAGGCGGCAGTGTCATGAGGACAGAGAACTTGGCTTGATTTGGACACTACCACTGTACGCTCCCATCCACGACCTGCCCGCTCCTTCCTACACCGTCACCAGCACAGCACAGCTAACACGGCCAGACGCTGCCATGTCGGACCAGCCTCACCTCAAGAGCCGGTCGCAGCCAGAGCTCGGAACCTCTGGCCTCTCGTCGCGCCCGCTGCCCGTCGGCTCTACTCGCGCCGGCTCTACTGACGAAGGAGCCCCGTCTCCCTATGGGCCCGTCTCCACCCCCGGCCTCTCCCGCTCCAACTCGTTCTCCAACAGCTCCTACCACGATGACTCGGACGTCGACGACTCGTCCTTCTTCCCGCCCGTCGAGCGCCTGACCATGTTCGACTTCATCGAGAACCTGGCCCTCCCACAGCGCATCGAGAAGTTCCAGAACTCGATATCCTCGCAGACGGACAAGCTGAGGAAGCAGGCCAAGACCCGCGGCATCACCAAAGACCGCGTCGTCGAGGAGTGGCGCCGTCGAGTGCCCACCGAGGGCGAGCAGCTCGACCGGTACAAGCGCCGCATGCGCCAGTCGGTGGACCGCCTTAACAAACGCTGGGAGGAGTCCATCACCGTCACGGCGCGGGAGAAGGTGTCTTTCATAGCCGCCGTCATCAACATCTTTGTCTCGGGGTATCTGGTTGGACTGCATCCAGACTTCTTTCCCCACTGGTACACCGCCCAGCTGCTCTTCTTCATGCCCGTGCGCTACGTCACCTACCACAAGAAGGGCTACCACTACTTCCTCGCCGATCTCTGCTACTTTGTCAACATCCTGCTCGTCCTGAGCATCTGGGTCTTCCCGCAGTCTAAGCGGCTGTTCATATCGACCTACTGTCTGACCATGGGAAACAACGCCGTGGCCATCATCATGTGGCGCAACTCGCTGGTCTTCCACTCCATGGACAAGGTAGTCAGGTAAGCTCACGACATCCCTATCCGTGTCTGTACACACGCTAACACCTGCAGTCTCTTCATCCACATCATGCCTTGCGTCACACTCCACTGCATCGTCCACCTGCTCCCCTCCGATTACCAGCAAGAACGATACCCAGCCATCTACAACATCCGGCACTCCGACCCCTCCTCCCCCCACCACTACAGCCTCCTACAAATGCAGCTCTGGGCCACAATCCCCTACGCCGCCTGGCAACTAGCCTACCACTTCCTCATCACCGTCCGCCGCCGCGACAAAATCGCTGCCGGCCGCCCCACAAGCTTCACCTGGCTGCGCAAATCCTACGCAAAAACCTGGATCGGCAAACTCGTCCTCTCGCTCCCCGACTTCCTCCAAGAATCAGCCTTCATGTTCATCCAGTACTCCTACGCTGTCGTCACCATGCTGCCCTGCCCAGTCTGGTTCTGGTACCGCTGGCCCAGCGGCTTGTTCCTCAGCGTCGTCTTCATATGGAGCGTGTATAATGGCGCGACCTTCTATATCGATGTCTTTGGGAATAGGTTCCAGAAAGAGCTGGAGGCGCTGAAGAAGGATATTGCTAAGTGGCAGGCGTCGCCTGATGGTACTTTTACTCCGTTTACCCCGTTTACGCCGAATGAGGCGGGGACGGAGAAGCAGTTGGGGCATATACCGCCGCTGGAGGGGAGTTCGAGTTTGAGGCCTGGGGATGGGGAGGCGAGGGAGAGGAGGTAGATTGACTGCGTTTTCTAGACGGGTTTGTGGGGGTTGGATTGGGGTGGTGGTGGGTAGATTTAGATCGTTGTTAGCGAGTAGCTGGTATATCTACGCATTCACGTTCTCGTCACCTGGTCTGCAATGTCTCGCTAGTTCTTTTTTCTTCTTCATAGCTGCTTGATGACTTGGGCTTGTTTGCACTGAGTTGACATTCTCCTCTTATGCAGTGGCCTGACACGCGTCAGGATATGTTGACAGTCAGAATGTGGCTTTTGTTCAAGTTGTGCATGTTGGATAAAGGGCTGGGGTGAAATTCACTATGGTACAGTCAAGACTCCCTACCCAGAGAATCTTCTTCCAAAGACAACACTCTAAGCTGGTGGAAAGAGATCAAACTGATGGGAACAACAAAGGATTCACGAAGATTAATATATATTCCCCTAACAACCCAGGTATCATCCCAAACCCCCCTTCCCCTCCTAATCTCCAACCCCTAATCCACCATCCATCCACAACACAAACCCCCTCCCTCCACAACTACAACACCCTACCTAACCCGACTCCCCGCATCCACAGGAAACTCATACGTCGGCCCCTCGCCCTCAATCCCATTCTCATCCCGCCACTGCTTGCGATCCACAACCGACACGCCCGGCCCACGATACACAGACCCATACTCGCCGCTCGCCCACTCCTTGCCCTCGCCCTCCCTAGTCTCCTTCGTCGCCCGTCTACGATACCACTTCCCATACGCGAGAAGATAGTAAAGGCGAAAGCTCAGCAGGGCGAAGCGATCGCGCTCCAGATCCGCTGGATACACCGCGCCGAGATCGACGGCTGCAGCGATGCCGCTCATGACCGCGACTTCATGTGCGTTGACGAGCGTCCAGGCGGCTGCGAAGCGCGTGCGCTTGTGTCCCTGTAGGAGCCACATCCACGGCACGACGAAGAGGTAGTGTGTCCACGAGTGGCAGAGCTGGTGCCACCAGTCTTTTCTGATAATCTTGGTCTCGTCGATCTCGTCGATGCTCCAGAGGTGGCCGTCGCGCGCCTTGTTCAGGTAGATGGTCTGGAAGATATGCTTGTCGAAGTCGACGTCGGGCGGGAACTGCGACTGGTAGTTTGTGCAGTCGAAGCACATTTCTAGCTTGGACAGGTCCTGCGGGTACATTTTTATGTAGTACATTGGCTTGAAGATTTTCTGGGCGAGCGAGGTGCGGTGCGAGTGGTCGGTGCCGGAGAGGGAGTGGACAGCGCGTTCGGGCGTGTAGAAGTTCTCGTAGTGGTTTTTCATGTATTTCGTGTCCCAGTGCGTGACGGTTATGTCGTCGGAGAATTTTGCGGAGCCGAGGACTTGTTTTTCCCGGAAGGAGGCTGTGGGGGTGAGGATGCGTTTTGCTGTGTCGGCGCTGGGGGGTGTTAGCATAGATATGCATGAAGGTGGGAGAGAGAGGAGACACGTACAGCACGCAGAGAACTAGTTCGTCGTAGTGTTCCTCGACTTCTTTTGCATCTTCATCCGCGTTAGAATCGTCGTACGATGGCGTGGGCACCCAAGAGCTATTAGGGTTGTGAGAGTCTTTCGCCGGAGTACGCTTGATCAGCCGGACAGTAACGCCCGTCTTGTCTCTCTTCATCACTCGCGTAATTTCAGTCGAAAGCCTGACATTAACCCCACGCGACAGCAAATCTTTCCTCCATCTCTCGTAGAACTCGCTGAATTTGGGGAACACGACCATCGGCGGCTGGTCAGTGAGGATACTGTTCTGGTCCAACGGATACCACATGCCGTACGTCGGACTGGTGCACAGTCTCTCCAACACCATACTCGGCACGTTGGGCGTCTCATTTCCGGTTCCCAGGAAGAGTGCGATCATAGGCATGGCGACCGTGTTTGTGAATTCCTCGGAAAACATGAAGAGCTTGAAGAGAATCTTGATGGGCATGAGAGCGAAGAAGATTTCGAACCATCGCACAATCTTGACCACGCGGTGGAATTTCTTAATCTCCTTTTGGTGGCGGGCAAGAAGTTCAGTGGGAAACATGTTGGTCCAGAAGATATCGTCTTTGCCGAAGGAGACCTACGGATGTCAGTCAGGATGTGAGGAGCATGAATCATGACCTACCTGTAAATCTACGGGGTCGGCGTGGAGGCCCTGTCGCGCGAACATGGTCATGGTGTGGTGGAAGATGTAGCTTCCACCTTGCACGCCCTGATTCAACCAACTCGCTCCATGGCGTTCCTTGTCGATAGGGATTGAAAAGGCCTGCCCTCCGCAGTAATCAACAGCATCGATAAGAGTAACATCAAACTGGTCCGTGTGTTGAGAAAGGTGATGGGCACATGACATTCCTAGCTGTGTTAGATTCCTGCAATCGAAAACAGACAAGACGTACCAGCAGCTCCTGCTCCAACAACCAGCACCCTCTTCCTGCCAGACTTGCTTTTTCCGTTAGCGGCCGCCATATTGTTGAGGACAAAGTGGATTCACGTTCACAAGAACGTGTTGTCGGGACCGCACATCTTTTCTATCAGAGAGCTCCGAGGGCAACATCCTGTATTAGTGTACGGCGCGTCGTTGTCGACGACGCGGACGTCATGAAGTGCCCAAAGTGTGTAAGGCGATCTGGTGCTACAGATCGCCCAGACGTGGGGGCCGATCGCGCTAAGCACATCGCCAAAACGTGACATCATCAACAACAAACTTATCCACAGCGTCATGAATTGTAAGTTTGTTGAATGATATATCAGTAAATATGCTATGCCTTGTATATTGTATGAGTTGCTCTGCATGTCCGAAACTATACCTAGTAACGCTAAGCTCATGTTGAAGTATGAAAGATGAAACTCGAAATATTGAAACAACACAAAGACGGTTAACGCTAAGATATTCTAACCGACAGGGTAACTGCTTTAAGAGGAACTAGTTCGAGTTGGCAAGCCAATGGCAGGCATCTGTTTACCCGAAAAGATCAGACTTAGTCTGGCAGATGGACGACATGCTCCTCACGGATGAATGCTTGTTTTCCTTTCAACATACGGAGAAGTTCAATGCATCCCTCGTAGCGGTCTGGATGTCCAGTCATCAACCTCGTTCGGTGTTGGGTCCATAAAATAGCCAGGATATGCAGCAGGATCCGACATCGCAGGCGTCCCCTGGATTTCGAAAAAGTCTAAACCCAGGTCTGTCGTTGTGTGCGCGTACCAGTTGTCGTGAGCAGCTGTCATATCGGCAAGTGTTTGAGCTGCCCCTTCTTCTCCTGTCATTGACTGCGACTCGAGCGATGTCTCGTTTGAATGACTTAGAAACCTCTGCGGCATGGGGTACTCCCGGGTCACTCCCGTTATGCTGGCAAACTGCATGGCGATCTGACCAAGTATCCTGTACGTTGGTGCTAGTTGTTTCAGTCCGCGCACGTGGTTGAGCATTTCGCGCACTGCCTCTTTCCGCTCAAAATCCTTGGGAGAGTCCTGTTGGTCCTTCGGGCGAGCAAGAAAATCCGCACAGACTATGAGGACGGCGTGGAAAACGAAAAATAGGTCGAGCCATGAGTATCCCATGATTCCTAAAGGCGCGCCGTCCATGATACATTGGATAGCCCGGTGAGCCGACTCTATACAATCTTCGCTAAGAGCCATGGTTCTCTTCCAGTCTTGCGAGTCTGGGGGAAGTTTGTTTTCGAGAGCCTGGATTCTCCTCTCAACCCTGTGCACAAGGAAGTCTCGTGACACCGTACAGCGCGTGTGATACATATATATATGAAACAGAAGGTTTCTTGCCCTCTGTTCGCGCGGGACGGGCGCGATGAGCGAAATTTCTGCCGGCATCCTTGCGGAGAATTCCTCACATTCCCGTAGCAGAGTCTCAGCCATATTGAGCGTAGGCGTTTGTTCCTCAGCCGTGCTACTATCGAAATACGCCCGTTGCCGGATTGAATACGATAGCTTCATCAATTCACAGCCGTGAAGCATGAATTCGGCAGACATACTCTTCTGCTCGAGCAAGGGCGCATCTGGGAGTTTCATGCACATTTCCCGGTCGTCAATGCCTGTCGGACGTCCCAGAATGTTGCACAGTATCTTCTCAAACACATATATGGAGAACCAGACTGTCCTGCGCGTGTTTCGCTCTATAGGATCAAATTCCATGTTCGCACGATCTCGATGCATTCCCATCGTGATGGCCTGTCAAATACCTGTAAGCAAGGGCTGAGTGAGGGATGATATGGTAATACTGACCATGCGAGCAGCAAGCCCAATGAGCAACCAAGAACTACTTTTCTGTCCAGCAGTGTGATGATGATTGTTAAGAAGCACAAGAGCTTGGACATTTGCCAAACTAGTTGTGATCAAAAGTTGGCGGAAATGCGTTTTTACGAAACCCAGATACTTTGAACGGAGCCTGTCAGCTTGTTCCGGATCATGCTCATGCAGTTGCTGACAGCCGAAAGAGAATACCAAAGCCAGACAGGCCAACCATCCCATGTCTGTACAGTCCTTGATGATCTCAGTCTTTCGTGAATACGTTGCCTCGAGTCTAAATTGGAACATACTTCTGTGAAACACAGGGAGAAATATATGCACATGGTCAAAGTATGCAGACACGAGCGCGTCAGCAAGAGACCTTGAGGGCAGTAGATCTCCAATAGTGTCTGGACTAGGCACTTCAGCGGGGCGTTCCCACTGATTTTGTGATTCCTCCATATGCGATCTGTTACGCTTATGCCCTGCTCTACGATCTTGAGACGGTAGCTCTCTGGAATCCGGAACCATGTACTCCTCGTCTGATGGGCCTGAGCTAGCATGCTGTAACGAGATGCCCCCACTTCCGTTTGTAGCAGCCGAGTCAGATAGTACATACGTTCGAAGTGTGGGGAAATCTCCACCAGAGGCAGCCTTACATCGGGCCACTAGTGCTCGGATGGTTGTCGCGAGTCGGAAACTGCTGGAGGGGCCAAAGTAATGAGGCACGCCATTCCGTGTTGGAATGAGTTCCTCCGTATGCCGGGGCTGCTGTTGCACTTCGGAGAAGGGATTGAGTCGACTTCCCTTTGATGTGGGTGCAGGTGATAAAGTCTCGACAGACTGGACAGACTCGGCGTTAGTTTGCGGTGAAACGTACGCCTGCTGTAGGGATGGTGGCGTTGGGAGAGGCTGCTGGTATTGTTGGGACGAGGACCTCTGATCGGTATTGAAAATATCGGCTAACGTAAAGTCGTCGGGTGCTGGCATGGAGATATGTCTTGCAGCAGCGATTTTGAACAGGATGTTGGTATCCTGAGTATTTTCCTGAGGGAACAGTCCCTTGATTAACGACTCAAGGGCTCTGTACCTCAAGCTTAATGTCTCCTTGCTCCCGTAAAGCCTTTCTTTTCTAGGGAGTTTCGACTCGCACTGTACTCCGCTCAATTTGCAGTCCGCGCATGGCTCATCGGGACTTTCGCGAATACATCTTGCTCTTCGGACCTTGCATCGGTCGCAGCTCACAAGCGCTCGTTTTCGGGGTGGTGGTTCTGCTTTGCGCTGACGTTCGACCATTTTTCACGATGATGCGGCGGAAAGATAGAGCCGAAAAGATGGAAAGAGGGTCTGGTCCTCCGAACAGCTTCAGGTAGATAGATAGGTTAAGGTTCCGTCCTAGGGGCGGAACGACGAATGCGTCATAGCATCGGCGGAGTAACTCCGTGGGTAGCGACTGATATCATACCTACAACCGGACTGTCGTGTCGAGATTGGCAATACATAGCGAGTTGTCGCCGGCGGAAGAGGTCAGACGCATCCCCGGAAGAGCATGCGTTGGGCACTAACTCACGCACGCCCCGGCGTTCAACTGCCACCATGTCGAGTGGACGTTCGCAGATCGGCAGGAGAGGAAGGTGGTGCCAGTCCAAACAAGGCTAGACCTCTTCGCTTGGAAAGGCCGGCTGGATTCCGCACGGAACGCAAGCCAGCTACATAGGCTACCAGATTGCCTATATCACAAACTTTTGAGGGTCCCCAAACTTGCCACTCCAGCGCACCATCACAACAACCGTCCTATTCTTCACCAACGCTGAGCACATCTATCCTGGGGCCAGTTTAGAGCGCCCGCTGGGGTCCTCGTAATGTGGCGAGTTTGGAAAACCTCAGGGGTTTACCCTGGTGGGGCTGAGCACCCTCTTACAGGCAGTAAGACATACCGGATAGTCCTGCGGTGAGAGCAAAGTCAAGCGGTCTCTGCAGCCAATCCTTGTCAAATTTGTAATGACCATTGCATGCTTCTTCAGCGAAAAAAACGCACTTGGTCAAGACTATTCGGTAATCAGTATGCACAGCTGGTTGTCGACAACCGCTACTGTCGTCATCCTTCCACGTTCTGCAGACTCACCTTTGCTGGGCGTGCAGACCTCTAGCCGGGTTTTCGACAGCCCCAATAATATAGTTCGCGCCAACGGTGAACGAGCATGAGTCTTGAGTCGACAGTCAGTAACCGGGCAATTAGGATTTGACTAAAGTGCATTAGGATCAGTTCCTCGAGCGGGCGTACTAGGATCTACCATCAACCCTTGACTTATGCCGTTACGCTATGCTCAGAATTGAACGTAGCTGTTCAGCTAGTGGTTATATCAAGGTACATTCGTGAGTTTGCGCATTTGACTGCTCGTACTACGAGACACAACTACCACCGTGGTACATAACCCAAGATATCCAGGCCCACGTAAAGCTTGTCCAATTACATAGGTGTTTGGTGTAATCATGACGTTTTCACGGCTCCGCATTGTCATGCACTTCACTTTACCAATACTTTTGTGGCTTTTTGTAAGCCTTGTGTAACAATGTGATGTTCAAGGTTCACGAGTATGGAGATCCAAATTTCGGGTAGGGTACCAATCAATTGGGTCGCGCTCGTGCATCTGCAGAGAGGAGATCAGTCTGTCTGTACAGGGAAACTGTTGCAATTTGCCACCATACTGTATGCTTTCGCAAACATATCCTCGACAGTGAATGCAGGCTACTGCAAAAGAAATTTGTTCTTGCATGGCGGTTCGATGTAATGGATTGCGAAGACTCCAGCCGTGACACCATATCCCACCACAATACTGGCCAACCAAGAGCTCTGATCACCAAGATAATAATAATAATTCAAGTCCAAGAATTTGGTATCCATTCACGGTTGTCAAGACCTGTTTGAACAAAATGTTCCACCAAACTAGTTTTGTGGACAGGGAGAGATATCCTCGTGATTGGGCTACACAAGAAGTAGCAAAAGCCCAGAGAGGGATTAAAGAACCATGTGCCCAAGTGCATCCATCACTGGGGTCTCAGGCTTCAAGTTTGGTAGAAGGCTTGCTGCTTTGGCCATCCGTGAGCATATCTGTGCAACTCATTGGAGTGGGTTGAACGTCTGGATACCAAACAGAGGCAAAGAGCAGCGTCTGTGGAGGCGTTAAAGATTGGTGGCGCCATCCAGTCCGCGGAGACGTGGCGGTTAACCTATTCGTCATCGCAATCCTTCGCTAAATCGAACACCGATGTTAGACGTCCTTCATTGTATTTCACATTCATGGGTCTCCTGTCTTTCCCATTCAGAGGATGAATCTGTGCTGATCTCGTGTTCAGCAGAAGTACTCTCCTCAGCACCACTAGGTCGTGATCTCACACCGACTGTATATTCTGTTACGCGATAACACCGCTGACTTCGAAGACAAGCAGTGCATCTGCCAGCCACCATATTTCACTGAGGCCTACCAACACGCCCAAAGGTTCCTGCAACAACCAAAGAACCAGATGACGTGCATATTGGCAACAAGACTCGGTCAAACCGGAAAAAGCGCAGAAAAACGCATGTACGCCATACGCCTCATGCCATGGAGTGATTGAATCACATATACCACTCGTTAGTAGCCAAGCAAACACTACTTTGGTAAAGCATCCGTATACAGACCCGATCCCAGACACAACTCAGGCAAGATTCCGGAGGTATTGCCGTCTTTGTCCAGACGTGTGAATCCACAGGCGAGGTGCACGAGCTTATGAGCCTCGGTTCTGCAGTTGGAGTGTCTATCCCACATAGTGTAAGGCCTTCTGCGGTGCCTAGATCTAAAACCATCGTAGCGTCCGCTTCGATGATAATGACGAACATGATCCTACGACAAGAACGCCGGTCAAGGTCGAGAGCTCAAATTCTTCGCTTGAGGCTTCATCGATCGCCTAAGCCAAGACTTCCCGTTGCAGCACATGAATCCTACCGTAGAATCCTGCTCAATTACATAGCCCCTGGCCTAAGTTTTGACCTATCAGCGAACTTCGAAAGGTTGCTACGGTCCAGTCACCGTGCTACTACTGGTGGTTACGCAAATGAGGAAATGTTACCAAATATTCGATCTTGCTTGTTCTTTGCCACGATGTCCACGGTCCGCTGCGCCCGCATCCCCGCGTTCTTCGATGTTACCTTGAGAAATGGCGTGAAACGGTCTCCAGCGAAAGAAGGCTTGTCGTATGCGCTCGGCTTCACTTTGAGCGACACACATAAGTCTAGGCATGGCGGCTTGTACCCCTGGTAGCTGCGGGTCATAGTCAAGGGAAGCTGGCTACGGCGTCATGTATAAGCAACACAGGTGGCTTCGGCTGAGCTGTGGACCCTTGGAAACCGCCCGCATGGATCAGCCGGATGCATTCTTCGTCTTGTCTGGACCCTTTTTATTACTAGTATCCTCCATGTTTAACACATCATATTGCATTAAGAAGTTGACACGAGGCGGGTAAAGAGTGGGGACTTTAACCGGGGAGGGTGGCTCACTTCGGGAGTATACTACCTAGCTTCATTCCATCATTGGTGGCTTTGCAGACTGTCTGCCTGGGCAGTCAATTAATTGCGTCTCCACTCGTATTTGCTCTTCCCTTCAGATCGATCACGAGAAACGATCAATGCTCCATGCTGTAACGGTAAAAAGAAAACACCTGCTACAAGTATGTCCTTGTCCCCATACTTTCAACCCTCACACCAAACAATCAACTCCGAGTTCGCCGCACGCCTTGCGCCCATTACGCTTAGTAGTTATCACCTGTCTGGCTCCGACTCATCATAACGAACGTACTAGGCGCAAAGGAGTCTTCGTATTGTGAGTCTGTATCAACGTTTGAAGGAATTTGAGTCCTACGACTCTGATAGAGATTGTTGATAGAGAGATCATTCGACCAAATAGCAGACGCGTGAGTGGACTCGTAGTTGAAGAAATCTGAGGCCTCGTCTTCATCTTTCGGGATTTTGTGATGCGCGAGAGCCAGCCGTTGGACATCGTGATTCATGCTCGATTGTATAGCATGTGCGTCAACTCGTGGACTTCGATACACTGATGGATGCCCACTCAATTTAGAGCTTATAGAAGTGGGCGTCCGAATTTCTTTGTCACTTCTTACTCTTACTATGTGCTGCTGGACATCTGCTTCCTCAGGCTCTTTAATGCGGTCGCCCATGAAGACTGGCATGTGCTTTCTGTTCCAGAGTAGCAAAGTGACAACAACGAGCGCGAGGGCAAGGACTCCGCTGATGGTGAGGGAAACTGGTTCGAGTTTGATCTTCTGGCTTGGGGGTAGAAGACCTTCAGGAGGAGCAAGCCAAGCGGTTGCGAAATTCGGTACTGTTTGGGAGGATGCAGACATTGAGGACGTCGACAGGCTATGATTAGAAGATGACCGTGGGGAAGATGGGGTGCGCAGCCTGATAAATAAACGGACCGTCGAGGCGTCGATTCGAGGTGAATGCTAACACATATGCGCGTTTAACCGCAAACCACTTCATGAACCACATTTATGCTACGTTGTTTGCCATTATTCACGCTTTAGACAGCACCTCCTCCCCGTCTCCGCACCTCGGCAGGGCTGACATTGTTTTACAAGTCATTGTCTCCTCCAGACTTCTGATTTTTCTCCCTATGTCTTAGTTCATCCATAGAGAAAGGCGGTGGTTCCTTTTTCGTTTTTGTGGAACTCATCCTTCGCATTTCTGATTCCATCCTCGCAGAGAGTCGCTGGAGCAGCCATTGGGCCTCGTTCTGGTTCCCCATGAGCGGACTTCGAATACCAAGCCAACTCCACTCGTGCTCTCCATCATCGTCTGCCGTGCCGAGATCGGGTGATTCATCCTTGTTGTGTTGGTGCTTTACGTTCGGCTGCCGATGTCGAGAAGCGTTGCCCTCATCTTGACCGATTAGGCGAAGGAAATAAGCCCACTCATCGTAAGTGTATTCTCGCGGCGGTGAAGCATTGATGTCCTTCATCAGCCGGCCAAGCTCCTTCGCGAGGATGAAGTGGTAGAAATGGATGTCACGATCGAGCTTGTCCCCATGCTCACCCGCCGCGTCTGCTTCCCTAATCTCCTCGTCTTCGATGTGTTTCTCAAGCCTGTCCAAGGCGAATCGCGCGGATGCGCCTTGATTTCTCTTGTGGCTGTCTCTGTCCGTATCTCTGTCTTTGTACATCTTGCCCATGCTCATTTTCTTCATACCAACCTTCAGTGCTGTACCTAAGCCGTGTTCGTCTGGCAGAACAGTAAGGGACCCAATCCAGATAGTGAAATCCCTAAATGCTTTGATGATGGTATCGCCCATATTGCTTATAAGGATAGTAAGTGTCGGAATAGCCAACAAGCTCCAGAAGACGAAGAATGCCTTGCCCGAATTGCTTTCGACTACATAGTCGCCGTATCCAACTGTCAGAAGCGAAGTGTAGGCAAAGTACAGGCTCACAAAGTACGACCAGCCTTGCGGTTGTTCGGAGTACATGAAGACAACGGCTCCCAAAAGCCACAAGAGCAACGAAGCTGTAGTTGAAATCGCAAGCGCCATATACCTTCTCTTTCTTCCGGAGAGCTCCTGGACGCGCCGCATGATCCGGAATTCCTGCTCCCTCCTCTGAGGCTCGGACAGGCCTTCCTGGTCGAACTTGATCGTCTCAAATGGCCCCAGTTTGATAGTCTTCGATTCTTTGTCGATGGAGGCAAGGACCTTTTGCCTCTTGACTTCGACAAAGCGAGCAGACATTTTCTGTTTGCCATGTTCGAGGATCAAAGACCTCACGGAACCGATGACCAAACCAACCATGACCAATCCACCAATAGCATATGGAAAGAGTAACGATCTGCCAGTGTGTGTCTTGGGGACGAACTCGCCCCCAATGCCAACGGTCAAAAGAGTAAAATCGGCCCAAAAAACTCCATCCAGGAAAGACCAGCCCTCGACACTGGAGAAGATAAGAGCGCCTAAAAGAAGGTAGAACATAAACCCGATAGTCTGCAGCATCAATGTCCTCTGACTAGAGGTTAGACGGAATTGTTTGGCGTAATGACCTTTGTAGGCGCCGTAAGCTGTGCCGACCATGAGCGAAGCAATAATGAAGTAGAGACCAGCCGCTATGACGCCGTAATAGTAGGCCTGGCCTAGAGCATAATTCTGCCTTGGTTGCAGACGGAACGCTGATGTTGAGGCGACTACAACGAGGACGATGAGGAGGATAGCTGAGAGATACCATCCAATAATGATAATGGATTGTGCTAACGCGAACGATGCCCGTCGGGCCATGCTGAGTAGCAGAGCTATATTTGCAGCAAGCGCAAAGACGAGAGATACTGAATTAACAGCGACGAGCCTGTTTCGGTCAGCTATGTTTGACTTGTTCAAGCGCTTGCTCTACCATTTCGGGTCTTCGACCTTGACTCCGTGGCCTTCGTCTTGTCCATCCGGAATATAGACTCTCCACTTCTCGACGAGAGCACAAATACTAAATGCATTGGCGATAGGGCCGAACGTGCCTGCGATAAGTGGGATCGCCGTCGATGCGAACCACCATCGACTACCAAACAAGTCAGCCACATGAGTTGTATAGAGGTCATTGCCAAGTTACATACCTTGGGTCAAGATACTCCCGTTCCTCGTCCTTGGCCTGCTGCTCATCCTCCCCAGAATCATTATTTTCGACGTCCTTCGCAGCTTCCTGAGCAGGTTGCTCGAGTCCAGGATCGTTCATATTGGCACGTCGCGGAATGGTATGCAGTGTACAGACCCGTACATGGTTGTGTAAGGTTCTGCTTGATCGATGAAAAGGAGCGAGGAATAGCACGCGCAATCAAGTTGTTGCATGAGTCGCGAAAAATAACAAGGCGAGAACATGACGTATGAGGACACACACGCGTGTAATTGGCAGGGGCCGACGCGCTAAAGATCGCTCACCTGTCAAATCAGCAGACCAATCTACTTCCAAAAGCTTGTCATATGCTCTCTTTGAACCTCATGTGAACAATGAGGCGCTAAACAACGGAAAAGAAAAATCACCGTGGGAAATTAAGCAAGATGGAAGTTGGCTTAGATTTAAGGCTGAGCGTCACTATGACTGCGGCTGCAGACCCTCTTGGGGGAAAAGATTCAAGAACAAAAGTAATGCGCAGCGCGTTACCTCTGAACATGCCTCACTTTGCCTGAGCGACATTGTGAGAATAGAGTATAATAGTATCATAGATATCGAGAAAGACTGGCGTTGTAGGTAAAAAACTAGCCCTGACATTGTACTTGGCAATGAATGTGTTACTCAAGAGTTCCCTTCTCATATGTATATATGTTGAATCATTAGAAAGGTCAGGGCGTTTAAGGGCTGCGAAGGGAACATGTATTTGCCAAGATCACGGCTTCGCCTTTGTTGAATCGCACATCAAAAGCCACGATTTTCGGCTTGAGTGATATCCGGGTTCTCTTAAAAGACAATCGAGATGACATATTGATCAGCGTTCACCGGGGTTAGCGAGATTTTCCTGCGGTTGTATGCAACTGGGCACTATGGTGCATGAGTGCGTGCTGGTGGCCTCGGAGGTGCATTATCCGCAGCGAGTTCCGATCTTTTGAATTTCGGCTCCATCTTTGGACTTGGAGGACCGTATCGTCATGTTATGATTACCTTCTTGAGACTTCGTATTTACACAGAACTTTTAAAGGCTTGGTGGTGAACATCAGTGATGATCTGCATCGTTCACAAGTAGACATACGCCAAGTGCTTTCGGCTTGTAAGTGAGCTTCGTAAACGAATGGCCTCAGTTGGAGGTACATATCCATACACCGTTACTACATGCCGCGTGCCCACCGTGGATACCTCCAACAATCGACAGACCGTAAGATTGGTTTTCTTGCGGGCGTGATAGGCTGGGATCCCCTGTGTCACTGGCCTCAGCATTTGGGGCTTTACGGCAGGTCGGTGGATGTGAATATGTAGGTGGACACGGCAGGCTGCTTTGCTTCGTTTCGTAGCTCTTCCTCTAGTGCGAAGAGTGCAGGAGAAAATACGATGTGGCGTTTCGTGCATCGCAAATTCGAGTCTGTCAATGCAGGGAGAACACGCCTTAGAGTGGGTACTAGCACTGTGTCCCACTGATATTGCATCTGGGCGCTTTGCTGCTCTCGCGGCTGTTGTGTCTAAGAGTTTGCGTATTGTTATCAGTAGCCCAGCAGTATTGTTGCACTGCGAGTGGATCTCCCAGCTCACCTATTCCATCCCCAACACCCCACTTTCTTTCTTATTCCAGTACTTCTCCAGCTCCGATGAATTGGTTTTTGTAGTATTCAGGAGTTTCAGATTCTTATTGGTATTAAACCAGAACAAGCTTGCGTAGATCGAAATTACTTGTAACTTTAAACTCTCTTGTCGACACCTACAACCGTAACGCTCAACTTCTTGCGTAGTTGATATCAGGAGTTATAATCCTGTCATCTCGCTCAAAACCATACCTGCGTTACAGACAACACAACAGCTCTGCCATTACCTGCATCCGCCAGGGCCATGCCCGATGGCGACAGTCCCTTGACGTTCGGTCTGCCGGCTGTCCATAACAACTTCAACAATGCCAACCCGAACTCCTTCTTGGGTACCGGCCTAACGAGCTCCGAACTTGTCGGCATCACGACCGCTATGAACAAAGCATCGAGTGGCAATACTGCTCACGGGGAGCCTGTGCCAGAGCATCGCAAGCCCCTTCGGCCGGGCGAGCAGTTGTTTGAAGGAAACATCGGCTCTGTCCAATTCCGCCATATTGTGAGAGGGTAAGGTGGATAGACGACGAAGACGATGACGGGGAAAAGCACAGCATTGGCGAATGAAACGGGTAAGTCTGGTGTGCTCTGGTCGACATTCCCCTCGCACCACCATCAGAAAAAGACCTGCAGGTGCCTGTTGGTGACTGCAGGTAGTTAGGCTTGACCATGCTCGCGAATCTGACTTCTAATAAGCTCATCCTGTTGTTGAACTGCTTTAGTTGTAAGGCTAATATATGCATGTCCAACAAAGCGGATGTATCACTCTGCTGAAAGGCGCTCTCCATCCTCAAGTTGTCCTCACTTGGACCGTACCATGTGAGTTCCATCGCAACGACAGCGATAGCCGTGATCCAATCGTTCGTCTGATTCTCGGTGAAGGATAAAAGGCCTGTTAGGATTGAACATCTTGGAGATAGGATAGGCCCGAATCACCAATGCAGGCGTCTTGCAAGAGGCCATCGACTCTGACAGTGGCAAGACTAAAGGCTGTCAGACATCTGGCCTAATCTAACATAGTTTAACCAAGACGGAATAATCTGCAACCCTACCGAAGCTTCTGGATCTTTAACGAGGAGGTGTTAGGCTTGTCTTCCAAACCCCACAATTCATTATGAGGACTTGCATAAACTTAGTGCGTACACAAACGGTTGCTTCCTCCTTCACCGGAATTTCAATGAGTCACACGATGGGCGAGAGACATAGCCCTTGTCATCGAGATGCAACATCGATGTACGCCATACACTTACCTGCTCTGTCTTCTTGATCCGATATCGCAAGCCCTGAGTGTCCGTAGAAGCTCCAAAGCTAGTGCCGCAGAAGAAGTCGTGCATCATCGTAACTAAAGTCTTGGTGCTCAGGAACGCGTCTCCGTCCAGTCTGCATGTTTGCTTCCAGAAGGTGAACACATGAGCAAAAGTTCGAACAGTTCGTTGCCGATATCATTATATTTAAGCTGGCCCAGGGGTTGGAGGGCATGTGCGAGGCAATCGATCATGAGTTCCAACGTTATCACCTGTAACAAAGCTTCTAGAAAGAGGATCTGTTCGACGAACATTTTCGGATGGACAGTTCCGCACAGGGAGCATATATGCGTCGCCCCACCATATCCGTCAGGGTATTCTAGACACCAGGATCGTCGATCCTGCGAGCCACACGTCTCAGCGTCATTTCCCAAAGATTAGAAACCTTTCTCTTGGCTCCCTAATCTTATGCGCGTGCTATGCAGAAGCGTCGGCGGGTCGAGTTGTTGATTCACTGATGATCGGTCGAAATCGTTGTGTCTCCACGTGACTACTGATGCTTCGGAGGACTTCCGCCACAAGTTCAAGATGCACTCGGTCGGAAGCTAGTCGTAATCTGGTATATTGCGCGAACGGGCCATGGTTGTGGTTAGGCGTGTGTCTGCGGAGCTGCTAAGGACGGTGCCTATTATCCTTGGTACAGCCGAAGGAGGTCGAGAACGCAAAGTCGTGCCCTCCAGTATGTGGTAATGGTAATATTCGCGTTGCACAACCCTGCGTTGCTAGTTCACGGTTCCATGCAGGTGCCATGGAAAACCTGCACGAACCATGGAGGCATCGCATCTTTAGACATACACTGATAGTACTCTCAACATGTGGCCTATGACCTCTGTAACTCTTCCGTATTCATCAGAACGTATTGCTTCGCTGAATTACGATAATACTGATGGTCTCCGCACCCACAAAGCCGCCAGTCAAGAGTGTCGGGCAAATCCTTTTATGCCTTTCTCCCCTATAGAGATCTCGAAAAGGAGGGCAAACAGGCGTCCAGCAGCTAAGAGCCTCCAAAGTGAACAATAGGGAGATCACAAACTTATCGCATCGATCCGTCTTCCATCCGTGGCTAACGATGTCACTGTGCCAATCGAAAGCCAGCTTCTCGTCGCATGCTGTGTAGCCAGTCGTTCCTGAAAACCACTTCAAGCGGGCAGTCGTTCATCTGGCATCTCAGTTGCATGTCTCGTTTCTTCATATCTTCATGAATATAGCCAAGATGATGTGTACCTTTTTTCAGTCTAATTTATCAAACTCAGGAAGATTATGAGGCTCGGCATAGTATGTGCAACTTTCAATGCGCAGTCATGACCATATAAGAGAAGAAGAACTTCTAAGAAAATACGGACTGCAATCTGTCTGTCAGTGTTGTGACTCTCGTACATCATCCGCTCAAGTACTAGGCTATGGGATGGGCTGGCAATGTCACTCATCTGGTCGTCGGTGCATGTATTCTTCCATAGGAAAAGATCACCAAGGAATACGCGCCGCTACACTTGGGTAAAAGTGTGTCTGCCATCTCAGCCTCATCTTCTGGTTCATCCCCCTTCACCGCACTTTTCTCTCTCTACACGTTGCTGTTGTCTACCAGCTCCTCTGGCTCTCCGTCTAATGCCTCATCTTCAGTTCACTGCATATCCTCCTCGCAACTAGAAGCAGTACATGAGTTTCATCTCCTTACAGCTTTTACTTTGGCTTCTTTCACCTTAGCTGCAGAACCTTCCCGTTGCTGAAGGGCTCGCTTCGTCGCCTATCAACGTCGCCGTCACCGCAGAAACTCACGCCAAGGCCGCTTAGCAGCTCCTGCCTTTTATAAAAGTATCTCTCTTACTCTGCCCACACACTCAACACCCCCACCTCTTTTCGGATCTTCTCAATCGATAGTAACACCACTTGCCTACCATGTCTGACGCTGGTAGTCCTACTGCCGCCGGCACTGACACTGCCGGTGATGCTCGCAAGGAGCAGCTCACCAAGGACCTCGCTCGCGCAAAGGAGGCGGGATGGACCAACCCCATTCCTTTCAACTACGAGTCAGTAATCGCCGGTGAGGCTCCTCGAGACGAGACCCGCGACACCGCCGCTTGGTTGTCCGACGCCGTCATCTACCAATGGGACGATGACTTCGGTGACGTTGGCGAGCCCAACCCTGACCTGGAGAAGATGCTTTTTGAGGACGACAACACTCAGCGTGTTGGTACTCAAATCAAAGCTCTGTCTTTCGACGTCACAGTTGAGGGTCCCGAAAAGCTCCACCCGGTCCGCGAGGTAGGTGACATATTCCTGCTATCCAACCCGCTTACTAAAGATCACAGTTCAAAGATGCTGGCCTGCATCCTGTGATGCTGCAGAACGTGCAGTTGTGCAAATACAACAACCCGACTCCAATCCAGTCGTACTGTATCCCGGCTGTCCTCACTGGACACGACGTTGTCGCTGTCGCTCAGACTGGTACGTCCGCACCATCACAGTGCCTCGCACAACCCATTACTCACATCGATAACAGGCTCCGGAAAGACTGCTGCTTTCCTTCTTCCAATTCTTTCCAAGCTCATGGGCAAAGCCCGCCAGTTGGCCGCCCCGCGTCCCAACCCCGCTCGCTACAACCCTCTTACCGACCGTGTTCGCGCTGAGCCTCTTGTCCTCGTCGTCTGTCCCACCCGCGAGCTTGCTTGTCAAATCTTCGACGAGGCTCGTCGCTTGTGCTACCGCACCATGTTGCGTCCTTGCGTCGTCTATGGTGGTGCGCCTACGAAGAATCAGCGCGAGCAGCTGGAGATGGGTTGCGACATCCTCATCGCCACTCCCGGCCGTCTCATGGACTTCATGCAGAACATGAACCTTCTTTCGTTCAAGCGCCTTAAGTAAGTGTTAGCAGGGTATAAGGTACTTTATCGTCGTCGGGTGCTAATTCGGGGCTAGATTCACAGTCATCGATGAAGCTGACGAGCTCCTCTCCTCGGGTTGGGAGGAGGCTATGGAAAAGATCTTCTCGGGTTCAGGTAAGATCTACCACACATGTTCGAGCGGCGCAAACTCACCCCCTTCATAGATGTCAGCTCGGATGCGGACCATATCTACATGATGTTCTCTGCCACGTTCCCCAAGTCCGCCCGTAGGCTCGCCAAGGAGTACATGGATGAGGACTGTGTTCGTATCAAGGTCGGCCGCGTAGGCAGCACTCACGAGAACATCAAACAGAACATCGTTTTCGTCGAAGAGAGCTCGAAACAGCAGGCACTCTTCGATCTGATCTTCTCCGACAACCCACAGCGTACTTTGATCTTCACGAACTCCAAACAGAAGTGCGATATGGTCGACGATTATTTGTACAACAAGGGCTTGCCTGTGACCTCCATTCACTCCGACCGTACTCAGCGTGAGCGTGAGGACGCCCTGTGAGTCGCGTTCTGTCTTCTCCATGTTTTCTGGCTTACACATACTTAGGCGCTCATTCCGCATGGGCAAGTGTCCGCTCATGGTTGCAACCGGTGTTACTGCCCGCGGGCTCGACGTCGCCAATGTCAAGCATGTCATCAACTACGACTTGCCTTCCACCATGCATGATGGCATTACCGAGTACGTTCATCGAATTGGCCGTACCGCTCGTATCGGCAACGAAGGTAAGGCGACTTCCTTCTACAACGACCGTAACGAGGATATCGCCGAGAGTCTTGTCAAGATCCTTCTCGAGTCCAACCAGGAAGTTCCCGATTTCTTGCAGGCCCACATGCCTGCCGACCCGTCTGCGATCGACTGGCACGACGGTACCGACGACGAGTCCGATGACGGTCTCGGCGGTGGCTTTGGTGCTGATACTGGCTTCGATGCTAACGCTGGTTTTGGAGGTGATGCTGGTTTTGGTGGCGAGGCTGGTGGTGATACCGGAGGCTTTGGGGGTGGTGACAATGGTGGCTTTGGTGAAGGCTTCTCCGCTGAGACCAACGACCAGGTCGCCTCTTGGTAGACGGGGCTTGCTTCAGTCATGTCTAGGACATCACCCTTTTCCCACTTTCCGAAGGCCTGGAGTGTTACTCAGTGCGCCTCGTCGCCTATGTCTTCGCGGTGAGAGCTTAGGCTTTAAGCCTCCGAGTCATGATTTACGAGATACGAATTACGACATGACGGGACTTACTTCAGGGTGGTTTGACGCCGTGCTTCTTAGCTCAACGGTGTCAGTACCACCAACCTTACAGCAATGCTGAACATGGTCAGGTAATCTACATATAGAAAAATGTCAAGGCATCTTTGCTAATATCTTTTACCTGTGATTCGGGATGTGACTAGACTCTCGCTCCCATATACAACCCCAAGAGTTCCTCGTAAGTATTGTTAAGGACCTCAGTGGACAATGCAACCTCTCGTTCCAGCAGCTTGAAGCTGTTCTAAAGAAAGCTCGATATGTGATATGTTCAGAAATTTTGAAACAAGTATCGAACGGAAGACTTGAATTGTTGGGAATATTCACAAAGTCTAAGCCCCAGACTAATCTGTGGTGATACGAGCTTGCTCAACAGACAAATCAGCGCCGGAAACTGCGCCGAGACTGGAAATGTGGGGCTCATCGCATGAGCCACAAGAAAGTAAGGAGTACCGTTGGAAGCTTAGCAAAGCTTGGTTTCCTGAGCTTATGTGTCAGATGCGATAGCATGATACTTTCAAGAGGAGTAGGTGTGAATCTTCATCGTTCATGTAGATGACATCAAGCCGGCTTTGCAATCTCTTCTCCATTGCCGCAACACCCTTCCATCTACCACTGTACCTGGAGCATGTCACTGTGAATCAAGCACGACTGCGCCTTGTTGGATCTCCTGGACGTTAGAATTATAGACAACGCGATGCTGCTTTGGGTCTAGTGCTAGAGGCCGAATAAATGATTTCGAAACTTTGGTGTGCAGACGGTCACAATACGAGAGTAGTAAGCTTGATAACTTTGCCGACAGTTTGTATATAAGCAGACACACGTGTGTTTCTGGCGATCGTGACTACGATGCCCCTGCTCGGACGCACCCGCGCTAGCTAAAATTAATTCCCAATGCAATGCGGTTTCGCCGAATGCGGAAGGAACGTGCTAAATCCATTGGCTCCGAGGTAAGCCTGAGACATTGATTTTTGGGGGACTCTATCAACTTGATGGTTTGATGACAAGATCATTGATAAAGATGGTATGTTGTAGGCAATTTAGGAGTACTAAACAGGAACACGTGGGGTTCGAGCTTGGATCACGAATATGTCGACGATCCTCCCAATGGACCGGTACCATCCTTGTGCAAGCGTGGTTTTTACGAAAGTGGTATTTCCGGAGTAAGGCAAGATAAGCAAGGTTACACGGACCAGCCGGCTAACGAATCTGGGGTAATGCGTCGAGTGAACGAGATGTCAGCAAGGATCTAGACTTACTTCGCCTTGCATGTCGATAGTTTAGGCTTCAATTGCTATTCCTGAGCACGCAATTCGTGCGTTTTGTAGCATGATTACCCGAATCCAAGCCACAACAGTCACCAACCCCCATGTGAGGATCACTTTACCACGGCAGTACCAGGCACAGTACGATTACGATCGCACTAATGGCAGCCTAGAAATCCGCCTAACCTTCATAGTCACTCAGCTGCAACGATATTAATCCCCTCACCTCAGCCGCATTCTTTCACTCAGAAGTTCCAGCAGACTGACCACCTTGACTTTCCAACATACCACTGGCTACTCATCTGTCAACCGCTCAATCATGTTTTCAAGACTCAGGTTCTTCTGCACGCTCCTCACGACCATCCTCGCATCTCCAGTAGATCGTGAACTTCCGGGAATACAATGTCGCTGTCTCTCTCTTTCCATGGATACAACCCCATCCGCCTGCACAATCCTCGGCTTCCAGAGCTACAGCTGGCAAACTGCGCAGTCTCTCGCGTTCAAACACAATCTCAGGCTTGAGTTCGCCAGCCAAGCCACAATCTCACATGTCATGTCTACCGGCCGACCCATGTCCGATCTCGTATTGTGGGCCGTGAGCCACGGAGAGGCGGACCTGTCTCCCGCGAAGGAAAGGGAGACGGAAAACAAGATGATCTGCGGATATGGGGACGAGGTCAGGAAGATGAGCGGGTATGGGGGGGCTGAGCCGCAGACTCATGGTCTTGGGCAAGTGCTTGGTGTCTTCATGTTGCTTGTTGCTGCGTATGTTGCCGGCGAGTATGTATGGACAAGGTAAGCATTGACCAGTATCACACTGTAACGCATTGGCTAACCCACTTTCAGATACCGAGAAGGAAGCATCAAGCTTGGCGGAGAAGAACGACGCCTCACTTCCACTGCGGGTGTGGAATCAGAGAAGCCATCGACAGCTCAATCGGCTTCTGCACCTATCGACAGGAGGGACAACTCAGCGCCGTGGACATTCTCATGAACACGCTCTCGAATCCTGATATTGCTTCTTCCAATCAATTCACATTACTTCCGTGAGACATTTCAACACTGTCAAGCATGACGCACATGTTCACTTCTCGGTAAGCTATACTTCAACCGGTTTGTAGCAGTGGCTACACACCGAGGATCAGACGACGCGCCGCCGTCACCATAGCTTATCATGACCCGCACGATTCGCAACCTATCCACCTCCTGGCGTCCGGCCGGAAACCGAGCTCTCACACCTCTTCACGCAACACACAATCCGCCAACCTGACCTGAAGTCACGGACATATCTTGCTTCCAGGTTGTCCCATCAACCAAAGGCTTTTGCGCCTCGCAGATTTATTGTAGCGGGAATTTCGGCAAGACATCAGCGTAGTGTCGAAGCACCGACTTCTACACGCTGCATCACACGAGGCGAACGTATGCGTATAGTCTGTGGACACTTGACAAGTCCCATCACGCTCGGTAGATCGGATGGATAGATATTTTCTCAGCACATGCGGTTCCGTGATGGTCTCGCGAAGTAAAGCCTCGGGTTTGTTGCGGTGCTGTACAGTACACGACAGTCGAGTCAGGAAAGTAGCATGGGATATGTAGACGTTAATTTGTAGAATATTCTATGACAAGCGTAACTTTATTGATGCATGAAATAAACGTTTCAACCCCCTTTGATTGACTTCTTATCCTGATCGATGACCTATCCACCTCTACATTATTCCAAGCACAAGACATGCTTTTGAATCCGACCCTCTGTCCTACTTTCCTGCCCTGTCCCAAGTCCCGATGGAGCTCTGATGATGTATGGATACATACATACATGCACGTCGCAATAAAACATAATAGCATAACCTAACATTCACGTACCTGACGTGAGACGTAATTGTAGATAAAGATGCGCTCTTCTTGATCTTTTGCTATATGCAAATAACGGTAACAGACCACAGTATAACACAACGCAACACATATACGATGGACGAATCGATGATAATGACATCGAAGGCAACAGTGAAGCCAAGCGAGCAGCGAGCTAAAGATCATGAACAATTATATATCCAGTCTCACCTCAATGGTGTTCAGTAGAAGAGAGTCATTGAGCGCTCTTGTAATACCCCAGTATGTAATTGCACCGATCGACAGAACCGAAAACTGTTCCTTGAAACACAAATTCGTCCATTCCAGCTACGCGACATCGCGCCATGACTTGCGTCGCGCAGTGTCTAACAACACTTTGCGGAGTTTTGGCGCACAACTGATATTTCCCCTCCAAACAAGCCTTTCCATCATCTCGTCCTACGGCTCGATACGTCTGCGCTGGACAGCCTCGTGAGCGACTTCGTCCATTGTGCTGATGAACGGCATGTCCCAGCTCCAAAAGCCAAAGTCGGGGATCAGCCACAAATTGTGGTCCTGAGCGCGGCGAGCAAGCGACCGCACTGGTTTTGTGGGCTGCGCGTGGCGGTCCTCAACGGAGAAGACGAATTGAATGTTGGGGTTTTCGATTCGGCGAGGACAGCGCAGTAAAGCAAGCTGAGGGTATCGAGGGCATTCTGACAGTTGACTATCGACGAAAAGGGTTTCGACAACGTAGAGCTGCAAATGTCGAATCAGTAGACGCCTACAACGCAGCTTTCGCAAGAGCAACGGAAGACAACGAACCTCGCGATTGGAAACCATAGCGCGCACTATGCCCTCCGTCAAGTCGAAGCTCGACAGATTTTGCTCCGTGACCTTCCCCCACTTCTTCCGCACCTTGACTGCGCGCTCATTGTCCTCGTACGGGCTGGGAAGCGCACTCGAGCATCCAAGTCTTCGCGAACATCGTGACGGGACACGCGTGGTGTAGTGAGCGCACGTAGTATAGTTTTACGCGCTGATGAGCGGCGGCGACAAGGATATTATGCTGGGGAGACGCGACGGCAGCAGCAACGCGAGCGTTGGGCGACGCGAAGGCACGACGAGGGGGATGACGTACGTGAGACAAGGGTCTTGGAACTTCTGCGACGAGGCTGTCGGAAGGTTTTGACAGCTGCAAAACCGATCCACACACTAAGAAAGCTTGATCTCTTGATAGAACAGAATTCCGCAATGACCATGCTCAGCCTCGTCATATGCATCTAGTGAGAACCCAATGTTTTGGTGCTGGAGATCAAGCTTCTCGTTGCGCGCCTTCCAGCTTCTGGATATTTGGTACTGTGAATAAAAACAACCTTACTCTGCAATCTCAACAGTGATATATCCCGTATGCCGAACATAATCACGCAATCTTCGAGTCATCACCAATGTCGCAGAAAAGCATTCAAGATGATGGGTAAAATTTCAGTAAACTCCCGAAAGGCTCTCGACCAGAGTACTCTACAAAGGGAGGCCACCAATGCAATGCAAAACCCATACCAATCCATGCAATGCAATATGAAAGAAACATGAAAACTAAAAATGTAATTCAGGTAAAAAATACCAAGCCACTGCCTATATATGTGTATAGGTGGCAGACCAAGAAGCGAAAGTAAGATATCATACTTAAAGAAGTGAATGTTTGTCCGGGTAACAGCCTCGCCAGGCTCGACCCAAAGTGAGACCAGCGACCAACAAGTCTTGCAACACAAGATCATGTAAAGAGTGCCAGCTCCTGCAGCTGACGGCGCTGGTCATCACAAGTGCACTGTCTATACAGACAGCACATGCATGTCTGTCTGGTCCGGCACTGACACCGCCGGCATACGTAGCGCAGCAAAAGCAGCAGTCTTGCCCTTGTGCGCCGCGAGCTCGAGTCCAATGTCGCGCATGCGCTCCGCGCCCCGCCCAGGCGGTGGAGCTCGCTTCTCCTTGACGCCCTTACGGTGTTGCTTCCTGTACAACTGCTCCTTGCGACGCTGTCTCTTCTTTTCGAGACCCACTTGAATGGCTATAGCGCGCCGGGGGAGCTCAGTAGGGCCCGTCTCTTCTTCGTCATAGTTTTCAAGAGGAGGAGGGTGCGTGCTCATAGGGGTTCGAGGTACCGAGGCTGAAGTGATGAGAGCGGGTCGCTCGCCGATATCACTGAAGCGGATTGACATCTCGCTACGTTGTCGTGTGGCGACAAGGTTGATCGAACCACGTCGGATGAGTGGGGGTGACTGCAGACGGGCTGGTGCAGGCGAACGAGCACGTTTCGGAGAAGCACCAAACAGCTTGCGTGGGGGCGGAGATCGATGGACGACGCGCTTAGTTGGGGGTGGCGGAGAACGGTGCATGGTGCGTTTTGTGGGTGGTGGCGATCGAAGGCGTCGTGGTGAATGTGCGGGAGAACGCTTCTTGGGCACGTCTATGCGACGACCCCGTAACTCTCCATCAAGAGGATCCATACGACCGTGCATCATAAAGTAGTTGTCGCTTTCTGAGTTGACATGTTCCACCTCACTTACTTCATCCTCTTCATCATCTGGGAGATCGGGATCTGATGTAGGGAATGAGGGGTCAATGTCTTGGGGCGTGGGTTTGTGCTTAGCTGCGCGTCGGCGTTCCAGAGTTGTCATGTACGCTGCTTCTGCAGGCCTGTCCTCGTCGAGTGTTCCACAAACGAAATCTGTGCTGTCGGGCAGTTCAGGGCTTGGAGCACGTATGTTGACTGGTTTGGACTTCTTGCGTCTTGAAAATGACTTCTCAGGCATCTTAAACTGCTTGCCGCTTTCCAAAGATCCACTCGATGATTCAGACAAGGTGCGATTTACCTTGGGTCGAAGGTGATCAAGGAGGTCCATGGACGTGGCGGCAGTAGAAGGTCCGGGTGCCCACCAGTTGTAATCAGATCCAGCGTCACTCTCATCATCCGAGACTGCAAAGCCTTCCTCGTCATCGGTCTGGAAACCCTCGTCGGTTACGTCGCTGTATGCGTCGCTCCCGTCTTGGTCCTCATCCAGCAAGTCATCGTCATCGTCGTCGTCATCTGCGACTTCATCGTCATCATCTTCTTCCTCATCCTCCAATGCCTCCTCTTCGGCCTCTTCTGCTAACTGGCGGAGATTGTTTTCGACCTTAAGAGTGTCTCCCACAGTGAGCCGGTTTCGATGCACCGTAGATTCCAGTGTCCATTCGTCGACTTCCTCTTCTGAGCTAGCGAACTCGTGGAAGCGGTATGCTTCGCATCGAGCGAGGTCAGAGTTTGCACTCAAACGGCGAATTCGGTCAACTATGGGCGCCTTGCGGACACTGACAGGAGAATTGTTGCGGACGGTTGAGTCGGAGCCGCGATGCGGTTTTGGTGGAGGTTTAGGAGATTTGGGTATCCGCCGTGCTGACGGTGCGGGGCTTGCCACACGCAGGCGGGGTTTGGGGGTCTTGGAAAGCGCGTCTGTGGAGATTTTGGTAGGACAGGTGAACTTGATCGTACAAGACCGTTTTGGGGGTTCCTCTACCAGTGGGGATGGTGCAGGCTTTGCAGGCTCTTGTGTGGGCATCTTTTCTTGTTTGCCGCCACACGCGAACATGATTCGCCTCTTCCGTCCTAGAGTTGCTTCAACGCCTTGCTCGCCAGTCGTCTGTGTCGGTACCTTCTCGAGAGGGCCGTGGCTTTCATCATCGTGGCGAATGGCTGGCAAGGGTAGCTCAAACGGTTTCTTGTTGAACGTTGGCAATATGCTGTGGAGCCTGGACGCAGGGAGGGGTGGGCTCGGCGTGCTTGTACGTGTACCCGGGCTTGTGAAACCTCCATCGCTTGTCAACTCAGCCGTCGAAACACTGTTGTTACTCCAAACGGACATGCCACGGATAGGGCTCTTGTAATGCTCCTCCACAGGCGAGCTTGAATTGGAATTTGCCTGGGACTGCAGGGCAGTCGTTAGGAGTGATTGCTTGACGTCGCATCGAGGTACTGATTTTGTGAATGACGATACGGAAGACTCGTGGAGGTTCATAATCGAGGGTCGTGGGGTACGTCCTAGATCTGGGGGTTCGTCCACATCGGCTGCGACTTCCTCTTCCGATGACATGGCTGCTGGCGGTGGTGCTGTGGAAGCGGTGTGGCGGCTGCCAGTCTGCATTGCGCCTCGTCTGCTGATATAGTCCTGCTCGTTCTCCATGATGTGTCGACGGGTGGCGATGGCTGTGTCGCCGGTTCTGCGCGATTGGTGGTGGAACTGAGATTATTGGACGTATGGCTCGTGTCGATCAGTGATGTGCTGTCCAGTTACGAGACGCGTCTAGTCGGGCCACAATGCGGTGTGGACCGGCGGAATAGAGGTCAAAGGGTGTCAAAAGTCGAAAGTGGTGTGATGAAGTAATCGGCTTGGCGGCAAGATGTCGCGAAGTCGGGCAATTTTTGAAATGTATCAATGGTGGTGAGGGTGGGGTCCCAGTGGACAAGAGGTTATAATATCGAGATGAACATTGTGGAAGTCTGAAAAAGGTCGGACCGTGCTTGGTTTTTAGTGGGAACCTTGGAACGGTCAGCGCTGTCACTACTGTGGGCGGTCGCGGGAGGGAAGGGTACCTAGTGAAGATGAGGTGTGATGCTCAGCAACAGTGGCGACGCCCGCAGATGGCCGTGGGAGCAGATCTGAAGGGAGCGTGCGGGTGTAATATGTCGTGGCTTGGCTGGAGGGCGGCTAGGCTCCTTGCTCGGATGCCGGCTGAATGCACAGTGTCTGCTGCGACGACGAGCGAGAGAGGCAGAGTTTGATGAAAGTCGTGATGGCGCTATGGATGCTTGGCGATGGATGGATGGTGTGGGCCGGCTCGATTATTTTCACCCCACGGATTGCAGCCAACGCAGTGCACAGTGCACGTACTACCAATTATGCTCGAGGCCGAAGCGAGCCCGGGCTCAGTCTTCTCGAACAGAACAAAGCTTCCGCTCAATTTCCTTTTGTGCCGGCGCGCGAAAGCCTCCTTGTGGCCATTGTCGTGGTCATTGTCTTGCCTCTGCTTTGTCTCAACAAACACCCCCAAAGAGAGTTTTCCACAAAGCCCTGCCATCGAGTGCGCAATGTCCCCTTCCGCGTGCCTCGGATAGGACCCTGATGGCTGCACCTCCATCGTATCACTTCTCTGTAACCGCTGCACGCTGGCGACATTTGAGATCCCATCGCCTGTCTTTTCCCCGTTTGTCCGACGCCCAACCATCCATGCCTCATGCTCATGTGCATGCACATGCATCAAATCAATGACCATGCAATGCAGTCTTCTCAGCCGCGGTTGAGGGCATCAGCTCTCCTGTCTGCGTCGCATCCCATTTCCATCTTCAGCCCGAATATTCCCATCTCACAGTCGCTTACTCATCACATTGTTGTTCCCTCCTGCCAGTTCCAGCTCACCGCTTCACACCGCTTCTCACCTCTGCACACGCAACTTCAAGCTCCATCATCTGACTCCACTAAAGATGGCGCTATTTCTAGAACCCTTGCATGCGTTTCATCAACCGCACATGCGTCGCCGCACCGCGCCCAGGTTTTTCTCATCTCATCCCCAGCGTCCCGTTCGCTGGGCCAAGTAATCCTTGTTTTAATAGCACGCGCCCCAGCCGACTGGTGCGGGGAACTTGCCTGTCTCATCACAACGCGAGAGACCCTTTTCAATGCTTGTTTCCACTGAGCTCTCATGATCAGCGGAACTATGTGGGGGCGGGGTGCTTTGTTTACACAGCTGCGAAGTACGTACCACGACGGGTGATCATGGGCTGGGCGTTGCTGTGTTGTTCTTTTGCCAACCCAGTATCCAAGGATACGTACCGGGTACTGGATCCGGTGGATCTGACTAGAGGAGGGGTATCCGTGGATTTGCCGGAGCTTCCCTTCACCATCCTTCAATGACGTCGTGTGGCCTGGAAGCTTGTGTGTACCTCAGTGCTCGTGTCTTGCATGCTGGACGTAAGCGTTTGGCTCTGCTATGGCTGAAAAAGTCTAGAACGTCCTTGAAAGGTAAGTTTGTAGGAACGCCGGTTCTCTGCATCGAGATTCTCAAGGGAGTCTAACTTCCATCCAGAAGGTGATGAGGATACACCTTCCATAACGATTATCTAGGCTTTCTAATCGAGCTGGACCTATGTATTTCCTACTACATCCTACAAGTCAAGTAACATCTCAAACAGTTCGCTAGACTACATACAACCCATCCCACATACAACCTCAAAATTCCATACTTCAAACCCCCGGAAACTCACCCCAACCAACATGAAAGGGGCAGTAAAGCGACAATAGCCGTACTCCACTCCACCATCGTCCCGTTCCACCCCTCTAGCGCACTCCAGTATCTACTCCACCACCCCGTATACACCACCCCAGGCTCTCGCCAACCTCCGTGCTAGCCGCAATCCACACAACCCCAAGTCCCGTCATGCACACCAAGCCAGTCAAATCTAAATCCCATCCGCGTTTTCCCTCCGATTGGATAGCAGTAGCACGTGGACGCATCGACTCGTACGGTGCTCGTTCGAGTGGACTGTGCACACGCACGCGTCCTCGGTTTGGGCGAGGAAAAGCAAGCACACGGGAACGGAACGGGACGGGGGTTACACGGCTCTATGTTCTTCTTTGTTTTTCGTGGCTAGGGTGGGCAGGGTGAGATGGATGGTGCTAGATTTGCTGTGTGTTTAGGCACGGAGATCGATGTTTGGGGTTCTTGAGGGTTTATGGGTTGAGTGTCTTCACCTGTGCACTGGCATCCTATGTATTAGGCGCAAAAGGCTTAGTATCATCGCTACGGGGTTTGGGCAGAGACTTGGTGGTGTATTTTTGTCGTCTTTGGTTCCACGTCTCGTTGGCAGTTTGCAGGAGCAGCAGTATCGAAACTCTAGTCCGAGGCCGGGCTGTTGGGTTTGAGATGGTGGAGTTCATTGTAAAAACAGACGGACGAAGTAAACATTCGACACCCCATCAGTGCATCACCATGGCTCCGTGTCGGGAATTTACATGGTATTGAAGTACACATACAAAACTCAGAATGAACGGCAGCCAAAATCTGACCGAATATCCTGCGACTGACATCTCAAAAAAGTAAAACCAGCATACTAAATAACAAAACTTCTACTTAGACCCACGAATAAGCTCCGCAGCCTTCTCCGCAACACTATAAACAGTCGTCATGATATGCGTAGCAGGCAGCACAGGAAATACGCTGGCGTCCACGACCCTCAGCCCCTGTACACCGTACACCTTCAGCTGCGCGTCCACTACGCCTCCCTCCGCTCGACTCCCCATCTTACACGACCCAGCCGGATGATACAACGTTCCCGAAGTGCCCCTCACAAACGAGTCAAGATCAGCATCGCTCGTAACATTCGCCCCCGGCAAAACCTCCACAGGCGCGAGTTCTGCAATACCATCTGCAGCCGCGAGTTTCCTCGCGAAGCGCACACCTTCGCGCAGAAGAGCCACATCAAGCGGGTTTCGCAGGAATCCAGAGTCGGCGATGGGCGCGTCGAAGATGCTAGCTGATGCGGCTTTGACGCTGCCGCGCGAGAAGGGGTGCTGCAGACCGAGCACCATGACGCCGTCTGACCAGATGACTTCTAGGGCGCCGGCGTTGTTGGCGAGGAGTTTTGCCGTCAGTAGGTCGTATTGCGCTTGGTATCCTTTTGCGACTTCTGCAGGGGTGGAGGCGGGCAGCGAGGCAGAAGCGTTCCCTGCGGTGGCGAGGGAGTGGATAGCGGCGGATTGGTTGGAGTATGTGGTAAGGGGGAGGAAGAGGAGGAAGTCTGCTGTTGGCGATGTTAGGGGTCCTTGTTTCGACGCGTCGTATTGGGCTTTAGCTTGGGCGGCGAAGGTTTCGTTGGAGGTGAGGAGGCTGGAGACGGAGAGATTGGTCGTGACTGTACGTTGTAAGCTTCGGGGTGTGCTGAATGGGGCAGTGATAAGACTTACTGGTGTTGACAACCGTGAGTAAGACGTGGTCGTGGAAGTTCTGTCCTACCGCGGGTAGATCTACAACGGTTGGGACATTGATGCTAGCAAGCAGCGCGGGATCGCCGATGCCAGAGACTTGCAGGATCTGGGGTGTGTGGATTGATCCAGCAGCTAGGATAGCTTCTTTCTTGACTTTGATAGTGCGGCGTTCGGCGCCTGCAGAAGAGGCATACTCAATACCAGTGACTTTGACATTTCCGTTTGTTGTGTTGGTCACGATCCGCGTGACTTGTTGGCCAGTGATGAGGTGATAGTTCTTTCGTCCGACCGCAGAGTCATAGTATGCTTCCTTAGCAGAAGAGCGCGTAACATTGGGACTGATGTTATGTGGGCAATAATAGCCACCAAAGGCATTTCCAGTAGCTTGGTCATTGATAGCGATTCCCAGTGCTTTTGTCGCTCTCACAATGTTTTCTGTGTACACTGTTAGTGTAGTTCAACGTGATCTAGTAATTCGAAGAGGACGCACTGGTCAGTGGCCAAAAGAAGCGAGAGTACGTAGAGTGTACATAACCCTTGTCGCCATGGAATTGGAGATTTGTCTTTATGTCGTATTCGGCCAGGATTTCCTTTGTTGCTGGTGTCCATTTCTCGCTCTGCAACAGTCAGCCGTTCGTGTTCATACGTATCAACTGGCCTTGGAGTGGTACCTTCTTGAAGTATGGCAGCAGACCAGCCCAACCCCATCCCTTGTTTCCGAGCGTCTCCCAGCCATCATAGTCTGATTTGGATCCGCGATCAAAGACCATTCTGTTCAACTTCGATGATCCACCCACGATCTTGCCCAGATTGATCGTCACTTCGCGGCCACCCAACGCTTCGTTCGGTGCATAAGTTCTGTTCCAGTCATATTTTGTTCCGATGGCACCACCTGCGAGACCAGGAATGGTGAAGACGTCTTCGTTGGCATCACTATTGAATGCCATTAGCTATGTTTAAATCATCTAAAGGATCACAAATTGAGAACTCACAACGCTCCGGCTTCAATGACAAGAATAGTGATAGCTGAGATATATAGTTAGAACTTTAGCTGACTACAAAATTCGAGGATCAAGACCTTGGTTTTCGGAAAGTCGATTTGCGACCGTAAGGCCCGATGTCCCACCTCCTACAATCACATAATCGTATGTCGTGAGGAGATCCTTGGAGTTGGAGATGACTTTTCCGGCGAAGTAGGGATGCGCGAGGGCGCCTGATGCAGAAAGAGCGACTGCCCACGCAACAACGTGGGGCTTGGTGAACAACATGTCAAGTTCTCGAGAAAGAATGTAATGGGAATGAACTGTGGCTGCATATTGCTACGCAGCGCATTGTTATAATAAAAATCCGTCTCACCGTAATATCGCCGTGACGCGTTGCTACTACAACTGCCGAAGACGATGCCCAGCATAGTTGCGACATCTTGTATAAGAAGATGAACAAGGCCGACAAGCAAGTTATGACGTAGGATGTGCGAGCATGGAATCTGACAGAATACACAATTTGATTTGGCAAGGCCTCATCTGGTACCATATCGCTAGGTTCCCCGCGAAGATCAGCACTTCGAGGTAGACTACACTCTTGGCGGTAATTTATGCGACACAATAGTTGTGACAATGGTTCAGAACTAGAACACTAGAACCCATGCCAAGAGGTAAGCTCACCTCATCATTGGCAAGGCGAAAGACGAAACGGACGAACTGCGGCAATGAAACAACACGTTCCAAACATGTTGATCCTCGGCTCTAGACGTGTTGATCCTCGGTTCAAAAATAGTAGACAGGCGCGGCAGTGGGCTCGTCAATCTCCATCGCATCTTCAGCCGGATTCACCTGTCGAATCTGCCAAAGCGTTAGCACAAATTGCAGCACACCTCCAGAAAAGCAAACAACTTACTCTCAGCCTCTTAATTGTCCCCTCTCCATCATCATATCCCTTACTCGACGTCTCTACCATATCGCTCCTTTTTCTCTTCTCTCCAATCTTAGACTCTACTGCCTTCTTTCCTTTATCCCACATCACATCCCCATTCTTATTGAGCTTGAACGTAGGCCTTGGCTTTGAAGCACCACCTGTACCGCCGCAAATCCTCTTCGATGCGCTGTCATCTTTCAGTGCTCGCTGGCCAGCCGAGCTCTTCCTCGAAGCCGCGGCCTGCTGTTTCGCGGTTTCATCAGCAAGCAATGGATCAATCAGATTGGTGGTAGGAGCTTTGGAGTCACTGGTCCGCTCCTGAATCGGCTTTGGAGTAACGGAGTGTGGAATGCGGGCGCGCTGAGCTCTGCTCATCGCGCGCATAAAGTTGGAGGGCTTGGGTACCGAGCGGGGCTTAATGGGAGAAAGGGTTGGCTCGGACGTGAGTGCGACAGCCTGACGGATGGGGGTCAGTACAGAGTTTTGAGAGGTAGAGAGTAGGAAACGTACCTGGCTGAGCTGTGATGGGTCGTCAATCAGGACAGGCGATGACGATCCCTCGATGTCTTGGGGACCAAAGAGTTCCTCGTCTACGGCAACGTCCCCTGCTTCAGTCTCAACCTCTGCAAGCTCCACAGACTCGACTATCTCGTCGGAGCTAGGTGCCTTCTCAATAGAAGAGCCCCAAGAGGCGAGAGTAACGAGTATCTGCTAGAATGTTAGTACCACATGATATATAGAGTAGTGGACCACAGCTCACCTCGGGATCAACACCCGTCAAGTCCATAGTCTGCAGACCGCGACCCAGCTGCTCCAGCTTCTTCACGTCGCCGTCGAAGACCTGCATCTGCTTATGCAAAGCTCTGGCTGCCTCCTTGATATGAGGCGCCATAGGTTTGACACTGCACACCAAATCGAACGTACTCTTTAACGCCGCACGACGCTGCCCGAGTTTCTCAATGGCGTCAATCCGCATCCTGTCTAGCTTCATGCGCTGGTCTAGAGGCACTTTGTGAAGAGGTCCGACGCCGCTCGGAGCACGCTGCTTCATTGCCTGGAGACGACACATTGACTCCACTGGTTGCTGTGCCTTGGGCTCCGGAAATTTGGAGAACACATCGAAATCCGAGGTGCTCCGAGAAGACAGGAGCTGCACATTGGGAGCAGACGCGCGTTGTTTCTGTTTGTCCTGCTTCTTAGTGATGGGCGTTGAGGGAGTCGCACCATCGTCCGTGGGGTGGAAGGTCTTGATACTGGCGGTTGTCTTCTCCACGCTTGTCTGTGCTGTAAGACCATCTGCTGAGCCTACTTCCTTGAACGGCTTAGCAACTGGCATAGCCAGCTTGCCAGCAGTAATCAATGCGGCTGCTCTGTCCTTGAGAAGAGACCCTGGGGCGATCTTGATCTTCTTGATGCCGCCAGTAAACTTCGCAGCGGAAGTTGTAGACGTGGACTTAGAGCTGCTAGGATGGGGTGGGGAAGGGTTAACCATCGCGTTGGCCATCGTAGTGAACGATGTATGGAAGATGTATGTGTTGGATAGGGAGGTTCGTGCCGTATGTAGTTGACTGTGTGGTTCGGTCGAAAGACACGGGGATCTCAAAATGTTCAGATAGCTGCGGACGTGAAAGTCCCAGCGGTGGTCCAGGCGTATGTGGAGTTTGACCAGCAAAGGTGAATGAGCAGTTAACAGTGTAGAAGGTGTCGAAGGGTTTCACAATAACATTGTACGCAGTGAAACAATAGGAAAAAGAGGGAACAATAGAAACATATCGGTAACGGAACGACAGACATTCGACTGAACAGAAATTGCCAATGCAGAAGTGAACACGATACTGACAGCAGAAGTTTCGCTCACGATTGATTTAGCGAAGACTGGTACCAGCCATGGTTTTCCCTGTATGTGCAGTGCAGTACGCACATTCATTGCCCTCACAGCTCTTCTTGTTATTCTATCTTTTTCATGTGATCATGTATCATGTTTGTTCATCCATCTCCTACCGCATCTACAATTCCTCCTTCTCGACGCCGGCGATAGAGACAAGCTCCGTCTCGAAGACTATCGCAAGTTAGCGCTGTCACTGCTGCTTGTGATCGTATGCCCAACTTACTCAAGACGCTGTTTCCAGGAATGGGTCCGGTACCCCGGGAGCCATACGCCCAATCGGGCTGAATGGTCAGCTTCCTCTTCTCGCCAGGGCACATGCCGAGCAGGCCTTGGTCCCAGCCCTTAATCACCTGGCCCTTGCCAACGGTGAAGTCGAGAGGCGCTCCGCGACCATAAGAGGCGTCGAACTCAGTACCATCCTCGAGGGTACCACGGTAGTGTACGAAAATCTTGTCGCCAGCGGTGGCCTTGCGGGTGCATTTTACGGCATGGGTGACTTCGGTCTTGAGGTGCTGCAGGCGTGTTAGCTCATGAAGCATGCTGAGAGGTAAAATGTACCTCATTGTTGATAGTGTCTGCAGCGAACACAGCCGTGGCAAAAGCAAGGAGAGTTGCGACCTTCATTGTGAGTATGTATGGGTACGGAGATATGTATGTGAAGGTGGTGATGCAGGATGTCGAGATGGTAGCTGAGCGAGTGGCGGGAGCTGGTTGGAGAACGCGTAACGCCAAGTGGACCCTGAAACCTGGCTCAACGTCACTTCACCTTGTCAACGTATCCTCTGCCAACTCGGAGGACTAACATGGAGCCCATGTTCCTACACCGCCTTTTTGGTTTTCTGTTACCACCATATCAAGGTGTTTCTCAGAACACTGGCGATTCTCTCATCGGCCTATCTCGAGGCCAGGATTTTAACTCAGACCACAAGACGTCTGGATCACCCATCTTCCATCTAAAAAACCAAGAACCGTTTCGCAAGGCATTAGAATGCACACAAATGCTATCAACAGTCAAATTCCTTAACAATGTCGATACGAGTGACACTCATCAAAATGGCGGCAGCCTATTACTTTCCACAATCTAGATCCTTCTCTCTGTTGTTGGTAAACATTTCTGTTTGTAATCTGGTGCGTATTTGTACTAAGGACATACTTCTTGTAGACTTGTTACTGCCTATAACTACTCTTGTTACTACTTACTATTACTGTTATTTTTGTATCTTATGCCTTTTATGCTTTGTTACGCCTTGTTATACCTTGTTACGTTGCTTTTACCATTATCACTGCTTGTTACGCCAGTAAAACCTGTGTTATGCCTCGTTACGCCATGGAAAGCTGTGTTATATGCTTATCATACCTTGTTATGCCTTATTACTGTCAACCCCCTTGTTACGTGCTTTTCATGCCTTGTTACTGCTTATTACGCCTTATCACTGCTTTCTAGAACCCTTTTTATTCCTTGTCACGCCGTTGAAAGCACCCACCCTATCCCCCACTGATTTTACAATGTCTCTCTTAATTATCACGCTCACAAAGCTCCTTTGAGTATGTACTTGTCTTTGTACAAGCTGTTTTCCTATCCAACTCGCAATCACAATTCCGCTGATCACCTTACACGCTCAGGCAACCTCGTTTCCATTTTCTTGCCCTGTATAGATATTCCATATCACATCTTCTACTTGCATGTAATACTCACCTCTGCCGAACAGCGAGGAAGGCGGCCAAAGTTAACACCTACCCACTATGTCTTTCTATACCATGGACCTTGTTAGCGATATCAAGGCTGGTGCTCCTACTGGAGTGGTCATGTCTTCAAATCCTCTTGATCGACCCATAGAGGGCCGCTCTGGCGTAACTGTTGGTCAGCATCTCGATGAGTTCAACAGTTTCAGAGACGAATATGGCCGAACCTTTGACGAGTTGGTGTACTGTCTCCTCCACGGCGAAGATGCTAAGGTACTTATGCCTCCACCGCCAAAACCGCAAACTACGGACAAGGTTGACCCACTCAAGATGAGTGTTGAAGATTTTGGTACATATATGAGAGCAGACCGCGCTCGTCAAACTCACAAGAGGTTAATAGGACGTATCAACAAGAACGCTTCACTGACGCGCGAGTGTAAGGATGATGATAGTAAGATTGGAGTGTCCAGGCGCACTATCGATGACAATGGAGACAAGAAGCGGGAACCACACGTTATTGAAATCACAGGTGGTCGTAAGAAGCCTGGCGTGAGACCATATAAACGAGTCCGTTGAATTTCTTCCATGCTCATAGAGTTATGCACTAGCAGGTGCTTGTGTTCATAACGACAATATCCTTGGACAATCATCTCCTCTATTTTCATGTTAAAATGCTACAACGCTGACATGGCATGGAACTCACCGAGTTCCTACTGTAGAAAAGGTATGTTGTGGAAGCCGGTTCGGCGAAACTTGACCTTGTCTTTTCTTATACTCTTTTGTCAGCATCTACAAGCTCATAGTGGAAGTCTTTTCTTATTCTCAAGACATTTCTGCTACACTTTCGATTTGCGCCGACGTTGCCAATGCTTTTCAGTCGTCCTTGAACCTCCTGTTTCTCTACTTCTTCCTATAACAGACTGTATACATCAACGTCTTAGTTTTTTACGTATCAGAACGTTCTTGATTTCGCTTGTTCCCACTGTCGTCCAATCTCATTTCCCCTCTTTTCACTTTCACTTTCACTGACAATAGCACCCCGTTATACGTTTTTTTCGTCTGCACGGCCCTGCCTAGTGCCCACGCCCGTAAATGCCCTTCCCCGCTCGCTTTTGTCACTGTTTCCACCAGACTTGAACTACCAACTGCTCTCAACCAAGATCCCGCCGACCACCAACTTTACACAATTTACTTTGCACAACTATCTTTGCTCAAAGCACCCAGACCAATCCTTATACATCCAATCCGAACTCATATACAGTTCCGTCACACAACATGGTCCTTTCACGGCAAACTGATACTCGTTCTATGATGAACATCCCCACGCCCGAGCAGGTTGCCAAGATAGAGAAAGCAGTCGAAGAGAGCAGGGTTGCCAATGCTGCGGGAGCAGAAATGGCCACGATCATTACAAGCCTGCCCAATAGCTCAGCTAAAGTTTCCCTGGCCAAACTCCTCACCAAGATGCGACCAGTTGTCGAGAAACGTTTCATATCTACGCAGGAGAAGGCTGCGAGGGCGAGGGAGGTCTTGGGTTCCAAGGTTCGTATCCATTCTTGAACTGAACGTCAATGACGTCTAACGTTTACGTAGGCGACGGAAGGCAGGTCTGAGACCAAAACCAACACGGTGCAGCCCCTCACTGCGACCAGAAAGGACGACCCGGCGACCGCAGAGGACTTCCACAGGAAGAAGAACCCTACTCCGGGAAAGACCATCGTCGCTGGCGAGTCCTCGACGAAGGCTGCCCCAGCCGGGTGTATCATCAAGGCAAGCGCGACGGTTACAGATGCTCGTGACCCTCTGGGTGACAACACGAACAAGATGCCACTCAGTAAGGCGAGTCTGCCTGCCGCACCGACTGTCCAGAAGAAGCACACCGCAGGATCATCGTTCCTCGAGAATGTCAAGAGCTCGAACAACAAGATCAAGTTCCGTTCTCTTCCGGCACAATTGTCAGTCCAGACATCGCAGCAACCTACAACCAAGATGGCGCAAGAACCCTCAGACAAGAAGAAGCGCGTCGAGACACAGAAGACGCAAACGCCCGTCACTGGCCACAGACAAGACGCAGCTAAGGAGGGGCAATCTACCAGCAAGACGTCAGAGGGCGTCAAGGTTAGCAAGGTAATTGTGGACACCGACAACAAGAAGACACAAGCCAAGGCTGTCGAGCCCGTGAAAGAGACGCAGAAAGAGGCCACCGATGAGCAGAAGGCTCCTGGTAAGAAACAGATTGTGAAGAGCGATGCCGATGATCACAAGCTCAGAAGTGAGTTGGAAGCCTCGCCCCTTCACCAGGAGAACGTCCAAGACAGCAGATCGATCACGGACGACAACGAGCCATCCGACTCTGAGAAGACTTCAAGCATCGCTTCGGGGACCTCAACTGACATGGCGAGCCCATCTTCTGGCGGATCGAAGCAACGCGAAAGCAACAATAAATACCGCGGCCGTCCCAGGCCAGGTGACAAAGGCGTTGCAATGAAAGTCACCAAGTTCAAGCGTAAGCCCAAAGACGAGAAGATGAAGAGCGGCTATAAGAGCAAGGCGAATGTTGACAAGAGCAACGACGGAGGGGAGGTGCGCCTCAGTAGCGAATCAATGTCAGGTTTTCCGCGGAAGCAGCCGGTGAAGAGAGCCAGTGAGCCTCTCCCGGCTAAGAAGGCTGCCGCCACCAGCAGCAATCCTCTAAAAGATCTTCTTCTCGAAATTTCCAGCGGTGGCTCGACTCCCCGCAAGGAGCATGCTCGAAGCTCACCTGACTCCACGGCTAGCGCAAAGCGCAAGCGCCACATCGACGACGACGGCCGTCCTCTCATCAAGAAGACTGTTGTTGGTTCCGGTGATCGTCTAATCTCGCGCCCAAGAGTACGTGTACTATCCGTCGTCTCGAACACACATTTGCTAACTCATACACAGGTTCGTCGTCCTATGCCTGCAATAGATGCTGATGTTATGGACGTCAACTACATCTGCGCGTCGCCTGGACCACAGCTTCTCCGCCGCCCTCGTATGACGACAGAGACTGCCAACAACCCGTATCTTCGACATCCGTAATCTGGAGAACCCTCACTACTCCGGCAACTACAAAAGAAAGCAACGCTCCATTGATCACTACCAGTACGTAGTGGATGGTTACCTTTACCAGTCCAATTACGCCAACGGACTCGATGTTGTGGATATCCGCTCGATTACCGAGGATTCCAGCGGTAGCAGCATGTGCGTGGCTAGTTTTTTCGACGTATCCCCAAAAGATGACGAGAAGGAGGGTGGTGGCGCAGTCGCCTTCCTCAGATCCTGGTCCTCATACGCCAAATCCAAGTATGGCTTCACTATGGTGCACACTATCGAGCGCGGCACCTTCATAGTCAAAATGATCCGCAAAGAGGGCCCTTAGCCAGCTGTCTGCAAGTTCAACAGTTGTCTGACATCACTTCGTGCCAGCAGCATCGAAGGACGAATCGAACACGGTCAATCATTTTGCGGGAACTTTACAGCTCGACAAATGAATGATGAGCGTGCGGTTCCAGACTACACGAGGACAGCCTGAACCGGAGAGGATGACGTCGCCCGAGTCAGCAGCGCTTGCGCTTGTGTGTCCACCACGGTGCCGCAGCTAGGATAACAAGCAGGCCGTCTGTGCCTACTGTTCTATCACGCAAGATGAGGTAGAGATATGATATGGCTAATTTCCAGTATGTACCAACATACAACAAAATCATGAAATGAGTAGGACGACCATTTACGAGTGGCAGTACGGAGTACGATATAATGATATCGTATATTTCATGCAAGCGTGTATTACTTGAGTTCTGGGACTCTTTGCAAGTGTCTGGGTTGTTAGGGTAGTTCATGATGTTAACAATACCTTCGATATGATGTGGTCCTTCAATCACAGATGCAATGACTAGGCGCTTCGAGTGACTGTTCTTCTAAAAGTGAACAAAACCCTCGCCTAGGTGTAAGATGCCGCAGCTTCGGGTCGCGCAAATTTCAATATCTGATAGATGGTGATTAGTATTGAGTCTAGCTTTAGCCCGACGCTAACGCCGCTCTAGTCAGCGCCACCCCCTGGAACAACACCCCCTGGTACAACGATCGATAATCTTGGTATTGAGATCGATATGTAGCCCAAGTGCGGACAGCCTTGCGTCGTGTGCTAACCGTTTAGACATAACTACCGGCTGATCATAATCGACAAATATGGTTGGAGGCTTTCACTCCACAATGTCTAGTGGCTTAATTCAACATTCCATGATTCGCGCGGAACCTTAGTTTTATAGATCAGCTCGAGACTCAGCCAGCCTCAATTCTTCTATCGGTCGTGCTGTGCTTGGCTTCATTTCTCACAACAGATAAATACAGTGTGCCCCTTGGGGAAAAGAAAGGGTTGTTATCCACATTCATACCAACCATCTACTTCTCGTAGTCTACTGTCTTTACTTTCTGTCCCACAAAATGCTGTTCAACTCACTCGTTACGTTGACAGCCCTTGTCAGCCTCGTTCAGGCATCACCCCAATATGGTGGATACGGCGGATACGGACAGCCTGCCCGCACTGTCACTACCACCAAAACCCAGGTCTCCACTGTCAGCCTTCCCGGAAAGACTTCTACTGTCAAGCTTCCTGGAAAGACTTCAACGGTCAGCCTCCCCGGGAAGACAGTAACAACCCAGGGCTACTGCGCTGTCAAGACCTTGACGCTCCCCGGCCGCCCGGTCACCGTGTCGCTCCCTGGTTTCTCCGTTACCAAGACGATCACCACTCAGGCCACATGTTCGCCTATCACAAAGACTGTCCCTGGCGTTGATGCCACGATTACGTCCACTCAGACGCTGCCTGTCGTGACAGCTACTATCCCTGGTGCCAACTTTACAATCACGTCTACTGTTGCTGGCGCCAACACTACAGTAACTTCGACGCTGCCTGCCGTCACCACAACCAAGACGCTGCCTGTAGTCATCACAACCGAGACGCTGCCTGCCGTCACCACAACCGAGACGCTGCCTGCCGTCACCACAACCGAGACGCTGCCTGCCGTCACCACAACCGAGACCTCAACTACCTCAGTCAACGGACCTTGCCCAACAAACCAACTTCCTGCTGAGACAGTTACCTCAACAAAGACTATCTTTTCGGTGACTTCAACCTTGACGCTGCCTGCGACAACCACAACCGAGACGCTGCCTGGATCAACGATTACGGTCAATGAAATCTCGACTGTGACACTGCCTGCAGTGACCAAGACCGAGACACTGCCTGCGTTGACTATTACCTCGACGTCGACTACTCCAGTCGTAGTACCCGGCCCCACGACAACACAATTCCAGAGCGTGACCGTGACTTCGACTTCAGTGCGTGTAGTAACTGTAACTTTGGTTCTCGGCTAATAGCTCATGGATACGATGTTTTGACCTTGATCAGTATTAGTTAATATTAATGTCAATATATGTTTTTGTGTTTCCGATCATGCTTCTCAATTTTAAAACCAATCAACTGTTTATTCATACCAAGTTCTACTACGACGTCGGCTTAACTTGCCAACAAACACAATGAGCGGTAGAGCGTCGGCTGTAGACGGTGCGAAGTATCAATGCCAGGATGCTTCACTCATTCGCCCTCATTGTCTTTACTTCCCCGCACGCAGGGAGATGGCTAGAACAGACGTTCTTTTTTCTACTGTTCAAATCGTCCGCTTCGTCGCCGTCGACATCTCCACTCTGAGTAAGGGTATATCCCTGCATTTGATTCTCAGCTAGTACCTGACATACTTCCTCCGCCAATAATCCTCTCCTTGATCATCACACGGCACGACGCGACAATCTCCACATCCGCACGTAAGGCTTCAGCTCACATATTTTCTGCGGCGCTGTTCTCAGCCGCACTTCGGATCCAGGGGTCTTGGGATCCACTGGCCCTTTTGTCAAGACTTATCAATATGCGCTAATGCAGGTCCAGCCAACGCCACCTCCCAATCCAACACTCCTCACAACACGAAGCTTCGCGCCGTTGAAACATCGAAAATATCGGCTTTCTGCTGGATACTGCATATTTGTTGGGGCGCTGTTTTCGGCAAGTCGTCTTCCGACATCGCTCTTCCGAACCGTTAGGTGAACTGTCCCGTAGACGTGGACATAGGTCCCGAGACTGACCCTAAGGTACAAGCCACCTCACTTGTCAGTATCTAGTGGGAAGCTAAGTCTCTCGGGTGTTTACACTCCAGACCCAGGCAGGCGTATCGCCAAGCCAAACACATGAAGCTTAAACTTTCGACATGCCAGGCCAATACCAAGCTCTATATTTGATGAGTCGTGAAGCGATCATTATCTGACCATAGGCCGGTTGGGTCGAAGATGTACGCTATTTATCGTGAAAGATGAGGTTGATGACAGAGACGAGTTAGGTTTTATATGTATCTTGAGGATTTGACGGCTTCATCGAAGCGCCACAGATGGCAAAGGTAATTGAGAAGCATTCGCTTTGCAAACTTAGTTTGTCTTCAGCTCCACATTATGCTTGCAAAAGCCTCATCTGGGACAATGAATCGGAATACAGTCAGCCACAATCCAACTCCATCAGCCATTCCGCTCTTAGCATCTGTTCAACCCATTGTTATACATGCACAGAGGGGGTGCAACGCAGTTTTTTTCAATCCATACACTCTTTTGCCTACTACCTGTTCAAGGTGATTTTCTGTCTTTACCTCTTGTTAAAATGTTGTTCACTCCACTCCTTACAGTGACGGCGCTCCTCGGTATCACCCAAGCCCAGCAATATGGCGGCAGGTACAGCTCATCAACCTGCGGTGTCCCAACAACGGTTACGAAGACTTGCACCAGCACAGTCTCAATCCCTGGGTTCTCAATTACCAAGACAGTCACAAATCATGCCTCAGTCACCAAGACAATTACGAACCAAGCCTACTGCTCGGCTACTGTGAAAACAGTGTCGATGCCTGGATTTTCAATTACAAAGACGGTTACGAATCGAGCCTCCTGCCTGGCGGCATTGACGAAAACTACTACCTTGGGCGGAGCTGTTTCGACGGTTACGTCTACCATTGCTGGCGCCAACTCGACAATCACGACGACACGAACTCTGGCTGCGGTGACTACTACCGTCAATGGAATGAACTCTACGATCACGTCTACTGTTACTGGCGCCAATTCTACAATAACAACTACTCAGACGCTGCCTGTGATAACCACAACAATCGAGGCAGTTAACTCCACGATCACGACAACCGAGACGCTGCCTGTGGTGACTACGACGATTGAAGGAGTCAACTCTACAGTTACTACTACACAGCTTTCTACCACTACTCTGCCTGCGGAAACTGTAGTCCAGAACTTCACAACAACCGCTATCACAACAACCACAGCGACTCCAGCGTGTGTAGCAACTTCAGTAACCCCCAACTCGTGGAACGCCCTTAGTGCAGGTGATGTACAGATAGGAACCTTTCCTGTACTAAGTGCGATTATCCAGGAAACAAACCCTAACCTCCCCCAACGCTGGGTGCAAACCGTGGCAGTATGTCCTGGTAATAGCTACGTAGTATCGCTGGACGCGGTACGAGGGACCGACCTCAGCGGCACTGCGTATGTTAGAGCTTATGCGGACAGGAATATGATAATGGAATATCCGGTTCTTGATGATTCGAATACTTGGAGGGGAAGTTTTTTCGCTAGCTCTGCCTCAACGGCTCTGGTCATAGAGTTCGTTTTCTACAATGGTGAAGGGCGGAAAAAGGGTATGTCAGTCTCTAACGTGCAGGTGTCCCCAAGTTCTCGTACTTGAATATTCTATGACCAACAGTGGGGACTTGGAACATGTTCTTTGGTTGCAATGTTACGTATTCCAACCACGTTTGTTGTCATACTTCCTAGGTCTTTTCCTATAATCACATGTTTCACAACTTAAGACTTTGTACCTACCGTATTATTGTTCTAGTAGTCTGTAATATATCCTTCTACACAGTTTACACATCTGTTCAGTTCATTTCCTCGTACGTGAAACAACTTCCGGTACTCACTGCTGAACACAAACGATTCAACTAAAAGACCGTTTGTCACATCGCGTGTATTCTCAGTATCAATCCTTGATAGCACCGCTTAAAGATACTTGCTTGACGGGTCGTACATGATTCCGTGTCGAGGCTGGTATGTATCGAGAATGCAGGGGTAGAATAGATTCAACATCGTTTTGAGGTTGTTCCTAATACCTTGACGATAAGTGGGCTTTGTTGCGATCAGATATGTCCGTGTTCACCAGCGGATTTGGATAGGTGTTCCATTCCAAGATCAAAAGCACGGTTCTTTCAAAGCTGGCTGTAGGATTTCACGTTTTTTGTTATAACGAGATGGTACATGTAGACGCTATCACACAGAGGGTTCAAGTGCGGAACGTCGCTTGGGGATATTGATTTTGGAGAATGTAATACTATTGTTCATTACCCAGCTCTACACTGCTAGTGGGACCAAAGTAGAAGTTTCACAAGCAGGACCAGATCAGTTATATATTGACCAATTTCATAACAGCGATTCTTCCGCGTAGCAACCGAGGGGTTCTTCTGGACATCGTTTGATCTTCCTATCTTTATCCGGTTTGATCATATAGGTCAGCGAGGAGGGTATAATATAATCTCGATGAACAACAATAATCGCAAAGGCAATATTGGTGGAACAGTGAAAGTGACATACATCCTCTGAGGTACTTTATATCAAGTGTGTTTTGAGATCTAAGATGAATTATAGGCTTCCAGGCATGTCGATTACTATTACGAAACTGTCAACGATACCAATACGGTACCTTCTAGACCTTTTACAAGGTGCAACACACGGTTTATAACACGTATACTTCTCTAATACAAGCACACCAATCCCGTTTTCTTTTGTCTTGACAATCTCTTCTCCATGTTCTGCCTACTCCAAACTCCCTACACCTCCGCCAATTCCAGATTCCCTTCCACTACTGAAATCCTGTTCTCATTCTCAACCCCAATTTCCTCTCTTTCTACTACACTTCTCTTACTCGACTCATTCGCTGTGCACTTGATAGCCTGAAATGTCGGCAAGCCCGATCCAGCACCAGGAAAGTCCAATGTCTGGACCTCGCCCGTGCAGTCGAATTTTTGGAATAAAGTGCAGCGTCCGTCTGGGTCGGGTCCGATGGATTTTGCAGAGCTCACTATGATGCAATTGTCTTCGGGAGGTCGCCAGGCGCAGTTTCCACTGAAGTCGGTGCCGTCGCAAACGTAAACTGCGCCTGGGAGACCTCGCGTTCGAAGACCGGGACGAGCTATTGTCGGTGTGGATAGAAAGGTGAGAAGGATTAATATTGTGATGTAGAAGGTCGATATTATGGGCGTTGTGTAGCGCGGCATGGCTGATGTTTGCAAGGTTGTGATTAAGAATTATTGGTGCGTATGAAGCTGCTATCGAGCCGCGCGTTTCGAGTCGAGGGCGATGTCGAAATGTACTCCAGATGACTTTGTCGCAGTGTGTTAGATTTTTCTTAGAAAAGGGTGAGTGTAATATGATTGTAGGATATTTGTAGACGGCAGCAAGGGATCACCTGAGGTAGGGAACATTGCAGCGGAATGCAACGCAACACAACGCAAACAAAACAACGAACATACCTTCCAACTATTGAATTGTTTCCAACGGACAAAGACCAGTCTTTTCGAAGGAACCTCGCCGTGAGTTCATCTGGAAGAGATGCGTACGTGAGGTAATCAGCTCCATCATGCAGGCGCACAATTCTAGACACGTAAAGGCAGCCAGGCCATGAGTAAATGATACGGATGTTGTTCAGATTCGGGTTGGGGCGTGGCGTGAAATTTGACAGAAATTCTAGGTATATGGGGGAGGTAATATGGGTGCTGGATTGTGAAACACGCTGCGACCCTTCCTGTTGCAGCCGCAGATCCGTTGCAGATGTAACCCGACGGCTTTAATATGAGCTGCAACGAAGCTGCAACGAAGCTGCAACGAAGCTGCGGCATCCTAGCTAATGTCGTTTATTTGTTACTGCCAAGCTGTCGCTGGAGACGGAAGCATTCGTCGTCGCTTGTCATGCACGACAGTTGGAATTGACTTTGATCGACAGGTACGGGGTCTTAAATACCACTCCACATTTTTCTTCGTGTCTTGAACCATACACCCGGAGTCAAAAAAAGAACCCACATCCAAACTCTCTGGCCTTCTACAACACAATTTCGCAGCCAATAGAAGATTGAAACAAAATTCTAACAAGACAAAATTAAAGAGTAGCTTCTCCTTTACATGCAGTAAGAATACTATCTCTTAACAGTTTGTTGTTGCTACGGATTTTCGCTTTAAAGCAGGCGAGTTCTTCAAGGTCTTAGCGATTTAGGTAGTTTAGTGTCTGTTCTTTTTTTTTACTCCGCGTGCAAGGCACTCTATTCTAATCCCTACAACGCCTTAATTTTATGCAAATTCCTCTTTTATAAAAATTAAGATCAATTGAAACTTACATTCTAAGTCTATTTATTACTAAAAAATTTCATTTCTTACCAAAAATAGGTAGGAAATAGAGGTAGAATGTAGTGTTTCAAGAGGGGCGAAGTATATGCTAAGAGAGTCTGTACCTAGTTAAGGAATTAGCTTGTGTTAGTGCTATTTAGTTAGTTAAACAGAGACTTAGTGCCTCTTATATAGGTGCTCAGCGATAGTTATGTAGGTGCTTGTTAACTGCTGCCCTATAAAACCTTAATATATCTTGCGCTAACTAGTTTAAGACATTGTGTTTACTACTAATACATTATGTTTATTAATTAAGTAAAATCCTAGGGTTTATGTTAGTTACGATGAACTGCGGTTCGAAATTGTAGAAGCTAACAAAATACAAGAGCAACTAACAACACGCGTAGAAAGAGGAAGGTGTGGAGATGTAAGAAATATCAATTCTATATCATAGTTCTTGACCACAAGAGAGTCCACTAGAGGTTTTCCAAACTGTTGTCTCGCGTAGAAGGATATCATCATTATCAAATGCAAATCTTTTTAACAACATGCCGCCTGGCCTCTCTATACCAAGATACCCTTGTTTAACGTTATTTCTCTCGTCGCAGCTCCGATTGAAATTACATCAATTATGTCTGATGTGCCTTGCGGAACTGGTTCCAGAGGCTAACAATGCGCGCATCCTGACCGTCGGTGAAGTTGGTCATGCAAGAGCTAACGAGTATGTTAGTACCATGAAGCTTAACAAATCTCAAGGAAAACTTACTCTTCGGAGTAGTTCATGTAGTTCGTTACTGGGTCAGTGCCTGCTTGGCTGGGACAAGAGTCACTGGCAGGCGCACATCCGTATCCTTCTTGTTTGGTGAAGGCTGTGTCAGAGACGTAGTCACCATTGCCGGTGCAGCTGTATCCCTCGAAAACGTGGTACACTAGGAATTAAATTAGCATGAATTTGACTTAATTTAGATATAGGAAGAACATACAGCCCAACCAGTGGCCAACCTCATGTGTTGCAGTCCTGCCAAGGTTGTACGCAGCTAAGCTGCCTCCGGGCACAGAAGCAGATTGGATAACAACACCGTCTTGATAAAATGCGTTAGAGGTAGTGCTGGTGATATCCGAAGGGAAGTAAGCGTAGCCAAGGTCCTGTGTGTCGGGGACGAAGTAGACGTTCAGGTCGGCGTAGGTTCCATTACGCAAAGCCTTTTTCATAGCCATCTCTTGTGTGTCGCCCGCATAGCCGGCGTTGATAGTCCAGTCAGCGCCTGCTTGCACAAAGGAAACACCGGATGCAGCATAATCAGTGTTTAGAACCGCAAGTTGTTTGTTTAAAGTCGCCTGCGTGAGGTATCCTCCGCTCACAGAGTTTGAAGAGGCAACGACATGCCAGTAGATTTTGACGTTAATGGCGGCGACGGCGGCGTCGAGGCGAGACGAGTTTTCTGCAGAGATTTGAAAGTTCTGAGCAACCAAGATCTGTTCCACCGTGGGCTTCGGTGTGCCGCAGCTACGCTTTGCTACTGCACCGGTACTAGCGAGCAGGGAGAGGAGTGATTTAATCTGCATAGCTTAGAAGTCAATGAGGAGTGGCGATTGATGGAGTATTGATGCCTATTCGAGATGGGTAGCAAAGGTGTATATTTATACTCCAGTGTATTTTTATTTTTATCCTGGGTGAAGCTAATACTCAGTACCTTGATACGCAGAAAATATTAGTAAAAGTACCCAACAACAGTAACAAAGAGCTGATTAACAAACTATCTCTTAACAACTTTCTGCTTAATGTACTAGTGCGGACGCGTGTTTGAGAGCCCAGGCAGCCGTTCGTTGAAGTTTGGTTCAATCGTGAACCCTGGCTCTCGGTTAATCGAAATACCAGGAACCAAGGTGCAGCGAAATCACGCAACAGCTTGACAAATACAACTGTGTTTAGTGTAGAAATCTTTTGCCTAGATTTTCAACTGTATACGCCTTGCGTACACGTTTTTTTATTTTAGTTGTGTAATTTTGCAGCTTGTAGGAGCCACAAAGAATGCAGCTTACTTCCCGCTTTTACAGTTGACCAAGAGCCTGGATCTTATCTTGAACCCTGGCTCGGTCGTGAAAACTCTTTAATTGACCAATAAAGTTGAACACACAACGAGAGCAGCTTCGGAGGGGGTGCAGGCAACGACGGTTCATGTAGACGAGCTAACACATAAATATCCTTCGCACCTCGAGAGTCGCAGAGGAAGTCAGAGCGGCATCGAGACGAGAAAGCATGAGGCGGACAGTGTGGATTAGAAGTGTGAGGTGACAGTTGTCACAGAAAGGAAATAAGAGCACCGTGATGGAGAGAACAGTGACGGCGGGCCGGCTTTACCGCGGGTGGTCGTAGGGCTGTTGGCGGGGCTCAACGAAATCGCTTCTGTGGTGTCCGCGCATCCAACACCAACAGCATGCCCTAATGTTGAGTGCTCGGAGACGCGTGTGCTTCTTGCAGACCTACTCAATTGCTCGGTCGTATCATAGTGCACCCAACATGGAGAAGCGCGACTATGCGGTGAGATCAATCAGCATGCCATGCGACTGGTGATCTGAATTGACTCGATCTGATCTGACGCTGCACAGGCTGCCGTCGCGGCACTGAACACGCTGCAGTCCAACTTTTCAATCGTCGATGCGATTCGGAAGTCTGGGCGAGGCATGAACACCCAGGCCATACCAGAGATGCTGGAATGGTGTCGCAAGGTGGGATATGAGGTGTGCGGATCCCAGCGCCTTTGTGTCGAGAGCAAAAAGTGATAACCTGACGCACAGCCTGCGGCCTTCGACCGCCTGAAACCCATACACATAGCCGGGACCAAAGGGAAGGGTTCTACCAGCGCCTTCATCTCCTCCATTCTTGCGCAGTACATACCCTCGAACGGTGCGCAGACGACGCCCTCGAAGGTCGGCCTCTACACGTCCCCACACCTACGCTTCGTCCGTGAGCGGATACAGATCAACAATGAGCCAGTGTCAGAGGCAATGTTTGCCAAGTACTTTTTCGACGTGTGGGATAGGTTGGAAGCAGCAGCGGCAAAGGCTGAGACTACGCCGACACATGTCCCGACGAAACCTGTGTACTTCAGATACCTGACGCTCATGGCACTGCATGCCTACCTCGAGGAAGGCGTGGATACAGCGGTCATTGAGTGTGGCATTGGCGGCGAGTACGATAGCACAAACATCATCACGAAGCCTACAGTCACAGCCGTCACAAGCTTAGGCATCGACCACACAGCCATGCTGGGCTCTACGCTGCCTGAGATCGCATGGCACAAAGCCGGCATCTTCAAAGCAGGGGCCGTCGCGTTCACATCGCCCCAGAAGGAAGAGGCTATGACAGTATTGCGCGAACGAGCCGCAGAAAAAGGCACTAGCCTCCACGTCATTAACGTCCACCCCGCCCTGGCCAACAATGAGGTCAAGCTCGGCTTGTCCGCATTCTTCCAAAAAGTAAACGCATCAGTGGCAATCGCAGCAGCAGCAGCTCACCTACGCGCTCTTGGCCACGTGTCCATTCCCGACCCGACAACTTCCGCCCATATTGATCTTCCGCCCGAGTTTATTCGGGGGCTGGAGCAGGTGCGTTGGCCAGGTCGATGCGAGATCAGACGGGAAAAGCATGTTGCGTGGCACCTCGACGGAGGCCATACGTTGGAGAGCATCGAGCTCACAGGACGCTGGTTCGCAGAGCAGATGGAAGCAACGCAGTCTCAAGGCCCTCGGGTGATGATCTTCAACCAACAAACTCGAGACGCAAGCGCGCTTGCCAAAGCTCTCTATGCGACTTTACAAAATGGCGTTGCGTCAGGCCCAGCCTCTCCGTTTACTCACGTCATCTTCACCACCAATCAGACCTTCAATGAGGGTTACAGACCCGACCTCATCTCGATGAACACGAACCAACAGGACGTCGACACACTCGCAGTGCAGAAGGCGCTCGCAGCCACATGGTCTGAGATTGACAGTTCAGCGGAGGTTCAAGTTCTAAAAACCATTGAAGAAGCTATCGGAGCTGCAAGAGCTATCGCACGCGACTGGGCCAAGGATTCTACCGTAGAGGTGATGGTTCTGGTCACTGGGAGCTTGCATCTGGTCGGCGGTGCTCTCGAGGTTCTGGAAACGGGGAAAACAAGCTGAGAAACAAATACGATACCCATAGATAGTACATGTGAGAAACCTAAACAGCGGTGTGGACTTCAACATGCACTAAGATTTTGCTTTAGAACCTATGTTCAACGCACGAGTCCAGAGCCCTCCTTCCCCGCATAATGCTCGTATGTGTTATGCGGGTGTTCCCGGAGCTGGTTAAGATCTTCTGTCAGGTCGTGCGCGGTCCGGTAAAAAGTATAGACTCAGGGACAACAAAGTATTTGGTAAGATAACTAGACTTATGGAGATCGTTGGCACTTCTCGTTGTCTTGCAGCCTTTTACTCTGAATCACATAGACGCGTACTTTCAATAAGTAATATCGCAAGGAATTTGGTATTTATTGTCCAAAACATCGAGCAAGACAGCAAAAAATAGGTTGACATGTGATATTCTTACTACCAAGAGTGAGTGAGTTGTTTAAGTTTGTCCGCTTGCAGGGTTAGGATGAATTAGGAATAGGTAACGTCGCGTGAACCTCAGACAACCGCGGCCACCAGTGTCGCGCTGAGAGTTAGTGCGTTGATGGTCATGGCATGACAATTGATACACACGAATCTCCTGGCATGCAGTATGAGTTGATGTGGAGTTGATATTTGCATTTCGTGTCACCGTCTCTTCGAACCTTCGATGGGAAGTTGCAAACATCGAGTTCTCATTGAGAGAGCATAGAACGGTTTTCGCGTGGTGCAGGGTTGTGCTCGCTTGGCGCACGGCAAAGCCTTCTCTTTGGACAGTCGTCGCGGATGCTTCTTAGCCGGTGACGGCTCTAGGGCCCCATTCAGATGTGACATATACTCCGATACTTCCCTACTTTCTCCACGTCATTACTTACATACAAACCTTCATTCACACATCCTCCCTGAGATCTTGTAGCGCATCGCCACCATGAATTGTCCTTCGAAGAACGATAACGTGCTCCTTAACCCGGGATGGAACCAAAGTCCACCGCGCTTTGCTGCGGATCTCACAACATGCCAGGACCTCAATGGAATCGCAAATTCTCGAGAGCTAGGAGAAGCCGATCGCTTGCGCAGTGGCTCTCAGAGTCTCAAACGTTGTGAGCTGGAAGACAACAGTTTCCAAGAAAAAGAAAAAGAACAACTGGCGATTGGGGAGGGTGCCAAAGGGTCCTACCAAGGTACGAACAAAAGTGTGAGGTTGAGTATGGACATGAATGCTGACGTGTTTTGCAGGACCTTGCACCCGAACATCCGCAAACGTGAACAATGAGCACCGAGGTGGCATCAGCACCACGAACCACAGCTTCAAGGGCTGGGCGACTTGGCTGTTTTCTGTACTATGCACTTCCGCGTTTCTTTCCTTCGCTAGCGGGAATGGAATGCCAAATGTAGCTGCCTCTGCAAAGTCTGTGTTCCAAACAACAAACGGTAGGCTCACATTAACCATCCATTCGAGGCTTTGATGAGCTGACATATGTTGCAGACGCTTCGTCGTCTCGCCATCATTTCAGGCGAGATGCCTGCGCGAATGGCAGCGCAAAACCAAACTACAACCTCTCGCTCCATGTTGCGGGCCTCTTTATTATCCTGTGTGTTTCCTCTACTGGCTGCGCCTTTCCGATTCTGGTGACCAAGTTCCCGCGCCTACGTATTCCACCGTCTTTCCTCTTTAGTGCCAAGCATTTTGGAACTGGCGTCCTGATTGCAACTTCTTTTGTGCACCTACTTCCTACAGCGTTTCTGTCTTTGAGCAACTCATGTCTATCGGGATTTTGGACCGACGACTATCCCGCAATGCCAGGCGCCATCATGCTAGCTAGTATCTTTTTTGTCACTATCATCGAAATGGTCTTCTCTCCCGCTCAGCACGTTTGCGGTGGAAATAGCGGAATTGCAGGTGTCGCGCGAGGTACCAAAGAAAGCAATACCACAGGGGCTGCTACAGGTGACGCACAAAACAAAATGCACCGAACATACTCTGATAGCAGTGTGCGTGTGCGCGAAATGGGGCCTTTACGAGGCAGAATGACGAGCATCAGCCGCACTCTAACCAAATACCGCGAGGAGACTCAACGACTTGATGCCATAGCATCGATTGGATTAGAAGCCCCGGTCGAGGACTCCAAGAGTGAAAGCGATGAATGCGCTATCGAAGATCCTGAGAGAAATGAACAGAAAACCGAGCTGACGCCTGAACAAGTACACAAGAAAGCTATTATGCAGTGCTTTCTCTTAGAAATGGGCATCCTCTTCCACAGCATCTTCATTGGAATGTCTCTCAGCGTTACTGTTGGGAATGATTTTGTCGTCCTGCTTATCGCCATCATTTTCCATCGTAAGTACCATCTTGTTCTAGAGAAAAAACTATGTCCTAACGTTTGTAGAAACATTCGAAGGCCTTGCCCTCGGAGTCCGTATCGCTGCCATCGAATGGCCGGAGCATGCTCTACAACCTTGGCTCATGGCTATTGCATACGGCTGCACGTAAGTACACACTCCCCAACCCATCCCCTTTGATTATAAACACATCAAATTCTGCTTAACACACCCGTTCCCTCTCTAGTCGAACATACCGCAACTCATGACTAACCGCTTTTTAGCACTCCTCTTGGCCAAGCCATTGGGATAGCGACCCACACACTTTATAGCCCGGGTTCCGAAATCGGTCTTCTCGTCGTTGGCATCATGAACGCCATATCCGCCGGCTTTCTCATATTTGCTTCGCTTGTTGAGCTCATGTCTGAAGACTTTCTAAGCGATGAGAGCTGGCAGGTTTTGAGAGGCAAGAAGAGGGTTGCTGCCTGTCTCTTGGTCTTTTTTGGCGCGTTTTTGATGAGCCTTGTCGGTGCTTGGGCCTAGATGGCAAGGCTGGAACGATTGCACGGGAGAGGGAAGACGAGTTGGGTAATGACGAGGGGGGCAGGAAACTGTAAATATGGGATAGCGGTACATATGACTGTTGTGAGTGTCTTTCGGACAAATGTTGTATATACTGTGCTTATCAATTAGTACTTTGGGCTCTTTCCGTTCGTGAATGTTCTCATCCTCGCTCGTGTGCCCAGCATCCACATATTCAATCTCTCATGCATTACCGTAACTGACTTTTCATTCCTCTCATCACTTTGCCAAGCGTACATCGCGCACCTGGCCGTCGATGCAATACTGCTGTCTCTTATCCTTTACATGCACAAATAGTACATTGGCACCATCCCAGGGGTTTTGGTCATATTGACGAGGTGGTATAGCACTCTCCGGCTGTCACCGCGGATCTAGGGCATGCATCCCCTTGAACGATCAAACGGGTAAAGAAGCACTCCTTCTCTTGTCCAGGTTTCAACAGTATTTGCGACCAGGAGAGTAACAGGAGCGATACAACTCAGAGTAAATCAAGGAAGTGGTCGTGGTTCAACCACTAAGATACAGGGATATTTCGTGGTGTTCTTCCACAAGTCGGAATCTTCCTAGCGTGTGTTACATCATCCGCCAAGCTAATTTACGCGTCCCACGCGACGCGTTCCTTCCCCAGAGAACCGGCGTTCACTCGCGATTGTCAGTTTCCCGCTTTCGACTAAGCCTTGCCATTGTCACATACCTCACATAATATCCTCAAAACTACATCATGGTTCGCGGCATAGAAGGAAACGAAATGTCGACACCTCGCCCCTCACAAAAAAAACAGCCCCCATCTGGCTCGCAACAAAAGTCTATTTTAGGATTTTTCCAGAAGAAGTCGACCAATTCACCCAGTCCCGCACCATCTGCATTGACACCGACAAAGAAAACGCCCACATCTACGCTATCCATGAGAGCGTTCAGTAGGCCCTTAACATCCATCACACCCATCCCGAGTAGCGACGCACCTGAACCCTCGAGCCCAATACGGCAGGAGCACTCGACTTTGGGAAAGAATAAGGAGAATGGTCTGCTCTCACTCGGAAAGTCTCGAAACGCGGAAGCTGATTATATCTTGCCAGAGGTTACAGACGTCGCTTTCAGTAGTCCATCGCGCAAGGTACGTCTGAATACGCATGTTGCAATGTGACAACTTTCGCTCATGCCCTGGCTTAGGCTAGAAAAGGTGTCAAATATGCCGAATCTGATGATGAAGATGACGACGATATTCTGGGACCGATTGCCAACAACTCAAGGGGAAGAACTCAAAAGCGTCGGAAAGTGAGCATACAGGACGACTCAGACGACGAGTTTGGTCTCGACGCTGCTACCCAACAGGCTATGGTAGACGATGGTACGTTTTCGAGAATCTGTCATTGAGTGTTGTCAAATTTGTCCTGTGTGAGGACTAACTCTTCGCAGATGTAGACGATTTTGTTGTCCCAGACGATTCTGATGAGGAAGAAGTCGTTTCGAAAAAGCGCAAGCGACCGTCATCGACTAAGCCCAGCAACAAGGCCGTTCCGACATCTTCTCCGCCCATCATAGCTGATGACGATGCCGACGACGACATGGCAATGACCGGAACCTCCACCGCGCAGCAATGGACGTACGATCCGGAGAATCCCATGCAGCCTAAGCCTCGTCCAGCCACCACCAAGAAGAGCGCAAGCAAGAAGATGAAGGAGAGACCGTCTGCATCCGAACCAGAAACGAGATACTCATGGCTAGCGCATATGCAGGACGCTGACCGTAATCCGGCTGATCATCCCGACTACGACCCTCGCACACTCTACATCCCACCAGGAGCATGGGCCAAATTTTCGCCCTTTGAGAAACAATACTGGGAAATCAAGAGCAAGTTCTGGGACTCGATCGTTTTCTTCAAGAAGGGCAAGTTTTACGAACTATACGAGAAGGATGCCTCCGTTGGTCATCAGCTCTTTGACCTCAAGCTAACTGATCGAGTCAATATGAGAATGGTTGGCGTGCCAGAGGCGTCGTTGGACATGTGGGCGAATCAATTCGTTGCCAAAGGATATAAAGTTGCTAGAGTCGATCAGATGGAGTCTGCTCTTGCCAAGGAGATGCGCGAACGTGATGGAAACAGTGACAAGAAGAAGACTCCCAAGAAAGAAGACAAGGTCATTCGACGCGAGCTGGCCGCAGTCCTGACGTCTGGCACCCTTGTCGACACTGGCATGCTGCAAGGTGACATGGCGACCTACTGCATGGCCATCAAGGAAATCGACCGTGACAATCTACCTGCCTTCGGCGTCGCGTTCGTCGATACAGCCACTGCCCAATTCCAGCTCTGCGAGTTCACCGACGACATCGACATGACCAAGTTCGAAACTCTCATCGCGCAGATGCGCCCGGGCGAGTTACTTATTGAGAAGTCATGTCTCTCTGCGAAAGCATTGCGCATTTTGAAGAACAATACTGGACCCAATACTCTCTGGAATTCACTGAAGCCGACGAAAGAATTCTGGTCTGCTGACACTACCATGCGTGAGGTGGAGGCCAGCGGATATTATCAGTCTCCAACAGAAGACAACATAGAAGCTTGGCCGCCTGTTCTTCGCGAAGCACGTGAGCAGGAGCTGGTCATGTCGGCTTTCGGCGCACTATTGCAGTACCTCCGTACCCTGAAGATCGAGCGCGACTTGGTCACTCTCGGTAACTTCCAATGGTACGATCCAATTCGAAAAGCTACGAACTTAGTGCTCGATGGGCAGAGCTTGATCAATCTGGAGATCTTCGCCAACACTTTCGACGGATCAACCGAGGGAACATTGTTTGCCATGTTAAATCGATGTATCACGCCGTTCGGCAAGCGACTACTCCGGCAATGGGTGTGCCATCCGCTTGCAGATGCAAAGAAAATCAACGCACGTCTCGACGCAGTAGATACGCTGAATGCTGACTCTGCAATCATTGACAACTTCAGCTCATCGCTCAGTAAGTTGCCGGACCTCGAACGCCTCATCTCTCGTGTGCATGCCAAACGTTGCAAGGCTCAAGACTTTCTTAGAGTGCTTGAGGGCTTCGAAACGATTGAGTACACTATCAGTCTTCTCAAGCAGTTTGGAGATGGCGAGGGGGTTATCGGACAACTCATCTCCTCCATGCCCGACCTGGCCAACGTTCTATCAAAGTGGAAATCAGCCTTCAATCGCGAGACTGCAAAGGCGGACGGCATTTTGGTACCTGAGCTCGGCGTGGAAGAGGACTTTGACGAAAGCCATGAGGTGATCAAGGAGTGCGAAGCCAATCTTGACGTTTTGTTGAAGAAAGCGCGGAAAGACCTAGGTTCAAACGCCGTCATTTACAGAGACAACGGAAAAGAGATTTACCAGTTTGAAGTTCCGAAGAAGATCAAGGTGCCTAGCAACTGGGATCAAACATCAGCCACGGCCAAGGTCACCCGTTACTACTCACCCGAACTGCGGAAGCTTGTTCGAGCTCTGCAGGAGGCCCAGGAAACACATGGTCAGATCACTCGAGAAGTGGCCACTCGCTTCTGCGAAAGGTTCGATGAAGACTACCAGGTATGGCTCGCTGCCATCAAGGTCATCGCCCAGCTTGATTGTCTCATCAGTCTAGCAAAGACATCTGCCTCACTTGGTGAACCCAGCTGCCGACCGAAGTTCTCCGAAGGCAACCGCACTGTCGTCAACTTCGAAGAGCTCCGTCACCCGTGTATGCTCAATACCGTTGATGACTTCATCCCTAATGATATCAGGCTAGGTGGCGATTCAGCAAACATCAGCCTTCTCACTGGTGCCAACGCAGCCGGCAAATCGACTATTCTACGAATGACGTGCATTGCAGTCATCCTCGCTCAAGTCGGTTGTTACCTGCCTTGCATTTCCGCGACACTCACGCCGGTCGATCGCATTATGTCGCGTCTCGGCGCCAACGACAATATTTTCGCCGCACAGTCAACCTTCTTCGTCGAGCTGTCGGAAACGCAGAAGATTCTTTCTGAGGCAACACCTCGCTCTCTCGTCATCCTTGATGAACTCGGTCGCGGTACGTCGTCCTACGACGGTGTCGCAGTTGCGCAGGCTGTGCTGCACGATATCAGCTCACGAGTCGGCTGCGTCGGCTTCTTCGCAACACATTACCGCTCGTTGGCTAAGGAGTTTGAATACCATCCCGAAGTCGAGAACAAGCGAATGCGAATTCACGTTGACGATGCGTCTAAATCCATCACCTTCCTGTACAAGCTCGAAGAGGGTGTTGCTGAGGGAAGTTTCGGTATGCATTGTGCGGCTATGTGTGGTATTCCGAAGAAGATTATTGAGAATGCGGAGAAGGCAGCGAGAGAGTGGGAGCACACGTCTCGTCTCGGTGAGAGAATGGAGGTCAACAAAGAGGAGGGCGGCGTGTACGTGCCTTTGGGCATGCAGAGTGATGTTGCGTGGACGCTTCGCGAGGGCTTGGAGGGTGTGGGCGACCGTGCCCTCGATGTGTTGCTAGAAGCTATTGCGGCGTTGTAAATGTTTGTTGTGAGAAGTCGTTTTACACAGGAGTGCATGTGTGGCTGCTAGAGTTGAAGCTTTTGGAGTCTATGGTTATAGATGGACGGCGATATATTCCTAGATACGGTGTTCATGGTGGATGGGGGAGGAGTACTCGGTCTTTAATATTGGTGCTTTCATACGCAACGCGCAGCAATCATGTCATGCTACATAGCAATACATCTTTTTTATTCGAAATTCTGCATGACTATCCGCAGTGTGTGTTTTCAATATCCGGTTAGTAATCTAAACTCAGTGTCCGGATCTACCTCAACCAGTCCTTGAATACCTGGAATAGACGCCGATATGCACAATAAACGAAGTGGAAGTGTGTTATTCTAGCATCGAACTGCTTAGAGTCCAGCAAACATGAACAAAAGGAACCCAGCCCTAGACCATGACATGTCGCGACGATAGAGCCATCAAAGATCCGCAAGTCCACACCAAACCTCAGACATTTTCGCCCAAAAGGCCTACTCCGGAATTTCAACCATATAGATGATGACCCACAAGCCCGTCGGAGAGCTTCTCATGATGACCACATGTATACACATCCAAGTCCCCTACTCCAGCTCCCCGAACGTACCACCAAACCCTCCGACGCCCACCTGTGCAAAGTCCTCGACCTGGCCCCAAAACTGACCCTCGAGTGCCAAATCCTGCACCTCCTCCTTCTTGACCTTCGGGACGACGAACTCCTCATCCACATCATCACCATCATAGTCATGCGCAGCCTTTTTCTTCTTCTTGCTAGGCGTGTCCGCTGCGCCGTTGTCAGCAGCACCGCGCTTCTTCTTCCTGCCTGACGTCGACGTCGATGCTGGCGTTGCCTTGCTGCGTCCCGGACCGCCGGTCTTCTTGGGCGTCGCGGGACCGTTGCTGGACAGCGACTCGCCGAGCAGCTTGATCTTGCGCTTGATGTTGCCGAAGGTCACGCTGGCGGAACCAGTGGTGTAGCCGGTTAGGCTGGCGAGCTTGGTCATGTCGATCTGGGGTGTTGTTAGTGGGGTGGGGGGGCGTGAAGAGGTAAGGTAGGAAGTACCTTGGGCTGGGACTCCATGCACTGCCATGCCAGGGCGAGGACTTCCATTTCGCGTGGGGAGAGGGTGATGTCTTTGTTGGTTGCCATTTTTGTTGCTGATTTTGTAGGTGTTGTTGTAATTGGTGGGGTGTGAGAGCGCGTGTGGCTGTTGTGGAAAGAGGATCGTTGGATCGTTGCTGTGGGAATGGAGAGCGGAGAGGTGATGGGAGAGGGAAAGTCGAAAGTTGAGAGCAAGTGATCAATTTAAGCCCCACAGGGACAGCGAAAGAGGGGTAGAATTGGTAGTGAAGGTGGGCTTTTTGGACTTTTACTATCACCGTGAAGGATGATAAGATAAGTTGAAGAAGAAGATAAGAATTTATTCCCACTCTCTTTTTCAAAACTAGGCTGTTCTTGTAGAATAGTAAGAGCATACAAGTGAGAATTTTGAGACCAGCCTTGGTCCAAATGATTCAATCATATGCAGTCTGTTGCCGGGCTTACTTGAAGATGCGCAGGATGGAGTTTGCGGAGTGAAAGATGCTGTGATCGACAACATGATCTTTACGGAGATGCTACCCTTACCTACTTTCAAAAAGCCGCAGAGCTAGTCAAGATTACTTAGTAAAGAAACTGTGAGTACAATAGGATGGATCATAGGAGAAAAACGATGGTCGATATGACACGATGCGGTGTGGAACGAAAGAGAGGTACACATACTGGTAGGGTATCGTATGTTATACATGTTAACTATGCTATGTAGATTTCCCTCGCCATTTGTCATATCCGAGTGACTTCCTTGCCTTGCAGCTCGGGTCTTTCCACGTCCAACTCATCTCTCAATGCAGCATACAATGAATCTCCAACGATGATCGAAAGCCCCAAACTCCACACCAGTGTGATCGCATAGAAGAAGTTGGCGTTGCCCGAGCCGGCGTAGACCCAAAGATGATAGAAAATCGGACCCAGGAACGATGCATATAGTACAGACGCTGACGCCAAAAAGGTATAGCGCATCACTGTGATGTTGTCAGCCGGATGTCTAGGTACAATCTTGTGCTTGATATGAGCTTACGTGGAAAAAGGTGCCGGAACAAAGGAACCAGAGACAGGTACAGGGCAGCATCTGCTATGCTAGGATATGGCGTGAAAATGGCGAAGATGCCTGTCAATGTGCATGCCACATACAGGGGCTGCTTATGGAGACGAATAGTGAGACCTGGCATGTAAGACGCCGCGTGCAGCCAAAAGACGCCTAGGAAGAACTCGCGGAATGAATCGAACATTTCGATGAAGAAGTACCACCAAAGGCCAACGTTTGGTGTAAGATCTGGAAGTAGAAGACGCACTCCATAGGTTGCTGCCAGAAAATCCCAGGAGCCCGTGATGGCAGCTGAAGCAGAAAGCAGTGCACCGATCGTAGCGACCAAGCCCAGAGCGTGGATGATTGTGAAAGACCAGACGCTGGGAGTCGACTTCGTCTTCATTGCGCGAGCATCATACAAGAGGACCAACAGTGGTGGGAACAGAAGTACCGGATGCATAGACAGGTAAGCTGCGAATGATATTGCGAGGACGAAGGTAGTGCTGGCTCCTTGAGACGCCTTGGCCATGGCTGTGAGTATGAATAAGTTGCTAAGGGATGAAGTCGATCGCGCAATGCAAGTCGCAACGGTGAAAGGGTTGAAAAGGAAGCTAGCAAACATCAGCACAACACTCTGCCTGTATGTCATCAGTCGTACCCTGCGGCAATAGCAACGCTGCTCCATCTGAGGTCCTTGCGCGAGGATGCAAACAATCGCGTCACAGCTGCCTGTCCACTCTGGGCTACCTGGGCCAACGCATTCGCGCTCAGCAGATCCACGAGGGTATACAGCAGGTTTGTGGCTAAAGGGGAATGCGACGGGTTTGGCAGTAGCGAGAAGAGTGGCAGAAGGAGGGGTGCCTGGTGGTACACGCCGCCGTCGTAGGGAGAGACATTGTGCGTGTAGAGGAACACGCCCTCTTGTACTGGACCAGGGTCAGTATGGGAGCATTTCAAGTGCGATCACATGCTACATACACCTCTTGAAGCTTGTTACCGGCGTAGAGACCTCGACACGGCCAGCAAGAAGGGCGGGCAATGAGGGAAAGAAGGTGAAGAAGAGCAGACGTACTGCCGCAGCAGCTCCGAAGAGGAGGGCCTTTTGCTTGTCGACGGGCATTGCACTGCTATGAAGACGCCAATTCCATCCCCATAGCGAAGACGCCTATGGAAGCACTCGTGTCGTCTGTCAACCTGATGGTGGACCCTTTGCCAAGGCATGTGCAGGGATGGCGGCCGGCTATTCGTCGGCTGAACCGTCGCATCTCGAACTTTTTTGTCCCGCAAAGTTCGTCCAACTGCTCCCACAGCATCTCGAAGCACGACAACACTCACAATGGCCGGTCGCTCCAAGAAAAAGGGTGAGTTCATGTTCTATGGTATCTATACGAAATACTGATCAAATAATAGGCACCTCTGGTGCGGCGAAAAACTACATCACGCGTACGCGAGCGGTAAAGAAGCTGCAGATTTCTCTCCCAGACTTCAGACGACTATGCATCTTCAAGGGTATTTACCCACGTGAGCCACGCAACAAGAAGAAGGTCTCGAAGGGATCCACCGCCGCGACTACCTTCTACTACACCAAGGACATCCAATACCTTCTCCATGAGCCGCTTCTCGCAAAGTTCCGCGAGCACAAGGCTGTCGCAAAGAAGATTGGCCGCGCGCTGGGCCGTGGCGAGGCCGGCGATGCTGCGCGCCTTGAGAAGAACCTCATGCCCAAGGTCAAGCTCGATCACATCATCAAGGAGCGATACCCAACGTTCGTAGACGCCCTGCGCGACCTCGACGATGCTCTCTCCATGCTGTTCCTCTTCGCGAACCTGCCATCCAGCGAGCATATTCCTGCCAAGACGATTGCTCTCTGCCAGCGTCTTACCCGCGAGTTCGAACACTACGTGATCACCTCCCACGCTCTGCGCAAGTCTTTCCTGTCCATCAAGGGCATTTACTATCAGGCAACAATCCAGGGCCAGGACATTCTGTGGCTGGTCCCCTATCGGTTCGTCCAGCGAACTGGTGGAGACATCGACTTCAGGATAATGGGCACTTTCGTCGAATTCTACACGACTCTACTCGGCTTTGTCAACTACCGCCTGTACACGTCGATAGGATTCGTATACCCCCCCAAGTTCAACGCCAAGACCGACGAGCAAGGTGGCGAGTTGGCTGCTTTCCAGTTGGAGGGCAAGGGCATCGCTACAAATGGCGCAACTAATGGCGACATCGAGGACGCGGAGATCAACCCCGAGGCGCAGGCGATAGCAGACAGAATCGCTGCTATGTCGGACGCCGAGGATGACGAGGAAGCAGCAGCTGTTGCTGACCTCACCTTGGAAGATGACGAAGAAGAGGCCACCGAGGGCATCGACAAGTTTGAGCCAACAGCCCCGGACGCTGACGTTCTACCTCAACCGCAAGCTAGCAGCGCCGAAATTGCGTCTCTGTTCGAACCTTTCACCTTCTACTTGTCTCGCGAGACACCCAGAGCTTCGCTCGAGTTCATCTTGAAGGCTTTTGGTTGCAAGAGAGTAGGGTGGGATGGTATCCTGGGTGAGGGTGCATTCACAACAAACGAATCTGACCCCGCGATCACACATCAGATTGTCGATCGCCCATCGCTCTCAAACGGTGAATCAGCGCCCAATGCGCCGGAGACTGAGCAAGGTAGTGCTGCCGCTCCGAAAGCTCAGTGGCCTCGGTCAACCATGCCTGGCCGAACGTATGTCCAACCGCAATGGGTTTGGGACTGCGTTAACCAGAGTAAATTGCTTCGCCCAGACCTCTACGCGCCTGGTGCTGAGCTTCCACCTCACCTGAGCCCATGGGTGAAGCCCAAGAAGGGAGAGTACGACCCGAAGCTGCCTCTGGAGGCGCAGCAGCCAGAGGGCGAGGCAGAAGCTTTCGAGGACGAAGGTGATGAGGAGGAGATGGCTGATGTCAACGATGAAGACGATATGGATGCCATCGTCGACCGTGCAGGTTCTGTCGAGGTTGGAGAAGGCATGGACGTTGCCGAGACCGACTCAGAGGACGATGACGACAGCGGCTCAGACGCCGATGTTCCCGCAGAAGATTTTGACGGCTTCGAGTCTGATGCAGAGTCTGATATCTCAGAAGGAGAGGCTGCTCGTCTACAGCACCAGCGCGAGCTCGAAGCTGAGGCTACTGGAACGACACTCGAGAAGGAGAAGCCCACCAAGAAGGCTCAGAATGCGGCTATTCGCAAGAAGGCTGACAAGCAGAGGCGCCAGGAGGAGGAGGAGCGTGATAGGCAGAAGATGATGCTTTCAAACAAGAAGCGCAAGCTGCTCAAGCGCATTGAATACGGCGAGAACAAGCGCGACACTGAGGCTGAGGTGCTCAGGAGGAAGCGTGCGAAGATCGAGAAGGCCAAGGCTGCGGCAGAGGCTTTGTAGAGCATATCAAAAGTGCGTGGGCTGGCGTTTGGGCGGGTTGGTGTTTAGGGTACTAGGTTACTACCTTGGTGCCATATGTAGTCCTTTTTGTTCCTGAAATGACAATCTGATTCTAAATATGCGCTCTTTTTCTGTATTCTGACACTGACTCTACGATGTTGAAGTCCGCTCTTGCGACAAGCAGCAAGCCGTAAGTGAGATTGCTATCTTGACAAACAACACCGCCACAACAACACGTTCACATAGCCGAAGAAGAGCGCAGCAGATGATAAAGGGGATATTAGAGTTCTTACCCATGTTCATGTAAAATTGATCTACGTTATTCTATCTATCTACTACCGTTAGTCCCATGTCACTGGCTTTCAGCTTGACACAAGCGGCCGAGGTTGTTTTGCTGCGCCGCATGCACGGACCCGTAGATTCCACCACAATCCATGTCAAACATCTTACCGCAACGGCTCTAGTCCCCGAAATGATCGGACGTTGATTACTCTTGGCCTCATGCCGATTGGATATATCAACCCCTGTCCCGAGAGTTGTCTGGCATCCCTCACCCATCGCTGCTTTCAAACACCAAATCCTCTCCCTTTGTTCAAACCAACAACGTTTCCGGTATAGAACTATGCTTTCAGCGTTTACTTGCAAGTCGATGGAACCGTTACATCCATCTCCGAAGTCAGTTCATACTATGTGCCATGTACAGACTAAAGGGACTATGGAAATGTCAAGATGCCCGTTTCAGCGTCTCTCCGTTCGAAGGCCCGATAGCGTGCCACTTCCGGGGTCTTTCATGCACACTACGAAAGGGGCCGCAGAGGCCATATATCGTTCAAAGCGAGACAATAATGTCACTTATAAGATACTGCGGACAACACTCTTTCTAATCAACCGTCACTTTCCTTGAATCCAAGTTACCACAGTCTTCTCTACTTCTCATCCAAGTCCCTCGTTTCAAGATGAAGACTGCTGCTATCTGGACGGCGTGTGTGTTGTCCTCCGTCGCTGCTTTTCCTTTGGCTAGTGAACAGGAGGCGGATGTCCATGCCTGGAAAGCGCCTGGGTCGACTGATCGTAAGATACACTGTTGCTCTGCTCTTGAATATCAGTTGCTGACAAAAGATTGCCAGGCCGCTCTCCCTGCCCAATGGTTAACACCTTAGCCAACCACGGCTATCTCCCGCGCAACGGTGTCAATGTCTCCATGGCCGACCTCATAGTTGGTCTGGGAGATGGCGTCCACCTCGCCGAAGCAGCGACCAGGCTCGTCGGCGCAAAGGCCCTGACTGCATCCACGACCGGCAACTCCTCGACTTTCAATCTCGATGACATCAACAAGCACGGCAGTACGTCGCCTCCTTTCTTCAAACCCTTTCACCATGATAGAAACGGCATGTTAACAGCAACCATAGTCATCGAGCACGACGGCAGTCTGTCCCGCGCCGACATCTTCACTGGCGACAACTACCACTTCAAGCCCGCGATCTGGGCACACACAAGCTCCTACTTCAACGAGTCCACCATTCCCATTAGCACCGCTGCAACGGCCCGCAAGGCACGTCTCGCAGCCGCCCAGGCAGTGAACCCTGAGTGGAACTTCACCGCGACGGATGCCCAGAACTCGATGATTGAGACGGCGCTGTACCTTAGCGTTATGGCCAACGGGACGACGGGCGCAGCTATCACGGGTGTGAAGAAGTGGGTTAACGTGCTGTTCAGGGAGGAGAGGCTGCCGATCAAGGAGGGGTGGACAAGGCCTGAGAGTGAGATTACGGTCGCGGGGCTGTTGCAGCTTGTGGGGTTGATCGCGGCGGCGTCTGCGTAAAGTCGTTGTATAAAGACTAGTTCCTAATTCGTTGTATGTGTGGGGATGTGACATTTGAAATATGGGAGGATATGGGGCAATTTATATATCAGAACCATGATACTGAATACATCCTTGGAGATCTGATTGGAAAGCGTGTTGCCATCTTGTTTTTTATCTCGCTTATATGCGTTTTTGTGACCGTGGAGTATTGTGTTGCTGTGTCAAAGAATCGAAAATAATTCGCGCGGAGACCCCTCTTGCTTTGATCGTACGCCCGCCCGTCCGCCCCGCTCCGCTCCACATCCGCCACGAACCATCGCGCCCTCGTCGCATGCAAAAACAACCAGACTGCATCCCATGCCGACCTCTAAATGCCACCGTTCTGCGCAATAACAATGCCCTCACGAGTGTGGCGCAGGGCGTGCAAAGCAAGGGTTCAGATTCAGACTCATCACATCGGAATGAGTCAACGGATGTCAAACTATTGATATGAAGATCCTTTCCACCCTTCTTTCGACACAATATTTTTCTTCTCCTCACATCCACTTCACCATGCGCTAAATCCACGTCTCTCCACTCGATTGTAGACGAAAGACCAGCTTCGACATGGCTACGTAGGAGATCTCGGCCCGCCACCCGGCATACGCATTGTCTTTTCGACGACGTCCAGAAACCACCATGTCTTAATATGATGTGAACGAACTTCAAATATACAGAGTTCAGACTCTACAGAAGATCATGTACGTGGAAATATATTATTCTTCTCAGTCCGTCTTCTGAATTTTGCGCAAAGACACGCAACAAACAACACCTCTAACACATACCATACAGAATTCCGCGGACAAAAGAATGCTTCCACGAACGTCACAAGAAAACCCCGTATTTTGCACGAAAAAGAGCAGAGAGGGGGAAAAAAATCTCATCCTCGCGCCTTCCTAACTTGAACCTGTCAAGTGCCGATCCGGTGCCGAATACCTAGCCTACGGCCAGGCCAAAGAAAAAAAAAGCCCACATGAGAAAATTTCGGTGCATTATATTTTCTGTTGCGTCGACGCAGAATCGAGAGGTATTGGGTCTTGGAGGGTGATGCTTTTGGGGGGCGTTGCTGACCATGTGCAAGCTTTTGTGTCTTCGAGTCGAGAGCGCAAAGGTGCCGTGACGTGGAATCACGTGAGTTTGCGTTCACTGCCGTTCCCGTTGTATTTGTCGTGGGTGTTGGGCGCACGATAGATACTCGGTTGTGGTCACTCACCGTGCTTGCGGCTGGCGGCTTGTGTAGCTTCGCATACGCTCTCTTGTTGTTGGGTTCCTCATCAACATCGACGTCGACGTGTACACATTCGTGGTAGCAACTGGTATCTGGAACCGATAAACGCACAAAAGGGGTACCTATATCTCGCTACCAGCATCTCCGTGTCCGACGCCCTTACTCGACCCATCACCTCCACCTCCACACCCCAACAACATCAAAATGGAATGTCCACCGCCACAACTACTCTTCCCCGCCCTACCCCCCGAACTCCGCAATGAAGTCTACACGCACCTCTCCACAGGCTCTCCCTCGACGCCCCCAACCACCGCCGGCATCCCCCTGCAGCTTAAAACCCACGTCTGCAAGCACACGCGCGTGCAAATCAGCGCCGTGCACCACGGCTGCGCAGCTCTACTCGCCCTCCCCGTGCAGGAAGCGCGCGAGTACAGCGCACACCTCCTCTCGCAGGTGGAGCTGCGCATCGGGATTGTGTTCAGGGGGCGGGGCCAGACGTTTGTGCAAAGCGACTGGGACGCGCGGATGGCGGCGCATTTGAAAAAGTTGGCCAAGCGGTATCGGTGGCTGGAGAAGGTTGCTAGGTACGAGGTTCATGTGTTATGGGATGCGGCGGATGGGGTGCTGCGGAGTAAGGGGGGGAAGAGAACTGTGGGGGGCGTTGTGAGGGGGATGGTGAGGACGGTTACGGGACTTAAGGGTGGGGATGTGAGGGGGAGGAGGGGCGATTTGAGGGTTTGTCTGAGGGTTGAGGATTGGATTGCGGTTGAGCGTGCACGGTCGGGGGTGAGCCTTGGGCTGGGAGATTTTCTTGTGGAAGAGCAGGGGTGGGATGGGCAGCGGAGGGAGGTGTGGATGGAGTCTCGTTCGGAGAAAATCAACGAGGCTGGCTGTGGAGAGTTTGTACCGGTCCCATCTGAGAATAGGGAAGAGAAAGCATTGCTGGTTGCTGAAGGAGAGTCGGTAGACTGGATGAGTCTGGGAAAGGCGAAGTTGGTGATGAGGAAAGATGTTGAGCCGGGGAATTCGGTTGAGGTGACCCTTGGAGACACAAGTGACGAGAGAGGCGCAGATACTAGTGTTGTTCTGCGAGCGCTCGTAGAGGAGTGCATGGGGAGAGGGTGATGTTCAAACATGTCAAAATTCAAAAGATCATACCATGCTTCGTCAGATCAGCAGACGAACATATATCATACTCATATCTACATCTTATCCGCCATGCCATTACTCCCCATCCAAACCATCATCTGCTCGATACTCTTCTGCATAGCATCCGTCGCCTTCTCAATGAGCCCCGTCAATGGGCCCGTCTCGCGCATAACGCTCAGGAAATCCTCATTAAACGCATCATTAATATTGCACTTCGCCACGCCACACTCAATGCATTCCCTGATGAGCTTCTCGCCAAACCACTTCTTCCCTGCGCCATGCAGCACCAGATTCACCCGCCCCCCAACCTTCTCATGCACGCGCTTCAGCCGCTCATAATCGAGCTGCGGCCCCTTCGGTCCATAATTACCATGCACGTTCCCAAACGCCGGCGCCAGCCAGTGAATGCCCGTCGCAACAAAGTCCTCCGCCTGCTCGGGCGTGGTGAGAATAGCCTGCAAGCCCAGATCCGCGAGGTCACCGACGCCGTCCTCGCCGCCATCGATCCTGCCGGGTTCGGCCTCGGTCACGATACCGCGCTCATTGCAGTAGCGCACCAGCTCGCGCGTCTTCTCAAGGTTATCGTCGTAGTGGCTCATATCGACCATGATGCCGTCGAAGCCGCGCTCGAAGCTGGCCGCGCGCTTCACCATGGCGGGTGTCTGCGCGTGGTCCATGTGCAGGGCTACGGGCACGCTGGCCTTGTCTGCTGCCTCGCGGGCGGCGCGCACGAGGATGCCATCTGCGTACTCGACGGCCCACGGGAAGAGTTGGATGATTAGGGGCGCGCGTTGGGCTTCGGCGGCGCGCACAGAGGCTAGGATGCCTTCGACGTTGTAGCAACAGGTTGCACAGATGGCGTATTTGTTGGCGGCGGCGTGGGCGACAATCTTGACGGCTTTATTTTGGGAGAGGTCGGGCGCCATGATGGGTAAGTAGTGTTTGATTGAGGGTATTTTTGGAAGGAGGAGGGGGAAGTGAGGGGTGAGGTTTGGGAGGATGTGGTCGTCGACTGGTTGTTCCGAAGGCTTTCCGAATCCTGGTGTGGGGCGTCGGCAACGGCTGCGAGGCTTCAACGGCGAAATGGCCGACTGCTCGGTGCAATCGCCGCCTGCATGGTAGACACTGAAGGATCCAAACGTCAGAGTTGAGCTGTGTGGACGAGTTTTGAGTATTTGGGTGGATTTCACTTTCCCGCGGCGAGTGACGACGTGATGGACATGACAGGTCGTTGCAAGACCTCGGTGTTTGAATCGGCCATGCTGTTGCCGCGGCGTCTGATAGCGCTGTAGGTGGAAGAAGTCTTACGGCTTCAAAGGCAAGACGCTCACTTCGCAGATCTGGAAACTGAATAGTTTTTATGACACTGTAAGCTACATTTCAAGTCTCACGACGTGTTCTATCTCGACATAGCCATGGCAACAAAATTGAAGAAGAAACATGAATCAATTCAGCCAAGTACATAGATGCCACTCCTCGCTCAATCCTCACTCTCATCACCACCATCCATGTCGAGAATGACCCGGATCCCCTCCACCGACAGCGCAGCCTTCTCCTCCATAGCAATCGACACCGCGCAGGCCACGGCATTCTTAATCTGCCGCCCATTGAGTTTCAACGCCGCCAGCTGCTCATAATCCTTCTCACTGATCCCCGCCGTCGAAACAGCCGCCGGAACACTGCCAATGCAGTTCTTCCAGATCGCCGAGCGCGACGCCACATCCAAGTCGCCATAGTGAAGCTTGAAGTGTATACGGCTATCAAACGCCGCATCAATCGTGCGCTTGCGATTCGTCGTCATAATCAACACGCCCTGGAAATACTCGAGGCGGCGCAGAAACACGCTGACGAGTGCGTTGCGCTCGAGATCCAGGCCGTCACGCTCTTGTAGGAAAACGTCTGCCTCGTCAATAAGCAGCACGCACCCCCACTGCCGTGTGACCTCCAACACCATGTCCAGCTTCTTCTCCACGTCCACGACGTGCGTGCCTAATTCGCCCGCACTCAGCATGTACAGCGGGCGCCTGGAGACCTCGGAGATGACTTCCGCCGTGAGTGTTTTGCCGACGCCCGGGTTGCCGCTCAAGAGGCCGACGAGGCCTTTGCCCTTGCCGCTCACCATGTCGTCGAACGTCTCGGCGCCGTTGCGGTGCGATTTAACGAGCGAGTGGATGAGGTTGCGTTTCCGCGGGTCCATGACTAGCTTGGAGAAGGCGTTGGAGTTCCATACTACGGGGTTGAGGTGGCTGATGGCGAAAAGACACCATTTCTTGTGGCGGAAGGCGAAGCCGCCGACGAAGTGGTTGCAGTATGTGTAATCTGCATCGCTGAGGCTGAGTGCGCTGAGTTCGGTTTCGACGGTTGGTCGGAGTAGGTCCGTGTACTCGTTTAGCTGCACGAGGGATGCGGAATCAAGCATGATGCGGCCGGATACCTGGTATTGGAGTCAGCACGTCTGGATAGGGTCGAGTACGTTCCGTCACTTACGTGTATGATCACCTTCTTGTACTCGTTGTCCACTACAAGGCCGCGGTTCTCGGTCACTGCAGCGCCAACATACTCTTGATATGTACCATGGGGAGCATTCAACAACTCCACATAGCGCTTACCACGCATATTCAGCTCGCTTCGAATGCTCTCCTGCTCCGGGTGGTGGGCGAGCGGGAAGCAGTTGAGGTTGTACACCTTTTTCGCGCCCTCAAACTGCCAGATGCGCATGCTCGTCTCCGCCCATCCCATCTTCTCTCCATCGTGAGAGATCAACCGCAGTTCGAGGTCGAAAAAGCGCACCCCATTGCTACACCCGTAGTCCCCTTTGTGCAGTTTCAAGACCTGGTGTGCTCGCAAGAGATTGCTTTTGGTGTAGACTGTCGTCTTCGCTGGGAACAGCGTCCAGAGGAGGCTGAATGTGATTTCATTTTGCAAAGCCATGCAATCCAGAGTCTCTAGGGTAGTTGAGAAGTGCTCTGCGACAAATTGGACGGCGACACCCAGTTCGTCTATCAGAGCTTTGTTTGGAGATGCTTTTGTTTCTTCGGCTTTGATGCGGTCGCTGAGCCCTTGACGAGCGTGGAACAGCAGCTCTGGGCTGACCTGTCAAACAGTGTTAACTATGCGATTCCCATAGCGTATGAGCTCAACTTACCACAGGCGGAGACTCATTCAGAGTCAGTCCTTCTACACCCTCGAAGATCTCCGACAAAGCATCTTTGAGCAGCGTAGATTTGACATCAATCTCGGTGCCCGTGGGAAAGCCTTTATCGCAGATGATCCGTCGTACTTTGAGGACTACATGTGATATTTGACCAGGCTTCTCCTGTTCGACACGCGATGTAGGAGTCGGAACAAAGTAAGTCTGTCGCTTCTTCTTGCTGTAGAGCTGGTCAAGCCGTTGGATTCGTTCCTTGGTTTGTGCATCGCCCTTGCCTTTACCCTTGCCCTTTGCTTTGCTTTGGGGTTTGTTCACAACTTGACTCTTGTCTCCGTTGGTCGACTTCTCGTCAATTGCGGCAACGTCGTTGTCTGCGTGAGGAGCCATGGTGTTGAGGATGTAGTGTTGAAGTAAAAGGATGAATATGAATGATAATCTCTTGGTGCCCTGAGCGACCTTTAAACAATTGCAGTACAAGCTGAATGAATCATTCTGACGCTGACATGGACGCCTAATATTAAGAGCCGTAGTACTCTTTCAGGTACTGGGCGTCAGCATTCTCACCAATCTTACAGGCAGCAGTCTCAAGCCCCAAGTAGAGGCATAAACATGCATTAACTCTTGGTGGCGCAGCACCGGTGGTGAGGCTGAAGGGCGGCAGGAGTGTATTGTCAAAGCCGCGGCACATGGGTAGAGGGCTGCACACCGCCCTTCTGCCAATCATCCATTGTGTTTTGGTCGATTTCTAAACTAGACCTCAGCCCCAGTTGTCAATCAATCTGTAAAGTGGATGTGCATCTGCCTGACGCACAGCCCCCCAAAAGTGGACCTTCCCGTTCCAGATCTCGCTTGCTGATCCTGACTTTACTTCCAACGAACTTGATCGCCGTTCTCGACGAAGTGTAAAAGCGAGAAATAAGCTGCGTTACCAATAAATTTACAAATATTTATACTAAGCGTATACTGCCAGGAATGTAGGCAAAACACTCCTACGCTGATTGGAGATGGAGTTGTCAACTGTCGCAAAATTTCGCTGCACCTCAGTTCCTGGCGTTACAATCAACCAATCAACCGAGAGCGCCAGTCCGTTCGTGCCGTTTCATTACAGAGTACTCGATTGACTAAACCATCCGGATCAAAAGGGGTCTGTTTGCCAAAAGTCAAGGTTCGTCGAAGCTCCCTGGCCCAAAAACGTCTCGTCGAATCCGAACCCATAGCTCCCTATCAAATCATACTGTGTAGCATTAGTAGTATTCAAAACCGAAGAGTATGATTAAACGTACCATGTTGTACCCATTCACACCTTCCACACCTCCATAATCTACAGTAGCAGTGGAGCTTGGTGGATCTAAAGCTTGTGCGCTGACAGCTTCCACGGGCGGAAGCACACTTGTTGCAACATTATTTGGCGTCCCCACATCATCAAGGCGCTTCAAAAGGTCGTTGATCCCATGAACAATATGTCTCGTGAGGTGTTTCTCGTTCAGATTCTCTGCCACCTTTGCCAAAAAACTCACAGATCTTCGCGATAGAGAAAGGACTTGGGTTATGTTGAAGTTGAGTCCCAATCCAACCGGTTCGGTAGCCCACTCAGGTGATGATGCTTGCGCCATTCCACCCCAAGTTTTCGCCATCTTGAGCAGGAATGTGGCGCAGAAGGCGACCATGGTGTGCGTGAAGATGGGGACTGCAGTCATCGCTCGTCGTAGGTCAGGCTCCTCGAAGATGAGGGTTAGAGTGCTGGTGGCTGCAGAAATGGCAATGTTGGCGGCCTCACGGCGGTCGTAAGAAAGAGATTCGGACATGGCGGCACTGGGTGGTGGGAGAGCTCGTAGTGCGAGCGAGTTCAGCTGGAAACGTGCGAAATGATAGTAGAGAACCACACCTTTCGATGGGTAGGAACCTATGACTGCACTATCGGCAGATCGTGCTTGCCATGCCAATCTCCATTGCTCGATGGCGAAATTGAACAGCCGGAGTTGCTGGAAGTCAGATTCCGTCAGTGGTTGTTCGGGGTCACTTCCGTATGCGATGTAGGCCTCTGTCAGTATCTTGAATAGAGTGACTTGGGCGCCCAACCTGATATCACCCGGCTGCGTCTTTGGGCTGTCAAGAAAATATTCTATGTTCTTGATCGCAACGTCTTCGTGAATTATGGGCGGCCTGCCATAGGCGATGCTGAACTGATGTTCGCATACGTATAACGCGTACCACAACCGAACGTGGTCTCGCTGGTCTTCGTGTCCCCGCATTAGTTTTTGAAACGATTGATGCATGTTCATCTCGACGGCATTTCTCACAGCAATCCCAGAGAGCTTCCAACTCAAGTTCGACAGGTAGAATGCAGCAAGAGCCAACGCTCGAATATCGTCGAGGTTCTGCGGTCGAGAGAGACAGGCACTGTAGGTCAAGGACACAAATATGTTGTAACATCTCTGCAGCGTGTCGTCGCGACCAGGTGTATGCAATGCCGCTATGGTGAGGACAGCAGCCGTGAGAAGTGTAGAATGGCGACGGACGGCTTCCAAAGAGTCGTAGGGAAACAACACACCCGCCCAGAGATAGAGGTGGATATCATGCATGTACCGATTAAAGAGTTCTTCAGCCTCGGCCTGAGGCACAAGACCTTGTGCGATGAAATCCTCTTCCACAGGATTTGATTTCGATTTCAACCGGGCGCTGCTTCGAAGATTGCGAATCCTGGTGAGGTCGTACAAACTCCGCATAGGCGCTATAACTAAACCAGACTCATCGCCAGAGTCGCGTTCAGTAGAATTGTCCCTGGTCATGTCCATTGGAGGGACGACCATGGTGGCGCACCCATTCTCAGAGACAACGTTGACTGGGCTGACGTTCATCGTCTGCCCTGACGTAGGAAATGGTGATATTTCTGCAGAGCTGTCAAGCTCCTCGAGCTTGTTATGGCGAAGGAGGCGCTGTACCGCAGAGCGAAGCTGCGCCAACTCAACGGCCGCATCTGCTTTCCATCTGCACACGACTGTCAGATCACACATCTTGGCGACTAGGAATACGGAAACTCACGTAGCATCTTCATCTAGCAGACGTTGATTCAAGTTGTAAGGGACACAATCATTTCCGCTACGTAAGCATTTTGCGCATTTCAGCTCGTTGGGCACTTGCTCGCACTTTATCTTGTGCCTCTTGCATTCTGCACCTGATCAGACAGTGAGTAAAGACGCATTACAGAACCCAGTGTCTTCCACCTACACGCTCTGATGCGGGGTGGGCGAGGCGCAGACCGTCTCCCATCTTGGTGGTCCACGTCTTCGCTCGGACGCTTCTGCGGTTGTGACATTTCCAACCATCTGGCATCCATAGACGATCGTTGCGGATCATCGGTAGTTAGGTGGGTTGCGTCAAGGCGCAATGCGGAGACAGAGAACGCTTGTGCCATATTAATTAAAAAGTAGAACCTTTATCTTTAATCTTGGCAGTTTTGTATTTTTTGCCTACCTTATTGCAGCTAAAGCCTAATAGACTTCTTAACATCATTCTCTGACGCGTAAATTACCTCGGGTAGCGCACAATCTCCCCACAAGTCCTGCGTAATCATCACGGTGTGTGATATATCACGTGGCTGCCAGGCTGGAACCAGGATTCTGGACTAAGCCTTACGCGGCTTAGAGATCACAATACTTACTGTTGTGGGCAATGGAAGTACTGTCTGCCACCCTCAAGTTGCAGGGAAATGTTGACCGAATCATAGTAAAGCCATACGACCTTTGACCGCGAAGACACGTAGCACAGATAGCGACCTCCGCCGCCGCCGATCGACGCGTCCAATGAGCCTGCCACCAAAGCGCGCTATTCACCCCATTCTCCAGCCTGTGCTGTCCTCCCTCTGCGCAAACGTGCTTCTCCGTAGATAAACTCCTACGAGTTTCAAACTTGGTACCCAAGCGGATTTAGCTTCGTTATCGCCACCAACCTATCCCACCACGTTACATACTTCAATGACACCACCGTCCCGAAGCATCCCGCCGCAACACACGAAGAGCGCATCGTAAAAACCGCATCCGCACGCGGTCCGCAACCCACGCTCTGCATAATCTTATCACACTCCGCCAGTATATACAGTGTGCAAGATCTCCTCCATGGACACGACCAGGACTAAGAGCCCTCGCATTCAACCGCGATTCAGAACGAAGGCACTACAGATTCTCGTGCTGACAGTCACCAAGCTAGCAACCCAAAGATTTATCAGCAAGCTCTTCACGCGATCTAGCGGCACCATACTCTATCTTAATTTCTGTATCAAATTTGGAGACTCCGTAACCCTCCAGGAAGCAGATACACTTCAATTCATCGCACGGCATACCTCTGTTCCTGTACCAAAGGTTTATCATGCTTTCATACACCATGGCAGGACCTATATACTTATGGAACGGATTCGTGGCGAGACTATTGCGAAGAGGTGGCGTTCGCTTTCGGCTACGTCAAAGTCATTAATTTTCAGCCACCTTAAACGAATGGTAGAAGAACTCCGGTCTATACCTTGCCAGGCCGATGGCGTATCTAATGTAGACGGTGGTCCAATACACGATTATCGGCTTCCTCAAACGTCCTCCTGGGGACCTTTCGACACTGTATCCGACTTCCACTTGGCCCTCAGGAATAACGTGACTCTCAAGTCTCTCGACTTGCAAAGTCACAATTCACTGAGTCCTGCTGTTATATCAGATGTAAAGCAACTCGTTACGTTCCATGAGTCTGTGGTACGCCCACCGGTCCTCACGCACGGTGATCTGAGCAGCCTTAATATACTCATCCGCGATGACACAGTAGTTGGTATCATTGACTGGGATACCGCGGGGTGGATGCCTTACTACTGGGAGTACACAACGGCATGGCATGCAAATCCTCAAAATCAGTTCTGGCAGAATGAAGTGTGTAACTTTTTAGATCCACAGGAAGAAGAATTGAGTATGGAGAAAGTTAGGCGTACGTATTTTGGGGATATATAATTGCCCTGTTATTTCCTTCAAGCAACCGTTTCTTTCTTCTCTAATGCATCCCACGTCGGTACCTTCCCTACATCAAACTGCCCTTGTCCGTCAAATCGATGTTTAGCGGCCTTCTCTGCAACATACCACATGGCAGTGTCTCTCACAAATTTCCAGTCGGTACGAGAGCTCCCTAGCGCCTTTCCGTCATGAGCAGCCAAGCTGAGGGCCTCTTGAATCCAGGAAACGCAATTCCAACTTTCATATCCGGCATGCCCTGCACGTATGGGAGTCTTCGCAAAAGCCTCCGCGAGTCGTGCTCCATCGGTAACCTTGCCAATCATGATCCGGACGAGAATGGCAGAAGTCGGTTGCAGAGATACCGCGCGATCCTCGTACACCCAGACACTCTTAAAGACTCCAGCAGCGGCTTGCATAGACTCCTTCGCATGACAGCGTCTTCCAGTCACGTTGTTTGCTTCGACCTTCGGGCCAATAAGGAATGCCCAGTGATACCTGTTGGGCTTTAGCTGTGTCCACGCCTTGAGCGAAAGATACCTACTTGTCTTCCCCGCCGGGCATTTTGGGAGCTCCGCTACGAGCGTAAAGAGCAACGTACAATCGATCCTTGTCAGATGGCATTCTCGAAGAGTGCTCGGCCTTTTCTTTGACATTTTCTTCAATATCGACATTTGTCCTCAATATATAGAGGTTCCGGAGCCTCACTACTTTATCGATGCGCCCTTGGTCGCTGTTTCATGCGTGCTTCAGTTGACGCTGGAAGAGCCATCCAACAGTTCAAGCGCGCGGTTCGCTCCAAAAATAGCCCATCATGTGACCATCGCAGAAAGTACGAAGGCGTCACATCTCAAGTCTATCTGGGCACAGTGCAGGACACAATACAACTCCACATAAGCACACTAAGTCTTCCTGCCAAGACAAGACATATAACCCATCTCTCTGCCCAGAGAACCTCAGAGTGTATGTTCTGGTAGGCTAAGCGCCTTCATATATAGGTACCAAATTCTTTGCTAATTGAACTGTATAGTTACAATATGCTGGGCTTTGAAATTGTAGAGATGGTTATAGTAAAGCAGTGGTGTGTAGTAGGAGTAGGTTGAGATGATGTACACCACTAACGTCGTTTCTAACTAAACACGCGATTTCTAAGGACAAAACTCCGAAGAACAGCAAAATGCTAACTATGAGTTTGAAAATTGACGAGGGAGGGAGTCGAGACGCCTAAGAGTAGAATCTCTGAAGAATAACAAGACGCTAAATTGATATTCGCGTCTTTGCGCAGAGAGTGTCGTTACTACATGGGATATAAACTTAGGATTGCATAACTATACGCCCAACTGATAGATTTGATTAAAGCTGGCTCAAGTCGCGTTGTGAAATTAATCGAATCATCACCTAGACCCGCAGATATACCATCAGGACAAGGCTGCCAATAGGAAAACACCACAACAACGTCGCCACTTGTGGTGCTTGCCAGCTACAAGAAAATTGCATAAAACCTTGAAAGCTAGGTAGGACCGTCGTAGTTGCGGTATATTCGTCCTCGCTATGATACTGACAGCTTGGTGATCTTGGTCCCGTTATCGTGCTTTTGATAGAGCCATCTGAGATCGGACAGCCCCAATGAGTCCGAACTGATCGAACCCATAACCGGGTAGTTAGATCAGAGTCAGTGACTGCCTCGCACTTTAAAGTGTATATCTTGCGGCCTCGCCTCTCGAAACCAGTCTTGTCAGGCCATGCCAGCAGGTGCTCCAGATCGAGCAAGTAGGTTGGGCCTACAGATACTCCTAGCGCGCACCCTTCAGCAATTCTCAAAACATGTAGCTGATTAAACTTTTTCAAAGCCTCCTCCCAGTTGGGATTCCAAGACGCAGCGTCACCAAGCCACCTTGCAGTACTTCCGGCCCATCGAAGCCCACTCGTAATACAGGACTTTATTTTTTCCCAGCACTTAGCTTGTCTATCCCACGAACTGTCGATCGGTAGTTTGTCAGGCTGCGTCAAAGCGCATTGCGGAGGCGGAGACGGAGAGTGATTATTGCGCTCGTGCCATATTAATTAAGAAAGCGAACTAAACCAATGAAAGACGTCAACTTCTCCGCACTTTTTGCAGACACGAGTCGTGGAGCATAGCACTAGCTCGATTTTGACTCATGTCCCTTTCATCATCATCATCGACACAACATCTCTGAATTCGCACAATCACAACAACAGGGCTTGCAGAAACCCCCCACCAGCGGCGGGGAAAAAAAAGATGTATTTATGCACAAAAACGGTGAGACGACATCGAGTCACCTCAAACTATATACAAAATGAAGCGAAGCATTGCTTTTTTTTAGACCCAGCATGCGCGACACTTTCCCAGCACACACGCTTATACGACCGGCCATCCGGTCGAGAAGCTCATTGTGTTGACGCCAAACTGCTTCTGGCCGTCGGCGTACCCGATCGTGGTGTCGACGTAGTGGTAGTATAGAACCGGGCCGAGTTCGGGGACAGTCAGGACACCCTGCCCTCCAGGGCCGTACACAGTGCCGTGGGATTCGAGAACAGTAGTGCCGCCACCGCTGAGGCAGGATGTTCCGGCCTTGTCGACCTGGTTTTGATATTAGCTTACAAACACCAGGCAGAAAGAAAGCACGTCTGATGCGTCGACTTACGTAGGGACCAGACACCGACGTCGAGCGGCAGACCTGGATCTTGTACTCCTTGCCTGCTGCCGGCCTGCTGGTATCGTATCCGCAGCACGATCCGACAGAGAAGAATAGGTAGTAGTAGCTTCCGTTCTTGTACGTGAAAGCCGCCTCTTGTGCCTGGGGAGAAGTAGGCACGAAGGCGATGTTGGTAGCCGATGTCACAGCTTTTGCGGCCTTGAGCGGCGGGCTCGCCATCTCGATCTGGAACAGATCGGACCAGAAAGAGCCGAAGTTCAAGTAGTACTTGCTATCTACGACCTGGAGCTGGCCGTCAATGGCGTTGAAGTTGTTCGACGTGGTGGACTCGACGCCCGTGGTGCCGTGGTCGGTCCAGGAGCCAACTTCCATTGTGGTGGACGTAGCGACGCCAATGGCGGATACATTCTCGCCAAAGGCAGAGACGGAGTAGTAGAGGTAGTATGTCGAGCCGATCTTGACGACGTCGGGAGCCCAGAGATCGTCTTTGCCGGTCTTGTTGATTATGGAGCCGGCTGGTATAGCGGCGCCCTTGTAGGTCCATGGACCCTGGAGAGTGGGAGAAGTGTGGATAGCCACCTTGCCGCCAGTTGAGAAGCGGAAGTAGGTTCCATCGTCGCGGCGGACGAGAGATGGGTCATGGGCATTGGTGCAGGTACCACTGCAAGCCAAGGGGTTTGCGTAAGCATCGACGGCTACTGACCAGAGCGACAACAGGGAAAGAGCTGCGGTGGTGCGCATCTTGACCGAAAAGAGTATGTATGAATGGATAGAAAGCGAATGAACGGATTGGATGAAAGTAGGGGGATTGAATCGGAACTTTAATAGTAGTCAAGAGAAAGCATGATCGACTTATGTTGTTCCCTGATGGGAATAATGACCTGTGTATACGCCCGAGTCTACAGTGCTGATTCGCCGAGCCCCCTCTCTCAGCATCACGATAGACAGTTGCAAACAAAACAATCAAGCTATCAAGCTAGCTACATCCATCGCTGCGTTCGAGTGGTGGAATTCTTCGCTGCGTTTCGCGTAGCATGTCGTTCGTAGATTAAAGGAAGCCTAAACAGCGGGGTAAGAAATCTTCCGAATGGCGTCGGGCACTATACCAGTACCCACTCGATACAAGTTGGGGACCCGTGATGGGGTTTACGCGTAAGTGCCGGATGTTGGGGGTGAAGAGTATTGTCAGGTGGCAGACCAAGGCCTTGGCTAGAGTATGACATGACGGCGGCTGCCAAGGTGGTTGCTGGGAACGGGTTGGTGGAAACGTGGAGGTTGATTCACCGTTTTGAGAATGGCTGCATGGCTAGCATATGGGCTTGTAGACAGGGGTTCTACTATTTATATCTGCTTTTTAGAAAAGCAACCTGTGAGGTTTATTGATCGAAAGAGGGAAGCGGTCACTATTACAAAGTCGAGAGTCAGTGTGAGATGCTGAGCTACCTGCCTAATCGAATACTTTTCATGAGTGATTATTAAATGTCATGTGGTTACATGTTGTGGCAGTGTGTACCGGAGCAATGTATCGTCTGTCCTAGCATGTTAGGTGTGCCGATCGTGAACGTGGCGTTGCAGATCGACCATCTTTAGTGTAAAATGGTCCGTCAGCCATCTCTGCAGGCTTCACTCTAGTACTTCGTATCTTCAGATATCCATCGAATGTACCATGCAAGAAGCACAAGAGCCTTCAAAGGAACTGCAACGGCTAGGCACAACCACATGTACTGATGTCATAGTATTTGAGTACTCGGGTGTTGAATGCAAATGCCAAAAGTTTGACCGAGATTAACACTCACAGCAACAAATGTCGCTGGTAGAATACCAGTGGTTAACACAATTAGAGGTTTCATAGCCGCACTGTCGTTCCTACTCCGCCTTACTATCATCTCACTATTTTAGCGACCGAGCGAGTGACACCGCGTCCGACCGGTGACATTCAGAGTAGTATACTCGCTGGCAGTAAGAGTGTCAGCTTCTTCATCCGGCGATAGACTATCAGTAGACATAGCGGGAACGGAAAGACCATCTCTTCACGTAAGCTGATCACAATGCCAGATACCGCATCTCGAGTAACGTGTCTAGCGAGCGAGGTGTTAAAAATTCATCATCATCTACAAGGCCGCCGTCTAAAGACCCAAGCAGCAGGAGGCTTACGAATCCATACATTGTACTCAAGACAACCCCAGCCCACGCATCCCCACACCTCCAAATGAGCCTCACTCCAAACGCCAGTGCCCGTCTCAGAACCACCATTTTGCCTGTCAAACGCCGTGTAAAACAGTGTATATGCGAGAGACCCACCCCCTTCCGTCTCGCCGAACGATTGTTGCGGGAAAGATATATAGCACTATGAATATCCCCAATGTTCATGAAATTTCGATGCCCTTCACTTGGCCCGAGTCGACGATGATCTGTTCATCGAGTCGTGCGGCTGTGTCTCCATGTTCTAGCCTCTTCCAAGTCGAGATGCGCGCCTGGTTGGTGTCGATTTCGAAGACGCGCAGGCGACGGTGGTAGTGGTTGTAACCGCCGTATCCGCCGAAACCACTGCCGCCAGCATAGCACATCCATAGCTCAGGCTCTGTGGTCTCGTCTTTCGTGGATAGCATGCAGTAGTCGTTTACGTGGTCGTGGCCGCAAGACACTGCTTTGACGCCTTGCTGCACTAACGCGTCTTTGAAGTGCGTGTTGAAACCAGGCGCTGTGACACCCTCCGTCCAGTTGCCCACCCATTCGTTGTCCCTGTTCGCGTATTCTGGGAGTGGGATGTGGATGAAGGCCATGTTAAGATGTTGGTGTGTGTAATGACTATGCGCATCTTTCAAGCCATCAGCCGTCGTTTGGAACCAATTGATTTGGTTGGGCTTGATCCAATCGTAGCCCCGGTAGTGCGTTTCATCGGGCGAGTACGAGTGCGTGTCGAGGAAGTAGAGAGTCAGCGCTGAGTGCTTGCTGCTGTGGGCTTGAATCTCGACATAGTAGTTGCCGACGCCGTCGATTGTGTTTGGGCCTGCTTCTGAGAGAGAGTAGGGGAGCGACTCGTAGAGTGACATTTGGGCGTGGCGGGAGAGGGCGAGAGAGCCTTCGTCGTCGTGGTTGCCGAAGATGGCGGCGTAAGGGATTTTGCGCTCTGCAAGGGGCTCGATGATCTTGAACATGGCCTGCGGCATTGTGAGTACTCTGGTTGTAGGGAGGGGTTTGATACATACACTTTGGACGTCAGGCGCAGTGTCGCCGTTGACCTGATCGCCAGACAGCACCACCATATCAGGCTTCTCTTCGTCGAGCAGTCTCTCGACAAACTCCAACGTCCTGGGATCCGCGTCACAATGGCCTCCGTTGGCACCCTTGGGCTCTGGATCTCTGCAAGCACCCAGTCCTGTGCTGAGATGCAGATCGGATATCTGCATAATCTTGAACTTGCCGTCCTTCCTGATCTTGGGCACAGGTTTCTCGGTCTTCTGCGGTGCACCCCTTCGGATGCTGAGACGTGGATCCTTGCTGTCCCGTGCTGTGTCCAGATGCAGGGCGCCGTTCTTAACCAACTCCCACCCAGGACGCGGCTCGACTGCGTCTGAGCCAAACAGAATGTCGACGGCAGTCACGGCCCTCTTCGAGTTGCTTGCGTGGCGCTTCAGCGAGCGTTTGATCCACACGCCGGCGGGGCGAGACTCCCACTTCTCAGACGCCTGGGCCTTTTCGCCGACGGCCGGGTCGAGTTTCCCGGTGCGGACGTCGACGATGACCTTGTCCTCGCTGGTCAGCTCCTCCTCCCGCTTGCGCTTGATGTGCACGTAGGCCTTGGACACCCAGCCCGCGCCCAGGTACAGGTCCTTCTCGACGCGGTGCCATTTCTTCTGGTCCAGCATGCATTTGGAGAGGGGGTTGAGCGTCGAGCACGTCTGGACGGTGATGTCGGTGATGACGAGGCCCTCGTGGTGCAGCGGGAGGTGGCTGTGGACGGCCTGGGGCAGGACGCGGTAGCGGTTGTCGACGAAGAAGACGACGAAGAAGGCGGCCGTGAGCAGCACTACGAGCTGGACGCCCGTCCGGACCTGCGATGTGTTAGACGGCGGTCTTGCCAAACCTCGCGTGACGGAGGCGGCTGGGGGGGCTCTCGTACTATTCGGCGGGTCATGGCGGCGGCGGGGACGGGGTGCTCATGGGGTCGCGGGCGATCTTCACGGGAGGGTGGCTGTCGCTGGAGCCATGCAGCATGTGCCTGGCGACGACGTGAGCGCCTTGGCTTCCCCGGCTTGCGTCGTGCATCGACCCTGCATGCGGACATCCGCACTGCATCCTGGCCGTAGTCCCCTCACCCACCATGACCAGCAGCCGCGGCGACACGTAAAATTAATTCAATTGACTGCATCCCAGCCTGGACGTTCTTTGAAAGAAATTATAGTCCTATCTAAAGCTATGCGACACCACTGTCTGCAGCACCTGCGACGCGCAGCACTCCAACGGCCTGCCTCTGCAAGACACTTCACCACTGGCTCCTGCCTGCGCCGCGACTTCCAAGGCAAGACTGCCGCTCCAGCCCCGCCGCTCCCGCTCACACGCGCATAGAAGGCGACTATGTCCTCCTCCGCGAGAAGAGGGACACGCACGACGGCACCCTCATAAAACTTAAGTCCTCCAAGACGACAGTCAACCACCGCGGCATCATAGAGCATGCCGACATACTCGGCAAGAAGCCGCGACAGCTGGTGCAGTCGTCCAAGGGCATCTCGTACCGCATACACGAGCCCACGTTAGCAGAGTATGTCCGCTTGACGCCGCGTCTCGTTACTCCTGTGCGTCACGTCTGCTTCTAGGAGACGACGAACTAAGAGAAACAGATCTACCCCGCCGACACCAACCTCATCGTCTCTCTGCTCGATCTCCACGTCGACACGCCCTCCAATCTGCTGAACACGGAGCCACCTCTGGAGATACTCGAAGCAGGCACAGGCCATGGAGCCCTGACGCTGCATCTCTCGCGCGCCATACACGCAGGAAACCTGCCTCTGCCCAGAGCATCGACACATGTCTCAAGCAGTCAGGAACCCGACGATGCCGAGGATGCTGTGTACCTTGGAGAGTCGGTCTCGGACCTGCAAGAGTCATTCCTCGAGTCATGGAAGACGAACCGTCGCGCCATTGTGCACACGCTGGACATATCGAGCAAGCACTCCACGCATGCGAAGAAGATAGTGGCAGGCTTCAGAAACGGCATATATGCACGCAATGTCGACTTCCACGTGGGTGATGTGTCTGCGTGGATTGCAGAGCAGAGGGCAGCAAGGAAGACTGAAGAACCCTTCTTGGCACACGTCTTTCTGGATCTGCCCAACGCAGACCACCATCTAGCAAACGTAGCTCCGGCACTGCACGTGAACGGGCGGCTTGCTGTTTTCAACCCAAGCATTACCCAGATCGCCGAATGCGTTCACGTCATTCGAGAGCAGAAAATGCCCTACCTGCTGGACCAGGTCATTGAGCTGGGAGTTGGTGCCATCCGCGAGTGGGATGTTCGCCCCGTGAAGCCAAGGGCAACTCTACGGAAGGAGGAAGCATCACAGTCCTTAAGCGAGGAGACCATTGATCCAGTCGAAGGCCAAGAGATGAGAGACACGGAACTGGCAGAGGATCTGGCTAAGAATGAGGAGAAGTGGGCGATGGTTTGCCGACCCAAGGCAGGTCAGATGGTTGTGGGCGGTGGGTTCCTCGGCATTTGGCGCCGTATGGAGACTTATGCGAGTAAAGAGACGAAGCTTGAGGAATAGTAGCCGATGTGTCAAGCCATTCAGCTTGTATGATGTATGCGTACGAATACCACACAGCGCGGCTACATGTGCTTTGCATTACCAAAAGCAAATCTGACAGACACACTAACATGTAGCGGTGACTCGATCTGCCGTCTTTCGTGATCAAATCGACCCTCTCGACCATTGAGAGCCATCACACTGACTTCACCGCAGAATTGACACACTTGTCACTGAGTAGGGTACCACGAAATGGCCACGCGTGACGTACAACGCATGCCTCAGCTCCAACCGTCTCCTCCACTCACACCTCAGAAGATGTGAACGTCTTTTGGGATTTCCTCAAAGAGGACTAGCACGGCCTAGCACGGCTTCGCTGTTCATCTGGGCAAACACAGGCGAGCATTTCCATTGGCCTGTAGCAAGGGTCCGTGCCGATCAAGCAACGAACAGCAGTACAGCTTCCACCATTTTATATCCACCTCGGTGTCGCGCCCCTCTTCATCCCACCTCTCTCACGACCGACCTGCGACAATGAGCGGCGCGGGCCAAGAGAACCGGTGCGTCATCCATTCGACGGTGCATGCTTGAGAGTGGGATTCTGACATGGAAGCAGCTGGCGGCGGCCAGGACAGGGCAATCGCCAGAACCAAGACCGTACCAACAGCCCCGCCATGAACGCCTCCACCACCGGATCCGCCAAAGACGCCGGGCGACAACAAGCTATGTCGGCGCTCTCGGGGAATGCCTGGGCGGGTGGAAACAAGGGCAAGCAGTCGCAGGCGGAGCTGGGACATGTTCCTGTGCGCGACTTCAACGCGAACGAAGTCCGGGATTTCTTGAAGAAGAGTATGTATACCGTCGCGTAGACCAAGGATCATGCTAACCAAGGGCAGAATATATCGAGAGCACTGCTGGTACGACCCCGCGACGCGCACATGTAGATTGCATTGGCTGACTATACATCTGAAGACCAACCGGCTGTATATCACAAGGTCCAAGGCGACTCGGTGGCGAAGAGGAGCAGCGGGGCTTGGGGGTCGAGGGGTAGGTCTTCCCTACACAACGAGGAGAACGGACGGCTAACGTTGCAACAGGCAACATGTCGCACCTCATGCCCTCGGGACAGGACTTCTTCACGCAGCTCAAGAAGCAGCTCGTGACTATCGACCAGGCCAAGTCGGCTGCACAATGATGTGAAGCGACATGACATTGGATGGGCATTTGCAGGAGTTCTTGGACCAGGATATTGGTGCATGTTCCATGGCGGTAAAACAACATGGCAGAGCACATGTACCTCACTAAAGGAGTTGGGAGTTTTTGGGTAAGGAATTTGTGTGGAATGGGCAGTCGAGCGATACCTTTCTGCTTTCTGACAGCGTTCTCTGTGGCTTACCTGTTAGTCGGGGCATTTTACAATCCTATGCCCATGTAAATAAATAGCAAAATGCAGAGCAAGTTACAGACAACACGTCCTTTCTTTACTAGGGGTAATAAATTTCCTTTCGAGACCGGGTTGACGCTGGTGTATGAACCGGGTCCGTGGGACTAAGTGCTGGGATGTTATTTGTAGCGGTCATTTCCCGACCACGAACATGATTTCGTTGGACAACAAAGACGGAACCTAAGTCGGTTGTAAATGTCGGGTGGACAGCTTTCATAACCCGTCTGGTACGTAGTGGTGTTATTCGTTCATTTTCCTTGGCATTTCCAGGCACTACGAGCTACAACTTTCAGTCTACTTCGAGTGAGTGTACCTTTGCTGAAGCGATCGACGGCCTGCAATCATAGACTCAGGGTGCCTGTGTTGGAGCGTGCCCCGCTGCGAAGCTTTCACCCGTCGCTAGGGAGGTCTGAGTTGAGCGCTGGTCGGCTGCAGGGACCAGAACGCGCGCGTCTTAGTCCCAGGGCAATCCGATAGAATATACCCAAACGTCCACCACCACAAGCCGTCTCCCTTTACCTCTTGCCCCACCATACCCGACTTCTGAGGCGTCAACCAGCTGCCCACTTCGTCCATTCACCACGGAATAAACTCGGCCATGTCGTCCCCTCCGCGAACGCCTTCGTATAGGCCAGCGTCCTCCCACCGCCGACACCCTTCAAGCCTCGACATACCCTCCAATACACACTCGCGGCGAGGGTCGATGAGCCGTCGCTCGGTGGGGTACTCACCCATAACACCACGCTCGTCGCGCGAATTCGACCACGGCAGCCCAGCACACCACTTCGATGGCGGGGGAGACAGCAATGGCCTGGGCAACCTGGCCGACGAGCTGGGCGAGATCTGGGACGACGATGAAGAGCCCATGGACGGCGAGTTTGGGGAAGAGCTGGACATGCCACATGACGACGGCCTGGAGATAGGCACCGCTGTGGAACACGACGGCTCGTATGGGACTGGCAGCGCCGTTATTCTCAATGGCGTGCGGGACAGTGGGGTGTCGATGCAGTCGTCTCCTTCGGCACATTCCAGAGCAACACTGAGTCCACAGGCGGCCATCAGGGCGAGGAAACACAACCGGCATCGCTCGCTGTACGATGGCTCGGATTATGGCTCGGACTCGGATATGGACAACGAGGGCATCTCTCCTGCGCTGGATGCGAGGATCGCTGCTATAGAAAGTCTCGCGCGGAGAGGCATGGAGGAGAATGGAAGTGGGTCAGACGACGTCGTCAAGCGCGTCACAGAGCAACTGAAGGATCTGGGGAGTCAGATCGCCATTGAGAACGGAGCTACAAGGTACGCATCCAACCCAGCCCAGTCTGCAAAACCCACCAATACTGACCGCCCACAGACTCAAGACCGCCCACGACGCCCTCACAACCCACCTAACCCACCAATCCCGCACCCTCACCTCCCTCACCGCCTCCCTAACCGGCCCCCGCGCCATCATCCCCGACCCAGACACAATCGACACCCTCCTCCCCCTCATCACCTCAACCCTCGAACTCATCCCCCACGCCTCCCCAGACCCCCTAGTCTCCCTCTCCCACCTCACCCTCTCAACCCGCGAACTCCTCCAACACCTCTCCAACATCGACGACACACTCCACATGTCCCGCCAATTCACAACAAACGCCTCCCGCCGCCTGCGCACGAGCAAAGAGCAGCTACAGGAGTGGAAGCGCGAGAACGAGCGCGCGGAGGAGGGGCGCGCGTTCATCGAGAGGGGCGACTGGGATCGTAGACTCCGGGATCGAGAGGCGAAGCGGACGTGTGCGGATATTCTTGATGGGTTCGAGGATGCGTATGGGGTTTGGAGGAAGAGGTTGTGTGAGGGGTTGGGTGTGGCTAGTGCGTAGTTTGCGCATGTGTTCTTTCCTTCTTATCCTTTGTTTTCATGCCGTTGGAACATCCAGGTGGATGGATGGATATACATGAGCGTCTGTCTGGCTTGGGAGTCTCGTGGCTAATAGAAAGCCATTAGGTGAAAATTTTCCAGGGGTACAACATCGATGGGAGAGGGGCACGGGAGGTTCTCCCTCGGAAATCTGTGCGGCGGAGGTATCGTCGCAGAATTCACATATCTTCGCGTCGGTTGGCGAGGGCGTCGAGCGCTCTGGCTATATGGCTACAGAACTTCTAGATCCATCATCTGGACCAAATAACGCGGGCCATATACATACCACGGAAAGCAGTACGGGGCTAGCCAAAAAGGAGGCGCGGAAGAATCTTAGCTCCGACTCGATGTTTGGGGATGGGGATGATGCGGTGGTGGTGGATGGGAGAGTATAATATGTGTATGTGTGTGGAAGGGGAGGGAGAAGGGGTGCTTGGGATTCGGTTCGAGGTTTAGGCGGGAGGTTATGGTTAGAGGAAAGCATTTGGTTGGGGATACCCTTGTTGTATTTTTTTGTTCTGTTTTATTGTGTGGTGTGGAGTGGAATGGTTTATCAAGACGGACGTAAGCACAAGCAGTGATTGGAATGTTTCTGATGGCATTCCGTTTTGTGTCTGTTATTCTATCAGATTATAGTTGTGTTCTCTGCCTTGTCCTGCCTTGTCCCAATGCTGCGCCTGTGATGCACTGCTAACCTCGCTCAAGTGACGCATACCAATCCGCGCCACTGCACAAAGTCGTCTTGGAGATCAATCGCATACTGCCCTCCCTGCTCCATGAACTTTCGATATTCCGGGAACCCACGGAAGGCATCCAGGTGGATGAGCATGAATTTGACAACCAAATTTCGCAGCGGATCCACAGCTTCATGCTCATGCTCGGAGTTGTAAATTCTGTCGGCGGTATTGTTGTTGTCGTATACAAAGACGAGAAGATCGACGACAGCTGCGCGTGTTAGGGTGTTGACTGGCAGAGAAACGAGAAATTGGTGTAGTCTGTGCAGTGCAAGATGCTTCAACTTGTAGATCATGTACTTCTCCGCAAAGGTGTAAAGACGTGCGTGAGCCATGAGAACGTCGCTGACATCAACTTCCCAGTGCTCTTGTCCACTCCAAGGGCTGATTACTGCGCGCGCAGCGCTCCATTGGCCGAAACCCAGCGTAATGAACGTGTGCACATACTGTCTGGAGATGCCTCCTGTTATTACTATTTGTGCGATGGAAGGACTGAGTAACGTAGAGTTATTGTCGTCGGTGTCGTCAATGATGTCTGGCTCGGGATCTGTATAGTTGTCACGGTATGCGAATTCGCAGATTCTCTCGAAATCTTCGACCTCCAGCTCAGGTAGTCGGGCGATATTCTCCAGGGCTTCTTTCATGGATCCGTTGACAAGGCAGTCTAGAGATGGAGAGAGCGCAGCAATGGCACCTAAGTGCACGACAACAGGTTCCTCGTCTTGACCGATGAGGAAGGTGAACAGTTCGGAGTGCATTATCCTTGAGAAGTCAGTAGGTACTTCATAAGAAGGTTGTAATTGCACTTACTCCGAGAAAGAACGCGCCATCTCGTTGAGCGTGGCCGCGGAAACGGTGTGGTCAACCAAGCGAGTTGTTGGATGAAGTTGTCGGTGACTAGGTACACGACAGTGGGAGCAGACGCTCTCTTTAAGTACTAATAACAGGACCCACATAACGTAGAAAAGTGAAAGTAAATACAGAAAATCAGTCTACTTCACCTGCTCACCTCCGATCTACTTCTTGCCAGATACAGCCAGTCAACACAGGGTTTCTCACCCCTCGCGCCAACACAGATCTTGGAGTGCTATCAAAATCCTATATTGTGCTCCCTAAGAGAGGTGGCTCTTATCGGCTCGACAACTCTCACGTTGATGGTGTTCATTTCTTGACTCACCAGTTCCGCAAGCTTCGAAAGACTTTGAGAACCAGGAAGGAACCGTTACATAGGCCCTCGCATGTTGACAGGGAAGTTCTTCCTGATAGAAGTTGTTTTAGTCATAGCATACCCAACCCAACCCGAACATTCATATTTCCCTCTCAATACTTCAGCAGTTTGGAAACGGAGCAGTGTTTTCAAGTTCCATTTGGTCTAAAGTTCCAGTCGGTGTCTAGGTATGGCCAAGGCCTTGCTTCGAAATGGTACTTTCTATTGACATCGACTTTGGATAAGCAGAAACGACGTTAGGGAGAACCATTCTCAGCCCCATTGTATTGAAGAACTTTACATCACTGTCAAATGTGCCATGTTAAGATGTCAGAACGTATCCGGTATTCCAAGGGGTTTTACTTCACTGTTCGACTCTACAATCCATCTTGTTGTTCCAGAACTTTCAACTAATTTCAATTCACCAACACTCACGTCGTCTGCTTTGCGTCTCATATGTGTCGTGGTCTGTTCAATACCGTATGCGCGGTGGTCTGCTCAGTCCTGGCCGTTCATCGCGCCTTCCTCATCCCAATACGTTACGTCACTGCAACGATTTCACCTCACCGCTAGGCAACAAGTTTCTTTACTCCAACTCCTTCCTTGTTTTGTTGTTCACACTCACAAGTTAAGTTCCATGTCTGGAACAACAGCACTGCCTGCGCTAGCCTCAGCAAAACAGGTGAACGACGCCATGGACCAACTACAACAAGACAACCGACATTCAAGGGCGATGACACTCGACGTTATGCCTGTAGAGATGATCAGTGAGATCACAAGTCATCTAAAGCCCCGAGATCTTACCAAACTGGCTCGAGTGTCTAAGAAGCTCCGCGACTTTGCCCAGTGTGCGCTGTGGCGAGACATAGAGCTGCATCGTCAAGACGCCCATCAAGACTGCTTCGGCCTAGATGTGCAACGTCAACTCCCACGGACCTACCTCGACGATGAGCTTCGCGATCCTTGGTCATACAGAGATTCCGGCGGAACAGACCACGTGTTCGAGCAACGTACTGCGAAGTTCGGGACAGCGATTCGCAAACTCTACCGTACTGCTGGAAAGTCGCAGGGCTGGAGCAGACTTGCACCGTTCATACGACACCTATGCCTGACGATAACGTACAAGAGTCCGCCTTCCGTATGGAACATGGTTCTGTCGCTCTCAAATCTCAATGCAGTCGAGCTTATTGGAGAGTTTACTGCCGAGAATAAAGGACCGCCAGCAATCGCAACTCTTCACGAGCCTGCCGCAAATAAGATACGACACGTTCGGCTGCGTGGCTACATACCTGGAGGCTTCGTTTCTGCGGTGTGCAAGGCCTCTGCTGCCAGTATCGTCAGTCTTGACCTAGGCATTCTCGAACGACCCCAAATTCACGTCGGTGATGCAGAAGACACAGAGTATCAGCAAATGCTAGGTTATCCACTATACATTGCCCCGCGAGGTGCCCTATGGTACACGGAACAGTCGTTCCCTACGCTTACATCTCTAACTCACCTGCTTCTCTGCAAACGGGGTAGGTTTGATGGACCTCCTGAGATGTCGGAAGAAGAAGACGGCGAAATTCGTGAGGATGAAGTACATGATGTGAAGGAACTCAAGCAATGGGCATCCCTTCTCCAATCAGTCAGTTCCACCATTGTCGAAGTTGTTCTCGAGCAGCGTCCAGTGTATCTCGAATATCTCCTCCACATGGACATGGATATTTCTCCACACGACAAAACAGGAGTGAATCCAGATCTATGCACTTCAGATTCTGCCCTGTACCAACACGTCTTGGGTGCACTTTTCGACAATCAAGGCAGTTGGCCGAAGCTCCAAAAGTTGACATTCCGCGGGTGGGATACAACCAACCTCTATGAAGAGGTGCGGGAAGCGAAAGAACCATGGCATGTCTTTATGGCGAGAGTCTTACCACAGGCTCAGGTTGAACATGTATGCGGCAACCACATGTTCTTTAGTACGCGAAAAGGCACGATCTTGAATCAGCATGGGGCTGACGGCCTCATGCCGCACTTGGACTTCGGACGCTTCGACGAAGGCTACCTGTTCGATATGAACAACTTCATGTTCTAGCATAGCAGGGAGCCCTTGATTGCTTTGCGGCGAATGAACCGCAAGACCTGAAGTTTGTGGTTAGCATGGTGTGTTAAAGCGGCTGTTGTTATGGTTTCTATACGGTAACATTTTGCTACGCAATCTGCAGGATACATATCTAGCTAGATGAGACAATGATGAAGCAATACGTGCTGTCTACGCATCGTTTTCGCGTTCAAAGATCGGACCGAACGACTCTGATATCGCTCACTCCTGACATTGACCCCTTCTTCGACATTCCCAATTTCGTGTTGTATGATTGTGATTTGCACTGCGTAGAAAGAATAAGGTTTATTGGACCAGTAGTAACATGTGAGTATTTCTTCCGGCTGTCGCAGAAGAACTGGCCATGAGTCCGAGCTGCCACGACGACACTTCATTAACGATTGTTTACGGGTACGACATTGGCAATACTCTGTACTAATCCATACACGTTTTCTTCTTCTTGGGTTTGAGACGATCTTTGGTAGTCGGTTTTGGTCATGGAGCCACATGTGCGGCTGTTGGTCAGACACGCGAGGCTGAAACCTCGTCTGGCGCTGACCTGACGACTCCAATTTCTCAGCCTGACCAACTGCGAAACTGAACCACACTATCGTTGATTCAAAATATCCCTCCACCTATCTACCATTATTTTGTCTATCGTTACAATGTGCCACTTTGTCGTTGGGCGCTACTCCGTCTGTCGGTGCCTATACTATATGTCCGATGTTGATACCTGTTATCAGTCGGAAAGGCCAGGCCATATGGTGCAAGAGAGGACGGTACTTGTAGGCAGTCTGTGCAATGACCACAGCTCTTCTTTACAGGACGAAAAAGTAGCCATGAAAATACGATCGGAGGAGCAGCACCATACAAGGATCATACTCGGGAAACAGAACATGTCTGCTTCAGATCCACCTCCGTTAGATCTTAACAAGAAGCAAAATCAGCCTCCTGTCACGTCACCCATCTATGTGCCTACACAACAGGCCGTTATACGTGGAGATCCAGTGCAGCATCAAGAAACAGATTCGGTCGAAGAGGGACTAGCAATATCAAAGCTAGATGTTGCAACAAGCGTCGAATCAACAAGTATTAAAATGGGCACTGAAGATTACACCGAGTTTGAATACCAACAGACTCAAAAGGGCGATGAGCAGTGTTTGAAAATCATGAGGACATCTGAAGAAGACAAGAGCGTAATGCAGAAGCTTCAGAGATCGGACTCCAACGAGAACACCGTTGTATCAATATCCGTTCATGGAGGTACTGATGAGACAAAAGAGAACATCGGCCACTTGATGTCAATTGGAAAATGCAAAACTAAAGCCGAACTCATCTTGAAAGATATCGAAACGGTATCTAGCGACACAAAAAGATACTGTGGTATTCAGCCAAGTGACTACGTTCGCCCCCAAGTCGACGCAAGCGCTCCGCTCCAACCGTCGTTCGAATTACCTCATGATTTGTCGTCCTCTTCTACTGAGAATGTCATGGTTAATGCTGCTGTCCCAACGCAAACAGATTATCCAGCTGTCACACGTCCATCTTCCAATGTTTGTGTTCAAACACAAAAAGCTATGTCAGAAAAAGTTGATGTTTTTCTAAGGAATGTACCTGAAGAAGGCCTCTTAGAAATGACAAGGAAATGGGAAATCAGGTCAAAAAGGTTATCCTTCCGCGGACTGCACTTACCCTCAACCCTGAGAGATGTGCTCTTGCACATCATGGACGTAGTGCTCTTGAGTACATACCAACTCTCTATTGCTGCTGGTTGGTTGGAACGACCCCTAGCACCGAACATGGTGCGACTTCGCTGGCACTGTGTAAGTGGTTGTAGTTTTCCTTCGATTCAAACCACGAGTATCCTATCGCAAACGCTAATCAGGTATATAGAATTGCGGTGACAGTCTCTTCAGCGATGTCGTGGAATGCCGTCCAAATGGAATTGCGGACCTTATCGCCAATATGGAACGGGCATCTGCAATTAAGGTACGTGCAACGCCATATATCAGACATTCAGGCAATCAACAATATGTGAAACCGAACCTGGGCCCCTGGCTTCGGACTACAGTGAACGCAGTCGCATCCATCTTTGGTCGGACAGGCACTCCTTCGTCCTGTCTCCCACAACATACTAAATTGCATGCGACGGCTACACGTACAACACCCACTGTTGATCCTGCCCAACGACAAGCACTTCATCTGATGGCCTGCATGCATCGCGATCAACAACGCAAGATCCTCAAACAGGACCGCGTCGAGGCCATACACACAGACCGAGATCTGCTAGCCTTTTTGCACCGCCAGTACATACATCACCGCGGTCGCATTCTCTCCATATTCTCTCTCCGAAACATAAAAGGTATACATTTCATTAAATTCCACCTACCCATGGGCGGCAGCGTCATCGTTCGAAACCACGACCCGTGTTGCGTAGCCGTCACCGATACGACTGCACTACGCACATGTGAATGCATACCCCCAAAGGCAAAAGTCGAGCCGTCCCCTACTGCGGAATATCGTTGCACCCCTGGACCTCCCGCTACGCATCCACTCATCCCCCCGGAGTATCTGTTGATGCTTATGACCTGTCCGTCTCATACACATGAACAGGATACTTGGATTCTAGATCAGATTCCCAGACGTACGTGCGGTGAGCTGCGAGGGAAGGTAGGACAGCCTGCTGAGGGGTGGGGAATTTACTATCAGGAAGACTGGAATTGCGACATGATCGTTCTCGGCGTGTATATCATCTTTCTTCTAGCGAGTCTGCTGTTTGGCATCCTTTGGTCAGTGTACAAATTCGACATCCAGGGGGCTTTTGGAGTGAGCGCTTACATGGTGTCTATGGTTGTAATACTGGTCCATCTGACTGCTATGGGAGCAGAAAAAATGAGGTAGCCATAATCTAACGAAGGTGCTGTGGTTGTCCACGATGTCTTAAGTGTTCGTTGTCTTCCTATGTTTTCATTCCGCGTTCAGTCATCACACCCTATCTCCACTGTCCTACGTTCGCATAGTATCTTCTAAAGGGTTAATATGTTTTACCAGCCAGTCAAGAGACGAGGTGATTTGAATAAAACGATCCCGAAATCTCGCACAACCTTATCATATCCCAGAAGACGAATGTTAAATCTGCAAGCGTGTCACAACAAAGGCCGCAGCCATGTATATACACTGCCAAATATGAGTGTGTGTAACGTAATGCAAGAAACTGTTCATCACTTACAGCAGACACGAAGTAGGGCAAACCTAAGCCCATACCTCCGACTTTGATTGCATGAACCCACAGAACAGTCATCAGCGGAGCCCCGACAAGAGATCCGAGCGTCTTAGTCAACATAACGATACTGAAGTCTTGAACATCGGAGTTGGCCAGCGCTATAAGTGGTGACTTGACCAATGACATTGTGAAGACCGGAAGAGCTGAGCCTAGGGCGTATATGATGAGTGCTGCTAAAGTTAGTCATGAATTGTTTTCTGGTCAAGCAAAATACGTACCAGTGAGCAACACCCAAAACTTGGATGCCATTGCCACGCATAGCACGCCGAGGACTGAGACTAGTATGCTGATTTCAGCCCCGAGGTAGTTGAGGCGGGTTTCTGAGCCGCGGACTGCTTTTGACGACATCGAAGCGCGAATGACGCGCGGAACTATGAGGGCGAGTAGTACGAAGTTGACAAGAGCCTTTGTAGAGAGCATATAGCCAGCCTGTTTACATGATGAGTCTTTGATAAGCTGTTACCAACCAGACATAAACTTACCTCTGCAAATGTCCATTCATATCTCTTCGAGATGTACTGCACAAGAAGCTTTGTGTCTGAGCTCGCAAGCGCGGTGAGGAAGAACGAGCACAGAAGGACTTGGAAATTGCGACGGCCTGTTACCAGATCTACAAGCCTGCTTATCGCCATTTTGGTACTCTGGTAGATACCCAGATTCGCTTGGAGCATACTTGAGTACCGTTGAGGGCTGAGAGCTCTTTCCTCAAGCAACGACCCGACCTCATCTCCGGCACCACTATTGACATCGGCTGATGATAGTGTAGTGACTGTGGTCTTTCTGGTATCTGGCAGTAGCCTGATTATTGGGATGACACAGATCAGGAGCACGATATTCAACCAGAACGGAAGCCACAAGCTCCAGCTCATCGTGAAAGCTGCGATTGTAGGACCCAGAAAGGATACGACGTATGACGTAGAGCTAATATACGAGAAGTAGGATGCACTGAAGACAATTAGCGTAGTCAACAATTGTTAGCCGTGTCACTCACCGCTGGACATACTCTGTTGTCAACATGGAAGTTAGGGTGAAAATCGTCGATTGGAGAACGCATTCGCCGCCCAAGACAGCCAACATCGGTCCTGCGAGTATAGCCTTCGTGGGAAAGATATGAGCATAACGTCCTAAGGGGTCTTAACATCACGATTTATGGTTGAAGTCTTGTGCTCTGCTACTTACCAATAGCAATTGCCCAAGCACTCATGAACACCCTCGGGACCAAATTACACCAAAGCACAACTCTGACACCCCATCTTTCTGCGATAAAGCTAAATGGGATTGTAACAACGAAATCTACAACATAATGCGTTAGCCAAATGCAGTTCCGAATGCTAAAATATCCACATACCACAAATGACTAGCGTTGTCTCCATGATACCTTGCAGCCAAGCCAATTGGCGTTGAACAGCATCGATTTTGCATACCTTTTCTGGTATGATGCCACCGGGAGGAAAGGAATGGGGATCGAGGCGCGCATAATGTTCTTGGCAAAGCCGTCGTTCAATAACGCGATTAAGAGGAAGCGTATATAAAGCCGTTGATAGATGAATAAGAACGAGGATCGAGATCAAGGGCCATATCGGATGTTTTCTAAGCGGAATGCGTGTGGGAGACGAAGTTCGAGACGGCATTGATGATGTATGTGGAGAGTTGACGGTCGACGTGGGCAACGGTTCGCTGCTTTTCAAAATTGACATTCTCCACGACGTTGAATACTGTCGTATTTTTCAGATGCGTCGGTCGATGTGGCTGGGAGGCGACTCCGGACACGAAGTGAAGGACGAGTGATTGGCTTAATGTGTGGCTGTTGAGGTAATGTCACGTCATTGAGCTTCCAAGAATGTTTCGAGACCCAAACGCGCGGTCCTGAGAGATTAGAGTCATGAACTCGTGAATTGACGCAACAGGACTGCGAAACACTGTATCATTGTTTCAAGCCGTCTATGCATTTGTGTAGGATAAAAGAGGTTATGTTACAATAGTCGTATCGTCTGTTGTTTCTCTCTCATCAAAATTAGAAAAGCGAGAGAGAAAACTCCTAGTGTTCACGCTTGTTCACTGGCAGCGAATCGGAGGTTTGTAAACTCATTCCTCTCCAGAACCGCGTGCCAACTTCGTGCAGGAGAGTAGGATGTACGTCAACAATTGCCCATCTAGTCTCATCGTAGAGAACAATATCGCGTAATAGGCTATTGTCATCTTACATACGAGCAACGCTGCGAGAATGGGGAACCATGGCAAATACCAGCGCAAATGTAGAACAGCATCCCCACTTCAACAGAACACATATCCATCCTCAAATCGCACCTTGCTCGGAGTGCGCGGGAGGACGCTGCAAGACCATCCCTGTCTTGTCGATCGCCAGCGCACCGCTCTACCGGATTCCGCGCGCTTCGAGTCCCGTCCATGCCATAGCAAACCAAAAAGCAGATATCTCCTGCTAGAACCAAACCCAAGGGTTCAACCACCAATACATTTCGCCACCCACTTATTTGCCTCTTCAAGCCACAGTTGAGTATCCTTGCTACTTCAAGGGGTAACGGCAGGGATGCACGACACCGCGACCTCGCGATGACGCGGTTGGGGTCGATCTGTCTCGTAGGTACCGTCTCACACGATATCTTCGCAAGACCGAAAACCGTTAGAGCGGTGCATTTCGCTAATGTCAACCGTCTGCATCTATCTCTTCTATTACGAGTGTGACGTCTTTTGCTTATGTCTGTTCTCTCATGACTGGTTGCCAGATACTCACCAAGTGTGCATCCGATGATGATTGACGTGAACACAAGCGGTGTTTGTGATACGATGTGCTTTGTTCACCTCTTAACGCTTTCGAAGTACCTCGTACACACTGTTCCGAGATTCTCCACTATCGTGATGGATATAGCTCTGTCCACAAAGTATTTTGCCTAGGATATCGAAGGACACTATCGACATGGGAGAAGGCGGGGCGGATGTTAGATCGGACTCAGCATGTCGAGGACAAAGGAGGTCATTGGCGAATATGGTACGGCATCATCGGTATGAGGGGAGAGGTGCATATAGTCTATAATCGTTGCCCTTGAAACAAACGACAAAATGTACAATTTGAGTGGTTACCTGTTACAAGCGCTAAGAGGCTACTGGAAGCGCGTTCTACTTACCGGAGCTATGCTTGCTGCCAAGGCGAGTAAATTGGACACCATCGTCAATGTGCGCAAAGGAATTTCGGTAAACGTTATCATTTCGACGGCAGTGAAACACATATCGAGCAGGCGCCATCTCGCGACAGGCGAGGTACGAAGCTCACTACGCGTCCACCTACGCTCGCGTAAGCTTCAGAACCTGAAACATCAAAATGAAGGGATTCCGGTTTTAAGCGCGCATGGAACAATGGAACAAGGAACACCAGTCAATCGCTATGTTGGGCGACCATTTTCTATAACTAATGCTCGTCACAAGGCCTTTTCAGCCCCGCTGTCAAGTACAATCTGGTGAGCCCAACTACCACCTAGGCTGGGATAACCATGCCCAAACCACTCTGTGCTTTTCCACCGTTCCGTTCAGTTGCAAATGCAGAAAGAGAGTCGAACTCCTGAGAGCGAAGAAAAGAATTGGGGAATACAATGAAATTGAAAAAAGGGTATCTCTGCTCGCTTAAGCAAACAACAGTTGCGAGTGAGCCTGAGTATGCTCTCGATGTGTCAATTTGAGCCTGTGTTACTTGCTCCACCGCTAGTTCCCACGGCTCAGATCGTGCTGACCTTATTAGTTGGAACTTGTATCCAAGAAGCGGATGGCCCGATCTGACCGGGACCGGTACACCACTCGCCACGTGTAAACAAAACTCAAATACATGACATAGGAAATGCTTGAGACAGGAAAGAGAAACGTCTTTGATATCGCAGGAAAATTGTACCAGGAAACGTATGACCATGTGATGTTCAGGTTCAAACGCTCATACATGATACTTTATACAGCGGGGTATTCGTGGACACTATTGTCAGTCCTAGGTGACGGGTATTTTAGAAACGACCAATCGCAACAGGTACACTTCGACTAGAAGCATCTTTTACATTTGGTGAGGGTGCAGGTATGTGCTGTGGTAGTATTGGCTTTGGTGTTGCATGTTTGAAGCGTGATCCGAGGTGGGCGTTGATGGGTACATTGGCACAGGCTGCGACTTGACCACGTTGACATGTCCAAATTGTTCAGTCTCAGGCGTGATAGGAGGAGTGAGGCACCCGTTGTGCATCATGGCACCATAAGGAGTCTTCTGGGGAGTCTGTGGTCCGTAGAGACCGGCGATAGGCTTTGCATCCTCGATAGTGATCGTCGGCGGCGGCGTTGGGGGTGCTGCGTCCCGTCGTGCGATCTGGGCTTGACGTTGAAGGAACTCGTCGACAGTAGCGGAAACATTCGAAAGATGCAGCGAGCCGTATTTACGGGACAGAACAGGTGACGGTTGGTACAGATGGTTCGACAGGCCAATCACTGTCTGGGCATCGTAGGCACCAGCCCACTCGGATGTTCGTGACTGGGGCCTGGAGAGAACACATCTGGCGAGAGCAAGAGCGGATCTAGCGAGCACCGAAGGACGGGTGGAGACAAATTCCTTGTGGAAGAGGGCGATTTCCGCGATATAGAGAGTCATGTGCTCGACTTCTGCGTCGTAAGGAGCTTCGGAAAGGGCGATCTGCAGGAATGCGTCTACCGTGGGGTGTCCAACTGCCCAGTTAAGAGTCTGGAGCACATGCCATTCCATCTGGGTAAACATCTCATCCTCGTAGAGTGAGCAGCACATGGACTTCAATTCCCGCACGGTAGGAACTCTGTCTTTCTTATCACCGTACTTAGCGGCAATCAGTAGGGCGGCGCACCCAACAAGCTGGTAGTGTCGCTTGTAGACGACGCGTCGTGAACAGTAACGGTCGAGAAGGTTGACAGCAAGGAATAAGGTTTCGGGAAGCAATTGGAAAGCAGCATGTGCTTCAACAAGGAAGTCGAGAAGATATGGACGCATGAACCACTGAATCTCTGTCTGAATATCAATGGAGTTGACGTCTGGCAGGGTTTGTGACTGGCGCTAGTTAGTAAGGTTTATATACGGTATGCCTTGTGTACCAACCTCCATGTGAATCATATGATCAACAACATCCTCTTGGTATTCATCGGCGGTCAACCTCGACAACTCCTCAGCGAGAGCCCGTTGTTGCATCCTTGCAAGAGCCTTTTGGCGCTCCCTAGCCTCAGCACGGAGAGCGTAGACGCCATCATCGTGTGATTCAACGAAGTACGAGTCGCACTGCCCATAGCGGGATTGCGATTGTTGGTGGTAAGACATGGCGTGTAAGGGTGTTCGGTTTCGAGTGGATGAATCGAGTGATACGCGGATCGGTGTAGAAGGTGATAGCCTGCAAGGCAACGTATGAAAGGATTGTGTGTAGTTGGGTGTATTAAGTGAGTTGGTATTCTCTGATCCCTGAGAGCTTGAGAGGCGGGATTTGTCTAGTAAAACCTAACAAGTCAGCTCGCATCCAAAAGAAGGCACGACTAGAAGTAAGGGCGGACATACCTTCGAAGAATTAAACGATTACGATAATGAGTGGACGTGGTGTACAGGTACACGACAAAGAAACAGTAGGGAAGGTTGAGAAGGTCGAGACCCTTGCTGATGGCATCCAGGAACTGGGTGAAGTTGTACCGGTGTGACGAAAAGGAGGGTTCGTTTGAGGCAGACTACGAGCTAACGAGTCCGCTAGGGGGAAGTGAGACGCCAAGAGCCGGGATACCGAAATCCCAGATGTGACGATTGGGGACTAAGCAAGGATTAAGTTTGGGTATGTGGAGATGCGAAGATGGCGCATTGCTTACATTGGACGTGAATCTTCAAGCAGCGAAGAAGTGACAGACTGCAAGATACAACCGGTCGTAACGCGCGGAAGAAAGCTGCAACACAACGATAGTCAGTTTAAGCTCGGGAAGACGGTTGATGCCGAGTTTTGCAAAGCGGCCAGGTCGAAGCGAACATGCGCATGAACAGATGTTGGCCCGTGATCTGGTGAAATTGGAATGAGGCGGGACCTGTCGGAGATGAGGACCCTCGAAGGAAGGAGATCTTATAGAACGTCGGTGAACGACTGTACCAAGTGGCGTGTTCATGCCCGTGAGCGTCTTCCAAGAACTCACGACCAAGGACACGACCCAGACGTTGCCATCGGAAGATGAGCAGGTGTTTAGAGAACAATTGGAAGCGTCTTTAGGTAATCCAACGAAGGTGCCCGATGTGAACAACGCCGAGAGCAGCGTCGTGATGTGCGATTGCGGATGGCATGATCGAGTTTCGTAGGTCGAAACGGTTTAAGACAAACTGATCGACGTTGAGGGACAATGCAATCCGATGACTGTCTTTGGTTCGACCACGCCCCGTCTGACACCCGAGACTCGAGGACTCGAGAGGCCCACATGTCTCATAGCCACACTCAATTCCTCCCACTCCCTTCGATGTTGCTATGATGGTGTCCGTACTTTCGCGGACCTAACCAGTTGTCCCGACCAGTGCCTTTCGAGTTGCAACGGTGAGACAAGAAACTCTTCGGCAAAGAGCGTCTGCATGTTGGCGCTTGCGTCCACACAACGGAGATCCAAGTCAAACACAAAAATGAAATGTCACCTACAGGGAAGATCCACCGAAGACACAACGAAGTTACAAGGCTGGGTCAGAGGACGATCGAGGTGAACGGCCAATGTGTGGAGCGGAGGGCAAGAGGGCAGCGGATTGCTATCTCTGCGTCCAGCGAGAGGCGATGAGAAAGATGGTAGAAGGAGCGAATTGGAGTTGAATGTACAGTGTACGTTCGAGATCCTATTCGGGGAGAAGGTTGGGTATAGGGGACCGAGAGCAGGAGATGGGAGTTTAATGGAAAGGAAGGGGCCGAAACACTCAGCACCGCATCAATCCAAGACTCCGTGCTCGACGGTAGTGGGGAGAGGTATGTAAGGGAGGAGGGTGAGAGGTGAGGAGTGAGATGTTCAGACCTGAGTAGGTTCGACAAAACGACGGGCCACGAAATGCCCAGCTCCACATACGCTAGGCTGCATCTGTTACGCGTAATTGGCTCGGCGCCGCTCGTGAATCAGGTTGGCGTTTTTTGCGTCTGGCACCTCCTAGCCAGGAACACGCTTTCGACGCGTCCTGTCCCGTTACTTCCGCGAGTGTCACCACTACCGGCAGGGCACCCTCTCACGCCTCCATCTGCTGTGTCAGCTAGGATTTCACGCACACACCGCATCGGCCATCCAATCTGCGTTCTGTGGCAACGGGACGGTGGTCTTCCACAATAATTGCTCTTGCTGGCAACTAATTCACGTCTTGACGTTCGCTTTTGGGTCGCGCAGCACGGCTAGGTAATAAGGAGCGGGCTGGGCTGTCCATCAATCAGCGACCTGGAGCTTCTCCGTCAGCCGAAAGCCATCGTATGCAGCTACAACTAGGTTGCATGACGAGCCAACAATGGCACCCAATCCGTTCCTTGCCTGTACATTCAGGATATCTTGCTTTGGGTAGCCAAGGTATGCAGATAGGATCTCAAACGAAACGCCATGAGGCGATCCGACGCGAAAGCAAACACGCCTCTGGAATGAGCAATATCATCAATCCATCACTCATGAGACTACAAGCGTTCCTCCTTTAACTTGCGCAGAGTCAGAAAGCAAAATAGCTTCTGCATCCTTGTCGAATGCCGTACGTGAGCAGCTGCCCCTTTAGCATTCCCGAGTCAAGTACGCCCAATTGCTTCATGCACCATGCCGCATAATTAACGTTATTAACAGTCCGAAGAAAACCACAGACAGAGCCCACGCCCATGGTGGAGCACTCTAAAAGAAACTATAGAACGCGGAAGAGTGGTCCAAGACCTGTGCAATCGGAGTATACAGACCACCCCTGCTAGAGCCTCAGGCACGCCGACTTGAATTTATCGTTTCGCGTTGATCTTTCGTAACATGCCTTGCCAGTCATCTCTGCTAACCCAACGCGTCTCCTTTCTTTGATTCTTCCAAATTTGCCCGGTCCTCAGGACTCTTGCAGATGAATTCCTCGGCTTGGGGCTGTGTTCATCGGTTGGGGGCTGAGCTCATCCTGTACTCATTCGTGAAGTCATGTCCGTGATGGCCTTTCAACGCTGCAGCTACTATAACTGCGGGGTTACCGCATGGGAAAAACTGGGACACTGCAGACAGGGTGGAGAGATGATGTATTTTGCTGATTGTCTATTCACAACACCTTTCCTCAACCCTTCTAGAGGCTGCGCCCTGTACTGCAGCTAGCGTTAGTAGCCGAGTTTCCAGCCACCTGTCCATAGATCGCGTACAGACGCGTCTCTGAATACTTAAAGCTGCATACGCGACCTCACACGCGACCGCCGACTAACCTCTGGTTGACATTCAGCCAACTTCCGTTCCGCCTCCCTCATGCCTGATGATGGTGCGTGCAGAAGGTGGACCCAATAAACCACCTTACTCTAGCAAATTTGCTCAAACTTTTATCTCAGATGCCACATGTGGGGATCTGCCGGTATCACAAGATGTCAACAGCCTTTCCGCAGCGATCAACAAATTGCACCGAGGCCTGCGGATACAGTTTCTGTGACACTTAGCGGCTTGTCGTAGAGGGATACACATCGCCTCTTGCGTCACCTGTGACCGCAGGCTGGCCATAGATCTGTGCATGTTCCACCACCGCTGACAGCAAACTTTTCAACGTTATCAGACATGAGTGCTTGGCGATCTCTGCATGTCTCAATGTTCAACGAAACATGCTTCTTCCACTTATAGAAGGAGAGGGTTTCACATTACGGCCAGGCAACACAACTCCACGTATCACAGCACCATGTACTGTGATAGTTTTGAAATAGTCCGTTATCTTCGCTATGGCAGGAAACAGGCTGGAACACTTTTGTCATACTTTGCAACCACCATCCCATGTGTAAAAAGCATGCTCAAGGTCTTTAGGCTAAGGTATCAAGTGACCAAAGGATGTGATTCTTACAGCATGCAGTCCCGGTCCAGGGCGTTGAAGCCGCGCAATCGCGCTCCAGCGGAACCCCGCCCTGAAAGCCTTGAACCACGCTTCATCCCGAATTTGTCACAGATGTTGCATTGCTTTTCGACGCGTGAAGAGCATGCCAATCCTCTCTTAGCCAGTCGCGTCTAAACGCGAGCGACATAGATCTGCGCTCCCACCTCGTCATGATCAAAGTTTCGCTACACTTACTGCATGAAACAGTCCATGTTCAACCGGCGCATTGATGATTCATGTTCACACGCCGCATGATGCTTTTTGTAGTGTGGACGCAAACTATGGGGACGCACTTTGTCGGTGCCGTGAACCTCGGCCGTTCACTAAGACTTAAGCCACAGGGCCTCTTGACGTTATTATTGAAATGCCCAAAAGAACTCAACTCTGACCAGTGGAATCTTTCCCGGCCCGTATCCCGTTGTCCTGACAGCCCGCAAGCGTCTGAGCGTTCCACCATCGGGTAATATTCCAAGCAGCGATTCACCGTGACAACCGTACTTCTTCGGATGCCAATACGGCCAGCCCATTACACGCACAATACATAGCATACACATGATATATAGTACCAACAAACGGTTGCCTGGGCGATATATGCGGTCATGATCATGCAGCGATAAGTTCTTGCCGCAGGCCAACCTCTATCTATACTAGCGAACGCAATCAATGTGCTCAACACTGCTAAGCTGGCTTAACGGCCTGTCGATTGTGTGTTCCACCTCCATTAATCTCTCCACTAATGTGTATGTATATGCGGTTCCAACGAGATGGTCATAGGGCAACGAGCCTACACGAGCGGTTGTATGCGGCGGCACTCAGAATGTGATGTGAATGCCACTATGAAGGCTGAGTCTCTGCCTATAGAACTACAGCGTGAGCACGTAACAACCCGCTTTGCAAAGGCGCTGTCAAGTCTTGCATATTCTGGCGACAGACGAAAGACACTCGACGGTACGAATGCTTGCACCATCCTCGATCGTAAACAGACGAGGCTTGTAAAGAGCTGTATGCCTGCAGCTGATGTAGAGGAGGCCGCGGTGGACCTAGTGAGCAGTCGTCCAGTGTAGAAACACGGCGGTTGAGCCTGCTCGCATCAGTACTTCGGTCTGTGTCATCACTCAGGATGATGGAAGACGCGGCCGCGGGTGTTTCCATGATCAGACGTCAGCTAGGTAAGGCCCGACCTTTAATCCGGTCCCACTTTAAAAATAAAGCCAGACCCATGCCAAGCAAAGTTCTCAAACTTCATGATCATGATATTTGCAGCTACAATCTGGTAGCGTTGGCCCACATATCGTGTGTTGAGCCTGTATAGTACTTTGCGACCCTAATTTCGGCACCTCTAGCTAAGATGGACATTCACCGGTCTCGATTTGTGCCCTACCCACCCTCTGCGATCAACGCACTCGCATTCTCTCACCCAGAAGCCGAACATGGAAATCGAGATCCCGAGGCTCTAAGGCTTGCGGTTGGACGCGCAAATGGCAACATTGAGATCTGGAACCCCGCGAACGGAACGTGGTTGCAAGAGAAGGTTTTCTTTGGCGGCAAAGACAGGAGCGTGGAAGGCCTGGCATGGACGCAGGAGCCGGACCAGAGAGATGCGCATAACAAGATTGTACCTGGGAGACTGCGTTTATTCAGCATTGGGTATTCCAGCAGCGTTACAGAGTGGGATCTAGCGACTGGCCTTCCTGCGCGCCACTCGAATGGAAACCACAGCGAAGTCTGGTGTTTCGCAGCTCAACCCAGGCATGCGACGAAAGGCAGCTCAGACGAGGGCGTCAATGCGCACCAGAAGCTTGTTGCAGGCTGCGCGGATGGCACTATCGTCTTGCTGTCCACAGAAGACAACGACCTTCGCTTCGAGCGCTTTGTATCTCGCGCGACCAACAAGAAAGCGCGCGCTCTGAGCATCACGTACAAGGACCACAACACTATACTAGCAGGTTTTGCAGACAGCATGATCCGCGTTTTCGACACAAGGAACGGGAATGTCATCAGGAACATATCCTTGGGCAGCGGACCGCATGGTGGACCCAAGGAGATCCTAGTGTGGAAAGTCAAGTGTCTCTCGAACGGTGACTTTGTGTCTGGTGACTCCACCGGTGACATCCGAATTTACAACGGCAAAAACTTCAGTCAATTGCAGAGGATTTCCGGCCACGAAGCGGATGTTTTAGATCTTGCCGTATCTCGCGACGGTACAAGCATTTTCAGTGCGGGCATGGACAGGCGAACGTGCTTCTACACGAGTGTGAAGACGGCTGCGACGAAGGGTCTAGGTGGGAAATGGCGCAAGGTTTCCCACCAGCGATACCATGAACATGATGTCAAAGCCATGGCAACGTATGAGGGCAACAAACTGAGCGTGGTTGTATCTGGAGGTGAGATTCATGGTTCTAACTTTTCGTTATCCCGCTGACACTTTTTCGATTAGGTATTGATACACAACCCATCGTCGTTCCCCTTCGTCAGTTTGGCAAAGAGCTCAGTCGGGGACTACCAGCTCTGCCCCACACTCCTCCCCTCGTAAGCGCCCCGGGAGCGCGACTTCTAGTCAGTTGGTGGAACTCCGAACTACGCATATGGCGCGTCAAGCCTCAGGACGATGGCAATGAGAAGCCAAAGGTTGTCGCACGCCTGGCTCTGCAAGGAGAAGAGAACATTACCTCGGTCTCGATCACTCGAGATGGGGGATTGCTTGCTGTTGGCACCGGAAGCGTGGTCAAGCTATTCCAATTGATACAGCCACAGGCTGGAGCTGGTCCAGGGCTTCGCATAAGGAAGCTGGAAATGCCATCGATTTCTGGCGCAAAGACTGTAAAGTTGACAGCGGACGGCAAGTGGCTGACAGTCATTACGGCGACGAACGTTATTCAGCTTGTGAGGATCATCAGGACAGATGATGCAGCCGATCAACCCCGCGTACTGGACAAATTGCAATACCTTCATCGCCTTCCTCGTAATATTTCTTCGCAAAGTCCACTGGACGGACCATCGGGGCCTTACGCTCGTTCCATTACGCATGCCGAATTCTCTTCTGATGGTAATGTCTTTGCTGTCGCCGATCTTGCCGGTTATGTCGACACATGGGTCATCGAAGGAAACGAGGACTCAACAGCACCAGAAGTTGATATTGATGATTCGACCCCAGCTGATGCTGAAGAAGACGATTCCGATGACGAAGAAGAAGGTATGAAGGAAAAGATCACATTTTTAGGTCAACGATGGATAAGCAACCCTGCTGCACATCTTCTGCCTCAGCTGGACTCTACACCAGTTCTTCTTTCATTCCAACCAACCTCGGTCAGCTCTGATCGACCTGAACCCAATGGCAACCCTGCTGTGCATCCTACAAGACAGAACCCTCATCCCCACTCGCACGAGCTACCTGCTGTAGAGCATCGGCTATTGTTAGCATCCGCCGAACATCAGCTCTACCTTTTTGAGGTCATGGCTGGACGATTGTCAGAATGGTCCAGGAGAAACCCACCATCAAGCTACCCCCGCGAATACCGCCAGCTCGACCTCCCGGCAAAGGGATGTATCTGGGATGTCAACGAGACACGGCAGCGAGTATGGCTGTACGGCGAGAAATGGCTGTTCATGTTTGATCTTAGCCAAGACTTCCCTATCTCGGATTCAGACGACACTGTTGCAGGGAAAAAGCGGAAACGCGAGGCTGTGAAGGATGCATCGAAGAAGAACAATAGTGGTGCCGGCGATATGCTCCCTCAAAAGGAGTTGCCTGTCACCAAGATGCGCAAGTTCAACGGCGGTCAGACGAATGAGTCACGCAAGGCTGAATGGGTCGAAACCAATGCTACGAGCAACAGTGCCACAGTCGACGACGATGTTGAGGACAAGACACAAACCCTGGCCAGTCTCCGCAGGTCCAACACGCAAGATGGCGCTCAGAGCAATGGCGATTCTACCGAGTTGGTACTTCGGGACGTGGGCGAGGTAGCGAGTCAACAAAACCGCGATGATTCGTCGTGGCATACGTTCAAGTACCGTCCGATATTGGGCATGGTGCCCATCAGTGCGGACAATGGCCAGCCGCTGGAGGTGGTACTTGTTGAACGGCCGTCGTGGGATTTGGATCTTCCTCCACGATTCGTTGGAACTCACGAAAAGTGAGAGCAGTGAAAGTAGGAGGGCCAGTATTGTAAATCGATGGATTAGATACCTAAAGCAGCATTTGATGGTTTTGCAGTATTGACACTAAATTCTACCTGTGATGGTGATATTGCACGTGAAAAGACCCTGCCAAGCGAATTGCGTCAGACCCGACACGCATCAAATCCAAAATCTGTCCACTCTCCGTCATTCATTCTCATCACCAACAAACCACCCAGAGCAACTGCCCACCATGGACGCCCTCCGCTCGGCCCTGCAGCCAATCACCCACAACCTCCCCAAACCCATCGTCGATGTCGGTCAATCCCTCCTCGGCCCCGTGTGCTACAAAACGCTCCTCCACGACATTGACATCTCATCGACCGAGTGCGTCAAGCTCGCTGTCAGCAAGGGCCTCGGCATCGGCATAATCGGCGCATCCTCCGTCGTCAAAGTACCGCAATTGCTCAAGCTCTTGAACTCGCAGTCAGCCGGCGGGCTCTCTTTCCTCTCGTACCTCCTCGAGTCCAGCTCGTACCTCATCTCGCTGGGTTACAACGTCCGCCATGGCTTCCCGTTTAGCACGTACGGCGAGACGGCGCTCATCCTCGTGCAGAACATTGCGATTGCGAGTCTAGTGCTGAAGTACCAGGGGCGTGGGGCAGCGATTGCGGCGTGGGTGGGCGGGCTGGCAGTTGCGGGAGCCGCCATATTCAATGAGAATGTGGTGGATGAGCAGAGACTGAGTTTGTTGCAGGCGACGGCTGGTGTGCTGGGCGTGGCAAGCAAGGTCCCGCAGATTCTGACGATTTGGAGTGAGGGTGGGACGGGGCAGTTGAGCGCGTTTGCTGTGAGTACACTCCTCTTTTCTTGTCCGCGTGGACCATCGACTGGGATTCTCGGTTTGTTGGAAAATCTGCTAATTCAAATGCGATACAGGTCATCAACTACCTCCTCGGCTCCCTCTCCCGCATCTTTACCACCCTGCAGGAAGTCCCTGACCCGCTCATCCTTTACGGATACATTGCCGGCTTCGCCCTCAACGCTATTCTCTTCCTGCAGGTGCTGTGGTACTGGAATGCCCCGGCTTCCAAGAACACCGACTCCAAGAAGCTACACACGAGCAAGCCGGTCGCGGGTGACAAGAAAGAGATGGCGCAAGCCATTTCCAGCGGATCTATACCCTCATACGCGAATACCGCTGGAAAGACGCCTAGTACGAGGCGAAGGGGATAGGTTGGCTACCTAGTAGTTCTGGATAGGAGTGTGCACTCAGACTATTTGAATCACATCGTCTTTGACTTGATCAAACTTCTGCTTGAAATATATGTGCAACTGTGCTACCCAGGGAAATGACTACCTCCTCATCACAAAGGCCAAGATCAACATTCGGAACCAGCGTCATAGCATTGACGAGCACTATATACTAATCCGCATCAACCATTACTAATTACCGCCATTACAATCCTGATATCATCCCTATTGTACCATACCAAGTCTATCCTATGCAACCGAAGAAAAGAGTTGTATACTACATGTCATGCGTCAACGAATTATGCAAAGAAGGCGACGAGAACCCGACAAGTAATAAGCGTAACGAACAGCCACACGCCGCGAGAGAAGAAAGCTATGCCAAAGCACAACGAAGACAGCGAAGAACGATGAAGGTCCCAATTGGGGTTTCTAGTACACGCCCTAGGTATTGTTAGTAAGACATTCAACATGCGATAGGGGTAGATGGGAGGACTCACCGGGATGAAAAGATACGGCACCTGCCTCTCGTACTCCGTCCACGCCTCGCCGTAGTTCTCACGACAGCGCTCAATATCGCGCATAGCACGGTGGATAATCATGCCGGAGAAGAAGACAGAGTAGAACCAAGGGAACGGAGACTCGAAGCCAGTGATCAAGCCCCAGGAAATAGCGAAGAACAGATCACACGTGTAGTGAATCTTGCGGGCCTTTCCGTACCAGCCGTCGGCGAGGATCTTGGAACCGGTCTTTGTGGGGATCGTCTTTGGGTTCGCGACGCGGCCGTACTTGAAGTAGGGGAATGTGGTGCGTTCCTCGACGACGCCGCGCTCTTCCTGCCGGAACTGGTTCTTCTGGCTGTTGGTCGTGTCCCAAATGTAGTACATGCCCATGTATGCGACGGTCAGGAGCGCGACGAACCACGCGGGCCAGGTGTATTCGGAGGGGTGGTGGTTGGCGACGTAGAGCGTGGCGTGGCAGTAGGAGAGGGGAACGCCGGCCATGTTCCAGAAAATGAGCATGAAACCGAGCTTCTCGTAGTACATATCCCTATCGTCGAGTTAGCTGTTGTTTTGTATGGGATGAGGGGTGGGGCTTACCATGTCGTGATGATCAGGTGCTCGCCCTTGGAGCAGGCGTTTGCGTAGAGGTAGTGCGCGAAGAGCAGAAACAAGGCCTCTAGGGATGGGTGACCATACAACTCGTACTGCTTCAAGCACGTGCCCAGTGTGAGGAAGAAGATGATGAACCACGGGATGCGGACCTCGAGGAACATCTTGAAGTCGAGAATGCCGAACAATCTGGGGTTGAGCTCCGAGCCGAGGAAGAAGTCGACAATAGGGTAGTCGGTCATTCGCACGGTTGCGCCGCGAACGAGGGCCGAGACGTAGGCGAGGATCGAGCACAGGAAGCCTGAGAGAATGGCTACACTCATGATATGCCCGAACTCGTCGATCAGCGTGTATAGCTTGAAAATGCCCGTGAAGTGCAAGACCAGGGCGAGGACAATGCTGGTGTAAAACGACCACATGGCAGAGCAGTAGTAGTCGAGCTGCTTCCCACCCAGATGCGGGAGGGCCTTGCCCTTGCGGTAGACACCGGGCATAAGCATGTAGAAGGCCATCTGGACGAGACCAAAGATCCAGTATATCTTCCATGCGCGCGCATTGGGGTATGCGTCTGTCCTGACGAGATGCCACATGGTTGCGAAGAACTGCGGCCAGTCCTGGCCTTCAGACGGCTTGGGGAACTTGCCGTCGTAGAAGACGGCGCCTATCCACATGTAGTACATGAGAGCTGGGAAGCCGATCATCATGGCGCCCATACCGAGGGAGCCTCCGAACTCCCTCTTGCCAGATGTGTCCTTGGGGGAGAAGTTCTTCTCGGCCTCTAGTTTGTATTCGTATGCGGTCGACTCGGCTTTGCCGTTGGCGTTACCGTTGGCGCTCCCATTCGCGTGGCCGTTTGCATGTCCATTGGCGTTTCCGTTCATGTGTCCATTGACGCCATTCACCACCTCTCCATTGCCAGCCTTCCCAGCAGCACCATTCTCCAGACCAAACTCCTCCCCTGAGTCCTCCAAGTCAGCAACACTCGACTGGCGTGCCCGCGACCTTCTTCTGCGCCCTGGAGTTTCGACAAAGCCGGGGTTCTCGGGCTTCCTGTCACGCAAATGTTAGCATTGCCTTTTCCCCTCTGCATTGAGCCCGGCAAACATGCAGGTGCACTTACTTGGGTGTCCTCCCAGACTGTGACCGTGTTACTCGCTGCGACATGGTGACTGCGTAGTGCTGTCGTGTGGCGGCGATGCGCGTGTGGTGTTGTCAGGGGCGAGGACGGCGGACAACAAGCGACGGCGAGGACAACGCTAATTAAGGGAAGAGACTTAGAACGTGGCACGTAGAATAAGATATGAAGGGACACAGAAACTCGTACAACAAGGCGCAATGGCCCAGAATGCGTTGTGTTCGTGTTTGTTTTCGCCTGGCCTCGAGAAAATTAAAGTTGCCAGGGGAGGGTGGGAGGAGGCCAATCGGAGTCCGGGTACCTGCGTTGCGTGAGATCATCATCATGGTCATGACAGCTTGTTCCCTTTACGCTTTCAGACGATTCGGTACGATGGAAATTGTTCGTTGCTAGTCTTTTCATCATTCGTTGAGATGTAAAAGCGGAGCTCGGCCTGCTATGAACACATATATACATAAAACGCCTTGCTAACCAAACACCTTGACCAAACCGAAAGCCATCTTCCTCACTGTACCAACTGGGTGTAATTAATGAAGCCTCGTGGTGTGGTACTTGCAGTCATCAGTATGCGCGGCATTCCCCTTCGAACGCACTTCGTTGTAGTCGCAGAGACAGATCCAGCAAAACTCATAGCGACACTTCGAACCTGCATGCTCATCAGCAACAAGGAACACTTCACAAGAACACAGTGCATATACTCACATGTCATATGGTCACACCCATCATTCTTCTCAATGTTGTACACACACCCAGCACCAGGACACTTCTTGGTAGATTTGCTAATTTCCTGCAGACTCGCCTCCTCTTGCGCTCTCTGATCCTGCTCTTTCTTGCCACTCCTCCGATACTCATACTCCTCACACGTCTCCCCTTCATGCCATGTGTCTTCGTGCACGATGCAGACTTTCAACTTACAAGCGGCGCATGTGAAGATGTTTCCATCCTGTCCACCGTCGTGGAACTGTCCAGATTTACAGCCCTCAGCTCGACACCAGCGAAAGTTCGGATCGTCGCTGAATACAGCGCGGGCGGTGAAGGTGTCGTACTGCTCGAAGATCTCTTGAGCTGCATACTGCTGAATCTCATAATACGCCAAGATGATTTTGCATTCATTTGCCGGGCATTTGACTTCCCTCCAGCTGTTGTCGCGGAGCTGTGTCGTAATCCACACACCGTAACATTCGGCGCATGTTTGTGGCTGATGAGCACAATTAGCAAGGGAAGGAAGCTCGGCAATGGCAATGTCATCACTGCAGACGGCGCATTCGCGAGTGTTTCGAGGCATTTTCCGACTCTGTTCCTCTTCCTCTTCTTGAAGGGCCCTGGCCATCTCTGCGTCGCGAAGTTCTGATTCAGCTCTCTTTCGAAAGAAACTATGATCGTCGTTTGGGAAGTCATCGATGCTGGGATCGAGAGGATCAAGGTCCATAGGCTCCCCACAGTATTCGTCCAGAACTAGATCATGTTGTGGTCTTGAAGAATTGGCAACAGAGTCTTCGTCTGAGACATTACCCACTTCCAAGTCTGAATAGAAATCCGAATCCAAGTCGATAGGGTTCTCATGGGTCCCTCGATGTGCTGATGAGCGACTTTCATTCTGAGAGCCTCTTGAAGCAGTTTTTCTTTTGGCTGCTAGTCTTGGGGCGAACAATTCCTGTGCCACAGCCTCCAGCTGCTCGAAGAACGAGAACTGGCCTTGATCGAAGCCTTCATCCTCCTCGTCTTCATCTTTCTCTCGCTGGACCCGTGATACAAACCGTCGATCCCGCTCTTCTTGAACACTAGGCGACTTTTCTTTGGCCGCTCTAAACGGATTACGAGACGACAGTGAAGGGCCTCGAACCCGCTCTTTCACTCTTTCTCCTCCATCTATAACACCCAGACAAGATGCATCATCCGAGCTCTCGGGAGTCAATGCGCCGTCTGAGTTACTACTAGCATTCCGACTTCGGTGGGTGTTGCTCTGCGTAAGAGAGACGACACGGGTTCGTCGTCGTCGTGGATGTGTATGAATACGTGGTTGCGCAGGAGGATTTTCCTTCCCCTGGAAGTAATTTACATCGCTGAAGTTGGTTGTGGAACGTTTTGCGGAGGGTGGCAGATCATTGTCATCCTCTTTCGTTTTTGTGTGTCTTGTAGATTTGTGTCGTCGGCGCGGCCTATGTGTCGATCGCACTGACATTGGCAGTGTCTCGTCATCCTCCTCTTTCTCATTTTCTGTGGGTTCGATGGACTTCCTCCGCCGGTGTGCACTTTTGCTGTGGTGAGTTCGGCCGGAAAGGCGCACCTGCTTTGACGGCAGTAGTATCAGATTACTCTTAGTCATGTTGTCCAAAAACTCGTTCTCCACACCTGAGGAATGATCGTGCGTTTCTATTGATAGTGATGGTGGTGGTACAGTAATGCTTGAACGGGACAGGCACGTCGTGGCTGGTGCGGTCTGAAGCGCTTCCACTTTCCCGATCTGCGGTCTCAACCTGGCGAACCTCTCAGGAAGCGGGTCCTTCGCATTCAGTTTCAGGAATCTCTCCACGAGTTGGTCTTGGTCTTGGTTGGCACTATTTTTTGGGGATGGCACCGGCTTCCTCTTGATTGGCTGTGTTTGCTGTGATACAGAACGCGGGATTTCGAATGGAATTTTAACGTCGGAAGGCTCTTGACGAATGATTGTGTCTTTGCTGTGGATTGTACTGGAGAAGGGGTGAGATGATACAATCCCTACCATCTTGCCTTCGATCGCGCCAGTCTCGTCACGGGGTGCTGACGTGGTCTGTCGCGTAGACATGTGGTTAGTCGCTCTTCCCGCTACTGCTGGAAACCCACTTGCCACGATGCGTGGAGATGACTCGGGCGACGAAACGGTGAGAAAAGTATCCAACGGAGTCTCCAGCGGCGCGTTACCGAGCGTTAGACGCTTTCTCAGGCGCAGCCTTGACGTCTTCTGGGGCCGAACCGGAAGTTCTGTAGGGAATGCGCTGGGTGTTTTGACTTGCCACACGTCTTGAGTCGGTGAACCTGCTAGTTGATGCGGTGCAGGTGAATAGACGAAGGAGGGTTTGCCATTGTCCACCACAGATGCTTCATCGTAGCTTTCAGCTCTGTACACTCCGTCAGGCTGCGAATAAGCTGAAACCTTGTCTACTTCAAGCTGAGGATAGACAATGAGAGGATAAGCATTTGATTTCGATTTCTTCAATCGGGAGAAGAATGTAAAGTTATGCATGGTGAACGTTTTTAATGAAAGGAAGCCAGAAGGGCAGAGCGAACATACCCTTCAATTCACGCAAGGCTGAGGCGTCTCTGCCTGAGTTGCATTCGTATCGGGCTCATTGGAAGATGCACCCATATCGATGCCGATATGGTGAGGAGATGGCTGCAGCCCCAGACGCGCGACATCTCCCAGCCAATGATTTGGAATCAGGCTGTCCACAGAACTCTGCCACCATGCACGTAGGCACAGATTGTTCTCAGGTTGAGACGCGATTTGACATGAGAGGTTCGGCATATACTTCCAGTCCGGAGCGCCTATTTCTCCGTGGTAACCCATCCCCATCCCCATCCCAATTTACAAAGAACTCCATGCTCCTCAAGAGCCCAAAAGCAGATCATGCAGGTCATTGTTACCCTTCAAGCACACACTACTTCAGCAACACAGACAAACTAGGACAATACTACAAGAAAATGCTAAGCCCTCGTCCTATCCACTGATCTGAGATTCATAACAAGCTTGTTCATTGGCACAGCCCAGGTCCATTTTCTCCATCTCAAACTCGATTTGGCATCGTCCCTACAGCGTGTGGTGGAGGAGGCGGCGCGCCGTCCCTCCTTTCACTCAAATCCCCAGTTGGCGACATCATCGTGTTCTGCTGAAGTATGCCGGTATTGAGTGGAGGTGGAGGTGTAGGATTGGGTGAGATACCAGATGCTGCATGATACCCTGTGTCGGTAAATCGGCCAGCGACTGGATTGTATACACCAGCTTGGGGAGCTGAGAGCGTGTACGTTTGCTGGAGCTCGTAGCTGTCTTCGTCTTCTGAAGACGAATAGTCGTATGTTTCCGCCCGACGTTGTCGCGCAACGTCGCCAGCGAAAGGGTTCGGAGCCGGCATCTGGTCTTGATATTTGTTCACCTTGGAAGACATTGTTGAATTGAGAGTGCCGGAGCGATGATAACTTGAATCCATGGTTTCGGTGCGGTAGTTACTCGATGCCAGTGTGTCACTACGATCCACCCCATATGGTTCTTCCTCGTTACGTCTTCGTTGCGAATTGGAGATTTGTTGACGGAAAACGTTTCCGCTATGCTCAGGCTCTCCAGGCACCGCAGTGACGGATGAGAACCCAGATGCAGCACCGCGTTCCTCGTCCGGTTTAGCCATGGATCGAAGCGGCTGTACATCTTCATCGATCATTATAGTGGGGGTAGGTGCTGGTGGAGGGGCTGGACCACGACCCCAGGCTCGGATTGGGTATGCGCGTCCCTTCCGCCAGGTCTCTGTTACTGGAGGAAAGTATTGTCGATATGAAGCCCAAGCCACAAGTATTCCGAGTATGCTGCCAAAAATGACGTCGAAGGGGTGATGGCGAGCGTCCATGATGCGGGTGCCAGCGATGACAGCGGCACCGAGGGTAGGAATCAAGACCACGAAGGCCCTCCAGACTTCGCCCTTTGCGTCCATGACGTGTAATTTCGCAGCGAGGTAAAGGGAAAGATAGAAACAACCAGCGAACGCAGCTACACAGGGTCAGACGGATTTCCAGCTGTGGAAATTGTACATACTACTGCTATGTCCAGAAGGGAAGCTCTTGAACCCGTCTTGCAGGATGTAATTGCTCGGCTGGTTGCACATGGCGACGGTAGCCAGGGTGAAGTTTGCGACGCCCCAATCAGCTGGCCAGTGGTCCTTCATGTTGCATCTAGAGTTTGTCAGTACACGCGCATCACAGGCTTCCCCGACATGACCTACCGGTCGATGACATCCGGTCGCGGCTTCCCAATGGCATTCTTAAGAGCACCTGTAACTGTAAAAGCAGCACCAACAGCCAAGCCCAAGCCCAGAATGCCGCAGTTCAGCTCCCACAAACGGTCCTTGAACCTGTATCTGCCACTCATACGCTTGAGGCCAGCCCTGCTCGCGGGCATAGGCGTTTGGTGTGAAAACAAGCCATCGATGACCAGGGTGTAAAAAGCAATGATGATAGCCGGAATGCCCACAACGTATACGCACAGCCAGGGGACGGGCACGCGCTCCTTCTTGGCGAACGGATAGTGCAGGGTATAGTTCTGGAGCGAGAAGGGCTGGTGGAACGGCTCGATCTTGTCGACGATAGAGAAGATTCCAATAAGGACACTGCGAGTCGTACTCGTTAGTCGGCTGCTGGGAAGGAGGTCGTGTGCTGCGGAAGGAGCGGTTGGACTCTTACACGATGATGAGGTAGTCGGCAACGTAGCTGCAGGTGTCAGTCGCAGGCATTTCAAAATGGGCATCAGGTTCTACGCACGAGAATATGACCTTCTTGGGGAGTCGCTTCTTCGAGAAGGGAAGGCGCTCTGGGAGCTTGTTTGATGTCCACTGGTCCATGGCGCACTACCACATCCGCACGCCCTCTAGGGCTTCCGACTGGGCTTCAAGCGTGATCGCGCTGGTTTTTATACCAGAGAGATGGGTGCACCAGACAGAAGAGGGGGCAGGTGAAGTCAATAGAGCTGTCCAACGTGGGTCGTCGATGTTTCGGCGGGAGTCTCAAGACAGGCGACTCTCCCAGCGAGACGCGCGACAGCAGAAAGGAGGCCAAAAGCAACAGCCGTGCCAGGTGGTATATAAAGGGCCGAGTTATTCAGGTGCCGTAGACATGCGCCATCAGCGATGGCAGTGAGGAGACACTACCTACTCAGCCACGAGCTGACACCCTTCACTGCTAACCCTGTTGATCGACAGCCTTGGCCCGCTCACTAGCGCCTGAACTTGCGCGTCAAACAAGCGGACATGACATGGGCTCGTAGCAAAGAATTGCATTTGTTTGACAAGCACCCGCTGCATGTTTGGCAATCTCAGCCTCTCTTCCCAGTAATGCGTTGCCGTGACGGGCATGCGATTCGCGAATTGGTTAGTGGCGCCCTTAGCGCATTGTAGCTGAGCAATCATCAACACCATGGCTGCCATCTATTTATGTGCAGTACCTGCCCGTCATTGGCCACACAGCCACTGAGAAACACAACGTCGGAAGCACCATGGCCAGGATCCTTGATTTGGTCAAGTTTACCAACCCGCGCTTCTATTTTCTCATCGGTGTGGCCTCTCTTGGTAGCCTGCTTTTTTCGAGCACTCTCAGATCAGACAGGCCTAGGATCGTTGCGTCTCCCTTGGAGACCATTCTACCACAACTGTCAGCAGAAGACACCAAGAAGCTGCCATATCCTCCAGATGCACTACCAGGCGCCAGAGATGTACAGTCACCATACGGCAGCATTCGAGTGTACGAGTGGGGGCCTGAGGATGGAGAGAGGATACTGCTCATCCATGGTATATCAACACCAAGCGTTGCGTTGACAGATTTGGCACACAAGCTCGTCAGCAAAGGATGTCGAGTGATGCTGTTTGGTGGGTAAACTCCATATGTTTCTCTTGTCTCGAAAGCAGTAACCATTGCTTATTATGCCAACTGCCAACATTTATTTCTTGAATCAACAACTCTTTATCTTCCTCTCCCACCATCGACCGTTTATCTACACCTCAGACAGTTTCATCATTCCAAATCACACCCTCTCGTTGCTAGTGTTCATCAGCCCACATCTGAACATACAGATGACTCGCGCCGAAACACCCAACAGTTACATACACTTACCATCCCACAGATCTCTTCGGCCGCGGCTACTCATCCGGCCCCTCTCCCTCAACCCACAACTACGACTCATGTCTCTACACCACCCAAATTCACCTCGTACTCTCATCCTCCGCCCTCTCCTGGTCCCGTAGCAACCCCTTCACAGTGATCGGGTACTCCCTTGGTGGGGCCCTCGCCTTAGACTTCACGTCCTACTTTCCGCACCTAGTCCATGCCCTGATCCTCCTCGCACCCGGTGGCCTGATCCGCCACTCACACACAACCTGGAAATCAAGGCTCCTCTACTCCACGCTCGGCATCATTCCCGAGTCCCTGACCGAGCGTCTCGTTGCGAAAAGATTATGGACGGGCCCTGAAACGGCCCGGACAATAGAACCAGAACCTGCCGGTGCAGTTGTTGAGAAAGCAGAGACGAAGCGGAGAGGAGATGCCGTCTATGCTTCTTCTCATCACAACCTTCTCCCCGGAAATGCGGCGAGCTCGGTGTCAGCGGTAGTGGACTGGCAGATACAACATCATGCTGGGTTCGTCCCGGCGTTCATCTCGTCGATTCGGTATGCGCCGGTTCATGGGGAACAGGGGCGGTGGAATGTTGTGCGCGAGAACATTGAAAACGGGGTAGGGGGGTTGAAGAAGGTATGGGTTGTGTTGGGGGAATCTGATCCGATTATCGTTGCTGAGGAGATTGTTGAGGATGCGACGAGTGCGCTGGGCGAGGAGAATGTGGGGGTCACGATCGTGAGCGGGGTGGGGCATGAGGTTGCGATTGAACGGGCGGAGGAAATCTTGGGCGTCGTTGGGAAAGCGTTGGGAAGGGAGGGTTGGTGATTTGGAACATGTGTAAGAACAAAGGGCGAGGGTGCAACGAAAGAGGAGGGGAAATATAGACTTTCTCTTCTTAGATAGATCGTTGTGCCTCTCAGATAGCTTGATTATGGATCTGAAACGGAAATGACAATAGGTAACGCAATTGGACTGAGTAACGATGATGCACCAGCTGATAAAAACGTATTCATGACACATCCAAACAATCGTGGATTCCAAGTCGTGACTTTTTCTCATGCACAATACTCCTCGAGCGACAATACGGCGGACTTTACACCGAATGTCAATCTTAGTCATGGCGACTCACAAGATGTCGTGCGCCAGACGTCACAGTGCGAAGGTGAAACCCGTCCGCAACTGTGCTTCCAGGAAGACCCGATCAGGATTGCAACGTTAACACAGTTGCGATCATGCTCAGTAAATCCCCTTCTCCATCATGTGGTACTCTTCCTCCTTTGTCCCAGTCTCTTGAATCGCTCTAATAGGAGCCACAACTAACAATCTATGTACGATCATATCCAACAGAATCCCCAATGATAAGCACCATGGTAAGTCCGTCAAGAGAACCGTACTTGTCCCCGAGCCTTCCACTACCCCAATGAGCAAGGCGATGAAGAGGCTTCCAAGGAGGAGAGCCTTTCGACGCATGTTGCCTGGATGTGTCTCATGGTAGGCTGCAACAGCAAGAGCCAGTATGAGCCAGCTAACAAGCAAGGTAGACGGCGACGGCCGCCTTAACATTTCGGGGATTCGAAGTCGCGTTTGGTGAAGAGCCGAGTCTCCAATATGCTAGTAAAGCAGAATTAGTACGTTGAGTAACTTTCTATCTTTCTTTCTTGGGGCAGAGACTTACAGTTGCCCAGTTGACGAACTTCCGGAGTATTGGCTCCGTTGCCCATACATCATGCCAACAGTAGTGAACTACTTTTCTACACGTATCTACAAGAGTTCCAGTGTCCTTCTCTTGGTTCTCACAACTCTGCACTAAATTCGCAGAGGTGTGGTTCGATCTATGACCCCCCAAATTTCCAGGTAGTTTAGTAGAACCTTCAAGTATCTCTTCACAGACTTGAATCATATGCTTCAAGCTATTGTTGTCTGCTCTCCAATTCAATGAGCGCGTCAGCTCCCATTCATTTCTGATTGCGCGCTCGATATCGTATCCAGCAGAAACAATGGAACTGGTCAGGCTGAGAAGCAGCGACACCCCAGCGATTGAATTGGCGACAGGATCGGCCATGATTCCGCTATAGCCTTGCTCACATATTCGTCAGTTAGATATCGACCTCAGAAAGCACATAGGCATCCCAGGAAGGACATACTGAGCGGTTTTCAGACGGGAACCAAATCCGGGTCGAAATTGTTCCTCAGGAGTCAAGGTGAACGGGAGCCGGGCCATATAGACAACAGTCTGTGACAAAAATCAAGGATGTGGTTGCTGCGGCTGAACATGTGGCGTGTGACGTGTTGCAGCACCGCCTCCACCACATGCTGGGCGCAACTGCTTTATCCCGCATCCCTAAGGTCTTCTCACATCTTTTTTCAAACCGGTCGAACGGTAATACTGTTATAGCTCTCCAATTTTTAAATGCCAGGAGAGCTGTGAATATAGTTTATTCTTCTATCTCCCGCTTCTCTCGAGACAAGTTACAGCCTCGTGCAAGATCCATTTCAACCGGTCAAAACACACTCACTGTACGTGCTTGTGTTCCTGACTTGACTGCTACCTAACTACTTTCTATACCTGAGACTTCTTCTTGCTGACCCTGACTGAGCTAGGCTGAGTACATTCAATCAACCCGAAGGCATCAAACCGCACCCTCTGCTCAGCCTCACTGCAGCTATGCAAACCGATGAAACCCTGGATCCCTCAAGAAGACTTCAGCCCTGTACAACCGAAGTACAGAAATGGGGCTCAGAAACACCAGCTTCTTCCTTTAGTCAGACTAGAATCCGACTTTCCGACAGGTCAGAGTCTCGTTCGGCATCTCAAGGGGAGCTAGCTGTAGAGGCAAAGGCTATCTACGCTGGGTTAACCATGGTCGATGCCAAATGCATCTATATCGACAGAGCATTGACAACACACACAGCCAAGAATACCGAAAGAAAAAATCGACAAGCCCTTCTCGCATTACAACGTACACTCCTGAATGGATATCATGAATTATACCTCTCGCTCCTCGCGCTCCAGTCGATTGCCATCAAAGACCTGTTGCCTTTCCGAGCCTCTTCTTTCCTGGATCTCCTCCGGCAACGGCTACCATATTCAGTGAAGCACACCGTCCCATCCATTCGCTTCGCTTCGATTCACACTCGCCTTGCCTACCTTCGCAACACTTTCTCCAAAAAGAGCCGAAGAACCAGCGGACGAAGTCAGTTCTGTAACATAGCATCACTCGTTTATTTGACGAACCTACCATCGGTATCCGCTGCGGCACCCGTCCAGGATTCCGGACCGATGCTGGTAGATGATACCCCATTTGACTATGTAATGTACGGTCTGATGATGCTGTACCTGTGTATGGCATGGTACATTGGCGCAAGGTCCAGGATGTATTCTTTCACCATCATGCTCCTCTTCGCCGTTCTCTGGGTAATCACGATTGGCGATACATTTTCAACCAACATCCGCAAAACGTGAGTTCTACTGCATATCTCTCTTGTCTGGATACTAAACTGCTCCCAGGGTGCTGAGAATATGGGCCGTCACACAATTCCACGTGGTTGTGCAAGACTGCCTCGAAGCTACCGACCAGAAGCTGTAAGTACCCAGAGATCAAGTCTTTGTTGGTTAATATATACTTACTGGTATCCAGTCACGTCTTCAAGTTCCTTGGCCTATCAGCTCTCTTTGAAGCTGTAGGTATGAGCCTACAGCAGTTTTCTAAAAGAAGTCTCCTCGACTCCTTTCCCCCGAGCCTAGCACTCGCAGCCTTTATACATTGGGCTCTGCCGCAGCCCGACAGGTCTGTCCTGCGACCGGATCTTGAGGACGGCGGAGCGGCGGCTTCCGACGTAAATAATCACACTTTGAACGATCTGTCGCCGTCGAACGGGTCGGGCCCTGGCGTGCGACGTTCTCAAAACGTCATCATAAACCCTGGTGACCGTCCAAGTCACCACACCTCTGCTACCACAAGAGACACCCTCCCAGATCCGGCTCAATTCGCGTCAACTGATCATTTCGATCTCGAGTCTCTCCGGAGTGACCGGAGCCATGTTCCAAACAGGATCTGATTTCACCAACGCACAAGTCTGCCTATCGCGCTGTCCTCGACGCATCGCCATTACTCACGATCCATCTTCCCGACATTTTCCTAGTCATTTCATAAGCAGACATCGCAGTGCACTACGCACAATTTTGACACTCTACACACACCTCAACGAGGCTATACCTGTATCTCTCTCTCTTTCCATTTACATCTCTTTATCTGTTCTCACAAACAGCGCTAGGGCGTTTGACATACGATGATTGTGACCACCAACCCCTATGGTTGAGGTAGGACCGCATCGTGGCGTATCGGGGTTTATTGAATATAACGATTTATGGAATACATTCTAATCCCAACGTTTTTTTTTACAAGCTGGGAGCTCGGGTTCCAATGTACTGCGTAGTCTGGCTGTAGAAATCGATATCGAGACTATGTAAATATGGGTGAAGGATGGATGGTCTTGCGGACTTCTCCTCCATCTCATGAACGCGTGCATCTGAAAATAGCCTCCCATGTTGGTCGTTGCGTTGAATTCGGCGCTGCAGTTATGTCGGTCAATTTACATGAGCCAACGAACAGGGCGATATGCCGGCATCAACATTGCGCGAAGTAGGGTGTGGGGGCAATGACTGACGTGACACCACGAGAACTCCTTGCAGGATCTCGACAAGAGAAATAGTCAAGCCAAAGGAGGAATAACAACATCATTCCACTCGATGAGTCCCACCCGATCCTTCAAAGCTCAAGAGTGTGAATCACGCCCGCAGGCAGATGAATAAATTGTTCGTAGAGAACTAAAATGCTAACATGAAACGCCCAAAGTGATGAGGAATACCCCCCACTAGAATACACCATCATGTCATACCATATCATGAAACGCAGCCTCTCTCTCTGATCCTCTCTGATCCTCCCCTCAGTTTCCTATGGACAAACAAGCCCAACACAGCGATCAGCACCCACCGACTCCCACAGCGAACCATCATCTACACACGCTGGCTCCTGAACGGCTCGTAGGCGGTGCCGCTCTGGCCATGGCCTGAGGGCGCAAACCCGCTGTGCTGCTGTTGCTGCTGGTGGGGGAAAGCGGGGCTAGCGACCCTCTCGTACGTGTATGGTGTCTTCTCGACGACGACCTTCTTGCCCGACTTACCCGACTGGCCCGAGCAGCAGCACATGGACGCGAGCCAGAAGAGGCCGGAGCCGACGGAGAAGGCGACGCCGATCCAGAGGACGGACATCATCTGTTTGCCCATGGAGGCGTCGATGTTGTAGGGCTCGAGCACGGAGTGGAAGACGCCGACGAGTGCGCCGTAGATGGCCGATGCAGTTATGGCGCCGCCGAGGACGAAGATGGTTTGGGCCTGGTGGGTGTTGGTTAGTTGGGTGCGTAGAGAAGGGAAATATTATGTGGGACTTACGGTGGAGATGATGCCCACGACGAAGCTACCCCAGCGGCTGAAGATAGCGAAGAAGCCGATGACGAATTCGGCGGCCGTCAGACACACGGCGATGATGAAGGACCAGACCATCCAGCCAGCAACCTTCTGGTACGCATCGAGGCCCTTCTGCAGGTCGTCGCCAAGCACCTTTTGCGCGCTGGTGCCATTCAGTCCCCACACGTCGATGGGGTTGAACCAGAAGGTTGACTTGCTGGAGGAGCAGTAATCGATGGTCTCCTTGCCGTCCTTGTCCTTTGTGCCTGTGCAGTAGCTCCACAGACCGACCTGGTAGAAGTCCTTCATGTCCTTGGAAGAAGCAGCGCCCTGGAGGGCGTTGAGCAAGTCGTTGTCGATCTCCATGTTCGTCGCATTCTCAACCTTGTCGACGATACTGTCCGGATCTGCGGTAAAGCCGCTTGTGTCTGCCTGTGCTTGTTGTTAGAAACCTATGCGTAAGCAGAGGCATGTTTGGGGGCCAAAACATACCTTGAAGAAGTACAAGTCGCGCCCCAACACGGTGCTTGGAGCCTTGTTTCCGCTGCTACCAAGTTGACCGACCATAACAACGAGCAGGCAAACCAACGACAGGAGCGTCAGAACCATAGGCGTGAAGATGCACGCAAAGCGCCCGAGTTTCCCCATGGCTGCGGTGTTGTGTTGCGGGGTGTGAAGGCTGAGCCTGGTGAGGTCGTGAGTATCTCGGTCTTGACAATGACGCAACACGATATTAATCCCGTCAAGAAACCCAGAACAGGCAAACTGAGCAAGTAGATGAGGGGAACACCGAGGCGAGGGCCGGCGCAGGCTTTTGTACAATCAAGGCGACAGCGAGCTGAGAGGCACAGGCACACTACTGGGGCTGTGAAGTCTGTGCTTTGCGGGAAAGTCGTCGCTTTGACTGGTTCGACAGTGTGCTTATGGAGACGGCGGCATGTCTAGCGACCATCAGCCTCACAGGGCTGCTGATGACTATGCTGCATGGGGTATGGATCGCACTGCGCAACTCGATGGCGGTGCTGGATGTTGGAGCTGGGCTGGGGTCTTTTGTGCTGTCCAACTTGGCAGCGCAGAGATCCTGCTGAAGCCTGTCACCGCGAGCACAGGCTTGACAATCGGCTTCGTTCCTCTACGCAGAACTCCAGCCCACCATATTATCTTTGCGACAGCAGTGCCACAGCATCATCGACCGCGCTCCAGAGAGGCGCGACTCGTGGAACTGCGGGAAGTGCTCGAGAATCAACGTTGATCAGCTTCCGTGCTCCCACCCTCAGCACGGCCAGCCTCTGCCAACAACAGCCTCCCACATTCGTCATCGCACCGCCTTGCACAACCCATTCTCGGCATACCGAATCACTCATCATCCTTCTCATCACCGCCTATAGCTGTCCGAAACACCCATCCCATATCCAATCTTACATCCCGTCTAAGGCCAGCCGGATCGCGCAGTCTATCCAGTAAGCCTCCTCTATATATAGCCACGCTTTGACCCAGGATTGGAAAAAGAGCGGCCCGTTGAAGAAGGCTGAGGCGTGGTCTGTGCAAAACACTCGTGCCTTTGTCAATTTCTCCGCCTCCATTTGAGAGTGGAACAAATATTTGATCTGTGTCATCTTTGTTTTTCCAACGTGTGATGAAGCTGTGATGGATTTATCGTGCGGTGAAATGGGGTAGGGTGTGCTTGGCACCCATGTGCTTGAAAATGTGGACTACACGAAAACAACGCGCATTGGTAAAGGACCTGTGGACCTTATGGGCATCGGGCAATATATGTGTGTATCTACTCCATACCTTCATGTAGTTCCAACATGATCATAGATAATGGCTTCAGCGCAAGGAGTAAAGATATTCCCAAAATGTGCTGCTCCTTCTCCATTGCTGACGTGATCTGCGACAAGCGTATTCTGCCACGCGTCAATCTCAAACAATTCGCCATATTCTCTATCAGATCATCGCCCAGACATCACGCACGCAGCAAGGATCTGATCAATGACAAATTGTGTAATGGTAAGGCATCGCCAAACTCTCTAAGTTTGATTTTCTATCTGCATCCATCCTCGCGGCCTGACCTGCGTTGGCCAAAGACGCGCGTCCAGCCCCTCGTACCCAAACCACTCACGCGCATTGCGGAACGCCTTGACCCAAGTCTACAAACAACACAAAGCTGAAATGGACCAGCATTACAAACATGCCAAAAACCCCTAGATTGAAGAGCCGTCACGTCGTGCGTGAATTCCAGGTGGTCGTGCAAGGTCAACTCGAAGAAATGACATAAGAGATAAACATCCGTCGTAACCTAAAAGTGCAAATGGTATAGAAAGTGCGCAAAACCCTGCACATATGAAGACGAAGAAGAAGAAAAAGAAAAAAAAAGCGACAAGTAGTAAACACAAATGTCAATGAAACTTCCGCCTTGGGAAGGTTGCCAGAATGTTACAAAACAGGCATGAACGATAGGAAAACCCTCCAGTGAGGATGGTACAGACATTAGACGTTACGCACTGATGTCTTGGATGATGCCGCCGGGAACGCCGTCGCGAAAAATGCGAGTGAGTCGCTGAAGCCCGGATTCTATGGTTACAGGAACAAGGGTCGCAAGGCCGATGTTGGGAGAGTGGTGACCTGAACTCTGACTAGGCCTACGTGCATAGGTGCGGGAGTGCTGGGCACCATCGATCTGGTCCGACTTGTTGCAAGTCGGACGAGATGAGTGCAAATGCAAACGCCGAATGGATGGAAGAAAGGGGAGATGGCAACGTTGTCATCTCAATGTGGGTGTTGGTTTCGAGGATCTTGGTTGGGCTGGCCTCGTGCACCCTCACCTCGTGATCGTATCCATTGAGCGTTACCACTAGTACGGCCTTCCAGTGCCTTCAGGGTGTCTGGGTCGGGTTGGCGTTGGGTGATTTGTCCATTGACAATGTCTTCAGGTTTGAGCTTGCTGACGTTGTATGCAATAGATGAGATGAGGTAGCTACTCAGTTCCTTGAGTTCCCGCATGTCCTCTCCATTCAGGCGGTATTTGTCTTGTTTTGGCATGTTGTTTCGTCGTGTGCTGCGGATCTCGTCCATGATGTGGAGCAGGACGGATTCTGGAACACGATTGCGCTCGGCAGCGTGCTTGGAGTCGCGGACGTATCGTCGAGTGACGTCCATGGCACCGTCAGCAGAGAAAGCAATGCAATAGGAGAGCTTCTTGCCCCAGCCTAAAGGAGGGATTAGTCAATGACACAGACGGTGACAGGAGGAGCGACGTACCATCAGTGTATAACCGGGGCTTGTCCCAGGCCTCTTCGCAGGCGTCTACGTGGACCCAACGTTTTCGGTGTGCGGAGTAGACCTCAGTCCAGACGTGGTCCTCGGCATTCCAGACCCAGCGTACTCTTGACCCAATAGCACGGCAGAGCATGCTGAAGCAGTTTGCCCATTCGCCGCATCGGCCCTTTCGAGTCTGCAGAAGAACGAATGCGTCGTTGTATCGAGGGAATCGCTCGTAGTTTTGGCAGGCTTGGTGCGAGCACTTGTAGGCCTCGACCTGGTTGGCGCCGCGTGCTTGTTCGTCGGGTAGTGGGGCAGTGATGCCAACAGCGACAGTGGGCGAGTAGCAGCGCGAGCATGGGGGGTTGTTGACCCACGAGAAGAAGGAGCGCTTGAACCATCGCAGGAGGGCTCGAACGACACAGTCCTGGTAGCCCCAGGCGGCCTTCTTCCCCGATCCCAGGCTTTCGGCCTCTGCCTGCAGAATCTGGCTCTCCTCCTCAGCCTCGCCGTAGATCTGCTGCAACGGGACGACTCGCAGGGCTTCGTCGAGCAGGCCGGGGTTTTCCCACCGCAGGGGCATGCTGGACAGCGAGTGCAGCATGTTCTTGAAGCGCATGGAGCGGGCGTCGACGGGCGGTTCGGGGTGCAGTGGGATGTTCTTGACGTACGAGGGCGGGGCGGCGTGGACGGGCGGCGGCTGCGGGGTGCCAAAGTCTCGTGGCGATGGCGAGGCCGAGCGCGTTGTGCTGAGGTCGTTCATTCGCTTGGAGCTGAGCACCTGGCGAAAGCGCTCGGTGAGGTCGTGTGCGAGCTTGTCCGAGTCGGCCCGGGCGGCGCCGTGTGAGTGCTCCATGGCGGGCGGTCGCGGTCGTGGTGGTTGGCGTGTGGTGTCGTGGTGGAAGGGAGTCGTGGTGGAAGGTGCGAGGCGAAGGAGTCGTCTGGTGTTGTAAGTCGTCCGATGTGCACAGCCCCAGCTATGATGAGCGACTGCGGGCGCAGCAGCGACAGCAGGCCAGACGGGTATTTGGGCGGCGACGGAAACGGGGTCCCAAGGGCGGGCAGCGTCTACAGAGCGCAGGTCGACTCGTCGTGAACAATGGCTGGCCAGATTAACGCGTTGATGGTGAGGGCGAGCGAGGGTGCAGGGCATGATGAGGGCGGGATGGGGGCAAGAGCGTCCTGGCCCGCTTGTCCGCATTCGGGAGGGCCGCGTAAGGAAACTACGAAGCGTCGTGTCTGCCCTCGTAGCGCGACTCACGCCCGTCTTTGCCACGGCCTCACATGGCCGGGACAGGCACCGTCTCGTGATGCTCGCTGCTGCAACCGGCGCCCAAGAAGACACATCAAGAGGCCAAGCACCGCAGCGTCGTCGACACGCACTGCGTCCGCGTCCTGGTGCGCCTGCTCGTTCGGGCGTGCCTGCCTCTGCAACCTGCAACGCGCTACCTAATCCTTGGCCCGGGGCCTCGCACCAACGATTGCGTACCTTCTAGCTCCATCTCCGGCCAGGTAACGTGTTAACGACCCCAACACACGCAAGCCATCTGAGAGCAAATTTGCTTGGCGCAACGCGTTCGCTGCGAATACTACCGAAGCGGTTGCCCGTCCCCATCCTATTTCGCGTGTTTGTCTTCTTGAAATATTGCTTAGATAGTCGTGTTGTGTCGTGTCAACCAACCAACCACGAATGCCAGTCACTGTCAGTCACGCCCGTCGCGGCCCGTCACTGCCAATCTCGAGACCCTGTCCTTTGCAAACTGATTCCCAACCGATCGCCTGTCTGCCAACACAAAAGATCGGAAACTCTATCGCACGGAAAAGAACGCTGATCCGAGCGGACGAACGACAGACGAGTCAGCATCGTCTTCTGCGTGCCCAGGAACCCTCTGCGCTTCCCTCCGACCAGGAAAATCCCGCCCGTCCACGTGTGATACCGCCGCAGGAAGACGCGTCCATACGCCCACACGTTCACATGTCACGTCACCAACTGCCGATCTAGGTCCTCGTCGCAACACCAACAACACGGGGGACGCTAAATACACCGCTGCAGTTTGAATGTCGAGCATTTGAACATTAATCATCGGAACTTGACTGTATTCTACTTGGTCATGGAAGCAATCCCCAAAGACAAAAGGAAGTGGTATCTCGCGAGTGTAAAGCAAAAATCCCCCCCTCCAATGCAATGCTGAAAGAAAAAATGCCATCGTGATGTCGTACATGGTTTGCTGTTTGCAAGCATTGCTGCACTATATCGGACAGATCGGGTCCAACAAGAGAGGCTACCGCGTCAGTGATACCTCAATGGCGATCCTCTTTCACGCCATGTCGATGCTCACGATGCTCCGATCTCTCATTCCTCACCTCAAACTCCTCTGTTCTCATAATCGTAGTACCCGCCTCTGTATCCGCGCTCGATCGTGTCCTTCCCCAAGACCACAAACTCTTAGATTCAGCCCCAGGACGCGCTTCCTCCTCGGTCTCTAATATGACGTCCTGGCTGCTGCGGTAGGGTTCAGAATTTTCGCGCTCGGGCCTGTGGCTTAAGATGCCCCGTTCCACGTCATCCCACGGATTCCATGGCTTCATTTCATAACTTTTACCCCTGTCTTGGGATAGTTCTGGCGCACTGCTAACCACGCCAGACCTTCTTTTCGAGGACAGGACAGAAGCGAGTGGTATGGATATGGAGCCTTGGGTCGTGACGTTGGAGGAGAGTGTCGAGGCTAGTTTGGAGTTCTTGGAGAAACTTCGAGACGAGCATGTTGTGGGTTCCTTGCATCTCGCGGAGGATCGTTCTGTGGGCTTGTTGTATATCGGTACGATATTTGGTGATAAAGATCCTGGTGGACTAAAAGAAATCCTTGCTAGCAGAGGGCGGAGAGCTGGCGCCGATGCGCAGATCTGGTCTGCGTGTTAGTTTATCCTGGTAATTGGCTATTGTTGCTTGACTTACCACTCCCAAATCAACCTCGACGGCTGCAGCTATCCAGAGCGGATAAGCGTACCACGTCGTGTCATCCTCTACCATTAAGCTTTTGTAAATGTACCATGTGCGAATGATTCCAGCAATAGTCACAATCACCCCTAGAGCGAAGAGAAAGGCGGCTCCGAAGCGTTGGCGAAGCGGCATGTGTAACTAAAAGTTTGTCAGTGTCATGTCTCAGACGTATACTAAATGACGACGTACTCCCATGATTACTGGGATGGGTGTCACAGCAGTCACGAAATCAGCCACTGTGCTGATGATGCCACAAACGAGCGTGGCAATGCCTTCGTCCAAACAACTGTCCGCTGGTGCGTCCAACTTCCAATAATTCTCAATCGGCGTACACAAGAATATCGCAATCTGCAATTCAAGTCAGCAGGTGTCCTCGAATCCAGCACGTAACTGGGCTTCTCCTTACAAAGGTGTAAGACACAAAGATAGCCAAACTGTATGCTACATTTGCATGTACAATCCACTTGAACCAAGTCATGCCCGAGTCTTGAACCAGTCGATAATACAGACAATGCAGAGATAAACGCGTAAAAGTGGCTGCTGCCGTAAACACGATCTTGGCCGCCATTGCAATCTTGGACGTGGGTTCGAGTTTGTAGAACTCGATGTCGTAGACATGTCTATCCCAACCATAACTTTGGTTTGCGACAAGAACGACGGCAGTCAAGCCGATTGTAAAGAACTACTTCGTTACATGTTGTCAGATGGTGTCCTGTGTCGTTGCAAACGGTTACGGTGGCTTACCAAAGCGAGCAGAATGAAGACGTCGTCGATTCCCAACCATCTTTTTATAACTAAACGTGTGTACAAACGCAACGCGACAACTATGATAGTGAGACTGATAAAGATGGAGTTGACAATGAGTAGCGCATCGCCGCGAGTCTCGGGGTTGACGTAGTTGGGGTTGGGCCAAGTGAGAATCACGGCAATAGGTGGTAAACGCATCCTGAAGATCTATGGAGGAGCACCTGCCCAAAGCAGAAAGAGAGACATGCGTGACATTTGAACAGAAGGCTGAAAGGACGACATTTGAGATAACTGATCGTTCATAAGACTATGAATGGATCTACTTGGCTCATTAATGAGACGCTTGGGGTGCTCTAGCACGTAACCGGCATATGTACAAGGAGTTTATTTCGTTTGGGACTAGTGAGAGTCGCCAAAATCTGCTGATGCCATTTTGCAACGGGAACTATTAAGCCGTTAGCAGTCTTACATCCCGGCAGATTCGTACACATACCTGTAGTTCAATAGAGGTGGAGATGAAGGCCCAGCATCATACTAGAGGCTCCAGTATGTACGCAATGAATGACATGCTTGACACCCCTCAACTGTCGAGACTTGTGGCGTGTATTTAACCGGTCCCTTCTGTCTTCGCTCGGCCTGCCTCTCGGCCCGTTGTGAAGTTACAAACTACCCGTACTAGAACTTCCGGTTAAGTCTACAAGACTAGAAGTCACTACGAATAGATGAGTTGCGCACTAGGTAGATGCTGAGCTTCAAGTACGTTCGGTGTGATGTGACACTATCATGATCGCCTGACAATAGGGTTTCGCGTGGCTGTTACAGAGTCTGTACGTTTTGATTGATTGGCAGTGATGAGCTGCTAAGGACAGCTTTAGGCCGGGAGACAATCTCGGACATAAATCGTGCGCGAGGCTTGCAGAAGCTGACTTTTCTGCATAACAAGAATCTTGTAGACATACGTACCGCTTGGTCCTGATACACAATGTCTCGGGCTTCTGGGCTGCATTGGTAATCTCTTATGGAGGCGGCACGCATGTTGGCATGTCCCTGCTGAGTTGTTTTCCCCGAGTCGCGTAGAACAACGACTGCGTCGCACCACGAACGGTTGTGTTCCTGGTTCCTGGATTGCAGCCTTGGTTCCTAAGTTGCAGTTGTACGAGTGGTTGTACACGATAATCGCACACCGCAATAGGTAACATGCCGTGGTTGTTCAGTCGTGAAATGAGAGTGTTGGTTTGTTGGGTTGTAATTAGAGTTGTGTGGATCCCCAGCATACCTGTTCGATTAGCGGTGATCGGGTCATCCTCCCGAGAAGAATCGGCAAAGTGGGCATGGGATGAAACAGCCATCACCTTCCCACTTGAATAGGTCATACTAACCCATTCGCATGCTTGCCAGCTTCGTGTTTTACTGATTTTTGGCCTTCAAGCAGATTGATCCGCAATCGTTTATTGCCGGATTTAGCCTATGGAGGATCCACTGCTTGGCATACGGGGAAGGTTTCGGCATGTGAGATTTTGGTCGACGTCCGGTTATAACTAACGATACTAGAACTTGTTTAATACAGAGAATTTCGGGCCTGTAGACATCACATCATGTTCTCACTCGTCAACCAGACGCTGTCACGCTTCGTATCACGGTTGAATTAATTTTCACGTTGATCAGATTCTAGATAGTCTAATAAGGTTTCCACGGGCGATCATACACAGTCTAGGTAGCACGCAATAATCAGCTAACCAATACGCGTTTCTTGCGACGGACGCACTACTACGCCGGCGTCTGGAAACTGCCTTTTACTGCCAAATCTGCGTCTAACCAAAACAGCATCTTCCAGTTTTTAGAACATCCCCAAGGCGTAATGGATCTCGCAAAGCAACGGAGAAACATGTCACGCGTAAGACATACTAGATACGCTAACAATGCAGGAAAATGGCGACCACCTCTGGGGGCACTGCAAGCGCACCATTAGAGAGCCTGTGATTTGGTGTATCGTTGTTCGTCGACTTAGACACCTTTGTTCAACGCGGTTCGCTTTTGGTGATGCAAGCCTGCGGCACGCAACCTCAGGCGGCAAGGCGGTTTCGCCTGGGGCGGTGCAAGCGCTCAGCGACCCACGATATAGTCATCTGAAGGGCCTGAAAATTACGGCACAGTATTTACACTCAGAAAGAAACACAGCCCCACAGGGCAAAAGGCGAGCGAGGCTTTGTTTCAAGGTGTCCATTATGTTTATATTGTTCAATTATGCTGCATGGTTGCACATAATCCTTCCCAACCGAACAATCGCACGAAACATACACACGCAATACGAACCCAGAAGTACCCGTTATTTGTCATTGACCATACAAACATAACATCAACATCTCTCCAAACCATACAAACACGCATCATGGCTCCCTTCGCCGAACTCACAAGCCTTCACAAACGCTCCTCATCCTGCTCCTACTACGATGCAACATGCAATATGGATCGCACCCCCGTCATAGTCATATTACTCATCACCGGCATCATTGCTAGCCTGCTCATCAGCTGCTTCTATGTGCGCTCCCGTAGGTGGAGGGCTGCGAAGGAAAGAGAAAATAGGAGGAGGCTAGAACAGATCAAGATGACTGGCTCGTCATGGCCGTCGTACGAGGCGCCACCCCCATATATGCCCAGAGTTCCGGAGAGGGTTGCGAAGGGGAGAGGGGAAAGGATATGAGGCCGTATATACAATGGATGTTTCATATCCCCGCGTTTATAGATATCTGTTGCACCTCGAACCCCTCAATTTATTTGAACTATCAACCAAACGTATTCAAGTTATCTACTAGATCAAGAACGCCACAACGCAGCTGCGAATTCAACACGCCATCTAATTGTCGGTTTTCCATAACCCTCCTTCACCCTTACAAAGCTACTCCTCAAGCACCCTGAAGCCCCAACCCCACTCCATCACCATTGCCCATAGCTCCATCATCTCGAGGCATATCCCGCCCTCTTCCCATCTCCCTGATCCTACGTCCCTCCATCAGACCTCTAAGCCCACGCTTCTGCAGCCCTACCACTGCACTCATCTCTCCGTTCCAGGTTTCCCTCTCTTCAATACCACTTCCATCTCCAAGCCCACTATCAGATGCGGAAGCAGATGTCGACTCCGACACTGCAGAGCTAACTTCGTCATCGTAGTGTCTTTCTACCTCAGTGTTGATGCGCAGCGCGCGCAATCCGGCGTCGAGGCTGCGTTCCACATCGGCAATAGTGGTGTTGTCGCTCGTAGCACCTAGTATTGCATCCAACTCGCCGTTTGAGGCCCCATTCGAGGACGAGACGCCATTCACACCTAGGAATGCAACACCTGAGCCACCACCGGCTGCCATGGCGGCGGCGTTGAAGATGGCGGCTGTATTCCTGTTGTCGAGAAGGACGTGCAGTCGTTCGATGATGGCTTCGAGGAGGCCATCGATGTGGTATGGTCTGGCGAGTTGGAGAAGAGAGCAGAGTATCTGTGGAGTGCAGAGTGATGAGTTTTGTGGTGGGAGGGAGGACGTATAGAGATAGTGTATGAGTGCTTGGAGTGTGAGGTGTGTGTGCGGAAGATACAAAATCCTGGGTCTTTGCGACGGTGATTGTGTAGAGGGATCGGGTGGACTTAGTGAAGAGTAGGAGTTAGAGGAGGTTGCTGTAGCCTCGAATGGTGCAAAGGTGTTCGCTGTCAACGTCGTTGCCGCTGAATAGGTCGTCCGTATGGAGGGTGTAATAGTGATGCTTGAGTTTCGAGATGGGTGCACGCCGGTCATGGGTCGTAATGTTGCCGTATCTGCGTTCTCCTTTTCTTCGCTTTGCACGCTCTCACGGAGCATCTGGTTGAAGTATGGGCCCCATCGGCGCGCGATGAGATGCGAATTGACGGGAATACGTTCGCCGTGTATCGCGAGGAAGTCCATGTCCGCCAACTCTCTCATGCCTAGCACCATTTGGCCCAGCTCTGTCGCTGCTGGGGACAAGGAGCGCCCTCCTGCGAGTAGGTCGAGGCGATCGTTAAGTGGCGGTGCACTGACGGACCTGAATCCGGAACTCGGCGTGACTTTTCGAGGGTTGTCGTAGAGCCCGAAAGCTTCAAGTTCGACAACGCAAATGTTCGAGAAGTTGATTCGCCGATGATTGTAATCTTCCACAAGACTGCGCTTTCGGTTGCCCAAAATCACGAAACTATTTCTGCGGTTCCATAGTACGCCTCTGTTCCAGCTTCCTTGACTAAAAATATTGCCTCCTGCCTCTATTCGTCCCCAGCTCAGTGTTCGTAGGTCGAGTGCCCAAAGTGCGTATTCCTGTTTTGAAGAAGTCAAGAACGTGCCACTCACAACGAAGTGATTGTTAATGACACCCCCATTAGGAAAGCGAAGACCTGGCGGTGAAAAGTTGCCTTGCATCGGCTTCTCTGTAAGCGTTCCGTCGGGGAGTCTTACTTGGAGCTCGAGCTTGACGTCCAAAAAATTGTAGTTGGAATATATAAGCATTGATGATTCGCCCTTTGGGTTTGAGTTTTGCTCGTTAGGACTCCCTGGCTCGCTGCTCTGGCGAGTTCCAGCACCTATCTTGTTGGGCTCTATGCTAGTTAACGGCGCAACCACACTTCGATAGGCTCCACAGCTCCTTCCGAGTGTACTCGTAGCTGTCCATTTCAAGCTCCTCAAGTTGAAAACGCTGGTCTGTTCGATGTAGTGGTTTGAGCTATCCTGGCCACCAACGACCACCATTTCTGCACCGCCCTCACCGTCTAGCTGAACTCCGAGCGATCCCTGGTTTGGAATTGTTGAAGACGGGTTATGTCTGATAGCTGTTACTGCAGCTGCGGTAGAGGTGAACACAGCAAATGACGGTAGTATTGTTGCGCAATGAGCATATCGGCCCTGGGGCGCGTCATTCGTAGGAACATGCATCCACGTTCGCGTTGCCGCATCGTATATATGGATATCAGACATGACTACCACTTCTGGCTGCGCATCCACTGGTGCGCCCTGTAACATCGCTGTTGATTGGTTTGCTGGTGCACTTGCAGGTGACATACCACCATAGCAGACAAGTTTCGTGTCGCCGAGTGCACATACACTGTGAAAATACCGTGCCGGCGGTACGTCGCCTTTCGCATCGACTTTTGTCCAGTGTCGCTTAACAAGATCGAGTTCGTACAAATCCGAAGTAAGCTGGGGTCTCGTGCGCGAGAGTCTTCTTCCACCAAAAACATAAAGCTTGTCGCCTAATATCGTGGTGGTAGCACCCACCAGCGGATGGGGTTCACGGCCAGTTGTTTGATGCACATTGCAAACTAATCCCGACAATCCTGATGTTGAGCTGGTGGGAGTCGCCAATCCTGCGGTCATTGCAGGTGGTGGAGAAACGCCCGGGCCTGATGTTCGAGTAGAAGATGCCAACGGCCGTTCCTCAAATCCATTGTCTTGAGCATCTTGTCGATATAAGCTAGTTTGGCTACTATTGCGACTTGATATGTGATTTACGCTACCGCTTCGATATGTGTCCGGATATAGTTGCGACGGTGAGGGTGCTGACGTCTGCGAGTCAATGGTGTTGGTCCGGCTATTGCTTGGCGTCTGGCGGGCCATTTTGGCAGGATTCAGGGAGGTGATTGAAGAGGTTGAAGTCCTAGGCCTCTCAAGGTCAAATGAGGATTCGACAGGTGACACGGAAACTTTCTGAACGATAAAACCCAATCACGTATCACGATCCCAACATGCCTGGACCTTACGCTAGCCAATAACGATAAGAGCGTGCTTTGACTTTGTTCAATAAATCGAATGTTATGGAGGCAAGGTATAGGATTGGCCAAGATAATATGCCGAATATGCCCCGTAACAAGAGCGAGAGAGCAAGCTTGCAGACTCGTGGGAGTTTCGTTGCTATGTCGATCGTTTCTGCTCGCTCCAACGCTTTCGGCGTTTTCCAGAAGGATGAAACGTCGCCCAAAGGAGTAGCACTTGGATAAACGATAGCACCCTATTCCAGTGACAACGTCAGTATAATATCGGATTGAGCATGACAAACTATACGTCGACAAGGATTGCAAGGGAATATTCGAGTGAACAGTCTCTTAGTTTTCAACTACCTCAAATAGTACCAATTGCAACAAATCTCTATTGCAGGCCGCAGCTCGAGGTCACGTCCACGAATAGAGGCCGTTGACGAGCAAAACGATTCCTGCAACAGCCAAGATGTACCATAGTTCATAACTAGCTGGAAGTACCAAGAGAAGCAAGGTCAAAAACCTGAAGAGAGGTGCAGAGAGGATATTGGGACCAGCACCAGAGCAAGGAAGGATTTGGCGATGCTGTCGATAAAAAAGAATTTCGTGTCTTACTTTAAAACTAGACGCGCAGTCGGCAGGGAAGAGGCGACCAGGAGGACAGTAGTCGCGTGCAGAGAGGACGAGTGCGGCCGAACATGTGGTGGACTGGCGCGCAAACTGTGAAGTGGCCGAGCTTGGAAGCCAGTCCAGATACGGCTCGGCTAGGGAGCTTGGTGCTTCGTGGGATTGTTGCAAGAGCAAGGAGTGACTGGTTGTACAATAGAGATGGGTGCGAGTATGGAAAGTTCGCTCAAACGACAGCGAGCAGCATATGTGACAAATATACCATGAGGCCTCGTGGTTGGCGACGACGCGGGGGCACGCGGTGTGTAATCAAGGCAACGGCAAGTTAGCCGCTGTCACTGCTTTTCCTCTAGAAGGAAAAAAGGAGTCAAATGGGGCACAAGGACAACAGCAACCGTGTTAAGGAACGGCTTACAGGGGTAGACGGCTTCACCACTTCTCATAGCGTATCTATTGGACGGGGCGCGTTTGTGCGGTGGACAGCTTAACTCCCGCACGGGCCCAGCTGTCGCGTTGTTCGTCCAGAGACCTTTTAGACTGCACTGTGGCCGGCATTTTTGGGCACAGAAGACAGGACATGTTAATCAACTATAGACTCAAGTAAAGTGCACTTTTGTAGATCATTCAGGTTTTCATTAAGCAGGTCAATTCAGCCCTACGGAGCGAGTAAAAGGAACATGTCTGGAATCGTCCCACTCCACTGCAATCTGGCAGCCAGCAGGGATGCGTCGACGACCACCTCACCACATCAACCCCTTGTGTATTTTCCTTATGCGGCTGTCGTCTTCTCCTTAGGTAGAGGAGTAAATCGGAGGTATGGCTTGACAATTCTGAATTCGGGGAAAAGCGTCTTAGCCTCCTCGTTCTTCACGCCTGGATGGACGATGACGTCGTCACCAGGTACCCAGTTGATGGGTGTGGTAATTCTGTGCTTGTCACCGGTCTGGAGGGAGTCGAGCACGCGCAGCACCTCGGCGGTGTTGCGACCGGTCGACGCCGGGTAGGACAGGATGAGGCGGATCGTCTTCTTAGGATCGATGATGAAGACAGAACGGATGGTGAAGGCAATGCCCTTGGAATCGACGTTGGTGGCGTCTTGTTGATCGATCCTGAAAGCCAAGGTTAGAATTATCACCCTTCGGAGACTGGGCAAGATTCTCTACTCACATGTCATACGCCAACGCGACCTTCCTCTCCTTGTCGCCAATAATGGGGAATTTAAGGGTGCTGCCTGAGATCTCATTGATGTCCTTGATCCAGCCATCGTGGCTGTCAATAGTGTTCGCCGAGAGACCGATAAGCTTCGCGCCGCGCCTGGTGAACTCGGGCTCAAGCTTCGCAAAGGCGCCGAGCTCGGTGGTGCACACAGGAGTGTAGTCCTCGGGGTGAGAGAAGAGGATGACCCATTTGTCGCCAATGAACTCTTCTCGCAGTAAGCACACGAAAAATCAGGCTTAGAAAGCGCCAGAGCTTACCATGAAAGTCGATAGGTCCTTGAGTAGTCTCAGCCTTGAAGTTGGGGGCAGTGCTGCCCAAACGGAGAGGCTCAGAGCGTTCGGTCATTGTAATATCTGCTACACCTTGTCAGTTCCGCTGTGCAAACAGGACAAACATGAGGGGTAGTGGGGTACAAGGGGCGAATGTTGAATATCGCGTATCTTGCTACCCTTGCAGCAGGAATGTACCTACATGAGTCTTTTAACGGGTGTCTGTGACGGGTATCTTAAAACAAGAGTTGTATGGGAAAGGGAGTACGCGTTGTAGGAGGGGCAAGACGGCGCCTCTCTTCTTAAGTATCGACAACCTACGACAATGCCAACGACTGGTTCCAGCTAGCGCATATTGCGCAATTCTCACCTCAAAACTTTTCTGCCACACTGGATCCCATGCCCACGTGGGCCAGGCCAATCCGCATCTACGTTTGCGGGGCGGTATCGGAGTACCCGCCCGCCCAGCGTAGTCGCAAGTGGAAACCAGAAAGAGGCGAGGGGCAATGACGATGCATTTACCGTGTCTCTTGAAGAGCAGTTGACTAAGAGCGACAGTAAGTTCTCAAGTCTGACTCTTCTTATAGATATGTCAGGTGGCTATACGGCGAATTCTCCGATGTCAGAGTTAATGTAGAAATCTTGTGTCCATATGTTCTAATCGCCCAGGTAAAATCTATCGCTACCTCTGTGTGGAAATTTCAAATTTGTGTGCTGACGCCATCTCACCTCGTATGTCGCGACGCCATGGTCCTCCCCATAAGATTTCGTATGACACTACCACGCTGACATATTTCCACGAACGCGAACCCAGATATGTTGCATAATCAGAACTTCGTACACTTTATATGGCAGACGATTGTTAATCATTATTCGAAGTCATTAGTGCGTCAATCATTTGGCAAAAAGCAAAGGCTTGAAACCTGACCACCGTAGGGCTTTCCAACAACACTGGAAATACATTTCTTAGTGCCCACATAGGGACCCCGCGTTAAATCTGGGGTATTCCGCTCTTAACACAAATTAGGCAAAACGCTTTGATAACGCGATAGGGGCGACACGGTGCCACAAGAACATGTAAGTCTACTTATTGGCTAAACAGCCGATTGGAATTACAGCAGATACGCCTGTATAAGAATCAAGTAATATGGCATAATATTTGATGCTTATCTTGGGTTCATGCTTATGTGGAGGACGCTCTTGTCAGCTTGATCACCGATGATAACGGCTGAAAACTGCCAGTGTGCTAAGGCTGGTGAAGGTCTATACCTAGATAGGTAAAGCCATGCTTAGATAGGTATGATAGATTATACGTGTTATAAGGATCATGTGTTCATAGGGCTAGGCATATTTTTGCAGCTGCATGAATGCTTATTTTTACTCGAAATGGGCGGTGGTGGGCATTTTGAAGCATAAGCTGAGATAATTCTTATATCAGGCCGATTCTTATGCCGGGGTATCTTCTGTAGTCGGTTGGCTTAGAGACTTACTATGTATGACACTTGTTTTTGCTCTCTTGCATTACAGTGATCCGCATCCTTTATAGACTCACTGTAACTTGTTCGCATGACGTAGACAGACACGAGAACTCTCCCCATTACAGAAAGCAGTTACAGAAAGCGATTACCGAGGTGGTGGGCTCGGCAGATCGACCAAACAACATCACCCCTGTTTCCAAAGAGAGAAGCGCGGCGGCTCTTTATCGTGCCATTCGCTATTTCCCAGTTATTCCCGGCGGGAAACCTTGCTCCACAAACGCCCCGGATTACGATCTAAAATTTCCTCGACGCTCGACCTCTATTTGTTCGCTTGCCTAGTAATCGGCTTGGCTGTGAATCATTCCCGTAGTACTAAAGCTAGTCTGCGAAGTCTGGATTTCTCACATCATGACCGTTGCTGATCACCTCTCCTTCACATCATCCATTGTTAGAGGCTTTCAGCCTTGTCGCCAGCACCTTTGTTGAGAGGAAACTTGTCGCCACAGTTTTCATGGCAGCATGGCAGAGGTCGACTTCCCCAACACCTCAGAACCTGGAGTTGTGCGCGCTACAAACACCTCGGGGATAAAGACGTTCCCGGCTATACCAATGGTGTGCTCTGGCGAGGCAACCCCCAATTCCTACAATGACGACCTTGCGAAGGACAAGTTCAGCGAAAAGGGACAGGATGGTAGCGAACATGGGTCACAAGACTGTACAGAGAGGGAAGAGATTGTATGGCATTACCTGACATTCGAACATGTCCTCCCACATCCTACCACGATACACCCAACGATGCCGAATCAGGAGTGTCCTCCAGAACCTCCAAATCTTGTCAAGTTCACGAACCCATTTGACTGGCCCCAAAAGAGAAAGAACTGGACAATATGGGTCTCATGCGTTATCACGTCTCTCACTGCGTATTCGGCAGGATCGTATAGTCCAGGTGTAGGGCAGATGACCAGAGAGTGGAACATTAGTAACATCGCTGCGTTAGTCGGAATTACTATGTTTACATGTGGTATGACTATAGATTGCTACTTTTCTCCAGGCGCTAATGGTATATTCAGGCTTTGCGATTGCTCCGATGGTTCTTGCCCCCCTCTCAGAAATTAACGGTCGTCGTCCTCTCTTCATCGCCTCGGGAATCCTGTTTGTCATATGCCAACTTTGTACTGGTCTCACGCAGTCCTACGCCGGGATGCTTGTCGTACGCTTCTGGGCCGGCGTGGGCGGTTCCACCTTCTCCACCTTGGTCGGGGGTGTAGTCGCAGACATATACCATGCCGAAGAACGCAACAAGCCAATGACCCTCTTCTCGGGCGCTGCTTTGTTTGGTACGGGCTGTGGCCCGATGATCAGCGGCTTCGTTGCGCAGAATGTATCATGGCGTTGGATATTTTATATCCAGGCGATAAGTTGCGCCTCTATGGTTGCGCTCATTTGCGTCATTTTCAAGGAGACACGAGGATCGGTCCTCCTCTCCAGGAAAGCACGCGCACTAAACGCATGGTATGAAGCGCGTGAAGCGGCAGGATATTATGGTTTCAACTTGCCAGATGCGAATAACCCCAGTGTCCATGTTTCGCAGCGAATACGCTGGAAGGTCAAATCAGACGAAGAGCGCACTTCCATTGGCAGAATGATCGGAATTTCAGTCTATCGGCCTTTTCATCTCCTCCTCACAGAACCTGTGGTCTTTTGGTTCTCGATGTGGGTCAGTTTCTCTTGGGCCATTCTCTATTTGACACTTGCAGCCATTCCTCTTGTTTTCCAAGCCAACCACGGTTTCTCCTTACAACAATCGAACGCTGTCTTTGCTGCTATATGCATAAGTAGCTTACTAACAACCGTGTTGTCTATCTTCCAAGAGAAGGTGGCGAAGAAGCACGGGAAATTGACAAGCACTCCCGAGAGCAGACTCTATTTTTCGTGTGTCGAAAGTGCTTGTCTTCCCATCGGCTTGTTTATGTTTGGGTGGACGAGTTCCTCTAGCATCCACTGGATTGTACCAGCCATCGCTATTGGGATCGCCACTACAGGAATCTTTGTGATTTATCTATCCACGTTCAATTATCTGGCCGATACATACCATAGATATGCCAGTTCAGCGTTGGCTGCTCAGTCTTTCTGCAGAAACATATTGGGTGAGCCTACTCTCCCTCGTAGCCAAACTTACCTTAATACTGATCAATACTAGGCGGCATATTTCCACTCATAACAACACAAATGTATAACAATCTTGGATATGGCCCTGCGAGCAGCCTTCTTGGTGGTATTGGTACGCTCCTAACCATTGTACCTTGGATATTGGTTTTCTACGGCCCTAGAATTAGGGCTCGGAGTAAGTTTGCGAGTGAGATCATGGACATAAGAAGCTAGAGGAGAAGTTCATATGATGGAATAATGTCAGTGAATTTGGATACCCATAGAACTGTTTAGATCAGATAGAGATGATACACTCATATTCCTGTGAGAGCTTTGACTTGATATGCATCGTTAAAATCAGGCTTTGACTTTTGTTACGTTGCAGATTCTTAGAGTTCCACATAGGCAGATCTATAATTAAATGCTACGAGCTAAATTCTCAGCTCAACATGACGAGGTCGAGATGCTGAAACCCTAAAGCGGTAAAACCCTAGTAGTAGCGTATTCAAATGCAGACTTGAACGATTGGATGTCAACGAGTAACTGTGTCACTCCAAATTGACATCAAGCTGACTTGGCCGACTATACCTGAGTTTCCACGGAACCGCCGATTTCCGTCCTCTACCACAACTGCTAATCTCGATGTTTGCGCGACATGCGAAAGTTGAGTCTATCAATGTGTCGGGAGCAGATCATCCTCATTTTTCATTGCTACAGCACTAAGATCTGCATTTCGCACGCGATTCTGCATGTGTGCTGGCCCGATTAAGGCGTTCAGGGACAATACGAGGAACCGGCCGATTTTAACCAAAAGATCGCTGAATCATGCGTCTAGGCTACCCTGGATATTGCTTCGTAAAAATCTGATCAATACAATATTCGTTTGATCTTTGAGAAAGAGCTGTGGCAGTCAGTCATTCACCCCAGCAAGAAGTTGTCTCTATATGCAGACGATGTCATCTCATCGGCATCTTTTGACTCTCGTGCCGAATTTGGGTCACGAATTGTCGCTTGTCGCAATGCACTTGCTAAGAGCAAAGTCAAATACAGGTGCGTGCGCAGAGAAGCCTACTCGCTGGCTGGACTCTACGATGTGGGATGACGCTGTGAGCGAACGTGCATGCAACGTCGTATTTACAATTCAAGCTGAACATCATGATCCACCGGGAGAAGCGATACCTCCACAACAGCCCACCGCATTCGACACGCCTCCACGAACGTACGCCGAAATGACCACATGTTCTCAATAAACTTTACAGGCAATCTAAACTTGATACGACAACAACTATCACTTTGTCGGTCGTGGACGTCCTGATCTCCAGTCCTTTCCTGCGACCTCTGGTGTTGTGAGGCGCAGTACGGGTCATCATCCTCGGGACATTTTTACCAACCTAGAGAGTATTCTGGAAACTTTTCTGATTAGGAGAGTCCATATATGCAGTATTGACATGTCATTCTAACGCACTACTTAACACGATGTAACGACAGGTTTCGTGTTCAGGTAGAACCTGTGCTGGCAACATCGTGACATTCGGATGTCGAATGCGATGGTTATGCTGTGGGGAGACAGCACTTAATGCCGTTCATGTAGAAACCTGTGAACTCGATCCCTTGTTTCGACGTAGCGATACGCCTACCAAGCACTTTTGGGCGCTGAGGCAAGGTCGTTGTTCAGGAATCCAGCTTCGACGTGAGGTGGTTTGGAGTAAGACGAGATACGAATACTTATCAGTTGAGAGATTAAGCATCACAAGCAAAGGCCGAGTCGCGAGCAAGACAAGACGACCCGGCGCCGGTTTTGGTATGAAAATACTCTGTTGCTAATAGAGTTGCTTGAGATCAGCTCCTTGTGCCCTCCCCACGATGTCACCAGTCTTTATCTATCATACTGCAACGCCCGCCTGTTTCATGCCTTTTCTTATTACAACCAAGGTGCACGCAAAAGCGCTGGGCCAAGTAGAAATCAACGACGCTGATGCTTAATAAATACGGAGTACGGTTTCACAGTTAGCTTAAACTCGTACTGAGTTTTGTTTCTTTGCCATTGCGGATTGGTGCGATTAAGGATTTTGCCAAGGCGTGCAGAAACATATGAGACGCACCCGGAACAACACAATCTACTTTTGCTCTCATAAAACCTCAACCCTTGAAGGATTCTGTTAGATACTGAGTCGTGCGTGACATTCGCATCTCCTCATATTCTATTGTAAGTTTGGCACAGACAAGAGATACTCTACGTGATACCTATATTTATAAATTTTGGAAGGGAAAGGTATTATTAGCAGACGGCCCGAGGTCTTGTTGGTTAGCCGGTCCTCTTTTCCGGGTTATTTTGAAGCTTGCTGCGCCTTCGTCTGAGTGGGAGAATTCTCGCACCGTTCTGGAAACTCCCGAGCGTGAACAAGCATACGATACGAGAAAGCGCTGTAGCGATAAGAGGCCAAGCATCACGGAGTTTGCTGAGTGGGTGCTGCCTTGACGACAACACCAATTTCTCATCGGCGGGGCTCCTCTGCGATCCGGGCGTCCCGACAGTCCGTGCACTAGAACTGAACTGGAGCTGATCTGGACCCAGCACGTTTTTGTGGCTTTGAACACAGGGCTGTAAAAGGAACCAACGTGGGTTAGGCTATTGATTGTTAGCTTCGACCGCATAAATGGGCGGCCGTGGGCGCAGCGGAGATCTTCCCTGTGGTGCATTGTGGATAGGAGCAGTTTAGCGGGAATTGGCAGTTACAAAGTACATATGGTAGGTGGCACCAGTTTGCTCAAGATGTCATCTGAGATCTTCAGTCGTGCCCTGTCTGTGTGTTTGAACCTACTATTGCTCTTCAATCTGGCAACCTCGTGTTCCTGTGTCATTGTGGTGGCCTTAAAAGTCAGCTTTGGATTTTAGCTCTAGCACTGAATTGCAGCACGTGCGATTCTTTAAAAGAATATAGCTGCCTGTTATCAGTTTTCAAGGCACCAGCACTCAGGTGAGCTTCCCTTCCCAAATTTTGTCGGTGGGGTTTGACATTGACGTCCCGAACAGCTTACGCTTCGTCCTTCCCCCTTGAATCGAACCACCGCGACAGTGCACCCAACAACTCCTCTTGACAAAAGTATATAATACCGCATCACCAATTTCAAAATCGCAACTGGAAACACCCTCCTATCACAATGCTTCTCATATCGCCAGCATCGTTGTTCATTTCCACATTCTTTCTCTCCACAGCATCAATAGCAGCGCCAACTCGCGCGCACTGCCGCTGCACAATCGTGTCCGACACAGCCCCATTGTCGCAGCACACGCCTTCATCTGCGCATTGGACACCTTCGGAGCCATTGCCAAGCCCATCTGTCCCCGATGTGTGCGGCAATCTTGGTCTTGAACTCGAAAGCTTCAGGCATTCACAACCCAGCCTGTTCGATTCTTATATTTACCCAAATGGTCACTCGAAACCAAGTCCTGCTAGCGATGCACAGCAACCGATAAGTACAACCGTCCTCCTGGATCTCGCCGCACGGTACGGATTCCAAAATACCCACCTTGAGGACGAGCAAGAGCCACGACCCACCTCTCGGCCCCACGAACGGATAGTCTGTCACTCGGAACCTGAGCCATTTTCCGCGTACCAAGACTCATTTGTCACACTCTGGGCACTACATGTCATCGTTGCGCTAGCGATTTTCGCATGCGCAGCTGAGGGTGTACACTTAGGAATGCGCTGGTACGCTGCTCTCTCCTTCTTCCATCGTTTCAATATTGACAAATGCAGGATGAATCGCCGCAACGACGCAAACCATAACCATATCTCCGAAAAGCCGAAGAGCAGACTGAGGTTAACGGGCGCCGAGAAACTGCTGTGCGCGTTTCCTCCGAGTGTGTATCCCAATTCGATGTTCAGTCCTGGTGTTGAGAAGAAGACCCAAGCCTACCTCGATTTCGTCGTTAAAGCGCCATGCGAGAAGCGCGAATTCATTGCATATGACGACGAGGAGGACGATGAGGCGAATTGGCCCGTAATGTAATTCCATTCGTATTGCATTCTCATGATCCTATATCTGTATATATTGTACACGGCTTGGTGACAGGCTTCGCGTTCTTATGAAGACATGACTTTGATGAAATGCTATACATTAGATAACACTTAATAGGTGGCATCAATCCTGTGTGTGAAATGTGTGGATGACGACTCAATCCTCGTTAGTAGGACATAGTTTGAATGTCTTCGATGCGTCCAGCCAAGGAGTGCAAATGTCAGAGAGAACCACAGCCTTCTTGCTACGAAACAACAATCTAACCGTATCCAGAAACAGGGAGGCCAAAAGGGTACAGATGCACATGCAGGATATCTTGTGACGGGTTCCGCCTCTTGTTGCGAGATTTCATCCATCAAGGGTTTCACGCATTGAGTCGGGTCCTCTATTCCTAGACGTAAAAGAAAGTCTTGTTAGTTTTACCGACATGATGTTCAAACTTCAACTCAGCGCAGTCCCCTTGGAGAGGAACGCCAGCAGTGGGGCATCAGATGTCAAAACGCCACAAGCAGTTCCTACATACTGTCAACGAAAGTAAACGTCTCGAACAGATTAAGCAGGCAGGCCATGGCTCGGGTCAAGATGAGCATCAGGCTGCGTAAATGGTGAACTGGCGAGAACACAATGTACAACCTTCTTACCTGCCCTGATAAAAGGGTATATCGCACACGGGCAAAACACAGTCGAGTCATGTCCAAGTGACACCAGGAGATTTGCTCAGAGACTCGTTCGGATTGTCGCTATGGGCTGTCTCTGTCGTTGTTGCTTAGGGCATCTCCGTGGTTGTTGCTGCAGGGGATGGAAAGAGAGTGTTGTGCCAGGATATCGAATTCATGGTAGTTGGATCTCGTAGCAGGTATTTACCATAGGTTGTTCCAGTGGGATTTCGTGGGCCGGTGTAGTCTTAGGATACTGTGGTAGATGATGGTTGTATCGCAATTGGATGTGTCGCAGAGGGTATCGTATTAAGGTGTCGTTGGAGGTTGAACTCCACATCAAACATCACCGGGATGCTGAACTAATTAAGATGGAGATGGAAGCCGTACATTGAAAAATTGAACCGACCCATAGAAGTGGTCGTACAGTGGAAGTCTAGAAGACCAGATATTTGGCCGGCTCTTGAAGTGAATCCAAGAAACTGGAAAGGTCGGAAAAAGGCGGATGGTAAACGCCGCGGATGAATAACGCCAGGACGGAGAAAAGGCCGAAGGAAGTGCGCCGAGTGTCGTATATGATTCCGAAGGTTGAATAGGCGAGACGTATGGTTCAATAGGGTGCGCAGCGCGCAACTAGATAACCGTCGAGGGTAAGAGAAACAAACGAAATAGCTGAGATATCGTAGTGGTTCGATGAATCACATAATAGTATGCCATCCTTTCTCGTTCATGATATCGATCCAAAAGGCGTCATGCCCCTCGTCGGACTGACGCCACGTCTCTTTTATAAGCTTGATCATCTGGCGAAGCGGCTTGTTGGCAAGCCTTAAAGCATACTCTTGCAAGCGCCGGATAACAAATTCCCGCGCTCGAAGGATCTCCGAGTCGTTCGCATGGACGTCAAAGAAGTCCACCGAAGAGACAAACTTGAGTTCAGATGCCGCTATGATAAGCAGGAGTGGCTGAACACAGAACGTACCAGACGACGACGGAACAGACTCAACGTGTCGAAGGATGTGCATGGCGAGCGAGTTGAGCCATAACCTGATATCGGTATCCTCATGTGGAGTCTCAAATCGAGGGACGGGGAACTGGAAGTCGGCGGCCTCAGTCCCAGCGAACTTGTCGGTGCCCAAGCGTTTGCGCAGAATAGAGGGAAATACCCGGTAGAGTTCAAGAAGCCCGGCGCAACGATACACTTCGGCGATTTTAACGAAGTGTTGCTTCGGAGTGCGCTCGTCACCTGTGTCGGCGACTGTATCGACTGATGGACACTCCACAGCTAGAAGGTCTTCTTCCAAGGACATGGCATTCTGGAAGTTTTCTTGCCTCCGTTTGAAGTCCATAGCGGAGTCCTTGTCCATCAATCGCTCTCTACGTATCAATCGCCCAACCTCAGCAAGTAGGAACTGAAACATTGGCACGATGCCGGTCCAGGGGTGTGGTACAATTTTTCCGCCTGGACACCTAGCCGCAGGTGTACTTTGTTTAGAGACCACCCGAGGTCGCAGTCCAGAAGGCGGGGAAAAGCTAGTCGCATCCTCTGTTACAAACCCCATAAGCATCTCCCAATGGATCAGGGACTCTTCAAAGAACTGCGCCTCTCGTTGGACTTCGTCGTCTTCAGATCTGCTAAGAAGCTTTGGGAGAATCAAACTCCGAGCAGTGGAGAGGTATTCTGTACCCAGGTCGCTACTATCGTGCCAGCAAGTAGTGAGACCAAGTAGCATGATGCTAAGAAACGTTTTGGTGCTGTTTCCAAGGCCACTTTGGACAAGTGGAAGCTCTTCCTGCAAAGCGTCATGGGCCTTACGCTGTAGCTCCCTACCAATGGTTGCAGTGTTAGGAAATGTGTTGGCCAAATGAGCTGCGGCCATGGACTGGATCGCATAGTTGATCGAAGGAGACTCCTTATAGACCCGGCTGATAGTGGTCCTGAAGGGGTTGAGAACAGAATCGAACGAAGAAAAAACAGCACAAACGTCTTTGAAGTAATGTTGTATGAGAAGTGATTCAACGTCATCCGGTGACGAAGGGTTCGGTGAAGGGCTTGGGAGGCGATAAAAGTCGAGAAGTAGTGAGCGTGAGAGCCTCGAGCTGGAATCTCGATTGGGGGTTCGGATAGCTAAAGCTGAGCAGGAAGATGAAGAAGAAGAAAACACATTTTGGCTGTACGAGAGGTCTCGCATGTCCATTTCATGATCTTCATAAGGCCCAGGGTCTAGGTCAAGCCCATCGAATGGATCAAAGCTGCCGTCATCATGAGGAAGGGAAATCGCATCGACAAGGCCGTCCAGCAAACTGGGGTCTATGACGTCCTCTCCAAGGAACGGATCAACGTACTGTGTGAAATCATCATCATCAGGTGAAGACTCATGAACGAAAGGGGGATCCTCCAAAGCCGGTGGAGATTGAAGTAGCGGCGTTGTTTGCCCGGGAGTGTCTCTCTCTCCAGGCGCTGTGTCCTTCTTGCTAGCGGGAAGTACAGCAGCTAAGGCTTCGATTCCGTTTGCAACACTTGGAGACAGTACAGACTCGGTGATCTTGGAGCTTATCGCAGTGGTATTTACTGTCGACCTTGGCTTGGGTGGAGAGCCGTTGAAATTCATCGGTTGGAGGACTTCATATTTGGTGGACCATTTGAGGGTCTTCTCGTAGCCGGGACAGGTGGCATTTCTCTTTTTGCACTGCAGGCAAGATGGTGCAGTTTCGTCGCATTTGAGCTTTGTTGTAGTCAGTAGGATGTCGGAACGTCCACAAAGTGGAGGCGAATAACCGGGCCTTACCCTTTTAAGCTTGCATCGACCGCACCCGTTCCTGGATTTTGTCTTCTTTGCCCTGAGGTCTCTTGCTGTAGCCTTTTCATGAGCCAATGCGGGCATGTCTATCTGCAAAGAGGGGGCGATTTCTGGAATGATCAGACAACAAAGAGGTGCGAATCGTTGGAACTTGTTACCAACGAATAATGCGGAGGCTCGCTTCTAAATGCACAGTGAGACAGCCGATAGAGACCGTCGCGTATCAGCGGACGCACTGATAGCAGCTGATAAAAAGCCTGCGTTGGTGTGGAAGTACGAATCTCGGTCATTCTATGGCGGCCTGCGTCAGGGCGAGGCTGATTGGCCAGCCACCACAATCGCCCCTGTCATTCCACAACGTCTTGATCACCGTGGGGAGGCCGTCCGCTTCGCGGAAAAGTTGGACATGACTTGCAGCTTATAACGCCGTTGATTGAGGACCATTGCGGTAACCGTCTCGAGAAGACGCGCTCTGGAATGGAAGCTGACTGCGTATCTGTATGTAGTCTTTACCCCACATTCAATCAAAAGTGGGGCTGCGATGGAATTCCGGCCTGCATCCAGCAAGCGCACTTCTCAAGCGATCCACTAGTTGCGTAGATGTATGCAATTGTTGGATACCAGAGGGTACGATAGAGCTAGGTAAGTATGCATGACCGTTCGCAACGATGTCGGACGCAGCTGTGCATAAGCCTTATCTGGTGACGAGCATGTAGTCTTCAGGAAAGCTTCACCTGAGTAGTGATAATGGAACATTCTTCGGAGGATATCGCTGATCTGGTACTGCAACAGATCAACCAGCATGCGTTATCAGAGATTGGGCAGACATAGTCACTCTTATCTCCAGCAGTCCCGATCTTGCCCGTCTGGCTAAGAATAGGTGATAATGTTGCGGTGGCAAGCGTGTTGGCGAGTCACACGTGTACGCCGCAATGAATATTGTTTATTGCATGGAACGGCCGACGTTCGCCCATACTCCGCAGAGAATGTATGTATAGCAATGACGTCACATAACCTTTGTCTATGGAACCCGGGGTACAGTGCTAGATGCAATGAGTAATGCCAAGTCGAATTGCCGATTCTAGAACGTCAAGAGACGTCTCCATCACCGTGTTGATCAAAACTTCTCCATGAGTTTCTTCCTGACCGTCCACATACGAGCGCGCTTTCCATAAATGTACATGGGAATTGAGAACATCATACACCCAAGCTGGATGCCCCCAATGACGAGGAACGTGTCTTTCGATCCGCTGTGTTCCAGCCAGGATGGAAAGAAAAGTGAGAAGATGAAGCCATGCAAGATATCTGTTGTCATGTTAACGTCACTGGTTCCACAACGTCGATCGACATAGCGGGTGACTTACTTTTGCAGAAATTCAAAGTTACCAGTGATTCACCAGCATATACTCGATACGAATCCACCACAAATGTAACCGCTGTAGTTGATGCAAGCGAACATCCAAAACTGATGACTCCGAAGAACACGGTCGGCACGATCCAGTTATCCTTCTCTTCGGCGGCCCACCCAAAGCCCATCAGTCCAATAACAGTACTAAGGGTAATTGGTAATGCCATGATCAATCGGAATTCCGGTTCGTAAACACCATCATTCTTTCGTGCCATGAAACGAACGACGATGTCAGAGATTTTGCCGGCAACCGCGGTGCCTAGAATGCCTCCAACGAAGGGAGAGATATAAACCAACCCTACTTGGAGTGCGTTGAAGTTGTAGTTGTCAGCACCCTTGTAGATATGGGCGACAGATTCCGACAAAATGATAAGCCAACCAACGGCAAGAGCATACACAAGAGATGACCAGAGCACGGCAGGGTATGCAAAAAGAATGAAAGGTCTGGCCATCACGCGGATCCACTTGTCTTTTACGAGACGGCCATTCCACGGTTTGAGAGACTGACGGTACGACTTGAGCGGAGCCGAGCGGTAATAGTCTGTGTAGTGAATGGAAAACTGTTCCGATACCTGATCAGTATCAGTGGCTCGTCCTGGTGTTGCAGTGGAAAGACTGCGACTATCAGAGGTGTTGTCTTGCTTCTCAGGATCGGAGTGTAAGCTTCCCGACGCGTGCGGGAGATTCCCATCTCGTGGAGACACTGTAGGGAGAACACTGTCGTTGATGGGAGCAGGAGTCAATTGAGCAACATCATCGGCGAATCCGACATGTTTAGAGTGCTCCAATGGTAAGGCTGACTGATGTGTGTCGTGTAAGTCACCTGCGGAGCTTACAGCGTCCCTTTGCTCAGAAGGCAAGCGGAAGTGTTTGCCATGCTTGTCAGGACTGTGGTTCCGACTTCGACTGTGGTGACTCCGGCTTCTCGCTGTTGGTGTCCGATCCCAGAAAGTCTCGGGCACGAAGAAGAAGATCAGAAAAAAGCAGCAGAAGACAACAATTGCAATGATCCAGAACACCCACCGCCAGCCTAAAGACTGTACAATTGCAGCGCTGACAAGGGGCATCAGGTTCTTGCCTCCAAGTAGTAGCAATGTATATATTCCAAGGCGGTATGCCCTCTCGTGGAGGAAGTAGATCTCGGCGATGCTGGCACTGGGAAGGCACTCGACTGGGGACACGGCAAACCCTTGAACGATACGCGCCACAACCAAGGAAGCGTAGTTGGGCGATAGAGCGCACCATATGGATGAGAGGCAGAATATGATGATGGCGCCCAAGTACACCGGTCTCTTGCCATATAAAATGGCTGTCGGAGAAACAACAACATTTCCGAGCCCGAGTCCCAACATGTACAATCCTGTCGTCAGTGTTACCTGCGAGTAGGAGACATTATACGTCTCGGCAACGTCGTTGAACCCTGCAGCCAGGATGGGAGTCATTCCTCCACCGATCATGCAGTAGAATCCCAGCGATATCAGGGACGTGTCGCGCCTCAATTGTCGCCAGTTCAGCGGGTCGTTGGCTGATTCTTCTGGTTGTGGTTCCAGTATGAACCTTCCATCCTTTGTACGTTTCTTCTCTGGGGGTCGCGAGCGCGACGATTGGCGTGGGAGCGAAGAGGCAGATGTTCGCGCTTGAGCATGCTGCAGGCCTAGAGGTTCGTTACGCTGATGGGCCTTCGAAAGCAGAATGACGGAACCTGGAGAAATAGAGTTAGCGTGGTCCACAGCAGATAAACATGGGGCTCTTACCTGGCACTTCATCGGTATACGGGTCGTCCAAAATCCCCAGCCTCCATTTCCGGGGTTCATGTGCAGTCTTCTCAGTCCCTGTGGCGCTCCTGCCTTCTGTCGATGTTGGCTTCTTCCGCCAGGCGGTGAAGTTGACCATGATGATGATGTGGGAAAGTATCCAAGTCTGAGGTGCGCACTGATACGACCACAATCACGACCACTACGACACCTTAGTACCCCTCCAGCTATTATGTCGGTAATCTCCACCACGAGATACACGAGACAGGCAGGTGACAGAGTGTAGAGGATCCATATCTGGGGAAGGGTGCAGAAGAGTGAGCACGAGTCGCGAGGTGGATACGACTGGTGATGAAGATGACGTGCGTGAGCCAAGCGAAACTCGTCCCTCAACTCCACACCTTCAGCAATGCTTGTCGCTACACGCGGCTCACCTCACCGCTATGATCTGCGAGTTGACAGCGTGACAGCGATTGCATCTGCAGGCGTTGTGGTGTTGCGAATCGTCGCTTCGACCGCTAGAACTATTGGCGACGTTGAGACGAGGCTGACACGGAGTTCCCACAGGGTCTCCACATTCGATAAAGATTGGACGAAGAAGATAGCGGAATCAGTCACTCGGCTCTCCTGATACTGCAGATCATCCACACAGCTGGCTGTTGAATGCGGCACTATCTGTCCACGTGCGTGATGATCTACGAGGCAACAGTGTTTGCCACACAGTCAGCACGCGCCGCACGTTGCCCAACTGGTGGCATAACACTCCGAAGTGCGCGTGACAGTGAGGATGTTGCTAGAATATGATACGCGTATCAAGGCCACGGGCTGCTGATGCAGAGATGCGCGATATACTAAAGTCAATTACACGTTTATTTCATCCAGCACACAATCATGTCAGACATCGAACATTATTGTGACCTATTTTGGACAATATTTATATATTGCGCCTGTTCACCCCTTCATGTAGAGACCAACATTGTGCGCATCTCTCCGATATTGTCTTCAAGCTGCTCCCCTCCTCCTTCTGCTTTCCAACTTTCTTTTTTTGTATGCATGGAATCGTCTGAGTTTGATGCGTCATCTGGTTCATCGTCATTTTCATCTTCGACGTGATCTTCTTCTTCAGCTTCATTTCTTTGTCTACAGGCTTCATCTTTTTTCTTCTTCTTCCCTCATCGTTCTACTCTCGAATTCTCTCCATCTTGTGTCAGCGGAATCATCTGAATCTGATGCGTAAGGGTCATCTCCGTATTTTTTCTTCTCAGCCTGGAAATCGAACAACCCGATTCGGCCGGAACTGTCGCCATTGTCATTCATGCGAACAGCCTCCCTTGAACCACATTATCCATGTAATTTCCCCTGGTACCATACCACCGTTCACCCTAAATGATTCATACTTGTTTTGTTCATCAACATGATTCTGCCTACTCAAAAGCTGGCACACGTATCTCTGAAACGTCGCCACTGTATCCTCCTCCGGGCGGCTTTCGCCTTCGTCACGAAAGCGTATGCAGTGGCTAGAGCAAACCATCGTTTGATTCGGTTGGACGTCGCGTAGTTTGAAACCACTCTAACCGTCGCCGTCGTATCTCTCAACTGCAAATTTGAGAGTCCTACACTCATCGGCGGTTCTTGACTTGAGCCAGTCTCTTTCGTAAATTGAATGAAAGGCCCATCATTGATCACGAACTCTCCCTTTTAAATGAAATTGTGAACCCTGAAGTGAAGATATTCCAAACCCCCAAGAGATTGTGGATGAAGGGTTGCAAGTGACGGCATTTCGTGCAAATCACTAACATTCACTGAGAGGGGTTAATTAGTTGCGCCGCACGAAACCCCAGCTCAAGAAATTTAACGAAGAACTGCCGCACCGAATCGCGGGAAGCAAGTTGACTGTGCCACAATTCTTTGATGTTTCAACGTCACGGCGTCGTGGAAATGCGAGGGTGATGCCCACACGGTAGGTAGAAACGAACAAAGAAAGCACACTCCAGAAGGCGAAAGTTAGCGACCTGGTTCAGGTACGGGGCAGTAGGGCTAACTGTGGAGTGGTTCAGAAGTCGAACGTCTTCATTCCACCCTTGAAAAGTTCACGATGACTGAGCGGCTGGCTAGGGTGACGCTCGCCCCCATCCTACTGACGTCTAACCGAGGGATCCACACTTTGTAACGAATCAACATCGCCGTACTTAGTTTGGCGGAGTTTGAGACTCAGACCTCCTTGCCGCCAATGCGCTCCTTCAGGCAGCCACAATACTATTTGGTCACATTCTTGGGTCGAACGGCATGGTATTCGACGATCATCTTTATCGCTTCACACCAAACTCCGCCAGCGTTTTTGCCTTGACAAAGCAATACTTACTAGGGTGCATAATCATTCAAGATCCCACATGGTGGAAGCTAGAACTACTGTGTACGCCGTCGGAAACCCTGACTGTTTGACCGAAGTCGAGTTCAGAGCTCTTTGGTTGACCATCAAGGCACCTCCCCGATTTGGCATTTGAACGATCAACCGAGATTGCATTCTGGAAACTCTCACACGGCCTATTCACCGGTCAGGCAGTCTAGGAAAGGTGCCATATCAGGCGCCATATCAGACGCCATTGTCAATCTTAGCGCTCAAATGGCTTCGGCGTGCCTGAAATCCTCAGCCCTAATCTGGCTAAACCTTCGGCGAATCCACCAATGGTATCGTTTATTGACAGACCATCTACGGTTCCTGCATACAGTGCCACACGCAAGATGAACCCTAGACGTCGTTGACTACTACAGCCCTGCCGTGCCATGCATTATGGCTTCAGCCTAACATTGGCATAGACAGCCCACCCGTTGTCATGCAGGTACCGCCAAAGGCTTGTATTGTAATCTCCCATGTGCTTTTCAACTCTGACTTCCTCTGGTTACTGTTCCGTTCGTCAGTCGTTTCGTAGTTTCTACATTAATAACAGCAGGCTTTTGCTTGCGTCCTCTCATTGAGACCCTCATCACGATCTTTACTGGCTATTTGGCCGTCCATTCATTCGTTGCGTCAACACCCCCTTAATTCACCCACTATGTCTCGTTCAACATTCACTCGTGTGGTCACCGCTGCCGGGCTTCTTGCCTCCACTGTCTCCGCTGTATTTGATGTGGCATCAACGCAAAATGTTGCTGTGTACTGGGGTCAGGGTAACGACCAGATCACTCTCCTTGAGGTTTGCACCGATCCCAGCATTGATATTGTCAATATTGGGTTTGTCAACGCTTTCCCTCAGAACACGACGGATTATCCAAAGACAAACCACGGTACGTGCATAGAACTACCCGTAGTAAGTGCTTGCTGATATTCTTCTAGCGAACGCCTGCTGGGGCTACTACCCGATGCCCGATGGAAGTGGGAGGGATAGTGGTCTCCTCAAAAACTGTGCCGGCGTTGGAGATGCGATCAAGACCTGCAAACAGAACGGCAAGAAAGTCTTGCTCTCCCTTGGTGGAGGGAGCCCCGCGGACTACTATCTGCCTTCTGCAGATGTCGCTCAATACTTTGGCGATTTTCTCTGGGGTGCCTACGGACCCCTGACCGATGCGTGGAAGACTGCCGATAAGCCTCGTCCGTTCGGAGACGCAGCTGTTGATGGGTTTGACCTGGACATTGAATCTGAGAGGGCTGTTGCACCGGCCAGTCAACCCAACTACCGGTTCCAGTACTACGACGTGTTAGTTAACCGTCTGAAAGCAACAAACCCGAGCATCCTCATCTCGGCGGCCCCCCAGTGTGTGATACCCGACGCTCGGCTCGCCTACGCTATCCAGAACTCGCACATCGATCTTCTCTTCACACAGTTCTACAACACTGATTCATGCTCGGCCCGGTTGGGATACACTCAAATCAAACAGGATACCACTGGCTTCTCGTTCGACGCCTGGGTCAACTGGCTGAACCAAAACTCTCAAAACAAGCAAATCAAGCTCTACCTTGGATTGGCGGCTGGTCCTGCCGGTCTGCCGTCGCACAAAGACCATTACCTCATGCCTGAAGAAGCGAACGCGCTGGTGACAAAGTATCAGAAGAAATGGCCCTCCATGTTCGGGGGTATGATGCTGTGGGAGGCGACAGTCTCAAAGAGGAATCTGATAAACAACAAGCCATATGCTGACTGGTCGAAAGCCATTGTCGATGGTACTTTCGCTGATAAGTACACGAGCCCTGTCTCGTCTTCGTCAGTGGTTGTTTCGTCCACCAAGATCACTTCTTCCACGATGAGCTCGGCAACTTCCTCCTCCAAGGTCAGCTCATCGTCTATCAAGATCAGCTCATCCACCAACGTCATCTCGTCAACCTCATCCAAGATTGTTTCGGCAACACCTTCATCCAAGGTCGTCTCATCGACTTCCTCGTCCAAGGCCATCTCGTCGATTCCTTCCTCGTCCAAGGCCATTTCATCGACTCCTTCTTCGAAGCCCATTTCGTCAACTTCCTCTTCCAAGATCACTTCAGTAACACCTTCGTCCAAGGCCATATCATCAATTTCGTCGTCCAAGATCGCCTCATCAGCTTCTTCGTCCAAGGCTGTTTCGTCAACTCCTTCATCCAAGACTATCTCGTCAGCTTCTTCGTCTAAGATCGCCTCGACAACGTCTTCATCCAAGGTTGTTTCCGCAGCGTCTTCATCTAAGATTGTTTCCGCAATGTCTTCGTCTAAGATTGTCTCAGTAACGTCGTCTTCCAAGATCATCTCGACATTCTCTTCGTCCAAGATCAGCTTGACACCTGCGTCTTCCAAGGTCAGCCTGACATCTTCATCGTCCAAAATCAGCTCAGCGTCCTCCTCCAAGATTAGCTCGGCACCATCTTCCTCTGCCAAACTCAGTTCGTCCATACAGCTCAGTTCATCCACGAAATTCAGTTCATCGGTGAAGCTCAGCTCGTCCACGAAACTCAACTCGCCCACCGCCAGCTCATCCACTAGACCTGCCTCCAGCAGCAGCGCCTCAATCGCCCACGTCAGTTCGCGCGACTACCCCAGCTACCCAATCGACAGCTCCAGCATAGTCTACCCTGTAGATATCAGCTCGACGGCCAAGTATCCTGTGGACGACATCTCGAGCACCGAGAGCGTTTCCACGTCTTGCACCACGTCGAGTTATTCTACCCCAACTCCAGACTACCCAGTCTACACCGTCTCTTCTATGGAGAAATACCCTGCCTATCCTGATTCGACTGCTTCGGCTGGAGCGTCTTCTACTTCCAGCGAGGACTATCCAGTGTCGAGCTCTAGCCCTGAGTATCCAGGTTACTATGCGTCGAGTTCTGCTTCTGCATACCCGGTATACCCAGTGTTGAGCTCCAGTGCTAAGTATCCAGATTACTCTGTGTCGAGCTCCGCTTCTGGTTACCCGGCTTACCCAGTCTCGAGCTCCGTTTCTGGATATCCCGTCTACCCTAATTCAAGCTCCGTTGCTGAATATCCGGTCTATTCTACGGCGAGCTCCACCCTCGGATATCCCGTCTACGCAGCTTCAAGTTCCACTCCGGGCTACCCCGTCTACGCAACTTCAAGCTCAGATTCGGGCTACCCCGTCTACCCAGCGTCCAGCTCTATTCCGGAGTACTCTGCTCGCCAATCCAGCAGTAGCACCACGACCGTCATCACCAGTGAGTCACGATCTCCCCACCCGCAAACTCGTACCACAGACATGCTAACCCTTCTCAGCAACCTACGTAGACGTCTGCTCCACAGGTCTCACCACCAAGACAGCCACCATCACAAAGACCGTCTGCGGTTCCTGCACTGAACCCTCGACGACGACGGAAGTGCCACAGGACTGGACAACGAGCGTGTACGTGTCCAAGACGCTTACAATTACGATTACGAAGCCCATTGCTGCACCGACCGGTGGACCAGCGATGGAGACGGACGGAGTTCCCGTGTACCAGACTTCCAGCATGGTTGAGGGGTATACTGCGACGTCCGAGGTTCCTGCTTACCCTGGATACCCAACGTCTGTTGGAGTGGTGGAATACCCTGCATCTTCGAAGGTCCCTGTTTACTCTGCATCCGCTGGACACCCATCGTCTGTCAAGATCGCCGAATACCCTGCATCCTCCAAGGTCGCGGAGTACTCTGCGCCTTCCAACCCATCCCTGGAAACAACCACTACTTCTCCCACCACGACCAGTTCTTCTACGCCTAACCACATCCACAACCACAGCCACGGACACAACCACAAACACTACCACCACTCCCCCGCTCCCGCCCCTAACCCCACAACAAGCACACTCATCCAATACGTCACCCTCACGAAAGTACCCGTCCCATCTACACCAATCTACACCCCTCTATCCCTCGCGCAAAAACACACATCCGCACCCTATGCGTCAGCAGGCAATGCAACGAATGTGTATGCGCCTACGGGCATGGGGTTCGCGACGGGTGTGGTGACGGTATCGGCGACGGGATATCCGGTGAAGCCGTCTAGTTATGTGCCTGCGGAGTTTACGGGTGCGGGGGTTGGGAGGGGGCGTGTGGGGGGTGTTTCGGGAGTGTTTGTGGGGATGGTTGTTGGGGTGTTTGTTTTGTAGGGGGGAGTGACGTGTTTGTATGTTTGTATGTGTAAGATGGGGAGTAGTTATGTGTTGTATATATCCTTTTGATGTTTGTATGGTATGGTTTGCAGGTATGCCTTTTCAACTGCAATCTCGTCTTCTTTGTGCCATGCTTGATCCTCGTATCCGGAACGGAAAGACATGTTGTTTTCACAAGGAAGATAGGAGAACAAGTAGGAAAAGTAATATACCTGCCGTTGTTTTGCTGGGCTTTGCTTACCTGCCATGAGCTCGGTCCAACCCACGTGAGGCGAGGCCGGTACCTGCATGACGCGAAAGCGCGTGCGTGTTAGGGGTCGATATGCTTTTTTAATCTTACGAGCCAAGTCTATCCTGCGCGTGTGACACGGCATGTTGAAACGGCGTGTTGAGCCTCGGCTGGACTCGGAGGTAGAGGTAGGTAGGTGAAGATGCGGGCCGCTCCGCCAGGCACAATGAGTGGCAAGCGTGCGCTGATTGGGGGGAAGGGCGAGGTGACGGCATGTCTAACTTTGACTTGTCGTCTTGAGGAGAACATGTTCTGTTCTGCTCTGCTTTGCTTTGAACGTGTCCGGTTTGTAATTACAGTGTGCAGGGGAAGGGAGGTGCCAGCAAGCATGTCATATGGGTTCGGCCGTCGAGATGAGATGGGATGGGATGATGACGGCATGGAAGCGGTTAGCAGGGCAGACGCGTGGTGAGGTGGCAGAGAGCCAACACGTCTCACTCCAGGGCCGGCCGTGATGCAAGCACGTCGCCTGCTCGCGACCGGAGACTTTGCCTGATGGGCGCGGAGGGCTGGCCTTGGTACGGATGGATCATGCACGCTCGCAGCAAGCACGTCAAAAAGCAAAAAAGACGCACGTCGTATAGGTTTAAAGAGCCGCGCCTGTATTTCTCCGGACGCAGTGTCCGTCAAAGAGGGCCAATTGATTGCGCTCCGTCGTCAGCTTCTTCCCCCCCCCGTCCCTCGCACGCTCGAGTTGGGTGTCTCGGTGGAGGCAGCCGTGCGCCGTGGCTCGCGCTCCGTGACGATCGACTGTTCACACCGGACAGCGCAGCACCGCACAGCACAGCACCGCACCGCAGCGAGTCGCGCAGGTAGACGCGCGCATCCGGCCTCGTCCAAGTGTCGGTGAGGAGGGCAATTGACCTGACGGCGAGTGGAGCCCGGCAGTGCGAGGTGTTTGCCAGCCTGCCAGCCACCCGGTCGCCAGCCACCTCGCGCGTGGACAGCACGCAGGGCGCTGAGGGTGTGCTGCACGTCTGCGTCCCAGTCTCTGCCTCTCGACTGCATCTGCCCCGACACTGCCCCCTCCCGGAGCTGTGTGAAGCTGCTTGAAGCTGTTGCTGTAGCCATTGCGCCTGCCGTTGCTGCTGCCCCTGCCGCACCCGCCCAGCGCCCTCACGCTGTCGTCCCGCAGCCCGCAGGCACTCGCCATCGCCAACCTGCTGCCCTCGCACGAAGCCACGCATAACGAGACACACGACCGCGACGCGCCCGCTCCGCCCCACCCCTACCGCACCTCGCTGCAGCTCCGCCAGCAGCAGTTGGACGACTACTACCGCGCCCACCACGCCCGCTCGCGCGCATCGAGCTCGTCTGGCAGCGCCGCCCCGAGTCTGCGCCGCGTCCCCAACTTGGACCGCGCCCGCACCATTGACCGCGCCCGCACAGTCGACCCCAGCCAGCAGCAGCAGCGCCTCGTCCGCTTTGCCGCCTACGACGACGCGCCGCACCCCGCCCTCCGCATCTCGCGCCGCACCGCCTCGGCCATCCGATTCGTGCTCGAGGAGGCCCTCCGCGCGCCCTACCCCTTCACCCCCGACCTGGTCGAGGAGAACGAGCCCATGGCCGATCTGACCAGTGGCCGTGCAGCCAATGGCGGCGCCCGCACCACCGGCGGCCCCGTCCCCGTCACCCAGGCCGACCGCTCCAACATCCGCACCCCGCAGATGATCATGAACGACCGCCGCCAGCGCGAGGCCCGCCAGCGCGAGGAGCAGAAGCAGCGCGACGCCGTCGAGGAGGACCGCCGCCGCAGTGCCGAGCGCCGCGCCCATGCTGTCGCTGGTGTGGCTGGCACCCCCACGGCCAACACCGCCGCCAACACCACCACCGACCAGCACGTCCAGTACCCCACCACGGGAGCAGCCCGCCCGCCAGAACGCGCCCTGCCACAGTCCAGCCAGCCCCCAGACGCTGCAACCGGCGCACACTACGGCAGGCCGCGCACGAGCTCGCAGTCGCAGCAGCAGCCTCGAGCTGCCTCGGGCAACCAGCCGGCGCAGGCCTCGACGGGCGAGCAGAGACGGCCGCCCCCCGTGCAGCACTCGCGACGTCCTTCTGGCGCCACCTCTGCTGCAGCTAGTTCGCAAGCAGGGCCGTCGACGACTGCACTGCCACGACCCCCACCCCCGCCAGGCACGTCTACAACTCCCCTACGAGACTCGACTACGTCCAACTTCCCCCACGCCTTCGAGCGCTGGGAGACGCTCTCTTCGCACTGGGAGGGGCTCACCTCTTACTGGATACGGCGGCTCGAGCAGAACACCGACGAGGTCCGCCGCGAGCCCCTGGCCCAGCAGATGTCGCGCCAGATCACGGATCTGTCCGCTGCTGGCGCAAATCTGTTCCACGCCGTCGTCGAGCTGCAGCGCCTGCGTGCGTCGTCGGAGCGCAAGTTCCAGCGCTGGTTCTACGAGCACCGGCAAGAGCAAGAACGCGCCCAGGAGAGCCAAGCACAGCTGGAGAACACGTTACGCGTCGAACGCGAGGCGCGCTCCGGAGACGTGGCGAACATGGAGCGCATGCTCACCGAGAAGAAGAACGCCGAGCGCGCAGTCGTCGAGATGAAGCGCGAGCTGCAGATCTCAAAGGAAGAAGCCCGACGCGCGTGGGAAGAGCTGGGGCGGCGCGAGCAAGAAGAACGCGACCGCCAGTTCTCGCTGAGGGAAGGGCAGCCCACGCTCGTCGGCGGTGTGCAGGTTGTTCCCATGGCGCAGGCCGTGGCACGACGTGGGCGGACTCAAGAAGAGGAAGACGCCTATTCTGGCGCACAGGGCAGCGGGGTAGACATTGAGCAACACTACTCGTACGAAGACGCCCAGTCACCCACCGACACGGACCCCTTCACAGAGAGCACCCGCCACGGCCATCGCGACCCTGACGCGCCGTCGTTGACCCAAGGCACCTACATACCCTCAGGCGCCGGCCCCAGCTCGTCCGCCCGCTCTGGCGCCCCCATGGACGTCTCAGACCTGACCCAAGTGCCCGCTCCCCTGCACCTCCAATTCAGCCCCACGAACCCCTCCCACACCCAAGCGGGCGCCCAACCCCCCACCTCGCACCCAGACTCCTTCTACCAACAACCGCGCTCCTACCTGCACCAAGACCAAGAACAAGACGAAGACGAGCTCCCCAACCTGCGCACAGAGGACTCACAGTCCTACGTCACCGTCACCTCGCGCGACGACGTCACCTCGGACGGCGAGGAGGAATACGCAATCGACGAGCGCGGCAACTATGTCCTCGACGACGCGGGCCACCGCATGACGTTCCGCTCCCTGCGCTCCCCCGTCTCGGACGAATACGACGTCCAGGAAGACCGCCGCAGAGAACTAGAGCACCTGCAGCACTACGGGGCCGGCGCGCCGCAGGCCCATCCTCAGAATCAGGCCCCGCAGCAGCAGAATCACGCACAAGGCCAGAACCCCAATCCGCCCGATTACAGCGGCGATGGGTATGGAGATGAGTGGGTTGGCATGCGCCATCATCATCCTACGAGGCTGAGCGATGTGCCTGAGGAGGATGAGCGCAGTCGTACGAGTCCGAGTCGTGCTAGTTTGGCGAGTAGGGGGCGCTTGTATTAGGGCTTCTTTCTCGTGTTCTTTCTTTCTGTCATCTCATCTCTCTCTCTCTCTCTTTTTTTTTTTTTTTTGAAATCGTCGTCCTGGCTTCTGCGTTGCGGTGCTGCATACGTTTGCGGTGTGTGGTGTAGCGCGGTGCGGGGCGGGTGTGTTTGTGTTTCGCTGGCTGGTTGGTTGTCTAATACCCTTTTTTTCTTCTTCTTCGCCGCTGCATCTTTTTCTTTTCCCTCAAAAACTGTCTATATATATCGTTTTTTTGTCTTCGATGCAATAGCATGGGGTTGTGTATTTGTAATGCTTGGTTGGTGCGGAAAATGGGGGGTTGTGGGTTGGGGGCAGGGGTAGGGTAATGAATGCATCAATTTGTCTATATGTCTATCTATTGATCTCTTGGGTTTAGTGATGTGGGATGTCTCTGCGGGTTTGTGAAAGCGTGTGATTCTCCTGTGTGGTTCTTGTGTGTGTATGTGGGGGTAGGTGGGAATCAGAATGAGTTGGAGAATAAAGCCTTTTACGTAGTCACAAGCAAGGTCAAGAAAGGCAAGATAAGGTACAGCAGCATGAAGCAGAGTAAAGTCTCCGCCTGCCCAATACGTCTTTACCACGCTACATCACACGGCCGTCTCCATGATAGTAGGTGGAGAAGCAGAAAGAGATACATTCTTCTCCTGCTCACACACTTGTATCATTCTAAGATCATAGCGTATCCATGCTTATTGTACAAGCAGATAGACGCAACACAGTAAAAAATCTAGTATAGCAACTCAGTGTAGAAGCTAATCCCCCGCCCTTTTTGTACACAGTAAACATCACTGAGAGTACACAGTAATAGTAACAGAGAGCTAATCAACTGTCTCTTAACGACTGGCTGCTGAATGTACTAATGCGGACGCGTGTTCGAGAGCCCAGGCAGTGGTCGAAGTTTTTACACGCTTGTATAGATGTACCTTTCTCTGGGTCGCGGTAGTCTGTGTGTTTGTCGGTGGCGAGGGATGCTGGGCGAGGGAGGGGGTTTATGGGTGAGTGTATGGTGGTGGGCTTGGAGGTGGGTGGAGGTGGTGTGTGGGTTTGTTGGGTAGGATTGGAAGGCTAGACGCGAAATGCTCTGTGGTGAGGAGAGTACCAGTGTATACTGTTGAAGTGTATTTATATGCTCCACGCAGTGCAGATCTTGACGAGGCGATGAATTGCTTTTCGCACGTTCGATATGTACATTGGGGTACAAAATCGGGTAAATTACCCTGTAGCTTTGGGGTGTAAGAAGCACAGGAGAAAGACTGTAATTTACATCGCATTGCAGTGTGAAATGTAAGGTAAATTTACATGTATTAGTATTTAGATTATAGACTTTTCTTTGCAGAGTTATAGACGTTTTATTCATATAATTTATTGATCAAATGTATTTCTATATTACCTACCTATAAGTTCAAGCCTGAGCCCACATCCACCTCAATCGTGGGGTTAATTCCACGCTTGATTGTGAGTTGAAATCTACCTAAATCGTGAGCTTAAATGTAAGCTTGATTGAGAGCTTATATCTAAGCTCAATTATAGGTGGGCTCGTGGGTGAGCTTAATTGTAAGCGTGTAGATAAGACAGTGTTAACAGTTGAATTTTTTAGCTTATGTGGGTAGGCTGGAGCAACGTTGTTGCGATTAATAGTAGTACTAGTAATTAGAAATCCAGGAAAATTACTAAGTACATATATACGTGGTGTATATTTACATAATTTTCTGATGTAAATTACCTGTTGCCGGTGAAAATCACTCTAACGCGGTACCTCAGTGATACTGACTATACGCTTAATTTCCACCGTGGTACCCCCGAAGTATAAGCTATTCACTACTATGAATTCTGGTAGGCACTTCGCGGAGGTACTACAGTAATGTGCTGTAGAGGTGTTCGACGTTTCAAATATCTATAAACTTATACGCAAGTATTTGTTACTGTGTACCTTAACTAATGTTTACTGTGTAAAAAGGGGCTGGGTATTAGCTTCTATACTAAGTTACTATATTAGATTCTTACTGTGTTGCGTCTATCTGCTTGTACTAGAAGCATGAATACGCTATAAACCTAAAATAATACGCAAGTATTTGCAGTAGATTATATCTTGAGAAAGAGTTTCTTGGAGAATGTGTTGGGCAGTGTATTCTGAGAAGAAAATATATCTCCTAGGAGAACATTCCAGACGAGAATTGTATCTTGCAGATCATTTAGGGTTGGGATGTGTTGTGGAGCGAGGGATCCTTCATGATCCACGGAGATTAACTAGCGAGCTTGGCAGTGAGCGCATGGCAGGTGTTCGTCGCGACATCATGCCTCAACGTCAGCCGGTCGCGTTCAATCATGACGTGTCTCGCTGCCTTTCTTTTTCTCTTGTGAGCGATTTGAATGCGCCTTTTGTTTCCTTCTTCACATTTCCTCGAAATCAAACCGCTCCGTGGCTGTTCAGTATCATTTCTGTCCCTGTCGCGCATGAGCTCGACCTCGATACTCAACCATGACTGACCCTGGAGCTGTGGTCTTTGCGAAAGTCGTCTCTCGTTTCCTGGGTTGGGCATACTTCCTCTCTTGGTCTGGTACGCGTGCCTTCCTCCTGCAACATCACCAGCACAGACAGACTGACTCCACTATGCAGGCTCTTTCTATCCTCAACCCGTATCGAATTACCAGCGCAAATCAACGATTGGCCTCGCCATTGATTTTCCCACTCTGAACGTCCTCGGCTTCAGCGCGTATACGGTTTCGACCGCCTCCTTCCTCTACTCGCCCACGATTCGCGCCCAGTATGCGCATAGGCACCCCGACGCGCCCGAGACTACTGTCAGGTTCAACGACTTCCTGTTTGCAGCGCATGGCGCGATCATGTGTGTGATCATCTACAGCCAGTTCTTTCCCAGAATATGGGGGTTCAAAGTTGGGAGGACACAGACGGCGAGCAGGGTGGTGCTGGGCATATTCTGGGGATGCGTGCTGGGGGTGGTTGTGGTGCTTTGCCAGGTACAATTGAAAGAGAGAGAACAAGGGTACAATGCCGAGTCATGGGCTTGGATCGACGTTGTAAGTCTTGTCTTCTTCGTTTTATGTGGAGCTCTCGCGGATATTGCCAATACCTAACACGTGCAGATCTACGCTCTTGGCTACGTCAAACTCACGACCGTGCTGGTCAAGTACATCCCACAGGCATGGGTCAACTACAAGCGCAAATCTACGACTGGCTGGAGTATCTACCCTATGCTATTAGACTTTGCGGGAGGTTGGTTGTCGCTTGCACAACTCGCCATCGACTCCTGGCTCGAGAATGACTGGAGCGGTGTGACAGGCAATCCTGTCAAGTTCGGCCTCAGCAACATTACCATTATCTTTGATGTCGTCTTCATATTCCAGCATTTTGTGCTGTATCGACATGCGGGGAAGCAAGTGGAGGATCAGGAAGAGTGGGATAGCGAGCGAGAACACCTTGTTTCTGAGCGTGTTGAATAGATGTTGAAGTTTGGTATCACAACCGCTTCCCCGTCACGTCAGTTCATAGCGTCTCTTCTGACATTGGCACTTTCAATGATTCCATGGGTCTACGGTCCCGGCCGTGCGTCATATCCAGTAGTTGAGTCGACCACGGGAAGAAAGCGCCCCTTAGCGTCAATGCGGGATTCGGATGTGAGATCCGCAAGGTGCAACAAGCCGCGCAACATCCACAAAATAAGAAAGCGCACTAGACTCTGCCGCGGACGCCGAGGATTTCGCAATTTTCCAGACGTCTGCAAAATTGCGTTGTTGTGTTGAACTAGTACCGTGTTGGTGGGATTTCACCAACCCACGCTTGTTTTAGGCTTTCAGCTTGCCTCGTTTTGTCAATATCTCCGAGAGCCGACGACCAACGATAATGCATACATGGGTTGAACTTGGATATCTAGGCAAAAGAAAATATACGCCTTGGGTGCGAGAGACTTTGGTTCGGGTCTGCGGTATCCGGTACCTATCCAGCCGGAAGCCTATATTCTCTTTGTCTGCAGGGTTACGAAATTGAAATCAAAGACTTATCGCCAAGAGCTGACGAGTAGAGACGGCAGGCGTAAAGCTTATGAAAGTTTGCAAGCATACTGAGTAGTGCGGGCTGGGAGTAACTACCAATAACTATTGAATATCTTGGGATCTGCATTGTCTGCTGCATGCTTCCGGATACTGTGCCGTTACATTGGGAGAGAAGAACTACTCAGAGGCGTTTAGGTTCATGTTCATGTCCATGTCCATGTCGGTGAATGATCAGCGGTGTTGTTTCAAATGCTTTCAACCTTTCTGGAAGACGCACGTGGACTGGACATTTCTCGCACGCAGGGATGGCACTGCTGCTACCTATATTTGGACCCCTAGATGGATCGCCCTGATCAGCATGGGCTTTCAGGTACACGTGGGGTCAGCCCCCTAAATATCCCCCGAAGCACCCGATACAGTGTACCTTGCACACTCGGCCTCCACTTTTCTTACGATCGCGGAGGATCGATCTGCAAAGTGCATGGGAAGAGATGCCCGGAGATGTGTTGATACGCTGAAGCATGGGGGGGCTTATTTCATCCTCACCTAATGAGGGAGTGAGTATGGTTGCTCGATCTCCCTCCGTCCTCACCATGGCCTAATTGAGCGTCCACATTGTGGCTTGTATAAAGAAAGTTTTGTTGGACCAAGGCCGGTCCCATGCCAGACCTGCCAAAAAGATCGCAATGTGGTCCAAACACCGTTAGCCGAGCGCTAGCCCCAGCCCAGCGCGCGCCTCCCGCCGCTCCGTGGAAAACAGTTCGTGTTGACTTGGTACGTCAACCTCGAGTCCTTTCGTCATGGAACCGCAGTTTGCTCGGGAGCGGCGACTATGTCTTCCCTTGTTGTTCCTCAGACACAAGAGCATCGTGGTAGCTCCTCAAGTCCGAACTCGTGTTTTACATACCTCCAAAGACACACAGGACGATCAGCTTTAGACTACCTAACCTGGCTCTCCTCTATTTCCTCACACCGTTCTTGACCCACGCGGTATAGACTTGGCGACCCCTGCAGCGGAATGGCTCCGATGTATGTTGATAGTTTGATGGCGGGTGAGATTGGTTCCGCTTACGGCGCTCATGAGCCGCTTGCGCTTGATTTTGCAACAATGCACGATGGATATAAAGCACATGGTCAGAACCCTCCTCTCACGCCCCCGGGGACAGAGACCGGCTTGTACCAGAACTACTCTGAACACTGGCTTGAACAAGAAGACGACGACTCTGCTCCTGCACCTCCAGACGTCAACCGTCGAAACATGCTTCAAGTAGCATCACAGACCAGGTGAGCAAGAGTGCACAACGACGAAACATGGCTGATAGCTAAATGTCATAGCTTGAACTCAAGTTCCCACCACACAAGCTCTATGGGCAAGCGGCTTAATTTCCTGTCAAGGCGCAAGAGTATAGATATGCCTGCAGACCTAGATGTACCCAAGCTTCGGCCTCGTAGTGCTTCTCGAACATCAAACGCTCCCATCACAGTCCAGAGACCGCCAACACGTTCAAGCAGCATCGAACCTCCAATGTCTCGCAGCAGAGCCGGTTCTGTCGTGTCAGGATACTCGCCGGGGTCAGATTACTCATCTACTCATTCGATCGCAACGAATGCGCTCCCACCGTTACAGAAACTTAGACTACTAGACGAGGATGACAGACTCTCGCCTCTACTCGAAGATGACCCAAAGTCCTTCGATCTTATTGCGCCGCCCGACGAGCAGAATGGGCGGAACGAATACTCGCTCGAGACGCGGTCAGAGCAACTGTTCTCCAAGCAGCATCTGGAAGCTATATTCAAGGACACGCCATCTCTGCTTCGATTCAGCTCTTTCCTGGGCGTCGCAAGGCCACAGTCGGTACCTGTCTTGATCTACTTCCTCGACGCGCTGAAGGCTTTGCGAGCCATCAAGTACGCCAACGCCGTGGCAGAAGCACTGGAACCTATCCAGGGTCTTGAGTTCTCCACCAGCTTGCCACGACCGACTGTCAATACGGTTCTAGAGGAGAAAGCGAATCAGGCGTTTGACAAAATGGTCCGGGACGATCTACCGGCGTTCATCACGCACGTCTTCATCCAGGTTGCGAGCGTCAGCATCTCTAAGCGTGTGACTGGAAACCTGCCGCCAGCGTTGCAGCAGGCAAGCGAGGGGCTGGCAGAGGTCTTCTGCCTGACGGACCCTTCGAGGAGGGATAATCCAATCATCTTTGCGTCAGAAGGTTTGTACTAGATGTCGATTGGGTGTGCCGTAGCTGACTCTGACCAGAATTTCACCGTACTACACAGTACGGAGTAGGGTATGCGATTGGCCGCAATTGCCGCTTCCTTCAGGGGCCAAAAACAAATCGCACCTGTGTGACACGTTTCAAGGAGATGATCGAGGGAGGCAAAGAGCATAACGAAGTGATTCTAAACTAGTAAGCAGAATGGTAGACTTGACCTCAACTCGCACGAAGCTAACAACTCAACAGCCGCCGTGATGGCTCTCCCTTCTTGAACTTACTCATGATGGCGCCTCTCCTCGATTCACGGGGTCAACTACGCTACTTCATCGGCGCGCAGATCGACGTCTCTGGTCTCGCAAAGGACTGTGCAGACCTCGAAGCGTTCCAGCACATGTTGGACCAACAAGACGGATATGAGCCCAAGGACGAGCCGAAAGACGAATTCCAGGATCTTGCCGAGATGTTCAACCACACGGAGCTGGATACGGTGCGGACGTTTGGCGGCAACATGCATCGAGATTACGTGGACGAGCAGGACAATGCGAGTATGCGGGGGGGTCATCGACCCAGACTGCTCATTCAGGACCAATCGACGCTCGATGTGAACATGGCAGAGAAGCCGGCTCCAAAGCCCGAGGGCAGGTTGTCGGGACCGTACAAACACGTAAGTCATTCATCTTTTGTGTTGGGAGAATATCAGACTGATCGTTTTTACAAAGTATATTCTTGTACGGCCGGCGCCTTCACTTCGCATCCTTTTTTGCTCTCCATCACTACGTGTCCCTGGGATCCTACAATCGCCCTTTCTCGACCGCATCGGCGGTGGCAACAGTGTTCGAACTTCTCTCAGCAGAGCGCTCAGCGACGGTACACGCGGTGTCACAGCAAAGATCCGGTGGTTGCCGCACGCTGTGCAGGATCTCGAGAACTCGTCCGAAGAAGGCCGGCCTCGATGGATCCACTGCACGCCACTGCTGGGCAATGGCGGTGCCGTGGGCGTCTGGATGATTGTGATCGTTGACGATGAGAAGTATCCATCTCAAGAACGCCGTTTCCGCCAAGCACCGCCGATTCCAAACGACCTCCGCAGCAGGCGACAAGACACACACCCGTACAGACACAACGGCATGCTAGACGACAATTCAGACATGTTTACTCCACGAAGCTCGTCTCTCACCAGCGGCCACGCTGCAGCAGCCCGTCACGGCACCCAAGACCGAGGGCGACAGGACTTGAGTCCCCGTGGTATGGCCCCTCGCAGCAGCTTCAACGAACAGCGCACCATGCGCTCGGCCGCTTCAAGCGTCGACTCTTTCCGCATCTAGTAGAGCTGACTTGCAGCAGCGAGCAGCTCTACAGTAAGCACCCGCGACGACAGTGTGATGGGCAGTACGCCTTCAAATGACGCGCCGCAGGACACGAGGATCTGGAGCACAAAAGATGGCGGCACGATCCTGAAGACGACGACGACGACGCATGTCTATGAGACATTTGGTAACCCTGCGGAACCCGTGACGAGCACAGTCGCTTTTCCGGAAGAAGTGCAACGCGGGGTGCAGAAGAAGAGGTCTTGGTGGTCCCTTCGAGGGTCTGACGAGTAATAGGTTGGATGCACAAGGATGCAAGTGGAGAAGCATGTAATACGGACTGGTGTTGGGAAAGGTCGGGCGGCATGCGTGTGCGATTTGTGAATGTTATATACCCATACTGTACGAGTACGGTAACGCAAGAGAGTAATGAACTTGTACTATTTGTGTTAGAGTGTGTTGTCAAGGTCGGACCAATTGACCTACCAGAGTCATTCTGCATAACCCTTCTGGTTGTTTGGCATCTGCATCAGGCGCGTATTCTTTCCGTGCCGGAGCATTTTGCCTCGTCTTGCGCGCTGCATTCCAGGCAATCGTCGTCCCAGACCACACCTCAACACACGCCTTGCGTAGGTCCTTTGATATCCCGCTCTCGAAACAGTATCCTCTTCATATACCCCACCCCTCACCACACATCCTCAGGACTAACCCCAATATCCTCTCCACCCTCCCTCACCGTCTCCCTCCCCTTATCCCTACCAAGCGGTTTCCGCATATCAAACGCATCCTCGCCATCATTATAGTAATCCTTCACGCGCCGATACACCGTATACCCCATCTTCCTATACAGTTCCTTCGCAATCTCATTGCTCGCCCGCACGAATAAATCCACAAACCACGCATTCGCCGCGTCGGACGAGCGCTCCAGCGCCGAAGACAATGCCGTTGCGTGGCCGAGGCGTCGCGCGGAGGGTGCGATGGTGAGGGCGGTGATGTGGCCGTGCCAGGGGAGGTAGTTGGGGTATTCTGTCGCGGTCGCGGGGGTGTAGGGGGTGACGGGGGAGGGGTAGGGCGAGGATTCGAGTTTGCCTAGGACTTTGGATGTGTTAGCATGTGTATACAAATCTATGAATCTATGCCTATGTGTGGAATGTGAGGGATGGAATGCGGGTGTAAGTACTGTAGCCCTCAATCTTCCCGTCAATGCCCTCTATTACTTGACATAGCTCGGGCCACTTTGTCAGGTACTCCATGTAGAAGCCGATGTTATATGTTTCGGTCAGAGGGTCGAGGTTCGTCGCTGAGATTTGCAGCAGGTCGTTTGGGCGCATGGGCCGGATTGTCGCCATTTTGAGGGGTTGGGGGTGTTGCGATGTAACAATGGCGTGAGTTGATGTGTGGTGGTACCGAGTGTGAAATGTTGTGGTGGGGAAGAAAGTCCGCGGGGGTGAGCTCGCCTAGGGAGACTTGCCCGTCCATCAGGGTGCGATTGATCAGTACACAACATTATTTTTGCAGAGGTTGACGGGTCCAGGCATTGTTTTCTATAAGACCCATAATGGCTATAACTAATCGGAGATATTTCAAACCTGTTTTCATGAGCTTGTAGCCTGAACGCCCTCAAATAGCGAACTACAGTAGGTAAATAGCTGGTATCCTTGTACTGCGAAACGAAGGGATACGATCATCTACATATGTTCGTAGAAATCCTCAAGATATCTCAGGTCTACCCAAGACGAGTTCTTCTAATAACCGGGCACAACGATTAGACCATCTCCAAGCTACGAAACGTATCACAGCATGACAATAAGTTCAGTAGGCAATTTCATCAACACTCTTATCCATTAGCGACCGTGAGTCATATCTACATGAGTTTCGTAAAAGGGTATAGTAACCACAAAATGCATCGCACTTCCAGTCAGTTGTCCATGACCAGCATGGCGCAACCCGGGCTTTCAAACAAGATATTACAAACATCAACCCAACTCGATAACCATGCTCAGGGGGGCTCGCGCCGCGCTTTTCTGGGACAATGAATCGCCATCGCCATGCAGGAGTGGAGAACAGAAAACGAGGGTATAAAGGAAGCCAGACGCTTGAACGCAGCAGCAAAAACGCTAGAAAAATCAAAATGCTAACCCATTACAAATTGGTGTGGGTAATTAACAGCCTCCGGGACCATTAGAGCGCAGCTCGTGAGAATTGAAAGATGATAGATGTGTTGAACATGTCAAACGCTAACTGTGCGTCGGACGTCGACTTCAGGCTTCTGGGCATAGCCGATGAGCATACGGAAACTCGTTCCACGCTTTTCGCATTCAGTGATGAGGGCTTCGTCGCGCCAGATGCTGTTTTCGAGCATGTTACCAGAGGGTGTGCCATCGGAGCCTTGGGCCTCGGGGAGCACAATTGATTCGTAGCAGCGCGAGTACCACCAGCGACCAACACGAGCCACCATATCAGCGATACCGGTATCTGTGGACTCAGATGGGGATGATCCGTTGAGAAGGTCGGAGAAAGAAAGCTCAGGTTTTGGTCCTCGGGACTTAATCTTACTGCTCGTTCTTCTCGTCTCTGGGAGATTGGCATCTTCGGGTATCGGGAGTTTGCCAGCGACAGGTACACCCACAACACATCGGTTGCATTCCGTGAATCCCTTCCTCCCCAAACCAGCCATGATTTCATCGCTGATGTTGCGGAGAGAGATGCTGTCGTCCACCTCCTTGATCTTCATTTTCAGTCCACGAACTGCACGGCGAGCCCGGTTGCCCATATTGACAAGATCGAGGTCAAGGACACTGAACTCAAGGTGACCTCCAGGTCGTAGCACCCGCCTAGCCTCGGACAAGAGAAATTTATGAACCGAGGAAGGAAGCGCAGACGGAAAGCGCAGAACGACGCATGCGAAGAAGTTCATGGGGTAGGGAAATGCGGTGGTGAGTGAGGGATGGCAAATGTGGCGATGATTGGGAAGCGTCGACCACGGCTCAGACGGATTGTCTGTTGGTACGGTCGATGAAGAAGCCCCGGGCCCAATGTCGTACACTGCAGCTTCAGGGTAGGTCAAAGCGCAGTAATAGGACCAATCTTTTCCAAGACCATCGATGACAAGGATACGGTCTTCGCGAGAATCTTTGAGCTCGAAGTGGACAGGGCTGAAGAGAACACGACCGAATGAAAGCCACTTGCTTGTCATCAGAGCACCGAATCGCAAGTTGGCCATAGACACCAGTCCATCCGCTTGAGTCTCAGCAACTTCCATCAGACGCGAATCTCTGTACCTGTTCGCACCGGCACTGTTGCGGTCCGTGTCTGGCTTTGAGATGCTTGTAGCTCTCGACTGCCGTGCGCTCAACGTCATGGATACTGGCAGACTGGAGCGAGTTGAACGCTTGGTAGCTGAGCCTGTAGACAACCGAGGGCTGGCTGGCAAGCTTAATCTACCAGTGACGGGATCCACGACACTAATCTTGCGTTCCCCATAGTCTTGAATGAACTCAGACAAAGAGATTGGAGAGGTTGGAGATTGCGTTGAGTGTAAGACCGCGAGAAGTCGAGACCGTCGAAGATGTAGTGATGGGATAGATACCTTGTCTGTGAGTAATCCGGGCTGCAAAGATGGACGCGATCCCCTCATCTCCAGAGGGAGAGGCTCAAGAGAAGAGTGTTGGCTCCGAATTTTAGTACCATCTTTGCTTGTGCGAGAACTAGCAGGTGAAAGCACTTCATCAATCAAGTCATCATATTCGTTCCACAGTTCGTCCTCGGAAAGCGGGGCCGCCGAAACAGGTACGACAGCCGTGTCGGCGGTAGGAGGGAAGCTCCAAATTCCCGAACTGCTGGAATACGAGACCTCAGAGTCTTTACGAGCCGGAAACTTGAAGAACTCGCTTTGGCAACTAAACTCGTCAGAGGGAGGGCTGATAGTCGCGATAGCCGATGAATGGGAGAGAGCGTTGAGACCATGCAGGACAGGGTATGGCTCGATTGGACCAGCAGTAGCAAACACCGAGCCAATGGAATCGAACGATGTTCGAGGCAGAGCGGTTGGTCGAGGTTTGTCTGACACGAAAGGGCGGGAGAATGACCTTGAAGAAGGTTGGTGAGGTTGACGACGACTCGAGACAACCTGGGGTATACGACCCACCTGAGGCAATCGACTCGGCCTCGGAGGAGGGCTGATAGGCGGTGGGCCAGGCAGAGGCAGACTTTGAGGAGGCAATGAGTCGAATTGAAAAGGCGAAGTGAAAGCAGATACAGGGGTCCTCTCTGGTAGTGTAACATCATGCACCAGCGAAGACCGCCTCGCAGGCGACGAAGGTGGCGAGAGGTCGGTGAAAGGGGTCAAGTCCGCTAGCGATTGACGGTTTGAGGGTTGTGGCATGGACTGAACATCGGTATTGATTGTGAGTTGGCGACGCTGCTGCGACAGCTGAACTTCAGGGCGCAGGAAAACTTTGGGCGAAGCAGAACGTGTAGGTACTGCAAAAGTGGCTGGGAGTATTGGTTTGGGTGGCAGCAGCATGGACCGCATTCGCTCTTTCCTCACAGACTCATTATCGGAAAGCGCGCTCTCCGTCCCTTCCTCGGCTACTTCCTTCATCAATTGCTCGATGTCTTCCAAGTCAACACCTTGTGCGTCCGGGAGTGCATAATGCGCGACAGACCGGGAGACAGATGCTTGAGCAACATCGTTAGTCAAGTCCACAGCAGGCGCATCAACTCGGGGAGCTGCATGGGCACGCTGGAAGAAATTCCACCTCTTCGAAGACTTGGGTTGTTCCTTCTCGTTCTTGGTCTTCTTTGACGATTTCAACCACTTGCTCTCCTTACTCTCAGTTGTAGAGTCAGCCGTCGAATTCTTGCGCACTTTCTCCATTACACGGCTTCCTGGCAGAGTGCTGGGGACGCTCGGTTTTTCCACAGCATTGGAGGTGCGTGATGTTCGTCTTGATGCTAGAGTCGGAAGGAAAGATCGCTTGGAATCGTCGTCGCTCTCCGATGGCCTCCCCACTCCTACTTGCAACTTCTTCATTGGCGATTCTCCACGCATCGTATCTGGCATAGCCGAGGGTAACAGCGTTGGCCGGTTTTTTTCGATGGCTGACTGAGAGACGCTGATCGATGTTGTTTTCGAGATCGACTTGGGTTGGATAGAGACATCGAAACTACTAGTGCTTTGCATAGGTTCAGGACTACTGGTCAGTTCTGTACTGCTCCCCGCACCTCGAATGACGACAGGCGCAAGTCTGTGCAAGAAGAAGTCGTCCATCTCCGCGCTAGTAGTACTAGTCAAACTGCTTTTCCGAGTTGATGGGGTGTTGTCAAAGCTTTCGGATGTAGTCCCAGCACTGACTGACCGTCCGATGCTGTTCGTGCTGACAGAACTTCCACTTCGGCCCCTCACCGCGTACTTGCCGTATCCTTCGTGACCTGTGCCCGCTACCGGACCTCGTCGCTGAAGTTTGCTTTCCGATCTTACTACAGGGGGAGTAGATTCGGTTTTCGCACGTCGGGTGAAAAATCCAAACCTGGAAGTCTTGCTTGGGCTAGGCAGAGGCGCGGGAGCGGGGGTCGTGCTAGAGCGTCGCGTGTCTCGATCGTTCTGATTATCTGGTGTCGGCCCACGGGTGGGCGCGCGAGATGATAAAGGAACGCTCGACGCAGGATTTGGTGAAGGAAGCCGAGATGAAGATCTTGGTGGAAGAGCCATTCGGGGTTTTGCAACTGCAACTATCCCAGATTTGGATTCGGTGGAAACTGTACGCTTGTGTGGCGAAGGGAAGCTAGCCATGTTGCTTTGGATTATGGGAGAAGGGCCCCGAAGCCCGATAATCTCAGGTGTTCCATCTCTGCTTGGTCTTGAGGGTCGTCGAGTTGTTGGTGGCGAGATTGGGGACTGATCGGCTAAATGAGCAAATTCCGGGGGAGCTTGAAAACGCGGTCGTTCTGACAGAACCTGCGTGGTACTGCGTGTTGATACACCCTGAGACAGAGTTGCGAGTCGATTCGGCGAAGGATTCTCATTGTGCCTTCCGCTCTCTGCCTTCACAGTTGAGGTTGACGATGAGGACGTCGAAGACTCACGAACCGTGGAGAGCCCATGAGGAGTTCGAATGTTGACTTCTTCGGGAGTCTTGTGTCTAGTGACCGGTGGTCTACTTTGTAACGGGCTTGCTTGCCTTATTCGTATCGAGGTTTTTGATGAAGCAACACCAGGAGAAGAATATGAAGACATGGACGTGGGCGTTGACGAGATGCTGAATGCAGGTGACCCAGTATAACGTGTCGAGGGTGTCGCAGAGAGCGCATACTGTGGTATCGGGAGGGGTAGGATGTCCGTAGGCCCAATCTCATAGTCATAAACCCCTCTCCCAAACCCCTCGACGCCAGATTCTGATCGAGCCAGTATAGACGAAGACGGTGGCAATGATATTCCCAAGACAGTCTCGGAGAATGGATCTTTGTATCCACCAGGTATGCCTTCTGTTAGCTGCCTGTCTTCTTGAGATGACATTGAGTCGTTTCTATTGCGCGGGATTTGCTGGCTGCTTGTTGTTCCAACGTTGGTCTGTTGCCTTCTGAGTACATTCGATTGTGGACTTTCGATGGTCGATGCAGATGAGCCAGAGGCGAGGGATGGTGTACGTATGCTGAATGGAACCTCAAGCTTGGGTAGGCGCGATATCGAGCTCTGTGGCGTTGGTCTCGAACGGTGTATGCTTAAGGTATGGGAAGTCATGGGTAAAGCGAAGCCAGCGTTTCCCGGTCGTGAGGCAATTTTCCGCGCAGGCCCTTGTTCACTCACTATCCCTCTGCTTGGGTACACTTGTTCATCCCGTGTAAGCCTCCTCTTCTGCAACCTGGGCTGACTGGCAATGTGTGATTGGGATGTGATTGTGGTAGGAGTGACGGATCGTTGCGGTAGTCGAGTGGTGGGCACACGGTCCTCCGTCCGTTGCGGAGGATTGATTTGTGACTTGTAGGAAGCCATGTCGGGTAGTTTAGTGTAACCCGACTATATGTATCGAGGAACCTTGTGTGCGCTGAGTAACTCATGAAGGCATGTGCTTGTCGGCCTGTAAAACTCTTGGGAACGAGGATTTAGAGCGGCGGGTTCACTAGGAATATCGCAATCCTGGACGATATCGAATATTAAAAGTCGTTAGCAACCCTCAACTCGGGAAGGTGCTGTCAGGCGATTTGGTGGAGCGGGTGATGGCGGGAAGACTGCGTTGTCGGGACGAGTGTGGCAAGATGGATTTAGTCCGTTGTAAGAATGGAAGTCCATCAATATAAGTCGACCAGCAAAAAGATACAGGCGGATACCACGTTGTCCTGCAGTCTTTCGGTGAGGATCTGATGCTCTCTCTGTCTTGCGCCACCTTCTGTTCGGCGGCCCCGATTGGGTTATCGCGCTGCTTCGGCAAAGTCCTGGGGCTGTGCAAGGCTACCCTACTGCGTACCTGGGATGCAATCGACAGCGACGTGACACGCTGCAGCGAGGGCGAGTGATGTGTTATACTGGCACCCCAGTACTAGCTCACGCGTCTCGTCGTTTTGTTCAGGGTCTGCCGTTTAGGCGTGGGGAAGACGTCCAGATCGCCTCAGTGGGGCCAGGGCGTCTTTATGAAAGAACCCAGTTCAGCGGTCCTATCAAGACACTCTGGCTTACGCAGTATACGAAAAGGTAGTAACGTTGATCAGCTGGTCGTTGTCCATCAGTTGGTTCAAGGCGCTTCGCCGGCTACTGCAGGTCAAGAGTAGCCTCTGGATATGTATAACATTGCGATAATCGCAGCGCAACCCGCTTCAACGACCATGTCGACGCCGTCGGCCTGGTGGAGCTGGGCTCGCCGGCATAGCATCTTGGTTCACGTACGGGCGCTTGCGCTTGGTAGGCTGGCGGAGGCTCGAGAAAGAAGGGCGACCAGTTGGATGTCTGGACGACGATGGTGGGTGACGATTCGCAAACAGCATTTGCGCGGCAGTAGTCATGTGGAAATGTCATTGGCTCCTCGGTCGTAACTAACTGTCGTCTACTCATGCCGTTTCAAAAGTTTCACAGACCGCTCAAGCCTTGCACGGCTTCCGCGCCCTGAGAGTCGCTCGATGATGGAGCGATTATGCCTCAGGAGCTGAGGTGAGAAACCTAGCGAGCAACGTGCAACTACGGCCGCGAGTTTGCTGCAAAACTCGCTCATGGCGTTTGCATTCAGCTTCCAACTCCCATCCAGCCGTTGAACACAGCGCAACCATCAGCCACGACATTACAGCTCGTGCAGTGGAAGATTAACATGAATTACCGACGGGTCGCATGCGGCCCCTCCCAAAACGGCCAACAGACGAGTTTATTGGCAAACGCCGTCGCCGCTGGGCACCGTGAGCAAAATGCAATAGGTCTGATGGTTCAATCAGGGCCCGTAGCGCGGCAGACGGCTCGACATTCTGATGCGAAGAGTCATGGTTTTCTGGGGCCTTTTCCGCATTGCACATCCAACGCTTTCGGTGTTCGCAGCTATTTTCGTGATCAATTCTACGCCAACAAGACCCACAAATTTCTTGGTTTGTCGTCGTGTACGCCCCAGGTCGTCGTGCACGTGAGTCGGAAAGCCCGAAAAGCGGTGTCGCTAAGTAAAGAGGCTGTGCCCGATCTACCTCGCCACTTGACAACACATCAACAGCTTCGCACGCTCGCCATCACAGTCACTTTGAAAGAAACGCTGTTGTCGAGCATGGCAAAAGACGGCCCTTCTTGCTCATCTCAACAGTTTCAGTTGCGTCATGTCGGGATGGAGGGCCTTTATTCTCTCCAACCCTCCATCCAGGTCACACTCAAGCCACGACGCTCACTTGGCCCCTCCCTTGCACGGTCATTCGTGCTTTGTCGATGTGACGAATTTCGCGACCGCATAGCCCAAAGATCACGTTACCTTGCAGCTGCGAATCAGAATCATGTACTGGACTTGGACGTGATCACGGAAAGCGGCCGGATGCAGGGGGTAAGAGCCTTGTGTCCGTACCCGTGAACGTCTTCCCAATTTTGAGTTCCCTGCCTAGAGCGAGCTGGATTGTGCCATTATTACAGAGATGTGCATATGATGTTGAAGGCGCTCGACACATCCTAGAACACTGTGGATACTGTGGTGCGTACATGAAGAACCTGGCCATTCGTCATCTTCACAGACTGAAGAAGCTCGTGTTATGGGTGGCTTTGGCAAATACAGGGGAGTATACCTCATAAGATGTGTGGGCAGGGAGCCTCGCTTGTATCTCAGAGGGGAACTGGAGTATGATGATCGAAGAACCCATTGAGTAGATGAATATGGAGTGCTGCCCTCGCCATCTACGAGGGCGCAGTGAATCGAAGGTCAGAACCATCTGCTAGTACAATCAATCCTTCTCAAATGAATTCAAATACATATCCCGCACGACACTGCTTTAGGCCCAGACTCTGATATCAGCATTTACCATCTGAAATCAAACGAACCGCTGATTATACACTGCTCTCCCTTGATCATCGCCGATATCAAAGGTCGATCGAGTACGTAATTGACATCTCATATTCAGAGATTGAGATATGCTAGCTTGCCCTGTCTACGTTCTAGTCGTGGCCGTTGTGGGACAAGGAGGGAAGGGCGGCACGGCGCGAGTGCTTGAGATGCCTACGAACCACTCGTGGTGAAGGGACGGGAACCTTGTATGCCACTGTGGAGCCCGGGCCGCCGCGGCCAACCTGCCTCAATGCAACCTGTGGCGGGATGCTTGTCCTGAGTTTATCATAATCTCTCATCAAAACTGTAAATAACGCCAGACTCCTCGGGAGCGCAGACGATTGAACCACACGCCGCGGACTTCCGGTCAGCACAAAACCTCATGTCCACCCGTCAACCCATTTTGAACAGCCACATATTCTAGAACGGACATGATACTGTTTTGAGATCGTTGAGCGAGATATGACGAGTACTGTCAGCATCTCACTGTTGTCTTGTTATGTCCTCTCAACAACAGGGACCGAAAATAGAGAGCTCTTACGGACGACAACAAATCAAGCTCAGAGAGCCAAAGATATAAAAGACATTCCGAGATTGATGACAGAGGATTTCAATTGAGGAACACGCGATTTCTAACCTACTCTCTGAGGCTTGGACGTCTTCACCACAGCCAAATCTGGACTTCGATAAGTTTGAGGAGAAAGTGAGCCCCAATATTGATCTTTACGCGATTTCGAGTCTTAGCTCTTCGTTCTTCTGAGCTTTGTTTTACGTAGGTGCATCCGCAACGTGTTTGAGTGTGGAACTTTGTCACAATTAGCAAATCGAGGGTTGATCGAGAAACACGTTCGAGGCCACTATATATGCTTATCACGTTTCAGTCAAAGCTATCCCGCAACGTCGACGGACATAATCAATATGATTGCTATCGCTCGACAAGAACGGTTTTGGTGGAACACTCACGTTGAAAGTGACCATGAACGTCTGAAAGCGGACCCGGGGAAGATCCACGGCTGGAAGGAGCGAAGGGTCTTGGCAAGGTCCAAGCTCAAGACAGTCTCACCTGCGCCGCGCCTTCCTTCGAGGACACCCTTTGTCTCCAACGCGCCTTCCCCATCACCCTACAACCTTTGCTCGACATTGACTACTTGCGCTGAGCTATCTTTCACTTTAGCGCCGGTAATTTAGAGCTTGGCTACTGTCTTGCGCCTACGAAACACGTCGCTCAGTCAGCTGCGCGTCTCCTATCCGCGTCGCGTCAAGTATAGCACAGCTCTACCGGTACGCCTACCACCGTACGCGCGCACAAGATGCCCGAATACACCAAGATGAAGAACGCCGATCTTGAGGCGCTACTCAAGGAACGCGGCCTTCCTACCGGCGGAAAGAAGGCGGATATGGTGGATCGTCTCACCAAAGACGATGACAAAAAGCCTGCAGGCGAGGATGAGATTGACTGGGATGACGAGGTCGACGATGCAACTGCAGAAGCCGCCAAGGCTGCGCCTGCTACATCAGAAGATAAGACCGAGACTACTACTACACACGAAGCAACAGTCGAGAAAGCTGGAGGTGAAGGCCAGGCGCTCAACCCACAAGCTGTTCCTAACCAAATCGCGGACATCGATCCTGCTCAGACCGATGACTTGACAGTACAGCCACCTGTCGAGGGCGAGAAGGAGGGAAGCGCCGATGTCCAGGCGGAGGAGAAGACAGAGGAGAAAAAGGAACCTGCTCCCGACTACTCACGAGGCCTCGCAGCCACGAAGCTGGATGAGGAAATCGAGAAGCGCAAGAAGCGCGCGCTGAAGTTTGGCACCAAGTTTGAAGACGACGAAGGCCTCAAGAAGTTGGAGCGTGCTAAGAAATTTGGAGAGAGTGCACCTCCCAAGGGCCTCGATGAAGCACTACCAGAGCGCGAGCGCAACCAAAAGCGCAGGCGAGAAGACGCTGAAGACACTAGCGAAAACAAACGCCGTAGCCAGGGCAGATTCGAAGGACGCGGCGGTCGCAGTGGACGTGGTAGGCGAGACAATCGCGATAGCCGTGAGAGCCATGACACTCGCGACACTCGCAACAGCCGCAACAACCGTGGAGATGATCGAAGCTCTCGCCGGGAAGATGGTGGCAGACCGGCAAGCGGCTATAGCGAGAAGGACAAGGCCGCGGCGGAGGCGAGGAAGGCTCGGTTCGCCCCTAAGCCTGCAGCTTGAGGACGCAGTTGAGGCTCTTTCAAAACTCCAATCCAGGGCGGTAGACGACATTTCTGAAAACGACCGATTACCGACTACATCACGCAGACTTGGCATAAGAGCATAAGGCAGGACCAGATGGCTATTTGTATAACACATTTTCAAGGGCGTATCTCGAGGCAATTTCAGGCGTCCGTTTCTTACAACGAATACATCAATTGAATTTTTCAACCCTTATCATCGGCCCGCCTTACTCTTCGTCCTGTTCGTTCTTGCTTATTACACTTTTTTGGACTTGCCTTCCGAACATTGCTCGAAGATTTTTGCGACCGCTGAACAGTTTCACTTGAGTACTTGACTTGAAGGTCTCCGCAGTCATATATGGCACCTTCCACGTTCGATCACACTCATACGTATGTCGCATGAAATCAGACGCGAAGCAGCATCGAATTTGTACTGTCTACTTGTTATGATCAACACCTGAGTTCTCAACAGAGTGCTCATTCAATGCAGAGCTTAGGTCTCCACTCACGCCTACGATCAGTGACAATCTGATGCAGCAGCTACGATAGCCATATCAGGCGTCCTGCGGTTGACGACTAAATACCAGCTTACTCGAAGACCTCACGATGTGATGTCGCCTCCAGCAAGCCATTATCACATTGTAGCATTAAGGCTTGGACAACTCAGCCCAGTCTCAACCCAACATCACGCCTGGCTCGAAGCGCTTCGCATTATCTTCTCGACGCCCACCAAGTTACGAACATGAACACGGATTCTCACCATGTCGGATAAAACAATTTCTGTCCTTTCCCTCTTCATCTCTAGCGCCATCTGCAATCCTTGACCTCGGTACCACGTATGATATCCCCGCACATCTTCGTTACGGCAGAGTCGCTTGGAAATCGTCACAATGTGTCCATGTGCTGGAGGTTTACGGTTTTAAAGTCCTGAGGCCCGGTAATTAACATTTGCGTGTTGCTCGTTTACCATCTTTCCTCTGTTGGTTTTGGACGCTCTTTAGCCTCACACTTTCACGATCGACACAGCACTTGTCTTGTCGCGCCGCGGAAGATCTAACTGTTTTTGTTGATTGAGTCTGAATGGCTGGTACTTGTTGAAACTCGTTACTTTGTCAAAGATTATTAGTTCGTCCAAGGCTATCGAGCGATTCACTAGCCCTCGATGCCGTCGCCACTTTACCTCGCCAGAGAACAACCCATCGAGAAACAACTACTTGAGACGGAACACGATAGTAGACCATCATCGACGAGACACATACAAGATGAAGATCTAAACAAGCAGGGGAACCCACCCGAGCATATAGAAGCACAACCCGATGCATTGTCAATTGTCACAGCAGGCTCTCAGATTCCTCCACCCCCAGATGGAGGTTTACACGCCTGGCTGAAAGTTTTTGGCGGCTTCATGATATACATCAACATCTGGTTCACACTCCATCTCTCTCAGACATTCCTCTAATGTACTAACATGGTACAGGGGATTCACGCTGAGTTACGGCGCCTTCCAAGCGTACTACAAATCTTCCTTCCTCTCCGCCTCCTCACCTTCCGCCATATCTTGGATTGGCACAGTGCAAGGCTGGCTTCTCATCGTCATCGGTGTCTTATCAGGGCCGTTGTTTGACAAAGGCTATTTTCGCTCCATGCTCTTTGCTGGCAACTTTTTAGTTGTGTTTGGTATTATGATGCTGAGCCTGTGTACAAAGTATTGGCAGGTCTTCCTCGCTCAGGGAGTGTGCATGGGTCTCGGAGCTGGACTACTATACATTCCCAGTCTGGCATTGGTAGGTATTTGGTTTGACAAGAAGAGAGCGTTCGCATTGGGCATTGTGATGAGTGGAATTGCAGTGGGTAAGGATTCTTGGAACGAGCCTTATGGAGAGCACATGCAGTTTGCTGACTTCGAGTAGGGGGGGTCGTCTATATCATCATGTTTGACCGTCTTACCAAGTCATCCGGTTTCCCTGTGGCTATCCGTTCTATTGGCTTCGTCGCCCTAGCCGCAGCCCTCCTCTCAATCCCCGCGCTCCTCAGTGGCTCTAAAGTGCTTGCTACTCCCCGCAAAGCTCGCGCGCTCTTCGATGTCAGTGCGTTGAAAGACCGGCTCTTTCTTGTCTTCACCTGCTGTTCTTTTTTTACATTCCTTGGCTATATAATACCCTATTTTTACATACCGACATATGCAAGAGACAGATTGGGTACATCGGATAGTATGGCGCTATATCTCCTGGTGATGAGTGTGGCTGCGAGCTTCTTTGGTCGATTGGCGAGTGGAGTGCTGGCGCAGTACATCGGACCAATAACTACTTGGGCATTGTGCTCATTTGCGAGTGGGATCATGGCATTGTCCTGGATTAGCATTGAAACGGAGAGCACATTCATTGCTTTCAGTATCCTCTGGGGTATGTCCTCGTTCCAGGTCCAAACTACTCGTAGTTCCACGGAATTGAGCTAATAATTACTAGGATTTTGCTCTGCTGCTCTAGTTACAGTTCCCTCTGCGGCCTTTGCAAGTATCACGCCAGATCTCTCGCGCCTGGGAACACGGTTGGGAATGTCCTGGAGCGTGTCGAGTATTGCGACACTCATCGGAGCGCCTATTGCAGGTGCTTTGTTGAAAAAAAAGGAAAACGGGCAGACGAATTTTATTGGAGTGCAGGCTTGGTCAGGAGCCTTCTTGCTAGCGGGTACGGGTTGGCTATGCGTGCTCTGGTACTTGACGATGAGGACGCAGAAGAAGGGCTGGAAGGTGTGAAATCGAACAAAACTGAGAACAATAGCAAACTGGTCTATCAGAAGTGTAATAAGAATTTGGAAAGATTGTAACGCCCGGGATGCAGCCCAACATCGGAATGCTCTAAATAAGGAAACTTCGCAAGATACCCAATGGTTGTTCGATAGCTCTATTGTCACAATATGGTAGCGTAATAGACTCTGTGACTAAATTTGAGTGCTCGTAGCTGGTGCGCCGCACTTGTGTCATACGCTCATACTATGTACGCGTTCATCAAGCTGTTGCTAATCTTTGCGGAGTATTTGTCTTGGAAAGTCCAGATAGGCGAGTCGATGTGTGACTAAGATCTACAGCCTGTACCGTTTTCTAGAACCTCCCCCACACCGAAGAATACCACTATCGGTATCATTCCGGGTACTCGGATTCTTCGCTACATGCAGGTCGCGCTGCTCTCCGGAGCTGGTATCCAAGAAAAAAGTAATAATGACGTGTGACGCCTGGGGAATCTCTCCACCACCGATCGCTGCAGTCACAACATGGATTGCGATCCTTCCCTTTCCCGAGAACTCGGGTCAACAGCAACATCGATCTCAGACACCCTGAATGTATTGCACATCGTAGATAGGCGAGGTTGTTGTACACTATTTGTCACATTCCATTTCGGTTCGCTGGTGATGTTGGTATCACTTGCTCATTGACATTGCAGCCTCGTGCCTCACATAGGGTGTGTTATCGCCAAGTACATTGTCTGGTGCTACATATCGTATACTATATATTGGTTATTCGAATGGGTTGCGAAGACACGTCTAACCGTGTTGGTGAGGCTTTGTTCCATGATTTGCTCATCGGTAGCGCCGAAAATGTCCATGAGATAGCACTTCTCCTAGTAATGGTTGTAAAGGAAACATCGTCTCCTTCCGTCACATAGTGCAATGCGTTTGGATAAGCACTACGGCTACTTTGCTTGTCCGCGTTACGTAGTGAACTCCACTTCCCGAGAAAACGCTGGCAGTTCATGCTCGACGAATATTTCCCTAAATGGTTGCCTCAGTGCCTAAAAGCTGTCTGTCCTGCATGTCTCGTTATTAATTCCCCACGGTGGCGCGGCACAACAGCGCCCGAAGATATCCGTAGAGGCCAGATATCTTGGAGTCTGCCCCCAGACATCTCAACGGTCAGCCAGTCGGTGGCAGGTTGACCCAGGTGACCCGGAGGTGTGGTCCGAAGAAGGACCTGCGCCCGTAAGCTGCATGTGTACGCCCAAATCCGATGTGTCAAAATGACAGCGCCAAGATCCCGTCGAAGCCGTTAGCGCGAGCAATGTCTAATAATAAGTTACGCCCACGAGCGCTCACGTGCGTCGGTGGAGATCTTTCTATAGAGAGTTTTTGGTGTATCGGTATTGAAAAAGGATAAGAGTGTTAAATGCAACGTATCAGAAGCAAGCGGGGCATCGGGAAGACCCTTGTGGCGCATCTACAGCTTGTATCACACTAACAGCGTTGAACGTGGATAATTATCGGAAAAGCAAATACAATTTAATCAATGACTCTATCAAGCACAAGCGACCACATGTCACAAAACTCCTACAGACAAAAAATGTCGAAATTGCTGAAAAGAATACGATGCTTCATTTCTCACGAAAGACGCCGTTACTCCATCCGAACCAACCCCTTGAGCGCCCTATTCAACAAAACGGTAGAGAATCAATCTGACCTCGCAGAACGCCAACATGAAACACTTGACGTATTCAACAATTTCTTCCGAGATGAACAATTACGCTCTGGGAGTTGTGATGCAAAAAGACTCGAGTGTGGTAATATCAGTACTGTCTGAGGTCAGTGATGTCAAAAAAAGAAATATACCGTTACGCTTACCCGGTAAGTATTGGAGCCGACCGCAATCAGGGGTTCGGTCTGTCCAACGACTGTGGCGTCCACATCCATGCGAACATTGAGTGTCTTTCCCATGTGCGTCCTGTAGTTCAGGTGGGTCGCAGCATGTTGTGCCTCTTCCTTCGAAGAAAACTTGGCGGTCGCTACGCCTTTGAACACGCCGGATATAGGATCCCGTTGCATCTTAGGGGCCTCGGTAGGCCTTCCGACACTCTGTAGTAGTGCCATGAGATCTGCCGGTGCCGCCTTGTAGCTCAGACCCGAGATGAAGATTCCGCGGGTTTCGGTCAACATTGCTCCATCCCGTACGTTTACAGGAAATCCACTCGTGTTTACTGAATAAACTGGCTTTTGCGTGTTGACCAGCTGTGTTGGCAACGTATGGACCGGATAGATAGATGGGACAGCGTAGCCTTGGATCGATGGATAGGTCGCATACGAATACATGGGTGGAGCAGACATGTACTGAGGGGTCGAGACAGTATACGATCGACTTCCTCCGGTCAAGTGACTAACTCTTCCGATGTCAATGCCGCATCGGCCCGCAGAGTGACTACCCTCGGCTAGTTCCAAGAAGTGTGAAGAGCAGTTGCATTTCAACAATCGGAACCCCTCGTTGCTACGACAGGTCTCCCAGACATGTATCAGCATGCCTTTTGACCTGAAATATATATCTAACGGGAGTTGTTAGCCTTCAGCTAGAGTTCTTGTAACTATTGTCTTCACATACTGTAAGCTGCATCTGCATCTTCCCTGTCTTTGAGTCTGCACCAGCCTTGCATTTCGCCCCTACGTTGACTTTGGCTTGCATATACGTCGACCCATCCAGGCTGCTCTTTAACTATCTTACGGATATGATCCTTGAACTCTTGCCACCCGGTCAAGTAAGGTGCATACCGTGTCAATCCAGACACAACGAGTAGAAAATCGCCGTCTCCATCTTTCCACGAAGCTGAGAATGACATTCTGGTTCGGCTGGAAGGGTATGAGTTCGGTAGATGGAGGGACAATTGCGCTGAGCAGAGGTCGTGGCTTAGGACGCAAGTGTTGCTTGAGGTAGCTATTTGAGGTAGAAGATGGATTGGACTGCTAATGATATGAAGAAGATGTGATATATCTTCAAGGTTGCTAAGTGAACTCGATTGATTTGAACTTTGTTTGAGAACAAACGCGTAGCACCAAGGTTATACTTATACCTCATTCATGAAGGGCCACCCAGTATACACTAGGGATTCGTTTTCGGACGAGGTGACAGCCAAGAAACCATCTGATGAACGAATGGAAGCATTCACCGCAGCCATACAGCAAGGCGTACACCCACTGGCATCCTGATGTTTCATAACACTAGTCATCTACGAGAGTAGACGAAGGTGCTTTTGCTCCAACTTCCCGGGTGGTACTGTGGTTCCAGATCCTAGCAAAAACATCTCAAGACGCCGTCTAGGGACTGTGATTCGAGTTTCCAAGAGATGCACATTCAAGATTACGACGAGACCCACCCATGGCGGAAGATATCCCACTCTTGGAGTCGGCGACCGGCAAGGTAAAAAGGGCAGTGGAAGCGAAGAATGAGTTCCTTACGTGAAATTCTAGATGTTGTGAATACAGCCCCACAATGTGCGTCATCGTTGGTTGGTCGATGCATGAGACCCATGCTCGAGATCGCGTGGCCGATCTGGTGGCTTACGTCCGGGATATTTGTCGCCAACAAAAAGGAAATCCACCAAACCTGCCTATTACAGGACGAAATTTGATGACTGCTTCATCAAGATTAGTGATCAGTAATTACTCATTTCTTCTTACTTGTCGGAAGCGGAGTCCAGGGCAGCTAATCAACGTCTGAGCCTCATCTCGATTATACCAACAAAGCGTAGATCTAACACGGTCGGAGATAGGCCATATCATCTATCGTTCGTCGACATGCACTGAAGGCTTATCTAAGTAGAATGGTTGATTTGTTATAGTCTCACCACCTAAAATGTCATTCGGGAGGGCCGTCAGCCCACGCCTCGATGGCTGACAGTAGGCGAGCCGTTCGTAAATAAGATTGGTCCGTTTTGCTTGTTGAACGTCAATCAAATTGAGCGAGAGTGAAGCGCAAAGCAACATCTCTTAGGAACTCCAAAGGATCAGCCTTTGATCGAATCCGCCGCTAATGAGATACTCATTGTCGACATCGCTGTCTGGATTGTCATCATGCATCCCTTTTAGGTGACCTGCCCAAAGACACCGCAACTTTGACCCAGGCTCATGAGCTGACAAAGTTGTAACAAGCTTTCCACTATTCGCTTCTATGCCGCGAACCGTCCCGTCGTCCGAGCTCACAAATATGCCGGAGCCATCAGGCCGCCAGACTAGTGTGGGTGTGGAGTATGCCGTCTGTGGCGCAAGAGTAGAGACATTTACTAAGATGGCTGCTTCTTCTCTGTTCTGGATCAAAAGCTCAGCGCGTGCCTGCGAAGCTTGTGTAACCGTTTCAATGTCTTGCACGTCGTCCGTATCGAGTGCCGAGGATTGAGTGGGTGGGAGCAAGAGCTTTACTACGAGCAATTTCATATGTGGCGTTGTCGAAGTAGCCACAGCGACTAAAGTTGGGTCGGTAGGACATATCCGTACGTCCGATGGTGTGAATGCAACCCACGCATTAGAATGCGGAGCGAGATTTTGCTTGCCGAGAAGAGTAAACCCGGGAGAATTATGACTAGGAATCGCGTAATAGTATAAGAACGTGGAGTCTCGCCGAGTCAGTAACAGAACTGGGGTTCCGTGCTCGGGCGATCTGATAAACAAAAGTGTTTCTGGGATGCTCGGGAGTGTAAGTGCCGCGATAGGCTCCCCAAGCTGAGGGGCATCGTCATCGATGTCGAGTTGATACAGCAGCACTCTTGCATCCCACGCTGCGCTGGCTATCATTGTGGCGTTCCCGTTACACCAGCTAGCAAGCTTCACAAGGTATTTGGAATGATCCTTCCGCACGTCCAGGGTTGTATCGCTCGCAGTGTCATGTAAGTGGAGTTTGCCGGACATCGATGCAACGAGCAGATACTGTGATCCTATAGCAACTACATCTAAGATGGGCGAGTCCTGGAAGCAGGAGTAGGAGTGCACTAACTCGAAAGTCGACGACGTAGGTTTCATAAGGTGTAATCGGCGATCGGCCGTGGAGACAGCAACGTACTGTCGAGGACTTGCTGCGGAAGGTAGTAACAAGTCAAACACAGCAATGCTGAGGATGTTCGAACGGCTAGGCAGGGAGCCCAATACTGTTGGTTCTGAAGGTGCTTGAACGGTCCATCGGCGGTCTTTGTCGTCCATGCCGAGTTTTTCAAAATTGAGGCTGAGATCAAATGTGGTCTTCTCATGGAGGATTGTCTCGATCGTAACCGACCCATTTGAAGCGGCGCCTACATCAACAGGGAGACCAGCCTCTGCAATGAAGCTCTTTAACGTCTGGCACAAGTAAGTCGAGGCATCTCCAACAACATGATGACGTATGGTACCTCGGTGTAGCCATGACTTCTCAAAAACTGTGCTATCAGCTCATTTGCAGATGGAAGCATGTCGTCGTGAGTTGAATTTATTTACTAGACTTTCCGCTTGTCTTTGTAGTCAGTGGTATCAGTGTTGGAGTGATGGATGGCTTTTAGTAGATCGTGCCAGTTCGCCTTGTGAGATCTTAGTTAACGCTATCGTACGATCTTCGGCGATAAGCGAGGAGCACGCTTCAGAAAATATTTTGAACTACGCCAACCACATCACACTCGATTGAGCCCCTTGTAACATATCGTAGACGATTCGAAATGGAGGTAGATAGTACCAGTGTATGTAGTCTACGAGCTAGACTGATCTTTGTCAGGTCTCAGGGAAAATTGCGTTACGCAAGTCACGCACCGACAGGCTCGTTGCTTTACAGCAAGAGACACCTGCTCAGCCATACAGCATTGTACATCGACTCAAACTTGCAGAAGCGTACAAATTTCTCGGGTATCCCGATCTCGCAGTTGGCGATGCTTATAAAGCGCTCCTTCTGGTCGATGAGATTGCCGAGGAAGGCGAATATCACGATGAAGTCTTCGAAGCCGCAACATCTGATTTTTTAACCGAAAAGATGACTAACCTAGCTATGAATCCTGGCAAAGAAGAACAGAGAAGTGATGAAGATCAGGTTGTGACTTGGGCGAAAACAAATTGGTCAAAAACTGCGTATGTAAGCTAGAGTACAATTTGATATTGTTTCCTAACAGACCGCTGATTCTTCAAGATACGATGTTCTCGTCGAGTGCCTCATGTTCTGTGGATGCCTTCGCAGCGCTTATGATTACAATACTCGCGCTCAGCAGGCTTTCCCTGACGACACAACTTTCAAGAAACACAATGACACCTTATCGAAGAAGCTGCGCGCCTACTTTGAGGCCAAGTCTGAGAATCCTGATGATGTGGATATTGATGAATATCCGGACAAAGGGGTTGTACGTCGCGAGCAGTATCCATGGAATGAGTTTGAACCAGATCGCTTCTCAGACGAATGCTTGCAATTTCTCAACGATGAGATGGCGAGCATAGCACCAAGTCTGGAAGTAAAAATTGCCGAGCTACCACTCCTCTCGACAAGTTCAACAGATCAATCATCAAGTTCAGAGACTCGGTTCGTGAAACAGCTCGGCGTGTTTGCGAAAGAGGATATCTTGCCAGGACAGCAGATCCTTGACGAGAAGTCTCTCTTGACTGCCGTATCAAGACTTCACGACACATACTGCGATGCCTGTAGTACATTACTACCTAGTGCTCGAGATGTATCCTCGGCAGAGAGCTCCGGAGACTCCGCTATTACCTGTGAAGAGTGCGATGAGGTGTTCTTCTGTAGCACCGACTGTCATGATCTAGCTCAAGACAGCTACCACTCTTCAATTTGTGGAGTTAGTATGGATCAAGGCAAAGTACCGGCTAGTGAAGCCGCCGATTCACTGTACTCTCTTCTCTTGGTGCGCGCGCTAGCTTTAGCTGAGACGCAGGACGTCCATCCGCTAGAGCTCAAGGAAGTACGGTATATCTGGGGTGACTACCACGCCCTCAACCTAGATACTGTATGGCAAGTCGATACCCAAGGCCAACTGAATGACGCATTTGGCTCTGTGCCTCAAACTCTTTCGTTCTCGTTCAACAGCAACGTGTTGTTACCACTGCATATCCTGGAGAAGATGGACGTCAACATATTCACTCAGAGCCACCGCTACGACACCTGGGTCTTCAATACCCTCTACGCCAAGTTCCGAGGTACGGCATCCGCACGGCAGGGTTTGGATGGAAGGCCAGAGATTGGGGCTGTTCATCCGATGTGGTGTCTTGCAAATCATAGCTGCGACCCCAACGTAGCTTGGGAATGGCAGGGAAGCATGAAATTTTGGACACGCGAGAAGTTGGTCGAGTGGGAAGGGCGGGATCCAAGCAAGAAGCCCGGATTGAGGAGAGGCGAAGAAGTCTTCAGCCACTACTGCGATGTTCGCTTGCCCGTCCAAGAACGCAGGGAGTGGGCTGTCGGAGCACTCGGGGGAGATTGTGTCTGTCCCAGGTGTATGTGGGAAGAGGCCCACCGATGACATGGTGGCCCTGCTACGCATTTGGATATCTTGTCAGGCTCTCACAGTTGAAGGTTCCAGCTTACTTCCACTCAATAAAACAATCAGGGTATCATTGCCCTCGAACCATAATGTCCAAACGTAATAGCCTGCGACTATTCCGAGTTCATGTCTTGGCCCAGCAATCTTGCAGAAATCTTCCAACAACCATGCAACAGTACCATATCCACTTCTATTTGCTTATGCGAGCCTCACGATGGACATGGTGTTTCGAAAGCCCATGTAACAGCCAAGGTAGTACCAGAACTTCGGTAAACATTACGCCACTATTTCCTTTTTCCCAGCTGCGTAACCTCACCCAAGTAAAGGAGGGAAGGCACATTTACGACCTCGTGCACATGAAACACCGACCCAGAGTTTCGTGAGCAAATGAACACAACCCCCGAATACGAGGGAGCGGAGCAAACACCACATGCCATCGCCCTCGCCGACAGTAAAATAGATATGTAACAGTGCCATTCAATAGCACTCCAACACACACACACACACCCGTATACGCCACACCCACCACCACACTCCGTTCTAGACCCCGCAGCCTCGCCAAACCACGCCCTCCACACCTAAAAAAAGACCAGCATGTCAAGTGGGGGCCGATCCTGCCGTCACGGTTGATACCGCGTGGCATGTGGGGTTATGCTGCAGCGCTCTCGTCCGGTGAGTGCCAATATTTGCTTTTTTGAGTGTCCAGCTCCGCGCGGACGGATGGATGGCTGGATGGCTGGATCTGGTGGGTCAGCCGCTCCACGTGGGTATGGACGGTCGTACAAGGCGTTTGGGGTTTCGAGGAGCGAGGATTCCCAGTACTTGCATTTCTTGTTGAGATTGGGGTGAGTGGAGCGGATGTGTGTGGTAGGTATTGCCTGGTCAGAGTCGCTATCTATCCACTTACCTAACGTTTTTCGTCGTTGCGAAAATAAGAGACTGGGTGTTTTGCCGCATGTGTAACTGTCTTCTCTCTTGTTGCACTGACTGGCTTCGGATGAGATTGTCTGGTCTCCGCAGAAGGTACACTGGAGTATACTTTTACAAGAACAACACGTCTAAGCGGCGTAATAACTCCCGCTTAATCACAAACATACAACAAGGCAAAGAGTGGATAACGAGTAGATTAGTCTATACACAAAACCAGCGACGAGACACGATCAAGCAAGCAGCAGAAAACCCCTACGCCAAAGTTGCCTGCCCACTCCCCACGCGATTCAGATCCAGAACATGTGCTCAAGCCCAGGAAATCTTCTTTCAAGAACGTGTCTCCTCCTTCAAGACAAAGGCTCGAGGGTCCCCAAACAGAGAATCTCAGACCCTATCCTCCGCAAAATCCAGAACCTCACAGTCGTCCTCGAAGAAGCCCTCTTCGCCCTCATCTCTCCTCACACGCCTCCGTCGTGTGGTGACAACAACCTGCTCCACCTCCTCCTCTCCGTCCCGTAGCACGAGTTTGTTCTCCACCCTCGCTGCAACGCCTGTCACGAGATCGTCTTCCTCGTCAAAGACGCGCGTAGTCGGCGACGAGATACGCAGCGCCTCAACATCCTCACCGAAAAGCCACGGCGAGGCATCATTGTCATGGTGCAAATTTGATGTCAACCCTGGAATTACCTGATGGTATTCGCTGCTACTGCCTTGAACCTCGGGCGCCGGGCGTGAAAACACAAACCTCGTCACACGTCGATCGGTGTGGAAAGGTTGGTAGGCCGGGTTCGTTTCGATCTCAGAGAAGCTGAGGGGTGCTGGGGATGGTTCCGTGGTTTTACGAGCAGGTAGCGACCGAGGAAGCCATTCCCCGTAGAATTCTTGAGTAGGCTCGGGGTCACCTGAGAGAGGGAACAGCTGTTCAGCAACAGACGGAGGAAGCGCTGAATCGCAGATGGGGGCGAGGCCAAACTCAGCCACCTTTTTCTTAGAGATGGAGGTTGCACTGGCTGAGTTTCCTTTGCCAGATGCTGGACGCACTTGTACGCGCCATATTTGCAATATGCCACCAGACACCAATCCAACCGAGCCGCGCCCCTTGCCTGTGAGCCAGCGTACGCTGTAGGGCTTCACGCCACTGGGTGATGTAGGGAGTGTGAGTTTGTTGTCGCCAGCATGTCGGATGTTATTGATCGATTTACCAACTCCAGCAGCCACAGCCTTGCCCGATTTGGCACCAGCAGCGGGCGTCATGCCAAAACTGCCCAGACTGAAACGAGGTCCACTGCTAGTGTTCCGAGCGCGTACAGCATCGAGAAACGGTTTGGCAGAACCATTGATCGCCTGCATTGCGGAGTTGACAACACCATCACGACCTGCCGTAGTCGCGTCTTCCTTTGCCTTGGGTGGTGGTGATGCCTGACGTATCCGTCGAGGAGGTGGCCATTGGAATGCTGATGCTGGCATCATGAACATGTGTACGGTTCCCTTGTCAGTTATGACAGCCACCTTGTCGGTTACTGGCGCAGACCAAACAATGTCGATGACATTTGTAACTGTCATACGAGCGAACCTCGCCACCTGTCGAACGTGTGGGCCGATAGGCTGTTCTCTAGAAGTCCTGCGAGCTCGTCGGAAGTTCATGCGCTTGAGGTCCCACACATCTTGGAAGTCACCCTTCTTGCTAACAGTCATAATCATCAAGCCGCTCGGAGAGAATGACAAGAAGCTGCATCCCAGAGCGGCAGGCACAGTAGCAATGGGTTGGAGTGCGTTCTTGTTCCTCGTCTCTTCCGAATCGAGCATCTTCTGCAGATCATGGATCGCAATTACAGTCGCTTCCTGCCTGGGCTGCGTTTGGTTATGTCCATGCGTAGGTGGGAAGTACTGCTGCATGTGGTCTTGACCATATGTGACGTTGTTTCCGTTAACCTGAGAGCCCTTGTTCATGTAACTCTTGAAAGCCTGAATACCTCTCTTAGTAGCCCAGCGTGCACTCTCGATCGCGACCTGGGTTCCTTCCCTAGTGATGCGGTCGATCAAACCAGCTGCCTCAGGGGCATCCACGGCACAGTTCGGTGACGGCTGAGGTGGGACACTATGGTGTGCAATGCCAGGAGGACGCTCATAGTAAGGCGAGGTCAACGCGGTACCATTCACTGGGTATAGAGAGCTAGATCCGGGCGGTGTGACAGCAAGCCAGCGATCGGATAGTGAGAAGACCGGAGCCCCATACTTTTCAGGAGGAACGTCCTCTTGGCTACCGTCAGCAGCGCTTGAAGCACTTGACTGCATATTTCGCTCGCGGATCTGAACAGAAGTCCAGACTTTGCCGACACATCGAAATCGTTCTGTATACTCTGCATGCTCTGCTACATATGGAGCAAAGACGAACACCTCCCCGCTTGTACCTGATGCAACTACTACAAACTTTCCTTTGGCGTCGATGACAAACTCGCCCGCTGGAGGTGGTGGCTGGAAGAGAGGGCTGTCGACAGCACTGGTGAGAGGTATCAACGGACTCTTGTACAGAACGGCCACCTTCCTCTTCTCCTTGAGAGAATAGACTTCAACGGTCGTCTGATAATCACTCACTTGGGTTGCGGAGTCGTTCCCGTGGATGGAAGATGGTCTACTTGGGGAGTCAGAGGCGGAGTCATCGACGACCGACGAAGAACCACTCCCGCTACTGCTTCTGCTGTCCTTGGTGACAGGTCCGTGGAGTATGAGTGCAATGAGTGGTCTGGATGCAGCAAATGGATCCGTTCTGGAGGCCCAAGGGAGGATCTTGGCACTTATTACAGCACCTCTGAGACCCTCTAAGCGGCCCACAATGTCCAGCTTACCCTGCTCGACTCGGAAGACGTCCAGACCGCCCTGACAACCGACGAGCAGCACGTTCTCGGAGGGCTGAGCAGCTTCGTCCCCTGCCATGGCCAAAGTATCAAAGCCACAGTAGTAGCCTCCTTCACCTGGCTGCATGCCATCCACAGCAGTGTCCAAGCCCAGGTCGAGATTGGGCAGGCCGTAGTAGTGGGGTTGCAGGTGGTGTGGCAGGGGTGGGTTTGCGGGGAACTGCTGTGACGGTGGACGGGCGCCGGACTGTGAGTACATGGAGGCCCTTCGATCTCTGCCAGGCGATTCGCGCGGAGAGATGTGCATGCGCCCGCCGAAGCTAGTGTTCTGGTTGGGGTGGCTCAGGGGCCTCATGTGGGACGCTGGCGGCGAGTTGGACATGGACGGCTGGGCGTAGAGGCCGTCTCGGGCGCCGGGCGAGTTGTGGAAGGTGGGCGGGGAGCCAGCGATGACGATGCCGCCGTTGGCTGGCGAGGCTTGGTTGGCAAAGAACGGTAGCGACTTGGTCCACTCAGCCGTGGTTCTGGTGGCGCCAAGGGCCGAGAGCAGCGGAGACGTGGTTGCATTGTAGCTCGGCGGGCCCGGCGGCGAGGTCGAGGAGAAGGGCCTGGTCGCGGGCGAGTTTGTTCTGGCGGAGTCAGTCAGCCAGTCGGTCAAGCGCCCGTCAGCAACACCACGCACATGTCTCTGGGGTAGATGCGCGTAACCCGCTCCCCCAGCCTATCTCGTCTTCCCAGCTCATATCTCGACGTGTGGCGCCCGCGCGGCTGGGGCGTGTCGAAGGCCTTTGTGCGGTTGCGCTGCTGCTGGTGGAGAGACGTCAGGTTCGAGACGGGCTTGGTGTGCTCAGCGACGGGGTCGGGCGATGGGCTCATTCAAGATGCTGGGACGCGTTGGGGGCACGGCTGTCAGAGCGCTGGGCTCTGCTGGGCTGGTTCTGGTGCTGGTGCTGGTGCTGGCGCTGGGTCTGGCTCGGTCGTTCGTGGTGAACGAGGGGGCGCGGCGGTGCGAGTGGCAGCGGCAGTGGGTAGAGGCGGGTGCGCGGCGGGTGAGTCGGGATGCTGAGATTAGACCAGGGGGTGCGTCATGTGCGTCGTGACTGCAGCTCGTGGACAGCGTCTGTCCTGTGCCAGACAAGTGCACCGCCAGCCAATAAACGCCAGCAACGGTGCCTTGTGCCTGTTGGGCGTGTTATCTGCCCTGCTTGCTACCGACTACCTATCGACTCGGCTACGTGGGGGAGCGCGTGCTAGTCACCGATGCCGATGCCGAGGAACTTCACGCTGCACAATAGTTATGTCAGGAGCTCTGCTCAGCAGCTAATACAGACGAGAGTGAAGACCACGGCCAGCCTCGAGCAGGCTTCAGACCATCTACATATACAAGACAGGCAAAGTGTTGAGATGATATGCAGTAGCTCTGTCAACAAGGTTGGGGTACCAGCTTCCAAGTGAGGGGCAGAACGCGGGAGCTCTCATGCAGGGTGCATCGATGCCCATCATACACCCACCGCGGACCTCCGAGCCGACATCGCCGTCCCTCCGCGCTTTTCTCTCGACACCTTCTCAACCCGTTTGACTGATTCTAACCTGAACTCGTGTATTGTGCAGTCAAAGAATTGGTCGAGAACCTCTGGCGCCCTGAAGATGGCTGTAAAGGGAAGTAGTAAAATAAGGCAGCCAGCCGGCTGACTGTATCGGACGGCATCGCTGCCCATACATAATACCTCTGTAGAGCCTCTCAAGTTTCTGATCTCAAAGCATCTCTCACCGTTCATACTCGTCTGAACAATTTCCTACACTCCCAAAATGTACACAGTCTTCATGTTCGTTGTCCGCAAGCCCGGCACAACCATCTCACAATTCAAACACCACTACGAAACCAAGCACCTCCCACTCGTCCTCGAAATCCTTGGCGACGTCATGCCTGTTCGTCACTCACGTCACTATCTTTCACGAGCTGGAGACACCGACGATGCCCCACCTCTCGTCATCCTTGGCAACCCAGACGCAGTCGACTACGACTGTATCACTTTAATCGAGCTAGAGGACGAGGCCCATTTCCAGCACTTCAACGAGGCGTTTGCGAACAGCCCGCGGCGTCAGGAGCTCGAGGCTGACCAGGATGAGTTTACGGATAGGGCCAAGCTTCGCCTTGTGGGCGTGGAGAGTGTGAGCGTGACGGCACGGTAGATGAGGTGGCCTTGATAGTCGCACAATCTGGCTAGTGTTAGTAATGTGGATCTGTTAATAGACATGAGTGTAACTTGAGGGGTTCGCATGTCTGGTAACACAATATCTCTCGGCGTATACCTTCCTGGAACAGACAAGCGACAAGACAAACTGCCTGCCCCATTGACAGTTGCCTATTCGCAGAAGCTTTGTACAACAAACGCCTTTCTACTGTTCCAACGCAGAACATAATCACAACCAGCACTGGTCTCTCGGATAGTTGAAATATCAGGAACTAAGGTGCAGCGAACTCTTGCAACAACTTTACAACTACATCCCAGACTAGTGTAAGAGTCTTGTACCTAAATTCCCATCAGTATACGCCTGACGTGCACCTTTGTCAAGTTTATCAGTCTAGTTTTGAAGCTTGTAGGAGCTACAAAGACCACAGCTTACTTCCCGTTTTTACACTTGACCGAGAGCTGATGTCGCACATGGCTCCGTCCCATGTTCACGGTTTCCGTCCCATGTGGCTTTCATGACCAGAGCTACACAAGCGCGTTGCCTGCATCATGCAACCCAAGACCTGCCTAATCGAGTATATTGACAAGCCAAACCGTCGATTGCGGCGAACGACGTTCGTCCCGCCTTTGACTAACGTCGTTGTCTCAAGACCGTTACATCATCGTCCTTCCACAGCCACACTTCAGCCTGCACGTTACATTCGCCTTACTTGGGCGTGACAGCGTGAATGACAACATATACTTCAAACATGTACTTTTCTACCTCATCCATCGATTCGACCAATACTTCGATGTACAACGATTTCAGTATTGGAATTCCACCGTAAAGACTGCCATGGATGATGCCCTTCCCTCATACGAAAGCGCGATCCAGCGCGATCCATGGGTCTTCATAGCTCCATATCTCTCTGCGGAAGCCTTGTGCGCTGCAGCGTTGGTCTGTCGGAAATGGCACGCAATATTCACACCGCAGCTCTGGGGCAATCCATCGTCGCATTTCAGACTACAGAACGATACTGTATATAGTGTGTCACCAACATCTCAACATGCTTAGACGTTTTGAGAGTACTGATGTCTGATAGTTGCCCTCACACACTTCATGCGCACATTACCTCACGCACGACTATTCGTGCGTGAGTTCACTCACACTCTCCATTTCCCGCCAACCCATGCGGAAACCTACGGCGGCCCGCATGCCGACTGGCTACGCGATTGTCATGAACGTCTGCCAAACCTGCAGTGTCTGATTGTCAACGGCCTCCCGTTCTTTGACCACGCGTCGCTACTCACTCTAAAACACCCGAGTCTACCAGATCGGTTTCCCACATTCCCAACCTTTGCTCTACGGTTACTGGATGCATCGGGGTGTGTGAATGCAACAACGACTGGTCTTGCGGAAGCACTATGTCATTTCCCTGAACTGGTTTCTCTGGATCTTTCACGCACATTGGGGGCGAGGGGTGAAGCGGTTCTGCGAGTGTTGGGAGGTTTGAGGAAGTTGCGGGTCTTGAATGTCAGAAGATTGGGGTTGAGGGATGGGGAGTTTGAAGTTCTTGCGCGTGCAATAGGGAAAAGAGTTAGAAGTCTAGACGTGAGTGAGAATCAGCTCACGGACGCCAGTATAAGGCTGCTTCTGGACCACTGCGTAGAAGTGGAAGAGATGGATGCTGGATCAGGTTTGTCTCCAGGGCTTACACCGTTCCATGAACACAATCATGCTAGTCGGAGTACGGAGGCGTTCGAATCCGAAGGTCTGGTCGGTCATATTCGTCGCAAGCTCACGGGAGGGTTTCTGGATAGTCTTGTTGTCGAGGAGGTGATGGGTATTGGTGTAACTCATCTCTACCTTTCTGGTAACACCATGACCGTCAAGGGCATTTCGGAGTTGCTGAGATCAGGACGTTTACATGTTCTGGACGTTGGTGTGCTTTCTGATATACCGGAAATATCTCATCGCCTTGGCCTTTCTGGAGTGACTGATTTAACACCAATTTTATCAGAGTGTGCGTCTGCGCAGTTGAGATACCTCAGAATCAACTACAGAGTTGTTACCGAAGACACTCCATTTGTAGAGTCCAAGAGAAACCCGGAATTGCATGTCTCTTCAACAGTACAAGAATCCGATTCTTCGAAAGGAGCACTCAAGACACAACCTGCTACTACAATACCACACCACAATTCAACACACTACGTGGAAGACCGCAGAGCTCGTCTCGACCTGCGTCAGTCGCAAGAACCCCGTCTACACCCAGGCATGCTTCCCAAAGTCCAAACTCTCGTGTTAACCGCCATACCCACATCGACAACCGACAAGAAGACCATCGACCGCCTGATCCAATACATCCAAGACGCCGCCGCCGAAGCCTCAACAGCCCGCCAGCAAGCAAAGCACACCTACGCGCTTCCCCCAGGCCGTGAGCGCACAGTCGCCGAACGAGAACACGCACAAAGCATCTTCGCCCTCCGCCGCATAGTCCTCGAAATCGCACCGCCACAAGCAACAGCCATGATTCCAAACGGCGCAAGAGGAGGACATGCTATGCGATCAGCCACAGAAGATGCAGATTCAGAAGCGTTCTGGGAAGCTTCTGCACGCGACTTTTCTTTCTTCGCGGACGAGCAAGAACCCTCGATAGATCTTGTGCAGGCTTCGAAAGTCCCTGCTCAGCCACAGAAAGAGATCCCTTCTTTCGACGTCGTTGCTGAGATTGGCAGGTTTAGACGCGAGAGGAAAGCTGCACATGATGCGCTTGTAAAGGCAGAAGCGACCAGTGCGGAGATCGAGGGGTATTGGCCCGGTTATATCACCGTCGTGAGGAAGACGCTAGATGGCGATGCAGGGGCGGCTGATCACCGTGGGAATCGGTATGAGGAGGGGTGGTACTACCAGTGAGACGTGTAGCGTTGGTCATCGCAGCGAAATATATCGTGGACGGGGTACGCTAGTTGTGTGATTTTGCAAAGTCTGGCGGACCGAGCCGAGTTACTGGTGCGTGAGAAGTGTGGTAGCCAGTCACTTCTTGCGTACACGCAATCACAAGATTTGTCCCATACACCCGGCTTGGTAGGCTATCTTTTTTGACGACACTTCTTTGGATCGTGATATTTTTTTGGTTTGCATGTTTGGAACTCCTCATGATTAGGTTCCCAACTAGAGAAATCCTGACCACGGTGGAATTGTATTTAACACAAATACTTTTTTCTCAAAAATTAAACTCAACGATTGTCACCTCCCTCTCATATTGTCCAACCCATTTTCTGCTTCTCTTCTCCAGCTCACCCACCCACCATGGGTCAATCCTCGAGTCGCTCCAAACGCCCACCGCCATCACCACGCCCCGATGCAAACGCGCAAACGCCCCCGCCCCAGAGACCCACTCCCTGGTACAAGAAGTACCGCACCCCCTACACCCGGGAGCCAGAATCATCCCGCCATCACCCCAAGGAACAATGCCAAATCTGCACACTCACATGCACGCTGCCCATCCGCCCCCCAACACAGCACTGCACTCACGAAGCCAACGCGTGCAGCACCTGTGTGCAGACTTGGCTCCGGGTCTGTCTCGAGACGCGCGGATGGACCGCGATGACGTGTGTGACGTGTGCGGCGGACATGAACGAGGAGGAAGTGCTTGTGTTTGCCGAGGAAGAAGTGTTTCGCTTGTAAGTCCCCTACTCAGTGAAGTATCGAAAGGATATATGTACCCAGATATGAAGACGCAGCGTTGACTGTGCACAGGTACCTACGACTTCGCCGCAGAGCTGTTTTGGAAGCCATACCGGGCTTCATGTGGTGTGTTGGGCCCGAGTGCGAGGCCGGCCAGGTCCATGGACGGGGGCGCAAGTTCAAGTGTCGTAGCTGTGAGGGTAGATATTGTATTGCGTGTAGGAAGGTATGGCATGGGAGGGAGAGTTGCATCGAGTTTGCGTTGCGGTTTGTTCCATTCCGGTATTACTTTTAGTCGTTTCGAGCTGTTGCTAACAGGTGGGACAGGATTGGGAGAGCAGAACGAGCTAGCGAGAAGACGATTCGTGAGACGACGAAGAAGTGTCCTGGCTGCGGGATTAGGATTGAGAAGGGCCCGGGGTGTGACCATATAACTTGTGAGTAGTGTCCTTGGCTTCGTTTGGGGCTTTTGGGGCTACGTAGAAGGGCTTAGAAAGGTGCTGATGCGTTTGTAGGTACGAAGTGTAGGTATGGGTTCTGCTGGCAGTGTCTCGGACCATATTCGACATCCGGTATCTGGCATGCGACGGGTTGTGCCCATAAGCCTGAGACCATCGAAAACCTCTATCTGGGGTTTTTGTGATCGATAGCGTTGTTGGTAGACAGCGGTCGTAACGTAGTTGGCCTTGGGGTAAGAACATATCTGCATGTCCTACTGAATTTAGCTTGGGACAGCATGGGGAAAGGGAAACGGAGTTTGGGTGGGTTTACGAAATTACACAACCGCCGCACAAGTCAACATGGCAGCCACCGTAGAAATTAGCATAGTATACATGAACCATAGAGCGCATAAGTTACCCCTTCCTTTTTCTTTATTTCAACCTGCAATCTCTCAGCGTCCCCAGCGATTGTGCGCACTGGCACATGGTCCAACTTTTTTGGCGTCCTGAAGAACATATCCGCAAGCGAGAGCACTTGGTTCTTAGAGAGACATGGCGTAAGGTGGTACATTATTGTCAAAACAGGATTCGCAAGTAGTAAGAAACCCCTGGCTTATTTCAATCGACGTGTTGTTTCTTACCAGACTCTTCTCTAAGTAGTGCAGACCCAGAAAGTATGCTTTGAAGGAGAAGACAAGTACGTGCTAGCTTTTAGACACGGAGACTTTCTGAAGAGATTGGCGGCTTCTGTACATGACGTGCTTGATGACAAGGGCGTGTGTGAGGTGGTCGTGTTAGCATGTGTGTAAGCTGGTACGATTGTTTCTAGACTTGGGTAAACCGCCGACGCAAGAAAGGCGAGAATAGTCTCAGAAAGGTCGCCCAGTCATATATCCATGTTGTCCTGATGACGATACAGGTAAGGAGGGTGGGGGTCGACGGCTATACATGACGTTCAGAAAGGAATAGTACCCAGGCTCTGCGAGCAGTGAGCAACGATACCAAGACAAAGTGGCGCCCAGGCTGGATTGGTGCAAATCAAGGCGACGCTCCGGCAGGCGATGACAGGAAACGGCATCGTATGCAGGAACGAGTCGATTAGTGGGGAAGCCTAAGGCTCCGCAGACCGCCGTTCGTCGACACGGCCCTAAACATGTCATCGTGTTTCGCGACGCCTGCAACGATCTGTGCGGTCAGCCAATCAGACTAGCTGCTGGTGCTGTACTGTTCGGGTAGTGGGTTGGGGTATGTGACGAAATGCTCGACGGTTGGTGTGGTGAAGCAAGGGGAGAGCAGCATGGCATGGGAAGTGAACATGTGACGTGGACGACAGACGGACAGCAGCCACTCCCCAAGCTCAGGCGCGCCCGGCCCTCCCGAGCACGTCCAATGCAGCATTCGCCCGCACGACGCACGACTGCAAAAGATCTGCTGCGTTTGGTGTGGAGTGGCGGGAAAGGCCGAGCTGGTGGGCGCCGCTAGTCCTCTCCGGGCAGGCGAGGCTGAGACGTGCACGACCTTCACGACCGCTCTCGTGTGGCCGCTCTCGCGCAATCGCCCTCTGCCTGCCCTCCGCCCGCCCTGCTACCGATGAAAGCACCGCTACTCGCTTGCCTGGTCGACTCGCGCTCGCGGCATCCTCGACTGCCAGACTGTGCTAGTGCTGGCGCGTCAGCTCGCGACGACTAGCGACCCTCACCCTTGCTGGCCTTTGACACATTCCTCGACCGTTGCCGTCCCCATGGCGCCCGTCCCCGACACTCCCAGAACGCGCGTGCGAAGCTCTGCCCGGCCCCCGAGACGCCACATCTCCGACTCGGCGCCGCCCAAGAAGAAGCTGAAGTACATCCCCGGCGGCCCAGGCGGCGGGGGCCGATACGTCGACGACGCGGGCATCGAGACGCCTGTAGGCGGCACTGGACCGGGCGGCTACGCATACACAGGGCCCCGCGGCCGCATTGGACGGCTCAACGCCGAACGACAGGGCCTGCCCGTGCCCGCGCCCTCGCCCTCCTTCTCGCGACCGCGACGCGAAGCGAGGCCGTCAGCTGGACCGCGATCCAGCTCAGCCGCCGCAGTGGCCGCCGCCGTCGCCCAGAACGATGGGTACAAGCCGCGCGAGGAGCGCAGCTGGGACGAGTTCCACCCCGACCTCGACATCGACGTCGAGTTCCCCGTCTACAGCGCCGAGCAGATCGACGGCACCAACCCGCACGACACTGCCCCTGACACTCTGCTGAACGGCGCGTCTACCGGCCAGTATGCCGTCGACACAGGCCTGTCTGCCGTGCTGGACGGCCTCCGCGCGCAGCAGATGGAGAATGCAGAGCAAGACATGATCAACGCAGGTCCGCTAAACGGCCTGGACGCGCTTGTCACCCCCAAACGACGTCCCGGGCGTCCGCCCCGAAACAAAGACTCGATGCTTGCGGGACTCGGATCGCCGCCCCGTCCACGGATCAATCCCCTTCCGACTATGAACCCGAGGGAGAAGCTGAACCTGCCCAAGCCCTCTGTGCGCCAAGTCGATACTTTCAGGGCACACGAGCAGAGCGAGGGCGTCAAGGTCAACTATGTCGATCGAACCATGGCGAGCATCGGCTACCAGGAGAGTGAGATATTTGCAAGGCCTGAGAACAACCTGATACGCCTGCCTGAAGGCTCCATCGAAGAAGATCTGGACCTGACCCTGCAGACCGAGATCGACAATTCCACCGTTACAGTCACCGTGGGCCGCGTGGAATACGATATGGACGAGCAAGACGACAGCTGGCTGGATGCCCTCAACCTACAACGAAAGGAAGAGGGCGTGGAAGCCATTAAGCCTGCAATATTTGAGGTCACCATCACGCAAATCGAAAAGGAATGGCATGCTCTGGAGAAACGTATGTCTTATCCTAGTATCTCTCCTACCATTCCAGACACAAAGCTGACCAGTGTAAAGGCATCCCCAAGCCGAACCCAAAGCCTCCTCAGACGCATCGTCCACGGTCAAGTAGTGCAGCCGCAGTCAACGGCGAGCCTGCTCCAGGTGAAGAACAAGACACAAAATGCGCCATCTGCGACGACGGCGACTGCGAGAATACCAACGCTATAGTGTTTTGCGATGGTTGTGATCTTGCAGTGCATCAAGAATGCTACGGTGTTCCATTTATCCCAGAAGGGCAATGGCTCTGCAGACGATGCCAGCTAGTGGGGCGCGGCACCCCTGCAAGTGAGCTTCCGGTATGTTTCGCTCTTCTTCCGCCATGCCGGTTCCTTGCTAACCGCCGTAGGGCTGCATATTCTGTCCAAACGTGGATGGTGCTTTCAAACAAACGACTGCCATGAAGTGGGCTCATTTGCTGTGCGCCATGTGGATTCCCGAAGTTTCACTCGGTAACGTGACTTTCCAAGAGCCAGTGCAGGACGTCGAGAAAGTGCCCAAAACACGCTGGAAACTGGTAAGCAACTGACCTTTCCATCATCTGAACTCATGCTAACAGTGCCGACAGTCATGTTACATATGCAAGCAGAAGATGGGCGCGTGTATTCAATGCGGGCACAAGTCGTGTTTTGAAGCATTTCACGTCACTTGTGCTCGCAGAGCGAGGCTGTGTTTACGGATGAAGTCGTCGCAAGCGGCAAACCCCCAAGATTCTACCGTGCTCAAGGCCTATTGCGACAGGCACACTCCTTCCGACTGGAGGCGAGAGAACGACGTCGAAGGGGCGGTTGCTGACGCAAAGACCTACTTCCGGCACACATTGCGCAATGTCCGATGGCCTGACAGCCAGGCATTTGCTTTATCAATCGGCTCGTCCAATGCCATGCATTCGATCGAGGGAGTGGACGAGGACGATACCCCCGGCAGCAACAAGCGCAAGCGCGGGCAGCCTGCGAAATCCTGGCGATTACCATCTGGAGCACCCGTCGTACCGCAGGCTGTCTACCACAACGTTGAGAACTCACTCATCAAGTTCAACGTTCGTAAACGAAAGGAGTTTGTGCAAGAAGCTTGCAAGTACTGGACACTGAAACGAGAAGCACGTCGCGGTGCTGCTCTGCTGAAGCGTCTACAGCTGCAGATGGAAGCGTTCTCGTCTATGGAAATCACCCGCCGTAACTTTGCGGGTATGGGGGCTGCCGGTCGACCTCGGTTACAGCGACGCATTGAATTTGCAGAACGCCTGGAAGAAGACATGGAACAAATTCGTGTTCTCTGCGAAAAGGTCAAGCAGCGAGAGGAGGAGAAGCTCAAAGATGCCTTGATTCTGAAAGAGATCATCGACTGCATCTACTTTCCCATTCCGCGCCTCCTCGAGCCCATTCTTCAGAAAGTGGCAGGGTGTGTACAATCCTCGCAATCTTCTATACCCGAGCTAACTAGGTATTCAGATTTGACAATCGCGGCGTTTTCACCGAAAGCCTTAGCGGTCTACAAGCAAAACTTGATGAGAGGTTTTATTCGTCTGTACAAGCCTTTAACGTGGACCTGGCAGCAGTGCTAAGTGGCATCATTGACTTCACTGCTCCTGTCACTACAATTGGAGATGCTGATCAACAGATGAACCAAGTAGCTCATAGCACATTGACATCCGAGCAAAAAGAGCAGAAGAAGTTAGTCAGGCGCATCACCAAAGGCGTGCAACCACTCTTTGAGGAGGCTATGCGCAAGGAAGCAGAACTGGCCGGCAGACCATACGAGAAATTGCCAGATCTCGAGACCCTTCTCAACCAGAAACTCCTACGCAGGCCGAGCGCACTTTCTGCCGACGAAGGCATACGACAGACGACCGAATCCGATCAACCTGAGAATGATTTGACTGAGGAGCAGACGCCGAGCAAAGAAACTGAGCATGCGTTTCATAGGGCTGAGGAAATGCAACTTGCACCTACTCCGGATGACAATCCAGCTGATCCCCACCAAAGCGCGCATGACGAAGCGGCGGATGAAGCTGCTATCGCGGCTCAGCTTGGGCAAGACACATCACGCGTTCCTAACGGAGAGACTCGCGGTGATGCAATGGACATGGACCGAGAAGAGAACAACGCTCGTACGGAACCTCTCACACCTCCTAGGTCTGAGAAGAATCTGCTGAACCCTCTGGGCAACGGCGGCATACCTTGGTATCTCGAAGCGTTTGACATCCATGGCACGACCGTTCACGAGGAGCGGTACACTGGACGCGAAGTGCTCAGGGATATGAGTGAGGAGCTTAGTGAGCTAGATGACGATATTCTCGACGGACTTGCAGAGTCGGATCCTGTTCGACCGACAGATGCTCCGGACGCCACGTCAGCGGATGTTCAAAAGGCAGCTGCCCGGAGGAGGCAGAGGAGGCGCGGCTATAGATGATTTTTGCTTGTTTTTGTTGGTCTTTTTTTTTATACATGCGCGTTGTGTGTCTTGTTTTGTATCGTTTGGGCATTTGTACCATATCCCTTCTTATGGGCCAGGAGAGGCACGGCGTTCGCGGCGTTTGGGTTTCTCTTACCTTTGGGTGACGTAGGAATGCACCGCTTGCACGTATGGTAATGACAATGGGGTTCTTGTAGAGCATTTCAATACGGAGTAATGGGTTGGGCAGCTGATGGGGTCAAGGGTGGTGGGAGTAGGCTAATGAGGTGTCTTGTCTGTAAAGGCGTACGGTCAATCTGAGAACTGCCACGTAAACTTTCGTATGGACGACCAGTGAGGCTTTGTTCGACGAATGGTATTACGCAGAGAAGTGCAGGGCAACGCCTGATTGATGACGCTCGTCCAGAGAGACAGGAGACAGGGCGATCAGGGCGCTGGATGTTGGTAGTTGCGCAGTTGCCCCAGTACCGAGCTGCCTTACTTTGTTGCAGCGCGCCTACCCTTGTAGCTGCGGCCCCTTTCTTCCGGCTCCTCTGCAGGCCTTCATAAATACCCAGCCTGCTCTCTACCTTCACCGTATCCACTCCCTTGTCCAAGTGCTCCGTAGGTGGTCATAGCGCGACGCTTACTGCATAAAGATACAGGCGCGGCTCCGTCGATCAGCCCTGCTTCCAAACAACAACTTTTTTACCTCACTCCAACTAACCAACCATCAACTCCACATCCCAACACAACAGCACGCAATGGAGTACGAAAACGACCAGCGCACCTACGACGGTTTGTCTCTCTGGCCCTGTGGCACGGGATTATCTGCTGACCGTTGACGCGTAGACGAGCCTCGTGGCTATGAGCGCGATCGCAGCAGGTCGCCGCGCGGTGAGCGTCGCGATGTCGACAACTCGCGCGCCCGCAGCGCCTCTCCCAATGACCGTGACAGCCGGTATGTGTCCACGTGCTCTGCAATGACGGAAGCCCAGCTAACACGCAGCACAGGGGCCCGCCACCGCAGTCGCGCGAGACGGACGAGAGCCGCAACGAGGGCTCCAACCTGTTCGTCACGGGCATCCACCCCAGCCTGAGCGAGGAGGAGGTCACGCGTCTCTTTGAGAAGTACGGCGAGGTCGAGCAGTGCAACATCATGCGCGACCCTCACACCAAGGAGTCTCGCGGCTTTGGATTCGTCAAGATGGTCACCTCGGACCAAGCTGACGCTGCCAAGGAGGGCCTCCAAGGTGAAGTGCACCAGGGCAGGACGCTGAGCATCGAGAAGGCACGCCGTGCGCGTCCGCGCACTCCTACTCCGGGCAAGTACTATGGCCCACCCAAGCGCGGTAAGTTCTTTATCCACCCGAAACGTTTCTCAATACTAACGCCATCGCAGAGTTCAACGGAGGAGGACGTGGTCGCGGTGGCCCTCGCTACGGTGACCGCTACGGCTCTGATGATCGCCGTGGTGGCGGCGGCTATGGACGTCGCGATGACTATGGCTCTCGCAGCTCTCGGTACGACGACCGTGGCTATGGCGGCGGAGGAGGCAGCAGCAGCGGTGGCTACGGCGGCTCGCGTCGAGACGATTACGGCCCGCGCTCGGTCGACCGTTACGCTTCAGACCGAAGCTACGGTGGAAGGGATGGCGGCCGAGAGGAGCGCCGTGGCGGCGGCGGTGGAGGTTACTACGACCGACCCCCGCCCCCTGCTACTGGTGGCTCGGGTGGGTACAGCGATGCTGCTCCTCGTGAAGCGTACAGCGGCGGTCGCTCGTACGACGGTGACTACGATCACTCTTCCCGTTAGCACTCCCGCTGACCTGCGCAGAACCCAAGCGATACTAAGTCAGGGTTCACGTTGGGTTTCCTCGGTCTGGCAACTTTCTCAACACTTCACTTCTGTAGTTCCATGACTACTTCTCTGGGTTCAGTTTAATACGGCTTTCACATCACTGGGATATGGTCGACAAAAGTTCTTCGATATTGTTCGCAGCAACGCGTGGTAGTACTCTTCGATAGTCTACCATTTCGCCGCTCGACATCTTCCGAGCCCTCTTCAGCTCAGTGGTTTTCCTTGGAGAAACGGTTCAGCACATCGGTAAAGGCTTTCAGGGCAGCAGCTATGGCCCATGGGAGCATCATTCGTCTTGATCATCTACGTCGACACCAAATTGTACTCTATATCTTCCCCTTTCGATGCACCCTGGACGTCAAAGAATCAGTCCGCACCAGCTTCCGCACCATCAGCAATGTCTACATACTCTCAATATCATCCAATCATGACCGCGACCATGTCAGCAGCACCCAGCGACCAAATAATCAGTAAATGGGTCTGCAGTAATCCACCTCCGAACACCAAAGGTATACTGCCATGTAATTAGGCGCCAACGTCCCTCCGTTTTGTTTGGGGCATATGTGTCTTGCTCAAGCGCGCACGCATGCTACGCCACCACCTAGTATGCTTTGAACAAGCAGCGTAGGGCTTCGAAGACGTGTCCTGTGCCATGCCAGCACCCGTGACGACGGTATGCTCCAAACGTACTTCGACGCAAACTCATGTCTTGCAGTTGTGCATGTCTGTGGGTGCCGACTGACGGCTGGGTACAGATAGAGGTGCGTGCCCTAGTTTCATTTGTCCCACCTCCTTGTTATCATGTGTTTATTTTTTTGTCCGTCGCGCTTTCCCGAGCTCAACCCGGGTTGACTGCGTAACTCGTAAAAACTACCTCCAGTGTCCTCTGCTGGCTGTAAGCCTGTCAGAATGTATAGGATGCGTTTTCTGCGCAACTTCGCATCCGCCAAACTAGACCACTTGTGCATGAGCCTGTCAGATCGAGCGAAGCCTCTCTGTTGGTCTGTTGCTGTAGACGGTATTACGACCTTGAGCATCATTGAATGCATGTGAGCCCGTGCGTGTAATTCCAGAGGCAAACTATGTTCTTGTACTCGTTGGGGTGCAGTAAATCTCCAATCATGATATTTGCGCAACTTGTATCCAAAAACGTTCTATCGAATACGCGCCACCAGCCACTTATGTACCCCTGACGCTAAAATGTGGGTTTGTGGGGGATTCGCGGATAGTAGGGCAGTCTAGGTAAACGATCTTCGCAAGTTAAATCTAGTCTTCATCTCCAACACCATCCTAAGTTTAAATGTGCTATGTTCCTATCTTAATTCAACTCGGGTCCAGTCATGACGCGTAGCACGCACTGCTACTAACGTTCTCCCCTCTTAGTCTTATGGCGAGCCATGGTAGAGGAACTTACGGATGACGCGGCGATGGAGCTAGCGACACTCAGCTCACAAATGAACTGGTACCGGTTGCGACGCCATCGCCCAGCGAGGACTGCGAATGCGACTCTTCTTATCTGTGATCCCTTGTGTCTGACAAGTCTACCTTTCTGGTTGTTTAGAGAGAGTACACAGTTGCTTGTCGCTCTAATCGGAGGTGTATTGCTACACCTGCAATCGCAACTCACACCCTCCTTTGCTTTCTTGCACGCCGCGCGGCGGCTCCACCGTACGCATACTCCCTCTGATTCTACGTTCCAGACTGACCGATAGTCTGTTTTGTATAATCTGCGTAGAAACAAAACCAGATTTATATGCGTAGTTTCTTACAGCCCTCGTCCCTCGTACGCCGCGCTCAAATCATTCATTCTTCGACATGAGTAAGGGAAGGGTCATTCCCCTCCTGGCTCTTGGCCTGACTGCAACCATCGTTTTTTTCTTCTACACAAGTACGAGCAATCTCGAAACATGGCGGGGGATTCCACAGCAGATCGGACTAGGAGAACATGTCGGAGACATCCAAACGTCAGAGAGCCTTGACGCGAACTATGTCAACTGGAATCCCAAGATTAACTTTGAACCCGGCTCAGCCATGCCAGCAGGACACAACTGGACGTCGACACTTGTGATTGCGAAGACGAAGGAGGAGGATATCAACTGGATCAAAGAAGAGCTTCCTAACCAAGAACTGGCAGTTTACGTAGTGGATGATCCGTCCGCGCCATTGCATCCGCCGAAAAACAAAGGACATGAGGTCATGGTGTATCTATCGTACATCATCGACCACTACGATAATCTCCCTGATGTCGCGATCTTCATGCACGCCCACCAGTATTCGTGGCACAACGACGATTTGCTCGGCAGCAATGCGAAAAACTACGTCGAGCGCCTCAGTCGCCAGCGCGTCTGGAGAGAAGGATACGTAAACATGCGCTGTAATTGGAACCCCGGGTGTCCAGACTGGCAACACCCCGGCGAAACCACCAAGGACGATGCGAAGCAAGAGGAAGTTGTCTTGGCGAAATCTTGGAGCGAGTTGTTTCCCCTCGACGAAGTGCCATCCGTCCTCGCCCAGCCCTGCTGTGCACAGTTCGCCCTCTCCCGTGAGCGCATCCAGGCAAAACCTCACGCTCAGTATGTCTGGTATCGCGAGTGGCTGTTCTCGACTAAACAGCCAGACGACATCAGTGGGAGGGTTTGGGAATATGTATGGCAGTTTGTTTTCACGGGGCAGAATGTCGTCTGTCCCAAGGAGCATCTTTGCTTCTGCGATCAATACGGGACTTGCTTCGGCGGCGAAGAACAGTACAACGAATTCAAAGCTCTAAAATCCGAGCTCGATGACCGCCATCGGAATCTGGAAGAGTGGGAGACCGCGCGGACACAAGAGCGTGAGCAGGCGCATGTCGAGATCGACGAGGAGGGAATGGCAAGGGATGAGGAAATGAGGGAGTGGTTCAGGAAGGAGATTGAACAGGTGAGACCCATGGTGGAGGGGTTGCTGAGAGCGGCTGAGGAGAGAGGGAGGGATCCGAAGTTGAGAGCGGAAGAAGTAGGGAGGGAATGGCATGAGGGCGATAGCTATTAGTTCTTTTCTTTCGATAAAGAGTGCTCGAGGGCTTTGCGGGTCATAGAGGAAATGGGTATCTACATTGGGTTGGATGGTTCAGACTTCACGAGTCTCTTGGAGTTGGTAGTTGTGGATGTTGTAATCCCACTAATCTCGTGGTTGTTTGTCACCAATGTGTTTTGGTGATTTGATTAAAGTCCGGATCGTCCAACATCAAGGCTTAAGCGGAAGGGGCGGAACCGCTTATCTAATCAACCCGCGTTCAAGGTGCAAACTCGAATCACATGCCGCCACGTCCAAACGACACAAACAACACAAACCCAACCCACAACCTACGCCGCTGGTCGGCTGCTGACGCATGTTTGTCATTCGTACATGGCAAACAGCAAGCACCAGCACTCCATACGAGGTGCGCAATCTGCTAGTCTACGTTTCCATATCCGATCAGATCAGAGCAAACGAAACCACGTCTCCAATTCCCGTCTCTCTTGTCTAGTCCAAACCGCGTTCCCACTCCCTCCCTCCTCAAGCCCGCTCCCAAACCAGCCCCAAGTCAAACAAATGTCACATTTCCTCGTGCAAGTCAAACCAGCCCAAACCAAACCATGTACTCGTCTCGAGGCCAAACCAAACGTCATGGGGGTTCGCATTGAAAAGAGCTTCGATGTTGCTCTTCATCGAGTCTCTCCTGTCCAGCTTACTTGACATCACTTGTTTTTCTCTTCAGTTCCTTGATCCAGAGGCTTATACTTTGCAATTTGACAGCTTGTTCTACGCTACCTTGGCTTTGTTTGTTTGCAACGATCTAATCTCATCTGATCTGGTCGTACTATGGCGACAAACGCGCCTTACTACCAGATGCGCGCCGGCCAGTTCATCACCGCGCCCAACAGTACAAACGCTGCGCCGCAACAGTTTGTGCCTCAAGACGCCGACTATGACCTCCCTGTTGCCGCCGTTATGGAGTCTCATGAACACCATCACCCGTCTTTCTACGAGGAACATCCTGTACGCCACGCGTCAGCAGATACGCCGGGCAATACGTTGGAGGAGAATCACAATCTTGCCGAGTTGCTTGAAGCGGCGACAACGGCAGCAGGTCAGGCGACTCAGGTCATGAACACTGACGTTGCGGTCGCAGTATTGCAGGGTGCAAGTAAGCGGAAGAGAGGATCTAGCTTTCCCCCCAATGATGCTGCTGGCTTGAATACTCAGGGGTGCGAGGTACTGAGTGCTAAACGACGGAGAGTCGACGTGCATATAGATGCTCAGGAGGACGATGCCAACGACAACGACAACGAAGATAGGGTGCGCGGCCATTCCGAGACTGTTAACGTGCCGCCTTGCGGTGAGTCCCCACTAGATGACGCTCGTGCAGCAGGTGTTCACTCCGCTGCTGCCCTCTTCCGCCGCTCCGCCGAGAAGACTTCGCGCAAGTACACCCGTCCGCCCATGTCGAAGCTCTTCATGTCACTCCAACTCTCACCAGAGAACTTTCTGCAGCTGCAAGCCCACGCCAAAACGTACATGCTTGATTCAACGCATCCCGAGCGACAGAACTGCGTCGGCAATCGCGGCAAGGGAGACACGGATATGGTCAAGCTGCGGTTGTTCAACTGCGTCCGTGACTTTCTGGATGATGGGGTTGGGGATCAGTTTTTCGGCGAGCATGTCGAGAAACAGGGTGAGGCGGAAGCTTTCGAGGCTGCCAGGGCGCTTGGAGAGGAGAAAATGCCCAGTGTGGGAGAGAAGCTTTTGTGGCCGAGAGACGGAAACAAGATCATTAGCTTGGTCACGCCGCTGATGAGACGCATGGTTACAAACGAGCGGCAGCGCATGTACGCTATCGAGACGAGAAAGGGAGGCGCGAAGAAGAAGGATACGGAAGGGAGCGTGGATACTACCACTCAGCATGACTCTGTCAGTAATGGTCTGGGATCAGCAGTGGATCAGACATCGCAGCCAGTCTTTGATTCCAGTCTTGCTCAAGCACAACCACAGCTCTCACAGCCTGAATCGCCATTGACTGCTATCTCCGTCACATCTGGTCAGCTGGCTTATACACAACCCCCAACGACGCCGAGGAAATCTTCAAACGCAGCCGAGAGAATTTGCAGAACAACAAGCGTGCCAACTCAGATATTCGACTACGGCCCAGAACTGAATCTTCCAGTAAGTGTTTCCGCTCCTCGTCCACCCCCAAAAATACTAATCACACCCAACAGCTTCCCAGGAACGACCCAGCCGAGCCGTGTCTGAATCGTATCAACATCTTCCTCACCCTGGCCTCCAATGGCACAAAGCAAGGCGTCCGCCTGCTCGAGAAACGCATCTTCACCGCCCAACCAGACCACCTCATGTTCACGCCATGGAACATCCTCATCCACGAGAGCATCGTTCTTGTCAAGAAAGCAACAATGATGTACCCGGAATTGCGCTGGAAACGAGTGTCGCCAACCGACCACACCCAGCATCACGTCGTCTCCGATGAAAACCTCCGTGGGCTGGCCGTCGCTGCCAATGCGCTGCAGACCGAACAGGCTGATCCAGACGTCGGTCTCGTGTCAGATGTGCATTCTCCTTGCCTTGGCGCTGGGGCGAACCCATCAGACCGACAATATCTCGATGACAGTAAGCGGGAAACGTCTAGCCATGGTCGCTTGCCGCTCCTGGACTTCGACGCCATCCGCTCGGCGGCTCTGGACTCGGATGTAGCAGAAATGTGGTTTCCGCGCTTTGGTGTCAAGACACTGGGTCCTGAGGGCTGGAGGGCCATTGCAAATGCGGGGGATTGGCACCGTGTGCTGCTTGAACATGCGTTTGCGTACTGGGCGGATGGGACCTGCAATGTTATCGTTGAGTTAGAAGATATTCCTGTGCAGGGAGTGGGGTCAAGGGGGGAGAAGGAGAGAGGTATTGTTGAGCCGGTAGACGACTTGTCGAGTGGTATTTGAGGAGTGTGGGAAGGTGTGGGAATTATATGGCGTTTGAGGGCTGAGGCTGTCGGTTTTCTTTTTCGTTGTCTGATGAGTGAGTTTGTTCATTTACATAGCATCTGGTGTAGTATGGTATAGTTGACATTAATATGATGGGTTTGTATCTTTTTAATGCCATTTGCCTCCCTCGCCCCCGCCTTCACCAAATCCGCCGCCTTTTCCGCTACCGCATACACCAAACTTACAATATTCCCCTGCACATGCAAGGGAAAGATACTCGCATCCGCAACCCTCACATTCGCCGTACCATAAACCCTCAACCTATCATCCACAACCCCACCCTTGTCACGCGGCAACATGGCACAAGTCCCAATAGGATGGTACTCTGTGAGGGTAGACGTTGGTACAAAGGCCTTTGCTTCTTCGAGGGTGGAGGGCAGACTGGATTCTTTGCTCGTGACTGGCTTGCCGGCCTTGTCGCGGCGGAGCACGGATTTCAGCGGCTCGAGTTCGGCGAAGGTCAGGACGTGGAGCACAGAGCGCGCCATCATGTCGAGATCTAGCGGGTGCTTGAAGTAGGCTGGGTCGATGGCGGGGTGGACGGTCGGGTCTGAAGACGTTATGTGGATATTCCCGCGCGAGAGCGAGCGCGTGCTGCAGGCCGCGATTGTGACCCACATGCCGTCTTCTTCGCTGGGGCTGGTGTGTGCGTGTTAGTTTCTGGGTTGCTAACGTCATGTGAGAAGGGGGAAGGGGGGGGGGGCGCACAATATTTTGCTGGTGATGTGTGTATTCTTGACGTTTGCACCGGAGGTCAGTGCGACGACCTGACAGACTGCTTCCTTTGGATCAAGCAGTTGGCGGGCGAGCAAACTATCGCGACCTGCTGGGTCTGCATCGGGGTTCTTTTTGGCAAAGTCTGCGACGAGGGATTGGATATGTTCCTTGGCATTGTCGAGATTGGCGTCTATCTTCTCGAGAGAAGCAAAGGCTGTGGCTGTGGGTGGGGCAGCAAAGGGTCCGGTTTGTTTAGCGATGTAGGCTTCCATAGCCTGTTGGGTGATTTGTGGATACTTCACCAGAGCTTCGGCTGTGGGGTACTCGTCTTTCGCGCCCTAGACAACGTTAATGAGCCTCTGACAAGAAGGAGTGTGAGGCTGTGTCAGAACATACCAGAACAACACCCGTTGCTGTGTGATCACTCAAGTTCTCGCCAACGCCGGGATTTTCAACGATGATATTCATACCGGCCTTCTTCAGCACTGTAGTCGAACCGATACCAGAGAGTTCGAGAATTTGAGGAGAGTTAATTGTTCCTCTACAAACAATGACCTGCTTGTTGACCTTGACAGTATGATGAGTACCATCAACAATGAACTGGACGCCGGTTGCTCTCGCGTCGCCGCCTGTCTTTTCCAACTCGATCTTTGAGACCAAGGCATGCGTCAAGACGGACAGATTTGGCCGTTTGGCATTCGGCTCGTAGTACTCACTAGCAGAGTAACTTCTCCTGTTGTTTTTGGGGTCAACGGTGACCAGCTGATTGAAGCCACCGATTGCAGAGCCAGTGCGGGGGTCTTTATTAGGTGCATAGCCTGCGTTGAGTATGGTCTTGGGCCATACATCCTGCACCCACTGGAGATCTACGTCGGGGAAACAGATCTGGAAAATTGTCAAAATGAGTCCAACCTGGATGTAACATGACTGACTTGAATTGGGCCAGACGTGCCACGTGCCGATGCATCAATGTACTTGTTGTTGATCTTCTCGGCAAAGGTCTCTGAAGATGGGTTATCTAGAGACATAGGTACGATTAGTGAATATCTCAGATAGTATTTGTATCGGAGTCTTGCTTACAGGTCTCAAACTTGCGGTAGTAGGGAATCATATCATCAAAGCCCCAGCCCTTGTTTCCCAATTCCACCCAGTTATCCAGGTCCTGACGAGATGCCATGGAAAACATATTGAAGTTGACTGCTGAGCTTCCACCAAGGACTTTGCCACGAACCCAGCTGTGAGTCCTACCCGCAGTGCCCTCCTGAAAAGAGTATGAGATGAACTCGGTTCAAATACTAGGTGAGCCGCATACCTAGGGAACAGTTTGAAAGTCCCAATCGTACTCAGGTTTGCCCCAGAGCTGAGTAAATAAATTGGGAGCCTGGACCAAAATGTCGTTCAGGGCATTTCCTCCAGCTTCCAAAACTCCTACACTGATGTTGGGGTCTTCGGTTAGGTGAGCGGCGATGACCAGACCAGCTGTACCGCCACCGCAGACGATGTAGTCGTAGGACTTGCTGACGAAGTCTTCAGCAGACATAATAACAGGATGAAGAAGAATTCTAGTCAATGAAAAGGGCTGTGTTCGGCTCTCGAGTGAATCCAAAGAATTATTAAGGATTGCCCCCTCACTTATACATGTTCAGTTGGGCCTAACCCCCGCATTCATCACCAGGCTGGTTTACGCCTGGACATGGCTATACCGAGGGGTTAATCAGATAGAACGCCTAAGCGCCTAGTCCACGAAGCAGAACCAATCGTAGAGTAACTTGCGTCGCGATAGACTTGTTATCGTGTGCTTGTTATAGGCCCTCGGCCATCTTCTCTGCTCGCCAGTCTCACGTGCCCAGACATGGGAAGGCAGTTGAAGAGTGTCGGCGTAGACATGGAGAGAAGAGGTTGAGTGGGGAAAGTGGAGTGGAAGGAAGGCGCGACTTATCGATAAGCTCGCAAGACCAGGTTCAGAAAAAAGTTTGGAGCTTCGAGCAGAAAACCCACAGCCACACCATCCGCCATGCTCACCGAATACTTTGTCGCTGGCATAGCAGCGTCGACAAAGGCAAACACGGGCGTGACCAAGGATGCAGGCATCTTCGTGCACGAGTTCCAGCCATTGGCAGCGCAGCGCCATGTCTTCAAGAAGAGCGCGACTGCCCCCAACGGCATTGCCGTGAGCAGCTCGCATGTCTTCGCAGCGCAGGCAGACAAGGCCATTGTGCACGTGTACAGCCGCGAGAAGGGCAACCAGGAGGCGCTGGTGCCATTCCCAGAGCGCATCCACAGCATTGCGCTCGCGGCCCAGGACACGGTGCTGCTGCTGGGCACCGAGAGCGGGCGCGTCCTGGCCTGGGAGGTCAGTCCAGTCCACGATGCCATGGTGTGTGTGTCTATGTGCCTAACATGTCTGCCAGATCTGCTCGGGGCGGCTCGTGTCGACGTCGACGTCGCATCTCCAGCCCGTCACGTCCATCGTCGTCGACGCTTCGTCCAACTTCTTCCTCTCCGGCTCGTCAGATGCCATGATCCACGTCTGGGCCCTGCCCGCCATCCTCTCCTTCTCGCCCGACACGTCACGCTCGCCCATTCACACCCTCTCGACCCACCGCGGCCCCATCTCGTCGATTGTGTGCGGCCACAGCGCGAGCAGCGCCAACATCGCTGTGTCCATCTCGGGCGACAAGTCGGCTATCGTGTGGGACTACCACAACGGCCAGGCTCTGCGCACCTACCTCCTGCCCGAAGCCCCTACCGCCGTTGCCCTGGATCCTGCCGACCGCGCCTTCTACGTAGCATATGGGGATGGCAGCCTACAGACGGTAGACTTCTACGACGAGGTTCAGAAAGCTTCGCCCACCGATGTGCTGCGTGACGCTTCGTCATCCCACCGTCCCGTGCAGCTCTTGCCCAAGACCAGGTTCAGCGCCGATTCGCAGAAGCTTGGGGCAGCCCTCACTATAAGCTTGAGCTGGGACGGTACCACTCTCATATCAGGCCATACGAGCGGCAAGATCGCCACCTGGGACGTAGCCAAGGGCAATTATCTCTCCACCCTGACAAACCTCCCGGGTCCCGTGTCGAACCTGCGATTTCTTCGACCGACAGGTTTTGCCAACTCGTCCGAATCGAGCTTCAAGATCCAGGCGGTTGTCAAGCCGAAACAAGACGCAGGGTTGATTAGCAGCGGAAGCGGCCTCGTCCCGCCAAACTATACCTTGAACATGCAGTTTACAGGGCGATTATGCAACCCTCACCTGTCTGCTACCGAAGGGCCATCGCCGAAAAACTGTGCATTCAATGACGCCCTCACACACCCCAGTTTTCCCACCAGCATGCTCGAGGAAAGTCTTGCCGAGCTGGAATCCTGGGGTGCCCCGTCAAAAGGCAGTGTTGCTCCAGTAGCCGACTTCGCAGCACCGCATCAAGACGACAACGGTACTCCGTCCGGTTCAACAAATAATGCTCAACAAGAAGAACTGAAAGAGCTGAAGAAGCAGATTGCGAGTCTCCAACGCATCCAAAAAGTCACTTTCTCCCAACTTGCCGAACTACGCGAAGAGAAGGAGTATTTTGTTGGCCGAGAGAAGCGAAGAGCGGAGCGTGTCAAAACACATGCGAAAAAGAAAGTAGGTTCCACCAACGGCGAAACGTCCGATCGTGCAGACGAAGATGTGGAGATGGATGATGATGATGATGAAGCCTCCGCTTCCGAGTCAGACTCGGATCACGTTGATGCAGCCACGCGTTGAGCAACCAATACAGAAGAAGATGACGGCAGTCACGTCCCCACAAAGCAGAAAAGAAGTGAAGCCGTTGGGGATGAAACTGTTGCTCACCCGAAAGTGGGAACACTCGGAACATCGAAGCCGCGAGATCGTAGCACCTATGCATCGAACCGAGCAGTGCCAAGTCTTGGATATCAACATTTCCAGTATCTGAGACTTGGTCCATATTGCACAAGTCTTCCCTTTGGCCTTCTTTGGCCGACCATCGTCAATACTGGGTTTCCAAGAATGTTATTCGTAAACCCGTGTACTTAGATTTTATTGCTACACTTGTAAGCAGCTCAACAACAGACAAGTTGCAGCCCTCCGCACCGCCGTTCACAAAGCGGGGTAGCCTCTCCTCTCCGTACGACTGTCGACGAATTCCACAAAGACGCTGTGGCCAATGTCACGTTCGCATCAGCATCAGCTGCACACGGCTCAAGACAGGCGGTTTGAGATCACGCAGCTTGAGAACCGTGCTGTTGCGTAACCGCTGCGGCTTGTGCGGTGGATATGGAACTTGTGTAATACTAGTCAGTGCTTTGTGAATGGAGAGCAGATTGGTACTACTGTGTCGCGGATCGTCATTGCATGTGTGGGATATTGTGAGGCAGGACATGGACTTTGCAAAACGGTGTGAGAAGAGCCGGGGTTTGTACTTTGCTCTACTATATTGTTCTCCACAAAGGCGCAACATACCTAGAACCATGCCAAACAATCAATCATTCACACAATTGCGCCAGAACTATCGATACTGCGACCGACCATCCATGTATTCCTTCGTACAGCGCACAAACAAAAGCCGGCGAGCGAATAAGGTTTTGGTCTGGGTACCCACACACATATACACACATAGTCACGCTCCCGATTCACGCACAATATTGACTTTTACGCACGACGCGATTCACAATCCTGCCAATCCTGCACAATCCTACCCAAAAAAAGACCCCCGTAGCGGCCCTCCTTCTCCATGGTCCACACGTGCGAGTTGGGTGAATGATAGACAACCAACATGCAAAACACACTCGCAGGGAATAATATAAAAAACTCCACTTTAACACACCACTTTACTATAAGCGCCCGTCTCCACCCTTCTTATCCCTTCCTTGACTTCCTGTTTCTCCACCTCCTCCTGCTCCTGCTCTGACCTGCTCTGTCGATTCAATGCGTGTCGTCCCGCCCGTCCGTCCGTCCGTCCGCCCGCACAGTTCCTCCAGCATCCATCCCAGTCCCTGCCAGCTCTCTCCAAGCCCAACTTCAACCCAACCCCCAAACTCGGCCCAAACTCGGGGGCCTGTCCGCAAAGTGGTGCTAGAACGGTATAGAAATAGATATCAGAAAAATTAGTGAATTAGAAAAATAAGAATAGATAAAAAAGAAAACAATGGTTATGATCCTGATCCTGATTCGGATGCCCTGTACCCAAGTGTATCGAAATCGCGGCCTGGGAAACTGAATCCTTTCTGACAGTCGTTCTCCATCGGGCCTTTTCTCCGTTCTGTACTTACACTACACTACACGGCACGGCACGGCTGGGGCAGAACAGGACAGGGCAGCGCAGAAACAGGGACAGGGACAGGGGCTGCGATCTGATCTGATCTCGGCGAGGTGCGAGCCCTGTCTTGTGGAGCAATGCAGATGCAGGTTCGGTCACAAGGTTCGCAAGCACAATGCCGATTTTTTTTAAACGAATGCCATGGCGGCAGTTGATGAAGCCATTTTTGCGCATTTGCGGCTGCGTCATTGGACTGCCTGTTGCCGACTCCAAGCTGCAGGCACCACGCTATCACACCACATCTTATCACATCTTATGCCAGGATATTCGTCACCGTTTCAGTGTATGTGGGGTACCTCATTTTGTATTGTTCTATCGGCGGCTTACTCGCTATCTTCTGTTTGCTTCTTCTATTGCAAGGCTGGGTTTCCATGTAGTATATTGCCAATGACGATCTAGCAGCATATGCCCTTGCAACCGCACTACCCAAAGATACCAACCTTCCTTCGTTCGTGATTCGCCTTCTTCCGAAACTCATGGATAACATGGTCCGGGGGTTGCGTCCATCTCCGTGATTTAGCTTCGGAAATTACAATCCTTGTAATGAGTTGCTACGTGCGTCTGTTCAGGGCACATGATGGAGATCCAGATCCAAGTCAAAGGAAGCAGATATTGTCTGGCTGGCTGGAGCGTAGAAGAGCTGGGAAAAGCCGCGCATACCAAATAGTGTTTGAATGGGGAAGGAAAACGTAATTAAAGAGGTTGAGGGCCCGAGCTGAAGATGGTGTTTCGGGAACAAAAGTGACAATAAAGATACTCAACGCTAAGGTCGGCACCCTGAGGTTGATAGTCTTCGGTATTCGTTACGGTCATACATGCTCGCGACTTTAGCTTCTTGCAGTCTGGGGAGTGGAAAGAAAACGCAATGTATCCTGCTCTTGAGCAAGGATGAATGAATATTATATGGAAGTGTGATTGAACCAATGCCGCCTGGAAATTGAGTAGGCGGGTACCTAAAAGTACCATCGCTTTTTGCAAATGTAAGAGTAATTGAGCGATGTTCCGAAAGAGTTTAACAATGGTATCGTCGTCATTTGTCGTCATGAATGTGCAGGCCGTAGAAAGATGATGGTACATGTAGCAGGAACTTGATAAACGCCGGCGCTAGTAGTCGCTAAAATGTCAAAATAAGCCTCCAGCAACGAGAGGATAATTCCAAAGCTTATAGCAAGGGGCAACTATGAGGAGTGGGATTTGTGACGTCCTCTGTTGCTAGTCGTGTATTCGCCGTCTGGACACCACTCTTCGGGCTGGAATTCTGGATTCATAAAGTGCGCTGTGTTGAAATGAGAGCTTGAAAAAGTTAGGACTGGACCCACGCAAATTGACATTAATGCTTACTTGCGAAATATCGATGTCTGGAAGGGCTGTGCGTAACCCAAAAAGCCAAATCCTGGTTCCAACTCATACATGGATGGTCGAAAAGGGCCACCTCTTTCGACCGCCAATGGGGCTGTTCGTTCAGCACTCATTGTAGCAGGGGGCGGTGGATGGATGGGAAGCGTCATTGGTGGTTGCTCGAGCTGGATGTTGTGATGGCCCGGTGGATTGTATTGATCTGCAGGACTGCTGTGGATCGGCGAGACGAAGTCGAAGTGGGGGTTGTTGGTACGAGTCGCAGACGCCGGCGCCGATGGATACGGCTGACAAGCCGTGATCTGAGGCTGGACTACCGGACTTGGATTGAAGTCGCACGAAAGTGAAGGCCATCGCTGACCGAGACCTGTGGGAAACATACCCGGGATCATGGTCATGACGTCGGCTACGTTCGATGCTGCCGGCACGAAGTCGTCGCTGTAGTTAGCTAGGTTGACCTGGAGGGTTGACTGAGGATGAATGGGTTGATGTTGAATTGGCTGGGGGACATCTTCAGCCTTGTAGAGGATGTCGTAGTGGCCACTAAGCATCGAGTCAATGGATGTCGAAAACACAGGTTTGCAGAAAAGCTTACGGTCTGTAAAGAAGCCTCAGCATAGGAGCGCCAGGGATAGTCATGTTGTTATGGTCTGTTGGCTCTGCAAAATAGCTTCGGTTGATCTCTTCACCTGGGGAGCGATCCAAGTACCAAACCTCGAGACCAAACCCAGCCGGCTTGACAAGCGCGTCGGCCAGCGCAGCGACGCCAATGTTGTCGGCTTCACACTGTGCAGGCTCGATGTTGTTGGCGCAGTAGGCTTTGACATCGCCCATGGGGACAAAGTGGCCGAAGTCATCCGCATGCGACTGCACCCAGGCGCTGGCGAGAAGCTGCACGAGTCAACATGGATCTTGAACAAGAAAGTTGCACACGGCCTACCTTGAAGTACGTGATGATGGCCATGGAAACGCCCAGGTCGTTGAACGAACGCAGCAGAATGTCGGGGGCGGCTCCGTCCATGGCATGCAGCGAGTTAGCCAGAGTACGCAGCAGTTCGAAGGCCTCCTCGGCAAAGTCCATCCAGATGTCGCGCGGGTAGCCGATGTGGTCGAGCAAGTTGCCCATGGAGTTGAGGCGTGCTTCCTCATCCTCGAGCTTGTTTGCATCGCCTACTCGCAGCAGCGCCTCGAAGTAGGTGAAGGCAATGGCTTGGCAGAGTCAGTACAAGCGAACACGCGGAAGGAGCGACGCGACAGACCTCGCCAGCCACAATGGCCGTCGCCGCGACAGGTGCGGAAGTAGGCGTATTTGGCGGGCAGCGCAGCCGTCTTGATTCTGTAGACGGGGTCTGCAGTGGCGTACTGAGTGGTGATGGCTGCGCTGCTCTGGCGCTCACCAACAAGCGGGCCCTGTCGTGGTCAGCAAGGGAGTTATGGCCGTAATGAGCCGGCGCGCACACTCACCGTTGCCTCTGGCTCATATTCGCTCGACAGCTTCTGCAAGTGGGCCAGCTCCTCGTCAGTCGGTGTGTACGCGGGGTCTGCCATGCTGAAGGTTGATGTGCGGCCGTGCTGATACTGGTGTTGGTAGTCAAAGCCCGCGGGAGCGAGGACCGGGGCGCGCATTGGCAGCGGCGGCCGGGCAAACGCCAATCCCAAGTGGACCAAGCCATCGTAGTGGCTCGGTGCATGAACTCCATGCTGGCCGTGGCCGTGCGGGTAAAAGTTGCTCGTCAACATCGACGGTCTGCTCATCGTGCTCTTCGAGGCTACTCAGCGGTGTGTTTGGACGATGTTCTCCTTCCCCGCCCAATGTGCGTAGAACTGTGTTTCTGAGTGACAGTCGGCGGCGTGACTAGCAGCAGGGGCTTTTCAATTGGATGGTCGATTCCACAGCAGACTCGGCGGCAGCAAGTCGTCCACGAGCTGCTTCAGCGAGGGCAGCAGCGTCTTTAGTAGGTGCAGATATCCGCGGCGGTGGGCTGGAAGCTGTGTCGTTCTGTGTTACCCACCGGCTTCCAGGGGTATGCCAATATATGAGAGAGAAACAGGAGCGATCTTCGCGGCGTGCCAGTGGGAGTCACTCTACTGTCAGGCACAAAAGTACTATGCAACACATTCGCTCTGGCGGATTGAAACGGCGAGTGTCAGTTGCACCAGGAACCTGGAGATGGGGAGAGCCACAGTATCAATCTCGACGGTGCTAATGGCGCCTCATGCACATCGAGCGATGGGGCTGCTCCAGGTGAAACCGGAGGGAGGAGAAGACAAGCGTGACGGCGTACAAGAGGGAGGACATTCCTGTTCACAGGAGTGGACACCAGCGGCGCCTGGGGGCCCTCGAACAAAAAAAAAGCAGCCATGGCTGCTATGAACGAGGCATTAGCGACATCACGCAAGGCCGCCAACAGCGGAACCCGGGCCTGCCTTGGTGTGTGCTATCGCCTTGATGCGCGACTAGTAATGCTCCTGACCTCAGTTCTGGGAAATTGAACTAGCTACTGGCTCTCCTCCCATATCAGATTGCATTAAGATCCGCAAACTCGACGGCCTTGCCGCATGACAGTACTGGGACGCAGCATCCTGACCCATAACAAACGTTGCTTGCCGGAACAATCGCTGAACGTGAGGCTGCTGGTGCATGCGCCGTGTCACGTCGTCAAGTCCCACCCAACAACCCTGGAAAGCATCATGGGAATGTTGAACCCATGCGCCGAAAAAGTGACCTCTCGCTTGCTCACACCAAACCTAGACTACCCACCTCGCCACATTGTTTGAACGCTCCTGTCACAGTAGCCTCCTGCATCGCATGATTCGTTCGCATCTCAGTGGCGCCGATGACGCAGAAAAAGAACTACCCACCGACTGCGATAACCTGGCGAGGTACCGAGTCCCCACGCTGCAAGCGAGCAAGGGTTGTACCCATGGAGCATTGCGTCGGCCTATCATCCTTTCGGTGCTCTCAATTAGTAGATTATCTCTCGCTTGAGACATCAGACCTAGTCTTGCCGCTTCCCCGAACCGCACCCCAGTGGGGTGGTCGAAGTGATTTGGCGAGGTTCGAGGGGGGTTCATCAAGTCACTGCGTCGCTGCATTCAAAGCCTGCTCGCATCACGAAGAGGGCGGAGCAATAGCTGCAGGCGGCTGCGATGACCGTGCAATCGGTTCTCTTGGCAAGTTGGCTGGTTGCAACGAGAAAACGAGGACCATGTTACATACAGAAGCTCACGGCTGACCATCTGTGCCAAGAGCGCGTGCCCGAACAAGTCCACCCCCTCAACCGACGCTGGCACCGCTCTGTGGAAGGAAACTCTTGCCTTGTACTACATGACAGACGAATCCTGCCTCTCCTTTTGAGGAACCTGGCCGCATGTTTCAATCTTTCAGGTGAAGAAAAAGCCTTTGTGACGGTAGTGTGTGACTGCTGATATCTTGTGGTCCCCCTCCGAATACCCAGTCATTGGTCGCCTTGTGGAACGCTCGCAGACCGATGCTGCAAGTCATCCTTTGCTTGATACTCCCGGCAGGCGTCCCGTAGCAGGGCCCTTGCCTTTCGGTCGTCCAGATTTGGTTCCCAGACCGCTCGAATTCCAGGCTAAAGACTGTCCACCAGCACCACCAGGAGTATATTGTGAACCGCTCTCGTCCGACTTGAAGCCGTCTCCGTCATTTAAGACCGTCTGCCAGAGTGATCCAATGGCTGCACTCCACTCTTTCATCGCCTGCACCCGATCCATATCGGAACGACTTTCGATCTCTACCGTCCCGTTTTGCTGGTTGATCTTACCGTGCAGTCTTTTATCGACGATGAGGAAGCCCAGAATTTCCTGGACTTCGGGGAGGGAGATTTTCAGCTGCTTTGAAATGAAGGCCAATGTGAAGCGGGTGTAGGGCGCGACAAGCTTGACAACTGCCTTGGTGCGCACATTGCGCGTGACCTCGTCAATATTTTCTGCAATGAACGGGTCCTGGAGTAGGTCCTGGTTGTTCTGCAAGATCTTCTCGTACTCATGAATGTCCTCGCGCTGATAAGCAATGACAAGATCTGTCATGGTTGAGATGCGGGGATCATTCTGATAGGGCTTGGTCTCTTGTGAGTCGAACGGATTAATGTCTGAACCCGACAACATGGTCGACAAGACCAGATACTTCAGCACCTGGATCCGCTGCAGGGAGCCAGCCTCGTCGTAATTCTTGAAACTCTCGAAGAAGTCGCTCTGCGCACCCTTCCAGTTCTCTGCGTCACGTCAGTAACATATCTGTATCTTGGGATGGTCTAGCGCTTACCTTCGCTCATGTGCATCTTGCCACCACATTCCCGGATGATACCCATGATCTTAGGATGTGGGACTGCCGACTTGACCTTGAGAGCTCGCTGGTATAGTGCCTAATGAACAGTCAGATGCGTATGTAGGTGAAATGGAACGGGGCGAGGAGCTGACCTTCAGACGCTTGTTGTTCCTAGTTTCAGCGTACATGAGAATCTCCAGTGAGTATACCTCCAATGAGTAGGTTCCTTTACTCGGGTCGTCTGTTCCGTCTTCCTTCTGGCAAGTCTTGTGCAACTCTCGAAGTTTCTCTGTCAGCTGGCGGTAATCTTTCCTGTCCAACCACAGCCTCGCGAGCTTGATGTTTGTCTTCAGCCACAATCGCTCGTTGTTGGTGCTCTGGAAGATGTCAAGCGTTAGAGCATAGAACTTCTCCATGCAGCGATACGCGTCGGCATCGTCCGCAGCCTTTTCTATGAAGTCGAGCATGTTGTTGATGGACTTCTCGGAGTAGTTGCGCGTCACGGCCGACTTGACATATGTGAGAAGCTCCTTATAATGCTCCACTGCCTGGACTGGTGTCAGTTCTCTTCCATGGTAGTTCCAACCACGATACTGACCTTGTCGTGTCGTCCAAGCTTGAACTCCAGCTTGATTGCCTGCTTCAGTCCCTTAAAGCCCCTACACGTCCATCAGTGCCCTGCCATCTGTATGTCTCTAAACAGTATCGTACCAATCCGACTTTTCCTCTTCGAGCGCCGGGACTTCGAGGAATTCATCTATAGCTGTCTCTGGATCCTCGGCTTTCAACTGCTTCGCATTGTAGTACTTGTTCTCAATGTCGACATCGCCACTCTGCTCCTCGTCGTCGTCTTCGTACTCGAAATCGTATCTATTGATGGTCAGAAAGGTCAAGGCGCTGTGGTTACAACGGAAGCTCACTCCTCCTCCCCAGAGTCCTGCATGAAGTCGTCGTCGTCAGACATGGCTGCGGCGGGGATGGCAAATCCGGGAGCGTGCGGTAGGTTTGGTGACGAGAAAGGTGGATCTGAAGCTGCAGGCCAAGTAGCAGTATATCCTGACGCGCGTGTGTTGGTTGCGCAAAAGCAATTAAGAGCGTTGGAATGTTTGTTTGCTGGAGGCGGTGGTGCCTGCTGCGATAGGTACGCCCCGCGGAGGTGGGCCGCTAACAACAACTTTGGTGGGGCATCCCGCATCCAGAGATTCACCTCAATAAGTGCGCCTACTTGTCTATATTTCTACTCTTTTGGCATCATTGCTAGAGACGTGCGCAGATGGAGCAGCCAGGATGGTGCCGTTGCTGTTGCCATTCACACACTCGTGCCCATCACCACCTCGAATCACAGACACGCCAAAACTCACTCTATATTCGAGTTTCCACACCGCATTGAGCGCGACTGTTCTGGTAAACCAAGAGATTGGAACAGTATTGCGAATGTTTCTGAGTGGCATTGTGACTGCTGGGACGGCGACGAATGTTGATATGATGGCGCGAACTTGATGCGCTTTGCAGATTCCATGATAGGATCGGCCTTTGAGTCTTAAACGGCCAAATTTCAAGGTCGTCGACAGCCATTCACAGGAGCCTCTTCAGAAGGCATGGAAGCAGGTATCTTGGTAGGCATTGAGGCTGACACGTGGAATCCCCGTCGATTGCCAGCAAGTCATACTTTTCCCAATAAGCTTTCCCCGCGCGAACACCAGCCGGTCCGCTAGCAGTCGGTCGTTGGTCTTGACGCCGTCATGAAACATATCTCGCTCACAATCTCAGCAGAAGCAACATAGACCTACCATTGCCCACGTTACCTCAGCACCTGTAAGTACACATCACCGCTACTTTGGTGTCGGTCCCCGTTGGCAAGCATGCTGCACCCTGTGGGCGTCGACATGTCGAGATGCATTTCGTGCAGAAGACGGTGGAGTTACCTAGTCGTGTTGACTGCCTAAATAGCCCTAGCGCTGGCCTCGACTTCAACCCGACTCCGTCGCTTCGCTACCTCTCTGACCAGCCCGGCTCTGGAACATTGCTATCGCCTTCTGCCCTCCGCCATCCGCACTCCCCGCCATCGCCTTTGCTCCGCTTGCCAGCGACAACGCTCCTGCATCGTCAACGCGCCTGCACTCGCTCTCCTGACACCGACAACACCGATTCCCTCACCAAGTCTCCTCGCTAACCTTCGCGATGCCTATGTGCGGTGGAACGAAGTCTGTGCAGCGCAAGCTGGTACTTCTGTATGTCTCGCCTTGCATGGAGGAACTGTCGCCTGGCGTGGACAGGGGAACACGCGACGGGTGTGGGCTAACAGGTTCACAACAGTGGCGATGGCGCATGTGGAAAGACATCTCTGCTTAACGTCTTCACAAGAGGGTATGTTTACACCGTCACAGGCTTGTGACTGCCAATGGGAAGAAAAGGTAAAGCTGACAGACCAACAGATACTTCCCCACGGTATAGTAAGTGACATGCGCCTACAACTTCTGCGCTCAAGGCTGACTCTAGCCCCCTCCAGCGAGCCTACTGTATTCGGTCAGTATCCTACGCGATTACGATTGACTGGACTGCACTAATTCATTGCACAGAAAACTATGTTCACGGTTCGTTGCGATGCGTCCGTCGCCAGTACCCTCCATTAACACCCATTTCCAGACATCTACATCGACAACACGCACGTAGAGCTTAGCCTGTGGGACACCGCCGGTCAGGAGGAATTCGACAGGTTACGGTCCCTTAGCTACGACGACACCCACGCCATCATGCTCTGCTTTTCCGTCGACTCGCCCGATTCTCTCGAGAACGTCGAAACGAAATGGGTTGGAGAGATCACGGAGAACTGTCCGGGCGTCAAGCTCGTACTCGTCGCGTTGAAGTGTGATTTGCGAAAACGAGAAGACGAGGATGCCGAGGAAGGAGAGCCCGAGAAGCCGTGCATCAACTATGAGGAGGGTCTCCGGGTCGCAGAGAAGATCAAGGCGTTGCGGTACCTCGGTATGACACGACATCGCGCATGGGCCTTGACATGTCGGCTGACTAGAATAACAGAATGCTCCGCCATGAAAAACCGCGGCGTCAACGAGGCCTTTACTGAAGCCGCCCGCGTCGCCCTGCAAGTCAAAACGAGCAAGGACAAGAGTGGCGGTTGTACAATCCTATGATTGCCCCGTTCCCCTGTCACCCTCTTATTCGCCCGCATTTCCCCCATTCACAGCCACCACATACAAAACAGCCCGATACCTACCTTTTCGCCACCATGTTCATACCCTTTCTTACATCTGCCTGCGGCTGATTCAATTTCTTTCTAGCATTAATCTCTGACGCTCCACGCAGTCGCCTGGAACAACTCATACCCTGATTCCTTTGGATTTTATCGGATGGTTTTTTTGATTATGGGGCATACATCCTGATAGACCTTCTGAGCGGCCCCCCTTTCGTTTCGCGGTCCACTTTTACTGTATATGTTTAGTGTAAACTCTGGCTCTTGCTCATTTTTAATCTTGTTCATATTGGAGTAGTTTCACGTAGATCTGGCTGTATCTACTTGCCTCGTGGTGTTGGAGATTCGATATGAGGGCTTGATTTTCTAAAAGTAGACGGAATCACATTACCTTCATGTATCTTGTGTTCATGACCAAGTGAAGGCATTATTATTATCACCCCTTCCACGTCCCATCATCCGATCCGATAAAACAGATGGTGTCCTCAAATCCAGCACCATCCCATCATGCCCTTTCTTCCTAGTAGCCTCCACCGACGGAATCATCGGTATAGAGCCTTGTTGCTCCAGGCCTATCCACCGCATCCACTCCGTTTCCTTTTGCTTCGCCCACCTTCGTCCTAGCCTCCTGCATGATCCACAACCCCGAACTCGTACCCAGCCTAGTTGCTCCGGCCTCTAACATCTGCACCGCCGTCTCTAGGCTCCTCACGCCCCCGCTAGCCTTGACCTGCATCTTCCTGCTCCCCACCCTCTGAGCTTGCAAGTACTCGGCGGCAGCAACCATGAGCTGCACGTGCGGCAGCGTTGCCCCGTGTCCGTTAAACCCCGTTGAGGTTTTGATAAAGTCAAAGTTTGCAGCTGCGGCAAGGTGAGAAGCGGCGAGGATCTGTGCGTCGGTGAGTTGCGAGGTCTCGAGAATCAATTTCAAAACTACGGGGCTGGGGCAGAGGGAGCGCATGGATGCTAGTTCGCGGAAGATTGCGCTGTAGTCCGGAAGCTCATCATTCTCATCTTCCGAGGCCTTGGAGTTCGCGTACGTGTTTGCGGCGGTGATGCTATCGATTGCCGAGTCGTGGGAGCGGATGGGCACGGTTCGAGCAGCGGGTTTGTTATGTTTTGTCAGCAGGGCGTGGTTGAGCACGAGGTCAAGTTCTAGGGCGCCTGCTTGGACGGCGGCACGGGCTTCGCGCAGCTTCGAGTGTGTGTCCTGTGTGCCTTCGTGAAAGCCGACAACACAGGCTACAAGGACAGAGGAGCCCTTGAGGTTGGATATGCAGCGTGAGACCCAGTTGAGACGAACGCATACAGACTGTCGCGTACATTAGCTCGTGCATTTCGACTGTGAATGTCAAATTTCCATCCTTAAGCATCCTGTTCGAAAGATGAAAGGGGGAAAACAGACCTTGAAATCCTCCGTCCGCGCCTCACTGCACAGCCCATCCACCGCGCTCTGCGTAGTATCCAACTTCAAAACCGTATGATCAATCGTCTTAGCCAACTCCTTCAGCGCTTCCTGCCCATTCCTCATTTGCGGACCCTGATAGACTTTCCTCGCTTCCACCGCTTTCAACACTGCTTTCTGTGTCTCTTCAATCTGCGCCGCCCACTCAGCGTTCGTGTACCGGTCTGTCATGACTTCTATTGGTCCCAGGTCGGCGTCGAGCGCAGGATTTGCGGCTAGGAAACCGCGGATGAAGACCTCAGATTCTGTGAGGGGGATGGGGTGGGGATTGGGGGATGTTGAGGAGGACATTGCAGTTTAAGTGGCTTCTGTAGTTTGGAAGAACAGGAGCATGAGAGACGGATGACGTTGATTGGCTGACTTGATCACAAATCACCCCTTTGTAAAGGTAGTGCAAGGGTAAATGTTGTGCATGAAGGAAGCGGGCTGTTTGTTTACTTTAACTGTTAATGTCTCTTGTCGGAGGTCGCCGACCGCGTTTACTCATAGAGGGGCAAGGCTGAGGTCCTGCTACTCTGGGTAAGGACAGTCAAATGATCTAGAAAGCATCGAGGCAGTCGGTCTTGTGGGTTCGTGCTCCGAAGAGCGATGCATTTGATAGGACCGTCAAATGCCTTGCATATATACCATTGAACATGTTTCACATAATGATGACTTCGAGATCGTACTGCCATGTCATGTGTCGAATCACGTCAAGTGTAGGTAGGCAGTACGAAGCAGCATTTGGAGCAAGCGTGAGAAATTGACCTGTTCGATTTACAAAGGACCGCTTGCATGCGGAGGCGTCCTCGATTGCAACCGGTCCTTGCCCTCGGACGACTAATCCGGGGCTCTGAGATGCCATCTCCCCTCCCACATGCATGTACATGAAAGCTGTAGAAGAGCATGCCGAACAAAAGGAAATAGATTCGAGAAAGGTTGCCCATGATCAACGCTAGATATCCGGAACTCCCATTTTGACTTTTGCATTGACTCGAGTCGAAAGATCCCTCTTCTATCCGGCGGTCGAGTCGATCGGTACCAAATGAGATCTACATCCTTATCCCATAAGAGTCGTCATCGTAACCCATCAAATCCCCGCCGTCATCATCTCGAAGAGTCGTTTACTTCCTTCGGAAAGAGCAGCCCTCGGTCAACCGCGCCTTGCCACCAGTTGGCTGGCACCTGAGCAGCCTGTTAGCCGTGTATTCCATTCATATCTTCCAGGCGGCGCTTGACTTACAGGACCTGCGAGCAGCCCTGGCAGACGACAACTGTGTTTGCGTGCGAGAAGACGGTGGTGATGGTGAAGCATCCCGGGCACTTGACGTCCATGAAGAAGGATCGGGGAGCGGGCACGAGGGTCTTGAGCTTGTGCTTGCGGGCCTCACTGGGGGTGCGTTAGTCGACTGTCCAAGAAGCGTAGCGAGGGCTCAATGCGTACGCGGCCGGGGTGGGGTTGAGAAGGTCAACTGCGAGAACCTGGAGGCTTGTCAGCACAGAAGACCCATTGAGATTGAAATTGGCATTGTTGTTGCAAGCTGGGCGTCGCCGGAGTGCGAATCGAACATTTCGGTGGCGAACTCTGCTTGTCGTGTGTGCCTCCTCACAGTTCCTCCAGACACGTCTCGGCGGGCTCGCTGGGGCTGAAACTCACCATTTTGACGGTTGATGAAGAGTCCTAGGTTGGTGTTTGTCGTTGACGAGTCGAAGTCGATGGATTGGGCGCGAGAGTCGGGGACGCGAACGGCTTGAATAGTGAGGGGATCGAAGGCAAACGGGTGATTCTGTCGTGTGGGCGATTGGCTTGGCATCATTTTAGTGCGTCGGCTAATTCGTTGTTTTCGGTCTATGGCCTCACCGATCTTCACTTTTGTCTGACTCCAACATTGATTCTTACCTACAAGCCTGTTCAGGCAACAATGTAACTGCCATTGTGTCACTGACGGTTGCATGAAAATCACGAAGGGGTGGCGTATAAGTAGGATGTTGCACATACATGCTCCCTTTACATTGACGACGATGCACTAGGCGGAGCAAACTCCGTGAAGTCGCGATGCAAACTTCGTCTCCTGTTCGCGCGCTTTTTGTCTCATCGAGGGTATCTATTCCTGCAACGCTTGTCAAAGAATATCTGACTAGAACTGTAACTGCATACTTCATATATTTTTAGCCGCTTCACGACGTGAAGTACGAAGGTATCTCAGTGGCCAGAAGTCGTTCCGGACCATTGTAGATCGTTGTCTCTCATTTGATTCGAGAAGAAGTTGATGCCGTTTGAAAAGCCAACACTGTCGATACGCTAAAATGCGAGATATTTCCTAATCCGCTCCCGTGTAACCCCACTTCGCGTCACCAAGCGTCAAACCATACATGAAAGTATACATATAAACAAGCTCAGTACACATAAAAAGTCATCTGCAACAAGATTTCCCATCCATAATGGCATCCAAAGAGAAGAACGACCAAGAACTGGAGAAGGCGAGGCAGTTAAACCACATACCATGGTCCGAAGAATACGAGAAAATGATCTCCGGCATGCTGTACAGATCTGCATTCTCAACACTGTAGAAAATTGACTGATAGAAAAACCAGATATAATTCTTATGATCCAAAGTTGAACGAAGCCCGTTTCAAGGCCCGAGCCTTCGCTCACAAATATAACACATGGTTTCCGCCCGCAGATACCGACCCTTCGACTGGCTTTGATGTCCTGGCCAAAGAACGCTACAAGATGCTAAAAGAAATTATCGGCCATGTAGCCGACGATGAGCTATGTACGTGCCGTATCCTCTTTTCCAACGTACACTAGCGTATCGGGATTTCCAATCCACCCTATTGAATTCCTAAAAGACATTGAAATATGCTCTATTACCTCTACACAAACGCCTACTAACCCGTATAGTTATTGAGCCTCCATTTAACATCGATTACGGGTGCAACATCTCCCTCGGCAAACGCTTCTACGCCAATTTCAATCTCACAATCCTTGACTGCAGTCTCATTACGATTGGCGACCGGTGTATGTTTGGCCCTAACGTGTCCATCTTCGCCGCCACACACGAAGCAGAAGTTCAGTCAAGGAGAGACAACATCGAATACGGGCGACCGGTCGTAATTGGCGATGATTGTTGGATTGGTGGTAATGTCGTGATACTCCCAGGGGTGACGATTGGAAGAGGATGCACGGTGGGCGCAATGAGCGTGGTAACGAAGGATATACCAGACTTTAGCGTCGCCATAGGACAGCCAGCGAAGGTAGTGAAGAAGGTGCAGCCAGTACCGCTTGAGGCGTAAGATGGGGAGAAGGAGCAGACGTGGTAGATGCTACAATCAAACTTCAGACTGAGCTCAGCCGCGATTGGTCTTTATTAAACAATTCTCCATTGGATTCTGCCATCGAAGTTCAAGTCGAAAAGTTTGCTCCTGGATGCTGGAACTCATTTAATCTTAACTATGAAAGAAGAGCAGATTTATGGGAAGGTGAAGCGCTAGTTCCTGTGAGTACTGACTTCATGGGATGCACGGGGCACAGCAGAATAGACGGACAATGGCATCTGAATAGTTTTTGGGCAGACAGCACTACATGGATATTTGTAGACTATCAACCAGCCGAGACCCATGCGGAATATGCTGAATTCGAAGACAGAACGTCTGTCCGAAAGGTTCATCCCGCCTTGCCCAACGCCGATCATCCGTGAATCATTCCGTTTGGCGTATAGTTTACTCCTCGTCCTCCTCACCAGCATCATCGTCACCACCCTTCTCGGCAGCCTTGGCCTTCTTCCTCCTGACACGGCCGGGACGACCTCCACCGAATGGCGAGGTCAAGGCGAAGTCGATGTGCTTCTGGGAGTCGAGACGGACCATGAAGGAGGGGACGTTGACGATCTGCTTGCCAACACTGTCGCGTACTGTCAGCCACCAGGTCTTTCAACTGGACGTGTCGCAAATGCTTACCGAATGTGGCGCTGGCGGATGAGCACACGAGCGTGGTGGATCGACTTGGCGAGACCGAGCTTGTAGACGCAGGTCTGGAGACGGCGCTCCAAGAAGTCCTCAATCTTGAGAGCCAAGACGTAATCGAGCCTCATGCGGGACTCGTCGAGGACACCGACACGGACGAGACGGCGGATAAGGGCGTTACCCTCGAAGAGGCGCTTGGGGTCCTTCTCGTCAAGGGTCAAGAGCGAACTGGGCGGGCATTAGTGATGGTGTGCATTTCCGGGAAGTGCAAAGTCGAGAATTAGTGAATTCGCAATTGCGGAGGGCCTGCTTACCGGGCAGCACGACGGATCTTGGACAGAGTCAACTGCACGCGCCAGACCTCGCGCTTGTTGCGGAGACCATACTCGCCAACGAGCTTCAACTCGGTGTCCCTATCCCATCATTAACCGGTTGTCCCAGACGTAAGCGGAGCAAGCTCGCGCTCAGTGGCCATGGGGGAATACACACAGACGAGCGGACTCGAAAGGACGACGTGGGACGCTGTACGTCTTGGAGTAGGAGCGGGGCGCCATTGTGGTTGTCGATGGAGAGGGAAGACTGTCGCGAGAGGAGAGAAATGCATGGGCGATAATGTTCTGTGCGCGGTGCCAAGCGGCTGCGTGATTGGCGCCGCTAAGCGAGGGTCGCGCCGCCCACGACGCAGAAATCGGATTCTATCAGCAGAACATCACGAACATCTCCGCACTAACAACACCACCCTCCAGTCTTCACAATGGGTCACGCTGCTGGTCTTCGCGCGGGTACGCGCTATGCGTGAGTTTCGCGGCTGCGCGGTGCACGGCGACGGATGGCTGACGGTTTGGCAGGTTCTCGAGGGACTTCAAGAAGAAGGGAATGGTGAGTAGCTCGACGACACGCGGCAGACGAGATTGATGCGAACATGGCCACAGATCCCTCTCTCGACCTACCTCAAGCAGTACAAGGTCGGCGACATTGTCGATGTCGTAGCCAACGGTACGGAACACCCCGATTGATCGAGTTGGCGGGTGGGGACTCACAGTGCCACAGGTGCTGTCCAGAAGGGTATGCCCTACAAGGTCTACCACGGCAAGACCGGTATCGTCTACAACGTCACCAAGTCCGCTGTCGGCGTCATCCTCCAGAAGCAGGTCGGCAACCGATACATGGAGAAGCGCATCAACGTCCGCGTCGAGCACGTCCGCCACTCCCGTTCGCGAGACGACTTCCTCAAGCGCGTCAAGTCCAACCTTGCCAAGCAGCAGAAGGCCAAGGAGACCGGCGAGCCCCAGCAGATGAAGCGCATCGCGGCTCAGCCCAGGGATGCAAGGACTATCAGCATGACGGACAACAAGCCGGAGAACATCACACCTGTTCCTTACGAGACAACGATCTAGACGTGGAAAAGGTGCTTGTTTGCGGGCGACAAATGGGATACGGATGGTCAAACGGCGTGGTTTCTCGGATCTCTCAATTATTCTCTCTTCTGCACTTTCACTAGCATTGAAAGCGGCGACATCATGGTGCAGACATGAAGGTGTGCCAACATGGCTATGAGTTACCCCTCACACCAATGAAATATCATCCTCCAGTCCCAGTCTCACTTGCAACTTTCGTCTGCACTTACGTTGGTTTTCCTTTTTTTGTGACTATGCTAAGACCTCTGCCACTTGCAAATTTTAAGTTGTCTCCATCATATCGCTTCTTCACAAACATATTGTTGTATGTTATTCGAATGGTTATATGGCCTCTACTCTATATTTAGTATTCAAACTCCCGAACATATCCTGAATGCATGGGCCAGCTCAGAATTCGTGCCTGAAGATCACACTCACTGAGGACTGGACATTATCGTTGGGACTACGTTAATGATCTACCTCCACATTGCTCCAAGACCCCTCGTTTATCTTGTACAAGCATCTATGGGCCTTCCTCATTGTGGAGAACGACTTCGTCCCCACAGTTTAACTCAACACTTTTCGCGTGTTCATTGGTGTCGTAGTTGTCAATAGTATGGTCATAACTCCATTGAGTATGCTACCATTTATTGGTGGTTAAGACGAAAGTATCCCTACATCTTGAATGTTGAGCCTGTACATCCTTCGAGTCCCAGCTTCAGACGGTGTGTTCCACCGTGATCGTTATCTCTGCGATCGGCATGGACAGAATCATTTGTCAAGTGGGACGATGGCAGAGTGTGAGTTGATAGTGTATGACATCTGCGCACTCATATTATCCTAAGAGCGTGAGGAGGGAGATTTACATTTAGCCCCAGGGATGAGCAATCTCAGATTGCTTACCATACCCTTTCTCATACCTACTACGTATATTACAATACTAGAACATGTAAATAGCCAAGTGGGTTTCCGGAATAGCTTGAGTGCTACAACGACCAACGACTCTTGTCGCCTATGTGCGCCTCTAAATTTTGGAATGTCTGCCAACTCTTCCAATGGCTGAGCTTACTTGCCATTCACGACCTGATCTTTGAGCTCTTTTGTCTTCTCTGCAACTAGGTCTGTGACGCCCTTGGCCTCCTCTGTCGCACCTCTAGTCCTCTTTGCCATCCTGTCTTTCCATGCCTTGTCTTCCTCATCACGCATCTCCAATTCCTTTAACCACCTTCCTCTCTTGTCCATCCTGTCCTTCTCCGCCACCATCTTCTCATAGTCCTTTCTCTTCATGCGATCCTTCTTCCAGTACAGATTTCCTGCGACGAGCACAGCAATTGTGAAGGCCTGGGCATAGAGACGGCGACGGAAGTACATATTTGTCATCTTATGGTCGCCTTGTCGCATGGAACGTGTTGCGCCGACAATGGCCCATACTGTGAGGCCGCAGCCAAGAGGGACGAGGGGCTCCTCACGGAAGCGGCGCCAGATCTTGTCGATCGTGTTTTCGTTGTAGAAGTCGCTGTAATGACTCAGCGACGTTCCCTGAAATGTCTGCCTGCGGCCTATACAGGCTCTAGAGGATAATTGACATACGCATTTTCGTCGAAGGAGGAAGGCAGCGGTGCAGTATTTCGAGGACCAGGACCGGTAGCCATGGCGTGTGCGGAGGGGGCGGAGGTGTCGCGTGAGCAAACACTAATAATTAGAGATCCTACAATTGGAATAACTGTGGTACTAGAGGACTCCGTGTTTCACGCAGTTAATTGAATCTCCTATTCAGCTCGTGAGTACTGGTAGGTGGATGCAGCAAGTGCGAGGATGTCTTCGCATGTAGAGCTTGTGGATGAGCTCATCACTTCTGCGCGTCTTCGGGGATCGGTGCTTTCCTTTTCTCCGCTACCGATCTCACGCCGCGCATGCATCGTCGTTGAGCTTCATATCAACCATGGACTAGAAGCGTGCATCCATATTACACATCTTCAACACTGCCTGTTCGCCTTCATGATCTCCACGGTGACGGGCGACAACTTTTTGCGGCGCCATGAACGATGAAGGCGAGTCTTCTCGAGCTGCCTTGCGCCGTATAAGCCATGCCTCTGAGGATGCAGACCTCAACGAAGTGATGATGGAGGTTAACGAGGAAGAGGATGCACGGGAGAAAGAGAAGATTTCTAAGGAAAGAAGGCTGGATGCAAAGAGGAAGAGGATACGTCTTTTGAATGAGCTTCTGCGCGAGCTGGACCTCGTAGTGTACATGGAGCTCATCACGCTCTACTACCTGGAGTATGAATCGCCATGATCCCCAAACGATTCCATGCTGATGACATTGCCTTAGTTGCTCATTCTTCTGGCTTATAGTGCGTGCATTCATACACGGCAGCCTTCTTACACCCGCTACGGATGTAGCTCTCGACCGCCCACCTGACGAACCTAAGCCGTTTCTACCTCTGGTACTCTTCTCCTTTGCCGTGAACTTTTGTCTGCATCTCCTTTATGCTGCGCCGTCCGCTGGTGAAGATACCAGAGGCTATCTGCACGGTGGTTTAATGATAGACTTCATTGGGCAGCAGGGTCCTACTAGCAAATGGAAGCTCGGGGGGCTGGACATGTGCATTCTGCTGTTACAGCTTGTTATGGTTTCAGTGCATGTAAAGAGGCGGGAGTTGAAAAAGAAGTTGGCAAAAGAATCGACTGGCGGAGACGCTCCAACCAACAACGGTGCAGCTATGGATACAGCAGCAGCAGTGGACACCCAAGAAGCAGTAACACCCGACAACCAAGCCCGAGAACAAGACGTTGATTCTGAAGAACGAGGCCTCTTGCGTCGGACTGATAGCATGTCAGACATCGGAGTTGAGCCAGATGAGGACGATAGCCTTTTACCGTTATCTTCCGAGGTTGGCCATGTCGACGCACTGGACGTTCTCGCATCTGGACAGTGTGTAGTTGGCGACTTTGCGCTTGTTGATACACTCCTGGAAGAGAACAGCAACTACAATGCGTACCGTCGGACGCGCTTAGAAGGAACTAGTGATATGCCTGAGACGCTGAGAAGGCTGAACGCCATCCGTCAGAGATTTGGGGTTGGCGGCGGCTGAGGGAGTAACAACTAATCCATTCAATGTCCCCCCGCATATCAAAGGGTTACAGTACTGTATATCGTTAGGCCGCATCCCGCAGGTGATACACACAAGTGACCCCACGCTCTCTTAATTCCTCATCCTACGAGTAACACTACGCGTGACCCTACGTTATCTTGCACTCACAATCCCGTGTGTACCTCCTCGGACTTGTCCAAAGAGGAAGGACTTTGACAACAAATTCTTGAGAAGAACATGGTCCACGAAGTATCGTGGGATGATCGGTCAGGTGGTGATACTACACCCAGACCCTGGAGACTGCAACCTAAGATGGCGTCGCAACGAGCCGTCGTTCCCTGACGGTACCATACCGATCACGGCTTTGCCGCCCGCTCAACAGCATACAACTACTATCCGCACTCCGCTCGTCTCGTTATTGGGCGTACATAATCTGATCGGTATGCCATTAACCCATGTGCATGATTACTGATTTCTCGTACCATAAAATGGGCGTCTGCATCTCGAGATCGACCCATTTATGTCTTGCGTGTGCCTCCACCACATTATCATGTTTAAGTTAGGTCGCCTCTAGGCGAACGCGGACGAGGCGCAAGGGTGAGGCGGGCACCGCAAATGATTTAATGTCTTGTTCGGAGACAGACAGTTGAATGGATAGGTTCTTCTCTATTTGTCATCTCCACTTGGTTAGCCGTTGTACTTGTTGTTTTCGAACGGAATATTAATTGACATGACTGTCACAAACAAGATCACGAACGAAGGCCACTTATGAAAGTAGGATTGAGATAGGTACACCCGCACCTCTTTCCTTAATGCAGTGAATCTCACTCGCAGCCATATACCGGTAATCGAGATGTCATCTCATCCATCTGGGGTCGGCGATGACTCGCCTCCCACTCAACCCCGCCAACCAGCGGACCGAAAATTAGGCAATGTCGCACGATTTTCATGATTGGTGGTCTGATGTTGCCCGCTTGCACTTAACTCTAAATTCCTGCATGCTGACATGCATGGCGGTGCATGATTAGGGCGCTGTACCAGTCGGGTGGGATTGATGTATGCAACATGTGCAGAATGTAGCCGGGTGTACGTGCATATAGGATTTCGAGGTTCGTGCGCGTAGGTCAAGACGAGAATGTTGTCTGACGGAGTTTCTCCATGCCTTCTCGAGGATCGGGAACGTAAAGGGATCCCAGATGGAAGCATACTTATCTCTAGATGTTCTGCGGCGCGCGAGCCGCGCAAGGATCCTATTATCTAGAGGGCGCCAACAACATACCCACGCCCTATTACCGAACCTTCCACGCGTATGCGTAACCATCGAGGCTCTCTCCAGTGATGAGACAGATAAGGTCCAACCCTTACAACATCACGCAAGCCCACATCTGCATCACATGCATAAGCGCTGGCCGGTCAGTTGTTGTTGCTCCGCACTGGCCCGAATCCTCCCACCCCGTCCCTTGTGCAATGCAATGATATGTGGGACTGCGCATGGATATGATAAGTTGGCCACACAGCAGCGGCTGCCCATGTGAGGGCTGTATGGCATTTGTTGGAACAGGAGCCGCATATGTGCAGGTGGTTGAACCCTGAAGAAGTCTGCAGGGAGACTGGGTATAGATCGAACAGCGCCAGATGTTGAATGCACGCCATGTATTGATTTTGTGCAGTCGGAGAAAGGCGCAACAATTCGTATCCCGAGATGCACTTTGAGCAAACAGATCTGACGGACATACGGTGAGGCGGGTACACACGTGTCGGAGTGGGATGCGAGTGGAGCCCTTGCGAGTACTCGATGTGTTCTGCGCGTGATGCGATTGTCGTGGGTCAGGTATAAGAGATTGAGTCCGCGTCAAGCGACTGCGTGCTCATGATGTCTTGGCAAGGTCGGCATCGTAGAATGGGCCGGCGGTATGATGCCGGGGCCGGGCCAGGATCAATCGGTAAATACTAGCCTATGAAGCCCGGGTAGTGATACCGACCTTGTGCTAGGCAGTGGAATGCCACCAGCCGTTGAGTCAGCGTGCTTGCATACTCGGGTTCGCATAGGTACGCCCGAAGCATGGGTGAACGACGGCTAAATTCTTAGAGGGGGGAAGCCGTGTACGTCAAGTCAGCATTTGTGCAGCCTCTATGCAGTCATAGATGGAAAGCGGCCGAGTACGGGGATGGCGCACGTCTCATGAACATCGCGGGGTGCGGCTTGTGGGTAGGTTCCTTACTAGGGGTCATACGCAAGTTGAGGGTTGTGCCGCTTCATGTGGCGGTGGGGGATTTTCAACAACGACAGATTGTGCTGCAACTCATAGCTTGAATGCTTGGCAGACAGGCCCAGACCGAAGATTGTGCGAAGATTGTAGGATCAGCAAGACAGTGCCTTGACGAGTTACGCACGCGATATGCCATTCGCAGCAGGTCTGGCTTGGTAGAAGTCACGAGACCTCGACAGCATGCAGGACATGCATTGATTTCCAATACGTCTTGCAGAGTTGAAGCGATGCGGCTTCTTCGCGAGAGTCCATGAAGGAGAGGGCGTAGCCCAGTCTGGCGATGTCGCCATGCCAGACGGGTAAACCATGCAAGCCTAGCGCGGCACGCGTCTGTGGAGCAGTATGAATGTGAAGTTGGTTGGGCATCAACGGTTCGGCAGTCTCCCGAACTCGAATGCGAGCTCGGTACATGTTGCGGGACGTCAATCCGCAGCGGCACAGCCCTTGTAAGGTTCACAGGTTCGGTCCGATTATCAAAAGACAAAGAAGCGCAGTCTTGGCAACTGGCGGAAGGCTGAAATAGGCTGCCGTGAGCTTTGTGCGCGGCTCATGATGGATACTACCACGCATGACTCGCAACCTACAATGCTACGCTGACTGACATCTACAGTGCCGTGTCGATTGATGATGGCATCGTGCAAAATAGCATCTCGCGCTGTCGCCAATCGCGTCGTGCTGTGAAGGTTCGCGACAGGAGCTTAAGACTTAGTGTTGGACAAGACGTACGGTCCATTGCAAAAGCGGGCACGGGGAATACGGTTTCTGAGCCTTCGGCAGATCAGGTATCCCAAATCGGCGATTAAACCAAGTAACACTTGTGCTATCAATACCGTATTTCCCGTATGCTCGCTTTGCAATGTGCCGCCCCCTTGTAAGCGTGGATGATCTACCAGCTCCCCGTCGAACGGGCCGGCACCGGAGGCTATTCCGAAGCGAAAAGTATGCAGAACACACTTTAGAAGATTCCAGTGCAACGGGAGCATGGCTTGAACCTAAGAGAAAATCTCAATGCTGACTCGCGGTCACTGGCAGTGTGCTTGTTAATAACGCGTCTGTTTAACCCACTAGATTGCATACGTGGTCACTGGTAACTCGTATTGTTGCAGTCAAGTCGACGCGCTCACATTGCGCATGTCGACGTGGCGGTTCCATGACATTGGTGCAGTATGAGAGCGATCCACAGAAGTAACGTTATGCGTGCTAGGAAAGACGGCAGATCTAGCTTTGAAGACGAAATTCGGTACCCGCTGGTACCTGATCCGGACGATCATGTGGTCGTGAGGCCCGATGTTTGGGTTGAGATGATACACAATTGAACGCTATTATGAACTTTGACGTGGACCTCGGCATAGATTGGACGTGACGAAATGTTTAATCAGGGGTGAAACAAGTGACGCAGCGACACATCAGAACCGTACAAAACCGTTGAGAGGCCGCAAATGAACACATGGCAGCCACCTGTAGAGACTAAACTTAGCATGAACTTGGTCCACGCACAGTGCTAACGCTGGGCTGATGGCTTGAGTTTGCAAGCCCCCATGGCGCTTTTAGTTCCGTATCCAGCATTCCTGTACCATTGCTCTCAGCTCATTGTGTGTCGAACGTGGTAATTGCCCGGAGGACACGAGCAGGAAAAGGTGAGCAATAGGTATGTTTCCAAAACGCCTTGCGACAGTCAAATGACGATCAGGTACAAGGCGTAATCATTGTATCATATCGTAAATTAAGACGGCGCAAATAGCGGCATCGGAGATGCCCACATACATTTGCTCAACAGGAAGTGATGGGCAGGTGGGGATTCATTTGTAGATCATATGGTCTCGAACTCAAACTTTAGGAACATTGCCATTTGTTGCCAAGACCTGTGCACGTGGTTAAAAAAAAACATCATGGTGCGGCGTAGCTAATGTGAACAGACAGATGCACGGATACATAGTTCAACTTGTCACCTTGCTGTGATGAGCGGCATCGAGATCTTGGTTATGAAAATCTCAAGAAGATCAGCGTTGGCCAATACATGCATATTTTTGGAGAATGCAGGCAATCGCGGAATTATGGGTCCGTGAAGATCATCTGTAAGATAAGACATGACCGTCTCACCATGACGGACCATGAACCATAATGGACTAGCAATGTGGCTAGCTGATTGGTTTAAGTCGAGTTGCAATAACACAATTAGGGATGAAAAGTGTTACGCTTTACCGATATGTACAGACTGGCAAAACAATGAATAACTCCGTGAGGATGTTCTCGTCTAGAGATGACTATCGACAAATAGCCAATGATCATCGTGCAAATAACGATGTATAGAAAAATAGAGCGTTGATGAAAAAGCCGATAGGGTATAAGGCAGATATGTACTCGCGTACAAGTCAAATGCTAAAATCAACCGCCAATGCATACAGAAACATGACAGTTTGAGATAAGAACCTCCTGAAAGCGCAAAGTAGAAAATGCGACAACAAAATTACAAGCATGTAGTAGTTATTGAAAACACATCAAAACACTATTGCCTGGCTCTCGAAAAAAGTGTACTTCCCATTGCCTTAACACTAAGGAAAGCATCAATATCTGTGCTGATAACGTCCAGCATCCGAACCAAAGGAACCACGATAATCGGGACGTTCCAAGTAGGATTGCCTTGGAAGGCCTTGCTCTTGCGGAGGTGCGTGCTGAATCGGAGATGAACCAGGAATCGTCGAACGGTTTGCGGACGAAAACATGGGTGCAGAGTAGTTGTCAGAAGGGTTGTTGAACTCAGTGGGTGAAGGTCCAACAACAGGGTGATAGCTGCTCGTCCGCCTACGTACGTTCCGCTCGGAATCATGGCTCTCTTCTTCGTATCCCGCGTAGGATTCCTCTGAGCCGTCGACAGTGGTAGGAGAGGTTGGGTGGGAAATTGATATTGACAGGCGTCTCAATCGAGGCGACGAAGGTCTTGCGCAATGTCTTTCAGCCCCAGGTTGTTGGTATAAAACAGATTTGAAGTGATCTCTCTCACCGCGATAGTAATCGGCGTCTTCTAGTGCGTTGCGCAATTGTTGTTCCAAACGAGAGATGCTCACGGACGCCTCACGCTCCTTTTCCTTTCGCCTAGCACGAAAGCGAGCAGAGGCGCCAGCATTACGCCTTCGCTTTTCATCAGCAACCTTGGAAGCTGCTTGGACGTCCACGGGTATCTGAACCGGATGCCCCTGTTGGCTTTTGATCGTCATAAGCTGGATGCTACTTTGGGCACTAGGTGCCATGGGAATCATGTTGTGTTCAATCGACATGGTTGAATTTTGACCGTCTTGCACTTGGGCATTTGGTGGCATAGCCATGTAGTGTCCCTGCGAACTAAGATTCTCGTATCCCGACGCAACAGAGGTAGATCGACTGTAAGACGAATAGTGGGTCATGGGGCTCGCGCTGCCAGACTGAGAGTAGTTCGCACTTGGGCGACGAACCTCTGCACGGTTTGAATGTGGAGGAGTCGGCGCCATCGATAACCCTGGAGGAAAGTATGCACCTCGGCTTACGACGGGAGGCGTAGGTAAAGCTGGCTGTGATGCTCCTGGATCAGACGGGCGGATGCTACCAGACAGGAAGGGCGACTGATGTGCATCAATTGTACCTGTAGGTGCATTGAGGATTCCAAGGCTCTTCGGTTTATGCAGCCTTGGTGACAGGGCAGTCAACCGGTGCCTTGCAGTAGGCTTCCCCAAGGGCTGAATCTGCCTCGAACTATTGAGTTCGCTTTGTGTACGCTCGACACTAGGACGACGACTGATTGAGGGCAGGTTTTGGGGATGCAGTGATTCAACAGGTGAAGGCGACTCCATCTGAGATGCACTGCGTCTTCGACTCCTCGGCTGTTCCGTCTGATCCATTTGAGGATTGAGGATAGAGTGAACACCCAAAACATGACCATATCTCTTATCCGAAGGAGTAGGTGGTGTCTTGGAGAGCTCGCGTAGGGATGGAAGCGAGATAATCGAGTTGCCAGGGCCATCTCGACGGCTATTCCTGTGAGGCGGCTGCATGCAGGAAAATGATTGGGTGGGGGACAACTGAGGGGTGGTTTGCTCCGAACGAGGTTCTCCCCCCGGCAACTGGGACATGGAGAAGAAGTTGTCAGAGCCCCTCTGACCACGATAGGCTGCCCATGAGCAGTCTGGCTTAGGATCGTTATTGTATGGTGGAGTCAAGGAGTGGCGATAGTGAGGCGCTTGAATAGCGGGGAGAGTTTGGGTAGCCAGTGTGACAACGAGGGATGGGAGTCGTGTTGACGACCACCCACAGAACGACAAGTGAGGAAAAGGTATTTGCTGTATCCGAACCGGCAAACTTAGTCGGATGCACGATCTTGAAAGTGACGATGCGTAAACTTCCAATAGTCGAGACTGTTTTGACTTTCCAAGGAAGGCCGTTCAACACGCGTGGGGGTGATGGATCGTGCTATACCTGGAGTGGTGTTGATGCACCGTAGTAAGACAGTATGTTGGTGGAGAGAGTGAAGCGTTTTGGAAATAAATTTGCACCTTTCTGGGGACCTCTAGAGGGCATATACGAATTTGCGGTGTGTGAGCTGCAAAGATAGCAAATCATAAATGAGGCACCCATACCCCTAGTTCCATCTCCCGCATAAAGAGAAAGTAGCTCCGTACATCATGCCCTGTCGGCGGCTTTTTTTTATGGCGCTAGGCATACCGGGATTTGGTGCTAGGCATGCCTTTACCGCTACTGCGCGGAACCGGAAGACGCAAGAGCGCGCAAGAGCCAAGCCCTGAGACACGACTCACACGACGTGCGTTCGGCCCAAAGCGATGCAAGTGCAGACTCAAGGCATATAGCCCCTGTCGCCCTACCCTCATTCAAGGCAGTGACCCTGTCGTCCATCGGAGGACAGTCCGGGCGGCGTTATCTCACCGTGTCTGCATCTCATCATGTGCCCGTGGGTGAAGCGAATGCCTGCCGCGCCACCAAGAACGAAAATGATTGCACATTTCCTATTTGCACATCGTTCATTGGCAGGGACGTGTCGGGCTGCAATCCCCGGAACAATGTTCTGCGCCGCATGCGCCCTCGCCGAAGAAAGAACAAAGCACGATCTGCTTATCCTCAAAGCAGCCCAAGGGATCGACGACAGCGAATGGGTCTTGCCAATGACACGGCAGAAGAAAACGTCAGCCGCCCTTCGGTGGGGGCGGCAAAGACAACGTCTCGCGGCTCGCGGGAGGGAAAGGTTTGGCTGTTGGTTATGACTAAGCGAAGTCGACTGTGCAATCCCTAGGTATTGACGTGGAAACGATCGGGTACAAGAGACAGATATTCAGGTTTGTTTTGTAGGTACTTTTTCCATGAACTGCGGACATCGTGCTCGAGCATCAGCAGTTGCAAGCGAGGCAGACTGTGGGTATCTACGCTGCCGTTCAATCCTTGGATGGTATGGAGTACGCATTTCCGGTAGAACCCACGTGTCGTGGGGTGTAGTTCGTAGGTCGCGGGCTTTTACCAACGGAGCAGTCCCTGGATCGATAGCGTTTAACTCCCCGGAACTGTGATGCAAGTAACGCAAAATCTTAGCCATTGATACACGGGCATACTTTGCCTTGTAGTCTTCTCTGAGCTACCTTGAATCGGTACACAAAAAGAACGAAATATATCTATCGCATTGGGTGTGACGTGCTTTGGGCGAGCCTTTCGCATGTTTCGTCACCAAAAGCATGGGGGCGTCTACGTGCGCACCCTCCCCTGCGTCTCCTCAGCTCACGTTAACCCGGTTCCGGTGGCTTACATCAGGGAAAATAAACATCGAGGTTACGCCCAGGGGTACCGCGTACGACCCCACAACGGGTTGAAGCGCGCGAACTTTCTCGCGCCAGATCTGTTGCCTGAGAACGTGCTTAGATAGGGTTTGGTGATCCAGGCCATCATGGAAGACGTACACGCAATTCTCGAAATTATCAATCGGTCAAAGTGAGCTGAGGCATGGGTGCCTGTACCCCACTGCCGTGTGAGCGCTGGGATTGGCGGCCAAGGCGACCAAAGACGGCATAGGCCATATCCAGTGCTGTGGTCTCCAGGACCTCGGAACGACCTCGAATGATCCGAGTTGATCGGTTGGCTAGCCCTCCAATAGTCCCCTGGTCCAAGCTGCCGGAATGTCTGACCAGACAGAAAAGAGAACGAGGGTTACTCTGCCATGGCATCATTCTGTCTTCCTAGCAGTTGACGTACCTGTCCCAGCCCGCTGGAATTGTATCCATGCTAGGGCTAGGTAAGATCGGGTAGAGGGTCTCGACTTGCTTCACGTTTGCTTTTTGTGACTACGAGCGTCTTTGGCTGTCATGTTACAACGCTGACCGGTTTGTGCAACACGAGTGACGCCTGATGAGCAAACTACGGCAGCCCCTTGATGGCGTGATTCTGCTTAGGAAAATACATATAGCTTAGCGGGACAACCACAACGTGCCTCGTAATGATTCAAGACACTTGGACATAATTGTCTTTGAATCCGGTTAAGCACGCATCGTCACCACGCCAAACCTCACTGAGACTGATTGCCTGTCCACGATAGGCGCATTGCAGAACAGAGTCAAAAGCAACAACAAGACGAGATACATACAATCGAAAGTGACAACCACCTCCTTCGACGGAGCGGCAGTTTTAATCATTGAACGCCTTCGAAACTAAGCGGGAAACGACCCTTGCTCTAGGAGCGTGTGGGCCATGACAAGTTTGTCACACGCCCCTGTAATAAACATGCAAGTATCGTCTGAGAGGGGGAAAGTTGACAATTCGAATCAGCAACAAGCTACCCCACATCCAGTGTACTCGGCTGTTTTGATTTCAGGCGGCAAGAGCGTTCGTTCACGACACGTTGGACGAGATGGAAATGTGACCTACAGCCATTTGTGGATATTGCCGATGAAATCCCGAATCCGATCTGCGCTAGCGGATCCTTTCATTGTCATACCACATACCGTGCAACTTTTGATTTAATTGGGTCCAAGGTCTATTGTTTGTAATTGGTCTACCGACAAGACGACACCTCGAGTCTGTGTTGCAAGCAAGGTAGCAGCTCTGACGAGGATGAGAGCATGCTACCTATTGCTCTAAGAGCAAGGGTAACGCAACATTTGCTCCTTGGAGTATGATCTTCACTCAACACGAAACAGAAAAGCAAGTAGACAACCCAACGTTGAATTCACAATCACGGTGAGCAGAAACTCTATCTCTGAGTGAAACCCCACGCACTTGGTTTCCAACTTCAGATATTAAGCGTGGGAGCATCTCAATTCAGACATGCTAGCTTTAGCTCAGCAAATTCAGGGCTGAACAACCACCTGGCTATCGAAAATAATCGTTTCTTTTCGCCTGCCATCTCTCCTTGCACGGCAGCAGTTGAGATAAAACCACTTTACTTCAGAATGTAGTGTTGACGCGATAACCGCGCGCTTTGCGTGGACTCCCCCTTCCCAAGGGCAAACCGGATTAATGGACTGACTGCCCACGCCGTAACTTCCATCGCCTGATTTATTAGTTTCCTGGTTGGGATGAATCTCGCGAACCCATGTAAACTCATGAAAACGCCGCTGATCCCTTTATTATAGATGCGCTGCCCACGATTGGCTCACAGGTATAAATCACGTCATGAACTACAATACACTTCTCAAACAAGTTCAGATACACATCGCATTTGTACGTCGGTAAGCATTGACCAGGAATGGGCATGAGTGGCGCTTACGCGTATGACTATGCGTAAGGCTCGCATTGTCAGATGTGACACTTGTGGCGTCCTTTGGCTACACACTGTAGTCGCCGATGGCACGATCTTACTTTGTGATGAATTTGAAAGACAACCCGCTCTTGTTATCACTGCAACTAATCAAACACCCAGTGGCCAGCTATTTTTTGTACTGCGTTGGCAACATGAACGTTAGTCGAGCATATCTTGCAAACATTGAAGACAGGCATCCAAACCTTAAATTCCCCCAATACTGTGAAACCATCAGTAATAACGTGTATGTTCACGCTTGTACGATCCATAACCAGGAGCAGATAGTTCTCTGCAGTCAATAGAACTTTCCAGAATACAGGAACGAACAGATCATGTCAAGCTGACTGGTCCGTGTAGCGCTTGCAAAACTATACACATTCGTCTACCAGAGTCCCTAGTGCAATTACGCGACGCTAGGACCGGATCAGAACGGGATCTAAGGTTGTATCGTTGTATCCCCTATGGCACGGTCCGAGGAGCACAATGAGTTATCTACCGTAAAACTTTAACTGTTTCGTCTTAAGCTAGCAGGGAATCTCAGGAGCTAGAATCTAGTCTAAATACTTAAATGCCGCATTACGTATTACTACCTATACAAACTGTTATCTATAGCTTTAAATCTAGCTTAATAACTATAGTAGAGCTTTATATATGCATCTTAAGCTTAAATTTTAGAGTTATTATATATATATTACAAATTTTTATAATTTTTAAAGTATAATATAAACTTAGTTACGTAGCGTAGCTTATATACGCAGCTTAGCTACTTATTACAGCATAAGATGTAGTATTTAAATATTAAGGTTATACCTATAATTAGAGCTATATTTTGTAAGTCTTAAGTTTTAGCTAAGTATTCTAAAAAATATATATACAGCTAGTAAATTTATAAAGCTTAGTACTAAAAAGTAAATATAAGTAATAGTTATAAATACTACAGAGTAGTCTCTAAAATCCTTCTAATTCTTTACTATTATAACGCGCAGCTCTAAATTATAATAACGTTTTACCTAATTAAGTAGTGCTAAGTTACTAGTACAGCGCTAAGAACGTTAAAGAACTTTAAACTTAAAGTCTATTAGAATAATCTAAATTACTTTATAACTTTAACTACTTCTATTTTAATATTTTAACGTTACTATACTTCTTTCTAAGCTTTAATTACTGCTGTATCTCCTTCTCCCTCTTCTATTTAGCCTACCCTGCTATTTCTAGCAGTAGGAGGAAATTTCTAGTATTAATAATAATAATTAGATTTAATAAGATTTAACCTTTAGTATCCTCTACTAATAGTTACTCTATAAGGTAAGCTTTATTTAACTAACTACCTCTAGGTATATAATAATTAATTAAAAGCTTTTTTAAGTTAGGTACTAATATAGCTTTATAACTTTTCTCCTACTATATAAGTATCTTACCTTTATTCTTTAGTAATAAATAGGTAAATACGTTATCCTTATCCTCCTTAATTTTAATAGCAGTAATATCCTCTACTAAGTCCTTAGAAATCTCCTAACTAGTAAAGTCTACCTTATTAATAAAGTCTTTAATTTTAATTAAGTAGTCTTTAGTACTAATAGGGTTAACAGTAATACTAGTATAGATAAAGAAGTCTTTAATAAGCTATCTTTTATACCTATTTAGGTTATTCTAGGTATTAGTAACAGCCCTTATTACTACTATCTACTGTACTAAAATTACTATTTATTTTATTAAATTTTAGTTTAAGGTTTTATTATCTAATAATAACTTAAGCTTCTCTCTTATTAATACCTTAAAGGACTTATTTATACTAATATCTAAGAGCTAGAGTAGTCTAGTATATCTACCTAGGATTATTACTAGATAAATATACTTCTCTTAAAGTTTAGCCTTTATAATATCTATTTTATAGAAGGCAGTATAATCTATTATAAGTAAGCTATTACGTTCCTCTAATATATTAAATAGTTCTTTATCTAACTATTTAACTAAAAGCTTCTTATTATTATATATACTTAGGTTAATCTTAATAGTAATATAAGGGTCCTACTTAACTTACTTCTTCTTATTAAGCTTACTTCTTACTATACTATAAAAAATAAGCTTTAGCTTAAGTCTTAGTATACTATTAGTAAATATATATAATACTAAAGTAGCTTAGTACTTAGCCTAGCTAAAGTTAGTAATATTTCTAGTAACTATATACTCTTCTTTAATATAGTAAGTACACCTATTAAAGAACTTAAAAGGAATTAGTACTTTATTTATATTAATAATATTAGATAGTTAGAAGTGCTAGAAGTAGCTAAAGCTTATCTAGATTAATAAGTTTTAGTAAATAAACTAAAGGAATTAATTTATAAGTTAAAAGTAGTAGAGTAAGAGATACTAGCTAGTATAGGTAAGGTATTACTAGGATATATCTTATTTTTAAAAGAAGTTCTTAAACTAGCTATTTAAAAATAGGAACTAGAGAGGCTACTAAAAGTTAGTTAATCCCTATTTCTATATATAATAATTATAATTACTAACCTTACTATTACTATTAAGTTCCTTACTATATATTATATTAAAGATTATCTTCCTTTATTAATAGAACTAGTACTGTAAAACCTTTTATTCTAACTATTACTACTTAATAAACTGTTAAAATAACTTAAGCTTAAGCTTAAGATACCTTTTACAGCTAGTACCTAATATAGTAACCTAGCAGCCTTAGTTCCTTATAACTATCTTATGCTAGTTATACTATATATCTTTAGTAGTAGACGCTAAGATCTTAAAGTACTTAGTAGCGTTATAAGCCCTTAGAGGCCTATAATAACTATTATACTTAAGCCCTTTAAGGTACTATTGCTTCTGCTTAAGACTATCCTAAAAGAGTAGGTCCTTAATCTAATAGTATATAAAGTACAGTATAACCCTAATCTTCTTTTAAGGTAATATAACTATATAGGCCCTAGATAACGCTATAGGTAGTTTATATATAGTCTTTTTATTAATAAGTAATTAGATTGTCTAGTAGTAATAGCCCTAGTAGGTATTATAAAAATAATTAGAGTTAAGATTACTTATAGTAATCTTAGTAAGGGCAATACGCTTTTAGGTAGGCTTAGGCAAGGTAACTATTATACAGCTAGTTAAATATAATAAAGTTAAATAAGTATTAACAGTCTTTTACACATAAGATAGAGAAGATATTAAGGGATAAGGCTAACAAAATTTTTAGTAGATTCTAATATTGCCCTAAGCGTTACTTAGGGGTATTTATTAGAGTGTCTATTTAGCACACCTGCCACCCCTACTAGCTTAAGACGAAACAGTTAAAGTTTTACGGTATACTAATTCGAGAGCAGCGAAGGCTGTGTAAACTAGTGTATACCCCAGTTTGCCCCCAATCTTCAACTTATGAGTCAGTCTCACCGCGGAGAAACTGTCTACTCGTTGATATGAACGGAGTAACGCGCAACTCGAGTCATCAAACAATGAATGAATCAACGACTGTTCTTTGGATGAAGTGTCGAGTATGACACCTCCACTGTAACTTCAGATTTCGGCCCTTTCTTATCTCCCCAGGATTGACCAGGGTCGGGAGGATCGCTTCATTGTGCCTCTAGCGGTACAACCATCGGGACAATCGTGTAATCGGTGGAAGACACTCGCCTTTCTTCAAGGCTAGTAAACATACCTTTGCTCCTTTCGGGGCTCCAGTCGTACTTTCGGGGCTCTTCAATACCGGCAGCTATACGAAGGTGCTAAAAATGGGAGAAAGCGTATTCGTAGGGGACGGGCGGTTTGTAACGAAGCGTACATCTCCTGGATTATTTCGCCCTCCTCTTCCCGGCTCCACGGAGGAGTGTAGGCTTCGTCATGAACTAATTAAGCTCGAGACATTCCTCACCATAGTACGTTTTGAAGAATAGACCTCGTGTTCACCCCACTCACTTCGAAAGAAAGCGGACTTCTCCGACGTTTGATTTCTGAGGCGACGTGGCACGGGTGACTCTTTGATTGTGGGTAGTTTGTCTCAACCCCAAGAAAGAAACGATGTGAATGATGCAGTAGGGAACGTATAAGAGGAAGTATTATTGCCCTTGTATTAGAGCCTTGTTCTGACTATATTGCTGATGAGGAGTGTAAGATTAAGGACGGGATCAGGCCATGATTGTGCAAAAGAGTCCGGCAGTGGCGAACCTTGGTATGTAAGATTCAGATCTGTGCTATTGCCTTCATCCGGCCCGATGAAAGGTGAGCTGGGGTTGTCAACGCATGTAGCGCCAGATCCCAAGTTAGCCACTCCAACTGTTTTTATGTCTTACCTTCTCCGTTACATCTGACAGCTTCGACCTACAATCCATTTTCGAACGCGGCGAAGACAGTAGATTTGAGTCCAACACCATGTGATCAGAAATCTCCTCATCAGTTGAACATGAGACGCTTTCTTTTCAAAAAAATATAACTGGTCATGACCTTCGACAACGAGAGAAAAAGACTTCGTACCAACAGGTAAAGAAATGCGAGACTTCACAGACATGAACGTAACAACTGCACAAGGTCGAACCTGGTTGAAAGAACAAAGAGAGGATGAACCAACAGAAACGAAATGTCTCGAAAGAAAAAGGACAAGTTGTAACATCCAGCTCACTACCTTCAATCTCATCCACAACTAAAACGTCAGCATTGGTCAAGAACAGCGTCCCTCTTCATCCAAATAAACATCCAACCCCTCGCAATACTCTAGCACAATTTATCCGGGACATATACTCACACTGTTGTACGTTCCCAAGTTGCTATTATCAGACGTGCACAAATTTGACTGATAGACTAATCAATCTTCGTACCGGGTAAAGGATATATATACCCAACAGCTATGTGTAGGCATTTCGGACCGTCCATCCGCCAATTTCCCATCACCTTTCAACCAACTACACAACCCGCTGTACCTTTCATTTTCTACTTACCGTATCGTTCTAGGTGGTATGTGTGGTTAAGGGTACCGCGTGCCGGATAGCCATCAAGTTCATCCTGGTCGACCATGGGCTGCTTCCCGATTGCGCCGCATGGCTAACGGTGATATGTTGAATAGATGGCCGCTGGGGTGGCATATGTACTTCAAGGTAGTCCGCCGTATCTCGCGGATACGTTTTACTCTTCGATAGAGTATTTTCTGGTCTCGTCTCGTCCCGTCCCGTCTCGTCTTGGACCGTCGACGCACTCTCATAACACCGTTCCCTCCGTCCTCCGAAACTCGAGAATAGTCCTACCTGTGGATATAAGTTCGCATCGTGGACGACATTCAACCGAAGCGCAGTCCACATAACTTCTTCGTTGGCGGCTCGGTGGGACGTCATTCGGATAGTGGGAAGGAAGTGACGTCGCATAATTGGCGAAGCAACACCAGCACGTCAACAAGACGGAGAAGATCAAACACCAACAACTACACCTACACATACAACACTCACCAATGATGCCGGAAGTAAAGACATACGAGGTCACAGAGGTGCGTTTGTTTCCCCAGGAGCAAAGAACAATGTGCCTATCTATGTGTGTGTGTGAGGAGGAGGGGTAGCTTTGTACCCCGCCTCGTCATGTCATGTCGTGTAGCATGGGAGTTCAAGACACACAACAACTGATCATGAATGTAAACAACAGCCCTACATCCGGCTCACATGTGCGCTGGGCGAGGCCCCCTTCTGGGAAGAATCCACGAACACGGTGCGGTTTGTCGACATTGAGAAGAAAGAGCTGCACCGCGTCGACATCTCAGCTGGGCCATCGAGCCATAAAGTGGTCAAGAACTTGGATATTTCGATAGGGTATGTATATTTGCGAAGCAAGAAGATGAAATGCTCTGACAAGCTGGCGTAGATGTACAGCGGACATTGAGGGCAACGACGAGGAGTTCATCTTCGGCGGTAAATACGGCTATGGCATCGCCAACAAGCAAACCGGCGCCTACCGCTGGGTGAAAAAGGTCTGGTCCGACGACGAGATCAAAGCCGGCAAGCCAGACAAGTTCCGCGGCAACGACGGGGCTGTGGATTCCGCGGGCAGGTTCTGGGCGGGCTTCATGTTCGACCCTATGGTTTCGGATATGAGTTCTGATGGTACATTCCTCCCTCCTCACATACTACAACACTATCAAGTAAAGCACTCGCGATTCTCCCCACACACTAACAAGACCAACAACAGGTGCCGTCTTCCGTCTCAACCCTGACATGACGCTCGACCGGCCCCTCTCCAACATCACCATCCCCAACGGCACAACCTGGTCCCAACCCGACACAACCATGTTCTTCGCCGACAGCCCCGAGAAGACAATCTACCGCTTCGACTTCGACGCTTCGACCGGCCACGTGACAAACAAGCGGCCCTTCTTCACCATGCCGAGCGACAACCGCTACGGCGACGACGCCGTGCCAGATGGCCACTGCATCGACGAGGAGGGGTACATGTGGACGGCGTTGCACGCCGGGGGCCGCGTGTTGAGGATCTCGCCGGAGGGTGAGGTCGTTGCGGAGATTAAGCTCCCTACTCAGCAGCCTACTTGCCCGTGCTTTGTCGGCGAGGATCTGTTTATCACGAGTTCGGGCGGTACGAGTGGAGAGGGGGGAAAGCCTTCGGATGAGTTTGCCGGGTGTGTGTTCAAGGTCCACGTTGGGGTCAGGGGGCTGAAGAGGTTCAAGTTCAAGGGTGGTGTTGACGTGGAGGGCGGGAAGGTGGATGGCAAGACTGTTGGGGAGTGAGGGGAGAAGGGGATGGTTTGCGTCGAGGAAAGAGACGGTAAAGCGAAAGGAAATTTACCATGAGATGAAATTCTACTCATTCTATACTTTTGCCATTCCGACGATCCCCACATACTAAAAGGGGGAAGTTTTCTTGCAATTCTACACGAACAATATCATACACTCCCATTCGGTACTTGCACGGCGCCTCCCTCTTTCTTAGCACCCTCCAACGGCTCCCCCCAAATCTCCTTGACCAGCTGCTTCTTGTTGATCTTGCCCATGGCATTCCGTGGAATCGTGTCCACAACCTTCATCTCCTGGGGTATTTTGTAGTTGACCAGGACCTCCTTCAAGGCCCTCCTCATGTCTAGCGGCGACCACGCCTTGCCGCCCTTCCCAGCAGTCTTCCCAGGCTCAGACAGCACCACGACGGCCGCGACCTTCTGGCCCCACGCATCCGAAGGCAACCCCACGACGGCGACCTCGCTGACCTGTGGCAGGGACAGCATCTCGCGCTCGATTTCCAGCGCCGACACCTTCTCACCGCCGGTTTTGATGATGTCTGCCGACGAGCGGCCGAGGATGAAGTAGCACGGTCCCCTTGCCCACTCCTGCGCGCTCTTCCCCGCGCCGTCGACCGGTCTGCGGATGGCGACGTCGCCCGTCTTGAACCACTTGCCCTGGCCGTCTTCGTCGGCGGTGAACTCCTTGGCTGTGGCCGTGGGGTTCTTCCAGTACTCGCGGAATATGGTGGGGCCTCGCAGCTGGATCTCGCCCTGGCGCTCACGGCCTGTTGCGGGGTCTATCTCCTCGCCCTCGTTGATGACCTGGTGCGTCTCTGTGTCGACGAGGCGCGCCTGCACAGAGGGGAGGGGCCAGCCCACGGAGCCGTCGACGCGGTCGGTGAAGGTGAGGCCGCAGGACAGGGCCATGCCGACTTCGGTCATGCCGTAGCGCTCGAGGAGGACGTTTCCGCCGCTGAGCTCTGACCAGGCAGACTTGACTGGGGTGGGCAGGGCGGCCGAGCCCGAGATGTTGAGGCGCATGTTGGAGGGGTGGAGGGCCGTCTTGGAGGCGGCCTGCAGCTCGGGGGTGAGGCCGGCGTGCGAGGCCAGCAGGCGCGTGTAGATGGTGGGCACGACGGTGAGGAAGGTGATGGGCTGCTTGGCCGGGTCGGGGGCGGGCAGGAAGGGGGCGGCGAGGCGTTCCCAGACATTGGCGGCGTTGAAGGGGAACTGGAACTCAATGGTGCTGCCGGCAAACAGCGGGGTCAGCAGGGCGTTGACGGTGCCGTGGATGTGGTGCAGCGGCAGCAGGTGCAGCAGCACGTCGCGGGCCGTGTAGTGCCAGGCGGCCAGCAGCGACCGGGACTGGGCCGTCAGCACGTCCTGGGCCAGCAGCACGCCCTTGGGGCGGTTCGTGGTGCCCGACGTGTACAGCATCAGGCCGCCGTGGGGGCTGGCGGGGTCCTCGAGCGTCACGCAGTCGTCCGTCTTGCCCAGCATGATCTTGTCGCGGCTGTAGTGGACGGGGGCCGTGGCCATGCCCTCGCGCAGCACCTCGTCGGCCTGGGCGCGGAACTTGGCCGACGAGAGCAGCACCAGGGCCTCGCTCTGGTCGACGATGTAGCGCAGCTCGTGGGCGGGGAAGGCGGGCGACAGCGGCACGGCGATGGCGTGGGCGGCGAGGATGGACAGCAGCGTCACTGGCGGCCGTCAGCGGCCGGCTGGCTCTCTACGCGCGCTCCAGAGGAACGCGCACCTACGTAGTCGTAGCCGTTCTCCACCAGGAAGGCGATGCGCTCCCCCTCTGCGCTGCGCCCGCCCGTGTTGCGTTGCAGCAGGTCCTTGGCCGCGGCGACATCGTTGACCAGCTCGCCGTACGTGAAGCGCCGCCCGGACAGCGAGTGGACGATGGCCGTGCTGTGTCCGTCGTGCTTCTTGAGGGCCTCGAATATGGGCAGGCGGGGGAGTGTCGACGCCATCCTCGCGCTTGTCAGTGCGTGTGCTGCGTGTGCTGGGCGTGCTGGATGTGCTGAAGGTGCTGAATGTGCGGAGAGCGAGCTTCGGTGTCGGGCGAGCGTGCGAGAGAACAGATTCCGAGCCCACATGGCGACGACCCCCCTGTGGATGAAGTACCCAGCCTGCACCTCTCCGCAGTGCGGCTATCTATCTGCTGGCGCCAGAAGAAGGGCCGGCCTGCGCTTCCGAAGCCCAACAGCCGGTTCAGCGTCTATCTTGGGAATCTATGCACTTTTAGCGTGTCCCGGAGCTGTAGCAAGCACTCTGCCATGTCCCAGAAGCCATCTCGATCCTGTTTATAGCATGGTGCGGCGTCAATTGCTGTCCGACTGGGCTCCAAGCTTGCACAGCTGCATCGGCATCCCCACCAAATCGTTCCGAGCCCGCTTGGCACTCGTCCCTACATCTGCCCCCGACCAACACCAACGTCCCTCACCACCCTCTCATTGGCCCTTTTGCCCCAACCCAACCCAATCAGGCAGTGAAGCACGTTGATGTTTCTGAAAAGGCTCGCAGTTGCCGGGAAGCGGTCCATGTCAGCCATGTCCCAATCCATGACTCCCATGGAAGATGCTCTGCGGACAAAGGCAAGCAAGCCTGTTGATCTTGGCTAACAATCTGACACTGACTACCTGCCAGATCACAGAAGCCCTGAAGCCCACCACCCTTGAGATCCACAATGACTCGCACAAGCACGCACATCACCAGGCCATGCAAGGCCAGACGAGCAGAGAGGTACACATGCGCAGTGCCCCATCTCCATGTAAAGCACAAACTGACCGAGATAGACGCACTTTCGGTAGACAGTCCAATATTATCATTATAGTTGGAGTATGACATGATCCCCACTAACTCTCACAGTGTCTTCGTCACATCCGACGCCTTCAAGGGCAAGATGCAGCTCGCGCGCCACCGCATGATCAATTCGCTCATGAAAGACGAAATGGCAAAGGAAGGCGGTATCCACGCTCTACAGCTCACCACTCGCACGCCAGAGGAAGAGGAGAGCCGGAAGTAAGACTGTGCGAATCCAAGTGCATCATGTGTCTGGTCATGTTAAATAGATTCGTGCTACATAAGAAACATTTCAAACTCCATCATATCCTCGCCATCTCACACATCAATCCCGGTTGGCGCCCCAGAAGTCGGTGGCCGCACTCCTTGAACTCTGGCGTTCATTTCCCAACATGGCACCGAGTTCATTTCGGAACCTAAACGCACCGTCTCCCTTACTTGCTCTATGCGGCAGCGACGATGGCATCGCTGGAGCAGCAGCCATGGTCTTGTCCGGTGCGCCGTCCTCCTTGATCTCCTCCTTCAAGATCTTGACCTGTTTCTGCATCTCCTTCCATAACTCCAGGCTGTCTACCTCTGCATCAGGCTTCTCCGTCTCTCGGTCGAACCGGTCGACCCAGGCCATCTGCTCAGCATTGGTGAGGGGATCCATGTGGCCCGCCCAATGATGTTTCTCACCCTCCATTACATCTTCATCTTTTCCGCCACGTGCAGCAATGGCAAGTAGAGAGGCTACAAAGGCTTCTTGCATGTATGCAAACGAGAACTTGTCTGTAATCTCGGCAATCTTAGAGCAGAGCTTGTCAGGAAAGTCGAGGTCTTTGTTGTCCTCTAGCTTACCCTGCCAGAACTTTGCATACTGGACGCGTTCGTCAAAGTTCGGGTCAGGGAAATAGTACTTCCTGTCGAAGCGACTGGGTCGCTTCGCAATGCCCGGGTCAAGTCTATCGAGGTGGTTCGTGGAGCCGACCATAAGAATACCGTCATTGGATTGCAGACCATCGACCGCGTTGAGGAAGTAGGAGCGCACACTGTCATTGATGAGGGAGTCTATGTCTTCGAAGACGAGGAAGCAGGGTGCTTGTTGGCGGGCTTTTGAGAAGATCTGATTGATCGAGAACTCTGGCCCACCATACGAAACAAGCGTACGGACGTAGAGCGTAGGTACGCTGAGTCGCGAGTCCCCTTCCTCGGAGCCGCGTTGGTAGAGGCTGCGCATCAAGGCCTTTATGCTGATTGTTTTTCCGTTGCCGGGGGGTCCATAGTAGATGACACCTCGCTTCCAGGGTACCTTCAATTTCTGGTATGTGTCTTGGCTGTCAAAGAAATTCTCCACGTCGGTGATAAGAGCATTCTTCATCTCTTCGTCGAGTATGACATTGTCCCAAGTGCTCTTCTGGACTGAATTCCACAGCTCTCGGCTCTTCTGCCAATAGCCCTGATCGAAGACCCAGACCTCGTCGTGCAACTCATGACCCCAGTGTGTAGCTTCCTTGATCAGTTCATCCACCTTGTGTGTGGAGCTAGTCAGAAGGTAATGGTTCGTTACACTGGGATACGATGAGCCACCATCCCTCCCATCTGCGATGTACAGTATGAAGTCTTCATCGTTCCATTTGTATGCATACTTGCCAAATATGACGCTCTCAACCATGACGCCGGATTTACCATCGAGCCGCCTCGCTGGAGGGGCATAAGCACGCCAGCTCACGCCAGGCCCATAGATGGGATCCCTAACAGCATCTTGAAGCGGCGTGGCAGTCGCGAAGCCGGCAGAGGCGTATGCGATAAGATTGATGCTGCCTTCGGGCACGACAACAAGCTCGAGATCGGGATACTGCTTGCGGAGAGCTTCCACGAGCACAATGTCCGTGTTGACGCGTTGGGCGGATGAATGATGGAAGTATTCGCGGCTGACCCAGTCCTCGCGGGATTGGGCAGTGGAGCTGGAGCCTGTCATGTTTACAGTCTGTTCAAAAGATGGTGAGTAGTGAATGTAGGCGTTCGATGGATAGAAGAACGACCCAAACTGATCGCCTGATGAGCTCGTGTCTGCCTGGAGCACAGCCTCGCGGAAGGAGCTATGGCCATGTAGCTCTTACACTAACATCCTAATGGGTATTAGCGCAATTCACCCTCATTCGCTGCACCGATGCAACTCCAAATGACGGGGATATCGTGTGGAGGAGGCCTCGCAGAAGGTGCAAGAATTCTTACTTACAAAGTTACCTCGTTGTACCAATTCTAACAGCCGTAAACTTCAGCCTTTTTTATGGATCTTCACATTGAAAATACCAAGAATCGATAGGGCTTGTTTTTGGATAGTTTTTCTTTTTACTTTTGAGTTAAGCATTGAAGCCTCTTGTCTTGTACGACCGGACAAACGCCTTTACTTGGTAGAATATTAGCATCTCGCTGTGTCAATTCTTGTTCTTCTTACATGCAGACCTCACAATTGAGATCTAAAGACGAAAAAGGCAGGACGCGTTCTACACCGCCAGACGTATACACAGTAACCGCTCGACGCCTTTCTAACTTCGTCCAAGGTAGGTAAGTTGCAAACATTGACACACCGGTCGAGCGGCTCTTCGGGTATTTTGTCAGGCAAAGTCAGGCAGATCGTGGTTAGACGCCTGCAATGCTTCAAATCCTCGACCACAGTCCGGCAAAGCAAACCTGGGGTGCGGGACAGAAGATTTGGAAACGAGTTTCAGCTGCTCACATTGCCCGGAGTGGAGAGCGACTTTCCTACTGGTTCAGAGAAGTATCGTCGGATGCACGCAATTCCAATTCTCCATGCGTGTCGGTGGGATCTCCGCTCGAAACTGGTGCGACAGTTCAAAGGTTTGCGGCCAGGTCGATGTCTCGAACGGAAATTAGAAGACGAGCTTATGTCACCCATGAATGGAGATGGTTGTGGCTGGAGCCGAGATCCTTGTGCGAAGCTTAGCTGTCCTCAAGTCTTGGTCCTTGCGCCAAACATGCATGCCATCATTACCCTGCAACCTCGAAACACACGTATGCAGTTCCGCCAATTCTGACATGCCGTTGTAATTGAGGGGACGTGGGCCGTCCACCCGATACTCCAGTGAGAGCACAGTAAGAGAGGGACATGTCGCCCAAAAAAGCAGTACGTCCGCTGCTTATTTCTGAGGAGGATCGCGAGGTCCACCTCGCGCCTAACTGCGCATAGCAAATCTGAATATGGGAACTGGATCAGGGTATGCGACCGGCTACCTGATTCCACTTCCGCCAGATCCTACTAAGCGGCCGCGTACGAAATCCTGGCGGCAATGAGGATTCCGCCGTCTCCGCGTAATTCGAAAGGCGGTTTCGAAGATTACTAACACATGATCAGCTTTTTGGGTGACGCAACATTACCCTCATGTCCTTGACAGCCACACCTGCTGCAAAGACAGCGATCGGTCGGCTTCGTCTGTGCCCATCTAGCCGCTCACAGCGCTCTTTTGGCGTCGATCATTATTGCTTAGTGACTGCCGGTTGCCCGATGATTTTGATAGTCCGTAAATTTACCCGGTTCGGATAGTTGAGTATGGGGTACTGACTTGGGCGGACCACTTTAGCTTCCTCCAGGAGGGTAATCCACGCTTAGCTCACTCGTTATTGTGGATCCCCTGGGCACGCGTCGTTTACCAAAGCTTCTGCTGGAAAATATTTGAATCGCAATTCCCCAGATTGTCCCTTTCCTTCCCCAGACCCGTTTTTGCCCATCTATCCAAGCCTTGTCAAACTTCACAGACCAAAAACACAAAGGCAAATCCATACGTCACGATGGCGACAGCTCAAGAGCAGACTTATGTCCCAGTATGAATGACCCTCCCTTGAGCTACCTAGCTTGACCACACCTGCGTTAAATCTCGTCAACTGACATGACCCAGCACGTCGATCCCATCACGGAGAAGACCCATGGCCACCACGGTACCAACGGAACAAGCGCTCTCGACTATGCTCCCCCGGCTTTAGCTGCCAAGCAGCGATCACCCTATGATTATGGCGGCAACCCACTTGCTCACATCGCAACGAACGACCCAGACCTCCGTCTTCGACCATTCGGTGGTGACTTCCAGCCCGGTCTCTACAAGCAGAACCGCAAATTCGCCAACCCTGCTCCGCTTGGTCTGTCTGCTTTCGCGCTGACGACATTTGTCCTCTCTCTCATCAACGTCAACACAAGAGGCATTACCAGCCCAAGTATCGTAATTGCTCTTGCTTTTGGCTACGGTGGTCTGGTGCAGCTACTTGCTGGCATGTGGTAAGTTGTAAAACACCGCATACTCGACGTCAGCTAACATCGTATCAGGGAAATGGCTGTAGGAAACACTTTCGGTGCTACCGCTCTCTCATCCTACGGCGGGTTTTGGATTTCCTTCGCCATCGTTCTCACTCCCGGTGGTTTCGAAATCGCGTCTGGTCTCGAGGCAATTAGCCATAAGATGTTTTTCGATTCCTTTGGCCTTTACCTTATGGGCTGGTTCATTTTCACCTTCTTGCTGTTGATTTGCACCCTGCGATCTACGGTAGCTTTCTTCGGGCTTTTCTTCACGTTGACGCTAGCCTTCCTCATGCTTGGTATTGGGTACCTCAAGAACGATGGTGTTGCTCCTCAAGGCGATTGCATCGTTGCAGGCGGTGTCTTCGGTCTCATGGCTGCGTTCCTCGCCTGGTACAACGCTTTGGCTGGTATTGCCGACAGCTCGAACAGGTTAGTCAACATCAACCCCATCTTGATCACATGCATGCTGACAATTCGTAGTTTCTTCGTTATTCCCGTCGCCCATTTCCCCTGGAGCGAGAAGGGTCGCGAAGACCGCCAGAAGGTTGACAACTCGGCTTATCGGGATGGATCCCACGAGGCTTGAGAAGACGCTTCGTATTTTGGCTTATTTCCGTCCCGTTGATCGGGAGGTTGGGGCTTACATCGACGTAATGCTTGACCGTTCGCCGGATGGAGTCCGACGCTAGGCATTGAATTTCGAGATGAACGCACGAATCAGAGTTGTATACCACGTCGATGATGCACACGTTACGCTATTTAATATTAATATTCTTGCTCATGCTTGTCTTCACTCGTGATCATCTCATCGAGAGACTCTATCATGCAATTCTCACCCGTCTAGGACTTCTATACTGCCGCAACTGTCGTTCTGCATAGCTGTTACGTAACTCTATCCAAGTTCATGCCTCCATGCCAATCGTATGGCTTTGGACCCGAGCGCTGACGACACAACCGAAGATGCCGCATGATGCAGGGCCGTCTCCACTGACGTGCGCCATGGCTGTACCCCACATGCAGGGTGAAGTTAAGCTTCCCCCAAGAATCTTGTCCCGGGCGAACGGCTTCGACGAAGTCAGATCGCGGCTAAACACGATGATGAGGACATAGGGCGAAGTTGGCTTTGATCCGAAACCTAAGCACGTCATAGACAGCACGGTAACATATTCCGGCTTTCTTTTACAGAACGCGATTATCTTCGGAACAAGCTTGTTGAACCAGCTGCGCACACTATTTTTCTCTAATTTCCTTGGATCTTCATGCTCATTACTATCGTCGTTCTACCTTCCATTCTCTTCGTCATAACTCGCTTTCCTAAAATTCCTCCACTACGTTTTGCGCACATACATTCTTACCCTGTCTCGCTCCTGAGCAGTAGAATATGATACGCACAACACGGAGCCTCTACCATACAGATTGGTTTGTAGACACCAACTATACAAACGCGACATGTTTGTTGAACATGCAAGAGTACCTATGGTACCAGTAGCGCGTTAATAATATGCTCATACCCATTTCAACGATGTTCGAACTAGACAAGCCACCCAAAGCTTGTGGCTTACTGATGATAACCTCAAAATAAAAAATCGGAAGGTTGTCGGAGTCTTTTAAACGTGACATTGTCGTTTAGTTGGTTGATTGAGACATACAATGCTACTACAATAAACTTCTTGCATCTGACTCTTCCTTCGCGTTTCGTCATGTTTTTTTGTACTGGAGAACTGGTCTAATATCAGTTCTTGGTAGATGGATATACTCGTTCCCTACGATTGTAGAGAAGTTGTTATTTGGGTGACGCAGTAATGGAATAGTTGTTCAACTCCGTTCGAAACATACTATCATGATCTTGTGAAAACCAAGATTAACGTATGGTAGCGGTAGAGAGCACCAGTAGCAGTCACTAATGTTTGGCAAGGAAGAAAGCAACTACAGGAGGATGTAATGCATTGCAACGTTTCGATGAACTAGAATCTGATATCACATAGGCAGTCATCATAACCACTCGCAAGACGGGTACTTCACGACTGTGTCTTTGATGAATATATTCTTGAATACCTCATCTATTTACCTGATGATTTCGTAATTCAGTCCAGCGATGCATCAAAGCACTGCAAAAGCACTGCAGTACGACACACTACTATCTTGTACGTGCTCCACTAAGCTACTCCTCTCATACCTCAAGAACTTAAACCTGCCTGTCCCATCAGACAGCCCCTCTGCTTCCTCCACAGCAGCCATGAAAACTCCAATGGGATGTCTCCCGCATACTGTATTCCCTGTCTCGCGCAGCTGGTCGAGAAACGCCTCGTGCGATCCACTTTCAGCGGCATCCATGCTCTCTTGGTCCACTGCTGCAATACTCTCATGGATCGGATAGTCGCGTGGAACGCGAGAGCTGGACCGTAGGTTGGATGCAGAAGAATCGCCCGGAGGCTGATAGTACGTATAGCGGAAACGAGAGCCCCAGTGGCAAAAGTCGGAGGAGATGACGAAGACATTGGATAGGTCGGAGAGAAAAGGTGCAAGTAGAGAGCCGTAGCGAGATTCGGTACTAGCATCAGTGTTGCCTATCATTATAGGGATCAAGGGTACAGAAGTTGGGTCGTTTTGAAAAGCGGCGTTCTTCAGTGACAGCATCTTGTAGATGTATGGCAAGTGCATCTCTAAGCTGTGCTCGTCTTCGTCAACCTGTCTGGACATGGTCTCTAAGCCCCACTGCTGCTGGATTTGCTTCACAAGCTTCGTGTCGACAATCAGGTCTCCGAGTGGTGTACTGTACTTGTTGCAGGCGGTTGTAGCAGCGCCAGTGAGGTAGTGGTGGTGCGAGGGCCCAAGAAGAAAGATGCGTTTACTAGCGAGGAGTTGGTAAGGAATATATGCTGCACCAAGGGAACTAAACATACGCATTTGCCCAGTCCGCACTCTTGTAGGCCCATGCAGCAGCAGGCCCGGAGTACGAGTAGCCAGCGTGCCTGCGTGTTCATGAGCCGTGAGCATTCTACACGACTATTCTCTATCATGGAGCCTACGGTGCGATGATTGCTCGAGCGTTGGGCGTGGGAATGGAGACCTGGCCCTGCTGTGAAGACGCTGAGCCGATAGGAGTTGTGGAGCTAGGGACTGCTGCTAGCCAGCCATCGAGCTGCTGTGAAAGGAGCTGTCCGTTGTCTGTGTACCAGGAGCCGGCATGGGTAGGCCTGCGCGTGACCATGATGATAGTGGAGTTTGAAGTCAGAGAGAAGATCTCAAATGAGCGTTCTATGTGGTCAAGCCGGGAGGGTTCAGTGGAGGAAGTCGCGGGGTAGCTATTGTGGGGTAGCCGCTTGAAACGGACTAGCTCTTAAAACGCGTCGCGAGAGAGTCGCGTCGACTTCAGCCATGGCATCATCACTATACTGACTATCCATCCCATCTCGTGGTTCCAAGCCTCTTCGCGCCAATTCTCCATACATACGACACTAGACAACTGCACCATATCCACAAAACTTCACATTTCTATCCTTAACAGCACATACGAAACCATGACGATGAAGCGCAAGCGTTCCTCGGACGCCTCTCCAGTCTCGATCTCCAGTTTCTCGACGCGCGAGACTCAATCGCCCACACCGTTTCCACAGACCTCCAACGCACATGGCTGGAATTTTACAAACGCAAGTCGCGTCAAGAGCGGCGAATGGGGCAATAGGACGTGCAAGCGCGTTCGAGACAACCGGCCTGAGGAGCGCGTCATCCATGGTATGTTGCATTCCGCGTAGCAATGAAAATTGAGTAGCTGACAAGATGTAGAAAACACTCTCGACAAACTCTTTGCAGCACAGCGTAGTCACCCACACGCCGCGCCAATATCCTCCGATGCTCTACCCGCGCAACAGCCTACTCTAGTCATCTCTAAACCGCAAACATCGACACTACACTCTTTCTGGAAACAGTTGCCTGCACCACCCGTTCAAACACCGATATTTACCTCCGAATTACAGCTCTATCCAACAGTGGTACAGTCGCCACGCTGCGACGACTGCGAATCGCCATTACAGAGCGAAGGCGATGGTATGGATGTTGACACGGATGTGGGTGGCGCTGTAGAGTGCAACCCATTCGCCTGCAGTGACTGTGGGAAGAATGTTTGTGGAATTTGTGCTGTAGTATCAACTACACGGCATTGCTTGCAGTGTGCGACGACAGGGAGAAATTCAAGGCGTTGGTGGTAGCTTGGGTTTATATACAGTGATTGTTTTTCTTTGTGAATTATCTTGCTCGTTCTCAATAACTTTTCCTTGATACGGCGCTGTTTTGTATTGTTATGTTCAAAGGTAGCGACAGGTTGCATGGGGTTTGGAAGCGTTCATTCGTCAAGAGCATACAATACAATTATATTTTGACGTTAGCTGGTAGTTATCATGTGTACATAGAAGGACCGGGAAGTATAATTAATCAAACGTCTCTTATCAACCAGATGCTCAACGTACCGATGCATGCACACGTGATCAAAAGATCAAAGGATCAGAAGTCTACTTAGATAGAGGCTACAGTCTCTCAATCCCGCTCTTGCTCGGTAAAAGGGAGTGTTTTCAAGGTGAGGGTCCTGATGTTCCAGCCTCGCACAGCAGTGTTTGGTCCACATCGTCTGCGCAAGTATCAAAACCCGCTCTAGCTACTGAGTAATGTCGCGTGGATGTGACTCGAAGAATTATCATCGCAAAAAAAGCCATGGGCCAGCAGCGAGGGAGGCTTGCCAAGATCAAAAATGCAAAAAGGTCGTGCCCGGGCTCGAACCGGGGTTACCAGAAGTTTTGAAACATACACGTCAAAATCTGGAGTGATAACCACTACACTACACAACCAAACTACGATCGAACTTCGATGTGAGATTGATGGTTTTCAAAAAGCATGGTATATATTGCTACAAAATTCAGTCAAGTCCACTGGTCAAAGTCTCTTCTTGGTGCACCCGGGTCAGCGTGCCGCATGCGGGCTCGGAGTGGTCACTAAGGTAGCGGCAAAGTATTAGTTGGTTCATTTTCTTTGTGGCGAAAGTAAATTGAGAGGGTCACTTTGAGATAAATGGAATCTGACCCTATCTTATCGGCACGTGAGACGTGTACTAGACGCGTTCCGTTTGCCTCACCCCTCACGCGTCGTCTTTTCGACTGTGACATGGGACACGATTTGTCTCGTCAACCGCCATGGACGCATTGCTGGAAGGGCTCAACGATGCGCAAAGAAGCGCCGTCACAAGCCCTGCAAATGTCCTGCAGGTTCTTGCGCCACCGGGCTCTGGCAAAACGAAGACGCTGACAGCACGCGTCGCATATCACATCAACCACGAACGACTTCAGCCATGGAACATCATCGTGTGTACCTTCACCATCAAGGCAGCACGTGAAATGAAAGAGAGGATCAAAGGATTTGTAGGCGAAAAACTCGAGTCAAAACTGATTCTTGGGACTTTCCATTCTGTCGCACGTCGCTTCCTGTCTCGGTACGGCCAAGAGATTGGGATTGATAAAAACTTCGGAATCGCAGACACCGATGACAGCAAGGCAATAATAAAGCGTATCGTGTCACGTCATCAGTACATGGTTGAAGAAGGCCATGCACGATCGCGGATATCTGGCTTGAAAGCGAAAGGTATCTCGGCGGAGGCTTTTGCGGCGAGTAAAAAGAAAGTTGACGACAACGATTTCGCACAGGTCTATCTATCATATCAAGAGCATCTGAAGGCGTCGAACCTGCTTGATTATGATGACCTCCTAGTGCGATGCGTGGAGTTACTGCGACGTGCGCCATCATGCGTTTCGACAATTCAAGCTGTTCTCATCGACGAATACCAAGATACCAACAACATCCAATACGAGCTGATGTCACTCATGGCGCAACAAACGAGACGGATTACTATCGTGGGCGATCCGGATCAGAGTATCTATAGCTTTCGTTCCGCTGAGCTCAAGAATTTGCTCCGTATGCGCGACGACTACCCGGAATCAATCGTTATCAACCTTGAAAACAACTATCGTTCTTCGGGTCGCATTCTCAGACTGGCGTTAGCGGTCATAGAACAAGATGAGAGTCGACCTGAGAAAGCCCTGGTTGCTACACATGGCGCTGGTGAACAACCAACTCTCCGCCATCTTGCCAACGCAAACGTCGAAGCAAAATGGATCGTCGATGAGATACAAAGAACCAAAGTGCTTAGCGGCGGGCTACTGAACTACAACGACTATTCGATCTTACTGCGCTCTGCTGCTCTTTCGTTGTCCATCGAGCGAGAGCTGGGACGAGCAGGCATCCCCTATCGTATGGTGGGAGGTAGGCGTTTTTTTGACCGCGCAGAGATTAAAATCGTTCTCAACTACCTGCGAGTCATCAGCAACCCACACAACAACGATGCTGTAGTGAGAGTCATCAACACGCCTGCCCGAAAGGTCGGGGACACGACGGTCAAAGCATTACTGAAAGAGGCGGAGGAGGGGAAGGTCTCTCTTTGGAAGCTTGTCTCTGACGTTGCAAAGGGAAACAAAAGGCCCAGGACGAAACTATCTGCACCCGCAGTGCAGGGTATTGATTTGTTTTTCCGATTAGTTAATACAGCACACAAAAGGCTCCAACCTGAAGAAGGCGAGGCATGGAATCTCCTTGATTTGATTGCCCATATCTTAAAATCGACATCATTCGAATCGTATCTCAAGCAAACATACAAGGAGGATTGGAAAGACAGATGGGCCAACGTTGAGGAATTAGTTGCTCAGGCAACTCAGATGGCCACTGCACTCTCCAATGGAGACGAGGTGGCCGATGATGCGCTACCGATAGTGGAAGGTCTCGAACAACGACAAGACACTGCTGGCGATATCTTGTCAAAGTTCCTGGTAAACGTTGCGCTTGCTACAGATGTTGAGGGACACGATGGCGAAGAAGTGAGCCAGGTTACAATTTCCACCATACACTCTGCAAAAGGCCTCGAATGGCCTATTGTTTTCATTCCTGCAGTCTACAACGGCTCTATCCCACATTCGAGGGCCGAAAACCATGATGAAGAACGACGACTGCTATACGTGGGCATGACGCGCGCGCAAGCCCTACTGTATCTCAGCTGTCCTGTCAAACAGTCCAACCAAGAATCCACAACTCTATCGAAATTCATCTCAGAGGACGAGATTCAAGAACACTTCAGCGAGCGAGGACCAGACATCGCTTTCAAGCGTAACGTCATCTCGGATCTGGCACGAATCCTCGGTAGACCTTGTCCGCAACGCGCCGCCATTGAGGCTGCTCGTCATCTCTTGGAACACCTAGAGGATGCAAAATACCCAGCCACAAGGGATGAGATTGATGGAGATAATTCGTCTTGGGGAACATCCTACGATGACAGGTTTGGATCTGGCCAACACGGGACTGACTCGCAACTGTCCAAACGTCGCAGGATCGAGCCGGCGCTTGGCGGGTTCTCCGTTCCAGGTATGTCAATCACTGAGAAAACAGAAGGCAACATGTCGCTTGTCAGTATAGAATCCAAGGGTGGGTTTATCAGCGCCCGAGATGCACAAGCCATACAGCAAGAAGCACTACGTATGCTCGCCAGTGCTCAAGATGCGGAATCAGGCAAAACAACATACAAAAAAGAGACCAGAACACTAGGAACAAACCCTGTCAGGGCTAAGGCCGCCAAACCTCGAGCAGCAGGTCAAGGTTCTATCACAAGCTTCTTCGCAAGACCTGGTAACACCCTCTCAGAGACAAACCCCGTTTCTCCATTGGAGGTTCCTTCGTCAAAGCGATCTCGATTACTGTCAAGTTACACTCCTCTAAATGACATCTCCAATGTCCGACCAACTATCTCGCAACCCTCCGGCGGATTCCAGTCACTCTCGATGCCCAGCCACAAACTACAAGCTCGACCTATGGCGAGCAAGCCGAAAAGGGCTGAACCCGGATCGGATGCAAGACACGCTCTCTGTCTGAGCTCGCCTACTCGGCCACAGGATCGGGAAGTCATTGAGCTTTTGGATGATGACGAAGACACTCAAATCGGAACACCAGTGAAGCAGACTTCATCGTCGACGTTCACCTCCACGACTGCATCTCGACCTGCTTCTACGTTCCATACAACATCGATGGATCAGATACAAACCCAGTCGGCAAACAGGAAGACGTTGGGTACACGGAGGACGATGCAGGGGTGGAGTGTGAAACATAGCCAGATGCCGAAGCCGCGACCGTCTTGAGGTGTGTCCTTGGAAATGCATTGGCTTGGAGTTATGGAAAGTATGATTATATGCTGTATTGGACAATAGGTAAACGGATTGCGAGTAGAAGTGTTGTGGTCATTGATAGCTCAGCAATATCAACACAATGTGGCGTAGGTTTCGTTGTCTTTATCAAGATATACCATAAATTCATGATATTGTACATAAACACAATACATGATATTTGCTAAACGCCGTACACACGAAATCGTAATCTCTACTATACATCATAATCTGTACACGCTCATGTACACTTAAACAATAATCTTCATCCACGTCTAATCATGATGTAGAGCCGCTTCTTCCATAGCCAGCACCGCATGCTCCAACTCTCTAATCCTGCCCCCAACCCTCCTCTTGACCTCCTCACCAACGCCCTTATCCGCGCCCTCAGTAACCCCACGGTAGTATTCCAACAATTTATCCAACTCCTCCCTCGCTGCCGCGCGGTCGTCCGGCGCATACGTAGTGTTCTTCTCCGTCTCCTCAGCCGCAATCTCAAACTCGTCGCGCGCAGTGCCGTAGAGTTCCTGGATCTCTTCTATGGCCTCTTCAACGCTCGGCGACGATGGTGCTGAAGACGGCTGCGCGGGAAATCGTATCCGCGGCGTGGAAGCAAAGGTGCGGACAGAAGAGAGTGTATACGGGGTGCTAAATCGAGTCCATTGGTTCTGTGGGGCGAGAACGGAGATACCGCGCGTTTGGTAGGGCGGTGGGGGCGAGGGTGAGCGGGGCCTGGGCGCGAATTGCGGGGAGAGGGGGTATGCGAGCTGGAGGGTTGTTGGGGTTGCGCGGAGGGTTGTTTGGCGGATGATCGTGCGGAGGGGGATTGTGCGCGTAGGCATATCGCCAGTTTTGGACGTGTATGTTCGGGCGAACTGCGCGACGGTGGCGGAGCGCAGGGCGCGCGGCCGGAGTAGCTGTTGATGTAGCATTGTGGGTTGGGGAGATGGGTGGTAGTGGTGGTGGTGAGGGTGTGCAAGTGCTGGCCTGAGGCTCGCCGGAGTTAACGCAACTATGTCATGGGGCCTTAGGCAGAAGTGGTAGGCAGTGCTTCTGAGCAACCACTCAGGGCTGCCTATGATTCTCACGTGAACTGTAAGCCGAGATCAATATTGATCTGATATCCCCTTTGAGCTTCTCCTAGTCACGTTGGCGAAGTCGACATGTGGGGAGGGGCTGCTTTCAACCGAGAGCCCACTTTTCCCCCTCGTCTCGCTTCTCACGCTCCAACGCTAACAACCCCTCAGAGTGGTTATGATGTCTGCTTTACATTAGCAAATGTGGAGCGCAGAAGGTCGGGAGTCCTAGTGACGTTGATTCCAGAACGGAATGCCATGCTCGTGATGATCTTCCATCTGAGCGTCTTTACCTCTTTCTCAAAAGGTGTCCAGAAAACCATACAGGATCTGAACGATTTCAAGCGAGCGAGGGCTAAGCTCAGTAAGGCGATAGATGAATGGCAGTCACTGGAGAAAGATGAAGAGTAAGACAGCACACAGATGGGAGGAAGTGTGAAGAAGACAGGACGGCGATGGCTTACCACTCCATAAACATTTCCGTTTGTTGTACCCTACAAAGGTCGAACTACTCTGGCGGGCATCGCTCCACTTGAAAAGCCCTACGAGGGGCATTTGGGTCAGGATGGTCACTGCAGTGACCCCAATGGCCATGCAGCTTTCGGTCGCAAGCCCATCTCAAAAAGGACGTAGGTAGTATTTTGCAATTTCGAAATTCTCAGCATGTCTACGTCATGAAATGCTATTGTCCACCAACACTATGTAGTCCTATAGGGACTCATTCTTCGCCCCCCTTCTCGACCATAGCCAGGAATCCTTCCTGTCCAGACCTCATCTTCTGTACTTTGCCCCAGAATACTCCTGCATACTGCTTACTCGATCTCCTCTTGTCATGGATAGCTTTGAGAGCTATAAGGCTCAAGGTACGCCATGTCGTGCGTGATCGTGGCTTCAGATACAAGCCAGACAATATGTCATACAGTTCTTCGCTCGTTGTGCATAGCTCTCTAACGAAGCTTGTTGTATCCGTTCGGATGAGAAGCTCCCCGTTCTTCGATTCTCTATCGTTGCTGAAGGTTCGTGCGGCCCAGGTAAGGCATCCGAACGCAAGCTTGGGGTTTATTTCATTGTTAAGCGAGGCCTTGTCTACTCTTCTGTAGGGTATACAGATTGCTTCTGCACTGTATGGAGCTTTGACTAGCAGTTGCTGGGACGAATGGTATGTCCTTATACCTCTCGAGGATCGTACTCTCCCATACGGAACATTGCTTGGCACGAAATCCAGGCTTCATCGATAACCAATCTTCCCTCTCTTTGGTAGGTCACGCTCCAAGCGCCATGTATAGGTCAGATATGGCCTCAGACGTAGACACGTGACTCCAACAGAACTTAACTATCGGGCATGTTATCACAAGAGACCGCCGCAAAGGGATATAACAGACTTACAAGGCAGGTTGTGCTGTGCCACATGGTTGTTGAGAGAGACTGCAATGAGAACAATTGCCGGTATCGTCCTTATAGCAGTAGTCCCTATGTAATTCTGCAGCAGGTCTTTATGCTCGTCGAAAAGCAACTCTGGAGAGTCCACATCCCGAAGCCTTTCAGCCAAGTCAGGCTTTCCCGCTCGGGGTCGATACTCTCATGCCAATCGCACCAGTCCTTGGACGTTGTAGGTGGTGTAGGAGTCGCCATCGTCTGTTTCCTTCCCGGGTCCGGATTTGCGATAACGTTGTTCAGGCCAGGGAGACCTTGTCCGTGAACCTTCTTGTCGATGCAATAGCCTGTAGAACGACAGACGCATTATTGAGCGAAGTGAGTAGGAAGAGAGTAGAGACTTGATGTTTGTCGAGCAGCTTGCTACTTGTTTGCCCGTGACCGATGCAGTGACGTGTGCCTTCATCAGAAAAACACGTGAACACACCATGAGTGCAAATGGCGATGGTAACAGAGCCCTACTGGGATTCAACCAGGGTGTAGAAGTATACACGCTGTATGGTGGTGCAAAAAGACAGGAGCCAGAGCGGGCTGCAACAAGCAAAAAGATTCACTCTTGGTTGCTCGATACTAACCAAAGAACAACTGACTTTACAGAGGTTCGAACTCTGGACCTTCAGTGTGTAAGACTGACGTGATGACCACTACACTACAAAGCCTCTTTTTGCTGTTTGTTATTTGTATTACAAAATATATTATTGTCCGCAAAATGAGAGAGCTACGCGGGGCTGACAGGGTGTCATCTTCAGTTGCGCATTGGCAACACTATACAACGTACGGTGGGTGTATATCCAAGGTGGAGCCTGCATATGCAAGCCAGCAGCTATAGCTAAGATTTTCTGCTGTCAAATCAATTTGCTTACGTCACTGCATGTAACGAATAAGAGGTGCAGCGTCCAGCCACCCCCTCCCAGGTCCACCTTGAATATACACCCTCCGTACGTTGTAATTCAAGCGCGGCATCTGGCGTTTTGGTATGGAAAATGATGATGAAATTCTTCTAAGACACGCAAAAATCATAACTATCTACCGTGGAATCTAAGTGCTGCTGAGATTCCAATGAATGAGCTGCCATCGACCACGAAAAGGGTGGGCTGATGTTTCGGCCTACATTGTCCTCCATTGTACAATGGCTCTGGCGAGGAGCCATATGATCCACATGAAAATCGTTCTTTTCCATCATCCCAGTGCGCCACCACCATTTCGCTACGTGATCAAAGGCCATCTCAGCTTCTTCTATCTTTCCTGGCGGATTTGGGACTCTCTTTCGCCGGCCTAAGTTCGCGGCTTCAGAGATGTACCTTTGCCTGCTTGCGCACTTTTCCGTGAAAGCTGGCGTGCATTGGATCCTTTACCCCTAGGTATTTCAGATACGTTTGTGTATCCATCATCATCATGAGCCTTGTCGCAACTCTCGGGGCAGTTCGATTCGTCGCCGGGCTCGATTCCATGGTCGCAAAGTGTTCGTCCACATTCTTTGCCGTTCGATCCTCCCCGTATCTTTTTTGCCGATTACCCCATTCTCTGCAGTGATTGCAGCTCTTTTTTGTATATTCCAACAATCACACACCGACCATCTGCGTTGGTGGGGATTTCTTTTCTGATACAATGTGCCTTGTAGAAATACGTTTGAAGTCAGTCCATTACCCCGAGAGACATGTAGTAAACAAGCTAGAATCCTAATAATCAACTATAAAATATGGGTATAATCCATACACCAACGCAGACAAGAACATCATAACACCAATGTCAAGCTCGAAAAGCAGAATCCCGCCTACTCCGTCTTCCCCATAATCCAACCCCAGACTCCGCCCTCCGGCATCTCAACTCCCCAACCTCTCAAAAGCGCAAGTAGAACAGCACCAAGCACACTAACACCACCCAGAACCTTGACAAATACAAAACCCCTCCTCCTAACTTCGTCGCTGAAATCGCAAAGACCCAAAGGGTCCCTAGAGTCCAGGCCCACAGATTTGCCATACCTTTGATTACCCTTCTTTTCATCGCCACAGCGAACGACGGCCCACTCTGCTCTGGGCGGTCCACCAAGATTTGCGACAATAGTACCACGGGATACCTCTTCGCCCACGCGTTCGAGCAACCATGTGGCTCTTTCGTTGCGCTGCAAGTCGTCGAAACGATCGCGCTCGTTGCGCAGACTGCGTTGGAGGTCTGTTGCCCATTTTGCTATTCGGACTTCGGTCAGATGTTGATCGCCCTGGGCATATGTATTATAACGCGTGAGCGAGAAATCAGTCGGATGGTCCAAGGTCTCGGATTGAGCAAGGGAGGACGAGGAACCAGCGAATGGGGACTGTAGAGATGGTGGGAAGAAAGGCGATCCTGAGCGTGGGACGAGTACTCCGGATGGCGATGCTGCAGAGAAGATGGAGGAAGACACAGATGCTGGGTTTGGCGTTAGCACACGGTCAACAACATGATATACATCCTTACTGTTCATAGCAGCGCCGTTCAGTCCCAGTGAAGCAGTCCTGTGGCTGCGTGGGTATTGCAAGTCCTGTGTTGCAAAAGAGTTCCCCGGTAACTTCGTTATACGCCGCCATGCGAGGAATTTCTTCGCTGCGCAATGTCGTAACCAAGAGATCGACTCCGGATCGAACACCTGATTGACCAGGGTGGTAAGTTCCGAAGGAAGGAGCGGCTGCACGTAATCAGGTGACATGAGCAGAGATGCATCCATAGTGTCATTGTCTGGTCCGGCGGTTGACGATATCGCGTGAGGGTACGTTGGAGTGGTGAAGGGGTACTGATCAGGCTCGGTTGGTGATACTGGAACGGAAGAAGAAGAGAGGGTGGATACGGGGTACATGATCGACAGGCCTTGCACAGCAATCAATGCATCGTCCAGTGCTTTGCCGAAGAAAAAAGGCTTGACGGTAGTAGCCTGTAATCGAGAAAGTATAGAGGTTTTCAGGGCTATCAGTTCCTGTGCTGACAAAGTTTCCGATTTCGCGATGACAGGTATGACGTTAGTGAGGGATGAAAGGCGTTGCATAAATTCGACATCTTGCGAGATGTCTTGGTCTAATTCGATGTCAGTAAGATGGTCGAAGGGCAGTGGTTAAACTTACTTGGTGGTAGCAGATAGATGACTACGTCGATCGCAACGCCTCCGTTGCCGCTGATGACTCCCAGGACGTCGCTTTCTTCCATCGATGTCATCGAAGCTGTCTGGTACAACAGTGACTCTACATAGTCGACTACCAAGCTCATGTCCTCCTTCCCTGACGAGCCCCGAGCGTATCCAGGAGTATCTACAAAGCATATGTTTCTTTCCAGAATGGCGTCCATGCTGCTCTTCCTCCGTCGAATGACTCGAGTCTCTTCAACATCAGTCCACCAGTGCGGGTATGGCTTGGTGCTGGCATGTATCTCTGTCACGCGTGTGGTGCTCGCATGATCTGCCTTTCTCTTACGGGACTTGGACTTGGGTGGCGACAGCTGCAAGAAAGAACTGGAAGAAGATAATGGGTCGACGTGCACGATATCTTGGCAGATCTGGACGACTGATCGGATGAGGGATGTCTTGCCGATGCCTGTGATGTGGTCAGCACTTGTGTATCGCTGTAGTACTTGCTAGGTATGTTGAAGCAAGAGGCGCTCACCAGTCTCTCCAGCAACAAGCACCTTCAGCTTCCCCATAGCTTTGCCTTTTGTTGTGAACGGCCTCCTAGTCGGCATTTGGATGCTCGGCATGACGAGTTGGGGAAAGCTACTCGGAGCATCTTGAAGTATCTCTCCCTCTCCTCCCTCCTCATCCTCCTCCTCCTCCTCTCCGCTTGATGTGACGACTTGGCTTGCGACATCATCGAGCGCGGACTCTTCGTCTGAAAGCTTCAACGAGTGCAGGGACATGGATCTAGGTGTGCCGGGCAGCGCTGAGGTAGGCATGGGGGATGATACACCGATGCTAGTTGGCGTGAGAGAAGCAGACGCGCCATAGTTCGACAGCTTCCTCTTGAACTTCCGTACTGGTGACCTTGAGGTACCTTTGTCATCATCTCCTACATTGTTGCGACTCTTTGCCGTCTTGTCTGCTGCTGCAGTGCCCTCTGGCCCAAATGCAGCTTCCAGGGTGTCGGCTAGGCTTTGTACACCAAAGGTGCTCTCCCGTAGCTTTCCTGCTGGCTCAGTGTTTTGGAAAGCAGCTCGCGACTGCTCCATTTCCTCCTCGCGCCTCAGGAAGAAGGCGGTGGGGACATGGCTCGATGCGGTCGTGTGGTGGTGATCGACGCTTGACTTGCGGGACCGCGGCCTCGCAGATGAGGACAGCACGTCGCCGCCTGGCAGGGGTCGCATGGTTGGTGGAAAGCTATCGAGGACTGTGTTCGAGGGGGCAGAGCGTGTCGAGTGTATGTGTCTGTGTATGGTGCTGGCGCAGGTGATGCGATCGACAGCTTGACAACGTGATGCGTGATGCCTGACCCCCACCCGAAACCCCCGAACCCCCCGCAACGCTTGGAACACGGAGCTAGGGCCGCAACAAGTAGGTGGAGACGGGGGAACACGAGGAATAGGAGCAACTCAATCCACTCCAGAGCACTTTGGAGCCGATCCTGAATGCAGAACGCAGAATGCATGCAGGTAGGGTTACTTGCCGCGCTTCCCTCGATTGACTTGATTAGTGTGTACAGCACCCAGCCAATCAAATGCTCTCCCACCCTTAGCTTGCGCGATAGCTGAGATGTTGTTAGCATCAAGCAGTGCATCACTATGGTAGCTTGGGCAATGTTTTCTTTGTACTTTACTTTCGATGTCTTTTAAACCCCTCTGCTAGACGCGTCTATCGCCATCATGCGCCTTTTCCGTCCTTCCATCGCCGCCAGTCAAGCCGAACAGGACCGTAAAAACGAACCTGGCCTGCGCCGAATCCCCCTTACACCATAACCTTTACCCTGACCCCCAACACTTAGATGCCCATCCTCGTACATTAGGTATCGAAGACATGCGCAAAGAAAAAAACGACCGTGTCCCAAACATGAAGCTGCTCGAGTACATAGGCAAGCAGAGAAAAAATGCAAAAAAACGGAACCACTCGCTATGCAAGGGCTCAAACACCCCAGAGATGAACGCGAACGCCCAGACTTTTCCTCGAGATATCATGACTTTTATACAAGCGCGGAAGGGCCGAGTACAGTACACATAACGAAAACCGTCAGTCGTGATGAAATGGAGTAAGTCGTAATCGAAGTTGTGGAAGAAGAGGTAAGTAGTCAAAGCGTGCTAGGAATGCGCGAGCGATACGGACGCATTCAGGAAGACTCTTGGGGAGGGCCTCCTCGGCCGCGCATGGAACCGCCGCGGCCACGTGGCTGGAAAGCACCTCGGGGAGCTTGGCCACCCATACCTCCACGCCCACGAGGAGCACCACCACGGGGAAAGCCACCACGGAATTGTTCTGGGCGTTGGCGACGCTCCTCAACCTTGAGCTCGACGCCGTTGACGGTGTGGGGGTTGTTGGCGACGGCGGCCTGGTATCCAGCAGGTGTCTTGAAGTCGATGAATGCGCAGTTCTGCAACACAAAGTTAGCCCTGAGTATCGACCTGTAGAGAGAATTTACTGACCTTCGCACGGCTGACGTCGAGGTACTCAACCTCGCCGAACTTGGTGAGAGCAGCCCTCAATGGACCTTCCTCGACCTGGCTGTAGACGTTCTTGATGTAGCCACGCTTCTGGTCCGCGTCAGGGGCGGGACCTTGGTTCTGGACGCGAGACTGCTCTTTCTTGTGTCCGGTAGCGGTTTGCCAGCCTGAGGCCTCGCCTTCCTTGGCTGCCGGTGAGTCCTCCTGAGCAGGCGACGAAGTCTGAGCTGGCGCGGCCGCCGGCGCAGGCTGTGTGGGAGCCGCAGCCTTGGGTTGGGCAGGTGCTTGCTGGGTGGAGGGCGCTGCGACAACAGGGGTGGCAACCTTGTGCGCAGAGGCCGCAAGACTGGCCCATGTTCGGGGTGCGCTTGGCTTCGGGGGACCAGATGGCATGGCGACGGGAGCGGCGGCCTTGGGGGTAGCTGGGGCGGGCGTAGGGGCGGGCGATTCAGACTTCTCAGGCTCGGTGGCCTCCTCGGCAGCCGGAGCTTCAGGCTCTTTGGTCGACGCCTCCTCGCTAGCAGGAGCCGCAGCCTCCTCAACCTCAGGAGTCTCGACAGCCTCGGCAGCTTCTTCGACGGGAGCAGCAGCAGTGGCATCCTCGCTGACAGGGTCTTCTTGCGCAGCTTCCTCAGGCTTCTCATCCGCCTTGCTCGGGCTCTCTTCGCTAGCTACAGGCTCCTCGGGCTGCTCGACATCGGCTGTGGGAGCAGACTCCGGGACGCCGTTGGCGGACGACTCCTGCTGGGCCTCTTCCTCCTCCTCGGGCTCCTCGGCAAGGTAGCGGAAGATGTCGTTGAGAACAAAGTAGCCGTTGGTCTGCTCGGCGAGGATGAAGGTCTGCACAAAGCGCTTGTGTGGCTGGCCCTGGTTGGAGATCTCGCCAACGACCTGGATGACAATGTTGGCGTCAGAGCCCTGGGAGTCGACATTGGTCACGCGGACTTTGGTGTCCTTGAAATCCAGCTCCTTGATGCGCTCGTTGATGGCCTAGCGTCGTGTTAGTCGTGCATCGAGGGGCAGCGATTGGCATCATACCTTCTGTCCCAGACACACGCTGACCTTCTCCTCCTCGACGCCAGAGACGTATTGGGAGCGCTTGTTGTAGAAGAGCTGCAGACTTGTCGTCAATTGAAGATCGGTCCATTAATAGTGGGTGACTTACGTAAAGTCGGTCGGGGCTCTTGCTGAGGGTGGTGTAGTACTGCTCGACAAAGTACCAGCCGACCTCATCCTTGGGGATTTCCGCAGGCGCTTGTTGCGCGGGCTGGCTGGAGGTCTGCTGCTGCGAAGACCCAAAATTGTCGTAGCCCTGTGACGCGTAGTTGCCGTTGACAGGCGCTGACGATTCGGTGGTTGCCATGTTGAGCGTAAGAGGTTCGGAGAGCGGGGAGCGTCGAGCCAAAGAAATAGTTTGGGTAAATTGGAGGCGCGAAGATTTTTGGCAGCAGCCTTATGGTCTGCAGTGATGCGATGCCGCGGGGCGGGGTGATGGGGATATGTGCGGGAGTCGTGGGGGGGCTTTTGTGCGCGTGCAACTCTCGTGTGCGATTGAGGATTCTCGAGTGATGGCGAACAGTGCACGGACCGCGTTCAACCGAGCGCGCCAATCGCTACTCCACTTTGGAATCTTAGATATAGACATCAGCCACACCCACATAATGTACCTGCTCCTGCTCTTGGTTACAACGTGTGCAAGGGCTAACAAGCACCCCATACACTTCTTTTGCCCTTGCTCTGTACTGCTCCTGACCTTGCGACCTGTACTTTCTCAGATGCGCAGTGTTGACACTCTAGCTCTCGGTTGTGACAGCTGTTCAGGGACCGCAACCAGGGAATACCAGAGTGGGCTTGACTTGATGTATAATATGGTATCAACCTGCCTACCATCTGTCAAGGCGCGCAGTACTGGCAACATAAAGTCATAACATCACGTTTTACCAACTCCTCGTTCAGACATCATTCGGAGACGAGCCTCATGTCCGACTTCTCCGTGTCCAAAGCCGCTGGGTCTCACTCCCAACTCGGTCGTCGTGGACATCTCCGAATTAGCCGACAGTAGGCACCCGCTGGATTAACGCATTGGCGCCATCCAAAAGACGTTGCACCTAACAACGTGTTGCGCAAAGTTGCCAGTCAGCCTCAGGCTCGGCGTTCGCGATGTCTGAAAGGCCGACACAAGCGACGTCCTAACCAGTTGAGAGACGTTATGGAGCATCCCAAACGGCATTCGCGCTTCAAACAGCGCGACTGACACCCGGACTCATGGACGTTGAACCTTAATCGCCGACCCTTGACATGTTTCGTCGCTGCCTGCAGTCTTCACGTTCGAGTACTTAATCGTCCCGATCCCACGCACTGTCTCGTCGTCATGCATCTGAGTTCGCCTTTCCTCTAAGTCGTGTTCAGCGATTCTAATCTCCCTACATACCTTCCTTGCCAACCCCCCTTGTCCTGTGCCAAGGAAAGCTTGAACGACCTTATTTGATCCAAGCATCAGCCAAACTGCCTTGGACTTCCTTAATCACCTCGAACAGTCCACACCATGTCGACAACGACAAGTTTAACGCCGTCAGTGGCTGAAAATAAGCAAAACTTTGATATCGAACAACCACGCACCGACGAAAAACAACACGAAACACCTCATGCTGAGGCAGCGCCCCAGATCATCAGTCCGATGCATCCAAGCCAATTCCCCGAGGGCGGCAAAGACGCCTGGCTGTGCTTAGCTGGAGCTTTTTGTTGTCTATTCTGCTCGTTCGGTTGGCTCAATTGCGTGGGTGTCTTCCAAAGCTACTACCAACTCAACCAGCTACACAATCACTCGCCGAGCGCCATTTCCTGGATATCGAGTATTCAGATCTTCGTCATGTTTTTCCCAGGGCCGATTGTAGGCTGGGTATGCGACAACCACGGCCCAAAGTACCTTCTCTATTTCGGAACTTTCTTCCACGTCTTGGGCCTCATGATGACCAGCCTCTGTACAAAGTACTGGCACTTCATTCTCGCCCAAGCGATCTGTTCTCCGCTGGGTTTAAACTGTATCTTCAACGCGGCAACAAGTACAGTGCCGACTTGGTTCCTGAAGAACAGAGGTGCCGCCTATGGGATAATGGCCGCTGGCAGTGGGCTAGGCGGCGTAATCTTACCTATCATGACATCGCATCTCATCCCCCAGATCGGATTTGCCTGGACAATACGTACGCTGGCCTTCATGATCTTGGGTCTTATGCTCCTCGCCATGATCACTGTCAAATCGCGCCTCCCGCCCACGCCTCGAAAGCTTACAGTGAGGATGTTCATCGAGCCCTTCAAAGATATCAAATTTGTTATGTTGACATTGGGCGCCTTTCTTTTCTTCCTGGGCGTCTTCATTCCCATTAATTACATCCAGGTTAGCGCCATCGCTCACGGAATGTCTTTGAATATGTCGGCATATCTCCTACCTATCCTGAACTCGGCTAGGTCAGTCCAACCCTTCTCTTCCATGTTGCTGTACTGACAAAACTTAGCATTTTTGGACGTATCATCCCTGGCGCACTCGCCGACAAAGGTGGAAAATATAACATGCAAGTCTTGTGGTGCACCCTTGCTGGCGTCATCACCCTCGCCTTCATCCCCGCATCCAGCAACGCAACATTCGTCGTCTTCGCAGTCCTCTACGGGTTCACCTCAGGCGCCTACGTTTCTCTTCTGCCAGCACAGATTGCACAAATTTCCAGAGTCGATCAGATCGGGTTTCGTGTCGGTCTTCTATTCTCCTGTATTTCGTTTGCTGGACTAATCGGCAATCCCATTGGGGGAGCGATTGTGGGCAACGATGGCAAGTTCTGGGGTTTGTACACTTTTGCTGGTGTCATGATGCTATCAGGGTCTTTTGTGTTCACGATCGCGCGCTTTTATGTTGCAGAGTGGAAGCTGTTTGTGAAAATATGAGTTGGGTTGGCTAGGAGGCTTCATAGGTGGGTTGGTCAGGTATAGATTATGTACGTAGAACGGTCAAATCTCACAACACTCTACACTCACCAAAATACTCAATCTTGTTCCTGACTTTCCATGCTTTTCTATACGAATTAGCTGGTTTGGATCGTGCCATCATGTTGCATCATCAGCTTGCTCCACATTATAGTCAACGCATTTGTCAGGATTGTAGAACGCTGGTTCCAAACCCATGCAACCCTCCCATTTGTCAGGAATCCATGGAACACGTACATCCATTTACTCCCCCCCGTGCAGCTCTTCCCCCCGCTTCAGCAATACCAGCTCATCGTCCTCCTCCACGCCAGCAAGAACAGCACATTTGCGAAAGGCAAGGGTGCGCGCCTCCGACTCCTTGAACAACTTCATTGTGTTTCCATACGCCGCGTTCTTCTTCGGGAAGTACGGTAAGCACGCCAGATCCTGTGGTGTAAGGTTGTACTTGGACTTGCAGTCTGTCTGCGTAATCGCAATCTCTGGCTCATCGGCGAGTTTACCGTCATCGCCATCGTCCTTGGAAACCGCGTGCTCGGCAATATATGCAATCCACTTCTGCTTTGGCGTCTGCTCCTTCTTTTTCTTCTGTGTTAGTACTTCAGCGTCGTCTTTATGTCTACTAGCCAGTCAGCCCAGTCGTATAGAATGGAATGGATAGCATAGAGGAATAGACATACTCCTCCTTCCACAGCTCTTCTCCACGTTGCAAAATATCCGCCTCGGCCGTCATTCCAGCCAGCATGCCGTACTTCCTCCACGCCAGCTCCCTCACCTCGCTCGCAACAAATGACTTCGTCGTGTTTCCGTACATGCCCGGTTTTTCCGCATGCCGCAATGTCACCAATTCTCCCGCTTTCAGTCCATAACTCTTCAAGCACTCCGTTTGTGTTACCGCGTCCTCCTCCGCCACCTCACCGTCCAGAACCCGCGCTTCGTCGGGAATTGCATTGTCTTCTAGCCAAGTGCCCCAGTTCTTCTTCCACTCCTGTTTCTGTGCCTTTTCTTCTTGGACTTGCACTTTGGAGGTGTGTTCCGCAGCGAGTGTTTCTGGGTCTTTTCTGCGCCGCTTGGGTGGTGCGACAGAGTCGGCGGGTGGAGATTTGCGTTTCTTTGCCGCGGGGACCTGGGTCTTTGTGCGGCTTGTTTTCTTGGGTTTGGAGGTTTCGAAGTCAGATCCTGAGGCTGAGGATGTGTATTTCACAGGTGCTTTGGCTGCGTTGCGGCCTGATTTGCGTGTGGACATCTTTCTTCGATTTCGGGTGGGATCGTGATTTTGGGTTTGGGGAAGATTGGTGTTGGAGGTGATTTTTTATTTATCTATGGAAAGAGAGTCATTCGGAAGATAAATCAGGTTTCACGTCACACGCTGAGATGTTTCTGGGGAAGCTTGGACTGCTTTGTAAGGGGCATATTATAGAATGCTACGTCATCGTGTCGATCAGGAAAGCCAAATGTTTCGGCGGAGTGAAACGTGGGAACAAACAAAGACCCGTGGTGCTGACATTTGCCTCACCTCTACACCCAGTATCTTCTCCATGTTGTGTTTTCTGGACATCAAATTCACATTATCATACACGCTTTCAGCCCTGACAAAGAACATGTCTCATGGTAAACCTTTCATAATAAAAGCAACTACTCCAGAGTCCTCACCAACTAAAATCGACTTCGCACTGGGAAGACATCCTACCACTTTTTTCTCAAGTTTTTATCATGCAGCAATCGACTGCCGAGCATGAATAACGATCCAATAACCAGTGCGCTTCCCTGTTCACAATTAGCACCAACCCAGCTGTACTCATGTATGCGGACAGCGAAACTCACTGCGAAGCAGATCAACCATCGATATCCCTCCTTCGAGTGATCATCCGTGATGAGTGCACCGCCAATAGGCGTCCCAACAAGACTCGAGATAGCTACAACGCTGTAGAAAGCACCTATCCGCGCCCCGAGCTTGTCGTCTGGCGTGATCTGGCCGATGACAGGTGGTATCAATGCTACGAAATTACCTGTGCTGAATCCAAAGAGGCAGGCGAAGACGACTAGAGCGATCAGAGAGTCGATGAGTAGCCAGATGAAGAGGCAAGAACAACCTGTCATCAAGACCATGGGCCAGAGGGAGTTGAGTCGGCCGATACGGTCACCCGTGAGGCCCCCACTGTGTAAGTTAGCAAGCCAGAATGTGAAGATGCGAAGGGATCATACATGACTGCGCCTACAACGCTACAGCTGTTCATAAGCGGAAGGAAGTAATCTGCAATCGGATTGCCCGGATATGCGGCGTTCGCGTATGTCTCTACTCTGGACGTTAGCAACTAACTTCTTTTCATTGTCAGCATCAATCACCCACTAATATAGTAGCTTGGAATCCATTGACCAGCCTGACAGAAGAAGGCCCCGATACACAGCACAGAGTAACGCGTATCAAGAAATCCTCGAAAGTCAAGCAGCGAGCCGCAGTTCCTCCGAATACTCTTACCGCTCGGCTTGCTGGTTGATATCCCCAGCGCAATAGAGTAACAAACACTTCATCAGTTAGCCACCAACCTAGAAACTATCACAAAAACTCACGCAATCTTGAGAGCAGCCACGCGCAATGCCCAGGAAAACCCTAAGACAGGGAGCAGTTTTTCAAACATGAGCGGAAAGCCGATACCACCCAACGCAGACCCAGTAGTGACTAATCCCATAGCAAATGCACGCCGCTCTTTGAAGTGTTGTCCTACAACTGTGAGTGCAGGTTGGATTGCAAACGCAATGGTAAGGCCCATCAGCAGGCCTTGGGCGAGAAAAACCTGCCAGAATTGACCAGATTTGGCAAAAGATAGAGCGAGTAGTGCAACTATAGTACCGATTCCTGAACCGATGTACAGATACTGGTGAGGATGTCAGCATGAGCGAGCCTCTATCACAGTGCGGACGGAAGACTACCCACTTTTATTCCGTAGTAGTCGCATAGTGCTCCTGAGATGGCGGCTAGAGAGTTCATCAGAGCGATCTGAAGCGTGCCGATGAAGGCAATCGTAGGTGGTGATGTATGCTCGAGGAAGTCGCTGGTGTAAAAGTTCTGAAAAAAGCCAAAGCTATTCATGATTCCAAAGGAGGAGTAGTAGACGAGAACGGAGCCCAAGACAGTGAGCCACGCAGCACGATTTCCTTCATTCTCTTTGATGCAACATGACTCTGTATCAGCTGTACTCTCTGAGGTGCGACGCGACGGGAGGTCACTGGAAGATTTTTTAGTCATGGTGGGGAGACGTTGATGGTATTTGCTTCTGGAGGATGGTGGACATGTACCGGAGAAGATGCTACCTTCCTATATACCTGGAATCTGCTCTAAATTCGACATATGTACCACGACTATACGATGATGAAACCTTTGCTCAAAAAGACATGACACCAATATGTCATCGATCTCCTTTGGACGGGAGCTATCGGTTCGCCGCATCTCGCGAGCCGTGACGCTGTCTCGATGGGAATACTGCTGTTTGACAGCGATCGAAAGCGGGATGTAGGACGTGTTAATGACGGACATGACCAGGACAATATGTGGGTTATTACATGCAAAAATCGAGCTGTCAGAAGCCTGTCCAACAAAATACGACTTTTCATTGAGTCGATGACGGACGCCCAATTTTCTAACGGCCAGACTGCGTCATATGAACGGGATCAAACGGATATCCTCCGAGACAGAGCAAGCGAGCAGCGGACGAGTTCGAATATCTAAAGGAAACGCAGGGAGTGGAGACACAGAAGACTGCACTGTGTAACCGTAAGTAGTTTCTGCAAATTGGCACCCGCGAAATGTGGGTATGACCTCAGTAATGAATATATCTGCCGTTTGGTGACACGTCTAGTCCAATATTACATGATGGCAGAACGGGTTACACGGTAACTATCCGACGTACAACTTCAGACGACCTGATTACCTTCGGGACGGGAGATACGGCTAGAGTTATGTGCTTGATTGCCTTGTATGTTGCCGCGCTTAGACAGTATCGAGAGTATGCTAGTCGTAGGTCCTATACTTGAACTCTGTAGGTTGAGAGAAGCTTTCGTGCCGTCTACCCATCCATGATCAAGCTGTTTATCTTGTCTTTATCTAGGGAGACTCAGCAGGTAACTCCACCGGCTACAACCTAAATAGGTCATGGTTAGTATTACAAGACCATCAATGATGCGGCGCTGTCAGTCGACGCAATTGATATAGACATAACCCCCTCCATCTGTACAACAAATCACGGAAACAACACCAACAGCCGTGTGATTATGACGGAGCGAGAATGTCAAACGCACTTGATGTCTCGGCCTTGTATATTACGGTAATCTTGCCCATGCCAAGATGATACATGCATTCGTTGATGTCACTTCGATGATGTCCAGTGAATCTGATGAGTGCCAGTGATAAGACCGAGATTTGAAGTGGTTACAAATATTGTAAGTTTCTTCTATTCTCCTGCAGTTTGAACGACGGATTGTGCGATGTCATGACGAATTTTATTCTTACCTCTTTGATTCTGAATCAAGCTACTACAACAGATCACGTATGACACTCGTTTCGCATTTAACATATATGCTGTCAGCCAAACTGTGTAATCCACTGTTGGCCGAAACATCCTGAGTTTCGTAGCTCTTAGCATGAGGAGTGAAGGTCGTGGGACGAAGCGGGAAAAGGACGGGTTTAGAGTTGGGGTGTAAGCACACGCGATGGCCGCATTCACTTCAACGAAATACCAGTGAAATTGATGGACGGCGTTCCAGTGATATAAACATCCAGTCTAGAAGTCTGGTCGCTCGATCTTACGAGAGAGTTACTTTAAGTCGAGATCGAGAAAAACAGAAGAAGAGCTTGGACAGGTAGAAATATAACGGAGTGGAAGAGTTTTGACGATGAATGTAGAACATAGGAGAGAACACCTCAGTTAAATCACTACTATGAGACCACCTGCTTCGAATAGACCTAACGCATAACATCAGGAGCCTTACAGCTTAAACACCAAGAATCTATCGCATAATCGACCAACACATGTATATTCACTGAAGATTAACGGTTGTCTTCAACCAACGTGAAAGGATAGTGGTTGATAACACTCGACCAATGTATTATCACAAGAATGCGATTATTGTCCTATCAAGAACAAGGTGACGATGCAGTGTGGCTTAGTCATACAAAAGGTACATTCCGTGTGCAGTTGAAGCATGAGACAATAAGGAAGGATCTGCGTCGCCCCCCAAAAGGTAGTGTTGGACGCCTAAATGGAGCCAAGAAAGGCTTTTGCGTACCGGAAGGCGGGAGCGGGCATTGACAGCGGAGCGGAATCATCTTACCGGTGGTCCATCGGAGCGATAGGCGTTGGGCAGAAGGTTTGAGGGAGGGTGGTAACTGCGGGGAAGCCAACGTTGTCGGGTGATCAAATTCGATAACCTCAACCATGCAGGGATTCCAGATCCGGTAGTTAGCCTTCGGCAGATAGAACAACCAGGACCATGTTTACTCGCTGAACATTCAATGCCGCCCAACATTGGGCACAGAGGTAATTGTCTTCTGCCTGAATAACTACCTTGGCCTTACATTCACATGTTCATGATTTCTACAGCAAAAATTTGGATCAACAGTTGTCTGGTCTTCTTGGGTTAATTCTTGTAACCCCTGCCTCCCGGTATTTCGATCTGCCGAAAGGTAGCCATTCGATCTCTCATACGATACCGCCACGACTCAAGCGATGTGCACATCAAAATCCCTCCGATCATGCTTCCGCAGATCTCAACTGGGTTGAGATGGCTGTCATACCTCCAAGCCTCTAAGTGTCCTGACTTTCGCGTCGGCGAGCTCAACGTTCCATGTTGACCTTCGCTCTGCGAACGGACCCCTATTTGCTAAACACTTAGTCTAGCATAGCCTCGCTGTAGACACTGAGCACAGATCCCGCACAACGTGTCCTGACAGATAACCTCGCCGAGGGTAGTGCCGACGCAATTTACCGCACTACCTGAGCTCATTACAACAACGCTAGTAGGGGGGAATGAGGCTCCGTCAAGGCACTAAGCTTGGAACAATTTAGCAACTCCAACATTCTTCACCAACAAACTATCTAGTCAGTTGAGGGGAGTTGACTATCCTCAGCCTCATCTCCCTTTGTTGACGTTGTTCCAAAATGTCTAGGTCTATGCGGTAACGTGCGACGACGGGTTGGCTAGGGTACAATGCGAGTATACCCAACTCGTCCCAGACAGGCAAAACGCTGCTATTTTAGCTTCAACACACATCACACTATTACTCTGAAGATCATGGCATATGCAACTCAAAGATCCGATCTAAAACTGGAAGGTTCCAAGAACAGATCGCAACCGTGCAAGCCAGGTACAGGATGTAACTTCTTGAAGGGGACAAGAATCACCTCACAGCACATAGCACGAGAACAGACCGCCTTTAGCCTCAGACCATGATAGGTATCCCGCGTTAGAAATTCATGCAAGTGGATGACATTTGAAGCGGATCGAATTATTCCGCTAGAACGTTACTGCATGGGACCGTCCCTTCAGCGTTGCGAGTTCCCGAACAAACGGTGTAGAATTTACTCGAAGCAGGATATGACGTCTATACTATGAGCCCACGGTTGTGGCGTGTAAGCAGTCCGGTTTCGGGGTCTTAGTGCTTGGTATACGCTATACGCTTTACGGTATACGCCATCAAGGCAAGATGCTGCTTGTATTTGCGGAGAGGCTTCTACCTCAGCAACCAACAAGGTGTATGTCTGTACTATTCCGTGGTAAGAGGAAAATCAGCATAACATCAATAACCATTTGAGTTCATCATACGATGAGCTCCGTACAAGACCAAGGATCACCCCGATCGATAAGATATTTACTATCACCATATGTCGTACGATAAGCTTTACGATGAAAACACCAACACTCCCTTGAAACAGAAGACCATACTGGTCACCCCAGGAGCCAATCCGGCATGTGCCGTCCAACACAGCCCTACGAACATCTGTAATTCAAATAATCTGAGGGAATGTAGTGCCATATCGAGGTAGATGAAACCACGGGGACACGGACGAATCGGGCCGAGCTAGAATAGAAGTATCTAGGATCAACACCACGTTGCAAAGACCTAAGGCGCGATAATCGCCACACACTGAGGCTCAACGAGTCAGGGGCATGCGTTGGGTAAATTCCAATCTCATTGGAGGTCCCGACTCAGGGTTCTGCTGAGATTCATGGTTGTCCCTTGTCTCAGCCAACGCCTTTACTAACTGTTAGTTGTCGAAAACGTGTCTTTCGATTTCTTTCTACATTGGGACTGGACATGTGGTGGGTGCGCTTTAAAGGGCTTGACCTCGATGTCGTGCATGAGGCTGTTTTGTATGGAGAGATCGAGCGTATGGGATGAGATACCTACAGAGAGAGAGAGAGCGAAAGCTGAATGCGAGTACGAAGGGCAACAGATCTGAATAAACTTTCCACAATACGTCACAAACATCATACGTCTAACCATGCTTGGCAAGATTCAGATAGAGCAAAACGCATGTTTCCCTCGTGTTGCCACCACAAGATTTCCTCTTGGTGGCGTGGTGGTGTTCGGCACATGTCTACCAGGCACGGCAAAATGCTTGCACCGCAATTTTCAGCCTCATCGCACATCATCCGTGCCAAGCCTGCAACAACTCGCAATCTCATATGGAAATCTCCAGCTCACATACCAGGCTCTTCCCAGTGCGCCCAGCTGTCAAGAGCTCGTCGCTCCACATTTGGAGGAAAGTGACGCGAACGGTACAAGAATAAAAATGACCTTAGCGTTATGCGGGCCGACCCAAATGATGAAGCATGACCAGAACTTTAACCCTGAGTCGTGGGGTATGAGAGTCATGGAGGTTCACGTGGAACTTGCAGGAAAGCAAAGACAACAAGCGTTGAGCAAGCCGCCGGTTTGTTTTACTCATGTTTGCTTGGTAAACGTTTGAAGTCTGTATGGTACGACATGTCGTATTGGACAAATTCGTTTTCACCCCTGTTAGAGTTCATAGATGAGTTGGCACGCGCGCGTGCACTAGAGTTTTGAAACAGGCTCTATCCCGTGTTTGGTTTTCTTACTGTACCGTTCGAGCATGGGCCCTCAGCCTTGCGCTTCATCACCGCACCAATTGCAGTCTTGTTGGAGTGTTGGAGCATACACGGACATGCGGATTACGTTCAAACGCAGGGATCGGCTTGATGAGCAAGGTTCTTTGCTTCATTCTGATAAGTTACCGTGGTGAGCCGGGCGCTACACCCCCACAGACGTTGGTAAGATTCCGTCATGTTCGAGGTCGCGACCGTACTCGTATCATTGACGCTTACAATCTGGTGCAAGGAGTTGCTATGCTAGCATTTTCATACAAGCAACTTGAAACCAGATGAACGTGTCATAACGTGCTCAAACACCGGTGAGGTTGTGCAAGGAACCTAGCTTGGCAATCCTAGAGAGAGTCATTCCCTACGTAGAGCATTGTCAAAGGGATACACGTGAGTAGAAGTGCCGTTGCCGGACAAACGCTCGGCTGGATCGCTGCACCGTGCGATAGTTAAGGCGTTTTCCGAAGTCTAACTGGACCCTGAACTGTGATTTGCAAACGGTGCACTTAGTTGAGACAATTATGCATGTTATGATTCGATTGTATCTCCCATATCCCTTATCCCTTAACCATTCTACCAGACCCAAAATCCGATTGCGAAACCGGAAAATCCAACATGGTGCGCCGACCACTGATCCTGGATAACATACTTCTAGTAGTTACTTCTATTGTTACAAACCAACATTTGACGCTGTCGATAGAGTTGTCGGCTGATTCTGCCAACTTGCCAAGCAGACTATGCCCTCGTCTCGATCGTAGACGGCCCTTAGGGCGTCGTGAAAACGCCTTGTACATGTGATTTTAGGAGGCTTAGCAAGCGCCATGCGTGCATAGTGCCCGACTAGGCACATACCAGCTAGTATGATCCCCTTCTTTGGCTACCAACGACCATGCGTGGCGTAATCGTGTGAAAGGTGTATCAAAATGACTGTATATTCCTTCAGTCATGTTTCATTGCTTGAACATCATGGTAGGGTCCACTGGATAGCCCGAAGCAGCAAATCCTGAGTCGTACGCTGTAGGATTCACACCAACGTGGTGATTCATGTGCCCATGCGTAGAATGCGAGGATTGCAATTGAACGGGTGTATGTCCAATTATTTGCGAGTGCGACTGTGACATTGGTGGCTCATACGGTCCTGGAGTGGTAGAATTGCTCCTGTGGTCCGATCCGGAAGAATGAGAAGTACCATGTGAAGAAGAATATAGTGAGAGTTCCTCGACGTGACTAGTAGGCACTGTCATCATCGGTTGCTGAGAAGTGTTGAAGGGAAGTTGCGCGCCTGTCTGGGCAGCTATTCGGCGCGCCAATTCGTTGGACGGATAGGCTGGAGATGTCATGGCTGGCAATGTCGAGAAATCTTCGACAACGTTCGAAGGGACGGTTCCAGTACCAGGAGCGGGGAGACCTATCGACGTGGGGATGGTCTGGGGAAGGTTCAACGAACGGGGGAGGGGGAGGTTGGGCAAGACTTCGGAGAGCTTAGCGAGGAGAAGTGGCAAGTAGCGAGCCTGCCCACCACGAAGAGTGGAGATCAGTGTCAGAAAACGCGAAACGTAATCACGAGGGCCGAGAGCGAATGCGTCTGGGGAGAAGGACGTGCAAGCCACCACATCTGTCAGGCAGCAAGCAATGTCGAATAACTTTTCGATCTACAACGAATGTCAGCCCAATGCGCTCCAGAAATAGTCTTGCCAGGAAAGGAGAAGAACTGCTGTAGTGTGTGGACGAAATCGGACAAGGAAGATGTTTGCTCCTGGAGCGAGCTTCAGAGGTTGACGTTGGCGAAGTGGGCCCAAGCGCAAATTGTGACAAGGGTTGCCAGATCGAACCGAATCATGGATCTGAATACGAACGACTGCAGGAAATTGAACGCGTACTCACCAGTCCAACGCCGTGTATCTCCATGGCTGGTTGCGAGAATTGGTGGGTCATTGTGAGCAGATCTCTCGAAATCTGAATAGGGTATCTGAATGTCACAGCGGTGTCATTCGAAACGCTGCTGACCAGTCCCTGGCAAACGCAAAGCTGCCACACCATTGCGCGTAGCCATTGTTGAGTAACTCGGATTTCGACTGCCTGGGCTTCTGTGCACTCAAGATAGGATGGAACTGCCTCCGATAGCTGTTGCTGCAATTGTGTAATCCATGTAGGATTCACATGTGAATGCACTCTGTTCCAAAGGCTGATGAATGTGTCGTCGATTGTTTTGTACAGATTGATCATAAGTTCCAGTCCGATGGCGACAGGCCTGTCGGAAGGCACTTCATCCAAAGATGGCGTATGGATTGTCGGATAAAGCGAAATCGGACGGTGCTTGTGAAGCGCGTAGGTTCTGTCGAATCTGTAAGCCAACAGCCATCTCCTAGAGGCTTCGAAACCCCTTTGCACAAACCATACCTTTCTGCCATGAAGAGCAGCCAATACAGTACTCGCCTTCGAGAAATATCGAGGGGGTCATGCTTGTATGTCTCTTCGTCATGCATTCCAAGCAGTTGAGCTTGCGTCGTTGCTTCCCGAAGATAGGACCAGGCTGTATTCTCTTTTGCCAACCCAAAGTAGCAACCATAATAGAACCAAGACGTCAGGACGGTCAAGTGCGTAGGGTTCTCGCGGTAGTCGTAGCCTTTTCGCAAACGAACCGACTCCTCAAGAAGGGCATGTCCAAAGCCTACATTGGACAGGTGAGCCAACTCAGGGCGTAGTAACACGCTGGGCGGCAACTTCATGTTGGCTTGGATCATAACGTAGGCACAAAGGGCGACGACCATGCAATAAGCCTCTGTAGATCGGTCCATGTTCACAGCTGCCTCTTGCGCCCTTTGGCGATGTAGAACAGGCTGTGAAGGATAAACGTGGGTGAAGAAGAATTCCAGGCAATTTTCGACAAGTCCTGGAGGTAATAGACCAGGTGTGCGAGCGAATTGGGAAGACATTGTACGTCCGTCGAAGCCCATCTCTGGGGAGAATCCTGTAGCAAGTTGGGCGTTGCGCTGACTTTCGCGAAGTTCAGAGAGCACTTTGGCTCTGCTCCCTTTGGGTCCTTTCTTTTGTGGGATAGCATTGTATGTGCATGCAAGGCCAGCTGAGACACAATTCTTGCATGGGTTGGTTCCTTCGCCAATACATTTGACTTTCCGTCGATGGCAACTGTGTAGCACGACGTGAGCAGTGAGGTGGGCTGGTGGACGGCAGTATACGCACCTATCGCAAGCCCGTTTGACCGGCGCAGTGATGATGGTGTTATTGGAGGCCATGGTATAGCGGGTAGGGAGCTAGTGGAGGAAGGTCTTGTTCTCCGCGTGGAGTAGAAGACTGTTGCCGAGAGGATCCGTTGGTACTATTAGTACATTGAACATGTTGTGCGTATGGTCGGGGACATTGTTCTTGTGTCATTGATCTATAGTGAACTCTCATTCGCAACCTTGACGACGGAAAAGCCAAGAGTCAAAGCGTCAAAGCTGCACATTGACTAGACTAGTGGCTCCCGCCGCGTCTACAGGGATGGGCTTGCTAGCATACGAGTCCAATGACAGCGGCTGGAGGTACATCCTGCATCCCTGATTCCACGAGGAGGAGATATATTCCGCAAGGAAGTGTATTTGGTAGGTCAAACGCATACCACACGGTTGCAGGCCATGGAGCTTGGGCGGTCTGCTGGGTTGGAGCAGGCCTGACGACACATCCCAGACTGACCGCTGGGCATGAGTAATAATTCTACAACGATGGCACGGCCGGTTCCTTCGAGCGCAACGGGAGCGTGTCGATAGTGCACTGCCGTATGACCGATGATGTTCCGGCAGCAGCGCTCCAAGAGATGAAGAACCATCGAAGCAGACTCGGCAGGTGAACCGTGTGTTGGTGCTAGAATTCCTGACCGCTCCCCTGCCATTTCGAGACAATCGTAGTGACCACTGTCTGCCCGGGCAGGTGCAGGGGTTCTCCACGCAGGCTGTACACAACAGGCCCGCCAGCTGCACTCCGTTTTGAGTTCCGCATTCGTATCGCGAAAACGAGGCGGAATATCCCGTTTTCTGATTTGGTTCGTCATACTTGCTGGCGGATTCGGTCTTCTAAACAGACATCTCGCATCGAAAGGAGGTAGACCGTAGCGAATGTTCGTGTCTCAATGGCGAGACGCAGGCGTTGATACTTTGGGGGTTAGAGTTGACCTTGAGATAGGTGTAGCGTGGAAGGGCGCCGCGTTGGTACCCATTTCGTTTGAGATGTGCTGCGTTAATGTTTCTTTTTCTCCAGGCAAACAGCGGATTCAAACTTCAACCGACAACAAGAGCAGTGGCAACTGCTTATATCCTCATCCCTAAAGGCCCGTTTTTCGGACTCATCCGCTGCTGAAGACATTCTGGAATCCGAAATACTGCCGACCACGATGGTTATACACGATCCAAGATGTCGCCACCACGAATGAGAGACCGAGGAAGGCATTCCTGGAGCAGTAAGCCACGCCAGGGAACGGGTCCACCACAACTCAGCGCATAGCGTACTCAGACGGTCTGTAGCGCCAAAGGTGAGTAAAAGCACACGGAGGATAAAGTGACGATGAGGTTCTCTTGGTGTTGAGGCTTTTGGAAACCGAGTGAATGGGATGATCTGAGAATAAGCTCAACGATCTGCCACTAGCAAGCATTCCCACTCCGCGGAGGGCCAGCGGTAACATCACACTCAGGAGACCTTCTCGAACACGTCTCCATGACTATGTCATTCATCGCACAAGGTCACAGTGGTGCGTCTGGTGTTGTGTTCAGTACACGAGCTCGAGGCAGGTCAATATCCTCGTATCTCAACAGGATCCAACGACGACGACTTAGGTGCCACCCAATCCCTCATAAAGACTTGTCATGATATGCAGTAAAACGCTTCCTGTCGCCAGAAGTGAGATTCTCAATATCCCACGGTCAGCGTCGGGCCATCTCGCTTCTGACAGCAGTTTCGGCAGAAAAATCTAAGGCGTGTTTGTCTTCACAAGGACTTTTTAAGTTCAATAATAGACTTGGTTGTTGGTCAATCATCATTAGGATCGTATACCTTGCCGGTGACACGAGATACACTAGTTCTATAGCCAAAAAGCAAATATGGAATAGATCAAACACATGAAGACGTATATGTATCGTTTCAATGCAAGCGAGAGAACGTATTCCGTTTCACAACTCGAATGAACAAACTCCCATTGTGTTGGTCAAGGATGTTTTATCATTTAGATACCCGCTGCAGAGCATCCCGTATACGCAACAGCACTTGATATAATCTACCTATCCAAAAACGCCCAAAATGCACAGTACCCCCACATCTCACACATGTCTTTCGCGTCGTTACAAAATTATCATGAAAACTCAACTCGACTCCCTCCCATCCTGGCCTGCTTAGCCTGCGCTCTCTCAGCTCTTCTTCTCCGTCGATTAGAATCGTAGTTGCTTAGGTCCGTCTCCGTACCATACACAGGACTGCTGAGCACACTCGCCGCCGCGCCTGGTAGCGCGGGGGGAGGAGATACTACACCTGTCGGCATGGAGGGTGGAGGCGGAATTCCGCTGGGACCTGGTTGTGCAAGGTTGGCAGGAGGAGGGCCTGGAGGAGGTGGAGGAACGTAAGGCTCGGGCATGCGGATGGGAGCAGCATGTGATAGCGCAGAGGGGGCAGCGGATTGCGCCATCTCCTGTGCTTGTGCTGCTTCCATAGCCTCCGTCCTACGCCAGCGATCGTTATCCAAATTGCTAAGCGAACTCATGCTTCCGTTGCGATTCCGTCGCTGTCTCTCTCTTCGTCGAGCCTCTCGCTCCGCGGCTGCTTCTTCCTCGTTGAGTCTGCGAAGCGTCACGTGTCGACCATCGTTGTGCATTTTGACCTTGACGGAAACCGGGGGGGACGACACACTGCCATCGCGACTGCCTCGGCGCCGACTGTTGTCTCTCTTTGATGGCGAACCAGTAGATAGAGCGGTGGTGCCAGCAGCGAGTCCTGAAGTACCTCCGGAGCGGTGGCGACGATGATGGCGACCGCCTGGCGAGTTGTAAGCCTCTGATCCCGAGTCGGACAAGACGCTATACGGGTCTACGGATGGCGGTGGTCGAATGGGGGCCGTAGAAGCTCCTATGGTAGATTCCATTGGTGGCGGACGCGTGTTGTGTCGCGGCGCTACAGATGGAGTGATTCCAGTAATGTCGCTTTCAGAATAGATGGTGGAAGGAACCCTGTGCTTCCTTGGGGGAACACCATCTCCAGTGAACTTGCGACGGTTGCTGTTTGATCGGGCAATGCGTTCCTGTTCAAGATCCTCTTGTCGCAGAGCCTCCACACGTTCATCCTCCTTCTTGTTCTTGCGTTTGCTGAATGAGTGTTTGAGGAACCCCATGACGCCAAGCGTCTTGACTCCATCTTTGACTCCGTATGAATCTTCGTGAGTTCTTGTTTCGTGTTCGTAGCTTAAACTTGTTCGACTGTCGAATGACTCCATTGAGGTACCACTTCGTGCTGGAGGATGACCCTGCCGCAACGGACTTGCTCCCATGGCTGCTGCTTGAGCGGCTTCCCTTTCCTCGACACGGCGCCAATCCCGATTGTTTGCTGGCGAGGCAGGGGCTCTTCCTTCCTCAACTCGGCTCAGGTCTGCCGATGTGACCTCAGACGGGCCTAATGGACGACTGTAGCTTATATCACTGCCCGTCTCGGTGGGAGGGGGTCTTTTGTCGCGACCAAAGAGTGACTTCATGGCGAAAATACCCCCAGCGGCGGCTCCAGCGCCCAATAGGCGATCTTTCCAGGACGCTCCTTTCTTTGGGGCAAATTTTTCATCGCTTAAATAAGACTCGGTGAAACGGGAATCAGTAACGCGAGAGCGTGAATCAACTCTGCTGCGACTACGCGATTGTCGGCTATGCAACGCAGCGAGGCCAGCACCTGCTCCTGTAACCCGGCTTCTTCTGCTCCTCAGGCTGGTGCCGGTGATCCCAGTGACCCCGGTGATCCCGGTGCGCTCAGTAATGTATGTCGTACCATCATCAAAGTCCATCTCAGGCTGGTTCGTATACGACAAGACGAAGTAAGCAACCAGGAGGATAAAGGCCCAGACGGCGTAAAGGATGAACAGCACGAGTGGAGAACCCCAAAGAGTCAGACCAAGGGGAATTTGTACAATGCCCAAGACTGCGACTATACGGCCCAGCCATTGGTGAAACTACGAGTATTAGTTGCGGCTGCCAACAATTTTGGGTTAAACATACCATAAGCTTGAGCGGGATTTTCCATCGTTCTTTGCCCTTCTCCAACTTATGGATAATAGCTCCACCGAGAAACTGAAGTATCACAAGGGAGTACAGAGCAACGCCAATTCCGTGATGTGGGTTGGATAGCGATCGCTCGCGGCCAACAGCCTGGAATCCAAGTACGATTGATGCGGTTGCAAGGAGTACTGTCAGGATTTGCAGCCAGATATGGAATCGTAGCGCCGTATGGGGGTTTCGATGATAGAAACGAGCCATGAAGATTGCGCCAGGGACAACGAACAGAAACGTAATGGCGGCCAGGGTGCCGTGGGCAGTTATTAGCCCTTGGTAGCCGACCAGATCGCGAAATCGGTTGCCCATGCCTACAGAGTCAGTCGTTTTTCGCAGATGAGCAGGTGCAGCGTGTGCATACCGTTGAGGCGCATAGTCTCAAAGTTCAAGCCCAGCAGATTCGGCAGCAAGAAGGTGTTGCGTTGCGAGTCCCACGTCCCATCGCCCACATACATCGAGTCCGAGTTGTAGACGCTGCTCCCAGGCGCCGAGAGCCCGTTGGTCGACATGGCGGTGGTGGCTGTCGATATCCGTTATCCAGCAAGTTTCGATGCTATCAATGTCGTCGATGTGTAACGGGTCGAGCGCACCCGGTAAAGCGAGCGCTGCAACGATCGAAATCAAAAACCCGACGCTAAAAATGCACAAACACGATGAACAGGAAAAAGTCGTAACGTCGTGACGGGCGTGGCAAGGGAGATGTGTTGGTCCGCGGTTAGGCTCGTGTTGGCGCTGGGGGTGGTTGGGGTGGGTGGGAGCCCGTCCGGCTCGGCGGACAGCTCGGTAGAGAACGTCAGTCGAGTCGCTGTGCTGGTCGGCGTCGTCTGATGGCCTTGTCAAAGTACTTCGACGTGCGCAATGGTGTTTGAGTGAGATGCAGTGTCCTGACGTCGAGAAAGGCAGTCGCAACCAGCTCATCTAGCCTGCGAGGAAGGACCCACCTGGCGCCCTTGTTTAGGTACACAGCCGTCAGCCGCCTGGCCTGGCAACGTACATCGCTAGCCTTTCTTGCGGTGAGGCGGGACTTTTATCACCCAATCGCAGCCCGCAGCCCCTGTCTTTAGCTGGCACATCCTTGGATCGAGCCGTTTCCTGGTTTTTAATTCCTCCATCAACGTGCCATACATCTCCATAATCGTGCATACCCCATGCGCTGGCACGCAAATGGGGCAAAACTCTTGACAAATGACGGCTTGTACAACCACACTTGCAGGCGACTGAATTATTCATTTCGAGGTAGCAAGGCCTACGCAAAAGCTGTGGTATCTCAAGACTCCAGGTCCCAACCCATGACGCCATGAAAGAAACACACCAGAATCATCACTCAACCTCCAACATGTCCCGCAAAGCCTTGTCAGATGCCCTCAGCCACCGACCTCTCTCCTCCAGCTCGTCCCCAATCCCTCCACCCTCTTCCTTCCTTCTCTTCGCCTCCTTGGCTGCTGCCACAGTACCCTGCCGTTGTGTCTCCAGCGGCTTCAACTCGCGCTCTAGCTTTTCCAGCTCTCTTGCGCGGTTTGGAAGAGAGGCTTGCAGCTTTGCGATCTGCGCATTCAGAGCTGCTAGCTCAGTCTCTCGCCCGCTAACGAGTTTGAGTGTCTCTGGCAGTGGAAGAGCAAGTTCTGGGTTGTTCGACGGAGGTGTTTGTTCTTGCTTTAGCTGTTTGATACTCGCTTCCAGGCCCTCAATCTCGGTAGGAAGCGCCTCTAACAGCTGTGTCCGGAGTTGGAGGCTTTCATAGCGCAAAGCAAGCTCTTTGCCCTTCTCTTCCAGCTGTCTGAGTATCTCGGCGACTTCGAGTTTGCGTTCCTTGAGGCTTGCTTTCAGGGCCAGAACTTGTTGCTCTTTCGCGTCATTCTCGGCAGCCTCGACTAGACGTGGCGGGTTTTCTGTTATGCTGCGAAGAAACTTCTCCTTGGTGACCTGTTCGACGTAGCTAAAGCGCAGTTTGCTGAATAGCTCCTGTGGAAATGTCAGTATACTACGAACATAACAAACAACCGGCTTTACGAGACCTTGTAGTGCACCAAATCTGCTTCCAATGCTGCTGGATGTGTCTCGTTCTGCTCGCTATCCTCTGATGCAGCCGAATTGCGCTTCTTTGCAGACTGTGGATGGTCTTTTGGCGACAGGGTCTCGGCGATGGCTAGGAGTTTCAGTGACTGTGGTTGTTGGAGTTGCCCGAGAGCAGATGCCGGCGTGGGCGCTGCTGGTTTTCTTTTGGGGGCCATTGTCGTGTGTTGTCCAGTCGTGCTTCATGCGCGTGGAAATGTGGAGGGCTGTTTGTTTGGGCTCACGCGCCTTCCTTCCCCGCGGCCATTACCGTTTCGAGACTAGCACCTGATGCATGCTACGATCTCGCTTTCCTCCACGGCTTCCACTCTTAGTCTCTGCTGCCAGCTAGGCCCACGAATCCATCATGGCTGGCAACATCCATGATGACGAGTACGTCGCGAATCTCTTGGATCAGGACGCAAAGAGCGCAAAGAAGAAGTACGAGCTTGTCGGCATCGATGCCTTCAATCCCAAGAGGTGCGTTATAAACTCTAATGTACATGTACACACTTTAGTTCTTACGAACGATACTGACATAGACTAGGTCGAAGTCTGGGGCACCGAAGCCTAATACCAACTTCCTAAGACACATCATTCGCCAAACGGACAGCCACAACTCTGCGCTGCTGGCGAAGGAAGCCGAGGAGTCACATGCACGACTCAAGCGAATGAATGCGCAACATGAACGGGAGAGGAATACAGACAAGGGTGTGCAGAGGAGCAGGTTTTATGACAAGGATGAAAATGCGCATAGCCAAAAGCTGCGAAAGAGGCAGCGGGACGGGTCATTGGAATCACGCTCTACAAGCCACAGACATAGTAGTAGGCACAGAAGGCGGGAGACGAGGAGACACGAGGACAGCGAGGAAGACCAGGCCGCCCGAAGATCGAGACGTTCAAGACACGACCACGAGCAAAGGAGATACAGCAGTGAGGAAGCGGACGATAGGTCGCGCAGAAAGGCTACAGATCGCAGGCATAAAAGACGTAGGTCCACGTCAAGATCGCGTTCACGGTCACCTCGCTCAGACAAGCACCGGAGGAAAGACCGGCACAGACATCGGTCACGTTCTCCCACGCCTAAATCGAGGCACAGCGGTCATATTTCATCGAAGCCTGCGGTAGGTTCTCGAAAATCTAAACGCTCTGCAAGTCCTGCATCCGATTCGGATCCTCTCGAAGCTATCGTCGGACCGCTTCCACCGCCTGCACAACCGGTGATTCGCTCGCGTGGCCGAGGCGCCCATAAAGCCAATGGCATGGACATCGACTCGCACTTCTCTACCACATACGATCCATCTGTGGACGTGCGTCAGGCATCTGACGCCGAAGACGACTGGGGCAACGCTGTGGAATCGTTTCGGGACCGCCAGCGATGGAAACAACAAGGAGCAGATAGACTAAAAGCAGCTGGCTTTACAGATGACCAAGTGAAGAAGTGGGGGAAGGGTGACGAGAAGAGCGAGGAAGATGTAGTCTGGACTAGAAAGGGGCAAGCAAGAGAGTGGGACAGAGGGAAGGTTGTGGATGAAGATGGAGACGTCGAGTTGAAAGCGGATTGGGGACGGTTGAAGTAACGGAAATCATTCATCGCTGCCCACTATGCTGGGTCTGGTGAAATCTCAACATTGATCCTGGAGATGTCCTACCACCACTTGCTGGATCGGTGTTTTTGAACTGATGGATTAGATGGCCAGTCTCGTCTAGGCTATGATCGAGTTGATATTCAATCAACTACTACTGTACATGTCTGAGGTTGGCCGCTTGTCACTCCACAAAGTCTCTTTCCCAGCAGCCATCGCATTCAATTCACGGTACATGTCAAGCGCTCGAGACACAAACGCAGCCACTTGCGGGTCTTCGAGAATAGATCCTCCTATCTATCCTCGATATACACATATAGCCAGTCTCTCAATACAGTCGATCACAGCCTCACGCTCAATGCTCCTATCACGCCACAGCATTCCATTTTAGCATATGGTACCATCGACGGCGATGGCGGTGGGCGTACGCAACTACACATCTACCAAATGACGACGCACTCAACTTCTTTCCCCACGGACTCTCCATATCTAGTCCATGTCTGTAGAGCACACCAGCTCAGCCTTTCACTACGCTAAAGAGCCACCGTGAATTATTGACGGGAAGGGTGGGGGGATGGCGTGTTGGGGGGGTGATTGAGGCTTCCAGGACGGTGAGGGGGGTATGAAAGAGAGTTAGCTGTGAGAGGTTGGTCCGGAGGCGGTTGCGTGAAACTTGATGTGGAGGTGGGTGTACGTGTACGTCGACTTATGATGCGTCGTTTACAATGCAAGTAAGCATATATGCAGTCTGTGATCGGATGTTCGCACTGCTTTTGCTTATTCCCAGTTATGGTGGTAATCATGTTATATATCACTCTGTACCTGCCAACGAGTGCCTGATTACTACATCCTCTTATTCGTTCAGACTACACCGCGCTCACTCAAGGCCTGACGGAGTGGTACAAACAACACAGTGCCTCAACGAAACAAGATAAGTCCTCCCATCACACGCTCTTCTCTCCCTGATACCCAGGTTCAGGCGACGGGAGAAGCGGCAGCGGCCCATTGCGCAGGCCAGGAATACCTACAGCCCACGGGTCGTTTCCCGCCCGCACCTCATCCATGGGCTGGTTGATGTTGAGAGAGGCCTCAAAGGCCGCATTCAGTCGACGATTCATCGAAACGCGCAAGAGAATGGCTATCGTTGCAGTCCAAAGAACGCTGTCTTGAGTCAGTATGTATAGTCTCCTTTGGGGGGATGAAGCACTTACACTTGAACGGCAGCGAGACATGCGATCGCAATCAACGCCTTGTGATATGCACGATGAGGGCTCGTGGCACTCCTGTAGACATGTTGCTTTGAATGTATCGTGCATTTAGACCCATCCCAGGAGTCGGGCGCGCATTCTGAGTCACCCCATACCATGGCCAAATTGGCGACGAGTCCGAGATCGACGACCCAGAGGACGAACATCCAGATATATAAGCCCAGGGCGACATACTCATTATCCAGTTTCCGCAGTACAGTCCGCGAGATGAAGCGGTACATGCAGACCAAGTTAGTGCAAAGTGCCTGGGAAACTTTAGTTGCGTGACATGGATGTAAGAGTAGAATCTTGCGTGCTTACCACTACTAGCGAATAGATCAGCACATTATATCTAACGTGTTGAACTCCGTATACAGCCAACCCCAGCACGACGATAGCGAGAACCAGTTGACTAGCATGCAAGACCGTGGTCAAAATCTCCAGCAGAGGCCATCTCGCCCTATGCTGCATCCCCGTCTCACTCATCTTGCAATTTAGCAATCCGACAACCGCAAAGATACCAAACGCAGACGTCCAGCGACACCTAAATTAAAGAGAGAGAAGTCGAGCGAGGTATGCTCGTAGTAGGGAAAACCGAGTTGTAGAAATGCCAACCAGGTTCATCTCACAAGCGCCAGTCGAACTAACACTGCAGAAACCGTTTCAGAACGTTTGCTTCTTGCGTATCGCACCCCCCTCCCCTCCCCCTCGCTGTGTTGCTGTGTCATGTTAGTCGTACAGGAGGGGACGGGGGAGTCTAAACACCCTGAGCTTCTGCGCGCAGTGGTGTTGGTTGTGTTTGTGTTTTGCTTCTTGGTGGTCTTCCTGCTGCACTATTGGATGAGTTTGGATGGGTCAATGATCTTGCTGTTATGGGTAATAAAAAACGGTATGCATGTTGTTTGGCTGTTGAAAAGTGTTCAGATAAAGCGGACGTTGTAGTTATATTCTTGTACTACCGAGTTATTATAGAGAGTCCTACGAAGAAAGATAAATTTGGGGATCTTGCCAACGGCCGCACGCCTTTGACATGTCGTGGTGGCTGAGACGGTAGCTCACCCGGCCGTTTGGAACACCTTCCAAGCCAAGACGCGGCAGACTCTGTTTCCAAACGAAAGCATCCTTCTGCGGTCTTGTGTGCGAGGACATGTCGCAGATGAGGCAGGGGTAAAGTAGCTGTTGACGCACAAAGGCTAACCAGCATTGGGTTAGATGGTGCCCATGCACTTGCAGCCACACTGACACAAACATGCGCGTTCTCCAGGGCTGTAGGCAGAACTACATTGTCCCTAGTTCCAAGCTGCCGAATACCGTACATCGTCCTCCGCATTTCGCTATGACAAATGGATGCGGGCAAGCAAGTAGTCTTGAGGAAAATACGAGCACGTTAATGACGTAGACATGATGTTTTCCGCCTCGACACGCACGCATCTCCGGCAGTGACGAGGTTGTTGTAATAGCATCCCCCTTCCAAGTCTATAAGAGACGAAGCTTTTTTCCAAGACTTCAGGCCTCGATAAGCTTTTGCCAATATGGTTCATCAGGACAAAACCGATCATGTTCCGCAGGAACATCGCATGCACCGGTACGCCTTCCCCCGGGCCGAGACACACTGATGATTGTTACTCACAAACGAACAGCACTGGTGGTTGGCTACCTGCAGACCATAGAGTACACAAGGACTGGCTAGACGGCGTAATCAACCATGTCGAGGAGAACCCTAAGGAGCTTCACCCCGTCCTGCAGGAGTTCAAGGCTCTCATCGAAGAGAACTCCCGTATCTACCTCTTGATAAACTCCATGTTCGACGAGGTACCGACAAAGAAACCGTACTCCAACGACCCAGTGGGCCACAAGCAGGTTCGCGATTATCATCACATGCTGGAGCTATTCAACCACCTGCTCACGACTGCGCCGTCGTGGAACGACAAGGAGTACTCCATCGGCATGGTAGGCACGCCATTCAACGCCATCCTCGACTGGCCCATGGGGACTCCATCCGGATTTGCCTTTTTCCTCGACCCCGAAGTCAACAAGATGCTGAAGAAGGTGCTCAACAAATGGGCTGAGTTCCTCGGTTCACCCGCGTCCGCATACGTCCTCGGCAGCGACTCGATCGGATGGTTCAGCCCTCACGGCGTCGAGGATCTGGCCGCAACAGCCAACATCGGCCAAACAGAGCACAAGTTCGAGGAGTTGTTCCAGTGCGACACATCGAAAGAGCACTTTGGCTTCAAGTCCTGGGACGACTTCTTCGTGCGTCATTTCCACGAGGACAAACGACCCGTCGCGTCACCAGACGACGACTATGTCATCGCCAACGCCTGCGAGTCGAAGCCGTACAACGTGGGCCGCGACCTGGCTGCCCGAGACCGATTCTGGATAAAGGGTCAGCCGTACTCGCTCAAGGACATGCTCTCCATGGACCCTCTGTACGAGAAGTTCATCGGCGGAACAGTGTACCAAGCCTTCCTCTCCGCGCTGAGCTACCACCGCTGGCACGCGCCCGTGAGCGGCAAAGTCGTCAAAGCGTACGTCGTAGACGGGACGTACTTCTCGGAGCCGCTCTTCGAAGGGCTGGGCGACGCAGAAGCCAAAGGGGGCATTGCGCAGGACGGCGAGAAGACAGGCCAGGGGTACCTCACTGCGACTGCGACGCGAGCTATTATCTTCTTCGAGGCTGATAACAAGGATATTGGGCTTGTTTGCTTCCTTGGTGTCGGTATGACGGAGGTGAGCACTTGCGATGTGGGGGTCAAGGAGGGCCAGCATGTCAAGAAGGGAGATGAGATTGGTATGTTTCACTTCGGGGGGAGCAGCCACTGCGTGCTGTTCCGGAAGGAGGTGCAGGTCGACGGGTTCCCGGACCTCGATTCGGAGCACAACATTCCTGTGCGATCGCAGCTGGCGGTGGTGAAGAAGAGCACTTCCCGCGCGTAGAAGCAGATAGTCTTGTAGTCGTCTGCATGTCGAATTTAAGTGAATATGCTTGATTTGCTCAGTCACTCTTAGCAGGGCTCATTCCACGGTATCTTCACGAAACCCTTACTCTATTGTCAATTCAAAAGATCAGACAAAGACTTGTTCTTGCATGTGTAGAGATGGAATGATTTTCTACGGGTCTACAACGCGATTCGCCAGCAAAAGTGATTAAGTAAACAACGCAATACCACCAATATCTTCGAGTAGCAATGTCAAGTCAACCAGACTTAATTCCAGTGTGCTGAGAGTATGTCGGTAAGCCATGATAAGCCAACCATATCTCGTTCGTTTCTCGTGGTAGAATGCTGTGCCGGACTCGACGTGGCGTTGGCTCTCCTCTCCTCTCCTCATTGTCCTCCACCCTGGCTGCCTCGATACTAGTAGGCGTTCAGAGGGTCATGATAGCTTGCTACCTGCTGCGCCTGCGCCTGGAGCTGAGCTGTGGTCGTGATGTGGGCGCCTCGGTGGTCGCCTTGATGCTAGTAGGCGTTCTGGGGAACGGGGTAGGCGCCCATCTGCTGAGCCTGGGCCTGTGCGGCTGCGACGGCCTGGGCGTGGTCCTGCTGTCTCTGGGGCAGGTCGTTGAACCACGGGTGCTGCAGGCTGGCGGTGGCCGAGACGCGCATCTCCGGGCGCAGCTGCAGCATGCTGTTGAGCAGGTTCAGGCCGACCTGGTCGACCTGGGGCAGGATGAGGCGCAGGTCCTGGGTGGCGTAGACGGGGAAGTTGCCCTTGTACTCTGGGAACTGGGAGATGCCGGGCCACGAGCGCTCCGAGGGGGTGCCCATGAGGCGGAAGATCTTCTGGACCTGGTCCTCGTTGGTGGTGCCGGGGAACAGCGGGCGGCCCGTGTACATCTCGGCCATGATGCAGCCGGCGGACCAGATGTCGATGCTGGTGTTGTAGGTGCGGCTGCCGAGCAGGACGTCCGGGGCGCGGTACCACAGGGTGACGACCTCGTTGGAGAAGGTGTTGACGGGGATGCCAAAGGCGCGGGCCAGGCCAAAGTCGGCGAGCTTGAGCTGGCCGCGCGTGTTGATGAGCAGGTTCTGGGGCTTGAGGTCGCGGTGCAGGACGCGGTTGTCGTGGCAGAAGGCGATGCCCTTCATCAGCTGGTACATGAACGACTTGATGGTGGGCGGGTCGAGGGCGCCGCGGTCGCCGCGCGAGTCCATGTAGCGCTTGAGGTCGCGGTCCATGTACTCGAAGACGAGCATCAGCTTGTTCTCCGTGTGGATGACGTCGTGCAGCAGGACGATGTTCTCGTGGCGGAGCTCCTTCATAAGCGAGATCTCGCGGATGGCTGTTGACGGCGTGCCTTCCTCCGAGTCGAGGTGGATCTCCTTGAGCGCGACCAGCTCGCCCGTCTGGCGGTTGCGGCCCTTGAAGACGGTGGCATAGGTGCCCTCGCCGAGCTTCTCGAGCTGCTGGAACGAGCTGGGGTGGCGGCGGTTGTCCATGCTGGGCGCTGAGGGGACTGTGGGGATGACCAGGCCGTCGCCGAGAGCGCGCACGCTGATGGACGAGTCGGTGCGGTGGGGCACGGCGAGGGTGCCGGCGTGGGTGGGCTGGAGGCTGCCCGGGGGCGGTCGCGCCGTGTGCTTGGGGTCCCAGAGGATGGCGCTGGCCGTGGTGAGCTGGTTGGCAATGTGCAGCGGCGCGGGCGGAGGGCACGAGGGCGCGTCGGGTGAGGTCGCGTCGGGGGCGGGGGCTGGTTGCGCCGTGTTGAAGAGCTGCAGTGGTGGGGGGAGTGGGCAAGTGACGGGCGATCCCTGTGGTCGGTCTGGCTGGCCGGCTGTGGATTTGCGGTGGTGCACGAGTCGCTGCCACCACTGCTGCCAACACCGTATCATGGGCGATTAGTCAGGTTTTATTCACTCTCGCATGCACACACATGCACACAGTACGACGAATCCATGTCAACTATTAGGCACGTGAAGTAATAGACATGATCAAGTAATAGACACACGCCAGGTAGTATTCACACGTCAAGTAATAGACACCCCCAAGTCTACACCATCTCCCCCACCCACGCTGGAATCGCCGGCCTCGCCCCCCACCCGCCTGTCCACTGCCCCTTCCACCCCTCCACGCTCGCCGGCAGCGCATACACGCCCGTCACATACCACGCCGTCTGCCCAGCCTTGACATCCCCACGCACAACCGGCAGCACGCTCCTCGCCTCGACAAGATTCGAGTTCGCATCGACCTGCAACACGCTTCCTGCCCGCTTACTCTCCCCCAGCTCTGCAATCCCCACAGCCCCCGACCTGGATGCTGCAAATGCACTCTGCCCATCTACCTTCCCACCCTCAGACAGCCCTTCATCCAGCTCGCCCAGTGCCTTGCCGTCCAACTCACGACATCCATACACAGCAAACGCACCCTCTGCAGTCATCAAGTCGCGTCCTGTGGTGATACGATGCACGCGTAGATGCCAGTTCGGCCCGTCTTCTGCAGGCGGGATAAGATACGTGCGCACCTCCACATCGTGCCACGGCTTCATACTCGACACTAGCACAGGCACACCGTCATGCTCTTCCACCTGCGAGTCGCCGTTGTGCGCCCGTCGCATCTTCCACAGCTCCCCGCCGTCGTCAGAAAATGCGAGTGAAGACTCGGGCACGAACTGCTCCAACTCTTGATAACCCGTCGAAACAGAGTATGCGAATGCAGCGCTGTACGCAAACTTCCCGTACTTGGCGTTCGAGTTCTTGATCGCGTAGTGGCACGACTGCCCGCTTGAAAGCAGAAACGAGTGTCCCCCGCTCCGGACAACAATCTGTCGTGGATGTGGCAGTGACTTTACAATCCGCTGGTTTGCAAACGGGTGAGGCTCCTCTTTTGCGCTCCAGAACGGATGGCTTTCAGGCATTGCTAGCGGGGCAAAGGCCAGCATACTCCAGTACGGGGAGCCAGGAGAGTTGTAGTTTTCTGCGAGGTACGTGTTGGGGTACGAGTAGCCAATAGTGAGCATGCCGTTTGATTGGAAGATATCTGGTTGCGTAGTCCACCACCGAAGGTTCCTCAGCCAGATACCTTTGATGACGCCCCAGGATAGGGGAGATGGAAGCTCGACGTCAGCGAATACAACTGCCCCCCAGAACGCCACCATGGCCCAACGGTAAGTGAGCGAGCGCCCGAACGTGATGGCTCGGCCTTCGGGGTCGAAGAAGTGGACAAAGTCGAGAGCGTACGATTTTGCACGCTTCTTATATTCCTCGGCGTTCGTGGGGTCAATGTCTGCAGCAAGCTTGGAATAGACCAGCTGCAGGTATTGGATGGCAAAAGATCCAGAGTAGTAGTCCATCTGGCGATAATGCTCAGGTCCATCGTTGGACCATCCCTCGCCGCGATAGAACGTATCCAGCTGCTTGATATCACTCTCAACCTTCTCCTTGGACCACTTCGCTCCGTTCTTCGCAAGACCGAGATTGGCAAAGACGCGGAACCAGAGCCTGTCAACGTTCAGTATCAAGTTCTCAACTCATCATCGCACAACAGTGAAAAGAACCACAGGAGCAGCATACCAGTTCGTATTCGGCATCTCCTTATCATTCATGCTCCCCAGCCACGTCTCCACATTCTTCTTCTGCTTCTCCGTCAACGGGTCCCAAAACTCTTTATGCGCAACCGCAAGCGTATATCCAATCGGGCAGGCCTCCACCATCCTCTGATCAACATCTTCCATATACCCCCAGAACCCAGGGCTCTCGGGGTCCGTCCCAGAAATCAGACCTTGCACAAAGCGATGCGTTCCCTCATACTTATCTCCACCGGCAATCAACGCCGCGAGACCCCATAGTGGCCGCGCATACCCCTCGACCTGCGCGGCCGTCTCGTCGAATCTGGTCCCCGAGCCCCCGACTTTCACCAGCGAGCCCTCGTCCGAGAAGCCCGCCAGGAGCGGGTCGAGGAGCGATCTGACGGCGTCGACGACATGAGCGCGCTCGGTCAGCGGATTCGTGGAGAAAGGGTGGGCGGGAAAGGCGCGATTGGCGTTTGCGGCGGCGGCCGTCATGCTTTCGAATTGAAAAGCTTAATTCCAATACTTTTTCTTGTGAGTGGTTGGAATGCTGAGGCAAGTAAATGGTGACTTGTCGGTCCTTTCCCGGTCGTCCAAGGGCGAACTGGCTGCTTATTATGCTTGGCGGGGTAGCATGGGGTGAAGGTTAAGCTGCATGAGTCGCGGCAATGGGTGCCGAAGGGCGGGTCATGATTGCGGGATTCCGTCAGAGGATGGTCATATTTGAGAGGGGATTAGATAGGTTTACCCGTACTGGACATTCAGTCTTTGCCTCACTCTTTCTCGCCTTCTGTAGTTGTTATGTGACGCTTGATGGCTGATACTTGTACCCGACCGTCTGGCTCAACAAGCAACCCCAGGAAGTGCATATCGTCAAAATGCGCACCACCCAAAGCGAACTGCAGCGCAGAACCTTGGCACTCCTTCCACGCCGCATCCAGAGCCGGCTGTGGGGACTTGCGTGGCCTGGGATCTGATTTACGGATAATTGCAAGCGCGGGGACGAACTGTCCCGAAGAGGAATAGTCTGCCAGTTCTCCAGGTTGGGGACATGGGCGGAGACGGAGACGGAGAGTCCCCGGATTCGGCTGCGGTTACCGACCACCCACATTGGTGAGTAGGAGCCACGAGTCGTCCTTATCAATGCTTTGAAATATATCATTGGCAGTGTAGGGGGTTTGATTAGAGGGTTGCGATATGCTTGGGTTTATCTGTACAAGTGGTCTGTCGCACGAAAATTAATATCTTCGTACGTTCCAAAAAAGGTGGAAAACAGGAAAGAAAGATGGTGTTTGTTTGTAAGAGAAGAAAGAGATCTAGCAGCACGCTATGCCTTCCGGAGATGTAAGGCTTTCTTGGCGCGATACCGTCAGGTCTTGGGAAACCTTGTGTGGGTGAGTGACCACTGACCCCAGATATCGAGTCGAGGGTTGGTAATGCAAAAAACCCGCCATATTCCCTGCGCGACTGGATGGAACAACCACACCAGACTTGGCAAACCAAGACGCATCTTCAAACTTCCACCACTCCGCACAAGTCTCTTCCGCCCAGCCAAGCCAAAATCCTTGGTCTAGAATCCAAGACGGCGGACATTGGCGGCCGTCTATTCGACGGAACAGCGCGTGGCGCTGGAGCCAGCATGGAGAGATGTCTCGATCTGGGTTGTGGAGGGGTGTGGAGGTGGGGAGTCTGGGGTCGTTGGACAAAGGCACAGACGACCACAAGCATTTGCTCTACCCCGTCTTGACATGGGTCGATTCAGCATGCGCTTGGGCCGCTGGAGGTGCCGTTTATATAGATGTGCGTTGATCCACTGTGAGGGGATCAATCCGATCTGTGGAGACTTCACTCTCTCTCTTTCCGCTTCTCGTCTGGCATCGTTTTGACAACGGTCGGGATCAGATTGAGTCGGATCGTTCAAAGGTCTCGATAACTCTTCTACCTTGTTCCCCCCTTCTCAAGCACACCTGACGCCCCACGTCTTGCTGTCTTGACCCCAGTCCCTCTCTCGGTCACTTTCAACTCTAATCAACCTACCATCTGCCCATCATGAGCATCTCCACAGGAGCGAGAATCATCCGCTCCATCGTCAAGAATGATGCTGTGAAGCTAGACCCCCCGGAGATCTACGGCTGGCGTGCATTCACGATGGCCGGGTCTGCCTGCTTCGGAGGCATGTTATTTGGCATGGATATCGGTACCATTGGTGGTGTGCTCGAACTGCCCGCGTTCCAAGAGTATGTAGTCTCCAATAACCCCTTTGACCATGCAAAATATTACAGAAAAAACTAACGTTCACTTCAGGGACTATGGCCTCAAGTCACTCTCCACCGTTGCCAAGGCTGACCTCAACGCCAACATCGCGTCGACGTTGCAGGCGGGATGCTTCATTGGTACCTTCTTTTCGTCCTGGTTCGCCGACAAGTATGGCCGGAAGATGGCTCTACAGCTGAACGGTCTCATTACCGTTATTGGCTGCATCATCCAAGCGGCTGCTATGGGCCACCTCAGTGCCATGTATATCGGCCGGTACGTGTCTCAATCTGTTTTTATCTGGACCCAACAGTGGCTGACACATAGAACAGTCTCGTCGCCGGATTCGGTGTCGGTGGTGCGTCCATGGTCGTTCCCCTGTACATTTCCGAGAATGCTCCCCGTGCCATCCGCGGTGGTCTCACCGGTCTCTACCAACTCTTCATCGCCACCGGTACCTGCCTGGCCTTCTGGGTCAACTACGGCAGTCTCCTGCACATCAAAGGCGACGCGATATACATGGTTCCCCTGGCCATGCAAGCCCTCCCCGCCGTCCTCTTGGTCGTCTGCATGTCGCTGAACAAGGAGTCTCCACGTTTCCTGGCCAAGCAAGACCGCTGGGAGGAAGCCACTGCCGTCCTGGCCCGTATGCGCAATCTGCCCACCTCGCACGCCTACGTCCAGAACGAAATCAAGGACATTGCCAACCAACTCGAGCACGAGCGCCTCCTCGTCGCCGGCGCGGGGCCCAAGGACCTCCTGAAGGAAATGTTCACCGTCCCCGGAAACCGCAAGCGCGTCCTAATCTCCATCGGCTTGATGGTCTGCCAGCAGATGACGGGCACAAACGCAATCAACTACTACGCACCGCAGATCTTCAAGAGCCTGGGTCTCGTCGGTAACGAAGTCAAGCTGTTCGCCACCGGTATCTACGGCATCGTCAAGATGGTCGGCTGCTTCTGTTTCCTCGTCTTCGCCGCCGATTCGCTGGGTCGTCGTCGGTCACTACTCTGGACGTCCATCGCACAGGGCGCGGCCATGATGTACATTGGCATCTACATCCGCGTTGACCCGCCCGTTGCTGGTGCAGCCGTGCCACCTGCGGGCTACGTTGCACTGGTCTGCGTGTTCCTGTTCGCATTGTTCTTCCAGTTTGGCTGGGGCCCCGTGTGCTGGATTTACGTGTCTGAGATTCCCGCGGCGCGTCTGCGCTCGCTTAACGTCGCCATTGCCGCTGGTATGTTTGCACGCTTTGAGGCCTTGATCAGAAAAGTACTAAACACTCTTCAGCAACTCAATGGCTATTTAATTTTGTCGTAGCCAGAGCGACTCCAAACATGATTGCGACCATGGGAACAGGCGGTTATGGGTGAGTTTACTCCTTTATTCATGCGTTGAAGCTCGTTTCCATCCCATCTTGAATTTGGGGTCCGTGCGCGGCATTTGGTGTTTTGCGCACAGACCACGACTCAAGGGGAACTTCGTACTTGAAAATCGTCAGAACACTAACAAAAAGCAGTGCCTTCCTCACATACGGATCCTTCTGCTTCTCCATGTTCATATTCGTCTGGTTCCTCGTCCCCGAGACCAAGGGTCTATCACTCGAAAAGATGGACGACTTGTTCGGCGTCACGGAACTTGTTAAGCGCATTGAGGAGGACCGCGAGCTCCATGGTGATGCTACTGAGCTTGACATGGACGGCAAGCACGCTGTACGTGAGGAGCGTAAGGAGGTCCATCACCCGTAAGCGGAGTGTTTGTTGACTGCGCTGTTGATTTTTGCTGGAGCCTGTCGTTCATATCGTTACTTGTAAGCATGCAAGCTTTGGAGCTGAGATGTCTACGAGCTCGGTTGATATGCATATGTTAGTATGCAAGCTATAATGAAGTTACGGGCTTCGTGCCGCTCATTGCATGTATTCGCCTTTACCAACGTGTTAGTGTTGTAATGAACGGACTTTGGTGAGATGTTACCAGCACAGAGCGCGATCAGGTATTGAAATGAAGAAGTGATTGCACTACGTTTTCCTCACAATCCAAGTGCAGCCCAGCGTCTGCTCTCGAAGCTTGGAAACGCTCATCTCCTCATAGTTATCAAAACATAACGAGAGCCGAGTGCCCGCAAGCAGACACCCACCACCTCCCCATCTCAATTTGAACACACATACACACCACCCCGCAAGCCCTACACACCCTTCAGAGGATTCTCATCAGCCTCCAAAATGCCCTTCTTAACCAGCTCATCCGGATCCGGTCTACCCTGCAACCCCTTCTCCAGATTATCCGCCCGCATATGCAAATCCAGCTCCTTCTGATGGCCCAGCAGAGCCGGCGCCGCCGTCGACTCAGGCAGAATATTCCGCTGAATGAGGTTATCGCGCTCCGAGCGCGAAGCAAGGCCCTTCTTGAGATTATCCGTCGCGCGCTGGCGTTCCAATTCAAGCGCTCTAGCTTGCAGTGCTCTGCGAGGCAGCAAAACAGTACGTCAGCAACTAGATCGCATAGTGTACGGTTGTTTACATGGTGTTATAAATCGGGTACGTACGGAGCAGTCGTTGTGTCGATCAGGATGTGTCTGTTCTTGAGGTCCTGCGGCTCCGGGCGCTGCTGCAGGTGTTTCTCCAGGCTGTTGCGCCTGTCGGAGCTGCGGACGGGCGCGATGGACGACTCGTCTACGTCGACGACGACGGCGTTGTTAGTGTTTTCCGAGGCCATGTTGACTCGTCGTTAGTGCTGGTTGATAATTCGAGGTTCTGGGTGTAGCTGTCTGAGCAACAAGGTTGTCACGCGTCGTGTGCTTTATGGGAGCTTGTGAAGGATAAAGGTAAGATGAGAGGGTCGCGCCTGGGGAGCTTTGTTTGAGCTTGGTTGCGGGGGCAGCCGACGGACAAACATCAACCCTGCTGTACAAGCTCCGTCAACGTTACTTGTCACGCGTTCTTACGTTTCACGAGTTGCGGTAAGTCTTGGGTGACATCCTGTTGTGTCTCCTGACTGTGCACAGTTACATCGAAAGTGGTTGGGTTGTGTTGGTGCCTCATTGTTGTGTGTGACGTAATGCCCGAGCGGTTCCTCGCCAATACTTGCCTTCTTGCATTTATGACGATGACCTCGGATTCTTTTGTTCAAGTTATTAAAAGTGTGGAACTAGGCAAGATTTATGCTTCTTGGCAATGTGTACATAAACTCCTGTTGAAAAAGCTAGATTGCTCTCAAGTAAAAGCTTTTGAGATGACAACGTTCCTTCCAAATTCTAACGTCTAAAAGACACTTCAAGTTGTAGAAATTTTGTACAATTTTACAAGCTAGGGCGAATTTGGCGAGGAACTGGCACTGTTGATGCTCCCGGTCAACTGTAAAAGCGGGAAGTAAGCTACATTCTTTGTGGCTCCTACAAGCCGCAAGACTACACAATTGAAAGTTGTTAAAGTACACGCAAGGCGTATACTGCTCTAAGTTCATGCACAAGATTCCTACAATAAACTTAGTTGTAGTTGTCAAGCTGTTGCATGATTTCGCTGCACCTTGGTTCCTGGTATTTCGATTGACCGAGAGACTGGCACTGTGACGGCAACGTCAGGAGGCGACAACATGTACTAGTAGTAGGGGTCGTACGACAAAGCGGAAAGAAGTAGAGGATTTCTGGTATAGAGTAGTTCGGCTGCGGTTGTTCTCGTTGAACAGGTTCATCATGTTAAAGATCTTGATTGACAAAACATAGGAAACCAAACGCTCAATTCCGCCGACTACATAGGTCCAACCCCCCGCCACCCCCCAAATCAAACATCACGGACTCGCTTCTCTAGCCGCCACTCTCTTCTCCCGAACCTCTATAACCCTCCTCGTATCCGCCAAAGCGTGTTCACGATTCAAAACGACTCTCGCCTCCAACCCCTTTGCCAGCTTTTCTAGCCCGTCACTAGTCGCCGCGCCCATGTCGTCCGTATCAGGCCTCCAAGCCGTGTTCAGCAGTACGGCCAGTGGGTTGTTCTTCCAAACACCCACTTTGTCATGCCGGCTTGCTACAATGGTTCCGACAAGAAGGGCGATAACAGCCACAATAAGCGCAATGGGAAAGGCAAGCCATGGCCACCTCACCCGTAGCTGCACTGCCTGGACAAAGACTAAACCAGAGATGCGATGGCTGGGCGCTACATAGTCGGCTGGTGTTTTTGTCGAGTTGCCCGGGTCGTCTTGCTTGTGCAGGGTCGTGTCATTCGAGCGGAGTGCGAGGTTGATGTACTGAGCAACCGTGTACATGGTTTTGGTGATATTCGGGGATCGATACAGGAGTTGGAGGCTCTCAGGCCCTTGCAACCCGTTTTGACCAAACGTCGAGATACCTTGAAGCTCAAAGACCTCCGAGGCAGCAGTGGCAGCAAGTATACTCTGGTATATGTATTCTTTTATGGTGATATTTCTAGGAGCCGTGTCGCCATGGATACATTGGTTGCTGGACAGACATGTCGGCGTATATGTAAACGTCATTGTGTCAGGGTCGGTTATTAGTCGTGTTTCGTTGGTCCAGGGCGCAGGGGCGGCGCCTTCTAGGTTCTTGAGCGATTGGAGCTTTGTTGTTTCGCTGAGCGTCTGCTCACTGTAGACACCGTTTTGGACTCGAGCAAGGATTTCATGCATCGAGAGGTAGAAAATGCATCGGTGGGCTTCGATGGTGCTGGAGGAAGCGATGGCCGATGAATACATACTCGATGGAGGGACCGTCAAGTTTCTCGCAATTTGCCATCCAATTTCCGTAAAGCCCGAGGCTACCGACGACGTCCCTAGTTTTGGGGTTTCTGAAAACGAGTAGGATGCGTTGTATCTGGCGTCGGGATATTTGAAGGGTTCAAAGGGACTTACGTGGTCGAAGAACCTATCCAAGGTGAGTACGTCGTATTGAGGAGCAGTACGGTTTGCAGTGCGGAACTCTGGATCTATGGCTTCCATAAAGCAAGGCTTGTAAGTGGAGTTGTCCCATGAAAATAGGGTTGTGTCCGAGCAGTTTATATGATATCTTGAGCTGTCCTCGAGGCACTGAACAGACACACCAAGAGTGGGAAATGGATCCCATGTACAGTTCCCGCTTGGACAAGAGTATGGCGGAAAAGGAGGAGCAATTATGGCAGAGGAGTAGATTCCTGTGTAGATTGAAGCCTTCAAATTGAAAGGCACGTTATCCGCTGTGTGATAGTTAGGCTTTTAATAACAAGGCTTCTAAGAGGTTTGGAGGGCTATGATTACCTTGCATCCTGAGGAACGAGGATCCAACCATGTATTCTGACCCAACCTCTCCAACATCTCCGTCATAGGTCAAAGCTGCCGATGCGTATGCGGTGAGTTCATCGTTTACGACTTGTGTATTGTGGAAGACAACACTTTGCTGGAAAAAAGGGCCAATCCCGACTGACATTATTGTTATCGTAGCAGCAACTGAAATGAGAGGGCTACTTGGTTAGCTTGAATCAAACTATCAGACATAACATGGGTGACGTGAGGCCTTTGTGATAAAAATATAAAACCGAGTAAAAAACTTACCTACGCAGGAATCTTGGTAGTAACTGCAAACTGCCCCAAGGTCCTCTACTTGCCCAATCTATCTCCACGAGATCGTTTAGAGACTTGTAGTCCTTCCCAAGCCACGTCCAACCTAGCTGGCTGAGACAGTTATGAACCGGGACCATCAAACACATGCTGAAAAGAGTGGCAGCGAACGACGCCACAGTGTTCAGCGTTATGCCTCCAACAACTGGACTTGGCTTCCTGTCATAAACGGCCAGGACTATCATGAAACCTACCAAGGTAAAAGCGGCCAACACCAGGGAGAGGATCTCGTATAACCAGGTGCTGTGATGTAGACAGAACGGTTTCTGTAATGTTGGGGGGATGGCGGAAGGTGCGGTATCGGTGTCAGAGTGAGGCTTGAGCAAAGTGTAGGCTGAATCATTGCGAATTTGGCCCCGTCGTGTGGTCGAGTCTGCGAGTGGGATCGAGTCTAATCCATCTTCCGCACTTTGGCTGGTGGCCTCTGAGCGATGAGAAATATTATTGTCTGACGGGGATAGGTTCGAAATCGGCTCAATAGCCGTGTACGACGGCATGTTCGTTTGCTGAATAAAAGTCAAAGGAGCGCCTGAACTTGAGTAATTCGTTCGGACGCCTTTAACCATCGCAAGTTGGCCCCCACAGGCAGTATGTTGTGGCTGTAAGTCTTGCAAGGTCTGTAACCTGCAGCGACGAATCAAACAGAGGGCCAAGATGTAAGCATCGGACTATGTTCTATGAGGATCCATGCTCAGTGGAGGATTCCATTCCCGACCAGGTACACGGCGGTTATTTGGTTGAAGTGGGGCGAGTGGTCCTGTACGCCTGAAGATAACTTTGTGTTAGCCGCACATAGTGTGTTGCAGAGCGTTCAATTTAGGAGACGTGTTGAGTTGGTCGTTGTTTAGCATTTGTGAGTGGCACTGATACTCTTCTTTATTGGCTAGAGTGAAGCTGCCCCAACGTATGGCGTATTTCTATTGAGCAGCGCTGTCGATTTGAGCGCTTGAGGATTGATACCTTCTTGCTGATGATAGCATTGTTCCTGCGTTCATTTCAAGGAATATGGTTGAGCTCTACATCAATGGGCGTATCAAATTTCTGCAAAATACTCGAAGCAGGATGTATGCTGGCGAACGGTTCAAAGATGCGTTCCTGGGAGTATAAGTGGGTACATACTAGCCTCCACGATGTCGTCATGGGCGGCGCGCGCATGTGAGAGTGCGAACAAACGGTCATGCGCATAGTGTAGACTGGTAGTGCAGATTGGTAACTCAGGCTCGTATTTGACTTGGTGCGTCCCAATTATTCGCTGGATTGCTGTGTCGACGTTTTCGCCCATGTCGAGTCTTCTGGCCATGGCGGTCCCAAGCAACACGGCACAAAGTGCCTTGCTGACGAGAGGCTGCTCGCCGGATCGGATGGGATTGAGGCCCAATCAATTGATTGCCTCTCGCCGCCCAAAAAATCAGGCACAGGACGTCACTTATCTCGATCTTTTATCTTCAGTGCAAGCAGGCCCGGTCGGACTTCCTTATAACGCGCTACCCCGCCGCGCGCCTGCCATTTTCGCTCATCATCGCACCGCACAAAACACTCCAAAATGGGAAAGCCTGCAAACTTGTACGCCTTCAAGAGCTCTGCGGAGTTGGCCTCCAACCTCAGGTCCTACGTCCTCGATGCGCAAAACAGCGCCATTGACCGTCACCAAACTTTCCGCGTCGCCGTCTCGGGTGGAAGCCTGCCCAAGGTCCTCGCGCAAGCGCTGCTCAAGGGCTCCGACGGCAAGGTCCAGTTCGGGAAGTGGGAAATTTTCTACGCTGACGAGCGCGCCGTCCCATTCGACCACGAGGACAGCAACCACAAGCTGGTGAAGGAGGAGCTACTGGACAAGATCCCGGCCGAGCTGGGCACCCCCAAGGTCTACCCCATCGACACAAAGTACCTCGACGATGTCCAAGAGCTGGCCGATCAGTACGAGCAAACGCTAGTCAGCGTTTTTGCCGCGCGCGACAGCGTCAGGCTGCCGCTGTTCGATCTGCTGCTGCTTGGGTGCGGACCAGACGGCCACACGTGCAGCCTGTTCCCCGGCTCAGAACTCCTACGCGAAGCAGAAGCCTGGGTGCTCCCCATCTCCGACTCGCCGAAGCCCCCGCCAAAGCGCATTACCCTCTCTCTCCCCGTTGCGCAACACGGACTCAAGATTGCTTTTGTCGCGACTGGTGAAGGCAAGAAGGACGTGTTGAGGCAGATCTTCGACACGGATGAGGGGCAACAACTGCCATGCGGGCTGATCAATCTGAAGGGCGGAGACCGCGTCAGTTGGTTTGTCGACTACCCCGCCATCGACGGTGTGTCCTTCCCTGCTCGTCGTGGCAGTCTGTAGGGCAAGCACGCCCGGGGAGAGGTTTGCCGTTTCTAGAAGCGACAACCGTTTGCGCTAGACTCAGGGCTTTTGTTTGTGCTTTCGCGATGGATATCCACCACGGCGCTGGAGGACTGCATTTCGAAGTAGGCATTGGGCCACTCGACTCGCTCACGAGCTAGGTACGAATAGAATACGATTCTTCACTAAGCGCAGTCAATGTCGTGTCTTCCTTGCCGATCGTAAACTTTCCCCTGAGGCACGTGACCTGCTATCGATAAGAAATCTCCGAGCCGACAACATCGCGTGTTCGACTGTTTACTGTGCACTCGCCCAACACACATCCTTCAATCATGCCAGTTTCCGCACCAACCACCTCATTAAGCCTGCGAGGACATACCAGTGATGTCGAAAAATCCAAACGCCGTAGTTTGCTTCCCCAACCTGGCCAATCCAAGTACAGTTCTCGTGCTCAGTCAGAGCTCCCAGACCGCCATGTTGAGTCCAAGGAGCCGCTTGTGAGCACGATCGAGTCTCTAGGCTCATCTGATTCCACAACAACTGTGGTTCCAGAATCCAATGTTCAGACCGCGATTCCAGGTCGACTTCGTCCACGATCATTATATCAAAGCACACCATCTGAACGAGCTGGGCATGGCGACAAGCAACCAACAACGCGGTCAATGCGCCCTCCAAGCCTGGTAAACAAATCATCCGAGTCGCAACCCGTTGGTCTGAACCGCACGCAATCTCTGCGCCGGCCTGGCGTTGCAGTGAAATCATCTCAACCACCTGCGGCCACTTCTCACTCTCGAACACGGTCCACGAGCACTGTTCCAGCCCCTAGAACAGATGCGACGAGACCTAGGACATACGCGGAACGACCCAAATCATTAATGACAGCGCCCAATTTCAGTTCAAAAACCAACGGCGCCTCTACGGACGTAGCACCTGCTGTGACGAGGACGTCTGCCCGACTTGCCGGACTTACCCGCTCAGCAAGCACCAAAGCAGGGCCAAGTAGTGTTGCAGGTGCTGGGACGATATCAAAGTCCGAAGATCGACGCCGCGAACCCGCAAACGAGGAACCAAGGAAGACCGCCCGACCCGCATTCTCCACATTGCAACAACATTTCACTCCACGGAAGACAGGAAAAGCCCCAACCTCAACCTTCCTGCATCCCGCGCCTGCCCCTGGACCCCAAACCCTCCCCCCGGAAATCGTCAGCCTCCAATCAGAACTCCTGCAGCTGCACCTCCTGCACGAATCCTGTGCGCAAATAAGCAAGAGCTGGGAACTCAGCGCAAAACGCTGTCTGCACAACAAATTCGAAGAAGTAGCAAGCATGTACCAAGCCATGCTAGAATACGAGCGCGCAGGCCAGGAGCAAAATAACCTCCGAGCCCTACTCGAATGGAGCGCTGCCACGTCCTCCGCCGGGCTGCCAGCACACATGCAAAGCCTCTCCGGCCCACTTCACGACCTCCCCTCGCTCGTTGCTCCAGGTGGTCGCCTCCACCGCCTCGCAGCAGACTTCGAGCACTGGCTGTCGTGGGTTCAGGACGTGCGGTCCGCGCGAAAATCTCCCCTCGGAAGTCCAAATGCATCCGTCTCGCTGGCTGGTCTGGGCGACGAGTGGACAGCGGAAGCCGCGGCTCTGGCACGCAAATTGACGTCGTTTGCGCGCGACTTGGAGGGATTGATGACACCGCCGCCGGCGCCTGGGTCCAGCATCGCGTGTATCGTGCTCGCTTGCTCGGAGCTGTTGGACGGGCTGTTGGACGAGCTGCAGACTATGCAGAAGATTGAAGCGCAGGTGGTGGGAAGGGAGAAGAACTGGGTTGAGCAGCGGTTGCAGGGTATTGCTAGGGGTGTTGGGGCTGAGTTCTTGGTTGGTGGAGACGTGGATGTTGTGACGTGGCGCACGTAGGGTGTTGTGGTGGACGAAAATGCGATGTTCTTTGCGTGGGCGCAAAACTTGATCATTCTACGTCTGCCGTGCTTTGATAGAATGTTAACTTGTCTTGTTTTGTCACATTGTCCTGTCCCGTCTGTGTATCTGCATCCCGTGGTTCGACCTCCTCGCTCGAATCATCTTCGCCTGCCCATTGACTGACTGACTGTATTCCATGAACTTCAGAGGAGCAGTTGCTGCAACGCGCAAAAGCGGCCCTCACGCAAATCCTGCCATTACCATCATCATTTCCCTGCACAAGCAAGACTCTCTCAAACTCCAACTTCAGCCTGGTAAAACGAAAGCAATATGTAATATGTGATTTATATATATCTGCGCACATCAATCTACAGCCCCTACACCGCAGACCAGCCTTCCAACCTTCCGTCTGTCCATCTGTCCATTCGCGCTTTTCGAAACGCCATAAGAGGCGCGCGCGCATACAAAGAACTCCAAGAAATATACGACATACAGCAATGCAAAAAAAGGGAGACAGATAATGATATCCGGAGCAAAGAGACGCGCAGAGGTCAAGAGAAGAGAGTGAGAACCACACATGTCTCATGTCGCTCGGTACTAGATAAGATAAGAAAGGTCGAGAGAAGAAGATACTGCAATAATGCAAGCTGATATGCATCAGCACGACGGTGTTACGAGGATATCTGTGGCGGAGTAATTAGACACACTCGTGCATTTGGTAGAGTAGAATCAACATACCCGTCTCCTGCGCCCCCGACTCCCGCCTTCTACTCTCTGGGCGAGAACTTCGCGTAGTTTGGGGTCGTCTTTGTCTCTGTCGACGTGGTGGACGCGAACATGTCTGCGCTTGTTAATTTTCGGTTTACCCAGAGATGTACTAGACGGGTATGTGGAGTTTGGGTACGCACCTCTGCAGATTGTCGGGTCGGGGATACTTGTGTTCGCGATCGGGACAAAAGGGGCAGACATAGCCGGGCGACTGGTGCACGAGGCCATGCCGGATCATTTCGTTTTTGCGCTTGAAACCTTTCCCGCCTTCGCTGCGGGGGCAGCCGTCGACAGGGCAGTAGTGTGGGCGGCTTTGGGAGTGGACGTTTGCGTGAGAACTTGGGGAAGTGAGTTAGTGGCAGGGCTTTGTGAATACGGAGGTTGCAGGAAAGGAGAATATGCTCACTTCAACAGGTATTGTGTCTGAAACGGCGCAGCAGTGCACCCTGAATATTTGCACACGAAACTCCCAGTCGGTGAGCCAAAATGTGGTATACTAGATCTATGTGGCGGCGGAAGTTGTCTTGACAATGCGCCGTCCATGCTCATGTGCCGTGTTCGGTTGTCTCCGGGATTTTGTAGCGCTCCTGGACTGAGACCCTCTGGACTGTGGTAACTATCGCTTGGCGACGATGCTGAGTGCAGGTCGGAGGCTTGAGATGGTCTCCGCAGGCCAGGACTAAAGAGAGTGAGATGCCCCGATGTGAGGAAAACATCGCGTTTCTGAGATTCGCTACTTGCGCTGACGGGCGACAAGGTGACGGGAAATGGTGGGAAAGGGCTTGCAGGAGACAACGAGCTGATTGATAACTGACGCGCGACTGAAGTCGGCGAGTGACCCATGGAAGATATCGACTGTCGGTGACGAAACTCGGTTGTCCTTTGAGCTTCTTGATCGCTTATCGTCGACCGCGCCATGTTGTCGATTTGCTGAAAAGAAGGAAGTTGCTGATGATTGGGCGAGGCTGCTGATCCTTCGCGTGAAGATAGCCGAGTAGTCTGTAGTGCAGGTAATTTGTCGCTCGATGGTGCCGGTATTGTAAGCTGCCGGAGGGTTCTTGATAGATCCTCGTGTGAGTATTCGTTCGTGATCGGCCCATGCTGTTGGCTCGGTGGATTTGATGACGGAGCTACCAGTGTGGAGGGAGGACTGCATGCAAGGGTGATTGAACCTGTACGAGTTGCTTCTATCCGTATGCCGGTCCGTATCGAGCTCGCAGAAGATGCATGTGATGCGCGTCGATCTGCCGCGATCATGCTACGCTTGATATCGCCCGCATCCACTCCCGAGTCTCTATGGTGGAACAAGTGGTTAGGGGGAGACATTGAATCGTCAGCTAAGTGTATCTTCAAGCCTTCTTGGGCAATATGTTGTGGTTCCATTCGCGAGGCGTCAGAAATGGCTGATTGAGCTTGACTAGCGGACCCTGTAGTTGGCGACTGCCCCTCCATCTCTTCCTCGTCCTCAGACCCAGAATCCGAGTTGAGTGCTCGTTCGCTCACTTGCTGTGCAATTTCAGGATGGTTTGGACCCATCTCCCGAATGAGCACCCAGTCCCCTTGGGAGGGTCGAGCCTTTTGTCGATTAGACTTGTTGCGTCTTCGTGAGGAAGGAGAACTGACGCTGGTCTGTGATCTGGTCGGGTAGATGATATGCGTCACTGCTGGCGGTGGTGAAGGGGTTGGTGTCGCTCTGGGTTTGAAAGGTTTAAGACCAGGAGATCGAAGGTAGGCGTCCTCGTCCGGATCGTAGGTCCCGGACATAAAGGCTAGTCTTGACCAGACAACGGATATAAATTGAAAAGCTGGAGGAAAGAGCTCTCTATCCCAGCGAGGCCTCTGCAAATGCACCAAGTGATAAACCTAACCCGCGACGAAGAGGACGAGCGTCACAGCAAGACAACAGGTATTCAAGGGTTGACTGAAGCAGCGTCAGCACGACCACCGATTGCATTCTTGTTGTGATGATCGTAAATAGTCCAGGCAGTGGAGAGTGAGGGACACGAGTATCGCTGGATACTCTGGGGCATGCAAGAGACAGGCAGAGAAGGAACGCGCGTTGGCGGCAGATGCGAGCAAGAACAGCTCGTCGCAGGCTCAGACGACACAAAGCAGACGAGAAAACATGCACTAGAAAATAATTACAACATGCCGCCCCCCGAGGTACGTGTGACGAGCGTGTGGAGAACGAGCCAGGGATAAACACGGAGAAAAGATGTGGAGAGTCTTGGAAAGTGGGCTCGTTCGTCGAGTGGAGGCGAGCGGCTCTGCGACGTACCACACGTACCACTTTTCAGCCTCAAAGCAGTGGAAAAGGCGCGCCGATCGTAGGCAGAACAGCAACCAGGACGCGGAGAGAGGGTGCAGGGGCTCTCAAATAGCATCGATGACGGTACTCTCATGCCCTCACAGGTTCAGGTCGCTCTCGGATGACGGCCAGCTCGGGCGCGCTGTGCAGAGGACGATGCGGGGGCTCGTCGACTGGAGACTCTGGTGCACGCCGTTCGTTGGTTGGATGCAGGCGGGAGTCGTGGGGCTGGTGCTTCGCGCTGAGAGGGAAAAGTTGTTTCTGTATGGAAGCAAGGCAAAAGGGCGACGTACAGAGGACCGTCGAGGACAGCGACGGTCTGCAGAGGCTCTCCTCGAGCCTGGCCAACAGCCCTTCATCGGGGCGCAGCTGGGGCTGGCTTACATGCTCGCGACCCCAATGAGCCTCATCGAAGCGGGGAGAGGCTACCTGCGGGATGCACGGTCTAGCCTTGACCCCGCGCAATCTCTTGGGATGGCCATGCTTGTTCGTGTCGTGTTTAGCCCTAACGCTTGAAGTGGCAAAGCTGAGCGTACAGGGTATCTGCAGGACGGTGGTAGTGGCAGCGAGTTCGTCCGCTTGCGCTTTAAATGCTCGCAAAGATCTTCCTATTTGTCTAGCTAGATATAGTTTTTGAGTTGTTAAATGTAGAGAAAACAAAACGAGTAAACTAAAACATACTGCTATAGTTGCTGCAAGCCATTTTCTTGCAGCGGCTTCGTCACTATTGTCAGTTCGCTCCCCCAACCGCCCCACAGGTCCCCATTGTCAAGGGAAAATTCTGGAGGCAGATCTGAGCTCTTATTGAGGAGTATCAAGCACGAGAGGGACGAGCGCGTGAGGGGAGGGAAGCTGCTGCTGTTGCTTCTGGTGCCGCTGTCCATTGTGAATGGGATGAAAAAATGTTCATTCTCTAATCTACTAGAATTCCTCTGATCGTAGTGTGCGATAATTTCTCCATCTGCCTGCGTTCTTGATGGTTCCTTCCTTCTCTGTTACTTGACCTCATCTCATCTCATTTACGCCACACCACAACACACTACCGTTCAAAACCCTGCGTCACTATGTCAAAACTTAAAAAGGCCCGTGTTCAACCCATGGTTGGATCATGTATGGGTGGGTAGTGTTTGGCGTCGCTCGCAATTACCCAATCCATGCGACGTCGACACCGACTTTGAGCTGGAGGCGCAGCCGACGAGCCTCGTCTGGATAAAAGACACGGAACAACCCACTGGATAAAAGGCGTAAGCCAAAATTAGACACAACACATGAATAACACAATGGATACCAATACCTCGTCCATTCTTCAAGACGTTCTCCTCCGTCTATGTATATGCATTCGCGCTTTTTGTTGCTAACAAGCTTATGCTGTGCTCCTCATCCAGCATTCGACAGCTGTTACTTGCGCAGCTCTCACGCCCTCCCTATCGTACAGTCTTGCTCTACTGTTTCTGCTCCCGTCTATTGCTGCTCCAGAAATACCCCCCAAGCATGTTCTTTGCATGTGCTGAAGATCTCCACGCTCGGCTGTAAGGTGCCGTGTTCGTTAAACCCCCCACCAGGCCGAGAAATGGCGAGGGCGGCACGTCCTGCTCGAAACCCCAACGCTAAAAAGAAAAACGAGCACATAAAGCAACGCCCGCGCCGAAAACGGTATCCCGCGCAAAAACTCAACCAGAGCCATTATACACCCCCCGCATCGCCTGCACGCCGACAACGGACTTATGACTGTGACTTACCGCCAAATCCTGGAATACCCATAAACTTTTGCCCGGCGGGCAGTTTTGGTCGTCCAAAGTTCTCGTCCAAATCAAGGATGACCTTGAGCGCGTTGCGGCTACGAAGGTACGGCAATGGTGCACTAGCTTCCGAGAGACCAACGGATGGCTCGAGGCTCGCTTCTACTGCGGATCCGGGCATCGGAAAAGCTGTTCAAGTTAGTACAGCGCTCAAAGAAACATGGTTTGGTTGACTCACATCGCTGCAACACCTCATAGCCAGCCAGTGTGAAACCGAACTGTGGGGACGATCGCATGATACGGGCGGGGCCACCCTTGAAGAAGGCTTTGAATCCTTCGTCGCGGAAGATAGTCTGCGCACAATGCCTGAGGCCGTTGTAAGTAGCCTCACCTTTGCGTGCTTCGACCTGTAACCTAGTCTTGATAACATCGCATGGTGTGGTGAGGTAGGCTGCAGGCATACCGGCAATGGCACCGGCTGTCAGCATCTGGAGTACACCCAGAGACTTCTGGGGGCTCTCGCCAAAGTAGTCCTTCTTCAAGTGGCTGTAAGTTGGGAAGTAGATCGCGGAAAAAGGGACTAAATAGATCGTAAGCGTTGTCGCTTTCCAGTAGCGATTGAAGCAGACTCACCATCTCGCAACAGACAGGCAGTGACACCCTTGTACAAGCCAACGAGACCCAAGTTCCGGACGATCCACATGGCAGAACGCTTGGGGACGCCCTCGACGTTCTTCGAAAGTTCACCTTGAATTTGTAGCCGGATCTTGACAATCTCAAGAGGATTTGTGAAGATCTGCAACATGCCGTGTTACTGTGTGTTCTCCCATGAGTCAATCGAGTAGGTGGATATAACTTACCACTTGACAGGCACCTGCAGAACCACCGGCCAAGAGTTCGTGTGCCAACTTGATGCTGCCAGTATCCTTGTCGGTGAGTTTCCCTCGCACCAAGTCGTTCACAGTCAGCTTGATAGCCTTTTCAGGGGCTACGCCGACAAGCTGCGGAAGCACGCCAGAGTAGAGGCCCCGGAAACCTTCATTCTTGATAACCTTCTTTGCACAATCAAGCGAGTTCTTGTACAGAACATGTCCTGCTCCAGAGCTCCTCTGATTTTGCATCCTCGTCTTCACCAAATCGATCGGATACACCATGAACGCGCCAAATGCTCCCGCCAACGAACCAAGCGCAAAATGATGAACGGACTCGAGGACATCGTGCCATATCGTCTTTGTCTTAGCGAAAGCTTTTTGACCTGCATCGCCTATCGCGCCAGATCCTGTTACGTATACGGAGTGCCATGAAGGGTCGAGGACGCGTGCAAAGTCTCGCAAGCCGAGTCTACCGGATGGATCATCCAGACCAGCAAAGTGGAATAGGATGTCTGCCTCCATGGGTGTGTACAAGTTGAAGCGGCTCAACCTAGCGGCCTCATTCAGAAAGTCTGTGCGGGTAATCTTGCCGTCAGTGCTTTTGCCAGTTGCGTTGCGTACAATCAGCTCAACCATATCCATCTGCTGGATCATGTTCTGGAAGGCGCGCACGTTGGCATAAGAGATCTTGCTCCCCACAGAGATGTTGCAGAGAGTGGGGAGGTTCTCGAGCAGGTAATCCGACAGCTTGTGGCTGGCTGTGTCTTGGATGATGCGCTGGAAGTTCTCAGGCTCGATGAAGCCGTCCTTGTTGTTATCAAAGTGCAGGAAAGCCTGTCGTACGCGCTCTCCTTGCAGGCCCCGCAGCATCTGGGCAAACTGAGGATATGTCATGCTATGTCTGTTCTTCTTAGAGCCGACGTAGAGAGTCGCCCATTCGCCCTCCCAGTTGAAGGGCAAGCTGTCGTCTGTCTTGTGCGCCTTCCAAGTGTCGTAGAAGTCGTTGAAGTCGATGTAGCCTGAGCGGTTCTTATCGAAGAAGCGGAAGATGACCTCGTACTCGGCGTCGGGTTTCGCGAGCAGGTTCTGGAAGACGGACCAGTCATGTATGCTGACCTTGCCTTTTCTGTCGCGGTCGGCAACCATGAAGAGAATGCCATACTGATAGCGCTTGATCTTGTGCTGTGAGGGACGCGCTGTGAGCTTCGACTCGAGTCGATACGTTGCTGGTGGAATTGCTTACGTAGTCTTCACTCTCGGGCGCGACGGCGTCAATGAACTGGTCCTCGTTGAGGTAGTACTCGTCTGACTCATCGTCCTTTTGGGCGTGCTTCATAAATGCGGTCCGCGTGAGCTGCGACAGCTGGGGCTCTTCGGACGTCCCCAACAGCACCTCGCCCACTTGCTCTGTAACTGACGCCATAGTGAAGGGTGGAGAGCTGCGCAAGAGTGAGGTAGTTGCAATTGGCCTCGAGGGCAGTTGTCGTCGCCGCCGTCGTCGTCGTGTTAGGTGTAGGGATGAAAGGAGAAAAACAACGGCAAAGGGTGCAGTGTTGAACAGCGAAGCTCGGAGCTCGGAATCCAATTGGATATAGACTAACAGTGGGGGCGCTCAAAATACGCGTGGGGAAGCACGGGAAGGCACGGGGAAGCGAGAGCAAGACTGAGGTGAGTGTAAGTTTCGCCGTTAATTGCCAATCCGAACATTCGCCGTGATTCTATAGTGCTGTCTTCAAACATCTATATAGGAGGACAGCGTTGGAGAACGACATGGACTTTCGAAGAACCCTCACCGCCTGGCCATCGCATGATCGACCGTCGCGTGGAAGAAGAAATGGAGCTTCATCCTTCTGGACTTGGTGTGTATGCATGGACTCGGCTGCCCCGGGTTGGCTCTGGGATGATGTGATCTACCGGATCAGAGGAGATCTGACCTGTCACGTTCCTAGCGCGCCGTTCGTCCAGGATTCAGGACATGCATGAGACATCGGTCACAGCGTCACCGCCAATCATGAGCTTATGGATTCAGTAATATACAGACACTATATAACCACAAAACAGCGTCTCTTAGACGACCAACCGGCCAGGTTCGACCTCCAACACTGTCTTGACGCGTTCAAGGAACACACGGCCCCTTTTCTCGTCGCCCTTAGGCACACTCACGCTAAATACATTCAGGGGGCCAATGACTCTCTCCGCTGCACCAGATGTAGGCGTTTTAGCACTACGAGCTGATGTCTTCTTTCCAGCCAGAATATCGAGCACGTCGGGCTTCTTGAAAGCTGATGCGCGCGTGCTAGGCAGTGTCGCAGGAGGCAGAGCGATCATTTGGGGAACGAAGTGGCCGCGCGAAGAGTTCTTCCCTCCAATCTTATTCAGACCAAGGACAGCGTTGAAAAGCTCGTCAGCAGAGGGCTTCGCGGTCGTGGACTTGGGCAGCTCCTCGTTTGCAAGCTCTGTAGCGCGAGCGATGAAGGTAGACAGCGGTAGGAACACGCCAATTGATTCTTTCACGCGCTTCTGGCACTCCAGCACAGCTGTGAGGGAGATGGGAAGGGCAACTTCAACTGGAAGTGCTTCAGCAATTGGAGCAGCTTCAGCGACAGGCTTCTGAGCAGGAGCCTCCTTCTTCGCTGCTGGCTTGATGTTGGACAAGTCCAGGTGACCAAGTTTCTCAAAGCGTTCTGCAGATTGCGCAGGGTAAGACTTTTCGACCTTGCCAATGTACGCCAACACGTCGCCCTTCAGCAGCCTGCCACCAGGACCTGTGGCTGGAATCTTGTCTGCCTCCTCTTTTGGTAGTCCATTCACCTTCATAAGGTGCTGTACAGAGGGGTAGAGAGGGTATGTCTGCTTCTGAGCCTTTCCACTAGACGTCTTCTTGGACGCATCGGATTTTGGAGCCGGCGAAGAAGTACGCTCCTCCTTTGGTACTGGCTTGGACTCTTCCTTTGGCTGTTTCTTGGGAGCGTCTGCCTTTTTGGGCGCCGAGTTGTCCTCAGCAGGGATCTCAAGAGAGCTTAGGTCGTCGCCGGGTTCTGCTGTGACGGCAATCCTCTTGCCAACTGGCACTCCTTTCGAGTTGTCTCCTTGCTGCAACCTTGTCAGCCAGCCCCCACCTAGCTTCCGGTGGTTTCCCGCATACTATTATCTTGGCCAGAATGCCGTCTTCCTGCGCCTCAACGTCCATCTGTGCCTTGTCCGTCTCGATTTCGAGGAGAACATCTCCAGCGGCGTACGAATCGCCTGGGCAGGTCAGCACTGTGTCCGCTGAAGATGCGTAGATCAGACAACGCAGTCGCGTAGTTGGTGTTCCCGTGTCCTTATTGTTGAAACCAGTATCGCAACATGCATCATGCTGTGCGTGTTCGCCTGGTGTTTGTGCAGTATGGGTCGGTCGTACCTTCCTTGATCTTCCAAGTCGCGATATTGCCCTCGGTCATGGTCGGAGAAAGCGCAGGCATGTTGAAGTTCTGGGCTGCGAGCGAAGCCTGACCAGCGTGGAATGCTACAAGCATCCTGTCAGTACATGTATCAATCCCGCTCAGTGCGACTCTTACCTCGCCGTGCGCCATTGTTCCCGAGCTGCTGCGCAGCCCGCGCCGACACTCTACATAACCCAGCGATTGAAGCCATGGGAGACCGATTGGCGGAGGAGGGCAATCGCGCGGAGTGAGGGGAAGAGGGCGAGAGATCGGACTTGGGGTTGTTGAGCGCTGGATCGGCGAGATTGCTGAAAAGTCCGAGCGCCGTCTTGACTTGACATTTCCAAGTCGAGCCACGACAGCTGCGGCGCCTGTCAATTGCCTGTCGATGGTCACTTTGCCCATGTAATTATTCCCGGGCAACAAACTGCGTATGACACTCTACTAACCCCCCTCACAGCATGCCAGCCTTCTCGCGGGGCCTTGCCCAGCACTCTTTCCGCCTCCCCTCATCCCTCCGCGCCGCCATATTCGGAGCTCGAGCACCCGTCTTCCAGCCCACCACGCGATCTTTCACGTCCGCCCCCCTCCGCAGATACCAATACACTTCCAAGCCCACTCTCGGCGCGCCCCCCAACATCTTCGTAAACAACGACCCTGTCCTGCGCCAAGTCGTGCAAACCCGCCAACCCGTGCTCCTCTACCGCGCACCACAGAGCAAATGGTACTACTGGAAGGTGTACGGGGTCGCTGCGCTATGGATAGGCGTGGGCGCATACTCTGTCAAGTTCCAAGAAGACGTCAAGCACATCCCGGATCTGGCCTTCTTCGTGCGGCCAACATACGTCGGCGTGGGCTTTGGCTTCATGGCCATCGGGTGTTACATCTGCACTGCGCCCACAAATCGCATGCGCACGCTTGAGGTCCTGCCAAGCATCATGGGAAGCCCAATGCAGCTGCGTATGACAGTGCGAGCCGCACCTTGGAAAAAGGAAAGGGTCATCCACGCGAATCTTGGGGGCGCAACCATCAGCGAGAAAACATGGCCCATGGTAGCGGAACTGTTGGAAGCGGATAGATCGAAGCGGCAGAAGGTTATGCAGGGCCTGGAGGATATGTCGATTCTGCCGAGGGCGTGGGAGTATTCGGCGCGATGGGTGCATCAAAAGTGGACTACCTTCTTCTTGAGCTTCAAGTTTGCGGTGCTGAGGTTCGGCATCGCAAAGGTGGAGGTGCAGGGGGAGAAGTGGAAGATTGATTGCTCAGGGTGGCTGTTGGAGAATGGGAGAGGTATGTTTGCGCATGCGTTGTTGAGGACTATTTTAACTCTGAGACAGCTGTCGATCGTATCATCTCTGAGGAATGACCTCCTTCCTGTCATTGGGAGTCGGGAGTTTGATGACCAACCAAAACTACAGTTCATACACACTGTGCAGCTCTGAGATTGAGCTGACACTTGGACTTTGATGCAATTATGACTGCGGTGGTTCGTGTACATTGTACAAAATGTAAATATATGTAAATCGGGTTGTTATCCTAAAATTTCTCAACGGGCGTCACAGGGTTCATTGAATCAGGTCGTTGGATGCAAATGATGTCGATGACTAGCATGACCGTACAACTCCAAAATCATCTCCTTAGCACACACTACTTCCTGGAGTATGAAGAACACGACAAGAAAATCAAATAACAGAACTGACAAGGGATGACTTGAATTCGCCAAACTTCAACACCATGGATGCTGAGTCATGCTCATCTCCAGTAACACCATGTTAGGAACAACAAAGCGAGATAGCACCGAACGCCGCATGTTGAAGAACTTAGAGTACTTGGGAAAAGTCGCGCGGTAACCTATGAACATGCTTGTGGGGCAACGAACAAAGGTTTCTTTTGGCAGCAGGAGATTGAGCCACAACTACGTCGAGACTCGATTGCTGCAGAAACCGAAAAGCAAACACCAATCTGCAATACAAGACACTCACCCCTATCGTCGTTGGTCAATGGCAAGGCACTCCGAAAGTGGGGGGCAGGATCGTTCCCTCGCAAGTGTAGGTAGCCACGTGCTCCCCCACACTCCCGCCACGACAGCGATGTGGCTAGCAGCATTAAGCTTTTGAGCCGCATTGTACCTGCAGGCGATCATCAGCAGTAAGAACTGGCAACGCGAGTTCTAGGAGCTCGAATAGTGGCCGCAAGAAGCTCGAAAGACTCCCGAAAAGCTGCGGATTGAATTGCCAGAAGTGTGTTCAGTCTGATTTTAATATTGTACTAATTATTTTCGTGCATGCATGTCCAGCATCTAAGCTTGTTGTCGTCGTGGTGAAGTGATGGCATGGCGGCGCGAGAATGTCGTCTGGCAAGCAGGTTGCTGTGATTGGCCCTTGGCAGAGCGCGCAAGAATCCCCCAACAACTACGAGGAACACGACCACCTCCCCTCGACCACATCTGTGTTTTGGCTCGTCCACATCTGCGCGACATTCATCGAATTCTTATTGCATCTAGTAGCTGCTCCCAGTGCTCTCTGTGCCGTGTTCAGTGGTGCATCGCCGTCGTGATCCTCGATCGCGGATTCAGCATCATCACAACACCCGCGCAACCAAGCATCGACGTCGCGCACCGTTTCACCATTGTGGTCGCGGATGCAGGAGACGCCCCTTCACTGCTCATGTCACAGTAACGTCGAGGAGCTCACTACAGGCGGTGAAAGGGCGCGTTTATTCCCACGTCACCAGCGGCCCGTTCGCTCACTTCACCACCACCAACACTAATGTCTCGCGCAAAGCGCAAGTTCGACCTCGACCCCAACGCCTCGGATCCGGACGACCTCGATTTCGACGCCACCGAACGCGCGCCACCCCAGCGCCGCCGCAACAACCGCGCCACCCCAGGCTCCAAGAAGAGAGGGCCAAGGCGCCCACGTCGCGCGTACGGCGGCTCAGACGTCGACGACGACGACGAGATTCTGTCCGACGACTCCTTCACCGACCGCTCCGAGTCGGAGGAGCCCGAGGTCAATCCGCAGACGGGCAGGAGCGTGCGCAAAGTCGCGAAAAAGGCCATCAAGTACGAGGAGAGTGAAGACGAGATCGAAGACACGCCCTCGGAAGACGACGACAAGCCCGTGCCCTCGCGACGCCGGGCGCAGCCGTCTATCGAGCAACCATCCATCGAGCAGCCGGCCATCGAAGAAGTCGAGACGCCGTCCCTGACTGTCGTCTTGAAGATGTCTGGACACAACATCCGTCGCGCCATGCGCCTCCGCACTGGTAGTAAGGGTATCACGCGCGAGAAGACGCCAGAGCCGCCAGGCACGCGCCGTAGTACCCGTCTTCGCTCGCATGACGTTGAGCAGATTGCCTTGTCCGACTCAGGCAAGCATGCGATCCGCCAGCCCACCAAAACCCCCGAGCCCGCTGCATCACGCCCAACCAGGGGCGGCAAGGGCCCGAGGTTCCAGCACCAAAGCCCTATTGTGGAAGCCTCACAGGAGGTGTCGATGATCCCCGACGACGACAGTGACGGGCCGCTCGACGCGCTCCTTGCTGGCGCTGAAGATCACCTGCAAGTCCAGGCCGAGGCCACACCAGACGAGGCCCAGCCTTCGAAGAACGACGAAGACGATGAGGGCTTGGAGGGTGTGATTCAAGAGTCCCAGCATGATGACGTTGCTGCTGAAGATTCGGAAGAGGAAGAAGAGGGCCCTGTCACGCGTGGCGGTCGTAATCTGAGGGTATGTGACTTTCGTGTCGTTGGCAGTGACTGCAAACTAACAGACTTCAGTCTCGCGCCAGATCTGCCAAACGCAAGCGAGGTGCCGACGAAAGTAGTGATTTCGAGCCGGCTGCTGAGGATGAGAAGGAAGAGGAAGAAGGGATATCAGACTCTGATCACGGAAAGGGTAAGCGCAAGCGTTCCTCGTCTGAAAGCGCCTCAGGCTCAGGCCGAAGATCGACTCGCAACCGGGGAAGAACACGACAATCCCAGCGAAGTAGGCGCGACTCGTCTTCTGAGGAGGAGCTGGACAAAGATGAAATGGCGGACGAGCTCCAAGAGCTTGACACCAAACGCCGACGCCTGAGCAGGCGCGTTCCTGACAACGACCTGTCGTACGACACAGCACCCAAGCGTCGCGCCCGAACGAACGCTGTTGACTATCGCGTTGTTCGCCCGGAACTGAATGCAGTGTTTGACGACGACGATCTCCCTCCACGCGTCGACAAGACACGCTCTAGAGGCGGGCGCGCGGCATACAGAAGCATATGGGGCAACCAAGGCCCCTTCGGCGGTGGTGTTGAAGCCGGCGCGGGTGCTGCTGGCGGAGATTCGGACAGTAGCGAGGACGAGAACCGGATGATGCCCAAGTCTGTTGGTGGCATGATCGGCATGACTCCGACAACAGCAACGGCTCCTGGCTTTGGGTTTCCTCAAACACACAATGCAGACGCGCAACAAGCTGGTGGTGGATCTGGAGGCGGGCCTGCAGACTTTGGTAAAGTCAAAGACAAGAAGGCTCTTGCGGATGCAGATCCACTGGGGGTCGACACCAGCGTCAACTTCGACGGCGTTGGTGGATTGGAAGACCACATCAGCAAGCTCAAGGAGATGGTCATGCTTCCCTTGCTCTATCCCGAGGTGTTCCAGCGCTTCAAGATCACTCCGCCTCGAGGAGTGTTGTTCCACGGCCCGCCAGGTACTGGTAAAACACTCCTTGCGCGCGCTCTAGCCTCTAGTGTTAGTGGGCATGGTCAGAAAGTCACTTTCTACATGCGTAAGGGAGCCGATGCCCTCAGCAAATGGGTTGGAGAAGCCGAGCGACAGCTTAGACTGCTGTTTGAGGAGGCGCGGAAAACCCAACCCAGTATCATCTTCTTCGATGAGATTGACGGTCTGGCGCCTGTTCGATCCAGCAAACAAGAGCAGATTCATGCTTCCATTGTCGCCACACTTCTCGCTCTGATGGACGGCATGGACGGGCGTGGCCAAGTCATTGTCATCGGCGCAACAAATCGTCCTGACTCCGTGGATCCTGCTTTACGACGTCCTGGTCGTTTCGACCGTGAATTCTACTTCCCCTTGCCCAACGTCACAGGACGACGTGCCATCATCGATATCCACACAAAGAACTGGGAGCCGCCTCTCAAACCTGAGATGAAGGATGGACTTGCGGAAGTGACCAAGGGCTACGGTGGTGCCGATCTTCGAGCTTTGTGCACGGAGGCAGCTTTGAACGCCGTACAGGGAACGTTCCCCCAGATTTACTCTTCCGAGAGGAAACTCTTGATTGACCCCACCCACATCAAGGTTCTAGCGAAGGATTTCATGATCTCGGTGAACAAGATGGTCCCTTCTTCGCAGAGGACAATTACGGCAAGTGCTGCGCCGCTTCCCAAGAGCATCGAATCTCTGCTGAAGAAGCCACTGGATGAAATTCTCAAGCGCATGGACGAGCTCATTCCCAGGAGAAAGAAGCTCACTGCGCTAGAGGAAGCGGAGTTTGATGATCGCGAGGATGAGAAGGGATTCGAACGGGAAACCACCATGCGCAACTTTGAAAGCAACAGAATCTTCCGACCTCGTCTTCTTATCACAGGCCTACAAGGCATGGGCCAACAGTACCTGGGTGCTGCCTTGTTGAACAAAATCGAGGGCCTGCATGTGCAATCGTTCGATCTGCCGACCATCTTGGAGGACTCTACGCGAAGTCCCGAAGCAGCCATCACCCAGTTGTTCACCGAGGTCAGGCGCCACAAGCCAAGCGTCATTTACATTCCTGCAGTCGATGTTTGGTATCAGACTCTACCCGGTCCTGCCATCAAGACCTTCAAGCTTCTTCTACGCAGTGTAGGCGCGAATGAACCAATCATGGTTCTAGGCGTGATGGAACTGTCTCACGAGAAAGAGAAGCCAGACCGGCAGATGATGGCGGATCTTTTCACGTTTTCCAGAAACAACAAGTACGTGCTCGAACGGCCGGACCAGGAAGGACGTACCGAGTTTTTCGAGAGTATCATCCACTATATTCGTATGTCGCCGGCCGACTTTCCAGATCCCGATAATAGGAAGAAACGCGTCCTGCCCGAGTTGGAGCCAGCGCCCATTGTTGCGCCAATCGTCGATCCTAAAGAGCGCACCGCACGAGAAAAGGAGCAGAGGAAGCAAGACATGCTGACGCTGAGCAAGATGAAGATCATGATTCAGCCTATCATGGACTGGATGAAGAAAGGTCACCGGAAATTCTTCAAGCCAATTCTGGATGAGAGCTGGTACTCGTATCTTCTGGACGAACAAAACCCAGATCATTTCACAACCGACTTGGCGCCCGAACAACAGCAGGAACAAGGTGTCACACGAGAGTTTGAATGGTCCGAAGACCACAAGGGCGTCGGTGTGCTGTTGCATACTCCGAGTGGCAACAAATACTATAACCTCGATTTGACGGAGATTGAGAGGCGTCTTTCCAACGGTTATTACAAGCGTCCAAAGGACTTCCTATACGACGTCAAAACTCTCCTCAAGGACGCTAAAACGTTCAAAAGAGATCCGGAGCGGATTATGAAGGCTCAGGAGTTGTTGACAAACGTGGAGGTCGACATACACAATTTCTTCCCAGCCGCCCAGCTTGAGGAATACGAGGCTGTCTACTACCGCGAACTAGAGAGGGCCCGAAAATCAAAGGAGAAGCGCGAAAAGGCCGCCGCTGAGGCTGAAAAAGCAGCTGCTGAGGCAGCCAATGTCTCGGCTCCAGAAGAGTCGACTCTGGCAATAGAGGCGTCCGGTGCGATCATATTGAATGACCCTGTGCCTGGACATGCGGCCATCCCTCCAGTGACGCCGTCACGGCCACCCACAAGCGGCCCGCTGTCAAACGGAACAAGCGGAGAGGACGGTGCACAACATACTCAACAAAACGGGTCCACAGTACCTTCTCGGGCGATCGATGATTCAGACCTTACGGACAGTCAAGATCTAAATGTCGGCACTCAAATCGACTTTCATTTCCAGACTCCCAATCCGGTCTACACACAAACTCAGACCCAACGATCACAATTTGCAGGTCGCACATTCGTCGCGCCGAACTCACACCCCAACGACTACCACAACAGTGCATCGACTACGACATCCGGCAACCAGACGTCCAAGCGGTCTTCTGACAACAAGTTTGGCACACAGAGCAGCAACGGTGCGCCGCCAGTGGGCGTACCGAATTTCGTGGAACTCATGCCTCAAGCCGGCGGGTCACAGCTGCCCGACACACAAGGTTCGCCGACCCTCTTCGAGCGTCGCTTTGACCTCTCCCCTCGCCTATCCCGCTCTTCATCCGCTGACTCGATGCTCTTCACAGAACAACACTACGTCAGTAGTCAGCCGACCAACTCGCAGCCCTCGCAGTCGTCACAAGTCATGCCTCCCCCACGCCATACGACAAACCTTGGGGAAATCCTCAACGACGAGAACCCGCCTCAGCCCGTTCTCATCCTAGACGATACGCAACTCCACGACCTACACTCCAATCTCGCCACCAACACCTCGGGCTGCTCGCTTGAGCAACTCGAGCAGATCAACGCCAGCCTCATGGAAGCCATCTGGACGCACCGCAGAGACTACAACCGCAATAGAGTTGTGCAGAGGGTCACTGACGCGTTCAACGAAATCATAGAAGATATTCAGGCCATGCAGGACATCCTCAAATCAAGCCAGGAAGAAGAGGAGGCAGAGGAAGAGAGTCGTTATATGCGCTTCGATCAGCCTACTCAGATAACGCAGGCATATCCGCCGCTTACCCAGCCCCCGATTGGGGGTCCTGGAGTCACGCAGAGCGAGTACTGGGCCGCGACGCCGGGTGCGACGCAGCGTCCTGTGCGGTAGGCCATTGTGCAGGAGTTCGGATTCTTTGGAAAAGTCTTCTTTTGACAGAAGGGTTGAGAAGTGGTAGGATATGGCGTTTTTGGCAACGCTGGGATTGGTGGTGTACATGCGTTGTTGGCACGTTCGTTTTGTCAGATCAGGTCAGGCTGGAGTTTTCACGCCCTACGCTCTGCGTCTAGGACTGACCATAGCGTCACTTTCTGGATTTTTTCACGCTCATGTGTAGGATGTTGGAGGGTCATGTAGGTACGTGCGGTAGATACCAGGTTTTGTTTTTTCCCTTACTTTCTAATGAATAGACGCTTTGAAGCGCGTTGTGTTGCGTTTTTACCATGCTTCTTCGTATGCTAGGTTTTACTGTTGAGGTCTAGAGTGGGTCATGCATGGTACTCCCTCGTTTCTTACAAAACTTCCCGCACATCTTCCCAAGCGATCACTGTTATGTTCATGGTGGTCATAATGCATCTCTACGGCGTGGTTACCCACCCACGTGTAACGTCCTTGCCGCGCGCATGGATTGGGATAGCAATGGAAAGGGGTATGCAAGGGGGAGTCAAGGTTTCGGATGTGGGTGGGTGTGAATGTGGGTATGTGGATAGGTAGAGGGGGAGGGAGGGAAGGAAGGAATGGGGACGGCGGGACGGGACGAGTGAGGATTGGGGATTGGCATTGGGATGAGGGTTTTGGGTAGAGAGTATTATGGGGTCAGGGGGCGAGGGGAAGGATCGTGGGTAACATGAATAGTGAGAATGAAGGATCCAGACCGTCAGTGTCATATGTCCATAATGAATCATGTCTTCATCAAACTTCTATCCGCCTGTACGGTTACTTGTAAGCAATATTGTGCCGCTTGTTTAGCGCTACATCCGCGCCTTTTACAGCGACCATCGTCTGTGCGAAACTAATCTATCTATATACAAACACGGCGTTGTTTCAAAGACTCGGGATCATTAACTGTATGGACGGCAGATCGTAGAAGAGGATCGTCGAACGGAGAGTTGTGATGGTGAGAGGACGAGGCGTTCGTATTCTGGAAACGCGGCCCGGTGACGTGCAGCACAGCAATCCACTTAAAACACAAACAAAGAAATGGCCTTCTCAACAACGCCATGGCACGTGGTGATTGACATGGTGCTCGATCGTGATGCTGCACATGCTGCACATGCTGCATGCCACGCCGCGTCTTTGTCGCTTCCCCCAGGCATCCGAGTTTTCATCAGGATTCGATGTCGGCCCGTTCAGCTTTCGCATCTATGGAAACTTTGTCGCCACGAACCTTCTCGCCGCGATCCTGGTCTGTGGAAAGTGGAAATATAGCATGCAATCCCTCCAGCTATTACTTCGCGATGGCTCGTCGCAGGGCTGATGCCGACATATTAAGCCGTCGTACTATGAGCTTTTAATCTGCGACGGTCTTTATCGCCTGTCGATCGAGCCTTGTATACCTGGTCCAATGGCAAAAGCGCTTGCTTTCAAAGCGTGGAAGCATCGCTTGACTCGACGACCCAGCTGTACAGATCGAGGACTCTCGGATTGGCTGAGCGGCCTGAAAATTGGGGCCTGCATAAAGACGTGACCCACCAGATGGATATTGGGAGAACATGGGGGATCGGCTCTGGTTTGTTTGTGCAACAACCTGGTTAAGGAGAACCTGGTTGCTCGGCTGCTGAAATCCTAGTGCAACGACCGGTGGGTGTGCGGTCCTTGGAATTTCCGCACAAGCTTCGATGGAAGCCCGCTGGAACACGTAAGGACGTTTGAGACAAAAAACAGATGAGCGCAACGGTCCGCTTCTGCGGCGTCGTCGTTGTCGTATGGAGTACGCTGCACCACCATGCAAGCTTCACCAACAGAAGCACCACGTCGTAACCGATCCTACCATCTCGCGTGGTCCAGAGCTGTCGTCTACCACACCCATTAAACCCAAAACACGGTACTCTCCGTATTGCGTGACATTTTGTCAGCGCGTGGGCATCGAACATGCCTGTCAGACGTTACCTCCGAGGGGGGGCTCCTCCAATCCACTTCCTGATTGCATGCAGCACTTTCTGGCTGAACGGTGGACAGGTGGCACAACCTCGCAGTCGTCTCCGCTGAAAACTCGCCAATTTCAACCGCTGCTCGACTCGCGCGCGCGCTCGGCTTCCAATGGATCCGAAGCCAGAGAACTGTGCCGCATCGGTATCAGAACCCTCCCCGTTTACGCCTTGCTGGTAGGGCGAGCCATCCCACGAGTTGGACCCTGCTAGTGGTTCAGGGCCAAACCCTTTAGTTTGTGGCTTTATGAGCTGGGTTCAAGAAGCTAAGCGTCATGTACACAGCGTGCCGTTGGTGGAACGGGCATCAGCACGTTCCCCACAAGACCGCTAAACATGGTATGCCATCACCTTGATCCTAGAGTATACTAGATCAATCGTCTCTGACTTCATGCCCTGGGTACTGTTCCCATTTTTGCGCACGAGCAAACAACTTTCTCCTCTTTTTCTCTTCCTTCCCTTCCTTTCTGTTCTGCCCTTTTGCTCAAACGCTTCGAAATGATAGTCTTGCGTGTGCCTGGAATCCGGTCTATCGATGCTTAGCCCTGCCGACACATAACTCTCATCCCTAGGCGACTCTTCCGCTGCGAATAATGGTTCTTACCCAGCCTCTAGATGAGGACTCCGTCAGCTATGTACTGCCGGCACACATTCACCCATGGCTGCAAGCCGTCGTCACCCTAGCATTCATCAGCTTCTTCGCATCCGTGTCGCTACTCTTCCTATTAACCTACAAGCTTATATCATGGCAAATCAAATCAAAGAAGAGCAACCAGTTCGTCATTCTCATCTTCAACCTTTTGTGGGCCGACATACACCAAGCATTGGCTTTCCTACTCAACGTCGAATGGTTACGCCTGGGCTCGGTCGTGGTGGAAAATCCGATATGTTTCGCACAGGGCTGGTTGGTCTCGACGGGTGATCTGGGGAGTGGAGTGTGGTGTTTTGCAATTGGTCTTCACACCTTCGCCTCTGTTATTCTGGAATTTCGATTGAGCCCAAGATACTTCTACGCCTCCGTCATCGCGCTCTGGGTCTTCATTTTGGGCGTCTCATCCATTGGAGTGGGAATGTATGGCACAGATCTTTACGTCCGATCTGGTGTCTGGTGCTGGATTCACCACGACCTCAAGGACCTACGTCTCTGGACACACTACGTCTGGATCTTCATATTGTACGTCTCACTCAAGATGTTCCCAATGGGGGGATACTAACATTATCTTCAGCGAATTCGGTAATGCGATAATCTACGCCATCATCTACGCTATTCTTCTCCATCGCATCCGAACCGGCTACTATACCCCCGTCGAAGCCCGCCGCGTAAAATCCATTTCCAACCTCATGGTCGTATACCCCCTCGTCTACGTAATATGCACCATTCCCCTCGCCTCGGCCCGCATGGCAGCCATGACCGGTCACCCCCCTTCTCTCGCCCGCCTCTGCCTCGCCGGCGCAATGATCACGTCAAACGGTTGGCTAGATGTCCTTCTCTACACCGTCACCCGCCGCATCATGATCTTCAGCGACGAAGCACCCCCCGACGACAACGGTTTCGACACCTTCACCACCTTCTGGGCCGACGGGCCCCGCCGCTTTGGAGGAGAGTGCACAGTCGAGGCCGGCAAGCCAAAGGGCAGGAGCAAGGTCACGCTGCCGTCGAGCAATGAGAGCTCAGACGATTTATGTGGGATCGGCATGGGCAGCAAGGACATCAAGCTCGTCACGACGACGAAAGTCATCAGCGAGCCGGCGCTGCCGGAGGACTACGAGGAAATGGTCTCCGGGAATATGAACCCCAGGCCCAGATCGCCGCTCGGGCGGTGGAGCGACGAGAGCGATCGAAGCAAAGAGTTCGTGCTGGCGCAAATGCCGATATGAAAATCAAATCCATCTATTCCATTCCGCTGATCCATCTGAATTCCCCTGACTCAAGACGTGTGTGTGTGTGTGTGTGTAGTTGGTCTCCACGACGCCGAATTTCGCCGCACTTGATAGACTGGCTGGCGATCACACAATTTCAAGCTCGACCCATCATGCAGAAGTTTGAAATCGCACATGCACAAGAAACATTCCCCCCTCCCAAGCTAGAAACGACTCAGACAGCCTTGCCCCTCAAAACGTCATAAACAGCCCACTGAACCCAGATCGCCATGCTCTTCCTACGATAATGCATCCTCCCGTTTAAGCTTTCCAGGACTAGACTGCGATTTGCCGTATATCAAGAGCCGAGAAAGGTCGATCTGCACGGGCGACCACAGGTTGATGATCTCGTAGATCATGTTCCCTGCTAGCTGCGACGTCTCGGCAGTTGTGTCCTGGTGTGCGCAGAGAGTCAGTCAGGGTTGTGCCTTTTGTGTTTCTCGGCTAGCATGCTTTGAAGCAATGCCTAATTTGATGGGTTTCGCTGGGCGGTTTCTAGCGCTACACATGGCGATGTTAGGTAGGTCTGTCCCTGATTCTATGGGGAAAGTCAAGGTAGGGGTTTTGCTACTGACCGGATTCTCGAATATCAAGTAACTGCCGGGAAACTATGTCGTCGGCGGTATTTGCCTCGTCCATTCACGTTTGAACGGTGATGTGCTGTATGAAGAAAGGTGTATTATCATGATTTGTGACTCCTACCCTGATCTACAAAGTGGTGCTCATCTATGAGCCTTGGCTTTGTCTTGCAAGTATACATAACTACGGCATGACAATATCACACTGTCGGCAGATCTCGTTGCCTTGGTACCTGTTAAACTTGCAACTCCTAGAGCCACATTAGAGTTTCTTCACCAACTTGTTACTTTGCGTTAGTGTTAGTCGCGTTGACAGTCTATTGAATACACTTCGAGGGAAGCGTGTAATTCAGTTGTCATTCTCTGACATCAAGCACTGAAAGATAATGTGTTCCCCTTTGCCAGTGCTTATCTTTCTCTGTCCACCTCAAAACGAGAATGTATAAAAATTCCAAAACAAAGTATCCACACTGAACATAGAGTGTCCTCTCCTTCATAACAGATACCGTCGCGTTCATGTAGAGCCTCAGTCCAAGGATTGAAAGCGGATGCTTGTATATTCACAACACAATCAATCGTACTTGGATACCTACGGGGCTACTAAGGTCTAGCCCTTCAACACTGACATTCGAGAATACCAGATTACTCTTAACTGCTATCTCTTAAACTCAACGTGTTTCGTGACCATTTCATGTTACACTGTGACTGCTAGCAACCCCTGATGTTCATACGAGGGCGCATCTCAAAGTCTGGCCAAAACTTCTATGATTATCAATTGCGAACCCCAGAACGGACGCCCCTGCATAGTCCTCGCTAACCCGGTAAGAATTATCGTCAGCGAGATTGGAGTGCACGGTAATGGCGCTGCATACGCGGAACGTTTCGTTATCGTCTTATTCGTCCAGTTCTACCCCTCCTGCCACCGAAAGAGGGACCTCGTGTCGAGGCGGCAGATCAACCATGTCACATCCGTCCATTTTCTCGTTTGTATCATCCCAGATCGAGCGCTCCTCCGTTTCGTCATGTCCGAGTGTCCAGCCTACAGGCTTGTAGCCGTGGTGCACATTACAGCTATACGGCCGATCTGCGCCATACACGCGAATCAATTGGTTAGTCACTGTGACTGGAAAAGTAGCTAAGGCAACTTCCATTTCACGTGCCCTCTTTAGCAACTTGGAGGAGCACAAGCCCGCTACCTCTTCTCCTTTTTACTCATATAAGTTGCTCACGCTTGGGCTGTATTACATCAACGATTTGTATGGAGTACCCATTGTGGCCATTCGTCCAAAAAGCGATTATGGGAGTAAAGAGAATGATTCGAGATTTGTGATGGATTGATGGGTCTGCCCACATTCACTCATGCAAGTTACGACGCGGTGTCGCGAATCCTCCACGCTAGCGATGCACCAAACCATCAGCTTGAGAACCATGAAGTTTATTGGCTATATTTGTTCAATGAATTTCGTCATTTTCGTCATGCACGTATCGTCATGAAACTACAAATATGATCGCTCATGTGTAGTTTGGTGATATACCAATTCCACAATCTTGAGGCTGGGAAAGAGGTAGCCCCGTTGTAGCTATGACTATGCTTCGTTTTGTTCGATTATCGAAAGAACGAAAGCCTTCCGATATCAAGTGGATGACATCAGAATTCAAGAGCCTCTTGCCTTTGCTTAGACACAGCATGGACTTGTCGATAACAGGACAATTCTAAGAAGTGTGATTTTTGCAGGCACGAGATTCGACAAGCAATGCATGGAAGGAGTGATTTTGAAGGTCGTTAAATGAAGTTGTTCATTTTCATGCCGGATAACCCAGCCCTATCGGCGGGTACATAGGCGAGGTCCCAATGCACTTACCCCGCGCCGTAACCCAGGAATGCTAGAAAAAGACCCATATCGTCATCACACCATTCTCTAATACCTCTTGCCCTCGCGCAGAACGTCGCTGTACTCCTCGAGCGGGCTTCGAATAAGCTTAGTCTCGGCCCACAGGTTGGGTGTCAGGAAGCCGTAGGTGTTGGCGACAGCAACGAAGGTGGCCTTCAGGGTGTTCTCGAGGGTCTTTGTGGAACCAGACGAGGCAGTGTAGATGTCGGCGACACCAGCAAGTTGCAACAGACGCTTGACAGCGGGCGATGCGACAAGGCCAGTACCACGGGGAGCAGGAATGAGACGGACAGTGACGGAACCGCACTTGCCACTCTCCTTGGTGGGGAGCGAGTGAGGCTCACCAAGGTTGGTACCCCAGTATCCTCTTCGGATGGGGACAACGGAGAGCTTGGCGATGATGATAGCGGCGCGGATGGCGGTCGCGACTTCCTTGGAGGTCTTGATTCCAAGACCGACGTGACCCTCAGAGTCACCGATGACGACGATGGCCTTGAAACGGGTACGCTGACCGGCACGGGTCTGCTTCTGGACGGGCTTGATCTTCATGACCTCGTCCTTGAGCTTGGGGAGGAAGAAGTCGACGATCTGGTACTCCTTGATGGGGAGAGAGTGGAGGTAGCTGTGCCATGTCAGTCTCTGGTCCGCGGTCCATCCCTGCTACTGTGGTGCACATACATCTCCTCCATGCTCTTGATCTTGCCGGCCTTCACGAGACGGCCGAGCTTGGTGACGGGCTGCCACTCCTTCTCCTGCGCCAATTGTCAACACCTCTCCATGTCATTTTGAGCGCCTGTGCCTACTTCAGTCTTGCCACCACGGCGACCACGTCCACGACCGCGGCCACGACCACGGTCACCTCCACGGTCACCACGAGATCCGAATCCGCCGCGAGCGGGGGCGGGAGCGTCAGCCATGTTGTGTTTCGGGGATTTGGACGGCTGCTATAGTCGCGCTGTTAGCAATTACTTTGTAGTCGCAAGCAATTAAACATACAGTGTGGTAGTCCTGGGTTAGTGTTCAAGTCGCGATAGCGGGCTCGTTGTCGTAGACAAAATGGTGTGCGAGGCCGCTACCACGACTCTTGGCGGTCTGCTAAGCGAGTGTTAGCGTGACAGCATCTTCGCAGAGGAGGGCCGTGGTCGTCAACTTGTTCAAACTAACATTGTCCTCTCTTCTTGTCACACACTATCCTTCCAAAGTTCTTTGAGCGTCAGCGCTCAAACTCAGCATGTATCTGATGGATGCCTTGCATTTGTAAACACATTGTCTGGTGCCGCAGTGCGAAATTTCCAAGCCCTTGGAAGCTGGCTTTGTTCCATTCCCTTGACTATGATATCGGCAGCAAGACAAATAATCAGGCGGCTCATCATGTTATTCCCTTTTGTGAATCATGAGACAACGTTACCGATGGCCTAGTGCGAACGAACATGGTCATCTGCACCTTTCTCTTCCAACTTGCTGACTAAGAATTCTACAAGCTGTTGATTCGTTCACATGCCAGAACTCACCTAAACGTTAATCAAGTTTTCTAAACTTTACATCACGTCTCCGATGAACACCGACAACGACGTTCTGTCCCATCATGTCATTACTCAACTCGGTACTCGGCTCGCTTTCTCCTCCCCCCAGATTTCGCAAGTCTTTCGAAGATCCTCACGCACGCGACCATGAGCTGTCACGATACAACTCTCCGCCATCGCCTCACGTACCGCCGCCAGTTACCTCGTCAGTACTATGGAGTGTACCTAAAACGAGCATATCGCCGTCTCCTCGCGTTCCCGACGATCTACTGGCCTTGCAACGGCGGGCTCGACATCTCGAGAAACAGCTGCAAGAGCTACTCGACGCGCAGGCAGATGGTCTGGTGACTGGTCTGGGAGGGAACGACACAATACCCGACGATTTGGCCTCAAACGGAAGCACCACACCGACGGCCAGTAGTGGTCGATCCACAGATAGGAACGCAGAGAGTGGAAGCAATGCGAACTTGCCCAGAAAGAAGAAAGTAGGTTTGAACGCTGCGAGACTAGGCATATACAAACGCGTGCGACAACTGGCCAGTGTTAAAGCTGAGGAGTTGGACATGCTTGATGAGGATTTGAGAAGCTTGCAAATAACGGTGGAGAAGACAGAATCTTGGAGCCAGAAGCGTTCGCGTCTAGAGACGACGATCAAAGACATTGAAAGCGAAGACGCTGGCGCAAAAACAGATACTCTTCAGACTGAAGCATCAAAGCTGGAACAAGAGATAAGGCAGAAGGAAGAGGAACTATGGGCACTAAAGAAGCGGCATCGAAGAGTTCTGGACGAGCTTTCAGACACTCAGAATTCGGTCGAGGCGAAGTTATCCTCTTATAAAACGTCACTCTCGATATTGGACAAGGAGATTTCAAGTTTCCTCGCACGCCCTCCAAACACGAACCGCACATTACTTTCCTCGTCGCCGTTCCCTGCTCTACCTGCTAAACGACGAACGCTTGAAATGGCACGTGAGTACTGGCAAGATGAGTATGCAAGACTGGCCGAGAGGTGCGAAGAAGTGGATGTTGATCGTGCTGCACTCGACGAAGGTGCGGTGATGTGGAACGATGTGGTGATGAAAGTGGCAGACTACGAAATGAGCCTTCAAAGTTACATGCAACACGCGGGACGAAGCAGTTCCCCGAGTTCTTCACAACTGCTAGACCAGATGGACAATACTATAGCATTTCTTGACGAGAGGTTAGATTTCGCGACCTCCAGAAACTGGAATTTACTTGTCTGTGCTATTGGGGCGGAGCTGGAAGCCTTCAAACAAGGTAAGGAACTTCTAGAAGAGGCACTCGGAACGAAGCGCAAAGGCAAAGAAAAGGTCGCACGTACGCTATTGGACGACGAGGACTTCAACAACGAGGTTAAGGAGGACATGTCGATTTCAGCCATCAGGATAGGCCGTTCGTCACCAAAGCCTGTCCAGCCTCGACATAGTTCCTCAGATGACGACGACCCAGATCCCGAGCTTATGATCTCACACCACGATACGGATACTGACTGAGCTCTTGTCGCCTCGTTGTGAACGCGGGATACCTGCGGATCACGATATGGGAAGAATTACTCAACTTACATCTCCATCAAACATAACATTGAATACAATAACGACATATATGCCAATTATTCGTCCCAAATGTATCTAGTGAAGAATGTCAAAATCATCGTAAATGCACATCTCCATGCGAATGCTTTTACATGTTCTTGGGCTGGCTCTATGTCATGTCACGCTGACTAAGGTCCCATCTCCCTTCTCCGCACTCTAACAACCCCACACTTCCAGCAACCACTAGCACTGCCTAACAAGTCTCTCGCCCTGCACACGCTGTGATCGTGTTCCACCCGCACCGAATATGCGATAGCCCTGGTACCGGGTCTCTCGCTGACCCAAAATCATGCATCGCCCACCAGAGGTCCATTACAGCTTCACCATTCCCTCAATTCACGATGACACGACGCTCGACTGTCGCGTGTACCACCCTGATTTGCTGAGCGAATATACTGGCGAGACATCAAGATGGAAGAAGAGAGGCATTGTCATGGCGCATCCCTACGCACCTATGGGTGGGAGTTGTGATGATCGGGTTGTTGGAGTGGTAGTGGATGAGTTCGTGAGGGCTGGGTGGGTAGTGGGGACATTCAATTTTAGGTATGCCTGTTCCCATTGCCTGACAGGGTAAGTATGGACAAGTTTTCTGATATGCATTAGAGGTGCGCATGGCTCCAAAGGTCGTACCAGCTGGTCTGGTCGCCCCGAGCTCAACGACTACATGTCCTTCGCCGCGTTCTTCATACATTATCTGAGCTACGTACAGCCATATCCTATACCACATCTCGATTCGATGCCTGAGCAGTCCCCGCTGCCGTCCTCTGTTGAGTCTCTGCACCAGCAGATCAACCAACCTCCCGTTGTAATACTCGGCGGCTATTCCTATGGTTCTCTGATCCTCAAAAACCTCCCGCCTCTCTCTTCAATCCTACAACCTTTCGCTACACCTGTTCTCGGTACCGCAGCCGACGAGATACTCCTCCGCGCGCATAAACTTTCCGACCAGACCAACCTCTCACGGTTACAACTCTTGCGAGACCACGAGCGAGGGCGCAAAGACAAGACGGATCACGGACGGACACTTTCTGTAATACATGGTGGCGAGGAGACGCCTTCCGATAAGAGGCGAAGTAGCAGAGAAGTCAGGAGAAGCGTGGATGGCTTCGGACGACATAGCCATGATCTCGGAGATCGATTGAGAAACATAAGCCACCGGAAACCGAAGGACGAAATATCACCGGTACAGCTGGTCACGAGAAACGCCGCTATCAGTATGCCGGATGTGCGCTACCTCCTTATCTCGCCTCTCACCCTCCCTATATCGACGCTTGCCGCACCGGCGCTGGGACAGATGTTTTGGAGCAGAGGCAAGGATAAGAGTCAGGACGTCATTGGAAAACACACTTCCTTGGCTGTATACGGCGATCACGATGTCTTCTCGTCTGCGAAGAAGATCCGCGAGTGGGCAGTGCAGCTAAGAGCCGAGCCTGGGTCGTGTTTCTCGAGCGTTGAAGTTGCGGGTGCCGGTCACTTTTGGGTCGAGAAGGGTGTTGAAGAAAAGCTGAGGAATGCGTTGAGGGAGTGGGAGGTTGGCGTACGGTGACGGCATCAACTGTTGACCATGAAAGGCACGCATAACAGCTCCATGGTTCTAATTACAAATCTCGAGATGTCGCGTCTTCAATCACAGGGCAACATGTTTCATGGTAATATCAATTTAAACGCCTTATCCCAAGTATATCCGAAAGCAAATAAACACCAATGTCTAAAAACTACCTACGCCCTCATCTGCCTCTATATCCCACCCCGCCACTGTTTTTTTCCGCCTGTCTTAGTCTTTCCGCCTGTCTTAGTCTTTTCGCTCGTCTTGGTTTTTTCGCCTGCCTTAGTCTTTTCGCCTGACTTGGTCTTTGCCCCTTCCTCTGCTTTTTCGGCCTGATTCTTCTCGCTCACGGGTGTCTTCGGGGTTATGGGTGTCTTCGGAGTCGTGGGTGTCTTCGGAGTCATGAGTGTCTTCGAGGCTGTGGCTTTCGCCAGGGCTTCGAATTTGTTCAGAGCCTCGGGTTTTTTCTGGACTCGGGCTGACTTCGGAGGCGTAATTCCCTGATTGCGTTTGGCTTCTTGCTCCTGGTTGCGTTTAATCAGGTCCTGCACCTTCGACATGGATGGTGTCTTCTTATCCTGCTCAGCTGGCTGGTTTTGCTCCGTAGTCGTATCTTGTTGGGCGGGGGGTTTTCGCTCAGCGAGCGTATCTTGCGCAACTGGCTGTTCTGGCTGAACTGGCTCGACGGGCACGTCTGGTTCAGTGGGAGGTTCAAGCTCAGTTGACCGGGTTTCATCCTGGTTTTGTGTCAAGTCAGGTGTGTTGATGTTCTGCTCACTTGCATTTTGCGTGTCTACTGCTGCTGGGGTAGAAATGACAGCGCTCGAATCTGCATCGGCGGGTTGGGCGTCCTGCTCAGTAGGGCCAACAGTGATCGGCTTACTGGGGCCTTCTGGTTGCTCCACTGGCTGCTCCACAGTCTGCTCGTTTGGTTTCTCCTCATCTTGCGTAACCGCATCCTGTTCGCGTTGACTGTGTGTTTGGTCTTGTACTTCAACGCTCTGCTCAGTTGACTCTGCCATATCTGTCGCTACTGGGGAAGAAATTTGTTCAGATGGATCGGCTTCGTGCTGAGTTGGATCTCTCTCATCCTGATTTTGCGTTTGCTCTTCACTGTGAGAGGCCTGTTCAGTAGTATCCGCCGCTGCTGGGACGGGGGATTCCTGGGGCAATTGCACTTCCTGCTCGGTTGGATTTTCTTCGTTTGCGTCTTGGGCTTGATTGTGAGCCTCAGAGTTCTGCTCGCTTGTATCTTTTGCATCTGTCATATCCAATTCATCCGACTCCGCCTCCTCGGTCAACTTTTCTTTCTCTTCTTGCTGGTCTTGGGGCAGCTCTTGTGTGTTAGAGCTCTGCTCACCTGTACTTGATTCAGCTGTACTATTTAAGGGTTCCTGCAGTTGACCTTGATCCTGCTGCTGAACTGAACTTTCCTCGCTTTTACCTTGTACTTGGCCTTGTACATTGGAGCTCGTCATCGCTGGGGTCTTGGATTGTTGAGACGAGATTGAAGGACGCCATTCATCGGCACCAGCGTTCAGTGAGGTAGTGGCAGTTCTCAAGCCCTGTCTCTGATCTATCTTGTGGTTGGAAATTGCTCCATGGGGATTTGCACTGTTTGTCCTGCTCATTGTATGTTGCTGGTACTGCTGTGGGTACGCCGTTGGAAATTGATTTGAGAAATTAGTACCGACTGCTTCAAACGCGGGTTTATTTCTCAAAGGTGTGTCCAACCCGGTTGTCTGACTCAAATAGGGGGGCGGAGGTGAGAACACCGTGGGCGGGTGTTGTGTGTAAGGAGAGTGCAGAGATCCATATCCGAGAGGTGATGCTACGTTAGGTACTCCGCCAGTCTGTTCATAATGGTTTGACGCATATCCCGGGGAGTTGTATCCATGTTGTTGCTGTTGCTGTTGTTGCTGGTATCCGAAGGAAGATTGGCCATATTGATGGTGTTCTTGGTACGAGCCTTCAGATTGTGGTCGCGAATCTTGGGGAGCTCTGGAGGAGATACTCGATTGTGAAGGCCTAAACTTTCCGTCTGGGCCTACAAAATCAGGGTCTTTCCGCAAAGCACGATCTTGGTCAGGACTTTCTCGATAGCCGTCAAATGTATGATGTAAAATGTGGTACTTCCTACGTCCAGCCTCCCATTCTTTGCAGGCCTGGAAATGTTCTTTACGCAACCAGTCATTGTTAGGAAAGATATGGCGGCATTTGCGACAAGACACTTCCTGAGCTCTAGGAGGCCCCGGGAGATTTCTTGTGTGCGGAGTTTGGGATGCAGGGCTAGCATGAGCAGAACCTCCAAGACCGTAACCAGCTGCAGTATTTGGCCGCGAAATGGTGTGGGCATTGCTTCTCGAAATTGGACCCGACTGTGCGTCTTGAGGCGACGCAACCTGAGAATCTGATGGAGCATGAACACTGCTACCTATTCCAGACGACACTGGTGCTGGAGAAGAATCAGATGACGATGGATTAGTCTTCAGGAGGCTGTCTCTATTCTCATCCTTTGGTCTATCGCCACTTGGAATGCTTGGTTTTTGTGCAATGGCTTGCTCTTTGTGTGGAGGGCTCTCTTTTCTCAGACCATTAGGAATGGTACGCCCTTTAGCCTCTGCATACTTGATTTTTTGTTGTTCATCATACCATTTCTTACACGCAGGCGCGTGTGTGTTTCTAAACCAATCGCCACCCGGAAGCACCTGGCTACATGTATTGCACTTTATGGCCCTGTCGGTCTTTTCGCCCTTCGGACCTTTTGGGGCGTGCTCAGGAGGTGAACTGAATGAAATTGAGCGCGCCTTTTCAGATTTAGCCGGCTCTTTGCTGGTCATGTCCTTCGGAGCTAGAGCGTTGCGCGAATCCATGGACTTGCGAGCATCATCATCGGTTTCGGCTGATTCAAGTGGCCTGACTCCTTGTTCGTCCTTTGATTCCTGGGTGTCGCCATCTCCAGTCGACGTTAGCTGAGATTTGGGATCAGTGTTCTCTTGCTTATGCAAATGGTTCAGGCCAACGTCTATAGCCCTTTGCTTCTGCAAATATTCAACATCTTTCCGGATGCTTTCCACAGATTTCTCGTTTAGGTTGTTTTCCAGAACTTGTCGATCTAGCTCATTGTGTAGCTCCGTTCTGTGCTGCTCAACGCGTCGTAGTTCATCGTTCAGTTCCTCGAGCTCATTATGCATTTTTATCACCATGGACTCCAGTTCTTTAACATTCTCATTCAAATCCTCGATCTCTGCGTCCTTCCTCTGCATTGTTTCCTCGACATTCTTCTTCTCGGTCTCGAGTTTCTCGATCTGTTTCTTAGATTTGTGTAAATCTTCTTGGAGTTCTTTCATGTTCTCCAATGCCTGATCCATTTCTTTCACCTTCTCCATGGCTGGAATTAACACGGTGTTGGCTTTTGCGTTAGCTTGCCGCGATTCCTCGAGTTGATGCTTCACTTGTTCCAGGCGCTCTTCCAAGAGCAGGCTGTTCGCCCTAAGGTTCTCAATCTCTTTGTTTTGAGCCTCAACCCTCTGAGACTCGTTTTGCGCTTTGTGTGCTTCACCATCATACAGATGTTGCTGCGTCTCTTCCAGGGTTTTCTTCGCGTCTGCGGCATCGGCTTGAGCTTTACTAAGATTACTATTCGACACTACCAGCTCTTTCCGCACATCGGCCAACTGCTTCTCAAGATTTTGCACTTTGAGTTCATCCTTCGATTGCATAGCGACCAATGTTTTCTTAGTTTGGGCGAGCTTAGATTGGGTGTTGGTAAGCTCGTGTTCTAGATTCTCGCTCTTCATTTTCAGAGCAGTGATCTCTATGCTTGTCTCACCGTCTATACTTTGGGCTGCGAGTAGTGTTTTCTGGGCCTCTGAAAACTCGTCGATCTGCTTTTGATGTTCCTGTCGTATCATGTCGATTTGGTCGATTAGCTCGCCTCGGTCTTCTAGAGTTGCATCCCGCGCTTGACGCATATTTTTCAGATCTTCCAAGGCCTGGTCTCGCTCCGCAAGTATACTCTTATCGTCCTCTACCGTGCGATCTTTCTCTTTCTTTAGTGCGGTATTTTCCTTCTGAAGCCCTACAACTTGTTCGCTCAGTTGTCTCACCCGTTTGTCCGTCGCAGTCTTGAGATCACTACCAGTCTCGTGGTTGTTTGGCTTTTTCTTCCCACAGTAATAGGCGCCTAGATAATACAGGACGCACATGATGAGTGGTACGGCCCCAACTATATAAGCGCCTACCCTTGCACTACCATGTCCTTGTGGTCTGTCTTGAACGTGTAGAGTATGGTTGAGTTGTCCAGGAGTAAACGACGTAGTGTTCTTCCTTTCAACAAGGCCGCCTGAAAACGCGTTCGCCCCATCGAAAGTATGTCCAGTCGTGGAGCATACCATAAATGGAGATCCGCAAGTTCCCTCTAATACGCACTCTTCGCACTCTTCGCACTCCTCTGGCATACATTCAGGCATGTCACACTCTTTCTCTACATCCACGTAAACGATTTCTTTCTCATTCGGAGCGGGATTGTCGCCAAATTTGTACTCCGTCGTTGTGTCATCAATGTAGTCCTCTGCGTAATCCGCAGGTTCGGCAAGGTCACCAATTAAGCGATCAAGATACCGATTGCCAGATTGTAGCAGTGGACCTACCAAAGTGAGGGCTGTGGTACCCCAGGCTATAGGTTTGACGACGGGGTGATTGAGGAGGTTTGCAAGGTTTGCGAGATTTGCTCCATGCCAGGGGGTGGCAGCCATGGCGGCGGAAGTAACACGATGTTAAGGATCGTTGTAGACTTAGAAAGGGTTTGTGTCAAACGAAAGTTTGGTCAGTGGCGATGTTGTTTCGTGGGTAGATTTGTGGCTGCGATATCGTCGTTTTGGTGAAGACTCTCGAACTCAGCAGGATTAAAGATGTTAAAAAAGGTAGGTTTCGAGCTTTAGATGTATTGATTTCACTATTTCGTCAATGAAAGAGCGTCAAACTAGCTGAAAGAGCCTTTATTTGGTGAATTTGTCAGTCTTTGTTGTTTTATTGATATCGAGCAGGTGCAAACCTTTGCCTGTTAGATGGCGTCAAAGAAGGAAACTTGCATCAAAGAGTCAACATAACGTGTACCACTTCGAGATGTTATCAAGTATTTCCTTGTTCATCGAATAACCACTTCCACAGCCACCTCATTGCTCCAAGACGCTTTAGAATCGGTCTCCTTCCAAGCCCTTACCGTGTCAATCTCGAGAATTTCATCGCAGACATCGCTGATTTTAATGCAATGGAAGGGGATTGGTCGACCAAAGATAACCGCGAAAAAGTCATCTTCCAGATTACGTTCCTTGAGGTTGGATATGTAGAGTCCTGCAGGAAGTCAGCACCATATTAATTCATATACAACTAAGTTCTTTGTGCATACCATATGTGCCGAGCACTTTGAGAGACGTCCAGATTCTTAGTCTGCCTGATTCGATATCGATGTTGCTGCTGCTATTGATGATAGCAGCCGGTCCAGTCATTTTACCTAGGATGCCAAGATTGGCCACTGTAATGTCATCTGGACCTTTTGCTGGGTGTTGGCGTTGCAGCTTGAACTGCTGGAGTGGGAAGGCGGACAAGATTTCCCATCCTCGAGTGGGCAGTTCCAGATGGACAAATGCGTTGCCAGTATCACTGCTTGTTGGCTTGGTGATCTGACCACTGGTGTGGTCCCTGATAATATACATGCCCTTCTCCGCTCCAGGGAATGCATCCAGCCCCACTAACTCAACAAGAGGTTGTTGGGTACAGTTGAAAACACCTAAAATGCTGACTCCGCTGTGCGCCGAACCAACGTAGGTCGAGACTTTCAGGAGCACAGGATCATCATATGAATTGTAGGCCGCAGTGCTCTTGCCGACCGTCTGAGGTCGAAGGATAACCGTGTCGCCACGGGGAGTGTTTCCGGTCATTTGAGCGATCAAATCAATGTCGTGTTGTCCTGGAACGTCGGTGATGTATATGGGACCTCCTGACACACATCGGCCAGCCGCATGGAAGGACGCATAGTCATGCGACGTCTGAAACATGTCCCAGTCAGGGAGAATGTTAAGGTATTGGTTCAAAATCGAGTTATGCGCATTGCAGAAAATATGCCAAGGATGCGACGCGGGGACTTCAGGAAAGAAATCATCCGAGTTGCGAAGCAAGATTCGGGGCCTGTTGGAAGGAAGCTGTGAATGGAAAATTATCTGTGGTGTTTGTGACATGCAAGAAATTGATCTCGCAGAGAAGTATCGAAGTTGATTGATGTTCCATGCATCCTGGTATGAGCGAATAAGCTGTCGACGATCGGTGGCATCTTCGAGCTCGTCCAGGAAGAATTGGGCATCTGTCTTGACTGAATCGATACCTGCCGAGCTGAGGAATTGGTAGAAGTCCTTGTAGAAGCGGCCCACATCTTCCTCAGCGACTACTGTCGTCTTTCCCCCAGATACTCCCTTCTTCTTCTGAACAACAGTCGTCTTGTACTCTTGAGCTATCTTACCTTCAGGTGCAATGCCACCCCAGTAGCCGAAGAGAGCATGCCAAACTGCGATGTGCCGAACGTGTTTATATTTGCTGCGAATGTCGCTCACGGTGGCTTCGAGACCGCGCGGGAACCCGATTTTCGTCGCTTCGAACTCCATCCACGCGTTGTTGAACTGATCACCGCCTTCATGATTCTATTACACACGTAAATGAGAGGAGCATGAGAGAGATTATGCATGCTTACCAGAGACTGCCAATTGTCGTCAATGATCAGGTTACTGATATTGATCTCGTGTTTCGATAGTGATTCCAAAGCGTCGAATAGCTTTTGTTCGTTGAGATGCTGTCCAAGACCATTCCATGTACAATAAGAAAGACCATCATCTATGTGCGGAGTTCATCAGTATTCTCTTTAAATGTATGAGCAGACAGAGATAGGAAGTGTTGATGACAGTGGGCCACTTACACCAATTTTCCAACCATTCTGGTTTGAAGTCGTCGGCCAATGTCTTCATCTCGGCGTCAATTTCTGCAGGCACAACCCCGTACTGCATCACAAGCCTGCGTGCGTGGTACATAACAGCTGCCACGGCGTGATCCAACGACTTACCTACTGCAGCAACGAGCCGGGAGATACCATCTTTTTCACTATCATTCACAGATATGATGGTGATGCTCCCCTCACCGTCATGCTGCAAAGTCGTCATAACGTTATCCACACCACTCACGGCAAGTACCACCAGATGAGAACCATCATCGCGCTCAAAGGCTGACAAGATAGCCTCTTTATCGGGCTGGAAACGATCTCGGCCATGTCGCGGAGCAAGCCACGGGCTCCACAATCGTACTAAAGCAAACCAACGCGAATAGGATGTCGGCCTGCCCAGTGTTTTGGTGGCGAGGCCAGATTGTGTACCAGACGCCGCGTTAACGGGGCTGGTGATAGACCATAGGAGTGTCTCAGGTGAATCACTCTGCTCCTTTCCGATCTGGAGAAAAGACGGTAGCCCTTCAATGTAATGCGTTAAATCATCGTTCAACGATCCCCCTGACTGGTAAAGGATACGACCGTCCGACGTAGAAAGTTGCTCATTAGCCCATTTCCAAGATTCGTCCTGTAACCAGTCAATGTAAATTACGATACGAAAGGGAATTTGACTGGGATTGCGTTGTCTGAAGGAAATGCTACGTTGCTTTTGTCGCATGAAAATGGACATCCGACCTGAGTTTTTGAAAACTCAAGCTCGAACTATGGGAATTATGAAGATTGGCAAGAAGACCGTACCTTTGCTGCTCGGAACGTGAATGTGTAAGACAGTGAGCTGTGGTTCTTCGGGCGCCCAGGGAGCTCGATAGTAAAGAACTGCTGTCGCACATCTGTGCTACTTGATCTTGTTGCCGTCTTTGCCACGTCAGCCCAGAACAAGAAGAACAATAGTTAGTTTGGCAACATACCAAAGTTGTTTCTGGAGATGACGTGAGACTCGAGCTTGTCCACTTGTCGTCATTCTCGAAATTGTGCCATAGAGCGACTTCCCAATCTTTTTGAGAGCCAGCCGAGCTCTCGAGGAGCACCGTGAACCGCACCTGAGTATTTCAGTCAGACCTTGTATCGATTGATCTTGGCCAAGTTTGGGGGAACTTACAGAATCCTTCTCAGGGCCAACTACCGTAGTCTGGCCTAGCGGAGGGTGACAAGTAAGTGTAGCATACATGGTAGCAGATAGCACTATAAGACTACAGGACGAGTGAAAGATGATGTATTTGAGGCAATGGTAAACGGCAAGAGGTATCAGCACAGCGGGGACGACGAAATGGACACGGAGTGAAGTAATGAGGAGGAGAATTGTATGATATTGGAGTATCGGTTCGATTGAGTAATTAGAACTTTCAGACACTAGGAAGACGAGGTGACGTGGTGCGGAGGTGCGGAGGTGCGTCGGGGAAGTCGACTATGCAAGAGCTATGGGTAGCTCTGGCCAATCAAACTATAGTTGATCTTGGCATGGATCTAGCGAAACTCCGAGGTGGGCTCACTGTGTTCCTCGCGACGCGATAAAAGTTCCTGGCGGTAATGTCACTGCTGAGACATCTGTCGCGACCGCGGCAATACATCTGTCGGCAATGCGTACGCCGACAACACACTCTAGCGCACAATGAACAACCGAAGACAAAATCGGCGGCCGAGGACGCAGAAGCAGTCGCTCGGCGAAGGGAATGGGACCGGCAAACGGAGTGGGAAGAGCAGGCGGGGAAAATAAGAACTGGGATGCAGCAGAGCATACTGGGCGTACTTGAAGAGCGAGGCTTTGTGAAAGATGTTGCTGGGTGAGTCTTGGCGAACATGGGCATACGAGTGAATACTAACTATGTAAAGCGGACGCCAGACCCTCGATTGGTTATTGACCGAGAAGAGGATTGGCGCATATGTTGGCGTAGACCCCACGGCTCCCTCCCTGCACGTTGGACACCTCCTCCCGCTGATGGCGCTGTATTGGATGTACTTCCACGGATACTACACAGTCAGCTTGGTGAGCGACTCACCGCGGCATGCATGCAACACAATAGCAGGCTAATGCTGGTCAGCTAGGCGGAGGTACAGTGCAGATTGGAGATCCCTCTGGAAGATCGACAGCGCGTTCACGAATGGGAACAGATGTACAAGCCATGAACATTGAGAGCATACAGTCGCAGCTAGAAAATCTCTGGACCAATGTCAAGTGTCTGGGTATCAAACATCAATACTCACAATCTACCAACAGACGGCAAAAGATTCTTAACAACCGAGAATGGCTGCGGAAACTAAGCGCAATTGACCTGCTGAGAGATTTGGGATCGGGCATGCGACTAGGCACAATGTTAAATCGCGACTCGTAAGTCCATCCCGTTTCTAGCAAGCACATGCTAAACAGTGAGCAGAGTCAAGATGCGAATGGAAAGCGGCGAAGGCATGGCAATATCCGAGTTCAGCTACCCTCTCTTTCAGGCCTACGATTGGTGGAGTATGTACAAACACCAAGGTGTCCAGCTGCAAATTGGCGGATCAGATCAATACGGGAATATCTGTGCTGGCATGGACGCTGTGAGCCATATGCGGAAGATCCACCATCTGGACAGTGAAGAAGCAGGCACAGGGGACCCACGGGCCGCTGTCTACGGCCTTACGACTCCCTTGCTTACTACTGCTTCTGGAGAAAAGTTCGGCAAAAGCGCTGGGAATGCCGTGTGGCTGGACCGACATATGTTGAACTCATTTGATCTATATCAGGTACGTTTGTCTCTAGCCCACTCGAAAGCGCGCTGACAGGCCTGTGATAGTACTTCTTGCGAACAGCTGACGACGACGTCGAACGATATTTGAAACTCTTCACCTTCCTTCCTCTCCAAGACATCAAGCTGCTCATGGCAGAGCAGAGACAACACGAATCCAAGCGCGCAGCCCAGCACGTTCTTGCTAAAGAGATTGTCGAACTTGCCCATGGAGCAGCAGAGGCGAAGAAAGCCGAGACAGCACATAAGGAAGCCTTCAGCAATGGCACCAATACATTTGCGTTGGGGTCACTTAGGAAAGCCTTAGCGGTTATCAACAACAAGGACCCTTCAATAGTGGAGACTTTAGGGGAAGGACAGGAAGAATTGTTGGCCTATAAAAAGGCTTACGCCGCCTCGTCGACTGCGCAGACCACCTCCGGCACGACTGCTGAGCGTGCAAAAAACGACGACAACAATGTTGTTACTCTTCCTATCACGCTTCTGCAGGCAGGTTCATTTCCACGCGTCTTGTATGCCGCAGGTCTCGCTTCATCCAAGAGCGAGGCTCACCGCCTAATAGCAAAGAAAGGAGCGTACGTAGTAGCACCCAATTCAGGATCCATTGAGAATCCTACCGCCCTGAAATGGATGCCTATCGAGTCTGCAAATATCGCAGATCCAAACCATTTCCTCATCGACTGGGAGGCTCTGGTACTCCGGTCAGGCAAGTCGAAAATCCAAGTCTGCCGCATATTATTGGAGGGACAGTTTGAAGCCGAGGGACTGACTTGCCCGGGCTGGGAAGAGTTCAAGGCTAAGCGGGCTGAAGCTCTCGAGCAGGGTCAGCAGTAAAAGTTCGACAGCTACGAACTTTATCTCGCTTTGCTCTGCAGGCAGCTCCACTTTCGCAAATGTATATTATTGCTGGTGTATGATATGCTCTAGTTCCAACAACAGCCTCCAAAAGTATTGCATGTATTCTACCATCCCCGTCCACATCAGACTCGAGTATGTAGACCATGTGACTTAGATTGACCACTGACTACTTGTTTGTAATGATCTTGGGTACATCAATGTTACCAGACCAGAGTGAATTCGATAATTCATCCGTCCTTACAACTATCAAACAATTTCCTGAATCCGAAATGCTCAGTGCGATTGTTTTTCACGTCATCAAACAGTGTCAACACACAATTTTGTTTAGCTTGAGTTGACCTGCAATCATTCTTCCATTACACATAACGTGCGTGATTCAGCGAAGACTTGTAGTAGTGTTACTTGCTCCATATTTGAACACACCAGCGCAGACTTGCAGTAAAGAGTATCTGGACATTGCGACGAGCGCCTCAGCACACCGGTGGACCCTTCGGGCTATTGATCACCCCAAGTACTAATACATCGATATCTACGTCTAACCGGCGAAGGCAAGACTTCAAGACGCTCTCACTTTTAGTAGTATGACAGAGAAGTGTGATACTTGCCAGCTTCACTGCCTCCCGAAATAGTGGTTTTGAGCCACGAGGCATGCTTGTGCTCCTCAAGGACATGCAAAGTAACGCCCGCGAATCACATCCCGTTTCGTTTCCGCATGCAGTGAGAAATTAGGCGTCGTCGCTTATTTTGCGAAGAATGATTCGGAGATTTAGAATAGCGCGTTACACCCCCCCCCCCGGCTCGGGTGCATAGTTCGAAAATATCTCTATCGTGAGCCCCCTATTCGCTACAACCCTTGCTTAGAGTCTTTTTGGACCTTGCAAGTGGGCTCGCACAGTGCAAAACTAGTATTTAAAGCCCTGTTTAGGAGGCTTTTACCCTGGAAGGAGGCTTTTTGAGGCTTCGCAGAGACTTATCTATTGGTCCTCCACAAGACTATGCACCCGAGCCAGGGGGGGGGGGGTACGCCGAGGCGCCAGAAGCCAATACACCCCCCCCCCCCGGCTCGGGTGCATAGTTCGAAAATATCTCTATCGTAAGCCCCCTATTCGCTACAACCCTTGCTTAGACTCTTTTTGGGCCTTGCAAGTGGGCTCGCACAGTGCAAAACTAGTATTTAAAGCCCTGTTTAGGAGGTTTTCACCCTGGAAGGAGGCTTTTTGAGGCTTCGCAGAGACTTATCTATTGGTCCTCCACAAGACTATGCACCCGAGCCGGGGGGGGGGGTGTATAACCGACATGATTTGGCGTTGCGAGCTGCTCACAGCCCCAAAGCGCCACGACGTGCTGTCGTACGGATGTACCTAGCATGCTTGCTCGGCTCACCGGTTGACAAAGTGACCTGTTCTGCCCTGTTCTGACATCGTGACATCCTGTCCATTGTTTCCTTCGACAGATATAGCGAAGATGCCAGAAATAACATTCATCTTTGGGCCTAACAAAAGCTTCTTCTTTGACTGTCCAAAGGAATGGAAGTTGTGAGTAAACTAAAAAGATGAAACCAGTCGGGTCGGGCTGACAGCGCGCAGCCATGCGATTCCCGTGACGCTGCGACAACTGCTTTCTTCGTCTGTAGGCCCGACATGGAGAATCATGCAGCCTTATTGCGTCGCTCTTGCGCCGTCGAGCAACTCAGCAGATCCGTCGTGGTACATTGGAGGCAAGACGTTGAGCGGGGAGGACAAGATCTGTGAGTCGCGCCGATCTTCAACCTGGCTCCGCATGCAGCGGACGCGATGAAACGAACGACAAGAAACGGCGAACAACGTCAACATGAATAGATTCGCTTGCACTTGATGCTAACCATGTTTAGTCTATGATCAAAACTCCTTTGAAAAGAATTATCCAGATCTATGCGCATGGACCAAGACGATTCCTAACGCGCCGCAATCGTGTTTCGTGACTTTCGGCCAGAAACTCAGCTACTTTGCGTCTGCGCCTGGGCGGGGATCGATATGGGCTGGCATTCCCTCGGAGCTTGAAGACAAGGTGCGGAAAGCATTTGACACGCCATGTTGTGTGTCACTGGGAGCCAGCAAAGCGTGGTTTGTTCTATGGCCTGATGGCTATTACTCATGGAAGTTCTACGGTAGCTATGGCGCGCTAAATCAGATATTGACGGAAGCCGAGCCTCGATCAGTAGCTGTCAGTATTGCTAAAGGGTATATAGACGTCGTGAACTAACGTGGGCTAGTACCTTGCCATCTCGCCGTACAACAAGGAGCATTACTTTGTCGCATTTCGAGATCGATCCGTACGCTACAACTTCACAGGCGCACCGCCTGACTGGATGAAGCTCATGACCGAGGTCTTCGATGGCTGGGTTGCGGAGCGCATGCAAGGGCAGCAACAGCCGTATACTCAACCATATCACCCGTTGTATGAGCAGAAGCCGGTGCTATCGTCGCCCACCACTCCGCTATCACCTGCCAGTCCGTTATCACCCATGACGCCAAATACACCTCTGCCAATGTACTCGAGCCCTGTCATACCGTATGCTACGCCCAGTCCCATGTATGAATTCAGGCCCCCGCAGCTAGGAGCAATAGAGATGCCAGCAGAATCGGCAGGGCCAGCTCTATCTGTCAGATCAGGCTCGACAGATGTAAGTGCATGGGTTGAATTTTGGATCTACGGAATAATGGATGCTGACTATAGACAGAAAAAGAAGAAGTTTTTCTCACGGTTGTTTTGATACTCAGTTACCAACTCCTACGTCGCGATTTCGCTTTTCGTTTCCATGATACCCATCTTTCATAGGCATGTGTTCCAGCGGGGCTTTTCGATATACTTTGCAATGTTTTGGAAATCGTAAAAATCACTGAGGCCGCAGCTCAATGTTCCCATCGCTTGCATATGGTACATTATCATGAGACTTTGCTCGGTAATCAATCTCTATACTTGATCAAGCTCATACTGTTTACATGTATTCGGTGTCCAAGACAATGCGTAGCTCTCTGAGCCTCGGTCAGAGACCGGCCAATAAAGGACTCCCATAGCCGGACACAACCCTGATCCAGGTCGAATACACTGTACAGTTCTACACGCGCCCCATCTTGTAGCATATCCAAGTAGTCACAGCATACCCTTCATCAATGTCACCGCAACACTGAGATGCCGGCTTGGTTCTGATGCACTCATATCCGGCCACCTTCCCGATTGGCACAGCGAGTTACGCGACGCCCTACAAGGATAGTGATCAACCCGAACTACCCATGAAATTGTCCAGGAACATCGTCACATTGCAGAATGTAGTTACTTGGGTGTGCATGATATTTCATCCGACGTGCCGCTTGCCGTCGGGTACAAGAGTCAATAGACCTGCAGCACTGTTCGCACTGCACTTCTAACGGCTGCCAAACCAAACATCACCATGGGACGAGTCACTGCAAGAGCGTGGAGCCTATGCGCATTGTCAACTTGTCTATTCGCGACCCTCACCTGGGCTACACAAGCAACCGTCGCAGTACTAAACGGCACATACGAAGGCCTACATCTCCCCTCCTTCAACCAAGATATCTTCCTCGGGATTCCGTATGCGCAAGATACAGGCGGTCAGAATCGCTTCCGCATCCCTCAATCGCTGAACACGACTTGGAATGGCACACGCTCGGCGAAACAGTATGGTCACTCATGTCCTGACCCGCAGCCCGAAAGAGATGGCGAGTTTGGCATGAGTGAGGACTGTCTGAGCATCAATGTAGTTCGCCCGATTGGCAACTATAGCGAACTCCCCGTAGTAACTTGGATCCACGGTGGGAGTTACCAGGTTGGCACGAGTGCGTTGCCGAATTACAACTTGACGTACATTGTGCAGAGGAGTGTTGAAATTGGGAAACCGATTATCGCGACGGTATGTGCAATCACCGTGCACAAAGCAGATTCGGAGCAACGTCTGAAACACCTTGGAAATGCTGTTGCAAGCTATCCTACCAAACTAAGCATACCGATACTTTAGTACTCTGCTAATGATGTTGTTGTGTACAGAGTATCAACTACCGAAAAGGCGGATGGGGCATGATGTACTCGCGAGAAATCCAAGGGAGCGGAAACACCAACCTCGCGCTTCGGGACATGCGAAAAGGACTCTCATGGATCCAAGAGAACATCGGCGCATTCGGCGGCAACAAAGACAGCGTGACAATCTGGGGCGAGTCAGCAGGCAGCTTCGCCGTCGTAAGTCCAATCCACATGGAAGTCATCAAAACAGCCATTCACATATACTAACCTACCTACCCCAGGGCCAACTTCTCCTCTCGTACGGCGGCCGTACCGACTCCCTCTTCCACCGCAGCATCCAAGAATCTGGGTCGGCAGCAACTGCCTGGTATAACGGCACAGACTGGTACCAGCCCATCTACGACGCCATTGTGACGAGCACAAACTGCACCGACGAGCCCGACACCCTCGCCTGTCTACGCACAGTACCTTACGACACACTACTGCCTTTTCTCGCGCAGCCCATTCAAGGCCCTGGCTGGTACCCCACTGTGGACGGGGACATCATACCTGCGTATCCCACACAGCTCCTGCACTCCGGCGCCTTCGCCCACGTCCCGCATCTGTACGGCTCAAACTCGGACGAAGGAACGGACAACGCGCCCGCGGGCGGCGTCATAAACACCGACAAGCAACTCTGGGACTACATCAAGGGTAGCACGGGGTTCGGCTTCCCCGACGCAGTCGTCGACAGGATACTGGCGCTATATCCCAACAATCCCGCTCAGGGCATCCCGCTGAATACGGGCGTGGAGATCTTCGCCGAACAGGGCCTGCAGTATAAACGCATTGCTGCGATCATGGGCGATGCGTTTTACCATGCTACGCGCTTGGATGACGCGAGGCAGTATGCCAAGTATGCGCCGACGTATGTGTACCGGTTTAACACGCGGCCATGGGAGAGCGGAGGAAATTCCTCAGAGGGAGGGCTGGCGCCGGCGTATAAGGGCGTGCAGCACTTTAGTGAGGTGGCGTTTGTGTTTGCGAATCCCGAGTTCGTGGGGCCTTGGAAAGAGTACAAGAGTCTGAGTGATGAGATGAGCGCTCAGTGGATTCACTTCATTAATGGGGGTGATCCGAATGGCGATGAGCTGCCGGGGTGGCCTGTGTACAACGCAAGCGCGAATGGGTTCGATCTGGTTATTCAGGCAGATGGTAGGGGGTATAATGGCAGCTATGTGGAGGAGGATACATGGAGATTGGAAGGGAGAGAGTATTTGATAGAGTGGGCGAGGCGGAGGCATGTGTGAGGCTGAATTTAACGACGGAAACGCGTTCGTACCTGAAGAGGACGTCACAGAATGACATGCTCTCCAAGCTGCCTTGGCACCTGTGGTTTAGTCAAACTCATTTGCTTGATTTTGTAAGCAGAAAAGATACATGGTCGTGGTCTGAAGGAAGAAGTAGATGTCGGTCCCGAACGATGCGGCCGACGCCTATCCTCGGGGATGGCGTAGGGAAGTCTCGTGGTAGAGAAGAGCGGGATCTTGATCAGCTTTATTTAAGTTATCGTATTCGCATTTCTTTGTCAGACGTCATCGTCTTTTGGATAGCGAGAGCCGACAAAGACAGCACAGTGAGTCGTACATGTTACAGCACTTCCGTAGGTCGGCATCCTGTGCGCCTTTCAGTAGCAGTAGGCGGTCGATTTGCGCACACGACTCCTAGTCTTGACATGTACTTTCATTCGTGACTGAACGTGATGAAATTTTTCGTATTTGTGCCCCCAGAGCTATTGCTCAGACAGTAGAGCCACCCTCATTCATCATGGGGATAGAAGCAACCGGGAGAGTGGGATGACAGAACGCCCCAAGCCGAGCAATATCATATGCCTGTAAAAACCCGCTGTCCGATCATGCACCTGTTCGATTGGCCTTCATCGCGCCGTTCACGCCTCCATTCACACCCTCATCGTCGTCAAACCCGTCTATGCTTTGGCAGGACCCTTGGCTCCGGCGGGCGCACCGACGCGGAATCCGTTGCTGAACTTGCGGGGGACGGTCTTGAGGTATCGCATACGGCCGGTACCGGTGGTCTTCCTTCTCTTGGCCTTCTCGCCCCAGTTGACTGCGCTGTGTCAATTATGGTCCTAGTGTTATGCGGGCAGCGGGCTGCAAGAGAACGTACACTTGCGGGTCTTGGCAGCAGGGTAGCCGCACGAGGAGCAGGTGTGCTTCTGGATGTGGAGGGAGCGACGACCTGTTCGAGCCCCAGTCAGTTCGTGTTCATGGACTCCGTATCCTGCGCTCCAGAATTGTCCCTTCCCGAGTCCTTTTCCACCATCCAGGGAGATGTTGACGTACCGCAACGCCTGCACAGCGTGTGCGTCTTGTTGTGACGCTTTCCGAAGCTGGAAGTTCCCTTCGCTGTAGCCGCAGTCAGTCTCCAAATTCAGGCTTAGCGATGCGGTGGGTGCGCGGCGTACTCATTTTGGATTAGGAACTGTGAGCAATTGGGTCAGTATTCGAGTGCAACTACCGGCGAGCTGGAGAGAACATACCTCGTGACGCTGTGGTTAGTATCGAGGTGGTGTTGTCGCGGTAGCAGCTTGGTTGCGTGTGAATGAGGATCGAAAATGCAAGCGAGCCGTAAGTGGGCACTAGTCTGTTCCAGGCTTGGCGCGTTTTGGCATCACACCAGCTAGATTATCACGACAGAACATCGCGATGGGCCTCTTGCACAAGCGAAATGGTGGAGAGCGTTGTGTAGTCATCCTATATCCTTTCAAGTTGCGACTCTTTGTAACGCTGCGATCGACAAGACTGGCAATCCAGGTTCCAAGAGTCTTCATCGTCATTTCAAAACTCAATGATGTATCAGATGGGATGCTGATATTCGTGCCCGTGTTCAAAAAAGGCGATACATACGACGTTCTTGCATTCTATATACTGGAGTCATAGACTAGAAGAGTCATGATCGTGTCTTAGCCCTCCCCGCCAGCCCCTCGTTCAAAGACCTTGACGCTCCCATCTCCCTTGACCTGATACAAGAACTCTTTCCCTTTGCTACTTTCGCCCTCATCCTTTTGTTCATCTTCGAGTCCCAACCCCAGCCATCCTACCTTCTGCTCAGTGACCCGTATTACTCCACTCACATCCCGCGCAACTCCCGTATCCAACACTCTAACACCAAGTATCCTTCGGCTCATGTGCGCGCACCTGATCAGGAAGTTGTGATGCGCGAGCTCGAGAGGTTGTGGTGGTACGCTGAGGCTGAGGAGCGGATTGTCGGATTGGATGTGAAGGAGCATGTGGGATACGCTAGGGAGCGTGTGTAGAGCGAGGACGAGCGAGGTCATTGCTGACGGGGTCATTGTTGAGTTGAGAGCGAGGAGGAGGTCGGGATTATCGAGTACAAGAAGAGTCTTGCGTTGACTCGGGGATGTGGGCGTAGAGCTGGAGGAGAGGGAGGAGACGGCGCTGGCTATCGCAGTCTTGAGATTCCCAAGTTCAGACGATTTGAGGGTGCAATGGCCAGGTGTACTTTTGCTTGTTGTCGCTGTCTGTGCCGCTAGAGTCGTGCTCGTTGCTGGTTGTGCTCCTCTCGCAGGCAGTACGCGCCCAGGTGGCCCTCGAACTGGTAAAGTCTGTCCTCCCCGTTGCGCTTGTATACCCGATGTACTTGCGCTCGGTGCAGCGGCTCGCGGTTGTATCTCTGGTCTCGCATTGTTGTGCTCATCGACCTCGCCCAGAACCCCACTCAGTCCATCCACAAACGCAAATCTCCCCTCCTTCTTCAACCTCTCCAAGTCTAGCCCTGCACCCTTCCTAGCCTCTTGCCTCCAGAATTCGTATTCCCTCATCCAGGACACGAGCACCACATTGTGACCCAGTTCTGCCCCGCCATCTTGTGTTGAGTTACTCAGCGCATCGCACAGAAACCGAATTATCAGCCAGTTTGCGCTGGCACCGAGGGTGCTCGTAAGGAGCAGTATGGATTCATCGTGTGGTAGGTGTATGTGTCGGTGGAGAAAGGGCGGTATACGGGTGGACGGTGGCATGGTGAGTCGCGCGAGTGGGAGAAAACGTGAGGGAGGCGGATCTGGTTAGTTTGGCGGCTATCGATAAACACTCCATCACCAATTCTCGAGCATGTGTTGTGTGAAGCTTCGCAATAGTGGACAGCATTAGTGTAGTCTATGATTATTTTCAATTTTTTTTTGTGATTCTTAAAGCTATTCATGCTGGTCTATCTCGTCCGTCAGGCCTGCTGGCAATCAATGCCATATGTTTTTCTGTATCTTCCTGCCCTGGCATGATAGTAACGGAGATCAAGGAGACTCAGCTGCAAAGTCTAACAAAGTACTGTAGTAATCACTATCTCATGGACAAGAAGCCAGCTGTTGGTGGTCTTCTTTGTGATGAAGCGGTCCAACTTCCCGTAACCACTCATGTCATTCCTCAACCCAGGCGGTTGAGCATGTCCAACGCCGAAGGCTTCTTGCTCTTCGTGTCTATCTCCATCTCCAGTCCTTGCAGCTGTTCGGCCGATGGTTGTTGCGCTGATGACTGATTCGCTGACAACTTAGATTCAGATTGTACAGAGCCGAAGTCCAGGCTTAGCAGCTCTCCGTAACGTGTGACTCCTTCTTCTGTCTCGACGGTACCAATCAAGCTGGCCATGTCTTGAACATGGCTGTCGTTCTTCTGGCGACGAGGCAGCTTCTGGTGAATAACAGGCTCCAGCACTTGAACCGGAACGCTGGTTCTGGTTGCTATCTTGCCAAGTTCGCTGGCAAAGAGCCACGGAAAAGATATCAGTGGCATCTTTCCAGGATCCTTGGTTTCCTGCAACGCTGCTTCCACCTCTTTTGCGGTTACCTGATACATTGCCGCTACGAATGGGCCAAGCTTAGTCTGATCAGCAACACCCGTGATTCCAGCGGCAGCACGGCAGGTTTCACGGAACTGGGCCTTGAGAACTCCGACAGTCCTACCGAACTCCTCCGCGAACTTGTAATCGCGGCTCTCGTGGTTATGGCTCAAGACAAAGACAGACCAAGCTTCAAACTCAGTATGGATGCTATGCTTAGCCATTAGCCGCCTCAACGCCTCGTCGTAAGCTGTCTTGACTTCAGCAGCTTCAAGCAGCATAGTATCCTCGAGTTTGAATGCTTCCAGGATTCGTTTATCGAAGCCGTTGTCTGCCTGAGGTTTAAAGTCTACTAGCTGCACTTGATCATACAGCTGCCCTAAGATTTTCTTCGATTGATAGATCTTGTTCTCCGCAAGATACTTCTTCTCCATGAAGTGAGGCCACTTTGGGGGCTTCAGATCACGATTCATCATGGCCGGGATGCCGCTTTTTGGATAATCAACTGCCTGTGAATGGAGTTGAGCAAGTTCAAGGCATGTGTCGTCCATCACGCCGTCAGTCTTCCAATCAGCCTGGGCAAGATGTGCGTGTGCAATTTGACCGAGCGAATCATTCTTCATGTATAATACAAAGAACTCACTGATGTCTGCAGCGGTGATCGGCTTGTTCGTTTCCAATGGCTTATCGGGAGTGAAATCCATAGGAGGCAGGTTTATATGCTCAGGTATAAGCGTGCTGTCCCACAACACCATGTAGTCATCACCATCGAGGTCTCCTCCCGAGCACATGTTGGCAAGGTCTCGATCTCCAGTCTGAGGAAAGACGACTACGTTCTTAAGGTGATGAAGCGCTGGTACATCGACAGCACGCACTACACGAAGATCTCCAGGATGAAGTGAGGGGTTGCGAGCAAGAATGCAAACACCTTGAATGATCTTGTACTGACCCTTTTTGTCAGTGTCGCTGATCTGTAGGAAGATCTCGGGAAGAGTCTTGAGCTTCTGATCCCGTGTTGCAAGCTTCGATTGTGCGTTCATATGACCTTGCAGTGTTGCGGTTTCGTCGACGCAACCTAGTACAAAGGCTCCATCGTCAACAGCAATCCGAGCTTTCTCCTTGAGGTTCTTGATCGTGTACGCACGCCAAAGCCTGAGTAGTGACATCATGAATGGCTCTTGAGAAGCCATGAAGCCATCCAGCACCATACTCGCCATGATAAGAGTAGACTGGTTCATGTCGATATGCTTTCGAAGCTTTTCGATAGCGGTCTCCTCGTCTGTCATGGCAAGTTCGTAGTCGTTTACCATATCTTGCTGTTTCTTCACAAAGATATTGTCCGGAACGCCAAGGTTGGACAAAACAATGATAATTTGTCGGTTGAAAAATGGTGTGGCAAGTGCGGAAGACCGAATGATCTCAAGGCCTGTATACTCGGCTTCGAACTTCTGTTGGCTGGGGCGAATATGTACCTCACTGCCTGTGGTCTTGGGATCGAGAGCAAGTACGCCTTTGCAACCTCCCAGGCGGAATTGATATAGAGACGGGGGGTCGTCGAAGGCATTGGCGAGCCCGAGCTCTTGAGCAGCCATCTGGGCGAGGAAAAGCGATATCTTACCAACGCCATCAGTGAAAACGTAGCCATTCCGCTCGACGTCCGGGATCTTCTGGATCTTCACGCTGACTCGCATCGCCCTGGTAGTAGAAAAGCATTGACCCAGTCGAGCACCGAATTTAGCGACAGTCTTGATGTGATCGAACCGGCCCAGGGATAGTCTGATGTCATCGGCTGATTTGGACGAGGTAGGCGCATAGAAGTAGGCGCCGTGTTCTCGAAACTGCGAGTTTCCAAACGCTAAAAATTCGTAGTAACGACCGGCTATAACGACACCGTACTTCATAGCTTGACGTACTCGATCGAAGGTTGATTCAGCCCTGTCTCCGGGCATGTTACGTAGCCCTCCTTCAGTTTTCTCGTCCGAAAACTTGATGCGTATAAAACGATCGGCATCTGCGGCATATTTGCGTATGATCCGGTTCGAGGTCTCCATGATCGGAGAGGCAACATGCACCATGGTGGGTGTGATGAGGGCAGATCGCTGGAGGACACAGTAGTTCGGCACCTTTTTTTCAAGGCTGCCCTTATTACGAATTTTGAAGATATCCATCGAATTGTAGTAAGTGTCCTGCTTGTCGACGACCTTCTCAAGAATATGGACAGCCCGGCCAGGATCCATAGATGCGAGTGTCTCCAGAAACTCGTTCGTGATGCTATGCTCTTTCAGGTAGCCGTTCGACAGGCAAGCCTCGAGTTGATAACGAACCGGAAAGTTTAAGTGAATTTGATGGTTGAACAGATCGAAAGCAGACCCTGTGTTAGACGGCTCAAAGTGGGGATGCGTTCCGGATATCTCCTCTTGCAGCAGATTGCGCAGAGGCGGAATACTCTTGTCTTTCACAGTGTATTCTTCGAGGTCTTCGATAGCAACCCCATGATCCGCCAGGGCGGCGCTGAACTCCTCGAATTGTGGTCCGGTTAGACGTCGCGTGTCGAATGAGATTCGGTAGCTGGTCCATCGACCTAAGTGGGTTAGTCACATATAATCATACCGTGGGTTTGAAGACTACATACCGATATCTATGATAGCCTTGTCCTTGTGGCTCATCAAAGGCTTACCCTCTAACTGCTTCCTCGTGTCAACATCGATAATGTCAGTTTCACGATGCCAAGTGTTCCAGTCATTCCAGCTTCGTTCCGTCTCGGAGAAGCTGTTCTGTGACGTGTTGCTGCCTGTCGATTCGCCCTCGTTCCTCTGCATGAAGAACTGTGGCGGAGAGTCGAAGGGGATAATCAATGTGGTCAGATCGGTACCCTTGCTCTGAACTTTGTAGATGTGTGAAAGTAGAGAGATTGGCAGTCGGAAACGGAACTTGCGTGGCTTTCCGTTCGAACTCTGATTGTTGATGTTGAGTGGAAATTGGATATCGACTTCTTTGCGCTTTAGGCTCAACATCACCTGTACTTTGCCAGGTGCATCGACTGTATGCATGCTGACCATTGTCATGTCCGCAGTCCTGGTGCCAAACTCAATGGAGTTTGCGAAGAGTATGTTGAACTCGTAATACACTTTTGCCGGGTTGACAGGGCTTACGACGGTTGGCGGCACCGAACTTGAACGCGAGTCGTCAATCCTCGCAGAATCCTTTCCGATTTGTACTTTTGGAGGCAGAATCTTCTCTGGGATAGGCCTACGCACAGTCAGCGGCATGATCTTGACGTGGGGAGGTAGAGACTTGCCGGAACACGACCCAGGCATTGTTGTCGCGGCCGCCTGTCTGTATTTCTATCCTCACAACGGTACCGTATTGCGACATAGCGTCGTAGACGTCATTGGTCCAGTAGCTCTTGCGTATACCCAGCACCTTGACTTTGTACTCTTGTAGACGAGCCCAGTGCTTCCCATCACTCTTCAGGGTGAGAGTGCTAGGACGTGGCTTGTAGGTCTCGTTGATTTGATTACCATTCAGAGTGTAGGACGTCTTTTTCTCGGTCTGTGTGACATCTCGGTTGCCCTGAGCAGGAGGCGTGTTGCGACCCTGAGCGACGGGCGAGGGCCTGAGAGTGGGACGATTGTGCTGTCCGTTGGAGCTGCCCGAGCTGCTCGAGTACGTACGGTTACCTCTGCCACCGCCGCCACCGCGACCGCCTCGCTGGTAGCCTTGATTTCCGCGGTTCATAGTGCGTCGTGCTGCGTAGGATGCTCCGCTCTCAGAGCTAGTCTCGGAGCCACGCTCACTGTACCTTTGCGGATGTTGACCTGAACGTGGGGTTGGAGTGAAGTGAGGTGCGGTGGGTTTCGAAGGTGAGTGACCGTATGTTGGAGTCGAGTCGAGGAAGGCGGACTTAATAAGAGCAGACTCCATGATTGCTGACTGACGCGCTTGCTGTCTCACCAATCTCGCAAGAGCAGTCAAAGTAGCGGTGGAGAGGCGCTCAAGCAAGGGTGACTGCCGATTTCAGGAAGTGGCGAAAGAGCGGTGATGGAGCGGGCTATCAAGAGACTATCAGAAGGCGAATTACACGCCTCGAAATTTCGATATCGATTGCAGCGTGTTGTAGTCGGCGAGTTGCTTGAGGTGTTTTATTGAGAAGATAGGTGTTTGTTGCAGAAAGCAGTCTGTCGAGATGGGCAAACGGAAGGTTGTGTCGGGATCCCGCTGCAGAAGGTTTGAACAGAAGCGAGCACGAATGCCGCCACGTTAAATTGGAGTCTTCAAAGTTTAGATTACTTGTTTGAGTCTGCAGCTGATTTTGTGAAGTGAGAGATGTCGAAATTAGCATGAGACGGAGAACGCTAAGTGAGCGGCGGAGACTGTGTAAGGAAGGAGGGCGCGACGGGAGATTACAGCAGAGACTAACACACTTGTATGAACTTGCGATGCAAGACCTCTCCCGTCTTGTCTCGAAGAATGTAGATGAGCACAATCCTCCAAACGCTAGAAACAAAAGTGCTAGTTGCTAATACGCGAGCGTTTAAGATGTTATAGTAGATGCAGAGCAAGGCAGAGCAAGACGTGTTCAAAGAAAGTCTTGAGAAACAAACTACCCAAGGGTTTGAACAAAAGATGTACGATACAGCTCTCACAGAAGACAAGAAAGCAGAAGAAGGTAAAATGTGGAGATAGAAATTCGACTAAAAATGAAGTCATGGGTACCACGTCCACACTAATGCACCGCTTATGCAAGTAGCCGTCCTAACAAGAAACTAGTCTACAAAAACAACGGTCAAGATTAACAGACTTTACCCCCATACTCGATAATGTTTATAGTTCTGTAGTAGTAACATCGTCTTCATCGGGAACTCTTCCCGTGCCCGTCTCGAACCGACCGGGAGTCATAAGCGGTGTGCCCGCCAAGAAATCATCCATGTCGAAATCTGGCTGCTGCAGACTGCCGCGCCTCTTCCTTGCCGACGTTGTCTCATCGTATTGATATTCTTCCTCATTCTCAGATGCGGCAAACCCAACAGTAGTATGTCGGCGATTTGGAGACAGCTGCCTCAAAGCCGAGCGCTTAGAGGGCGACAATTTCTTAGAAAGCGATCTGGAATTGAGTATAGGTTTTTGAGTGTATGGAGTATGCATCGCAGGCACTTTGAAAGACGGGCGTGGCTTAGGACGCTTGGGCGTCGGACCATTCTGCGAGCCGTGGGAGTCAGAAGAAGCATCCGCGACGTTCTCCATTGTGGTATTTGGTGGACCCTGAGTACTTCCTGTAGCCTTTGGCATGACGTCTTGGGTCTGAATGGCTGATTTCCGACGCCGATGTTCACGAGGCGCGCGCGGAGTCTGGGGATCATTGGTCTCCGTCTGCGGACGAGCAGCTGACCGTATCGCCAGAGGGTTCGGTGTTGCGAGACCGAACGATTTCAGGACATTCCTCCGCAGTGTCCTCAACTCTTCAAGTTCCTCTTCTTGCTCCGTGCAGAATTCGGTGAGTTCCTGGAGTTTGGCCTCGAGTGGCGGGACAGAGTTCTGCAGAAGCTGGAACTCTCGCCGGACTTCATCATAAGCTTCTTTGGCCTCACGGCCCTTGTGTAGGGCAATTTGTAATTCGTTGTTCAATTTGGCAGATTGATCTTCGGCTTTAGCGGCTGCAGCATCCATATCATCAGTGTATTTTACCTCCAGTTCCCTCAACACCTCTTCCGAGGATTGCACCAGTTCCTGGTGGCTCACTTGAAGGTCGCTCAACCGCCCCGTAATGACCTCAAGCTCTGTCTCCGTGCTCAGCAGCTGATTGTCTATATCAGTGTTTTGATTCTTGAGTCGCTTTATCTCTTCAGATTGCCTGAAAACAGTTTCACGCTCGCTGTCGAGTTGACTTTCAGATTCATCGAATCGGCTCTGCAAGTCCTGGTGTTGCTCGTGTAAGGCGTCTTGCTTTGCTTTGTTCTCTTCCAAAGTGCGCCTCAGCTGACTAACAGAACCGTTCAGCGCCTCAATCTCATTGGCACCTGCGCGGATGTTTTCCTCGTGTTTGAAAGTTGCCGATCGAAAGTCTAGCTCTTTTGCATGGAACTCCTCCTGAACGGTACGCAATGTCTCTTGAACCGCTCTGTCAGCCTCGGCGAATTCCACTTTCAGTTCGTCAAGCTTCGTCGCAACTCTATTCTTCTCTTCTGCCATTATGAGCTTCTCATCTTCTAAGCCCTCCAAGTGATACCGGTCATCGTCTGCTTGCGATTTGAGTGACGATACCTGCTCCTTCAACTGAGAAATTTGCTGCTCTAACTCTTTTGACCTCTCCTGCTCACGCCGTAACGGTTCCTCAACAGTGTTACACCGAGTCTCGAGGTCCTGGCAAATCTGCGCAACGGAACGCACGACCGAGTCCCTTTGATAGAAGTTCTGACTCTCGAGCTCCGATTTGAGCCGGTCCCTCCAGTCCTGCAAATGCTGACCAGTGAATTGGGTACACTCTTGTTGGAACAATGATATTGAGGGAGGGGCGGTTGCCAGTATATGAGAGCATTGACTCGAGACATACGGAAGTTCTCGTTGCTTTTTGATGAGAGCAGCGACAAGAACGTGTGGAACCGACAACTCTGTTGGTCCCATTGTAAGGACAAGAGTCAACAGCGATGCAATCGTAGCTGACACCACCTCTCGATGTAGCGACGCGGCGTTCGTACGACAAGTGCTGCTTTCCTTCACTGACCTATCATGGATAAAACTCCAGAGCTTTTCTTGAAGATTATTTGACGATATTGCAAGCAGCATCTTGGATCGTAGCAGGGCGCAACTGCGTAAGGCTGTGGTAAGCCCATCAATCAACGTTATGAAGTTTGACAACTGATGGGAGGTCGGAGCTGAAATGCACGCGTTCAATATCCCGTATAGTAACGTTCGGACAGAGTTTTCTTGTAAATGCGGCTACTTTTCGTTAGACGAATATTGAAAACTAACTCTCAGAACTTACAGCGAATATCGGGAGCGACACTGAAAGAGTCTCACCAAGAGAGTCGGCATTGGCAAAGCTTGGTATCTGTGTCAAGCAGTCCTCATATTGTGCCACAACTTCTGGCAGGAGATACTTCTCCCCTGCAATCATTGCATAGAAACACAAGGCTTCAAGTTGGAGAGCTGGACAAATTCCTGAACGTAGGATCTTGGAGGGAAGTTTTGGAAATATGTTCTTTGCCAACGCGCTGGACTTGGGCCATCCTTCTCGTATGTCTCGGTCCACAAACCACAAGGTCCTTACAGCGATGCGAATACCTTCGATGGCTTCGGCGTCTGTTACACCAACATCGCCTTTCGCTGCCCAGATGACGCTTAGGTAGGTCAAGTTGATTGTTTTGTATAACCCACTCGTGGAGCCAAAGAGCTTCCGGCCTGACGCAGTTTTCCACTGCTGCTCTAAATGTGGGGTTGACACCGGTTGGTCAAAGCTAGACCGCAGGTTTTGGAGGGCACCAACATTTTCAGGATGTTCCGCGAGGAGTACTATGCCAAAACACCACAGCAATAGCATAGAATTTTGACCCGTGCCATTGGAAGACAAGATATGACACAGCTCCCGGTCAAATTGTTGCCGTGTCTCTGTTGGAAGAAGACCGAGCAGCTGCCGACACGCTCCATTGAGCATACAATACACTGGTTTGAGGGTGCTCAAGTCTGGCTTCTGGGTCGCTTTTTCGAAGACTCGAAGAAAGAAGGATTGAGCACTTGTTGGAAGTGACACCGACTCCGGAAGTGGTCGCGAGAGGATGAGCACACATAACTCGACATACTACCTACTGTAAGATTCACCGTCTGCAAGAAAGGGAGCCCAGTGGATCATACATCATCAAAGTCTCTTTGCGAAGAGTTTGCTTTCGCAAGCAAGGCGTTTAGCAAGCCATGATTCTGGAGCAACAGTTTATCCCTAAACTCGGGGGAATGACCTACAATCACATGGTCAGCTGATTTGTGCCTGTTCAAAAGAACAATTCGATTCTTACACAGAGAGTGTAATACGCGCAAGGTGTAGGCCCAGAGAGGCAGTGCTTCACAGACTAATGTCGCCAACCTAGCCACCGCACAGGGTGGGCGGTTGTGGATACAGGCGCGAATCGTGTGAGCATCAGTACGGGCAAGAAGACCTGCTAAGTTCTGAGGTTATTCTCGCGTCAGCATTCATAGCATGCATATATGTTGGGCCCAGGCCTTCGTTTTAGGACATGAAGTTACATCGAAAGATTGGGGGTTGCCGAGGCGAGAAACTCACGGCTAAGGACGCCGGATAGGGACACTCAATTATCCTCGTCAGTTCTGACGACAACTCGGCGCCGATATCCGTCATAGCGGTTGCTGGCTGAGTTGAGCCAGGTTACTTTGATAGGGGCCAGATAAACGTGGTGGCGGCGCATCCCGTACGCGAATTTGTTTTGCATGGCGGCTGCCCGGACAACCCGATGAATCGCCGTGACAAAGACCCTTCCTGATTAGGGACGAAAACAATGCCGCACGTTCACTCGATAGTCTCCGGCAAACTCTCGACGCGCCACTTACATCTTCATCCGAGGGTCATCTTAAACTCTCCAGCAGTGTCAATTCGTAGAGCTATATTTCATCGACCTCGTACGGCGCCTGTGATGCATGCGCGCTCCAGCATGATCTGTTCACATGACCAAGAGACGACCAGACAGCTTCTCTTAAAATAAGTCTGCGAGTTATCATCATCTTTGCGGCATTTCCTCGCGCTAAGTCTGGCCGTCCGGTAGCTCGAGGCCGCTTTGCTATGCTGAGTAACACGAGTGGGATGTGATGACGGGAGCGTTACCCCACCCCGGTGTCAGCAAGCTCTAGTATGCATGCTGCACGTGCAGGGGACCATGTTTACTGATGGTAATTGTATTACCGGGCGTTCGATATTCGCGAATAGAAAAGGACATGACATCTTTCCACGCTTACTGTTCAAAGCACTGCAGACGTATTATCTCTTGCACAAGGCCTCCTCGAAGTCTCAAAGCCAGAGACGACGGTTATCAACTTCGTTCCTCGTCCGCAAGATCTTAAATTCCTACCAGTTTTGAGGCACTGTCGGAGGTCTCCTAGATCGTGAGCTGGACTACGATGTAGGTCTGCAGTCGATCGCCGTTATTTTCCCCGCATTCGCTTCGCGTGTTCAGATCTCCTTGCAGCTGATCATGCACACCATCGTGCGCTGCACGAAAAATTGAGCCGCTCACGTCGTCACCGGCCTGTTGAATGGACATTGTGGGGGAATAAAGCGGCTTATTCTTGCTTGAAGGCAATATCTGACACTTGCATTCGTGCTTGAATACATCTCCCCGCTTTTTTCATCCCACCCTCTTACTACAAAGTGCATAGCGCGTTCCTCCAGCTACTTTCTGCTTGCAACTATCATGTTAGCGTAAGTCCAGTGGCGCGCCTCACGGTAGTCGAAAGTGGATTCAATCCAGTTCGGTTCCGCTTCTCAACTTAATCGAGGCTTACATTTCTAACCTTGTCACTGCATCTTCTTGAATAACCCTTTCGACATGTTTTGCCGGCCAGCAGCACGACTAAGACAAGCAGCCTCGCCTCTTTTGAAGCAAAATGGCTTGCGAACTCGAAGCAACCAGTCCAGGCAGCCTTTGAAAGCCAGACCTGCCCAGACGCCTTTCTGGAATTCCGGCAAAGTACTGCTCTTCACAGCTGTGACTGGGACAGTCGCATACTACTATGGCGTCAACAGCAGTACCTCTCAAATCCAAATGGCAGGACGCAAGCTCCTGGGGCCTAGATATGCATCCAAGAAAGAGATGGAGAAGGCAGGTCAAAGGAAGGTTGGCATCAATCACATAGCATACTGATGATCTCCATAGGCCATCGACGAGTTGAGGCTTACGCTTGGGGAAGATGCAATCAGCACAGATGACGAGGATCTACATAGACATGGGTACTCGGAATGGTCGTCGATGAACATTGATCAACTGCCGGTCGCAGTAGCATATCCGAAGTCGACGGAGGAAGTTGCTCAGATTGCGAAGACGTGTCACAGGTTCAAAGTACCAATGAGTATGTTTCCACTTATGACTTCGGGAATATATCCTAATGTCATATAGTTCCCTACTCTGGAGGATCGAGCCTAGAGGCCAACTTCGCAGCTCCCTTTGGGGGCATAAGTATTGATTTTACGTTCATGGACAAGATACTAGCCATGCACCCAGATGAGTAAGCGCATGCTATCTACAACAATTGGACTTGATGTAGCTAACATTGGCTCACAGTATGGACGTGGTGGTACAGCCTTCAGTACCATGGATGAGTCTCAATGATCAGATCAAAGACTCGGGTCTCTTTTTCCCAGTAGACCCTGGACCATCTGTGAGCGCTTCTCTAGTAACTTTCAGTAGCTTCGACACATCTCAAGCGGGAAGTTGAACTCGTACTGACAAACAACCAGGCCAGAATCGGAGGCATGGTCGGAACAAGCTGCAGGTAACGAACGTGTGTTCCAAAAAGAATCAAGACATGAAACTGAATTTCTGGCAGTGGAACTAACGCTGTGCGATACGGTACTATGAAGGATTGGGTCATCAACCTGACTGTAGTCCTCGCAGATGGGACGATCATCAAGACGAGACGTCGGCCACGGCATGTCTTGCCCTTTGCTCCATAATGGCATATCACTAACCAACTCATAGAAAATCTTCAGCTGGTTATAATCTTACCGGTCTGTTTGTTGGTTCCGAAGGAACACTCGGCTTAGTAACTGAAATTACTCTGAAGTTGGCTGTGGTTCCGCAGGAGACCAGTGTTGCCGTGGTAACGTTTCCTACAATCCGTGATGCTGCAGCTGCTGCATCCAAGGTTCTACGTGCGGGGATACCTATCGCAGCAATGGAGATCATGGACGATGTGCAGATGATGGTGGTTAACAAGGCTGGCTCCACGAATAGGAAGTGGAAAGAAGTACCTACTATGTTCTTCAAGTCGGTAGGCCCGAAGACTTTGTCACTAGGGAGTATGAGCTAACACGGACATCTAGATTTTCAGGCACCAAGGCAGGAGTAGGTTAATATATTCGCGGAGTAGCTGGAATGAGACTAACAGTATTACAGGTACAAGAGAATATTGGGCTTGTAAAGTCGATTGCCAAAGCGCATAAGAGTGGGGACTTTGAGTTTGCAAGAAATGCTGAGGAACAAAAGACGCTCTGGTCAGCGCGAAAGGAGTCTCTCTGGAGTATGATGGCGCTTCGTCGAGAGGGTGATGAGGTCTGGTCTACGGACGTCGCAGTCCCGATCTCGAGACTTCCGGACATCATAGGTATAAGGACTCAGTTGTAGTTACGATCAAGGTACTAACAACTTTTCAGAAATATCAAAGAAGGAAATGGACGATCTAGGCCTCTTCGCTAGCATTCTCGGTCACATTGGAGATGGCAACTTTCACGAGAGCATCATGTACAACAGCAAAGATCCGAAAGAGCGGGCAGCTGTCGAAAAGTGCGTCCACGATATGGTCGACCGCGCGCTCGAAATGGAGGGTACATGTACTGGCGAGCACGGTATTGGGTTAGGAAAGAAGGGATCACTTCAAAAGGAACTTGGTTTGGATACGATCAATGTGATGAAGAGCATCAAGCGGTCTTTGGATCCATACTGGCTGATGAACCCAGGGAAGATTATGGATGCTTAAGTGTGAGAGTCAGAATGGGGTTCTCCCTGCATGGTTGTACAATTTGTTCTACTTGGGTGGATATTTGTTTTTGTTAGTTTGGGCTACTTTTTTAGAGCATAGACATAATTGGTATCATCAACCGTTACAAGAACGTGTTCAATATCGATATACGTTATTTTTTCGGTCTCCTCTGATGCTCGGAGATGTTCAATCACTCGATGTGGTGTGACTTGCGTCTCCGTGATCGGCGCCCCACCACAACTCTAGCATCCCGCTCGCGTCATAAAGTTGTGAGATCTCCATTGACTCAAAAGTTCAAAATCTGCAATTGCCAAAATGGACGTCGAACATTTCACAGCGCCCAAGGCTGAATTCCCCAAGAAGAAGTGCGGTGAGTAAGTCACGTACTTTCAAGTGTCACTTTACTGATTGAATGGTAGGTGTGCTCGGCGCCACGGGCTCGGTTGGCCAGCGCTTTATTCTCCTGCTCGCACTCCACCCACACTTCGAACTACACGCCGTTGGAGCATCAGAGCGTTCAGCTGGCAAGAAGTACAAAGATGCTGTCAAGTGGAAACAGGCATTGCCGTTTACAGAGCGCATTGGGGACTTGGTGGTGAAGAAGTGTTTGCCAGAGGAATTCAAAGAATGCGACCTCATCTTCTCGGGGCTCGATAGCGATGTTGCTGGAGACGTTGGTACGCATAACTCATTCAAAAGATCGACGCAGATCTGACATGAACAGAAATGGCCTTCCTCAAGTCCAACCTCGCCGTCTTCTCCAACGCAAAGAACTACCGTCGCGATCCCCTCGTCCCACTCGTCGTTCCCACCGTTAACCTCCCGCATCTCGACGTCATAAAGCACCAGCGCAAACACTACGGCTTGGAGAAGGGCTTCCTCGTCTGCAATTCCAACTGCGCCGTCATCGGCATCGTGATTCCTTTCGCAGCCCTACAAGACAAATTCGGCCCCGTCGACCAAGTCTCCGTCGTGACAATGCAGGCTGTATCTGGCGCCGGCTACCCTGGAGTGAGCAGCATGGACATTATCGACAATGTCGTGCCCTTCATCTCGGGTGAAGAGGACAAGCTCGAGACCGAAGCGTCGAAGATCCTGGGAAGCGTCAATGGAGAGGTAACGGGCTTTGTGGACCAGCCTATGAAGATCTCTGCAGCCTGCAACCGCGTTCCAGTCCTTGACGGACACACAGCCTGCGTCTCGCTGCGCTTCCAGCGCCGTCCGCCGCCGAGCGCCGAGCAGGTCAAGCAGGCCATGCGAGAGTACGTTTCAGACGCACAGAAGCTAGGGTGTCCATCAGCACCTGCGAAGGCTATCGTGGTCATGGAGCAGGCAGATCGGCCACAACCTAGGTTGGACAGGGAGACTGATCGAGGGTATGCAGTTAGTGTAGGACGCGTGAGGGAGGACGAGGCGGGGATCTTTGATATCATGTTTGTCGCGCTCAGCCATAACAGTAAGTCGGCGTGTCAAGAGTATCGAGGGACTTGGCTAATTAATCATAGCTGTCATTGGAGCGGCAGGGTCTTCGATATTGAATGCGGAAGCGGCGGTGCTGAAGGGGTATGCTTGATATTGCGTAGAGGAACACAGCTAAAAAATCTATTATCTCGAGACATCACAAACCATAATAAATTTCAAACGCGTGTGCTATATCGAGGTTATTCTTGACCCAGTGATGGTAGTCATACATCTAATAGTGATGCATGGTCTCTGCCAATCTTGATCAGAAAGTACAACACTATTCAGATACACGTATCACACATGCATTATTGTGGAAGAGAGTGAGCAATTCCACCACTACAGATCATTCAGCATATTGCTTGCATTCTCACGCTAGTACGAAAGTAGCGTCGCCAAGCTGACTAAGGAGCCCACCGACGTTTAGCGAACTTCTCGATATTCAACCACGACTTCGACAGGAAACCCTCACGACTTTCACGACTAACCCTGCACATCAGTCAAAATGGGACGTGGACCAAAGAAGCACCAGAAGCGCCTCAGCGCGCCCTCGCACTGGCTTCTGGACAAGCTGTCCGGTACGCCGCCTCGCGCAATCGCAGTCGATGTTGGAAAAGAAGGCAGAATTGACAATTTCCAGGTGCCTACGCCCCCAAGGCGTCGCCCGGTCCTCACAAGCTCCGCGACTCGCTGCCTCTGATCATCTTCCTCCGCAACCGTCTGAAGTATGCGCTCAACGCCCGCGAGGTCAAGGCCATCCTCATGCAGCGTCTTGTCAAGGTCGACGGCAAGGTCCGCACCGACTCTACCTTCCCCACCGGGTTGATGGACGTCATCTCCATCGAGAAGACTGGCGAGAACTTCCGCCTCATCTACGACACCAAGGGCCGCTTCACCGTCCACAGGATAACTGAGGAGGAGTCACAATACAAGCTCGGCAAGGTCAAGCGTGTCCAGCTCGGCAAGGGCGGCATTCCCTACTTGGTTACGCACGATGCGCGAACGTAAGTTCCTGCTCTATCAGCCGTTGACTACAGTTTGGGTTAGGTGCAAGAGGGAAACCTTTTGCACCAGACATCCGTCCAGGGTCTGGCGATGTCGGAACAAGTGCTAAAGGAATGTGTAGGATCCGCTACCCCGACCCGACCATCAAGGTCAACGACACCGTCAAGATCGACCTCTCCACAGGCAAGATCTCCGACTTCATCACGTTCGACACTGGTGTGATCGTCATGGTCACTGGTGGTCGTAACATGGGTCGTGTTGGTGTCATCTCCCACCGTGAGCGTCACGACGGAGGCTTCAACATTGTCCACCTTAAGGATGCTGTTGACAACGAGTTCACCACTCGTGAGACCAACGTCATGTAAGTTGATCTCCTATGGATGGGTCGAATACTTTGTGCTGATATGTCCAGTGTCATCGGCAAGGAGAAGCCATGGATTTCTCTGCCCAAGGGCAAGGGCGTTAAGCTCTCGATCGCTGATGAGCGTGACCGCCGCAGGGCGTACGCCGTTGCCGGCCACTAAGCGTGCAGGCAAGAGGGGCAGTTTGTAGCAGTAGCATATGAGGTTCCATGACCGTATGAGGTGCGGTGCAGGACTCTGATTCAAAAACCAGGCGTTGGTCACTTGCGGGGAAGATTAACGGGTCTGGGGCATCTGCATTTCATATGAATACCAAATGAGAATCAAACAAATGAACACTTCAACTGCCGTTTTGATGATAGCGATGTGTTACGGAATATTGGTGGCGTTCGGGTGATGTACCAGCCTTGAAAGGAGGGCCGTTGAAACGATGTGGCAGGAGTTGGACCTGGCAAGACAGGATTCGAGAAGATGCAACAGCACGGCCAATTGGAACTGGAGTCTCGACTTCAGTGATTGAAGAGGCAAACGCAGGAGGCCGGGAGTGGCAGATGCCGGGTTGGACATGGGAGGGATGGAATAAGACAGGCGGCTGGCATGCAATAAACAAGGCTGTGCAGTGGCGGTGGGTCGTGCAGCGCGTGGGAAATGAGACTCGGGCGTGGGCCTGGACGCGAGACAGGAGCGTGGGAACACGGCGCCGTTGTGGCCTGAAGGGCTGTCTGTGTCACTTTTCACCGTCCCTGTATATCCATCAAAATCGCAAAGTCGCAAAGTCGTCGTGTAGCGGACATTATTCCAACGGCCGTCCAGCGATCCCCCTTCTCTACTACGGGCTCCCAAGGGTGCGTTTAGTGGCTGCAGCTTCACCTCTCCTCGCTCCTTCAACGGCCAGCTTCCCCGCCCGCCATAGCGACCGGTCGACACGACAACTGTGCGTCTTCCCCACAGACGGCAGCGCGAGAGACATTGCACACTTGGTCACGGCCCCAATGCTACCGCGAGCATCGCCAGTCTCACTCGTTTCATAGCTGGCGCACTGCGCGTACTGTGTAGAGCCCCTGCCCGTCCCCAAACACACGTGAATCCCTGTTTGCGCGAACCCACGGCGCAAGGCACTCGACACTCGCTCACCCCCAACGAGTCTCGCGAGCTGGTCTCTGGCAGACGCGCCTATTCTTCGCCATGATGCTCCGCCCGGCCACGCCCCTATCGATCCTATTCTTCGTTGCTTTTTGTCTGCTGCTGCTGTCGACGCTCTCGACGCCCATCATCAAGGGCATCCCCATTGCTACCTACCGCGGCATCAACTTTGGTGTGCTGGGCTACTGCGAGAATGACAGTTGCACGGGGCCCACGATCGGCTACGACACGGGTATGTGCTGCTTCGAGAGACAGCTTGGGGCCGTAAAACTGACAGTTGGTGCCAGAAACACTCTTTGCAGACAACCCTGATACAGACTTCTCGCTACCCGCTGCCACTCGCCATGCGCTGTCGTCCATCCTCATTGTCCACCCTGTCGCGGCCCTGATGACGCTGATATGCTTTGGCCTCGCCGTCGCCGCCCACTTTCACTCACCTGCCCATTCACCGCGATACCTCCTTGCGCTGCTCATCTTCACCTTTCCCACGCTGCTGGTCTCGCTGCTCGCGTTCCTCGTCGACATCCTGTTGTTTGTTCCGCATGTGGCCTGGGGAGGATGGATTGTCTTGGCAGCCACCATTCTTATCGTTGCGAGCTGGATAGTGACGTGCGCCATGAGGCGGACTCTGGTCAGTCGCAAGGCGAGGAAGAGGCGCATTGCTGAACACGACGGGATGAACGGCCAGGATTACTACACAAACCGCGCCAATACCACAAACGTGGCGACGGACTTTCCAAAGGCAGAATCGCCGCCACCATTCGCTGGCGACCATGCCATGTCTGGATCGAGTACAAATGACTATGCGTCTTTTGAGCTCCAGAAGCAGTCGTCGCCGCAGTCACACGAGGACATGACACCGCTCAACCAGCGAAATCCTTCGCTCAAGACAAACAGCAGTAACGGAAGAGATGGATCGGACGTCCTGGGTCCTACTCGTGGTCCTTTGGGTCGTGGACGTCAACCTGTCGATCAGTACGGCAACACCATTCCACCCATGCCAAATGACACCTACATGATGCAAGCTCCCCCGCGAGGTGGAGGCAGAGGAGGCATGTACCGAGGAAGAGGAGGTCCCCCGCCACGAGGAGGTCCCAACGGTGGTCCCAGAGGAGGATATGGGCCAGGGCCAGGACCAAGGGGAGGCATGCGTGGTCCGCCGCCTCCAGGATGGAACGGCAACGGACGGGGTATGCGCCCTGGTCCAGGTGGGCCAGGTGGGCCAATGCCAGGTGGGCCAGGCCCTATGGGTCGAGGAGCTCCTCCACCCGGATACAACAACAACTTCTACGGTCAAGGACCACCGCCGCCACGTGACGTTTCACCCTATGATGCCCGTGGAACATCACCTGGACCTATGCAACCTCATGCGGCGATTGGGCAAGCCATTGAGATGGACGCTCGCAACGGCACACCCCCGGCGAACCAGCAGACTTTCGGATTGAGGGAGAGCGATGGCGACGTGCAAGGCATGTTGGCACTCCAGCAGGGCGGCTTCCCGGCTCACTCGCCTCAACGCCGATTGTCTGAACTAGCGAGCCCAACCAGCTCGTATTCACAAGAGTAAGTCCCACTACCCCATTGGTCACACTGCGTGATTAACAACGAACAGAGAGCAGCAACAGTCGCAACAATACGCCCCGCCACGTTCCAACTGGGATCCAACTCAAAACAACACATCCGACCCGACCCTGATGAGCAGCAGTGGCAACCATAGCGGCGGGCTATCCCCAATCCAAGACTCTCCTATCGAGCTCCCCAACCAACAATCGCATACGGGCGTGCCGCTACCCCACATCAGCGAGCGCACCTCCGACTACTACGAAGATGTAGACCCTAAATTTGCCGAGCCCGCGCGCAACAACCCTCAACCACGCGTGCCCTCCTTGCTTGTGCCAGGCAACTACCAATCCCAAAATCAACAACATGGTTTCCTCTCCGCCCCCCGCCACTCCAATCACTCTCCACACAACAATAGTGATCCCAACCTCCCCCGCTCATCCTCCTACGACGACCTCCCCGAAGCCTCAGGCTCAGGCTCGCGCTCCCCCGCTGTCTCGGAAGCCAGCCACTACACCTCCGTGTCCCAGCGCCCTGTTAACCCGGCCTGGAGACCGGACATGGGTGGGCCACCAGGCCAGTTTGGACCGTATGGTGGCGGAGGCGGTGGGCGTGGACGGCCCATGAGGCAGGAAGACGTTATCTTCTCTGCGAATGCGGCAAATCCCGATTTTGCGATTCCAGGAATGGGTAGAGGGCGAGGCAGAGGAAGGGGACGAGGCGGCAGAGGCGGTGGTATGAATCAAGCGCCGCCGGCGAACACAATGGGTCCTGGTGCCGCATTGGGAACGCAAGGAAGGTATCCTGGTGCTAGTGCCATGTAGGGTTGGCCTAGCATTATAGGGTGCACATAAGACGTTTGCGAAAGAGGGGTAGGTGTATGTGAACAGTTCCCGCTTCTTTCGTCGTGGATCTATCGGTATGTCCCGGGTGATCTTCTTCCTCTTTTGCTCCTTTCAATATTCCGGCTGGATAGATGTACTGTCTCCTTTCGGCTATTCTTTTCTGTGGGAGCGGAAAACTTTTTCTTTACGAACATGCAAGGTGCAGACGACCTTTTTTCGTCTTTATTCTTCTGCTCTTCGCTTCTCTTCTCTTCCTTGTCCATTCTAGATACCGTAATTTCTAGTCCTGCTTGCGTTACGCCTTTCACGAGGTGGGTTGGCGCGCAGATATCCGTGCTTGGTTTGGGGAATGATGTATGGTGTTTGTTTCTTTCTTCTTCGGGGGATATACATGGTTTTCGGTTTGGTGTGTGTGTGATGTGCTCGACATCGCTTAGTGGATGTATGGGAGGACGAGGGAGCGTGTAGAGAGTTGGGAAGCTTTAACACATGCGGAAGGAGAGTGTTTGAGGATTGTATATAGGATATCATGGTGGGAGACATGGGTGGAATTTTGACGCAAAATGGGCATGCGATGCAATGCAAGTATATACATACCATGCTACGTTATACCATGCATTCCAGTTCCATTCAAGGTCCAGTTTCAATTCTATTTCGAACCCCAATCTCAACCCCAGCTCCAATGCTCCTTGCTGCAAGTCACCCCGCGTTGACAAGGAAGCATGTATGGCACACATCCCAGCAATCTAGCAGTTTCAGTAGCAGCGGTGGAGTTCTCCCCATCACACTGCGCCGCACATCATTTGTGTTCAAGCCCGGCAGATGGGGGTAAATAGCACGAGTAGAGCAGGGTTTGCCCAGCCGGGTGAATGGACACCCTTGATCCCGCTGTGGATAAGCACACAGTCACGCGCTGGCTGGGCGGGGGCTTATCTAATCTCACTTGAATCTTGATCCGGGGACATGGAAATATCCAATATATGGTTGCATGGATAGTGGTTCGACGGGAGGGTTTTTTCTCTCCCCGTACGAGAATTTGTTCGCTCGCATTATCGTGGGGTCTGCCATGGCGCGGGAAATGAGCTTACGATGGGAGAGAACGTGTGCGTTTGCGTGGTGTTGTGTCCAGGCTAACGGGTATGTACATGTACATGACTCTCATGCAGAACAGAGCAGAACAGAACATGTTGACAATACGCAGGTCGATTATGCGGTGCGTTGTCACGGCATGTCTGTGTGTCGATCAATGTTAATGAAGCTGAGCTGGGGACTCGATAGTCGTTTTTGGCCTGAAGCAGCAACCAGTACCTGACTAGTGGCCGATCCCCCATGGACTGAATACTCCGCAACCGCACTAAGAAAGGTTGGTTTGCGGCTCAGCTCAGCCCAAGCCAGGGTCTCAGTCGCACGGCTTCTCTATTTCCCGCAAGCGTTGCAGAACTTGGCGACCACTTGAGGCTTGCAACAACACCCAGAGTAGATGGTTGGATAGCTGATAAACAAGTTGTTGTTGCTGAGGGTGTGGTCTCGCATCGTGCAGGGGAAGAAGCTAGCACGGTTTATCTTGTGGGACCTGAATGTCTCCTCTTTTCTCGCCGACGCACTGCTGATCAGTGCGTGGTCCTCCAAGTGTGCGCATTTTGAAACACCACACACTCACTCACATGACATTTTCGTCTAAACTTGCTGCTCGCCCAAATGCATTCTCGATGGGTTAACGTCTGCGCCATGTTCTCTGCAACGCGTCTTGACACATGGGTCTGTTTACATCGCGTCATGTCATGCCTGCGCCTCACTGGATCGACTCGACCTCCTCGCTGAGGGTTTGGGCATCTACCAATTCGCCGGGCGAGTGCCGATAGGTGACATCTTACCATTAACCCATGTATGAGCCATGGCCTGTGTACGGCTAATATCTGCAAAGCGCACATGCGGGTCAGATCTGCGCTTCTTTCTATATCGCTAAGCGGAACGCGTCCTTGCGTGTGACATCCTCCCAGGATATCGTCTATATCTGACTAGTTGGTGGCCTTTCCATCACCCTCCCGTTTCGCGGCACGTATTCCGCGAGTTGAGGACTAGCTCCGATGTCAACTAAACTCTACTCCATGCTACGCTTCAGCCTGGAGCTCTATTTGGGCACCCTGTCCTGCCTGAGGTTCTCAGTCTCGTTTCTCAATCTCTCCCTTCACTCCATACCCAACATTCTTTTTCAACTTCGCCGTGGACATTTCTTGATCTTTGCTCATCGATCACCCTCGGACCGATTGTTTATGACACAGAGCAAATACGACTCACAGCCTTCCATTCTGTACTCGAAGGACGACCCGGACTGTTTCCAGCGGAGGAAAGGGACCAGGCCTCCATCAATCTCAATCCTAACGACCGTTCACACTATGATGTATTGAGAACTCGAAAGCTCAACTGCTTTCCGACAAACCCACATCGAACACCACGCGCTATCATTTAAGCTCACCGATAATGGCTCCACACGAGTTGATCCCCGTCAACCCCGACACGATCGTCGAGTCGCAATACTTTCCTTATCCCCACAGCGTGAACACGCTCCCGCAGGTCTACCGAATAGGTCTTGTGCCTATCGTTGTCTTCTCCTTGATGAGCCTGGTGTCAGTAACGATAATGCTTGGTTGCATTACCCGCCGCTTAATATCCTGGCGAACACATCACCGAGAATTTGTCGGCTATAACCAGTTCGTCATTCTCATCTACCAATTGCTTCTCGCGGATCTTCAGCAGTCGATTGCGTTTGCCATTTCTATCCATTGGCTGTCCATCGATAAGATCCTAGCTCCAACGGCGCCGTGTTTTATACAAGCTTGGTTCTTGCACATTGGGGATGTTGCGAGCGGATTCTTCGTCTTGGCTATTGCCATCCACACCTGGCTGGGAGTGGTGAAGCAGTACAAGATGCCGTACAGCTGGTTTGTTGCAAACATTGTGATGATCTGGATTGCTGCCTTGATATTGACCATTGCGGGTCCGATCATGCATGGAGATCATTTCTTCTCACTTGCTGGAGGCTGGGTAAGTCCACACTCATACATGTGCATACTCACAGGCTAACACGGCATAGTGCTGGGTATCATCCGACTACCAAAAAGACCGTCTATATCTCCACTACCTGTGGATCTTCATTGTCGAATTCGGCACTGTAGCCATCTACGGCCACGTCTTCATCCACTTGCGCGGTCGCATAAGCTTCATCACCAATAATGACACCACGAAGCTCACCCGAGCGACAAAATTCATGGTCCTGTATCCCGCCGTATACGTCATTCTCACGGCCCCCCTCGCAATTGCGCGCATGCTCGCCATGGGTGGAGTAGAATCGCCCGACGTCTTCTTCTGCGTGGCAGGCTCTCTCCTCACATCCTGCGGTTGGATGGACGCCCTACTCTACACTCTCACGCGCCGGATTCTAAACGACGACACGGCGAGCGCCCAGTACGCCCACACCCTCAGCGCCGTAGGCACCAATGTTGCACATTCACGCGACACGCATGACTTCGGCCTCCAAAGCACAAACAGCAAAGAGCCCGTGACCGCCATTGCGCGCACAGTCACCATTGTCGGTGGCAGTAGCAGCAGGCTCTCACGCATAGTGGACCACCGTCGCGGCCGCCCTTCCACCCACTCGGCCTATCTAGAAAAAGACCTTTCCCGCGAACCCAGCCCCACGGGCTCACAGGACATCTTGACCAAGTCCATGACCATGGATGGTGCTACTATCGTCGCCGAGACAAACATCCACGTTGAGACGGAGAGCATTGATGGAGTAACTCTGCGCTCGAGAGATCGGAGTGGATCCTCCGTATAGTATGTGTTGCTCATCACGCATTCATCGTTCATAATACTGGGATTGGAGTTTCCCTTGCGAGGACCTTCTTGCACCTATACTTCACATTCTATGACCGCCATGGCTTGTTATGATTTATCACTGGTTTGCACAAGCAGCAAGGAGTTTGGCGTACTGTACTTACTGTACTTGGTTGGATATCTTGAGCACTGGCGTCAAGAGTGCGTAGGTTTGGTTAGTTTTCCGTCTTTGATACGATTAGGCTCGATGAGATTACAGATATGCCGTTGCGACGATGAATCTATATCTTTTTCCAATCACAACAACACATATGTCGATGTCTTCCATTCCTCGTGATCCAGCGCATTCGGCCGTCCTGGAGCCTCACATAACAGTAACAAACGACAGCGCCGTGGCCTGCATTTCATTCCATTCCCTGTCCACCCACAGCCCCCCTCAGTGCCACACCACATCCCACGATCAAACAAACGTCACTACACTCCCATCCCATCCCAACACCACGCACTCCCCTTCCGACCCAACCGGTGAACCCCCACAGTGGAGACACCGGGGAGCACGGAAGTCTCTTTCTAGCGCCGTGACGTCGTCCGCCGTGAGTGGGTCTCTCGAACGCCGAACGCAACACATGTGGATCTGCACCCGTCATGGGCGGCGGCATTCACCGGACCCACAGAAATGCGATGTCTGGCAGGGATTGTTACTTTGGCTTTGGGGATGCGGCTCCTCGCTGGGATGGCGAGTCAGGTTTACCTATCTGGGTGAGTGGGCGGACGGTGGGGTTGGAGTGTTGGGCAAAGTGTTGACGTCGTGTGATGGGTTGTGTTTTGTGGGTTTGGAGGGGATGGCTGGTTTTTTTGGTTGTGCGAAGGTGTTGGGTCTTTGGCTTTTGTTGGTTGAGGACTTGCTGTTTGGCTTTGAAGTCTAAGTATGAATTGACAAAACTGCAGAAACAGTGTCTGTTGGATATTCGTGGTTGGTAGTTGCATGTGTACGAGTTCTTGCTTGGGCTTTTGAACGCTGTTTTTGCGAAATAACAAACCCTGTTCTTGCTGGGAAACAGACCGTTCTGCGTTGTTTCCATGTGTACAACGTTGTCTTGTTGAGTCTTTGGTTAGATTCTGACATTCGTCTGCAGTACTTCATCGGTTGAAAAGCCTCGAAAAGTTCACTGCCTCGCTGGTCATAATTCTTCGCCACGACTATGAGCTTTCGTACTTCGTGGAGTGTAGAAAGATAGGGCGCGTGCCAGTTGAGTCAAGATACAAAGCTATGAGGCTGGTCAAGCGCTGATGGCCCTTCTTCTTTTCAGACATTCCTCGTTAGAAGACGACAGGTGTCGTTATTTTCGCCTTTGTCTTTGACTTCTACAATTTGCTCAATGAGATGGTCTACTAACACCTCATGTTGACTGTCTTCTGCTAAGAGTATGAGTCGCTGACTCTGCGGATGTTCTCTTCGAATGGAAGGGCTCTGTACAAAATACGTGGCAACTTTCATATTTTCCTGAGGTGATGCATATTCGAAGTATTTAGATGGACGTACGAAGATAGACCCATCATCGAAGTAGGCACCGCTCGCAAACTTGTTGCGTTTAGGTGATGTGAAAAGATCACACAAGTTCACAAAGTCCTTAGGTACCTGGCACATCTTAGAGCGACTGCTGTAGATCTTTACCAGATCGTCAAAGTTCTGTCGCATTGAGCACTTCTTCATGCTCGACTCTGGAAGTTCCAAATGATGAACAGCTCTGTTTGTGTGTAATTCTCTGCCGTCCAATCTTTGCGCATTGCTATACGAGTTTCATGGTTCGCAAGCTGTTGAAGATATGCCGCAAGTGCAGACGCTTCAAGACTGCGCGACCACGATCACCAAGAAACGACGTGGCGCATCGAAGATGATCGGGAGAGGCGAGGAAATTGAAATGCACTCTACAAACGGTCGTTAGCTCTGTTGTGACGACTGGTCACATTACAGACTGCGCACACGGACCGAATGACTCTATACATCGAAAAGACATGTTTGACGAGACGCATCAAAGGTTGGTGGTGTGGCGGCTTTGGAGGATCCACGATGCATCTGCATCGCGAAATTAGGCGCACGGGCAGCCACTTCGATCTTCACGTCTTAATTTCACTTCATCTCCTATCACACACCCGAAAACTGGTTCTCTCTCTTGCGCACTTCGTTCTGCTCAGTATGTCGCCATATGGCAGGGATTTGGGTACGTGTTGTCTACAGCTAATGCGATAATTCATCACGAGAGCATACACGTATGAACGAGGTACTATAACTAATATTGCCTTCAACCGTTTATCGTCACAAACATGTCTACGAAGAGCGATGGACTCGTTCAGCACACTGAGCATTATATCCAGAAAGAATGCTTCAAAGTAAGGCAGGCTTTCTTATCGAGTGCTTGCACCCAAAGACTGGCTCGTCCGTTTGTTTCTGTTTCCACCAACGTCTAGCCTTCATATCAACGCCTAAGCACCAAAGAATTTTCAAAAGAGCGATCCGGACGCTGCTTGAAAACATTCTTATCGCATATTGTTGCCGCGTGCTACAAAAACTCGGCACAGAGACCTGTATGCTCATTCCTCTCCGTTGAGCGAAGCAGCGATTGCATCCGTGAGGAAGAAAAAAGCCAGGAAGTCTTGATTGGCGACGATGGCCGACACGTGGAGTGGCTGGAGTACTTCTAGAAAGTCAACACGACTATCACAGCCTCGGATTGATTCCTGACACGATCCGGCAACATGCTCTCGGACCAAGTTTTGGGCTAGGAGGCATTGACCTTGTCCACAATACTATCAATGGCCATCGATCGGGTAGATGGTGTCGTTGGTGTTGGTGGGGCCTTTGCCTCAGCCTTTGGTGGTGCAGGCTCTCGCAAGGCATGATGATGGGTCTGAATCGAGGGCACGCTGATCACCTCGCCCATGTTAAGCCCGTCTGAATCCCCGTGGAATTCATCTACTTCTCTTAACCAACTCGCCTTTAACACGTCCATCGGAGGATCTAAATCGCCAGGTTTCCCGCCACGTCGAGCCTCTGCAGCCGTCATCTTCCTCTCGCCGCGCTTATGTGGATGGAAATGCATACGTCGGAGGTGACTTGCGGCGTTGTAGCATTCATTGTACTTCTTGCCCGTCTGACAGGCTTTGCAGTTTGCAAGGAAGGACTTGTCAGGCGAAGTGTCAATGGTTACCCAGACCTTGCGGGCTTTTCTGTGGACGCGGTTTGTATGACGTCGTAGCTCATGTTCACTGCGGAATCCATCGGGATACTCGTTACAGAGTGGACACTTCAACCGTAACACTCTGCGGGATTGATTCTTGGATGTTCCTGGAAACGTAGGTGACGTGGATGGTGTGGTGTTGTTGAGCGAAGCTGTCACGATGGTTTCCTTGGACGATGACACCGGCTCAGCCGGTTCGCTAGTTTGGATTGCCGCTATGGTGCTGACGGACGCTTCTTCTTTCATTCTGGTTCTTGATCGAGTTGGAGGCATAAACTCTTGATGATTATTGAGAATCCTCAGCAAGGCTGCTGATGAAGAGCGATGGCCTTGCTCGTTCCCAGCGCAACGGACTCGGATGTTGTTTTTCTCCCTTTGGGTGGGGCGATTGCGGTTGTTCTAACGGCGACTAATTCTGACGAAAATAGACAAGGATGAAAGTCACGTCGAGTTGTTTGGACTTTTTGTGGAAATCTTGGTCGATCTGGGGGAGCGCGCGGGGACCGAGCGGAGCAAAATATCCTTCTGCCTGACATCCCGATTTTGGCTGGGCCATGTGGAGCGCGCACGAGGCTGAGTTGAAGCGCGGCGTCAGCCTCGCTTTGGCCATCTGAGTGGGTGGTTCGACATGCAGCCACCACCGTAAGCGGCCTGCTGTTCGCCTATTGGATCTTCAGCCTCAGCCTGAACGACATCTCTCGAGTCCGAGGCGAATCAGGAAGGGCGACGCAGGCAGGGCCCTCGGCCGGGTTGGCCAGAGACTTGAAAGCGAATGGAGATCACACAACCCTGCTTCGCATCAGCCTCGGATCATTTTGCGGTCAAATACGAACATACGAACAACTATAAATTCACAAGAGCAAGGCTTGCTCACTGGTGAGACTACATTGTCGTCGTCATTACCGCTCGGTCGTGCTTTCGCTACGACATGCCTCTCGTCTAATTGCTTGGTAGCTTTTCAGCCATGGAACGATATCATCACACTAGAGCTGCATCTTGACTCTAGCAAGCACGCATCAAATGAATCCAGTGGACAAGCAACGCCATCGACGCCATTGCCATTTTCATGTTCACTTTTTTTGCTTTCCATCATTTCTAGCCTCGCGGCCAGTTAGGCGGATCATCCGTCTCCCGCAGAGCCGAGCGCAAGACCGCACCGGCGTTCGGAAGACTTGTTTATCTCATTACACAGTACGGTGAGCCGCCAAACGTAAGCCAATTGGTGCTTCTCCATGCAGTGGGTTCAGCTTTGAACCAGTAGCCTGCATCTAGGAAGACCTCGCATTCAGAATCTCATTGGCAAAGGTGTTATCTTAATCCCTCTCATCCGAATTTCTCTAGGTCTCAACGTTATTGTCTGTCGATGCGTCGCAATACGAACACGTAAACCAAGGATTCTGGGACACTAACGACGGGCTTCGCCTTGCCAACATCAATCTAGGCCAGCAATTCGTTCCAGCACACGAGATGTGGGCAATGGGCACAAGATCGGTCAGCCTTTCATGCACCAAGGCTGACGGCAAGCTGCCACGAAACCTTGTCCAACATCTTGGTGGAGTTCCGTCATCTCTGTTAGAACGCCATGACGGGGAGGCGTCACATCTACCTCTACCATCGCGCATTCAATAACAATCTCGTCTTGAAAGCTCCAATGAACTTCCGACGCACTCACCTGTCCTTCACGATGTTACTTTGGGAGCCTGAGCTCGAGGCCACCAGTCGTGGCACAGTCTGCAAGGCGAATGATGCGCTTATTCATTCGTATAAGCCCTTGACCTGCAAAGGAAAGAATCGGTGTTTCAGGCTTGCTTACGCCTTACCTCTTCAATGCACTCGCATCCTTTGCCTGGTTTGGGCTGGCTCACTCATGTTGTAGTTGCGTCTACGAGGCGGAATCACACTAACGTAACTAGAAATGATCTTTGAGTATGTCTATTGGATTTACCCTCGGCTTAGAAGGTTGACCGCCTTGTTATTCAGCATGATGCCTTAATGCAGCGTATTCTTAGAGAGGATTCATCACGCCATCAATCTTGTTTGCACGACTACTAGGTGCTGTGCAACATTAATCACATTGAAAAGTTCCTTGATCAATACTTCATCGTCTAGGCTCTACATCGAACAAACATCTGGTCTCTTGGGTTAGTACCACAAGTGGCTGGAGCATACCCGGGAGACTGGTCTCAATCATGGAAGGATAGCTCCTCCGTCTTCGAAGACGCCTTGATGTATTTCATACGACTGCTTCTGAAGGCATCGATCGGATCGAAACCCTTCGCCTCGTTCATACTCGCAATCGGTCGGACCAGACACAAGTGGACCCTTGCAGTCAGCTGCAGGCTAATCTCTTCGTCCCCCGCCTGAAGGCCTGGAAACCCTCGTGCGTTTGGCATTGGGTCCATAAGCGCGCACAGAAGAGCAAAGAAGAAGAGCCGGAGTTGTGACATTAAAGGTGGGGTTGAGGCGCCCAGTCACATTCAATCCCGCCCACCCCAACTCACAGCTTGCCATACCTACAGCTGTGGATTCCGATACAGAACCCTCCCTTTAGCGTTGAAGATGTGTTAGTCTTACTGTAGAGATTCACTCGCTTGGGAGACGTTAGAACCGTGGTGGGTATCTGGAGGGACATATTACCACAGCTCACGGAAACCTACGGACAGTAGTGTCCCTCAGTTCAGCCCTTCGGACGCGATGCAAAAGATCACTGAGGTAGCACGATTCACGGATATTCCAGTTCATTTACGTCATTACGAAGCCTGTCAGGAGCACAATGACGAGCGATCACAAATGATGTGCACATCGCAAAAACGTACCAACATTCGCTCACATTCCGAGTGAATATTGGCACAGCGTTTGATGGTGTTGCCTGTCATCACATGGTTTAGTCCTCGCCGCTGTCACTGCCACACGTACCAGGTATCCTTCAGTTTGGTCAGATTCCTCAGTTGGCCAACCAACAAAACGGCATAATAAGCTATACAAGGTATCTGATAGATAACACAAGGTGAGGAAAGGCTGGAGCCAGCGCAAAACGTACAACCCGAATATCGAGGACATCACCACGCGTTGACAGAGGAGAGTAGACGCAAACAGCCGGAAGTATGACTGAACTAAGGGTTGCCTTTGTTGATGAGCGGCCAAGTCGTTTTGCATCGCATGCCACACACACATTCCAGGCCCATGATGAATATCATACAACGCATTCTCGGTGATTCAAGGATGGATAGCGGGATCAACAAACATTCCTTCCGTCAAAGTTGAGGGACGTCCATCTGTATCTCCTCTCTTGCTTCTCTCATTTTCGACGTTTGGATCACTGTTTAGCTAGGCACGTTCTAACATTTCTATAAAGTCATTGATACGTGTATCTTTGTCAGACTTCTTGATTGCTCTTCTCAGCTGCAGTACTCCGGCCACATTGACATTGCTTCCATACATCACTATGAAAGGTCTGCTTACCTTCTTGACCCTGCAGAGTCTTACTACTGCATACGTCAACTTCGAGGACTGGCTCCCTCCGACAACGGACGATCTACGCTCACCTTGTCCGGCCCTCAACGCTCTTGCGAATCACGGCCTTCTTCCCCGTGACGGCCGCATGCTCACTGTGCCGCTACTTGTCGAAACATTGGGCGTGGCGCTGAATTTCTCAGCTGAGACGGCAACCGTGCGTGCCTTGGATGGGATCAAAACGACATCGGATCCCGCCAGTGGGGCCTTCACCCTCGGCGATTTGAACAAGCATGGTATCATTGAGCACGATGGTAGCCTATCAAGGAAGGACAATTATCTTGCTGGCGAAGCGCAAGTCTTCTGCCCAAGCATATTTGCGGAGACTTTGAGCTTCTTCAAAGGCGCTACTAATGTCGGTTTCGAGGAAATAGCTGCGGCGCGCTGGTAATCTTCATTCTCTCGTACGTGTAGTAATGACCTGACCGTTGATCAGGGGTCGCATACAAGCCTCCAAAGCCGCAAACCCCCAGTTTGCGTACAATACAACTGCACAACGCTCGTCATATTCCGAGTCTGCTGCGTACTTTCAGGTCCTGAAGGACCCTTCGACTAACAAGGCGTCGGTGGAGTGGATCAAGATTTTCTTTAGTAGGTTCAATCTGCATATGGAGGGTCTTTACTAAAGGATTGGAAAGGCGAGGAGCGTTTACCATACAAAGAGGGATGGCGCCCAACGAACCCCATCGACGGGAAGTCTTTTCTCACAGACGTTTTGCAAATTGCAATGCACACCCCGGAGAGGGCGCCTGGAGTCAGTAACGCGACGTCCTGGGCATCACATAGCGATGTGTAGATGGGTGGGTTCGGGGAATCATTGAAGAAGACAAAGCAGTCCTGGATTACATAGATGACTGCTTGGAGGGAAGGGACCTACCCACGGCAGCCGGTAGATATGAATATTAGACAGCTTCTCATCTGCACTGATAACCTTATGCTTCCATATTCAATAGTAAGTACCAGGCATGGAATTGCATTGCTTTCCAAATCCGAAGCACCGCAACTGAGTTGGAGCTCGAGGCGCTTGGACCAGGCGTTGACGTAGGGGGAAGGCACGATCCGGTATGAGGCTTCCAACAATCAACACTGAAGGTGCTGTCACGCGCCCCGAGCAAACCACTACCCCATAGTCGTCGCCACACCCGTTTCTACGCTTGACCGAGTCTCCCTGCGCCGCGCAGCATCACCTTCGCCATGCGACCCCGTCGGCGTTCGAGATAGCACAGAAGCTCGAGACCATGTCCGCGCCGCGCAGTGATGGCCACCCTTCGACGTCCTCGGAGCCCTCGGTGACATCGTCACACACGCTGCATTCACGGACCTCGGCGACGTATGTGGATAATGGCGAGGGCTCATCGCAGCGGCTGAGCGAAGATTCGATCGACGTACATGACTTTGCCCATCGCAAGCCGCGAGCTCGGCGGTCTGGGGGATTCCTTTTGGATTCGGACTTTGGTGGTGGACCTCGAACCCGGGGTGTTCAGCCTCATGCGTATATAGAGGACAAGAAAGGCACACGTAGCTCGCGGCATGTGTCTGGAAACGATGGACAAGTTGACATCCGCAAGAGAGAGAAGCTCTCGTCTGCCAGCTCAAACATGCTGCGAGACAATCACAGAGAGAGACGGGACGCCACTAGTGGGGTATCTCGCGTGGATTCGAACGACTCGCAAGAGCAGGATCACGGCCCGCTTCGCGTCGAGAAGCTTAGGGGCGGTTTGCGCGTGATGCCCTCGACGTCCCACGACAGGGCACCTTCGCCCAATGCACCGCAACGGCAGGCAATCGACCCGAACCAGCTCGTACATATGGCCTTGAACTTGAGCGAGAGCAGGAGGCGAAACCTCAGTTCCGGGCAGCTCCTGGCCTCGCAGTCCAGAGCCTTGTCGGGGGCTCCGCGAGAGGGCAGCTTTTCGAACAATGGTGCTGGCGGCAGTCTGCGCCAGTATCTCAACGAGCAGCGACGAGTCTCGCGCAACATTTCTCCCATGGGCGGCACTACCTCGTCCTCTCGCCACATGTCCACGTCTATACAACGAAGTGGATCAATGGCCTTTCCGGGCTCCCAGTCATTCAACCCCTCGGCTGCGACGCTCGCTCGACGAGACAAAGCTCGTGCATATATCGAGCTCCGAATCGAGTATTTACGGCTGCTGGATTATCTGCCACCACTCAAATCAGACGCGAGCGCACCAGGCAATTTCTTCGTCTCTTCCAACAGCGTCCCAGGAAGTCCTCATGCCCAACTCACCCGCGTCCCGTCATATGCCAACAAACAGCAAGAACTTGGCCGACCTTACAATCCTCTACAGTATATCCGCAATCGAAGGTGCAGAGCCCGCGAACGGCGAATGCTCGTTCATGCTTCCGAAGAATTTGGCGATATCGATCATGTTCGCGACTGGGTGGACCGTGTCGAGCAGCAATCGGCACATTTTGGCTATCGACAAGCGGATGGAGTATCATTGCCCAAGTTGCATTCCAATCACGAAACAGCATTAAGCCCAAGCAAACCTTCCAAGGCACCCACGGGCTGGGTCTGCACTCCCGAAGATCTACTTGCAGATGCGCATTGGCTCGAGCAAGGCGACAACAAGATGGTTATTGAGGATCGCCATGGTCGTAGCGTTTTCAGGGCAAAGGAAATACAGAAGCAGGACCACCTCCAACCACGTCCCAGCAAAGACTACTCAGAGAAGCGGAGGAGAAGCTGGGTGGATATACCTGGCGCCACAACTGATCCTACGACTGGCGATGAGAGTGAAAGAGGCAGTGAACGTGGTCGTAAGCGCAGGCTTCTTCCTGCAATTCGCACCGATAGCTCGAGGAGGAGATATGGCAGAAGCCCAGGATATCACTCTGATCACAATTCCGACTCTTCAGACTCGGACACCGATACTAGCAAGCGCAAGCCTTTTGGGATCATCGACGCTGAACACAACACTGGTCCACTTGCGTTACAGATAAGGAACCTCTTAGAACAACAAGCCAAGGTGTCTTACACACAATCACCGGCTGTGATAACGCCCGATACACCCAACAAGTGGGGAACATACAATTCCGATGTGCATATCAGTAGAGCTTCGAAAGAGTCCCTGGAAGTTCCACGCTTCTCGATCGATTCTGCAAACCCGGATGATCACGGTACTTTCAAAATACCACCCATCCCCCGAAGACAAGGAACCTTTTCGATCGACTCTTTAGAACCCCGATCGTCTTTTGAAGACCTGGACAGCACTGCACCAAACACTCCGCTTCATGCAAAGTTTTTCCCTCATATCGGATCCGATCTTTCGCCACCACCTAGTCGAGCAGGGTCTGAGCATAAGAAATCCAAGCGAAGCAAGCTCAACATATTCCATTCGCATGAGGCCGACCAGAACCGCAAGCACGAACACAATCCCGAAACGCGCTCTTCTGGCTCATACAAAAAGCATAGCTCTCGGCAGCCCAGCGAAGAGCTTCATGACGGAAGCGGTATTGGAACGGCCATCATGGCTGCTCCAGGTGCTGTAAAGTCACTGCTCACCTCCCGCAAGAACGACAGTGTTAGTAGTCTGACCAGCCCTGTCAAATTGAACCGTAAAGATACTCTAGAGTTTCGGGAGCCCCACTCTGCTGTGACGAGGTTTCTCAAGGGCGTGAAGCATGAAGGATCGAAAGTCGGCGAGTTTATCTTCAGAAAAGACCGGCAGGACGATTCGGACGCAGAAACAGTCTCTGAGCGCAATAGCGTTGATTTAAGTACTGATGTCTCTCTCAATAGTACGCGGGCCGATCGACCAGTAATGCCTCGCATGCTCACGTCGAATACTGCGGGAAGCACGACTTCCAAGAAAAACGGGCGTTATCATCTCGAACTTCCCTCGTTCCGCCCTGCGCACGAGATTCAGACTGACGAAGACACGTCAGACCTGGAGCATCACATCTCGCGCCAGGCCCGAGAACGGAAGAAGGATCGGTCTCCTCGCTTTGATCGACTCGCACCACCTCGGATGGATATAGAAACTGCGTCAATCGTCTCAACTGGAAGCAACGCTAGTCTGAGGCGTAATAGTACTCAAGGTCACATGAAAAAAGCGCTCACTCGCCCTGGGGGAGCTGGCCTAGCTCTTTCGCTAAGAGACTCGTACTCTTCGAATCGGAAACGAAGCACCTCCAGGCCAACCCTTGACGGCCGGCGCCACTGGAGCATTACTGACGACGATTCGCACGTCCTCCGTCGTAAGACCGACGCCAATGTAGTCACGCAAGCAGACATCGTCCGTGTTCGCGCCTTGTTCCTCTGCTCCGGCGTCAAAGCAAAAGAGATATCCTTCCGCGCACACACGCCCAGCCCGAAGACACCCGCATTCCTTACCCGCGCTGCAGCCACAGCGAAGCGGGACCTCGTCACCGTCCCCAAGGCTGAAGAACACGTTCTCGCCGCTCGCATACTCCTGCAAGACCTCGAGGCCTCCACTGACACGCTTAGCAACTTCACAAAGACTTTCCGCGACGCTACCATTAAAGACCTCACTAATCTTGTCGCGGACTTGACAAGCCGTGTCGAAGTTGATTTGATGCCCCGCATCCTCGACGGCGGCGACAGCGCTGTGCGCGTGGTAAGTGAGGTTTCGGGCCAGGGCCCGCTACAAGTCAAACAGATCACGGACGATATCGATCACATGTTGCGGACAAGACGGCGCAGGATGAAGTGGATCAGGAGCTTTGGATGGATGTTGGTAGAATGGGCGCTTGTGGGTGCTATGTGGTGGTTATGGCTTGTTGTCGTACTCGTGGGGTTTGTGAAGAGGATTGTCGGTGTGGGGTGGGGGTTTATGAGGTGGCTGTTGTGGCTTTAGAGAGGGAGCTCTTGATTTCGATGTTTTCTTTTGTTGACTTGACTTGGTGTTGCATTGGTTGGCGTACTTTTCTTTGTCGGCATTCTATTTGGAGTTCTGGGTTTGGGATTGAAGAATTGGGACTTAGTTGGTGTGTGAGGGGATTTGATACCACGGGTAAACTGGACTTGTTAAATACACCTTGAGACTTATACCTTGTAATACACGAATGAGATTTATATCACTTTGATTTGCTATGCATAGTTGAGTCTGGACATCATCGTTTCATACATGTGTATTTCTATCATGTTGCGAGCCTGAAGGATGTTAGCCCCATAGATTGAACCCAAGGCAGGCGAGATAGCAACTTCGCGTCAAGCTGCAAAATATGTGTAGAAGATTTGATAGTGCTGAAAGACGCGTCATTGTAAGACTCAGCCCCACATTTAGAAGCTTTTTTTCTTTTTCTCAAAAGAACGAGGTAACCTGTTCATGTGTCATATTGAGGAGTGTTGAGGATGACTTTGCAACACGGACCTTGCTTGTTCGCGTTGAGAACGCGCCTAAGCCATACGTCATGTTCACATCGTCCACGGAGCGTTCTCAACAATAGGCTGACACAGAAACCTGTAGTCGCGAATGCAGAGTTCTTCTTAGCTCTGATTATTCCTCTTACCTAGCGTCTAACTCTCAGGCCTGTATGATTTTCTGCTGATCACTCTGTTCCCTCCCAGCCTCTAGGCACCCGCATCAGGATGGATTTCCAGACCGTGTTTGTTGCCAAAGGCAACAGTTCCAGTAATGGCCAGTCGGTATGTACTCAATGAGATGCGGAATTCAGGATCATCACATGTTTAATGGCTTACTTTGTGAAGTCTACCAGCCCTTCATCATTTGGTGCGGTGGCAGCAGCTTTCATACCAAGCGCCACTACTGCGATGTTGTTTGTCGTGGCATTCACTCTCGTCAGGCATCGCTTTCCGAAGATCTACTTCCCGAGAGCATGCATTGGGACCATACCAGAGAAAGACCGTACGCCATCCCAGAGTAGATCGTACTGGGATTGGGTGCACACAATGAGAGTTGTGCCCGACAAGTTCATGCTCTACCACCAGTCGCTCGATTCGTACTTGTTCCTCCGTTTCCTGCGCACGTTGATCTTCATTTGCGTTGTTGGATGCTGTATCACCTGGCCCACGTTGTTGATAGTCAACGCCATGGGCGGAGGCTCGTCGTCAGAGCTGGACCGGATTTCGATTGGCAACATTCAAAAGAGCAACCTTCTGTATGCCCACGCGATTGTGGCTTGGGTGTTTTTCAGTTTCGTCATGTTTACCGTGGCACGGGAACGACTCTGGCTCATTGGACTACGACAGACATGGACTATGTCGAAGAAGAACGCAAACAGACTGTCATCACGCACTGTCCTCTTTCTCTCGGCACCGACAGCAACCCTTGACCAAAGCAACGTGCAACGATTCTTTGGGGAAGATGCTGTCAGAGTATGGCCAGCGACGAAATCTGACACGTTGACATCTCTTGTGTCTGCGAGGAATGCGAAAGTCGAAGAACTAGAATCAGCAGAGATGGCCCTTACTCGAAGCGTACTGGACAATGGAAAAGGCAAATTCGGTGCCCGGAATGCAAAGTACGATAATCTTCCAGGAGAGTTGAAGAAATCTTTACGCCCGACCCACATATTGAAGACGCCGCCTCCCGTGGGTAAAGATGTGGGCAAAAAGGTTGACAGTATTGATCGATTTCGAGAGCAGATCCTGGAGAAGGAGACCGAGATTGAGAAGGCGCGAGAGTCCAATGAAACGTCAGAAAGCCGAGGGGGTTCAGCAGCAGTCTTCGTCGAATTTCGTACCCAATCCGCTGCTCAACGAGCTTACCAACAGGTCGCGTCAGCCGACATCTTGTCTCTCACACCCCGATACACTGGAATCAAGCCCAGCGAAGTCATCTGGGAGAACCTTTCCTTGGTACCAGCACGTCGCATACCGCAAGACGGACTCGCGCTTACACTCGTTATCGCCCTCATAATCTTCTGGTCTATCCCGGTTTCAATTGTGGGAGCGATATCGAACATTGAATATCTTGCCCAAAACTTCAAGATCCTGAGCTTCCTTAACAGCCTTCCGCCTTCGCTTATGAGCCTCTTGTCCGGCTTGGTCCCACCGCTGCTGCTTAGTGCGCTCAGCAAGTATGTGCCTAATATCTTCAGATGTGAGTACGGCCATATGATACCTTGAAAACAGTCGGGGCTGATTTGATACAGATATTTTCATCAAATTTGGAGAGCCCACCAAAACCACGGCTGAGCTCAAAGTACTGAAGTGGTATTATGTATTCCAAGTAGTGCAGGTCTTCCTTGTTACTACGCTTTCCTCGGGAGCTGCAGCAGTCGCATCCCAAATCGCGAAAGACCCAACTCAATTGCCCCAACTACTCGCGTCGCGTCTGCCCAAGGCAGCAAACTCATACCTCACTTACTTCGTCGTCCAAGGATTGACGAGTACATCGGATAACTTCCTCAACTACTCGGATGTTCTCTCGTACATCTTCTATGACAAGTTCTTTGACAAAACTCCGCGACAAAAGTACAACAGTTACATCACGTTGAGGGGCATGGCATGGGGCAAGCTATTTCCCAAATACGTAAACTTCGTCATCATCGGTATGTGAACTCCCAATACAGTCAAATAGGTCTCGACTAATCAGAACCAGCTATCGCATACTCATGTATTGCACCCCTCGTCCTCGGTTTCGCCGCAGTAGGTTTATGCTTTTTCTACATAAGCTACCGCTACATGCTGCTCTTCACTGTGCAGCCAAAGACGGATACGAAAGGACACTGCTACACGCTTGCTCTCCAACAGATACTTACTGGCGTTTACATCGCTGAGCTCGGCCTCATTGGGCTCTTCGGTCTGCACGAGGCGACTGGACCTTCCATTATGCTAGTCATTCTCCTCGTCCTGACGATTGTCTTCACCTACTCGACTAATCGCTACTTCGCGCCGCTTGAACAATACCTCCCAGCCGACACGGCCCTGACTTCCGACGACGACGACGAACAAGCTCCGCTCCTCTCCGCTGCAGAAGAAGGCGAGGCCGATGCTCTACGCAGCACAGAACACCAAATCCAGAGAATAAGCCGCCAGACTCGTGTCCCGACGCATGTTGTCTCTCCATTGGCGCGCTTCTTTGAGCCGCATGTGTTTGCGAGCCATACGGCGATGAAGGCATGGCTTCGCGACGGCGATTTCGACGAGGATGATGTGCCTGAGTATAGCGAGGAGGAGTTGAAGAAAGCCTACCTCAATCCTGCGTATACAAGCAAGACGCCAGTTGTTTGGCTAGCGAGAGATGCGTTGGGTGTCAGTAAGAGTGAGATTCGGGAGAACAACAACGCTGGGCTGGAGGCTAGTGATCAGGGTGCATGGATCGATGAAGAAGGCGAGTTGAAGTGGAGTGTGGATGATTTCGACGAGGTGCCGGTCTTCAAGAAGGGGGTCAGGTGGTAGAGGATAGGTGGGAACAGTTGGACTGTAACACATGTGTAAGCAAACAATAGGTCTGGGGAAGGCGTTTGGAAGGTTCTTTTTGCGGCTCGCTGGGTAGCCTCAAGTGACTACTATACAAGTCATGTTACAGATGATAAATGTATACAAGCATAAACTGCTATTGTGGAGTTACTCTGTCATGTTTTTCTATTCTGCACATTTTCGTCCCACATCCGATTCTTTGCCGAATGGATGACTCTCTACGTCTTCAGACTTCAGACTCTCCATCCCTGCTTGTCTAGATGAAGAGGATGATATTTACCTTGTACATGATTATGTAGAAGTCCTCCGATAACATGTACTAGCATGTGCTGATCACCCCGCCTGAAGCTACCCCGCCAACCGTCAACACCTCGATCCGACCCGAAGCTCTGCAACCCAGCTCCGACAATGCCACGACGACCATGACGGACGATGCCCAGCAGGCCGAGAGCTACTACTTCACCCACGAGCCGCCGCCGAAAGACCTTGGCACCAACACGACACTCGCGCGCGAGTTCATCCACCGCCATGCCGACGAGGGCCGACGCGTGGTGCTCGTCACCTCAGGCGGCACCACAGTCCCGCTAGAAACGCAGACAGTGCGCTACATCGACAACTTCTCGGCCGGCACGCGCGGCGCCACGAGCGCAGAGTACTTTCTGCAGAATGGCTACGCGGTCATCTTCCTGCACCGCCAGTTCTCGCTGCTGCCGTACTCGCGACACTACTCGCACAACACACGCTCGTTCCTGGACTACATGAAAGAAGAGGATGGGCGCGTGGTGGTCGACGAGCAGCACCAGGAGGAGATGCTGCGCGTGCTGCGGCAGTATGCTGAGGTGAAGCGCGAGAACAAGCTGCTCATCCTGTCCTACGTCACTATCACCGAGTACCTGTGGAATCTGCGCGAGGTGGCCAAGCTCATGCGTCCGCTGGGCCCGAAGGCGATTTTCTACCTCGCTGCCGCGGTGTCTGATTTCTTCGTCCCGCAGGACCGCATGGTCGAGCACAAGATTCAGTCCAACGAGGAGTTCCTGCAGGGCGCCGCGGACGCGGGGAATAGCAATGCGAAGACGCCCGCGGCGCGCACAGAAGGCAGGAGTCTGGTCATCGACCTAGAGCCCGTGCCCAAGTTCCTGCAGTCCCTCGTCGACGGCTGGGCGCCCGAGGCTATGATTGTGAGCTTCAAGCTGGAAACGGATCCGTCGATGCTGGTCAAGAAAGCGCAGTATTCGCTCAACAAGTACTCGCACCACCTCGTCATTGGCAACTTGCTGCTCACGCGCAAGTGGGAGGTTGTGTTTGTGTCTGCGCTCGATGGCGAGAAGTGGATTCGTGTGCCGCATGGTCGCAGGACGAAGAGCTTCACTGGTGTGCCGGCGCTGGTGGGCTCTGCTGATCTGTCTGCGAGGCAGGATGGGCTGGATGCTGGGGAGTCGGAGAAACGCGTCCTGCAGGGTGAGCCGGCGCTGGAGATTGAATCTGTTATTGTTCCTGAGATTCGCGAGATGCATAGTATACTTATAGAGAAGGCGCGGAAGAGAGCTGGGGGTCAGTAGCTTGTTGTGTGATGGACTGGGCTTGTGGGGAGGTGATGAGAGATGAATAGAAGGATGTGGAAATGGCAGATGAATAGAGATGTACATGTATTTTACTTCTGTTCGTTGGTGAATGTTGACGTTTGGGGAACATTACCATGTCCCGTCGTGCACCTGTTAGGCGATTCAATGGAGACGTAGAAGATGGATAGCCTCGACACCCAATGTGTCATGGCTACTTCTGACTTAGCATTGCCCAGTCTTGACGCATCAAGCTCTGCTGTGGTAAATTGGTTTGTTGGTAGAGAAGTATGAAATGATAGGGCTATTGTTGGAGGCCGATCAGCACTCTAAGTGTGCAGGGATGTTGAGTACAGAAAGTCGCCCACCTTCGTCATTCGCGGTAGGAGCCAAACGCCTGAGACTCACACACAAACACTCGCTCGACTGCGCGCCGCAATGCATGCCTGCTCCCACTACAGGCGCCCACACCCTGAGAGAGTCCCGCCCGACTGAACGTCGTCTCCGCTGCCGAGCTTGCCACACCGCTCTCTTCCTGGCCACCTCCACCTGGAGTCTTCCTTGCACTTGTTCGGACTTGCTCGGAGAGGCAACATAGCACCGCGATGAAGTACACCCTCTACGACCGCCTGCTGAAGCGGGAAGTCGGGCTGCAGCGCCGGACGTACACGGACATACGGGGCATCTACGGCGACCGGCAATGGGTCGAGGACATGGACATTGTCAACGAGCTGGAGGGGCACAACGGCTGTGTGAATGCGCTGAGGTAAGGCTGCCTCTTGCTGACGCGCCGGACATGGCGTCTGACTGTCTACAGCTGGTCGACGTCTGGCCGCCTGCTTGCGTCTGGCTCCGACGACCATCGCATCAACATACACTCGTACCACCCCGAGTCGTCGACGTCGCAGTTCAGCCTCACCACGTCCATCCTCACCGGCCACCGCTCCAACATCTTCTCCGTCAAGTTCATGCCCTACTCGAACGACCGCACCATCGTCTCTGCCACCGACGACGTGCGCATCTTCGACATTGAGCACTCGGGGCACTCGGCCCTTGCTTCTGGCAGCAGGTCACAGCCCGGCAGGCGACGCATAGGCATGGCCCTGGACGGCGTCACACTCACCGAGGGGGACACCAACGCGAAGCAGTTCCGCTGCCATACCGACACAGTGAAGCGAATCGTAACAGAAGACAACCCATTCTACTTCCTCACCTGCTCAAACGACGGCGACGTGCGACAGTGGGACGTCAGACAGCCCTCGAAGACATATCCGCTACGAGGAGACAGTCGCCTGCCGGACTGGGCGCGAGACACGGCTGCTGCGGACAATGTGCCCCCGCCGCTCATATCGTACAGTCGCTATGGCTTGGCTCTCAACACTGTCTCCTGCTCGCCGTCACAGCCGCACTACATTGCTCTTGGTGGCGCCCATCTGCACTGTTTCCTGCACGATCGCCGTATGCTGGGAAGAGACAAGAACAACGAACGGGGGTCGAGAATGTCGAGTCCTGGCAACTGGACCGACAACGACGATGAGTTGCTAGGCAAAGCTACACAATGCGTGAAGAAATTTGCGCCAAACGGCAAAAAGCACATGCGACGAAATGACGGGGGCCACATCACAGCATGCAAGATCAGTGACGCGCATCCGAACGAGCTTCTTGTGAGCTGGTCGCAAGATCACATTTATAGTTTCGATATGCTCCGAACACCAGACGCAAGTGAAGAAGTTGTAACGTCGAAGGTGTCGGCAGGAAGGTCTAATGACCGCGTAAAAGATAAGAACAGGAAGCGAAAGCACCCAAAGTCGAGCACAGTATCGCAAGAAGCTGCGGAACGAGCTGGCTCGCGACAGCGTACCGAAAGCTCGGATGAAGGGCTTGCTCTGAGAGTGACATACGGCAACGGCCAGAGTGAGGATATCCGAATCGAAGCACCAGCTGCAAACCGCATGTCACCAGAAGAATTGGCTGACCTGCAGTCGACGGAGCACTACCGCATTGCGAAGACGGCGGTGAGGATGAAGAAGCGCATTTTCGATATGGGTGATTATGGCGAGAGCGGACTGCAGTTAGCCTTCACGTCTATCGTGGGCTTTGCGAACTCGATTCTCTCGGATATGGATGAGATTGCACGATCATGGGGGTATCCGGTAGACCCCGATCCAGTCGATGTTGCTGTTCAGAACAAGCTCCGCGACAGCCGTGCGGCGTCTCGTCGCTTCGTACAGGCTGCTGGGACACTGTCCCGGGTGATGGGCGGGCAGCTACTCACTGGTTCAAATTCTACGTCGGACGCACTCATTGCACAGTACTTCGCTTCGATACAGCACGCCCCAAGAGAACGTGTTGACTCGATACCACGAAACGAACAATTCGGATATGACTTCCTCAAGGCGATTCTTTTATGGCTCGATAGTGGCCCGGGCGCGGTGGTGGAAGGATTCTCCAGTCGCAGTCACAACGATCGCCTTCCCATCCCATATGACTCGGACATGGATGCCATCGACGAGATCCTGATCCCGTACCTACTCGACCTGGCAAGCGACGATCCAATCGTCAACGTGGACGTGTCGAGATTCGAAACAGATAGTGCGAGGATTCTCTACCCCACCGAGAAGGCTGCCGTTATCGCCTTTTCACACGCCCTCAAAGTTCCATTCCTTGACTTGACTGGCGTAGACGATTCCTCCCCGAGAGACAGATCTACGCAGTATGATGTGCAGAACCGCAACACGGCGAAGATGCAATGGGCTTTTCAGGTTGGGAGGGGCGTGCTGCTTAATGCTGCAACGGATGTCAAATTCTCGTTTGTGGATCGCGCGTTTGGTGGACGTGGAATTTCTGACGCTAGTATCAGGGCGGAAGAGCAGGCGTTCATGCAGCAACAGGAGGATATAGATCCGCTGGCGGAGGAAGAATCAGTTGTGGAGGCGGAGTTTGTCCGTGGGGGTAGGGCTCGAGAGAGCGGTGGACAAGCGGAGGAGTCGTCAAGTTGGTCTACAGTGGCTGAGTCGAGTCGGGGTGGAGGTGCGACGGTTGCAAGCGACGAAGAGTCTGAAGATGATGAAGAAGACGAAGATGATGACGACGAAGAAGATAGTGATGGCGACGAGGAGACTTCCGACAGAGAGCACGACTCTGACGACTCAGACTCCGACGGCCTTGAAAGCGAGCGCATGTTGTGGCGCTCAGATTTTGGCCGCAGCAGCCAGAGAGAAAAAGTAGAGTTGGACATACCATGTGCACCTCACACACTTGTGTACAGAGGACACTGCAACGTCAAGACTGTCAAGGACGTCAACTACTTTGGCCTGCAGGATGAGTATGTGGTAAGTGGGAGCGACTCGGGACACGTTTTCATCTGGGACCGTAAGACAGCACAGCTCGTCAACATCCTCGAAGGCGATGGCGAAGTAGTCAACGTTGTACAAGGTAAGTCGATCGAAAGTATTCACTCCATTTTTTCTCATCTCCCTACAGGTCACCCGTACGAACCTACCATGGCCGTCTCCGGCATCGACCACACGATCAAGATTTTCTCCCCCGATGCGCGCGACCAGCGCAATGCACGAAAAGGCGTGGGTGTCCAGTTCGCCGATCCACAGGCATTCTCTAGCCTCAGCTTCGGCCGCAGCAGGCGCGCTCAATCTGCTACCCAACCCACGACTGGTGACGAAGATGGCAGCGATGTCGACAGTGACGATGAGGTTGCACTCAACGGGCTGCGGAGTCGCAAGAGAATGCATCAGGCGTACCAGATTACGAGCCAGAATGATATGGATCGCAAGGGGGGGCCGGAGGATTACTTCATCTCGGTAGGTGGATTGCTGATGTGTGGAGATGATTGTGTGCTGACGTTTGTGTGTAGCAAGCAGTTTTTGCGCAGCTTGCGAGGCATCTTGCGGCACAGCAGGCTGCTGGTGGAGGGGACGAGGGTGGCGAGGGACCGATTGTTGTCAATGAAGATAACTGCGCGATTATGTGAGGTTGGGTCTGTGAGTTATGGTGGATGTATCTATGCATTGAAAGTGGAAGCTTGTACATGTACAGATTGGATCAGTCAATTGTACGCACAATCGCATATGCTCGCATTCTATCATGTTCTAACTCCCTCCCCCCTTTTTCCTAATTCTCCCATGTCACAAAAAGCAACGCCCATACATGCATACCCCTATCCCAAGCCCTGTATTCCGAAGCATGTCGTGTGTCGCGTCGCCTACGAAGCCTTCTTGGCCTGGGCCTTGAGGGCCTTCTTCCGATTGCTGCGTATCATAACAACGGACAGGAAGCTGCCGACGAGGGTGGTGAAGAGGATGACCAGAATCACGGGGATGCGAATGGCCCAGACGCGGGGCAGGAAGAGGGAGTGGAGGAAGTGGTCGTCGTCGACAAAGGGCTGCGTCGTGTTAGCGGGTGTGTCGTGGTAGAGCGAGCTTGACGTACCATGAACAGTGTCCAGACGGAGTAGTAGACGAAGATGGCCGTGGCTGCGATGAGCATGCTGAGGCCTACAAGACGGTCGAGCTGCGCGTGTGGTTAGTCATGGTGTAAGGGGTGGATGGATGGATGGACGGGTGGAATGTACCATGGTGAATTAGCTGGTTCGGGGTAGTGAATGAGTGAATGCGATTGTCTCCCTGTCTGTCTGACTGTATCTCTGCGCCCGTGTAGTGTATCCGTCTGTCGCGAGGGAGACGTGGAGAGAAGGTGCCAAGAAGGGGGTGGTCGGCAGAATCGCGGGCCGTCCTCCGCTGCTGGGCTGCGTGAAGTCGCGCCAAGCTAGGTAAAGATTCCTGGACAGACTCTCTCGCGACATCATCCGCCATCACTGCACCCGACTCCCCCTTCGACACCCGCACACGCGCCGCAGTGAAACGTGTCGAGATGGACGTCGCGTCCGCTGTTCGCATTCCGTCGCCCGAGCCGTCGCCGTCGCCAGAAGCAGACGGGCAGCGCAAACGCGAGCACTCGCCGTACGATGCCGGCGGACCGGTGAAGCGCACGAGGAGGGATGAGGACCGAGACGAGGAGCCTCGGCGCGAGAGGGCGAGAGACGAGCGACCGCGCCGCGAGCGAGACACGGGACGACGGCCGCTGCCCAACAGCAAGCCGACCATGGACGACCTGCCCGACGACGACTCGCGCCTCAAGCTCTTCCAGAACGCCTTCAGCGCGACGCGCAAGCTGCCCATTGACGACGCCAAGACGCGCGCCGGTGGCGCTTATCTCCCGCCTGCCCGTCTGCGCGAGCTGCAGAAGCAGATTACCGACAAGCAGACGCCGGAGTTCCAGCGCATGGCGTGGGAGGCGCTGAAGAAGTCGATTCAGGGTCTGATCAACAAGACCAATACGGCCAATATCAAGATGATTGTGCCTGAGCTGTTCAGTGAGAATTTGGTCCGTGGTCGGGGGCTGTTTTGCCGCGCCATGATGAAGGCTCAGGCTGCCAGTCTGCCCTTTACTCCCATCTACGCCGCCATGGTCGCCATTGTCAACACCAAGCTGCCACAGGTGGGCGACCTGCTTGTCCGCCGCCTGGTTATCCAGTTTAGGAAGAGTTTCCGCAGAAACGACAAGGCCGTTTGCTTGGCGAGCACTATGTTCCTGTCGCATCTCGTCAACACGCAGGTCGTGCATGAGGTTCTGATTGCCGAGATCTTGCTGCTGCTGCTCAACAAGCCGTCGGACGACTCGGTCGAGATTGCCGTGGGCATCATGAAGGAGGTTGGCGCTTTCCTCGAGGAGATGAATGCCGCCATCTCAAACGCCATCTTCGACCAGATGCGCAACATCCTCCACGAGGCGGATATCGACAAGCGGACACAGTATATGATTGAGGTGCTGTTCGAGGTCAGGCGCACAAAGTACAAGGAGCACCCCTCGATCAAGGAGGACCTGGATCTCGTCGAGGAGGAGGACCAGATCACACACCGACACACACTGGAGGACGAGATCAAGGTCGAAGACGGTCTCAACATCTTCAAGTTCGACCCCGAGTACGAGGCACACGAGCAGGAATACCAGAAGATCCGAGCAGAGATTCTGGGCGAAGAGGAGGGCAGCGATGCAGACGATACAGACGCCTCGTCCGAGGATGAGGAGGACGAAGAAGACAAGGCCATGGACATCAAGGACCAGACCAATGCTGATCTGGTCAGTCTGCGCCGAACCATCTACCTCACTATCAAGAGTAGCGGAGGCTTCGAGGAATGTTGCCACAAGCTGATGCGCATTAACCTGCCTCACGGCTTGGAAAACGAGCTCACGACCATGATTGTCGAGTGCGCCAGCCAGGAGCGCACATACGAGAAGTTCTACGGCATGATCGGCGAGCGCTTTTGCAAAATCAACCGCATGTGGACCGACCTGTTCGAAGAAGGCTTCGCCCACTACTACGAGACCATCCACCGCTTTGAAACAAACCGCCTACGCATCATCGCGCAGTTCTTCGCCCACCTCCTCGCCTCAGACGCCATCGGCTGGCACGTCTTCCAGGTCGTCAAGCTCAACGAAGAAGACACAACGTCCAGCTCCCGCATCTTCATCAAGATCCTCTTCGAAGAGCTGCTCTCAGCCCTCAGCCAAAAGTCCGTCGTCGCCCGCTTCAAGGACGACATGTTGCAAGACAGCCTCGGGGGCATCTTCCCCACCGACGCAGACGCCCAGTCCAACACGCGCTTCTCCATCAACTTCTTCACCGCAATCGGCATGGGCGTCCTGACAGAGGGCATGCGCGACTGGCTCAAGAACAGCGCCCCCAAGCCAAAACCCCTCCCGGAGCCAGAAAGCGACGACGATAGTGTAGACTCCCGCTCAAGCTACTCTTCCTCCTCCGCATACTCCCGCTCCCGCTCCCGCTCCAGATCACACTCGAGATCCAGATCCCCCTCGCGCACCCCCGCCCGCAAGAGACGCGACTCCCGCTCCAGCTCCCGCGGCCGCTCCTACACACGCAGTCCCTCGTCCCGCGGCCGTAAACGTAGCGCCTCGTATAGCTCCTCGCGCTCACGCTCGCGCTCGCCGCCCACTCGCCGCAGGAGGTATACGTCTAGTTTGTCGCGCTCGCCGTCTCCGCCACCGAGGAGGAGGAGGGCGAGTTCGAGTCCACCGCCGCAGCGACGCGGGAGGGCGTCTGTGTCGCCCAAGGGGAAGGGGAAGGGGAAGGCGAGGAAGGCGAGTCGGAGTGTGAGTCGGAGTGTTAGTCGGAGTGGGAGTGAGAGTGGGAGGGAGAGGGAGAGGTCGCCGCCTGTGAGACGGAGGAGGGATTCTTAGATTGTGAAGGGTTGGGAGGGGGGTGGGATTGATGGGGGGGTGGTAGTTTTTTAGTATACTGTATGCGGAATTTAGCGTGGAGTTTTTCTTCTGAGTCTATTGGATTGTGAGGTTTGTGCTGCGGAAGGGGGGATTGGGTACCTGGCAGGGGGTCGTGAAACTACCTTGAAGAGCAATAATGGTCAATAACACCTTACAGCAGCGAGACAATCAACACGAGCCCAGATAATCGACTACAAAGAACGCCATGTTTTCAACATCAGCCATGCCGCTGTTTGCGGAAAACATCTGCGCCTTTGTTGGCCTGCCAAACAAAGACATGGCTCTCGAAGCTTCGCACTCTTAATCATTCCATGCCTTGCAATAACTTGCATCCAACTTATACTCGTCTCTGCTCCCTGGACAGTCACTGAGTTCGACCGCACCTTGCTTTTGTATGTTTGCGCCCACCGCTGAGCTTGTTAGCCGCTAATATCTACAGGTAGACATCTCCCCCCTTTGCTCTAATACACTCAACATGAACACACAGTACAAGAAGCGCGATCTGAACCACGAGCGCGAGAAGCAGTTCAATTACGGTGGTCCCAATAACGAACATGAGTACTGGCACGCGGATTTCCCTGCATCACTGCCCTTTCCGGAGACGATTCTGATGCAAGATTGGGAAAGCCGCAAGATCGATTACGACCTCTACTACTCGTCTGTTCCGGAGCCAAAGAAGCCTAATACTAATGTTGATGCCATCGTCCCACTTGGTTACGTGCTTCGAAACCGCGATGACGGGCACTATTTTGAGTCTGGTTCGCGCTTTAGACTCCCCGTTGTGGACACTGATGGGTTTGCGGCGATAAACGGGATTGGAACTCTTGAGAAGTTACGGAAGGTTGTTGATGACTTCAATCAGGGTAGCAAGAGCCAGAAGGCGATCAAGAATCATGGTTTGCGCGTGTTTCTGGAGAAATTCGAGATTGCTCCCACGGTCAACGAGGAGCATGGTGAGCCAGACGAGTGTTGGTATTTGGGGAGATGTAGCGCTAATCGCCCATACAGAAAGTCCTACCTCCATCCGTCAAGCTGTGAACACCACGCCTACCAAATCTCGGCCAGCTCGAGGCAGCATCAGCAAACACAGTACCACCCATTCGACGACTCAAGAAGTACTGGAGAAGCAGAACCCACCGAACAGCCCTACCAATATTTATAGCCCGGAACAAGCCCTCGAGACACCCAAACGCCCAAGTGCGACTGCTAGACGCATACAGCGCGTCGTCGCCGCGTCTTACGGCGTCGATCAAGACACCAACACTCCACTCCACATCACATCTCACTCAAAACGCAAGCGCACGTCAGACTCCGACTCCGACGCCGACTCCAACGAACACACTCCCAACCCCAAGGCCACGAAACTAATCGGTGAAAAGCATGCCGACCTCCTCCCCTCCCAAGGTCTTGATCCCGGGCCCCAGAGCTCGGCAACCGCCTTGGCGGCCTCGGAACTGCTCGTCAAGACAAAGACTCCTGCGCGTAGGACGGGGCGTAAGCGGGGCAAGAAGATCGCCAAGGAGGTTGTGGATTAGGCTGAGTGTCTACGGCATGTGCGGATAGAATGGGTGTGGTGCTAAAGAAAGGTGTAGTGAGGGCTGTGCAAACGAGTGGGGGCGGAAGTGGCGTTTGCACGTCTATGACTGTTTTCATAGGTGTTAGCGATAGATGGTTTTGCATCGTATTAATTGTCTGTTAAGCAGAGAGTATGTGGGTCGTTATTACATACGTGCGCGGCCCGCGAGTGTGCCTCCTCCACAGCATTCCTCACCATGCAGGCAGGCATCTGTAAGGGTGGAAGCGCAAGGGCGGAAGAAGGGAAGGGTTTGTCACACTACATTCACGATGATAGGCTCGGTAAGTGCGCGTACACTCTTTTGTATCTAGCTGCATCGTGTCTCAATATGGTTCTTGCTCAGCCCTGGTCGTGCTGGCTGCATGCACGCATTACATCTGCAGCCGTGTCTGGCGGCCCTTTTTATATTCAACACTCTATCTCTCTTCGCCTTTCATCGTCCTGTTTCGCTTCCCAAGTCCAATAATCTCTATGTTTTGCTTGTCTGGTACGTGAGCCTGCGCTTCGAAAGTCGAGTGAATGCCGACGGCGAATATGGCGCATTCGTCGTTCAAACGCCAGAACTTTTCGCCTTCGTGTCCGTCTGGAGGTACGTGGTGGGCCTGTGGATATGGGACGTAAGTCTGCGTTATACTGTGGCACTGTGGAGCTTTTCATCTAAAAGAGTTGTGTTGCAGTGTCGAATCGTTCTTCCAGTATCCTAACAACTTGCCCTCCAGATACTTCGTCGGGTGCTGCGCCAGAGATCCATGCGACATCACCTGTGCACAGGGGAACTTGTACCCGGGTGCGTTTGACCCAGCCGCGTATGGAACGTTCGCCGATGCTACGTGTGGGACGGGGAGTAAGGTATGTTCATATAATACCACTCAAGAAGCATGTCGAGATCCTGACCATTTCACAAGTTCTATACGTGTTCAGCTGGACTCACGTTTTGGGGCTGCTGCAAGACAAATGCATGTAGTCAGGGGAGTTGTCCGGATGGAGACCTTGAACCCGCGGTACTGAATAGAGAGGACTTGAGGAGTGCGTATCATGCTACTGGGGGATCGACCGTGACGACTTCGACGACCTCTCGGACTGCTTTGGCTACTGGAACTACGACCAGCACACATGCGGATGTGACATCGACTTCGAGCCCGAGCCCGAGCGCGTCCACTGCCGGGATAGGAGGAAGTCTGGAAAATAAACCGCCTGTTGCTGCCATCGCCGGCGGAGCTGCAGGCGGTGCATTTGTCCTAGCCGTCATCGTCGGCCTGTTAATATACTACGTCTGCCTAGCGAAGAAATCACGAAAGAATCACCAGGAGACAGTCGAGCGTCGTCTCTCGGGTCCCGGTCCTATAACAATTCCCAACATGAACCACGGGAACGCGAGTTTTGGAGTCCACTCACCCCACGATGGTACATTCCCTCACCCCCCCTCCCTAACCTTCACTAACCATCCCCAGCACCACCCGACTACACATCCCGAACCGCAACCTACACTTCACCATCCACACCGCAGTTCCAAACCTACAACCACATCCACCAACCCCACCTCCCCGAACCGCAGGAGCTCCCCGACGAGCCATTTTCATCCGGCTCCATCGCGCGGAAACCAGTCGTTGTGAGCCAGTTCTCCGAGCTCGAGGGCGAAATGGCAATTAGGTCGGAGCTCGACAGTCCCATGTCCTCGCCATCGGCTGCACAGATGAGCTACGCACAGCAGAGCCCACGACATGCGGTGTCTGATGGGAAGACGTGGTTGCCGCCTAAGGAGTGGCATGCGCGGACCGCGTCGCGCGAAAAATACGCTCGCGGCGTTGAGAGACAGGGGTGGAGTGATGGAGATGTGGGGGAATATAGCGCGGGTGGGGAGGCTCAACGGCGGCAGGAACAGTATAGGGGGTATCATGGGTTGTAGGAGGGCTAAGCTCGTTGTAATTGTGCTGATAAATTGATGGGAAATGACCATGTAATTTTGAAGCCAGGTATATTAATCCAATCCATCGACCCATGCATCCCGAAACGGAAATCATCGCGCTGATCTAACCTTCCATCATCGTTCCATCGACGACACCAACGTCTCTCACGCGTCAGGGTCCAGATTGTCTAGATTGTCGATTTCCCGTCCTGTCGGAAAACAGGATCCCCGCACCATCACAGTTGCACGACAGGGGTGGTCCACGCTGATGACGTACATCAGACGAGGGATGAGATATTTAAGTAAGAATATCTGGTCTTTGAACTGAGAAAGATCTAGACACACTCCTACTTGTTTTGTTCAAGCTTGTTCGCCTGTAAATTAAAGCCTACTTTTGAACCTTGTCTTTATCATCGCCCCCTGAAACTTCAACTTTAACTTGTAGTCGAGATCTCAATATGTCTGCAACAGCCGACCTCAAGAAGCAGAGCGCTGCGCTTCAATGTTAGCTTGCCTTCGTCAGCCTTGTATAGTTGTTCATACTGACATTCACCCTCTAGCCAGCGTGGGAGCTATATCAAACATCGCAACACAGCCCGCGAAGAAGACAGTCTCAACAGGCACCGCGAAGACCACACCAGCCACCGCCAAAGCTACACCGGTCAAGAAAACTGCAGCCCCAGTTGCCGATGCAGCGAGCTCGACTACGGCGCCAGTAAAGAAAGTACCGAAGAAGCTCACACCGGTAGCACCGAAACCGGTAGGGACGGCTGTTGGTGCGAAGAAAGCGGTTCCCGTGGCCTCGGAGAGTAAGCCTGTATCTTCTGCGACGCCCGTCAAGAAGACTCCCATCAGCGAGGCCTCGAAAAGCACAGCGACCAAGAAGGCGACGCCAGCAGCAGTCAAGAAAGACGTCACCCCAGCCGCGAAACCTGCAGGCACTCTCCCGAAGACGACACCCGCGAAGAGCGCGGTATCTCAAACGGCTTCTACTCCGGCAAAAGCCACCCCCGTCAAGAAAACACCGGCGAAGCTTGTCAACCCCGATGGTACCTATCCCACCCCTCCAGTGGTTAAAGCTCATCCCGCTTCAGGTCAAGCGGCCAAGAAACAGCCCAACGTTATCAACCGCGGCGTCAACGCGACTACAGGTGGATTGAACAAGACCGTGGGCGTAACAACCGGCACTCTGAACACTGTCGCCGACTCGGCGACCACAGGCCTGACTTCCACCGTCAATGGCGTAACGGGCGTGACTGGAGCCGGCCTCGACAAGCTACCACAGGGTGTTGGTAAGCCCGTAAAACATGTGACGGACAATGTGGGCAAGACGGTCACGGGCGCGACGGATAACGCGTACTATACTGCTGGAGCTGCGACGAAGGGCGTGCAAGGTACCATCAGCAAAACAACAGGCGCTATTGGCAAGGGTGATATCAAAGGCGCTGCGGCGGGAGCGAGCAGTGGTGTTGGTAAGTCTCCAATCGTTTCTGTTACTCAACAAATCGGAACTAACTCTCCATCCCAGGAAACACAGTCACAGGAGTCGGGAAAGGCGCAGCAGCCACAGTCGGTGGTGTAGTAGGCGGCGTCAGTGACACAATCGGCGGGCCAGTCGGCGGCGTCGTGGGCGGCGTCGGAAAAGGCGCAAGCAACGCAGTGACTGGAATTACCGGTGGACTAGGCGAGGGAGTCGGGAAACTTGGAAAGGGCGACGTGATTGGCGGTGTTGGAAGCACATTGGGAGGTGTAAGCAAAGGCGTTGGTGGACTCCTGGGTGGGATCGCGGGCTGGGGAGACGACGACGGGAAGAAATGAAGGGAACTCAAGGTTTTGCGGTGGATGCAAGACCTGGTTCTATACACGGACGAAGACGATGAGGTGTTGGGTTCAGATGTATGAATATAAATGTCCTGGGGTCCTGAGAGGTGAGTTTGGGCCTTGGATTTTGTCGGTAGCTATATCGTATTAAGAGGTCCGCGTAGAACACAGTTGGCTCAAGTGCCTGCCTTGGTTTGATTGCGATCCTAACCCGTGAATGGGCTAGGCCGTTCATGGCGTAGCCTTGAACGATAGCTGGGTTTAAAGGGCTAAGCTGTCTGAGCTCGCTGAGATGAAGAACAGTACTTGACACACACACTCAACACACAGCGGGTCTTGAATCAGCCGTCCTACTTGCAAATAAAAGCCACTCATGTATGCCTGTTGATTCAGATACACCGACGCCGTCTCCGTTACTTAGCTCGCACAACACTATGTCACTACTCCAACTTCCCCCCGAAATCCTAATTCAAATCTTCGATTATGTCGGCTCATCCTATTTCCGTTCGGATCTGTCACGCCTCACGGTCTGTAAGCAGTGGAGCAAATTCGCCCATACCGCGTGCTTTTGGGATTTTTACGTCACTCAAAAAACACTACGACGCTTGCTGTCTTTTCCGTATGTGGAATCAAGTCTGTCTCTCGTCAAAGACAGCGTGGAAACTCTGGACCTGCATTTGAAGGGCTTTGAAGACTGGGACTCTATTCCGCTGTCTCGACACGATTCGCAGGCCGTAAATGTCCTAAATGTATCAACCTGGAACGGCGCTCATGGACGCGCAGTGCGCGCAGCCTGGACAACGGAGTTGAATAACGATCTCCTCTATCTTGCCACCATCATCAAACAATCACGGAAACTGCGCATCCTACGCATCCAAGCCACTATTGAACTGCATCCGCTACTTCGTCTTCTAGAACGCCGCGACTACCTTTTTCTCTCCACAATACGTGCCTTCTTATCAACCAGCAACCTAAATAGTCTAGAGCTAGATCTGTGTGGTACTCGGCTTCTACCGCATCAAAGCCAAGAGCACCGTGAAGATTTCCATGTCTGCACGGGTATCGCCGCGCTTCTTACTACGCTACGACGTTTGCGACTGCGCATGCGCAGTATCTGTGCTGATGTTCTAAAACCTCGACAACATAGCACCAATCTACGTTTGAACGAGGTGCTCATCAACCTCAGTCTATCCAACGAGTCACCCCTAATCACTTCGGCGGCGCACGCCACATGTTGCGTTTCCCACACAGGGGGGTTCCTTCAACTGAAAGCGGGTATGGAGAAGCAGGCGCAAGTTCTTGTGGAACAGATGGCGGCCCCAAAGATAGTGAGGGTGTTGACGCATGCGCTTCCGAGTATTGAAATGCGGGCATTCGATGTCTTGATTGGCAGAAATGTCACATTGAGTGAGGGTGCGGAGTGGGATGATGACGGCGAGGCTATCGAGGACGAAGTATCGGACGAGGAGTCCGAGATTTCGGACCTTTCCTCAGACGACGATGGATAGCCACCAGTGGTATTCAGATGTTGACTTCCTGGAAATTTAAAACTCCGTGCTTCACGGAGTTTTTCATCACACTGCCCTAGTTCGATTCCATGAGGAAGGTGTTGGGGACCAGCGGAATGACATCGTTTCGAGACTACTATATAGCCTCTGCTTTCTCTGCTCCGCCTTGTTTGTAACAGTCTCCAAAACACCATGTGTGGATGTCGGAGTGTTCGATCAAAGCCTACGAGCTGCCGCACTGAGGGTGAAACCCTTAGGGCTTGCGCTTCCTCGTGAAGGGCACTGAGCAGCGGGTGGATACGAGTTCACAGCAACTGTACCTTAGCTCTGCGTATACCATGGTTATGGATGAGCTTTCCGTAGGCAGATACGCTGGGAAGGCATATCCGAACGGAATTAAAGACCTAGCAGATAATATAAAAGTGAGCTTTAGGGTAGGTGCAGAATCTTAACCAGAGATAAAACTACAGTGCGTTGCTTCTCGACAGACTTAAACTATGCGTTAGATACTACTTTCGCTAGTCTGCTAGTAAGAACAGACGTATTAAACTCTATAGTCTTGCTTGACATAGTACAAGGTATTGATTCAAATTCATCTGCATTGTTAACAACATTTTCTTACTCTATAACAGTTTTGGCGTGTTGCATGTTGCAGTTCTACGCCATATCCTCGGGGTTGCACGTCCCAGAGTGTTCATTGAGATTCTCGAGATACCCCGTTCCAAGAAACAAAGATCTTGTCAAGGAAACGTTGGATATACAGGATCATACTTCAACGAAACAAGCTAGGATATGTGTATCATCCCCTGCTTTTACACTGGTCTGAACCCTTACATCTCCTTCCCCAAAAACGTCAACGCAGCCACTACATACCCATCCACACCAACTGTTAATGTCGGCTGCAGAACAGGCGCAAAGAACGGGCTGTGATTTCCCGGCATCTCCTTCAGTTTGCCCTCACTCTCCGCTCTCTCATAAACCTCTGGATCAATCCCCCCATACAAGAAGAAACAACTCGGTTTTCCAATCGCCGTAGCCAGAATACCGAAATCCTCACTGCCCTGTAGCCTCGGAACATTACTGCTGTACCCATGCTTGCCGACTTCGAAGTGCTGTGAGAAGCTCTTCTCGAGCGCGCTAGTCACATCATCGTCGTTGAAGAGGAGGGGGAATCGCGTGGTTTGTGTAAGGGAGGGTTGGCTGGGGTTCGAGGACGCTTGGGCTTCGGCGGCGATGATCTTCTCCATGCTGGTGAGGATGCGGGTGCGGGTGTCGGGGAGAGCGGCGCGGACGTTGATTTTGAGGTCGGCGGACTCGGGGATGATGTTTTCTGCGTCGCCGGCGTGGATGGCGGAAACCGTCACCTGGGGTCACGAAATCAGTATATGGATTACTCTTGTGTCGGATGGATATAGAAGTGGGCTTACGACGGCAAAATCGAGGGGATCGACTTCGCGGGATACAATGGTTTGCAGGCGCATGATTGTTGATGCTGCTTGGACTATAGGGTCGATACCTTTGTACAGATGCTTGTCAGCTCGACGTCAGATGAGAGCTGAGCAATGCTTACCTCTATGCGGTGTCGAAGCATGAGCTTGTCGCCCCTCAATCCTCAACCTACTCCATGTCAGCCATCCCATCCCATCCCTCCAACCACATACCCAATCGACTCACTGGAAAGAATCCGCTGAACTCGCAATCAACCCCCGTTTCGTACCAATGACTCCAGACTTTTCAGGGACAACATGAGCTCCGACAACAACATCCGGCAAAGGCACTTTGTCATACAACCCACCATCAACCATACTCTGCGCTCCGCCCGCCTTCTCCTCCGCAGGCTGGAAGCAAAGAATCACCGTCCCACTCCAAGCATCCCTCACATTAGCCAGCGTCTCCCCAGCAGCAAGCAGAGCCGTGATATGCATATCATGGCCACACGCATGCATCACGGGTTTTTCATGACCTTCCAAGTCCTTCATGCGCGCTTTACTTGTATATGCGAGGCCAGTGCGTTCCTCCACGGGAAGAGCGTCGATATCAGCACGTAGGAGAACAGTCTTGCCAGGTCCATTTTTTAGCACGGCGGCGACTCCATGTCCGCCGATTGAGGAGTGGATGGTGTATGCGTTTAAGGTTCCGAGATGGGAGACTATGGCTTCTGCTGTGGCTTTTTCTTGAAATGAAAGCTCAGGATGTGCGTGAAAATATTTATCTGTGTAACGTTGGTATATGGAGAGGGTTTGGCTGTTTTTGGGTCAAGTGTAGTTGTAGTGGACTCACAGAGCTCTTCATACGGACCAAGACCCACTCGACGGTTAGATACCGTTTCGCTGATTGAAGGCATGTTTTTTTTGAATGCAATGTTCTAACTCAGGATGGAGAAATACAAGAAAAAGTGTTAGTTATTGAACCTTACATGTAGTACTTGATGCTGCTCCATGTATCCGTAGAGCAGTGCGCTTCTGACGTAACATCCAGGTGAGTGGGGTAAGCTTCTCGGTTGCCATCCGACGCAATTTGACAGCTACTATCAAGCAACGAGTTTTAGTTGAGAAAGCAAGGACTCTTCAGACGACAGCAAAGGTTTGAGCGATGTACAGGACACCACAGAATTCATGTCCGCACAATTGCATTTGATAAAAATACCAACCATCCTCCAAACCATTGCCATGCAGTATATTACTCAAAAGTGTACAAGCCCCAGACCACAATACACGCCAGTTTTGAGTTATGCAAACTAAAACATTAAATCCAAGCCTAACAAACAGCACAAACAATAAGGAGCCTGGGAACAGCACATACGAGGCGCAAGTGCATAACCCCCTATTCATTGTGCAAAGACATAGCCACATCAAGAGGCCGCCATGTCCTCGCTATCCTTCTCCAGTTGCCTTTCCAGGCTCCCCAGCAGATCCATTCCACTATCTGATGCTGGAGCAGAGGGGTTGTCCGCGGGGGCTACTTCGGTACTGTCGAGTTCAGATACAGGCTCGGGTGCCTGACCGGCCTCCGAAAGTACAGGGTAGTCTGAGGTCGCAGAAGCAGGAATTTGACTTGGAGAATTTTGTCTGCTATGACTTATGGTGGAGAGTGGTAGGTCTGGAGAGCTGGATGAGTCTTCTTCGATGACACGCTCTTCGGTCACGGCCAAAGATGTAGGCGGCGCGTGTGATTCACTCTCTGCAGGCAGCTGTGGTTTTTCTACAAGATCGGTTGTTGGGACTTCTGGGACAGCAGCGACATCCGACATAGTTCTGTCTGGCGTGTCGACTGGATGGATAACTGGCTCACTGACGGGCTCATTGACGGGCTCATTGATGGGATCGCTGGCCGGTGCGCTGATCGGTTTGGGAGGCGTCGTCGGTGCCGGTGTGTGGTCCATTTCATCGTCGTCTGACATCTCTTCCCCGGAACCTTCCTCTTCTTCTGCTCCACCCTCACCCATTGGCGTATCCCTGTCAGACATTTCCACGTCCTGTTTGACACCAGGAAGAGCGAGCATATCACTTCCCGCATGCGAGGTTGGTGTCCCTTGTTCTGCTGCTCCTTCGATGAAGACCACCTTTTTCTTTCCTCTGCCGGGTCCTGCGCGTTTCACCTTCTTTTTTGGTGGTGGTGGCCGTCTTCGCGGTGGCGTTTGCTGCATAATATCACTGGCGACTACTACACCTTCTGCATTCACAACGCCAACTCCCTCTACGATCGTTCCAGGTGCGGCAGCGATTGGGACGACTTCGATGGCATCATCCGTGGGCTGAACCTCGCCCTCTACGGCCTGGCCTTCTGGAACAAGGACCTTGAAGACGCTGACGTTCCCTTCCGCGTCTAGCTTCTTGACCTTGGTCTCCCTCATGGCTGGTTGCACCTGACCGTGCACGTACTGTGACGGGAGACCTTTCCTCCTCTTGGCAAGATACTCAGGCTCGGGTGCTTCGAGGTGTCGTGCAACTTTGATATATTTCTTGATAGTGAAGCCGGTCTGCACATCCTTGCTCTCCTCCTCTTCATCTTTCATCTCATTGTCATCTTCGGGTGGAGCCGGAGGCTTGTAAATCCGTCCAGATCGCGCCGCACGGAGTAGTTGTTGAGAATGATCCGGTAACATATGGGAATCCCGTGGCATAGGGAGTTCGGGCCAAGCGTCCTTATCCACTGGCTTGTTGTCGCCCAAATTTGGGCCAATTGCAATCTCGATCTCCCTATATTGGTTTATAGGAAGGCCTTCTAGCACATTATGCTCTATCTGGCCTCGTCCGGACCTGTTGGCCCGGTCTCTATTTCGGAACTGATCACGTCATGTTAGTTTTGGTGTCTATTTCCACAGTACAGAGGCGTAATCGATGCAATGTTTGGACAGCATAGATATTTGACAACGTGCAGGCGCTTCCATTGACTCTTTCGCTTTGCATAGGAAACCCATGAATGAGTCGGCTCTCATGTGACAGCTGTGGCGCTTACATGCTACTCCCCCGGATGTCCTTTATTCTTGCGCATTTCGCAAGGATTGATGCAGAATAGGTAAGATGCAATGCGCGAAGACAAGAATGGCAGTGTGGTGCATAGAGGTGCGTATGGAAAGTCGCGTCGAAGCAAACTATAAGATGACGTACCGGAGCCATAATTATGTGCAGCTGCCTCAACAGGCGGGACCACGCAGGTCAAATAATATAGGGAATGCAGGCAGGTTGTGTTTGACGCGCCTCTACGGGAAGTCGCGATGCGGTGAAGACACGCGCGCCGGACGCGACGTTGTGAAGCTGCGACTGGCACGTGCTCTCGACTGTTAAACTGTGATTGGTTACTGCAAATAGACACGCATGTTCCTGATTATTAGAAAATAAAACGTTTAAGTCCTTCTACAGTAACTTGGTGAAAGGTTTCTGATTTGCATAAGGTTTCTTCAACTCAAGGCAGTAGCTATTTGGAGAAAATGTACGGATCCTGTCATGCACATCAACTAATGCGATGTTGGGTGATATTAAACGAAACCTTGGCTATCAGGATCAGGATTGAAGACGATGACTACAGGCATACACTGCGGGCGTGAACCTGTTCATTATCGTACATCTACATTCTGATTTCCATCATCCATCCCCCACAATATGATACAGTCTCGAGAGACGGAAGAGCTTCTAGCCGATGACGTTGTATGTGCGACCTGAATGCACTTGACTCGTCTGGAAAGAGTTTCCAATGGTTTTACGACAACATCTCGCCAAACGCATCTACTTCGCCACCTCTGCATAGAACTTAATCCCAACTAGGACAACGTTAGAAATGCGGGTAAAACGGAGAGAATATATGGGACCTACCCTTGGTCCTTCTGCCTCACAATATCCCCCTCATTACCCGTCTGCTTCCCCGTCTTTCCACCCTCCACAACCAACCGATCGATTTGGTAGAACTGGCTTATAACGGTTTGCCTCTGTGAACCCAAGTCAGCTTGTTGCTCTCCAGAATCCTCCCAGAATGCATTTTGCAGTTTCTCCTTCGTCATATTTTTCGTCCAATAGGTCTAACTCTTGCCCATCATCCAGTGCCCTCGCCACCAGGTATTCGCAAACACACCTTCAGCATCTGCAGTTCCTTCTGACCCTTCTGTAAAAGATCCCGAACACTGTTCTCCTCCGTCACGCTCTTGTGTTCCCGGAAGCTGTCGCGCGTTCTCCGTTTGGCATACTCGCGAAAGTTATAGGCGGCGAACTGGCTGCTTTGCCGTAATAGCGAGCGGTACTACACGTAGACTGATCAGCCTCTGTTGTTCGGCATGCCAAACCATGCGATAAGTGGTTGCGATCCCTATATTATTGTGTGTCGCAGGACGAGACGAAACATAGCTAGAAGCTTGTGCGGTCGTAGAGGTGCGGCGGCGGCAACAACGGAGGAGTGGTACGTACAAGTGAGCGCACTTTGTAGGACATATCGCCTTTCGAGGCTTGTGCTAACGACATATTGGCGAAAGAGAAAACAGTTGTATGTTGGTGTTTCTTTGCGCCGGCGAATAGTTGATTATATCATAGGTCTTGATCGGCGGAGAAGTTCCGAGCGCCGACGGAAATGCTCCCCCGGACCCAGACAAGGGAGTGGGGGGATTCACAAGGCTGTGTTGAATGCACATTGGTCAATGCTCATTTGATGCTAAGGCTCATCCTGAAAATATTATACAATGAAATGCGCTTTTCGCACCCTCCTTGGGTATACACATGTTCGCACAGTACTCCCAAACTCCCAGACTCCGCCCTATGCAATGAGCGGCTCTCGCATGCCTTAACGTTTGAGAAATCAAAGACTACGATACTCGAGATGGCGAGCCAAAGAATTGGTGACATCAAGCGATCAGTGAGAGATACGCAATCCTAGGCTCTCTCATTGTCTATGCTTTTCTTGAATCCTTCGAAGCTGTTCTTGTACATTCATGGACTGCATTTGTTGAAGTCGAGCAGCGTCTTTGGCTGGATCCGGTTGTCCGTCATATGACACTGCTGCTCGTTTTCTTCGGGCATCCTCCTCGGCGGATATGGGTTGGCCAGTGGCGCCATCATAAATATCGTCGCGCTGGCTGGCGAAGCGCTTGAGGTTGTTTGCAACATCGGCTGTGTTAATCGTCGTTGAGTATCGAGCCTCGGACTTATCTCGCTGCTCCTTCCAGCGTGGATCAAGCAGTTCAACTAAAAACCAATGTCAGCAGAAGTTGGTGTAACAGAGACAAGATTGTACTTACTTCGAATGTGCTCGTCCATCTCGTTCGCAGGTATGTTCTGCTTGCAGTTAGGACACACCGCCATGTGTGTGTTGGCTTTCTTTGCAGCTGTGCGGGGAACATAGTCTGCAACAATGCGACCAGGGGCTCCCCTGGCCGCAGCCATTGCGCGAGCTCTCTGGTCGCTCTCCGCCTCGCGCTCTCTCGCCAACCGGGCCAAGTCCTCCTCGCGCGCCCGTTGTGCCGTTGGCATATAATCAGGCGGAGGCGCATATGTTGGGTAGAGGGGCTGCACAGGCGGTGCTGCCGGGGCGTAGTTGTGTTGTGTTGGAATCGAGTGCTGCGTCACGTTGTAGTAAGTTGTCTCGTCGGGCATGGCTTCCTCGAGGCGCCTTGTTGACAGCGACACCATAGCTTTCTGTTCGAGCGACTGAGATTGCAGGTCGTTCAAGAGCGCGGGCGCAGGGAGATCTGCTGCGTCATCGGCCTCATCAAACAAAACAGTAGCAATGACGGCAAAGTCATGCCAATCGATGGTCGCATACTCCTTCTTCTCATCTTCGGCCTTCTTCTCCTCCTTCTCCTTCTGCGCCGTCACGTATTTGACATACTCGGCGCGCTGCTTCGCTCGGTCTAGAACATGAAATCGGTTCTTGATGTTATGCTGCAGCTCCTCGATGCGGACCTCGACCGTCTGCTCTTCTTCGAGAAGTATCTTATACTGGTCGACAAGCGATCGGAAGAACTGGAAGAAGCTGTGGTTCGGTCGGAGGAAGTCGAACTGGAAGTTGCCAGACTCACGATTGCGCAACTCCTTCAGCCAGTTCTCACCAACGCGCGCCGTATACAACGCAGTCAACTTCACCACCTCGAGGTCCTTGGCGCTAATGTTAGGCATGCGCGCGGAAAAACGGAATTTGACGGGCTCCGGAGGTCCCTTGGGCGTGTTATCTACCACCGGCTGGGCAGTTTTGTTGGAGGGTCCGTTGCCGTCCTTGAGTTGCTGAAGGTACCAGAGGAAGTATGGGTTGTATGGGTCACCCTCCAATACGAACTGCAGGTTGCTCTTTGAATCGGCAGAGACGCGCCGTACCATGTCCGGCAACTTCGCGTCGCCTCTACGGTCGATGAAATCGGCAGTTTTGGCGACATTCTCGCGCACGTTCGGTGGAGGTATGACGAGGTCCGATGGAGGCTTTACACTAAGCTCGTAGGCGCCGGAAGCGGGTCCACCGTTGTTGGGAGCAGCCATCGCGTCGGTTTGGTGTTGCTGTTGGCGGCAGAGGTTCTGAAGGACAAGCTGCAAGCTAGAAGCTAGTCCTTATCGGCGGAACCTTTCTCCGGCAGATCAGCAGAGCCACAGCACGGCCACATCTACAGGTTAGAAGTTAGAGGCCCGTGCCTGGAACACTCTACACAAATCGACGTGCCGCGGCATGCCATGGCCGCTGTCAGATCCAAGTCAAGTCTGTTGTGGAGACATCCTGACCATATCATTGTGAAGTCAACTGTCCAGCCTTGTCGCTGCTTCATTGCCCTGTTGCCATTCACATGCGCAGCTGCACTTACGCCTACTTTTCGTACGTCGCAGTACTCGCTAACCCGCCTTGGTGCAAGCGCCCGTAGAACGACACCTTTCCATCTTTCCATCTGCAGCTCCCCTGGCTGTTCAGGAGCATTGCGACGCCCCTCCCCCCTGTCCCCTGTCTCTTCCCACCCCCCATTTAGCAATTGCCAGCTCTCTCTTCCTTCTTACTTTCTTTAACTTTCACTTGTCCCCATTACTGGGAACACACCGGTGATTCTTATTACCTTCTTGGAGCTTGCCCAACATTTGCAGCACCCCCCATCATGGCGAGTCAGACGACCTCGAACCAGTATTTGGGCGGGAAGCTCAACACCCGCAAGTCATCGTCGCGCTCACCATCACGGTCACCCTCTCGATCGCCTGCAAGGTCGCCTGCGCCGAAAGGTCGCAAGCAGCAGCAGGAGCTGAAGCCAAACAGCTACACGTCTGAGGGAGTGCAAGACCATGACATCTTCAACCTCCCGGGCTCCGACTGGCAGCTGCTGGTGGTGTTGACAGCCATAGCCTCCTTCGTGCGCTTATTCAGGATCTATCAACCCAGCAGTGTTGTCTTTGACGAGGTCCAGTACGTCTACCGAATTAGGAGTCTATCTTGCGCAGAGGTGATGCTAATACTGTCATCAGCTTCGGTGGATTTGCCTCCAAGTATATTAAGGGCAAGTTCTTCATGGACGTTCACCCGCCGCTCGCGAAGCTCCTCCTCACATTGGCGGGATGGTTGGGTGGATTTGACGGCAACTTCGACTTCAAGGACATTGGCAAGGACTACCTGGAACCGAACGTGCCTTATGTCACCATGCGCCTTCTACCCGCTGTCTGCGGTATCCTGACTATCCCTACCATGTTTTTGACTCTCAAGGCTGCGGGCTGTCGCACTACCACTGCAGCGTTGGGAGCGGGCCTCGTCATCTTTGGTGAGATTGTCACTTCTGTTGAGGATGTTGCATTGGCTGACAACAACTAGACAACGCGCTCGTAACTCAGTCTCGTCTGATCCTCCTCGACTCGCCCCTCGTCATCTTCACAGCCATCACCGCACTCGCCTGGACAAGCTTCACAAACCAGCATGAACAAGGTCCCACTAAGGCTTTCCAGCCGTCGTGGTGGTTTTGGCTGGCGGCTACTGGCTTTGGCCTTGGAACGACCGTCAGTGTGAAGTGGGTTGGACTATTCACAATTGCCTGGGTTGGCAGTTTGACACTTCTTCAACTCTGGGTTCTGCTCGGAGACTCCAGGAATGTAACACCTCGCTTGTGGTTCAAGCATTTCTTTGCCCGCATGTTCTGTTTGGTGGTCATTCCGGTGTCGTTTTATATGGCCATGTTCGGAATCCACTTTCTCTGCCTGGTCAACCCTGGTGAAGGCGATGGCTTCATGTCCTCCGAATTCCAGGCCACCCTGAACTCCAAGGGTATGCAGGATGTCCCGGCCGACGTTGCGTATGGAAGTCGTATCTCTCTTCGTCACTGGAACACTCAGGGCGGTTATCTCCACTCTCACACCCACATGTACCCCACCGGCAGCAAGCAACAACAAATTACCCTATATCCACACAAAGACGAGAACAATATCTGGATCATGGAGAATCAGACTTTGCCGATCATGCCAGAAGACTATGCTGGACCAAATCTTACAAGCCCGAAAGCCTGGGATGAGGTTGGCCCAACTTATATCGAGGACGGTGGCGTTGTCAGACTTTACCATGTCACGACTAATCGACGTCTTCATTCCCACGATGTCCGTGCACCTGTTACCGAGGCTGATTGGCAGAATGAGGTCTCTGCTTACGGCTACGACGGGTTTGAGGGCGATGCGAACGATCTCTTCCGTATCGAGATTGTCAAGTCCAAGTCCGACGGGGCTGAAGCAAAGAAACGTCTCCGAACCATCCAGTCCAAGTTCAGGCTTGTCCACGTAATGACTGGCTGTGTGCTCTTCTCTCACAAAACCAAACTTCCTGACTGGGGATTCGAGCAGCAAGAAGTGACTTGTGCCCGTGGTGGCACTCTGCCGAACAGTATTTGGTACATTGAAGGCAACGTCCATCCGCTTATGCGAGGTAAGTAGTGCTTTCCTTTTCTTTTCAGGTTGTTGTTGTTGTCGTTCCTTCCTGGAGTGCTCCTTCCCTCGTGGACATCTGGACCGGACCACGGACCACCTCACTCACCAAACATGACGAACCTTCACTCCTGCATCCCACTCCTGCATCCCGCTCCTGCGTCGTCTCCGCGCCATACGTTGTCTGCTTTGCTCGTAACGAGCCTCTCGTTTGCTGACACAACATGGCGTCTACCGCGGCCCTCACCCTCGTCAACGTGGTGTGGCTCACATGGAGCTGCCTCAGCCTCACTACCTCTGCCAGCATGAAGAATCCTGTATATGCCATGGTTGTCGCTACTCAGGATATGCTGGAAGACCTTATCAACGACTCACTTGTTGCCTTCGCACCTTCGCTATTGGACATCGTCCAATCCAGTACCCCGCCTACTCTGGCTCAGCTCAAGGCTCTTCCGACAAGCTACAAAAAGCAATGGGCCGTTTACCTCTTAATACTCGAGAAACCAGGCTGTCGACCCCTGATATACATTGGCTCTGCTACGAAAAGGCTAGGTGGCGTCTATGCTCGTTTTCGGCAGTACGACCTTGACAATTGCCTGCCTACGTACATTCAGCAGGCACTGAACGACGGATACACAATTACTTATAAGACTCTCCTCTGCTGGGCACCCATTCCGGAACCTGGTCGTATCTACCTGTTTCGCGTTTTGTTTCTCGCTTTGGAATCCATGTTCTCTGTTGTGCTCTGGTCTCTGATCTCTCGCACCAAAGACTACGCTATGCCTCGTCTTTGCCCCTGGAAACTTGAGGACATGGAATACCACGGCCTTTGCTCTCACATTGCCTTGATTGAGGGTATTGCAGGCCAAGAAGACGGTCTTACCCTTGAGCAAATTGCAGCTAAAGAACTTGAGCAATTTGGCGACTGGGAGAATACGAGACGCAAACGCTGCAAAGCTGCCAAGCTCAAATCTATCGAAAAGCGCTATTATGCTTGCAATCTCTGCAACTTCGCTTTCACGTCTACATGGGACCTTGACAGGCACAACCTCACCCAAAGGCACATCAACAAGGCCGGTGGTATCACCAAGATCCTCAAGAACCCGCACCAGATGGTCTGGCAAAAGAACAATATAGATGCAAAGACCCATTACTGTCAAACATGCGAGCACGCATTCGGCTGCAAGCAGAAGCTCAACGTTCACTTAGCTACAAAAAAGCACAAAGCCAAGGTTGCCGCGGCCTTGTCTGAGTCGAGCTCCAGCTCGACTTAACTTCACTACCCAGGAGCCCTTTTTGGACAACGTCCGACTCGTTCGGCCAGCATTTCTCAGTCTCTCAGCTTTTCAAGATAACATATGCTAACTACTTCAAAAGAGGATGCTGAACGCGTCAACTATCGTAATCCTGGCTTCTTTGGCAAATTCTGGGAACTGCAGAAAGTGATGTGGCGAACGAACGCTGGTCTTACTGAGTCTCATGCTTGGGATTCACGACCTTCGTCCTGGCCCATCCTTCGCCGGGGTATAAATTTCTGGGGGCGAAATCAGTACGTCGTCTCCAAACGTTTTTTTCTTTTTCTTTTTGACCTGCTAACTTATGTTGTAGTCGCCAAATCTATCTCATAGGAAACCCTTGGACCTGGTGGAGCTCCACTCTGCTCATCGGACTGTATCTCGCTATCAAGGCTATCGCCGTTCTCCGATGGCAGCGTGGATATCGCGATTACACCAACGTCACCTTCAAGCGTTTCGATTACGAGGTCGGCATGAGCATCCTCGGATGGGCTTTCCACTACTTCCCCTTCTACCTCATGGCTCGTCAGCTGTTCTTGCACCACTATCTCCCAGCACTCTACTTCGCCATCTTAGCGCTCTGCCAGATATTCGATTTTGTGAGCTATCGATTCAGCGTCTTTGGACTGAAACAATATCCGGCGATTGGTCAAGCAGCAGCTGTCGGTTTCTTAGCAGTCGCCATCACTGTCTTCACGGTCTACTCTCCCCTCGCCTACGGTAACCAATGGACCAGGGATCAGTGTAACTCTGTCAAGCTTTTCGGAACTTGGGATTGGGATTGCAACAACTTCCTCCACTCGGTACGTTATAACATGACCTTTCTTCACTCATCACTGACCTTGCCTTAGTACGAAGCATACAACTCCGTAACCGCTGATGTTCCATCTATTTCGGCAACGCCTTCACCTGCAGCCCCGCCACCTCCTGTCGCTCCTGCAGCTAAGCAGGATGAAGTTTTAGAGGCAAACGACAACAAGGCGAATGCAGAGATCGTGTCAGAGAAGGCCGCCGTCTCCCCACCTCCACAGGATATTCCTCAGGACTTACCCGTTGTTTCCAAGGAAGAACGCGTCGAGTACCGCGACGAGAATGGCCGTGTCCTCAACGAAGCTGAGGTGTCAGCGCTCGCTGGACAAGTAAGCTTCAAGACCCGTTACGAGACACGAACTCGCATCGTCGATGCTCAAGGCAACGAGATCTACGAAGGCGTCGTCGATCCTTCTAGTGATGAGGAGCAGGGTGTCGCACCGCCTCATCCCGATGTTGAGGGTCAGAATCCTGAGACGCAGGCGAGCAGCGAGGCAGAAGCTAGCGTCGCGCCGGTTAATGTTGAGGTCAACGAGGACCAGGAGAAGGAGAGAAGTGTGGAGAACCAGGATCAGAGTCAGGATGCTCAACCGGCCAGCGAGGTACCAGTGGCAACACAGGAATAGGCCCTCATTCGTGCGATCCGCCTAATGTTCGACGAAGGTATTCCATTTTCATCATTCTCATGTTAGCAGACTTGTCGCGTCTGTCCTTGATTCCTTCTTTTTGTACCATAGGGTAGCGTATGGAGAAGTGGCGCAGGGGGTCTGGTGATGAACTTGGAAGTCATGGGATGGGCTGTACTTTTTGGTCCGTATTTGTATGCTGGAATGCTTCATTCCACTCTTGCAAAAAGTGATGCCCTCATTACCCGGGGTCTTTCGGTTATTTTGTCCCAGGGTAGACTGGTTGTCATGGACTGCAAGCACTTGTGTTTGAGATGAAGATCTAAATGCAAACGCTCATTGCTTAATGCAAACACCGTACTCAGAAACAAGCCGCAGCAAAAGCATGCAACAGCTTGACAACTACATGCTATCTTGCTGTGAAACTTGTGTGCTTCAAGCATCATTGGTATACGCCCAACCTACTTCACTCGTAGTATTTTCAGTCTTGTACGACTGACCCAGAGCTTGTACCCTGGCATGTATCTAACCACTGAGGCTGAGAGGACTTCAAGCGGGCTCTGGCCGACGGCTTTCCAATCACACACAAAGGTTCCCGTGTTAGATTTCTTTTCCAGATTTGCGCCTGAGACTATCTTCACTAGGGTGTTCTGGGCGATGGTATCTCGTATGCAGCGAAATCATGCTACAGCTGGACAGCTACATCTAAGATTAGTGCGGGGGTCATATACCTAAATTTCTGGTTGTATACGCCTAGCATGCGTTCTTGTAAACGTCATTGTTCTCGTTTTGTGCCTCGTAGGAGCCACCAAGAACGCAGCTTACCTGCCGCTTTCACACTTGACTGAGAGGAGCCCTGGATATCTGTCAAAATCAGGGTCTTTGCTATTCAAAAGAGGGTAGTCTATATCTAGTATCGCTCGGACAAAAGAACGACAAATATTAGCCAATGGGAGAAGATCGGGAATGTGATCAACCCCTATGACGAGGATTCCGGGCACTAAGTCTGGGGGGAACTCGCCTAGGTCGAGGTAGGCATTAGTTGCGGTTCATACCGCGTCAATCATCATAACAAAACCTGTTATGAGAGGGTCTTTGGTCGGGAAACTCGGCAACGCTTAAATGTCTGGAATGGTCGGGATTGAAGGGGGCATTGATCGTCTCTTCAGGATCCAGAGACGTCATTTGCTTAACAGACTTTTCATTGGAACTGCGTTCTAATATATTGATGCTGTAGTTTACATTGCCACGTTTATATGGTTTACACATATTCGTTCAAGAGTGTACATGGATTGGCTGCAGATATGTCGGCATCATAGAACAAGGCACAGATTTGATGGACTTGAGGGTTTAAATATCGTAATGGGACAAGGGCAACGTGGTATCTCCTAGCATTGACGCGGGAAAGCACTTACTTGCAGATGGGGTTAGACAGATTCGCGCATTCCAAGTATATTCGAGCGTTCCTTTTTGAATAGTGGGCTCTCGACCCTGACTTGGAAGTACGCTACGTATTCTTGCCAATAAGATTCCGAGACGAGAATGAAAGTCTGTCGAGACGAACAATTAGTCTAACTAGCAAAAGACCATCGAATCATCATGTGAGCCGATAAGTGGTATAGACGAGAGCTTGAGCCAACATTAAAGCTCCGTGGCGCTGTGGAGATTACGGATACCGGTAGTTCTAGATGCAGCATGTGGAAACGGTCCAGGATTCATTAACAGCCCTCAGGCCTCTCTTTCTCAGATCGCACATCAATTCCGCCCATGACTGCGACCGAGTACTGCACTGCAATCCAGCGCTAGACGAGAAACTCGAGAGGAATCATGTCTCCCGGAATGTCCTGTTCAGGCGACAACAACTGCTGTTCCAGCGCGACCCCATCACGGACAGCATCTACCCACCAGCCCCTGGATCACACCGGATATCCGACCGCCACCGACACCGCTAATACCGTGTTCATCGTAATCGACATCTGCTACCCGAGTGGGCCTGACTTCTCCGCCGGGAAGGGCATCGCGACGACAGACTCGGTGCACAGCACGCGAAATGCAGCCAACGCGCGGGCGAAGAAGATCATCTACGAATGTGGGTCCTGCAAGGTTGACGTTGACAAGATTATCGAGGAGGTGAGGAATGGCCTGTATACTGGGATTGGGGTTGGAGGGGATGACGAGGCGATCCACGGGCGGTGCTATGCGCGCAAGTGTGAGGTTGAGAGGTGGTCTGTGGATGTGGATGAGGATGAGGATAAGGATAGTGTGAGGTCTGTCGACGTCGATATGGGGTGAGAGGAAGATGTGAGAGGTGGTGGCTTCGGTGGGTTGGGAGGCTGAAGAGTTGAGACAGTGGGAAGATGGGTATGGAGGGATGTAACGTCCACACCGAGCCAACCCAGGAAGCCGATTTCTGGAAGCACGATCGTCTCACCGTCCAAGACAGACGGATACACGACTTCTCGGGGCCCTGCAATATACCTACACATGCTCAGACGAGCATAGATCCGAGCCATCTCCGCCAGCTTCTCCAGCTATGTCACCATACGTCATTGAACACGAGGGGCAGGTGCATTCCCCGCCAAACAACTCCCACCTCCGCGTCCCCCGCCATACCGTATTACTCTCCCCACCCAAACAATGTCGACCGGATACTTCCCCAAGCGCGAAAAGGTCGGGCTCGAGGACCTCTTCAAGGGGCTCGTCACGGCATGCCATATCCTGCACTACCACGACGTTCTCGACGCATATGGCCACATATCGGTGCGCAGCCCAGACAACGCCTCGACGTTCTGGATGCCATGCAACATGCCGCCCGCACTAGTCGGCTCGCAGGACGACCTAGTCGAGTACCATGTGGGCTCGGCCGAGGCGGTGGAGAAGAACGCGAAGCCCGGGTATCTGGAGCGCCATATTCATAGCGAGATATACAAGAAGTTTCCTGCTGTGAACAGCGTCGTGCACAGCCATTGTGGCGATGTGCTGCCGTATTGTGTTAGTGGCGTGCCGCTGCAGAACACCATCCACATGGCGGGCTTTTTGGGTACGCGATATCCTGTTAGCCTTGTGTATATGGTGAATGTGGCGCTAACATGTGTACTTGCGCAGGAACAACCGTACCCGTCTGGGACGCCTCAGGCTACTACCCCTCTGGCTCAAAGCACGACCTTCTCGTCCGCGACTCGACGCTCGGCGCCTCTCTAGCCTCGGCCTTCAAGCCCGCAACATCCGCCGGCTTCGTCATGGACAAATTCCGCTCCGCACTCCCCGCCCAGATAGGCGGCACAAGCGAGCCCTCCAAGGAGCCGAACCACGCCGTCATCCTCCTCCAAGGCCACGGCTTCACCACGGTAGCCCACGGCATAGAAGAAGCTGTCTACCAAGCCATCTACACAAAGGAAGCCGCAAAGGTGCAGACCACGGCTCTGACGATCCGCAATGCATATTCTGGGTATGCTATCGAGGGGAAGGTGGATGCTGAGGCGGGCGGGAAAATCAAGTCGGCGCGCGCGAAGAACGAGGGCGGCTTGAAGTATTTGAGTGATAGGGAGGCGCATGATAGCTATGAGGCTATGCAGGGTACGGTTGCGCGGCCGTGGGCGCTGTGGTGTCGCGAGGTCGAGGTCAATCCGCTGTATAGGAATGAGTGTCCCGGTGGTGACTGAGGAAATGCATGTGGTTGGGCATTTTCGTAGCATGTTTATTGGTCACTCTGTTCGTTTTTCCTTTCCCTGGTAGTGACAGACATTCTGTACCTCGTCTACATAGTGTATGGACATAAACGTAAAAAAATTTGATATGAGTTCAATTACGGCTCTTGAGTAAGATCGGATCAATGAATATATTTCTCGAAATCAACCACCGAAGTTAGTTAGACAGACGAACACAACAACAAAGGGCACAAGTAACAACTTCAGCAAAGCCAAGCAAAACGCATAAGTGAAGAAGAACTTGATCAATTGTTTATCCCACTACGCCAATCTCTACTTTAACGCGAAACCTAGAATACGCGCGCCCAGCCTAACAAACGAAAAACCAGCCAGTACAATGGCACGGTACACCCAGGACCCCAAACGCCCCAAAAAAGAAAAAAGCACGCAAGCTATGCAATCCCAGCACACGCAAGACCCCAGCAGTCAATCACACCCCACCACTAACTACTCCCATGACTCCTCAGCCTGCGCCCGCCCACCAGCCCCGGCCCAACACTACTCGCAAAACTGGTAATACTCAGATTCTCCCTATCGCCTTTCGCGTCGCCGCCAACCGTCTTGCGCATTTTCTTCATGGGCAGCTTAGATTCGCCGTCACCGTTGGGGCGGTGTTTCTTGCTCGGGGGCATAGTCATGAGCGCCGAGTCTGAAGCGTGGGAGAGGAGGGGCGGGGGCTGGGCGTGGATGTCTTGTGCGACGATGTTAACGTCTAGTTCGCGGAGGGAGGTGCCGATGGGGGTGTTGGAGGTGGTGGTGGTGTTTGTGGCGGCGGTGATGGAGCGGGAGAAGGGTTGTTCAGCGAGGATGCTGAAGTCGGTTGGGGAGGTGAGGCTGTTTGTTGCGTCGTTGAAGATTGGTTGTTTGGAGGGGCTGCGGGGTTTGGGCTCGGGGGAGGTTGGGGGGGAGCGGAGGCGGGAGCGGATTTGCTCGTGGTTTGTCCGGGGCAGGTTCGAGGGGATGTTGTAGGAGACGCGTTGGGGTGTTGCGCCGGTGGGGTTGTACTCGATGAGGTCTTGGTTGCTGACTACTTCGCGGAGCTCCTGGAGGGGCGCCCGGATGTCTGCGTCGGGTGCGAGAGCTGGTAGGGTCTCCTTCAGTGTACCCGCTTGGGCAGACATGTCTGACTCAAGGGACTGGACGCGATCGAATGACGAGGACAAGTGTTCGCCGATACTAGAGTATGATGCTTGTACGATATTCGATAGGTTGGCGATCGAGGTTGTGTGAGCGTCGTGATGAGTGTGGTTCTGCTCGCGGATTCGCGACACAATCTCCTCGAGAGACTGGAGTTGGGTGTTCAGGTGCGTCATCTGTGCTTCGACAGTCTTGACAGTGCTCTCGTGAACCAAGGTAGTGGTGTCCTTGATTGAGTTTGATTGTAGCGTTACCATCTGGAAGTAGGTTAGTAGAGATCGTGTCTGAAGATCATGAATTCTTACCTCGAAATCTGCCTTGATCTTGGTCTTGACGTTGTCCCTGGACTGCGACACGCCTGCCACAATGTCCTTAGACTTGTTCGACCAAGCAGCTACAGCGTCTGAGTAGGTGCTTTGCTCGGAAGTGAAAGCTGCGTTTGCCGCAATCATTTCTTCGCTGACACCGGAAAGCTTCTCGTTCAGCCGTTGATCCTGAGCCTCCGCACTGGCGTTGATCAAAGCTGATATTTGTGTTAGAAGTTGTTGGCGTTCATTTGTGGATTCCTGCTTCTCCTCATCCATGACTTGAACCAATCGACTTTGAGATGTCTTGTTTGCTTCAACCAGAGCAGTGTTTGCTGCCAGAACCTGTTCGTGAAGTCGCTCATTCTCCGTTTGTTGTTCGTTCAGTTCCTTCACGAGCCCGTTGAAGGTATCCTTGAAGCTACGCCCCAAATCCGCATACGACGCGTGAAGTTGCATGTGAAAGCCCTCCAGTTCAGTGATGATGTTGGCCGAAATCTTCTCTGCTGTCACGGCGAGTTCGTCAAGCCCGGCGCCAATCTTTGATTTGACCTCCTCTCGCACCGTTTTGATTTCCTCCAACACCCCGTTCAAGTTGTCGCGGGACTTTGCAGTCTGCTCATTAACTTCCATTTCAGAAGTCTGGTAGGCCTCCATCTTCTCCTGTAGAAACGACTGAGAGACGTCAAGTTTTTCAAGTTCATCCTGAACAAAAACCTGCATCCGAGCAGAAAGCGTATCCATCAGTTGCGCCTGCTGCTGCTGCAACTCCTCAATCCGGTCCTCCACAAGGCGGGTGGTGTCGACTACCTGGCTTTGTGAAGAAGTCCAGTTCCGTCGATTCTGCGATTGGAGTTCCGACTTGCGACGAATCTTCGAACGCAACGCGTCAATATCTGATGTCGTCTTTCCGAGTGTCGAAATCATGCCATATCCAATCTCGGCGAGCGCGCCCTCAGTCTTCTCATGTGCTTTTCGGAGCTCCGACTCTTCTGTTAGATTCTGGCGTGTGTGCTCCAAGACAATTTCAGTCTTCTCGAGAATGCCCTTAGTACCCTCTAAAGCTGTCTGTGTCTGCTCGTTGTCCTTCTTGAGCACTTGGAAGCTCGTCGTGAGCTTGAACAAGTCCTCTACTTTGTTCCGGAGGTTGACTTCCATCGTCTCGAGTTTGTCGCGCTGTTCTTCGCTTAGTATCCGCCTCGACTCGCTGACGGTTGTGATTTCTTCGTAGTTCTCTTGTGTGAGGTACACGCCGTTGCGCTGTCGGGTTGCAATCAGCTCGCTCTTCAGCTTCTCAATCTCCACGGTAAATTCTTTGAGCAATGTCTTTTTGTTGATTGCCTGGTTGACCTGGGGCTTATTCCTAATGTTCTTCGCCCGAAACGCGTAATCCAGCGTCGAGATTGTCTCTTCCAGGTTGCTCTTCGCCGGTGACAGGGTCGCGATGATGCACGTCTTTGTCCGACCACCCAGGGAATCTTGTAGTAGACGGGTCAACTTGGACTCTCGATAGGGAATGTGGGAGCTGCGCTCGACCAGCGCGTTGATGACACGGCCTAGGGTGAGCAGACTCTTGTTGATGAGGCCAGCCTCTGCAGCGCGTTTGTTCTCTGCTCCACTGCGTTGGATGTTCTCACTTCCGGCAAGATCGACAAGGTTGAGTTTGCCAGCACTCAGGTACTCCTGTCCGTCGTCGGTCATGCGCTTGATGTACACGGTGATTGTGAAGACGGTGTGACTTCGAGAACTGAGATCGTTGCATTTTGTTGCTGCGACCTGGCGTTTGTGACTTCCGTCGCGCAGCATCTGGATGCCTTGTGTAGCTGTCTTGAGATGGCATTCCTCCATGCCCTGGACGTTGGTGGTGCTGTGACCTTTGCGGCTGTTATCCTCATAGATCTTTAGCTTGACCTTGTCGTCTGTGGACAACAGATCGCGTAGCTCCTCGTTGTATAGCTCGATGAAGGAGCACTTGACGGAGTTCTCGGTTTCGTCTGCTTCCAGTCTGGCGAACAGTGCATACAAGACGCGAGGAATGATACCGGCGGCGTCGGGGAGGGGAAGCACGTCGGAGATGTCACCAGTCATGGTGTATGTTTTGCCCGTGCCTGTCTGGCCATAGGCGAATATTGTGCAGTTGAAGCCATCGAGGACCTGCCTAGAATCAGCTACTGGCCCGGTTGAAGCGCCTCGTCAGTTCCTACCTCGTCCAAGATAGGCGACACGACTTCATCAAACATCATGTTCTGGTCGGCGGCGGGCGAGAAGACCTTGTCGAACTGGTACATTTTGTTGCTGAGGGCATTCTGGCCCATGGAAAGCTCGACGGTGGAGCCCTTGATTCCGTTGGTCGACACGACCACACCACTGTTCTCACGGACTTCGCGGTCGTTGCGTCCACGACACCGCACGACGACGTTGATGTTGGTCTCCTCGCCGCCGTCTGGTTCGAATTCCCGCTCCTTTCGCTTGAGCGGCGAGGATCGCGGTGCCCTCGAAGAAGCTACCGATGCTGAGCGTGAGGCGGGCATATCGAGTGCAGGTGTAGCAGAGCGGCCGCGGGCCATGTGCAGTGGAGGGCGTGTTGCTGTTGGCTGGCGGGTCGGCGGTGGACGCATATTGGACTGGGCGCGCTTCACCTGCGGCGGCCCGGGTCGAGGAAGACCAGACATAATTAATGTACAGGTCGGACAGGACAGGCAGGGTGTTGGGTGTTGATACGGGCGCTGGCGGTGATGTCGTCGCGTCGATGTTGGTGTTGCAAAACAAACAGACGGAAGCGGAAGCGAGGACATGCAGGACACGACAGGGAGCAGGGGGCGAGCGATCAGCGGCTTGGCCGTTTATGGCCATCTCCCCGCCTCGGTCACATGCGTGCATGCAGCGCTCACAAGGGCAAGCACCCTGATGACGCGCCAGAGGAAGCTCGCGCGTAGGTCGCAGCTTGTTGCGACTCGTCCTGCCCTTCTACCCACATCTTCTGCCTGCCTGGACGCCGCAGCGTGAGCACACCCAACATGGAGCATGGCGCTATGCAGATGCAGCCCGGCCGGAGCGTGGGCTTCATGAGTACGTGGGTAGCAGCAGCTGCGCGCACAGAAGACACGTTGACCATACGCCAGCACTCGGTTGTTCCCTACATGACATCCTCACCACCATCAAGGCTGAGGTCAAGGCCTTTCCGCAGTTCCAGCTCTACTATGACGATCTCCACCCGCTCTCGTCCCCCGTCCATGTGCGTCTGCCCGACAACGGCCTGCGCCTGCAGTTCGACGGGCCCGACCAGCGCCTGCGCCTGATAGAAGTGCTCGACTTTGCGCGGGCGAAGCTGGTGTACAAGGACGTCGACGTCTTCAAGCCGGGCGAGGGACAGACCAGCTTCACCGCAGGGCCGTCGGGACCCCGCTTCAGACATGTCTACGATAAGCTGCTGGGTCCCACGTACAGCGGAGAGTACATGCCACCACGAACAGATGACCCCAACGCGCGCGGGACGTACAACCTGTCCTACCCCGGCATCGCCTTCAACTTCCCCGTCCAGCACTCGGCATACTCGCCCAAGAAGGACTTCATCTCGCTGCTGTCCTCGTCCGCCACGGGCCCTGCAACCTCCATGGCCATCTTCAACGGCGAGTCCTGGCAAAAGGCCCGGTCAACCCTCTTCACCGCACCGCCTCCAAACCCACGCTCAGCAGCCCTCACAGCAAAGGGCAAAGAAGGCGGCCCAGACGAGATCGAGCACATCAAGATCCACGGCCAAGGACGCCTCGAACTGATCCGTCGATCCAGCCCCCCCTTCTGGATCACCCTCAGCGAAACCACCCCGCAAGACCTCATCATGGACCTCGGCGCCCCAGACGCAATCTACAGGAAAAACGACCACCGCCTCTCCATCCACAAAGACCGCCGCCCAAGCGACGCCTCCTCCCTGTCCCCCGCCTCCGACGCAGAAGACTCCGACTCCGCCGCCCTCGAAGCCCAGGAGCGCGACGTCGCCGCCGCAGAACACTTCTACAACTACTTCCACCACGGCTTCGACATCTTGATCTCGCAGCCCACGCACATCTCCCCGCCCTCACCCACCGCAGAGCGCCAACAGAACCACCCAGCAACAACAACAACACCAGCACAACCCCTCCACCACCTCACCGCCACGAAAATCATCCTCCACGGAAACGTCCCCGGATCCTACCAATTCAACCGCCACCGCCGCACCAGATGGTCCCTCGAACACGTCCCCTCGCCCACATACCCCGAGCCCCTCACCTCCGAAATGCCCTTCGCAGACATCTCGGGCCGCCTCAAGGACGTGTTCAAAACGCACTACGACACCAAGGAGCAGGAGATGTCGCAGCAGCGCGGCATGGCGCTGAATCGCGGGTGGGGCGATAGTCCGGGGAGTAGTTGTGAGCTGCTGGGCGGGTGGGAGGAGGGGTCGTCGAAGACGAGTCTGTTTGCGGGGGTGGGTGCCGCTGGGATTGGGACGTCGGGTTTGGGTGTTGGGGATGGCGCGGCGGAGGTGGGGAATGTGGAGTTGTTTGGGTTTCCGGGCATGGTGTTTGAGGTGGGGAAGAATGGGGCGGTGAGCTCGTTGACTGTTTATTAGTTATATATATATATGTCTTTCTCTATGGAAGACGGGGAGGGGAAACGGACATATTGGGGTGTTTTCTGGTACTGGCCAAAGATCTTAAGCCGCAGCGTGTTTTTTTGTGTATCTACCTACTAAAGTGCTTTATATATACTACCAACAACAAGCCGAAAATCACCCCTTCCCCTTTTCCATCCCCAACCAGCCAGTCGATCATTGCCGAAAAACCAGCTTAATATCACCACAACACAACCACAACCACAAATTCCACGCTATGCATATGTTACGAATGATACCTACTTTCCCCACCCCAAACCCGCACCTCCCGAAAAAACGCCGTTAGCCATGCAAGACATGTCATGATGATCCCGCTTCCTACGTGCCAACCTGGCCAACATGGCCTAACAAACAAACACAAAAAAGACAAAAATGAAGAACCGGAAAAACGCCACTACCCTGTCCTACGCGACGCTACGCTTATGCATGCCCACAACCAATTCCCCCGGAGTAACAATATCGACACGAGAAGGATAATGTGATGCGCGACCGTCGAAGAAGAAGAAGACTCGAAGACTCGAAGAAAAGTAAGACGTGAAGGGAAGAAGAATGAAACGAAACGAATCAGATCGCAACCCCGCAACCCATCCATCCACCCACCACACAACACTACACCCTCCTAGCCCCAAACAAGCTCAAGCTAATCGCCGTCTCATTCGCATTCTGATTCTGATTCCCCGAGCTCTCAGCCAGCACCTCCCATCTAGGCTGGACAAACGGGTACTGACGGACCGTCTTCTCGAGTCTGGGCTGTAATTTGCTGGGCGCGGGGCTCGAGGCGGCGGAGCCGGGAGTGAGGCGCTGGGCGTGGGCGGGGGAAGATTGCATGGCGCGGCCCTGCATTTGTTGCATGTGTTGCATTTGCTGGAGGGGGGAGGGCGCCGTCTGGGGAGACGCAGTGCGCTGGAGTTGTGCGGGGAGGGACTTGTTGTTAGGGGGTTGGACGGCGTGTTGGGGGTATTGGGGGTAGGTGCGGAGTTGTTGTGCTTGTTGGGCTTGCGCGATTTGCTGTTGGCGCTGCTGTTGTTGGGATAGGTAGCGTTGCTGGGAGGTTGCAGGTTCGGTGTGGTGGGCCTGGTTGGGTGTTGGGGCTTGGGTTTGCGGCGTTGGTAGGGTTTGTGGGTTCGCGGGAGGGTTGACGGGTTTTGTCAAGGCGAGCCAGCCGTCTACGTGGGCGACGCTTCCTAGGATGAATAGACAGCGCGGATCGTCTGATGATCTGCTGTTGTCGGGACGGGCGAATTGGTTGCGGACGTCGTCGGAGACGCAGTCGGACAGAAGGACTGCAACGTCGAAGATGTGCTCTGCAATGGACGGGTGCAAGTCAAGAGCAGAGTGGGTGACAAGTGACTTTACCGCCGCCATCAGAGCGGTTTGGTGTTGATGTGTAGCATCGCGCAGCAGAGTCGAGCTATGAGTGACGGTAATGCGAAGCAACGCATTCAGCCTAGTCTAGGTTAGCTTTGGAAAGATGGCATGGAGACACCTCTTACCATGCATATGTGTTCGCGACCAACAAGGCGTTTGCTGGCCCGAGCCGCGTCTCCATGTCACCACAGTCTCCAAGCGCTTGTGCTACACCTTTAAGTCGATCTACCAACGCTACAAGCATTACTAGCTGGTCCGAAGGGTCCGTTCGTTTACCCGAAGTCAGATCGAGGACTGCAAGGTACTTTTGGACCAGAGCGGCTGAGACGTGACCCGGCTCTTGGGATTGGAGTCCAGTATGATTCGTGAGAAAAGCAGATGCATTGATAATCTCGCGTTCAGCGTACTGTCGTATCTACCAGGGTTAGCCGATTAGCTTCACGTCGAGAGATATATAAGTCTTACCTTATCGGTGAGAACGTGGTCCAAGGTAGCGAGCAATTTCAACCCCGCTGACTGATCCTCTTCGACAGCGGTCTTGATAGCGCCGAGCAGAGCTATAGAAAGCGCATCGGTCGAGTCTCCAGTAAGTGCCACGTCTGAGGCAAAGATTTGTTCTATGACTGCTTGGCAGAAAGGTAGGGACAGTTCGTTCGCAATTCCAAAGATCGTAGGTATTTGCAGCTCGAGACTTTTCTCAGACAGATCTGCACTTTTTGTCAGCTGCTGCACAGGGATGATGTTGTATGTTGACTTACGCAGATGACCAAGAGGGTCTAGAAGAGCATCTAGCGGAGGCTTGAAGTATGACATAACGGCTTCCCAGTTCGAGCGTTCTGAGCGCAGTTTCGACAAACACCCTGGATCGGCGATGATCTTGTCCTTCAAGATAAAGAGTACCGGCTTGCTGGTCAATAGACTCGACAGTTGTCCATGAATCTCCGCTGAAGGGGTACACGACGCAAGCTCGGCTACATCTCCAATGTACTGGAGAATACGGCTGTCCGCCCGGTGACATAGGCTATGCTGCTCCAGTTGATAACGATAAGCGTCTTGCGGCGAACATACCCGGACTAGCTCTTCGGACGGCAAAAGGATACGAAGTCCCTCCAAAGCAACATGGAATGCACCTTCAGGCGGTCCAGTCTTGAGCCGGGCAACGCAAGCTCGCAAGGTATCCAGGAAACTTGACAAGCCCATACAGGCTGAACCCACCAAACACGGCAGAGCGAGTCGTAGGGTCTCTACTCGGTGGCTCATTAAGGACGAAATCATCCATTCGTTAACGATCATGTCGAAAGTAGGCTCGTCAAAGCTACGCAAACGATGCAGCCAGGCTGGATAGTTGTCAAACTGATGGTGACTGATAGCAACATTTTCCTCGAGATTGCAGATAATCTTGCGCAATACACGACCCATCATTTGGTGATCCATACTAGTACCGCTCGAGAGTATACGATCGATTTCGTCGTCCGAATTCGATCCGGTAGTTTGCGTGACTTCGCCCATGTTGTCCGAGGCAGGGGAGCAAGCGGCGATTGAATTCTTCTGATCAAGTCGGCTAAGGTCGTAACTCAATAGCTGCAAGAGTTGTCCATCGCCCGGTACTACTTGAGCTAAATTGGTCAGGCTGAGGAGGAGCTGCCGGTCGGGGAATCGAATCGTCCTGATAGCGGCGTATCTCATCGCAACCCGGTTGAACAGAGTATCCAACGCACCGATAGCCCGGAAATCTTTCGTGTGGAAGCTAAGAGTATCCGCAGCACAGGCGAGCACATTGGGGTCCAAAGAGGATGTTGTGATGTTGACAACATCGGCGAGTATGGCAAGATCTCCGAAGTGCTCCAGGTAGGCCCTGATCGTATGGAAGTCGTGAGCACTGATCAAGGCCACTGCAGCGGTCTCCTCGATAGACGGGTCCTTGGTTGGGACGTGCTGGTTGACCTCTGCATATCGGGCTACTTGCTTGCGTAACCAAATACCGAGCTCGAGTTTCACCGTTGAGTTGAGTCGCTTTACATCAATCTCAGGCAAGTCGGTGACCGAAGTGCCCAAACCAAACATGGTCGGTATCTTCTGACGCATGGCGTGCTTGGCATAATCAAGCGCTTGCTCCTCCAGATCTGCCGAATACGCAGTTCCTCGTAGGAGAGTGCATCGCAGAGTGCGTACTTGGTCTGAGAGTCCGCTAAGAGGTATTTCGGTAATCAGGCGCAAGGGCCAGGCAGTTGGCTATTAGGAGGTTAGAGAGCATTACATAAATAATGAGGATCGCTTACCGACGAAAGATTTGGATCGCTGCTCAAGGAACCCGTAGCAATGAGCCACTGAAGATAGCGACCAGCGGCGAATGTCTTGGAGCGGACCAGCTCAGCAACAACTCTGAAAACAGTACATGGTTCGCCAGTCTCGGCCCAGGCCATGCTGCAAAGATACGATATGACGGCGTCATACACGTCTGCACCAAGATGACTCCACCTGCGGAGCAACCGAGTTGCTAGATAAATCCTGCATGACTCTCCACGATAGATTGAACATGCCCACTGCAAGACAACAGAGAGAAGAAATGGCGCATCCGGAATCAATTCCATACACTGTTTCGATAGATCTTCTATACGAATAGGGGTGCTGTAATCCACAGAGTCCAAAAGATGATGGACTCGGCCGGCAGGAGCTTGGGAGGTAGATGTAACGTTTTTGTCAAAATGCAATAGGCGACTGGCTCGCGCCCGAAGTCTTTGAACAGCTTGTATGATCTGCGGGTGCTGCATTCTAGCTGCGAATGTGTCAAGAAGAACTCCATGCCTGGCCCAAGTAGTTGGGAGCAGCAAGCATGCCGGTCGAGTAAGGAGCAGTTTCGTCAGAGTAGTTTCCAGATATTGTAGCACAGCCGAAGATGGGTTCTGATCATCGACTCGGTATAACTGGTGCATGCGTTAGTTGGGAATGAGCAGTAATTATAGTACCATGCTCACCTTTTCAAGATGGTTGAGGAGCGCTTCAGCCAAGCGCTTGCCTCTCCGACGACAAGAGACGATATCAATCCAGTAGTGCGACACGGAAACGACAAGGAGCCAGACGAACAATCGCTCGTTGGGACATGCATCCAGGCAGTTGAGTATCCAATCGAGAAAGTGGTCGTCATCAAGAAGATGTTCCTTGTACAGGTGGGTAGCGAATTGGAGCCTCGACGACGTTAGCATGTGTCCACTACAATACAAAGCAAATCCTCACGAGTAGGTGATCCGAGGCTTCCAGTCCCCTTGCCCTATGGATGCGATAACGGCATCCAGGAACTGCTCCACGGAGCTAGTCCAGCCTCTGACCCATGTCAAGGTGCCTGCCTGCCCCTTTCTCTTGTGCGCGCGCAGCTCGTTGATGCCAACACACTTGGACAACCACAGCGCTCGCGGGAGAGGTATCTTCTTGTTGAGGCATTGTTCCAGCAGCACCTTGCCTGTAAGGCCATGGGGAATGGTACGGCTGAGCCTGCGGAGGCCGATAGCCGGATTTGCCAAATCATGCAGCCATTGCTCCCGCGTCGAGTCTCTCAGTGTGAGGCGCGGCGGCGGTTTGAATGTGTGTGGGGCGTGCAGACGGCCGCTCTGTTGGCGCTTCTCCAGGACGGCGACAAACAGGGTGGAGAGCGTCGTCAGGCCCGACTTGTTCTTGAGGTTCGACCACAGCGACGGGCGGGCCGTGTTCGTCTCGTTCATAATCTGCGGCTTGTTGCTGACGCCGCCCTTGACCAGCGTCTCCGACAGCGTGTCCTCGGCGCTGTTGCCCGTCCACGGAAACACATCGGCCGCCTTCCCCCCTGGAAACTGGACCGGCGGAGGCAGCACCTCGGGCGCCTGGAGCGCGGGCGAGTCCTTGACACCCGTCCCGCCAGGCAGTATGCGGCGCTGCTGCGAAGCTTCCCCTAGATGCACGGAGCCCGGCCGCGGCGGAGCCGGCAGATTGACCGGCGGCTGGTACGGACACGGCTGCATGGACAGGTCGGCGGCGCTGCTCGGCGTCGTGGTGAAGAAGAGCGGCGGCCTTCCGTGCGGCGGCGGCCTCGCAGCGTCGGCCGTGGCATTGTGCAGCGCTGGGCGCTCGTCCTCGAGGGTTGGGTCGATGCAGTCCGGCTGAGGCAGACTGGAGGCGGCAGGCGGGCGCCGCACGTGGGTCCGAGGAGCCCCTCCGCTGCCACGGGACTGCAGAGAGTCGATATTCCCCGGGCCAGGACGGGAAGTCATCGCGCCGAGAGCGGATGCATCGTTGTGTCAGCGCAGACGGGCGAGCGAAGGGAGAGCGGAGCGTGTTCGGGCGCGCACAGGATGACGACACGTGCGAGCAGCAGGACGGCGGCGACGGACGAGGGCGGAGGCGGGATGGCGTGTTGCTCAGCAGAGTCCGGCGGACGGTGGCAGCAGAGGAGGCAGGCGTAGTGTGGGGAGGAGGTCCATGTTATCTCGCCATCAGGACCAAGAGATCCGCCGGTTACCACATCGGCAGCACGACCCATGTTCGGGGCTAGCCGCTCCCATCGACCCTCGACGCTTCACCACAAGCACCACAGCACCCTCTCACGCCAGCTGTCTGCACTGCTCCCTCTGACCGCCCCATCGCCGCCGCCATGACGTCGCGAAAGGACATGCGACGCGCCGACCTGAGTACGCTGCCCCTGCCCAGCGCCTCCAGCTGCCCGGCCTCCCCTATGTGCTGTGCAGCTGCGTGAGGCCAGCATTGGTCACGTGCCCACGACTAACACCACCGCAGTCGTGCCATACGCCGAGCCGGCAAAGGACAAGTCCGATGGCGACATGTCGGGTATGTGGTCGCTGGCCATTCGCCTGCCCGAGCCTGTGCTGATGGACCGTCTCTAGGCACAATGGCAAGCACGCTGCCCATGGCTGCTGTGAGTGCCCGCCGCCCGTCTCCACCTGCACGTTACACGGCTGATATGCGTACTAGATCTTTACTCGAAACAAGTACGCCGCCTTGCTAGAATGCCCTCACGTACATGACTGACGTTGCATGTCCTCGATAGGATGATCGGCTGGTGCGCTCTTCCCCATGTACATGTCACGCTCCTTGCTGATTAGACCAGGGTTGCTGTAGTCTTCGCCATCCAGTCGTGGTTGGCCGAGACTCCTGATCAAAAGCGGAAGTCTACCACGCCCGCCTACTACTCCGTAGGCATGGCCTGTAAGTGCCCAAGCCCCGCGATATGGCGACTATGCTAACCACGTCACAGTCATGTCACTCATCGTTGTAAGTGCCCAGCTATCTGGTCAAAGCTACTACTCTTGGAAAACTAATCCTGTGTCACGTAGGGCTACTCTCAGCTGTTCCTCCCGCCCACGCCAGGCACACTGCAAGCAGGCACTGGCACGCAAGCACCACCTGCGGCACCTCCGTCGTAGGCTGGGACAAAGCAGGCGCCACCAATGTAGCAATAGATTTGGACCAAAGAGGTCGTGTAACTGTTTAATACCATGAGGCCTTCAGGGCAAGCAACATGCCCGATGCAGTGAGCCTGGACTGTCTGACGAGACACATGAACAGATTTGGAAGTGCTCTACAAACTTGAACACGGCCAGACTAGTCCAGCCGACTAGAACATGTCACTTGTGCTTCGCTCTATCCCGTTCCGCCAGCGCTCAGAAAAGGTAAGTGCTACGCGGGCCCTGCACAGACCACTAGGCGGGGCGATGCCTGCGTTCCCCACTCTCGTCCCTTCCTTTCCAGCCCGCCCAACTCGCTCTCACCTGCAGGCCACCGACACTTTACGACCAGCAAACACGACACTCGCAATACGAGGAGCCCGCACACATTGCCCTTAGACGCATCCATAACAACAACCCCCACCTACAGCGCGCCCGAACAGTTCTCGTATGTCCATCGAGAATTTAAAGACCTTTGACCCGTTCGCGGAAGCCGATGCAGACACCGGTGAGAAGTCGCAGTCGCAGCAGGACTACATTCATATCCGTATCCAGCGTACGTCTTGCGCCCCCACGTCCCGAGTCCTTCACTTTTCTTTTCCTTCGAGTGCAGCTCGGACATGGTCTGCACGCCGCCCAATCTTCCTTTCGCTTTGCTTGGCATTCAACAACCGACCAGTCTCTGACTCTGCACAGAACGTAATGGCCGCAAGACCTTGACGACCGTGCAAGGTCTGCCGAAAAAATTCGACCAAAAGAAGATCCTCAAGGTCATCAAGAAGAAGTTTGCCTGCAATGGCACGATCGTCGCCGATACCGAGATGGGCGAAGTGATCCAGCTTCAGGGCGACCAGAGGAAAGACGTCCAGGATTTCATGACCGACAAGAAAGAAGGTCTGGGTCTCGACGTCAAGACTATCAAGGTAAGTCACCGATGCAAGTGCACCTCGACATGGCTAACAAGTGCAGGTCCACGGATTCTAGTGCCTGGCCACCGCGATCCCTCCCCTCCGAGCCCTTCGTACGATTGTCTCTGACACACTTTATCTTGTGAAGTGTGAATTCCAACTACTGATGTTTAGGGAGGGACAAAAGAGACGTCAATCGGGACAGGAGGTGGATATGCAATTACCAAGGCTGCTGAAGGTTGGACGAGTGTGTCTTCGAGAATGAACGATGTCAACGGCTAGGGTGTCTATAATGATGATATAGATCCTTATATTATGCATCCTCAGTCGCTGTACTGTATACATGATCTGCTCTGCAAAAGCTTGAAAATGTTTCCTGTGATAGTGTTCGCTTGAACAGATTGAGACAGCCAACTCGACAGACCATGCAAGCATGCAATGTTTAATATTCTGCCATTTGATCAGGAGATTGTTGAGATAGCCTCGAAGGTGTTCGGAGTCTAACACAAGTCGACGAAATCGCGTTTTACAATCAGCCCGATAATCCAGATTGTAGCATTCTACACATTCCGAATTCGAGATCAACTATAATTCAAGTCGTGATCACGTGCTGCTCCGATTCCGAACTTCCAAGTTGGACATGAACTTTCAATAATTGTCCCTCCACCACATCACACACGGTCAATCCGGGGCCCACCGCCAGCATGTCGACCACAATCCCCTTCCGCGCCCCACGAATACACCCCACATTACTACGACGACAATGCCTCTTCCAGCGGCGCCCCAGCCCACTCTCGCGCCGCCCATTCTCCAGCAGCAGCCCACTCGCGCACAAAAAAACCGGCCGCATCAGCGACCCCGCCATAGCAAAAGCAGTAGCCATGAACGCCAGCGGGCCCGCGCCACTCGCCGCCATGGAAACCGCGTCGCGCGACATAGACGCCATGCAAGAGGACATTGGGGTGCTGCAGGGGACTGTTGTGCGGGCGGATCTGCGGCAGGTGGGCAGCCCGCTGAGCCTGGGCTTCTGGCGCTACTTTTGGAGCCTGCTCAAGGCGAAGGCTACGGGGTTGTACTCGCGCTCTCATTATAGAATGTGCATTCAGAAGATTGGGTGGACTCGCTATCTGCCTGTTGAGACGGGGAATAATCCGCAGTTGAGGGATCGCGCGAAGAGGCTTTATGAGCAGTTTTATAAGGCGCTTGCTAGGTGTGTTTCATGTCTCTTTTCCCCTTCTTGGCAATTGTCTGTCTGTTTTGCGAGACATACCTATATCGAAGGATAGAATCCATGCTAACCACCCCCCCTCAGCGGCGACGCCACCCCCATACAAGATCTCTGCCTCCCCCCCATCCTCAGACGCCTCGACATACGCATCGCCTCCCGCGGCCCCATAACCATGACCTGGAACGTCCAAACCTGGAAATCCGCACGCGTCGTCTCGCACCGCGCCTCGGCCCAAAGCGAAGACGTAGCCCCAGACACAGCCTACCGCCAAGTCGTAATCCGCCTCGAAACCGTGCAAGTCCTGTCCATCCAGCCCACGAACGCGCCCACCAAGGCCCCGCGCAGTAGCACCAGCAGTGCGCGCGGAGTCCCGCGGTGGGTACCCGACGGGGCGCCGGACGCCAAGGCAGCCAGAGTCGTCGAGGCTCAGAGCAGCGATGTCGAGCAGCTGCCTTTTGTGGATAACGGCGTGCCGCGCACTGTCGTCGAGTATCTTGTCATGCAGCGGCGGGTGGTGAGGGGGGTTGAGGAGAACTGGAAGATTTGGGGCTTTATGCAACCTAGTACGCCTGCGAGCTTGAAGGTCGATGAGTCATATTGGCGGAAGACGCTGGATGCTAATCTGGCGATGTCGAGGTCGCGGTAGAGGGGTAGATGTACGGCGAGAGAGAGAAAGCATGAGTGGGGAAGCTCTCGTCTCTCCCTCTCTCCCTCGCTCTGTGCTGAATAGAGCATACGATACTCGATTGTAAAATAGTTGGACAAAGTAGTTGTACAGTATTTTTCTACAAGGACGATCCGGTCCCTACCCCACCCCACCCACCGTCATGCTAGTATAACATCGTCTATCTGCCCGTGTCTTGCCTCATAAATACATGTCAGAGTAAAGAAGTAAGTAAATGAATGAATGAAGAGGTCATCCCAACGCCATACATGATGAAAATAGTATCACATCATATCAGCCCAGACCAGACTCGAGCCGAATCGCCTCCGCCCCAAAACGCCATATCCATGCACGCCCAATATCCTACAAAGTGGGGAGACACAACACAAAAGACACCTTCTCCGTGACTGGGAAAGGGTCGGAATTTTTTTTACATGTTGCTGCTCTCGCCAAGCAGCTTCAGCACGCCTTCATACGTGCCGAACATGATAGCGGCACTGGGCACGACGCGGAAGATGTGGGGCACCAGACCGCCGTAGAGGGCTGCCATGCCTTCTTCCTTCCAGATGAGGCGGAAACACTGTGCCAGGCCGGTGTATTTGAGCTGGCCGTTGGAGAGGGGGGCTTGGCGGAGGCGGGTGCGTACGACCTGGGAGACATGTTAGTGGGATGTTTGAGGCGAGAGAAGGGGGGACGGGACTGACCTCGTGAGGATAGGTGATGAGGGCGGCCACGAGCTTGGCGAGCCCGGCGGCGGATACCTTGCCGCCCCATGCGACTGTCTGGTCCCAGGTTGTGGGCGGTTTTCCGGTGGCTATGCGCCGTTCTTCTCGCCGTGAGAGGGATAGCTTCATTTGCTCGTACATCATCCACTGCAGTGTGCTTTCTGTCACGCCGAGGTAGCTGGCTGTCAGTCCGCGGTAGAGGCCCTTGACGCCCTCTTTGCGGATGGTCTGCATTGTGCAGTCGAGGGCGTTTTTGTACTGTCTGCCCCTCCCATCTGCATGCGTGTTCTTGTCCAATTGCAAGCGTGTCTTGACCAGCCAGATTGGGTTTGTGGCCGTTCCTGTGATGATGCCTGCGCTGGCGGCGGCGCACAGATGAACCCACGCTGCCTCCTGGCCGTTGTTGAAGTTGTTGCTGATCAGACGCTTGCCATTGCCGTATGCGAAGAAGTTGATGGCGCGGGCGGGCACAACGCCGACGAGATTGGGCCCCAGGCCCTTGAACAGCGCTCGCCAGCCCTCAGCCTTCGGGACCTGCCAGAGGATCTCGCCCGTCTCGCGGACGTGGAGCAGCGAGCTGCGGACAAAGGACATGGACTCAATGGGTGGCAGGCCGCGGGCGGTGCGGGCGGCGGCAAGATGTTGCTGGTAGTAGGTCGACTGCAGGCGCGTCTTGAGCACGTCGAGGGGCGCGGTGAGGGTTGCCGAGGCCATGCCGCCGAGCCTGCCGTCTGTCAGCATGTCGTCGTCCCATGTGCAGGCTGGCAGGCAGTCTCACCCTCCCGCAATAAAATGTGCCGACGACTTGGCAAAGGCCGACGGCGGGGCTGCTACCGGGGCTCCATCGGGCAGCTTGGGCGGCAGCACTTCGCCCAGCTCGCGCGACGTTGGCGGCAGTGTCTGCTGGACGGGGACGTGGTCGAGGGTCATTGAGAGGCGGTGCGGCGACAGAGTGTGCAGAGAGCGGAAAATCGAGCACAGGGCCCGAAGCGGCTAGATGAGGTGGCGACGTCACTTCGCGTAGCGTTTGAGCTCCATGATCAGTGCTCAGGGCGCCGCATCGCCGACACAGCACCACGATGCGGCCCTCCCCGCAATGTCTCGCGCCAGGCTTCTTCCGGCGCAGTCTGGACGAGTTGAAGCGCCTGTCCAACTACGCCCTCAAGCTCGAGGGCCTCAAGTCGCCCCGCACGCCCTTCCCGCTCGTCCACTTCGAGCAGCCCGACGACGTGCAGCGATGCAAGCGCATGAGCGACCGCGACATCGGCGGCGCCTCGACGGCCGCCATTGACTTCCACCCCGTCACGCAAACGGAGCCGCCGCACATGCGCTTCCACGGCACCATCTCGACGGAGCTGCCGCAGAACCAGCCGCACATCCAGCGCACCGGCTACGCGGGCTGGCGCACCCTCGACCGCGGCTCGACCATCTTCGGCAAGTCGCTGTGGGACGTCAGCCTGTACGCCTACCTGGCCATCCACTTCAAGTCGGACGGCCGCAAGTACTTTGTCAACGTGCAGACCGAGTCGATTGTGCCCACCGACATCCACCAGCACCTGCTGCACGCCAAGGCCCCCGGCGAGTGGGAGACGATCTTGATCAAGTGGAGCGAGTTTGTGCGCACCAACCACGGCCAGGTCGTCGAGCCGCAGCGCGAGATCCTGACGCAGAAGGTGCGCACCGTTGGCATCTCGCTGATCGACCGCATACCCGGGCCGTACGACCTGAGCATCAGCAAGGTGTGGGCGACGAATGCGACGAGCGACGACGACATTCTGGCCGGCGTCACGGGCAATATCGGGGGTCTGCCGCTGAGTTCGTCGAGGCAGGGCGACTACAACAAGCGCGTTGGCATGAAAAGCCCGCCGAGCGAGACGGAGGTGTAGAAGCTGAATATCATCATCGTGTCATGTACAAGCAATCCTGCCCTTTTGACAATCTGCCGTTTCCATTGCTTTTTGCTCTAATCGTGCTCCACCGCCAGACGCATGACCACGCGTAGACGCGCTGACGCGCTGACGCGCTGTTCGCTTATTCTTGCCGCGAATGAGATGCACCCCAAGCACCAAACACTAACTCCCACCACTACAATCCACGTGCAACATGGTGACGCCCCGCTATCTCACTGCGCAGAAGATCAGCCTCCTAGTCTTGACGCGTCTCTACTGCAGCTCGACTCTGCCCTCCTCGGCAACAATACCCATCCTCTCTTTCATCCTGTCATCTACATCACCGTCAACTTCCCCAAGCGCCCGAAATCAGTCCGCCTCAGCTTCTCCCAACAACACCACTTCCTTCTCCATTGACGCTTTCGAACATGTCCTCCAGGGCCATGCTTCGAGCATGCCGGGCCGGACCCTTCTAGATCTTTTCCTCAAGCACATGTGGGAACTGAATTCGTTTGACGCACTGCACAATCTCTTTGACAACCTCGGAGAGTTGTTAATCCCCCCTCCGCCAGGAACTCGAGATGGAGAAGCGCCGGATCGTATCTGTCTTTCGAGGGCTTCCCCGCTGGGTGCCTTTGTGCGCAGGGCCCGTCTGGAGTTTAACAGAGTGCAGTTTGATGATTCGATGAAGCTCTGGTCTTCGTTCATCAAGTACCGCTCGCCAACTGCACAGTGGACAAAGAGGCTTGCTGGGCTGGCTTCCAGTGGTATTGACGTCGTCGCAGCAGAGATGGGACTGCAGCCGGGCGATGATGTGTATGAAGTTGCGTACGGGCACTTGGAAGAGCAGGATGAAGAAGGAGAAGAACTAAGTCTCAACGACCTGGATTGGATTCTGGAATTTCAACTTGACCGCCTCCAACGCTTTGGCTCTCGCGTCCCGGAAGCCATGCAGTCGCAACTTCGCAGCATGATCAGCTCCTCGGGCCATGTCCATCGGCAAGCACATCTCGTGTACTTCTTCGACGCCTGGAAAGCCGGAGACTATACGTCCGCTTTTGATAACCTGCATCGCTACTATGACTACGCTATGCAGACGCGCGAAAAGATCCACTACCAATACGCCCTCCTCCACATGGCCATCTTGCAAGCCGACTTTGGCTGCTTCGGCGAAGCGATCGCAGCGATCAACGAGACGATTGCCACAGCTCGCGAGAACCAGGACATGACATGTTTGAGCTTCAGTCTGAGCTGGCTAAATCACATCAGCAAGGCGTTTCCAAAACAGATGAAGGGCACAGGGTATATAGGTATGTTGGGGAGTGAGAGGGACGCATTGACGTTCTTGAAAGCAAAGGCTAGGGAGACAAAGATGTGGAATTTACTGAGTGCGACGCTTCTTAACGAAGCAAAGCTGTGTCTTGCAGCGGTGAGCATCTTTCGTACCAAGTATGGTTTGGCAACGAAAGCTGACATGTAATTAGGGTGACTCCGTTCCCAGAGCTCTCGAGTACATCTACCAGTCCTCGCACCTCAACATCAAAGAACACATCAGCAGTCACGGTAGTCAAATGCTGTTGCAGTCGACACTGTACTCGCGCCTTGGAATTCCACATCTCGCCAACGCACATTGCGAATTGCTCCTCGACTGCTACGAGCACTCCTGCCCGATTGATGAGCGGGTCCGCGCTGTAGGACGGCGGGCATTCATCGTATGTATTTCTGATCCGTTGTCTGAGAAGATTGTGTGAGAGTTTGCTAAATATACAACAGTTAAGCCAAAGCGGCCGTTACGATGAGGCTATCTCGGCCCTGAAGTCAATGGATCCACCTGTATACAAATCGCTGAAATTCTACCAACACATTCTCCTAAGCACCGGTCTCATCAAACTCAAACGAGCTATTCGCCGGTACATCTCCTCCCTCCCTTCCATCTCCCGTCGAACCCAACTCTGACACGCGCAGTTCCGACTACTCGGCAGCCACGCACCTCCTCTCAACCCTCAAGCCCGCTTCCGACCCCGCCTCCGACCCTCTCGACTCCGAACTCTCCTTCTTACTCCACGAAGCACACATCGACTACCTCACTTCTCGCGGCTCCTACCCAGAAGCTTTTAGCGCTATATCCAGCCTCGCGCAGTCCCTCACAGAAGACAATGCCGACATCTTGCAGCGCGTCGCTGTGCTGCTCATGAAAGCGGAGTTGTTCCGCAAAGTAGGCAAACCAGAACGTGGGTTCAGCGTTGCATTGCGGGCAGCAAGCGTGGCCTTCAAGGCGAGATTGATGCCGAGTCTGTGGGTAAGTGTGGGGGTGCTGGCGAACCTTCTGAACGGGTTGGGGGAATACGGAAGTGCGAGGCGCATGTTGGAGGGTGTGTTGCCGCAGGTATGTTTCTTTGCATGATGCGAGGATGAAGGGAGACTGCTAACCTTTTTGTCTGATGACTTAGGCCCTGGAAAACGCAGACCATATGCTGAATGGCACACTATATGCACACCTTGGTGACTCGTATATTGGCCTCGCGGGGCAGTGCGACGCTGAATCACAAGCTGGTGTTCGTTCGAGATGGGCCAATGTCGCAAAGGCGGAACTGTACATCGACAGGACTAGGGAGTGCTTCAAGAAGTGCTCTTTTCTGGACGGCGAGTGCGAGCAGCTGATGAAGAAGGCGCTCATTGCCAAATTAAGGGGCGATGAGAAATTAGCAGAGGAGTGGGCGCAGAATCACAATCAAGTATGGGAGAAGGGCATGCGGATGAACGAGGAGGGCTGAATGAGCGAGATGAGGAAGTAGAACATAAAACGATGCACGATGATAGAGTCAGAGTGTCTACGAGACTCGACTTGGCACAAGATTTAAAGACAAAAGAAATGTGTTGTTGATTTGCTACTTGAGGCTTGCGCTTGTACTACGAACGCAATCCCCACGCACACTGTTCGGGTCCATCTGGAGCCCTATAGGTAAAAAGATACACGGTCTTGCAGGCACTTATTCGTCCTTCTTGTGGTAGTTGACCTTGTCGTTCCAGAAGAGGGTCTGCAACAGTCAGCGCCAAGAGTCATGAAATCGTAGTATGCAAATCATACCTTGTCGCCATCTCCCCAGAAGTAGTTCTTAGTGCGAATGTTCTGGTACGCGTACTCGGGCTTATCCTCACGGGGAGTATCATGAGCAACATGCTCCCAATGGGCATCCCACCTAATCTTCGCATTGACCGAAGCAACGATGATGCACGGAACAGCAATGCTACACCCACTATCAGCTCTCACATCCCACAGCAATCCATGTCCCAGCCCCCAATGGCTTGAATTTTCCGCAATTGGGCACCCGGGGAGTGTGCGGGCAGACTTACTACAAGCTCAACTTGCGCCAGAACTCGCCGCTCTCGGCGCCGTGCTCGGCAACCCGGGCGCGCTCGCGGTTGAACTCGTTGTCCTCGGCGCCCGCGAACTGCTTGGGCGGCTCGGAGCTGTAGGTGCGGCGGGTTGCGCGGACGGGAGCGCGGGGGAGGGCCACGCGCGGCGCGGCGCGGGCGAGCGTGCGTTGGGCGAACATGGCGGTGGGTGGGGTTGGAGTGGGGAGGTCGAGCAATTGGGGGGGTGGAGGGGAGATGTGTGAGAGGCCGCGGTGGGAGCTATGTCAGGGCCGTCACTGAAGTTGGGGAGGTTGCATCAGGCCATGCGGAGATTCCCGGTCGGGTTGTCTTGGCGTGTTTGTGGCGTTTGTCTGTCGCCCGTTAAGACTACTGGAAGCCATGTGACGTCGTGACTTAGTCGCGCCAACGCTTCCATCTTCTCGTGAAGGGGCAATGCGCGGCGAGCTCGAGCAGGCGAGGCGGTGATGCACTCGCACGCACACGCGCATCGCAATGGTCCGAATCACAACGTGGAATGTCAACGGCATTCGCAATCCGTTTGGGTACCAGCCATGGCGCGAGAACCGCACCTTTGCCGCCATGTTCGACATCCTCGAGACGGACATTGTCGTCATGCAGGAGCTCAAGATCCAGCGCAAGGACCTGACTGACGACATGGTGCTCGTCCCGGGCTGGGACTGCTACTTCAGCCTGCCCAAGCACAAGAAAGGTGCGCGTGCAACACCAGCTATGATCATCACGTGCTGATGCTATATGTGTAGGATACTCTGGCGTCGCTGTATACACTCGCCAGTCCGTGTGCGCGCCCATACGCGCCGAGGAAGGCATCCTGGGCGTCCTCTGTCCACCCGCATCATCGACGCCCTACCGCGAGTTGCCCGAGGACGCAGGCATAGGCGGCTACCCAACGCCCGCTCAAGTCTCGGACCTGGGAGTTGATCCCGCAGCTCTAGACGCAGAAGGTCGATGTCTCGTCGTCGAGTTCCCGGCCTTTGTCCTCTTCGGCGTGTACAGTCCAGCCAACAGCAACGGCCTGCGTGATGACTTCCGCTACGGCTTCCTCACTGCCCTCGACACGCGTATCCGCAATCTCACGCGCATGGGCAAGAATGTCATATTGACGGGCGATCTGAATGTTTCTCGCGATCTGATCGATACGGCCAAGGCGGAGGACAATATGCACGCTGCGGGCATGACGCATGAAGACTATCTCCTTTCGCCGAACCGCCGCCTCTTCAACCAGCTCCTGCTCAATGGCAAAATACCCGGCAAGCGCGACGAGGGACGAGAGGAGCCTGTTTTGTACGATTTGTGTCGCGAGTTTCATCCCGACCGCGAAGGCATGTTTACGCATTGGGAGCAGAAGATCAATGCACGACCGGGCAACTTTGGCTCACGAATCGATTTTGTGCTGTGCAGCATCGCAATCAAAGACTGGTTCAAGGAGGCGAATGTGCAGGAGGGATTGATGGGGTCGGATCATTGCCCGGTGTATGCCGTCACCAAGGATAAGGTCCCGGCGAAGTGTGATCCGACGACGGATAAAGTCGATGTGGAAGAAGAGACGCATGTGCTGGACCAGATGAACCCGCCTGGCATGTTCAAGGACGGCGTACGACAGAGGGAGTACAATGCCACAACGGATATCCTGCCGTTATCGGGCAAATTGCTTCCAGAGTTCAACAAGAGAAGAAACATCCGGGACATGTTCTTCAAGAAAGCTGTCGCCTCCAGCCCAGCATCAACGTCTTCGACAGCGGTCTCGATGAAGTCAGAAGTAGAAGAGAAACAGTTCGGCGACCTGCTAAAAGCCACAAGCGGAGGGGACAAAGACTCTGCGACAAGCACTCCTGCATCATCAGCAGGTCATACAAGCTCGCTCCATTCCCCCGAGAAACGACCCGCGTCAACCTTCGCATCGCCCGACAAATCCGCCAAACGAAGCAAGAAGCCAGCCCCCACAGCTCCCACCTCCAAAGGCCAACAATCCCTCAAAGGCTTCTTCCAATCCCAATCCCAACCACACCCCAAGCCCGCCTCTCCCAGCAAGACCCCAACCCCGACCCCAACCCCCGCACCATCCCTCTCCAACACCACAACCCTCTCCTTCCCAGCAACCCCCGAAGACTACGACCCCGACCCCCTCGCCTCGCAGGAAGCATCAAAGGAAGGCTGGACCAAGCTGTTCTCAAAGAAACCCCCGCCCCGCTGCGACGGCCACGCCGAGCCGTGCATCAGCCATACGACGAAGAAACCAGGCGCTAACTGCGGACGCATGTTTTGGGTGTGTGGGAGGCCGATTGGACCGTCGGGGCATAAGGAGACGGGGACGCAGTGGCGGTGTGGGACGTTTGTTTGGGCGAGTGACTGGAAGTGAGGGGTTTGGATGGGTTTGGGAGGGGAGGAGTGACTGGTGTCATGGATAGATGGATGGACTGCATTCATTGAGGTCACACCATAGCATGGAGAGAAGTCAATAGATATACAGCAGCAAGACACGCAGCCCCAGCCTTACAAAGGAACACACGTACGCACAGATACTCCAAAATACCATATAAACTTTTCATTCATCCTATACACCTACCTACTCACAAAGAAAAGCAACGCCCATGCAATAGAAAAGAGACCTCCACGCCCATGATATTAACCGAAATAGTGCAGTCCCGATCCAGCCCAGCTAGTATAAGCACATCATAATGTACCATACCATAACCTATCCTATCCTATCCTATCCTATCCTATGCGTTCCATGCCAAATCATCAAGCCAAAAACGCCCTGGCCCATGTGTCCGTGTCCGTGACCCAGCAAATAACCAACACCAAGCTCCGACTCCGCTGAGCGAAAAGGAAGGGAAGTACCGAGATGAGATGAGACGAGGGAGAGGGAAGGTCGAGGTCGAGGTCGAGGTCGTGGATGTAGACGGCGAGTAGTGTATATGTGTGAGATAATCGTGCTGATAGCGACTGAAGGATAGTGCAGCAGTTGAGTGCAGCATCGTAAAGTGAAGAAAAGTAAAGTACAGCAAAGTGGGGATAGCCGCATGAATATCCGGATAGAAGCAGAAGTAGAAGCAACGCAATCGTAATGGGGGGGTATTCGCAAGTCATAAGATATTAGGAAAGGTGGGGGGAGGGGCGCGTTGTCGCAGTCGCGCGCATGCATGCAAGTGGAAGGTATCATATCGTATCGGGAAGGTCTTCGTGTCGTGAGATTGCGCAGCGTAGCACAGCAGCGCGGCAGGGAAAGCGTATGCATGCCAATGTGGTGACGTGCATGGAATGTGGAGCGCTGGACCGGCCGGAGACGCAGGAATGTGGGAAGAAGGGAAGGCAGGCGCGGTGCATGTCGTTGGGGGAGTGTGTGTATGTGATGCTGATGCTGCGCTTGCGATGGGGGAAGACAGTCTGTGTCGCTCTAGGAATGCGAGTGTGATTGTTGGGTGATCGGTCTAGTGCGTGTCTGAGCAAGAGCGAAGGCAGGGCGCAACGTCGAACTGTCGGGGTTGAGTGAGGTAGGTGGTGAGGCGGGCGTGGACCAGAATAGCGCGGATATGGAGAAACAGGGTCGATGATCAGTTGGTAAAATCGCCAAGTGGTGCAAGTCGACAGGCAAGGCCAGTGAAATCGTAATCATAGGCTGCTTGGGTCAAATGATGGGAGGGTAGCGTCCTCATCGGCACCGAGGCGGAAAGCGCTCCAGTCAGTCCATCCTGAAACTGTGTTGCTCGGGAAGCCCGTATTAGTATCTTCGCAATGGATGATGTGGTTTGTCAACAAGTCTGCGAGGTTGCTGTAGAACTGGCCAGGTTCGTTCCCGAAGATGTTGGAGCCATCACCTTGCGGCACATCAGCCTGGTTGGTAACATGCGCATCGAGAATCTGCTCCTGCAATTTTGGCACAACTCCAGTTTCTCTGATATTCTGTCGTTTAGCTCGTCGCTTGTTCCGTGCAGCCATTCGACTATCATGGACAGATCCTGCTACCTGCGTCGACATCGTGATTGAACTGCTCTTTCCAGCAGCGTGGTTGATTGAATGCCCAAGGAACATTGGTGAGGTGTTGTTCGTTGCAGAGACGTATGCCTGGGCATAACCCATTGACTGACAGTAGTTGATGATGTCTTCCACAGAGAGCGCCATGTCTGCAATTCCAGCGCCCAGTGAACCTGGCTGGGGAATGTTTTCGCGTGAAATGGTTGGCGCACCTTCTTTGTCAATAACGAGTTGCCATCCATGACGCTCCAGATATGTTTCAGGTGAAGGCATGTTGAGGTAAGGGCAGATGATGCGAAAGAACTGGTCGAGCGGAGCCTTATCCTTGCCGATTTGGTCACGGATCATGGACCAGGCCTTCGTCATCAAGGACCAGAATGACTTGTTCGGATCAGCCTCCCATATGACTCCCATGAGGTTGGAAAGCTTCTTCATCGGCCATGGTTTGAAGACAGGGATGAGGATGTAATAGCCTACGCGTATGTCAGCCATGCTCGCCTATTGGACGAATGTCAAACTCACATCGAAAACCGACGAAAGCATTGAGAGCTTTCCTCGTTTTCTCTGGAGCGGCAATCTGCCCAGAAACCGGAGGAGCGAGCAAAAGCGACGCTGTGAGTGTGACTTGCGCCGCCGGCTCCCTGATTGATTGCATCAGTTGTACCATTTGGTCGCCGCTGCGAGTTGAGAGGAAGTAGGCAATTTCGGCAGAGGTGGGATCCCTGGGGATGTCCATTGTGAGAGATTGAGATGTCAAGGACTTGAGGGTTGGTCTTGGGTTTTCTCGTCGTCAAAGGATGATGTGTCGCACGCACGCGAATTAGGAAAGATTTGGACGAAATATCGAGAAAATGCTTCGTAGGTGAGGTGGGTGTCTGAGTAGTGGAACAAGGGATGGAGGGGAGAGACTAAATATGTGGCGGGGCAGGCAGCAGGCGAGAAAGTCAGTGCTTTCACCGTTGGTCGGTGCTTTCACTTCTGGGTTCACCGCAAGCAACGAACGAGCCTACGATTTTGCGCTTGCTTATCACGCTGCTTTCTCTCCCCAAAGTCGCCTTGTGTCTTACGAAGCCTTCTTTTTCACTGCAATTGGCTTCGGAAGTGTACATAAATATAGGCTAGATGAGATGATTGTCAGGTCATGCTCATTTTAAATCGCTGAACCTCACCATTCCTAAATCGTAGTATAGTTATGTTCAGCTCAATATCTTGCAAGGTGTCTTTCAAGAGCAGCGTTTGAATCGCCTAACAGGTTAATCACGACCAAGTCGACTCGAGTTCATAACCCACCACGGCACCCTACCGAGCGCAAATAGTAGCATGTATTCAGGATTTGAGTTCAAAAACTACAATCCTGAATGCAACAGACTTTGTAGTATGTCGCTCAATAGGACAAAGAAATCTCGTTTGGATTTAGGTGACCTGGGAACCATTTGTGGAACCAGCCGCTGCAAGGCTAGCAGTCATCGTCCAGTCCCTCACCTGGCCTCTCCAATCCGCAATGCGTCCATCTCGAATCCTGACTACGACAACCCTGACTCCATCCCCTTCCATGTAACAATTCGAACCTCTATCGCCCCCCATAGTACTTTCGCCACCATCTGCCTCAGTATCCAAGCCACCGCCAGCCCACAAACCTTGCTCAAGTGGTGAGCTTGAGAAGCTATCCTCTCCTGTGGAGCCAAACGTGTTGTTTGCCAGGTGTTGTTCCTTGTACCAACGCTCCTCCTCTGAGCCGAAAGAAACGAGCTCAGCAATGCCATTGATAGTGGTACTGATCCTGCTGAGAGAAGCTGTGTTCATGCCGAGAAGAAGCTCAGCGAGCGAGCCAGAGCGCGGTCCCGAACGGATTGGTGAAGGCGAACGGCCTGGTTGGTTGAGGGTCGGTGGTCGATGAGATACCCAGTCATGTACGAGGAGAGAGACGAGAGAATTTGCTTCCAGGTTTTGAGTCTTGCGTGATGACGAGGGTGTTGTCATAATAATTATTGGCGTAGCGGCATAGGGTGTGCTGGGAAGATAGGTATAGTTCATCAAAGAGATGTGGGGAACATTGTTCGAACATGTCGCGAGATGGAGCTGTCATAGCCAGAGTCAGGCAGGTTGTACATAGAGATTGGGAAGCGTCTGAGAACGGGAATGACAGGAGACGACAGCGCAGCAATGATAGGTACACGGGACCCAACAGACACGGGAAGTAGTGGCACAGCTGCCAAGCAAGGGATGAAAGGATCGATTCAGGGTTGGTCAAGGGCTGACCATAGAAGCGTAGAACTAAGGCGGAGGGGTCGACACGAAGAACGGCTTGGAAATAGACAATACTTACAAAGCGTGCATTTTGGAGGCATGTTATCACCTCATTGGGAAGCCCATTAGAGACAGCGGACGTTACTGGAGATCGAGTAGACGCCATGGCAGTGGAATGTGATGGACCACACATCGACATGAGGTTGAGAAAGACAGGGCGCCAGTGACGCAGGAGCAAGCATCAGTAATGCAAGGGGTGTCTGTGCGCGGCAAGACAACCGCAGCCGCAAGCTTGGGGAACGCCGACCACGACATCGTACCTAGACGCGACCATGACTGCCCCGCTCACGACCGCGCCCACGATGCAGCCCATGGAAAGCTCCGACAACTCCAATCCCGAATTCGGCAACGGATCAGTGCTTGCTGAAGATGGGCCAGCGCTCGGCTCGCCCATATCGCCTACGGTGTCTACAGACCGGGCAGCTCCTACGTCACCGGTCGCGTCCCAGGACGCGCAGACGCAGCAGCGAGTACACGATGTGTTGCACTCTGATGTGGGAATCATCACACTTCTGAGCCGGCTCAAGGCTAGCATTGCCAGTGCTCGAGTCAGTTGTCCCTCCAGCCCCGCACGAAATCTGGCTGACACTACACGCGCAGGATTTCTCAAGTTTCCTTAAGCGCCGGGGAGCGCTCGAGGAGGAGCACGCCAGCAGTCTCAAGAAACTCAGTCGCCTAACACTCGAACATGTGCGCCGACCTGACGCACGCCATGAAAGTTACCAGGCGCAATTTGAACAGGTGCTCCACGCCAACGAGCGCATTGCTGACAACGGTACCCAATTTGGGCTTGCCCTGCATGCCATGCACGAGAACCTGCTGCAACTGGCGAACAAAATGGACGGGGGCCGCAAGACGTGGAAGCAGCAGGGCTTGACGGCGGAGAACAAGGTGCAGGATGCGGAGCGCCTAGCGGAAAAGGCAAAGACCAAGTACGACCAGCTTGCTGAGGACCTCGACCGTGTCAAGACAGGCGACACAGGCGCGGGCAGGAAGTTTGGCCTGAAGGGACCCAAGTCGGCCGCCCAGCATGAGGAGGATCTGCAGCGCAAGGTGCAAGCGGCAGACCAAGACTATGCCACCAAGGTGCAAACTGCTCAGGCGTATCGCAAAGAGCTCGTGGCGATGACACGTCCGCAGGCTGTCGCCGCACTACTGGACCTGATCAAGGAGACAGATGCGGCACTGACCATGGAGATGCAGAAGTATGGTACGTATGCTCTGCCCTCGCTTTGAGAGCCAGCACTGACTTTGGTAGCCTCCTTCAACGAGAAGCTTGTCGTCAACAATGGCCAGGTCGTCAGTCCGCAGCCGTTCAAGGGCAGCAGCGCCCCGGCATCCTCTTCTAGCGTGAACCAGCTGGTCCACCAGATCAACAACGAGAGCGACTTCGACGATTACATCTTCAAGAACGCCTCCAAGGCCCCTGTGACTAGGTCCGAATTGCAATATGTCAAACATCCGACTCTGGCTTCCTCACAGTATCACCCAACGCTGCCGCCTGCTACAAACGCCGCTCGTCGTTCTTCGATGCAGGTGCAGCCTCAACCGCCGCCACCTGTTTCTTTCCAGCAACCAGACACAAATCCCCCGCCCACCATGCAACGGACCCCGTCTTATCCCGAACCCACACAGCACGCCAGCTTGCCCGTTTATTCACAGCCGCCTCAGCTGTCACAACCGTCCAACCAACAGTATGATAATCCAGTTCATGCGCCAGCTGCCCAAAATCCATACTCGCAGCCAGAATTTTCACGCGGGTCTGTAGGGCAAGCGACAGCGCACCAAACGAGCGGTGTTCTATACAACAACTCTCAGCCCCCCATTAACCCTGTATTCGGTATCACGCTGGAAGACCTCTTCCGACGAGATGGTTCGCCAGTACCCATGGTCGTTTACCAATGTATCCAGGCGGTAGACTTGTTTGGCTTAGAGGTTGAAGGCATTTACCGCATACCGGGGACCTCTTCTCACATTCAGCAGATGAAAACGCTGTTCGACAGCGGTAGGTTCAACATCTCGAATACCCTGTATTTTGCCCAGTACTAATCTGGGTTAGATGCCTCTCAGGTGGATTACCGAAATCCAGAAGCGTTCCAACATGATGTTAACAGTGTTGCTGGACTACTGAAACAGTTTTTTCGTGAATTACCGGATCCGCTGCTTACTAGGGAATTCTACGGCAAATTCATTGATGCTGCGCGCGTCGACGACGACACCATGCGCCGTGACTCTATGCATGCGTTAATCAACGCGCTACCCGATCCAAACTACGCCACTCTCCGTGCGCTCGTCTTACACTTGCAACGTGTGCAGCAATCTTCAAATGTCAATCGCATGAGCACAGCTAATTTGGGCATTTGCTGGGCGTAAGTTTCATGTGTGGCTTCCGAACTTTTCTTTGACTAACATGTGGAAAGTCCTTCGGTCATGGGTCCGCACAAGGGTAATAACATGGCGGATGCTGGCCTCCAAGCCCGCGTAATCATTACTATTCTAGACAATGTGCTTCAGATTTTCGACGAAGACTAAGCTTCCTCAAAGTCTTGCTCCAGCACTGGAGCCTTGGGGTGAGGTCTGCAATTCACCACTCCCTGTAGGAACAGCTGGGACCGACACTCGATGATACTGGCAACCGATTTCGATCTCACGCCGCCCACGATACCTCAAAGTCATTTCATTCACGGAACCGAAAACTCCTAAATAGACGACGGCTTCTGGATTATTGGGAGAGATTCATGTAGCTTGTATGTCGAGTGCACTACGGTAGAGGAGAAGGCCTGAGGAGTCAGAGCCTTCTTCTAAATCAGTCTCATTGATACTGCGTTAAGATACGAGAATGTTCAAGTTAGTGTCAGGGATGAATATTTCGATTCTTTCTACACAATGAACTACAGTCAACCCTCTTAGCCTACAGGTATGTAACCGGAAGTCTTACCAAAGCTTCTTGCATTGCCTGATTAGCTATCGACTCTCGAGTTCTAGCTGGCCTATCGTGGTGCACTTTTATTGGCATCTCAAGGAGCCAAGCTCTGATCTTGCTCCACTATCCTGCGTGTGCAGCCTTGGAGGCAGAGTATCTCCCTGCTCAACAGCGTTGTCTGTATGAAGTGGGTGTTTCCCTGTTTCCTGTGGTACTTAAAGTGGAGACAGAGCAGCGTCGCCAAATAGTCAGATGAGCTTTACATTTTACACTGAATTGGACATGTACATGAGCTTGGCAGAAAGCCACATCTTTAAGCCAAGAAGATATTATGTGGTTATCGCCACGTGTAACACGACTGGATGATTAGCCGCCTGGCGTGTCCCAAATGACTCGTCCATTGATACGCTTGCCCATGTCCAAGCTTACGGTCTGGGATCGTTTGCAACTAGCTCATGGCTACTATCCGCTTTTCGCACGACACGCGTGTCGGCTTACTCAAGATAACTTGACATGTGTTTGACTCGGTTGGTTAACCGAGATAAGCGCGCAACTCTTGGAGGCACTAGAGGTCTGGCAAGCGCCCTACCCTTTAAAGTCTGACGAGGTTCGTGTTTCTGTGAAACCTGTTCACCGCGCAAACCACCAACGGTTTTTCGAATATGACATCCGAATCGGCCACCTACGGTGGTATGGGCGTCAGTGTTGTTGCCAACATCACGAAGCACGCCGTCCTCTATCTCTTAGGGTCTCTCTTGCTCTGGTACATTGAAGCCAGCATTCAGTCATGGTATCGGCTTCGAAAATATCCGGGTCCTTTTCTGGCAAAATTCTCCTGCATCTTCATGGCGAAGACGCAGAGGAGCGGCGTCATGAATCTGAGATACACGGAAGTTAACACCACATACGGTACGCATACTTGTACACCCTGACATCCTTCACAAGCTAAGATTGATTGCACTGCAGGAACAATCGCGCGGATTGGTCCTAATGAGCTGCTTACCAACGACCCGGAGCTTATCAGACGCATGAGCTCGGCTCGATCCCAGTACAAACGCTCTGACTGGTACAGTGGAGTTCGCACGGATCCGAAGCGGGACAACCTAATGTCGGAGCTGGACGTTCATACGCACGACAAGAGACGTGCTCAAATGGCCAGCGCGTATGCAGGCAAAGAAAACCCGACGTTGGAATCTGACATTGACGATCGAATTGCGACGTTGGTCTCGCTTATCCGTCAAAAGTATGTTTCTCATGGTGGGGCCATGCAACCCATGGATCTGGCTCGCAAGATCCAATTCTTCACCCTGGACGTGATTACTCAGCTGGCCTATGGAAAGCCGTTTGGCTACCTTGAGGGTGACCACGACGTCTATGAATATGTTAAGAATAGTGAAGCGCTCATTGGCTTCCTGGCTACCATGATGGGAATGCCACTTCTGATGAAGTTCATGGACCGCACGAAACTGATTTCGCTCTTTGCACCGACACAGGAAGATCCGAAGGGTCTGGGACGAATGATGCGGTAAGTGGATATGATGAAATAACATAAACGCTTTACACACAACTAATGATGGTACAGGCGGGCCCGAGATGTCGTATCTGAACGTTTGGATTTGGGCAAAAGCAAGGCGGACATGTTAGGCGCATGGATTCGTAACGGTATTCCTCAGCGACAGATTGAGGCTGAAGTAATCTTCCAGGTTATAGCAGGTTCGGACACGACAGCAACAGCCTTGCGCAGTACTCTCCTACGACTTCTCACCACGCCCCGTATCTGCACAAAACTGCGAAAGGAAATGGATACTGCCATCGCCGAGGGAAAGATATCATCACCTATCACCAACGCTGAAGCCAGGAAGTTACCCTACCTGCAAGCCGTTGTGCGAGAGGGCCTCCGTATGAACCCACCGTTTACTGGCTTGCTGGCCAAAGAAGTTCCTCCCGGTGGAGACACCTATAATGGGCACTATCTGCCGGCCGGAACCCGTGTCGCTCACAGCACTTGGTCGGTATCGAGACACCCTATCTTCGGCGCCGACGTGGAAGTTTTCCGACCAGAGAGATGGATGGAGGCGGACGCCAATGTGCCCAAGATGGAGCAAAATCTGGATCTTCTCTTCGGCCATGGTCGTTGGGGATGTCTAGGCAAGCCCATCGCGTACATGCAGATGAACAAGATATACGTGGAAGTAAGTGCCATTCATCACCTTTTCTCTTACCTCTTACGTCCTTCTTCTTACCTCTCACCTCTTACTTCTTACCTCTTTACTACTAGAATATAGACCAACACGCTAATACCTCCTGTGATAGATGCTGCGCAATTTCGACTTCGACATCATGAATGCGAACAAGCCATGGATAAGCCAAAACTTCAACCTCTGGAAGCAGCATGATATGTGGGTTCGTGTATCCGAGAGAGGCTCGACGTGAAGCGCATCCACCTTCACTTAATGTTAGCATCAACTGATGCAATGGTTATATGTTTTCGGCGTACAATGGGGTGACGATAAGGGTGGTATTCTGGAGGGCGGTATTCTGAAGGGTGGTGTCTTGAAGGGTGGTATTCTGAAGGGCGGTCATTCTGAAGGGTGGTATTCTGTCCTTATTAGTGTGGTACCAACTCTACCATAGACACTACAGATGTTTGTATAGCAATGCCAAACAGTCTGTTGAAACACGTTTAGATGTTGTACACCGTGCACGTCTTGATGAAGTCCCGATGAGTCGTTACTGCCACGTTCGATATAACCCACGCATGTACCCCAGTCCTGGAGTACCCTCCACCTAGGCTATATCTTCTCTTCTTTCCCTCCCCTCAAACTTTCTCCCCCTCACCACCCTTCCCACTCCCTCCCTCAATCTTCCCAGTCTCCCCCCCAACCTCTCCCTCCCCCTCTTTCTCCTCTTTCTCCCCCTCCTCAACCCTAACCCCCACCCCCCCATCCCTATTACTCCTCCAAACCCCCTCCCCCCCCTCAAACCGCTCCAGTTTCCAAATCTCCGCCTTACTCTTAACCTCCTCAAGACACTCCTCCCCCGCCCTCCACGCCGCGCCCCTATGCGGCGCACTAACCGCAATAACCACGCTCTCAACCCCCACCTTACACTCCCCCAACCGATGCTCAATCGCCAACTTGATCAACCCGTGTTTCGCCACCATCGCCTCGCCGATACGCACTAGTGTGGCGAGCGCGAGGGGGATGTAGGAAGTGTATGATAGGGAGGCGACGGGGCGGGAGGCGAAGGTGGAGCGTGTGCTGCCGATGAAGAGGACGGTTGCGCCGGCGTGGGGGGAGTGGACGAAGGTGGTTAGGGTTGAGGGGGAGAGGGGGAAAGGGGTTAGGGAGATGTGGAGGGTGGAGGTTGTGTGGAGGGTGGCGGTTGGGGGGAGGGTGGGGGTGTAGGATTGGGGCTCTGTTGTTGACATTTTGGCGGGGGTTTGTTGGTGGGTTTTGGTGATGTTGGTTTGATATGGTTTGGTTTGATGGTGGACTTTGTAAAGGTTTGTTGGTGATGGGGGGCTGGAGGGTGTTAGATGGGTCTTTGGTCTTGACGTAGAAAGTCCCTCCTTGCATGTTTCCGTCTCTTTCAGCATCCCCATGGACACTACCGGATAGGTAAGAAGCACACTACTCAAAACATAAAACGGAAAACTATGCAAAACAGAGTGAATCAACTTCACACAAGTGCAACACAATGGCTTTCGCCACCCGAAAGAACGATCAACAACAGAAAACAACACACATACCCACGTTTCTCAATCCACTTCCAGCGACAGACAGTTTCAGATCAGAGTTCTCGAAAGTAAGTATAGAAACCAAGTCGTAACGAACTTATCATCGCACTAAGAAGTCAATAGCAAGGTGACTAAGTTACGACGACCGAGACCGAGACCGCAGCGGGACGAGCCGCTACTTTACTATGATTGGCCGACATCACCAGCAGAAAATGAGTAAGTAAGAAACGCAGGACATCGAGCATAACATAATTCCAGTCTATTCGAATATCGCTGTCATTCTCGTTTTCGTAGTCGCTGTTGCTGTGGTATCATGCAGTTCCAGCCAGCCGTCCGATTTGTTCTATCCAATCCAACCTTTCTACGTCAAGTCCAGCCCTACATAGCCCTCTAAATCCACCTCCACCTTCATCTCTCATCTCCCAGCGTGCGGTACCTCAATACCTCGTCCTATGCGACGGACGGTCCAGGTTCTGCATCATAGCCAGACGCGCAGGGTTGATATTATTGATCTCAGGAGGAGCCTCCTCTTCTGCCTCGCCGTCGCCCTTAGCACCGCCCTTCTTCGCCTTGGCGTCCTTCTTCTCCTTGCGCTCCGTCTGCTTTTGTTCGATCTCAGCGCGCTTCTCGCGGTCGCGCACGCGCTCGTCTTGCAGCTTGTCGTTTTTGGCTGCGATTTTGGTTTTGCGCGCGTCGCTGTTGCCGCCGCCGCCGGCGCTGTAAGGATTCATGTCAGTAAATTGAATAGATGTATGGATAGAGTAGAAGGGGTTAGGGAAGGGCTCACCTCAATTCGACATTAATCTTGCGGCCTTCCTTCTTCTTGCCGTCGGGGAAGACGGAGTGGTGGTACTTCTTCAGACACGTCTCCATGCGGTCGAAGCGGTCGAACTCGATGAAGCAGGTGCCCATGAACTTGTTGGTGCCCTTGTATGTGCGCAGGCGGATTTCGGTGGGCTTGATCTTGGCAAAGTGCTCTTCGATGGACTCTTTGGTTGCGGTGTAGGGGAGGTTGCCTGGTGGGTGGTTAGGTTTGGTAGTGATGGGGTGGGAAGGGAATGGAGACGTACCGACAAAGACGATGAAGCGACCCTTCTTCCCTGCAGCAGTCTCATCTCCTTCTGCTTCGGCGTCGTCTTGCTCCTCTGCAGCGTCATCGCCGTTGGTCTCAGCGACGGCTTCTTCGTTGGTCTCAGTCTCAGTTTCGGCCGACTTTTTGCTCTTCTTCTCCTTCTTTTCTTTCTTGTCCTTCTTCTCTTTTTTCTCCTTCTTGTCTTTCTTCTTCTCTTTCTTATCGGCCTTGGACTCGGGGTCTACCTCGTCTGTGGTGATGTCCATGGCCTCGGTCTGCTCCTCGAGCTCACCGACGGCATCTTGCTCGGGCGCATTATCGGAAACAACTGCGTCCTTGGCCTTCTTCGACTTCTTGTCTTTCTTCTCCTTCTTTTCCTTTTTGTCCTTCTTATCTTTCTTATCCTTCTTCGAGGTAGAGTCGTCAGTGGCTGCAGTCGCATCGACCATTGGTACATCATCTTGGACAAGAGGGGCGGCGTCGCCGTTGACTTGCTCGGCCTGCGCGCTCTCGTCCTCAGCATCAGCGTCAGCATCAGCCTTTTTCGATTTCTTGGACTTTTTCGACTTTTTCTCTTTCTTGTCTTCGACGGCTACCTCGTCGACGGCAGGCTGGTCCTCGTCATCCTTGGTCTTCTTCGCCTTCTTCTCTTTCTTGTCTTTCTTTTCTTTTTTCTCCTTCTTGTCCTTCTTCACCTTCTTGACCTCGACGTCTGGCGAGTCTGAAGCTGTCGCATCCTCGACATCAGCCGACTTCTTGGACTTTTTGGACTTTTGCGGGACGTCGTCGGTCTCCTTCTCCTGCCTCTTGCGCTTCTTCTGCTCGTCTTTGAGGTCGGACTTGGACATGGTGGGCGGGCAGTGTTGGTGCAGAAAAGGTGGAGAGCTGCTGGACGAAATTCCGACTGGGAACTTTTTTTCGCCGACGATCAGCGCGGTTGGGCTTGGCGCGTCGAGCTCGAGACCACGCACCTCCGCGCACACGCACACTCGAGCTGCAAGCGACCATGACGATGCGCCTCCCCGTCCGACGCACACAGCTGCCCCAGGCCGCGACAAGACCACCGCCGCCCACACGCTCCTCGGGCCACTCCTCCTGTCCCCGCCGCTTCTCGTGCAAGCACCCGCGCCAGGTGCTCGTCTCGCACCAGAGCTCCCCGCGGCCACAGCTCCCGTTCCTCTACCCCTCGGGCCAGCACCTCGCCAATGGCCAGATCCTGCGCCTGTTCTCCATCAGCGCCAACCACAAGAAGTTCCTCAAGGAGACGGCCCGCCTCAGCGTGCGCTACTCGATCCTCATCTTCCTCGTCACCTCGTGCTTCAGCATCGCCAGCCTGGGCATCCTGAGCGAGCAGCAGGAGCGCGCCTTCCCCTCGCCGCACGAGTGGACCCTGATCACGCGCTTCCGCTTTCGGCGCGGCAAGTGGTGGCAGGTGCCTGAGAACAACGAGGACGAGGGCTTCCCCAACTGGGCGCGCGTCTACTCGGAGCTGCAGTATGCTCTGAACCGCCTGGAGAGTCCGGGCAAGGATGGGGACGGGCTGGTGGAGCAGGAGGACGGCGGTATTCTAGTCCCTGGCGTGGGCAAGGCGGGCTTCGACGTGTCGGCGAAGAGTGACGAGTGGCGGCAGGGCTACCACGAGGTGCTGATGGACATGGCCGCCTCCGCCGAGCGACTGGACGGCTGGGTCACAGACAGCTGGAGAAGGAACGTGTGGGCGCCCGAATTCGTCGCCTCGTCCTCGAACCCGCGACCCAAGGCCGTGCTGCCCGGCATGCCAGAAGTGCCCGACGAAGAGCACCGCGTCCCCGCCGCCGCCGCCCCCGAGACCTTCTACATGAAGATCATCACCACCACAGGCTTCACCACGCACCAGCGCCTCGCCGCCGCCCTGGGCTACGCCGACTGGCTCAGCTTCAAGAAGCTGCCCGACTCGGCCGAGGAAATGTACCGCTGGGCCCTCGACATCGCCATCTCCGGCCTGCCCCCCACCACAGACCCCACCACCATCATCAACCCCTCCACAGGCATCCTCTCCGCCACAGCCCCCGCAAACGCAACAACCCCAAACATCCTCTACGCCGCCACAAACCTCGCCACCTTCCTCGCAGCCCAAGCACGCCTCACCGCCGCCCTCCCAATCTTCATCTCCCTCCTGCGCGCACGCCTCGCCGCCCCAGACGCCCCGCCATCACACACACCCCCACCCCCCGACTCATCCCTAACACACACCCTCCTCAGCCTCCTCGCAGAACCAGACTACCCCCTCGTCGCCCCCTCAGGCAACGAGCCCCTCCTCCGCCACCCCGCAGACCGCTGCGACGAAGCCGCCCTGAAGACCTACATCGGCGAGATCCTCTTCGCCACCGCCTCGTCCCCCGCTCAGCGCGACCAGGGCCTCGCATGGGTCCGCGACGCCGTCTCCACATCTAAACTCGCGCAGTCTCTTGACGCGGTGCGTGCGAGCGATGCGCGCAGGAAGAAGTGCGAGCAGTGCGAGGAAGTTGGCTTGGAGGCTTGGGGCAAGATTATGACGTATCTTGCGGATGAGGCGAGGGGGGAGAGGGATAAAGGTAGGGCTGGGGGGGTGATGGCGTGGGTTAAGGGGGTGTGGGGGGAGGGGAGTGAGGTGCTGGATGGAAGGGTTGAGCGGTTTGAGGAGGAGGAGGAGGGGGTTACGATGCGGTTGAATAAGCTAAGGGGGAGGATGTTGCGGGAGGAGTATGAGGAGATGGATCGCAAGTTTGCGCGGACGTTTGTGTTTTGAGGAGGACATGCATATATATGTGTACGTTGAAAGATGAGTTGTTGCAGGTGGATGCTGAGATTATATGCATATCCATGGTCATGCTTATCCTGCTCATCCACTCGTCTATGTAATACCCCCCTCATCCCTCTCCCCCTCCCCAGGACTCCCCGCCACACCCCCCTCCACAACCGGCGCCTCCACAACCAACAACCCCTCCTGCGCCCCAAACCCATGATCAGCCCGCAAATTAACACTAGCCTGTCTATACCTCCTCTTCGGCAGCGGCGGCGGCGCCTCCCCCGCACTCGCCGCCGACGACTTGCGCCTCCGCACACTCTCCTCCCTAGCATCCTGCGCCGCAAAATCCATCTCCTGGCCTTCCGCGAACACCGTGGGCAGCGGGGAATGCGGATGCGGATCCCCCAAGCCCGAGACAGGTTTGCGCTTCGCGAGGTTTGCGAACGCGGAGGGTTTGGGGAGCGGTACGTTCCAGGTTGGGCGCTTGCCGGGGGGGAGGGGCAGAGGGGTGCCTGGTGGGGGGAGGGGCTGGCCGCGGCCCATGGGGGTGGTGTGGGATTTTGCTAGGGGGGGTTGGTGGTGCGCGTCTGGTTGGACTTCGGCGTCTGGGTCTGGGGTGTTTGCGGGGCGTTGGGCTTGTGCGGTTTGCTGTTGTTTTGATGCGAGCCAGTTTCGCGCGGCGGCTGTGGCGACGTTGAAGGACTGGTTCAGCGTGGGCCGCTTGTTCATGTGTGCGCCTGCAGCTGCAGCGGCGGCTGCGGCGATTTGCTCCTCGGAGAGGTCTTGTTTGGAGTTTGATCGGGCGTGGCGGGTGCTGGTGCTGGGGGTGTCGGTAGCGTCTGCGCTGTCTGTTGGGAGGGATGGGGTGGAGACGTCTTCTGTGGATGTGCTGGGAGAGTCTGTCACGGACTCTGCCATTACGGATCGCATCGATGATCTACTGGGTGATGGTGGTGGCACGGATCTTGTGCTTGTCGGCGTTGCGCTGCTACGATCATGGAAAGTCTCAGCTGACGCATTTGCTGAGTCTACATGCACCGACGAGGTTGATCTTGTTCCTCGAGGCCTCGCGGCTGGAGATTTGTAGTCTGTGGACGAAGAAATGCCAACGCCTGGTTCTCCAGTCTCGATGCTAGAGGGTATGGACAATGTGAAGCTGTTAGCGTCCGATTTGTCGTCAGCTTTTTCAACATCCATAGTGGTAGCATCCAACCCTGGTACCTCCTCTGGGACTTTCGGTAGCTCCTCCTCTTTGCCTTGGCTATCTTCCCAGATCCCACCTCTGAACATCTGCGCAATTGTATCCGTGAATGGCGTATCATCCCAGTTTGGTAGAACCAGTGTCTCGTTGACGACCTCTCGAATCCGACTCTCCATAGCCCTGAGTATGACGCCCCATGTAATCTGCCGCGAACTAACAATCGGCTCGAGAGAAAGCTCCATGCGCGGTGGTACCTCAAAGGTCATCCAAAGCCTGTTACTAGGCGGCGGTTTGATTCTCAGGAGTATGTGCCCGTCGAGTCTCTTCAATATCCCCGCAAGAACAAGTGTGACCTCCCGTGCCTTGAAACGCGAGCCCAAATCTATCCGTGCAGTAGCAGAGATCTCGATTCGGAAGTTGCCCTTGTAGCTGATGTCGGCTTCAACGATCAGATCGCCGTCGACAGTAAGCTCTTTGAGCTTTGGATTGGTCATGAACGGTGGCAGGGTCCCCATATCAACCTTCCGCAATTGGATGTTACTGATGAGCGCAGGCTTCGGTACTCGAGCAATCTTTTTGTTGATCTTTGAGGCAATGTACGCCTTGATTTGATCCGTCTTGTACATGGCGAGGAATATTCTGCCAACCAGCGCGTTTATCCATCGTGTATGCAGATTCTCTTCCGAGGCGTGTAGTTGTTGGACCAGTTTGACCAAGTCTGGGGTCTCGAATTTGAGTGGAGCGGGTAATGGGCTGCCAGGGGTCTGGTCTTTGTTGTGTTCTTGCGCTTGTAACATAGCATGATAAAAGTCTTCTTTCTCGGAGCAGCTGTCGGAAAAGAGGTAAAATGACTTGGATTCAGCGGTCACGTCGTCATCGAGCTTCTGGGACAAACGAATACCTGCATCAGTCAGTATGAAAATCACAAGCAGGGATGATAGAAGGTCATATACAATTCCGTTTGATCCACAACTCGCCCTCAGGGATTGGTTCCCCGCCCGAGTACAAGTCGACCTTGTAGTGTGTAAGCGATATGACATGACGAACTTCTAGCTGGTCTTCGTTGTCGTAGAGCATGAGATGTCCGAGCCTATTCTACAGTTAGCCTCTCAACAATTGTACATCGAGGGAGAGGTAATACCTCAGAACGACGTAAAAGACGTTCCTGGCCCTCTTGCTCCTCGCGTTCGATGCTTCTATTGTGGGGCTCAAAGTCTTGTTCCGGTCGAAGATACTCCTGTACATGGACTGATACACGCTGGGACTCTCCATAGATATCACAGCTCCAGCGGGTGTCGTGCGATCCGGAGGCTTCCCGTTGATACCACCCGGAACGTACTCGCGACAAACTGCAAAGTAACCAGCAAAGACATCTGGCACATGCGTCCTTCTCTTCAGTTTCTCCAGTATCTCACTATCCAACCCTATCCCCAAGCTATGGCTGTCTTCGTCAAGCTCTTTCGTCGACCCGCTAGAATGCCTGCGCCGCCCGGATGATTCGCTGACATTGGCCGCCTGAAGCGCATCGAGACGTACTTTGTCAACTGGTGTAGTCGCCCAAAACCAGATGAATGCGCCGACGGCCGGCAACAGCGTCAGCCCTCCTATCAGGTAGCCCCAAACAAAGATCTTGAACACCGTTCCATAGCTCCAGTCCCCGGTTCCGCTCATTGTGCCTGCTTGCCTAGGCTATTCTGTGTACCATCGTTCGACTTTGCGCTATAAGTTCCCCGGCGGCGCACGAGTATGAGTGAATTCAAGTGAGAGGGCTCGAAGGAGGAGGCGTTGGTGTTGGAAGAATGGCTCTTGGGTAAGCTCGGTAGTGATGCAGCGAGGGATGGGTAACACCAAAGGCCAGGGTGTCCGTGTTGAAAGAGGAATGCAATGAAACAGACCAGGACGGAATGAGGCTTCCAACGGCGAACAGACGGAAAGAACAAGCTTTTTTGGGTGGAGAGGTAGGAGCGTATGGAATCGTGAAGCAAGACGCGTTTGGAGCTACGGTGTGGAGCGGAGCTGTCTTCGGAGTTACCACGTGTGGAGTGCTCATGACTTCATTCAAGGGTCTGGGTGATCATGCAACACCACACTCTAGTTTGAGATTGGACAACAAGAAACTGTTATTTGGCCATCCGCCCTCTTCTGTGTTGAATTCATAAACAGCGTCCAGCGGGAAGGAAGACGCGTTGTACTCTTGTCTCTTACGCTTGCAGGTGCTCATTTCTCATACTCTCCTACACAGCTATCGACAGGCACATCGTTGCATTCGCGAAACGAGCAAACGCGCTCGTTATTTCGATTTTATCGATAGCTTCCAGACATCGACTCCCGTCTCTCTCTCAAATTCTCCATCTATCGGCGTAAATCAAGAGGGTGACTGCTACGACCCTGTTACCGTGCTTTGAAATCAAAGACGATAGTGAGACATGGTAAATACAATCCTCCAAGAAGAGAAGGACGCGCCAGGAAATTATGTCGATACTTTCCTAGAGATTTTCTCGCAAAGTGTAGGCCCAAGTTGGATGTCGCGTACGCGCCCACAAGCAGTACACATAGCCTCCACACGAATGAATCCCTGAAACCGTCGCCAACAGAGCAACAAGTCGGTCGAAAAAGCTCTCACCGGGACGAATCGGCGATATCACGAGGGATCTTGGAAACAAATGTGTCTAATTGTGGACACGTCGTCCGCTTCTGCTTTGACTCACCGGGCGAAGAACTTTGCTTGACGTATTGATTTTGATTCAGGCAAGGGACATCCTCAGAGTCCCATGATTGAGCATCATCGTCATTCGCTTCCTACAACCGGCGTTGCAAGCAACTCATTCTCTCGGAATGACAAGGTATGGTACTCAAATATCGCAACGAGAAGGGCGCAATACAACAGGCAACACTCCCAACACTCTTTTCCGCGGGTCAAGTACCTTTTCAATATACTCAAAGGCGTTACCCACCGCCCTCGGGGTCACGTTTCGGCCCCCGAAACGCCCCGCCTATTCGCTGCCTTGCCGTGGCAACGAGACGTTCAGCTAGCATGAGCCCTTCATCATGCACACCGACGGGCCGTCACGAGCAGGAACGTCACTGACACCAGGGGAAACTCGTGCGCCTCAATACCTCGTCAGGCAACCAACATGTTCATGCGGTGAGATGGTTCACGCGCGGTACACATCGCGACCAATGAGCGTGCAGCCCCACAACCTCAGCCACACTTGGGAGTTCATGCGGCGAGGCGAAGCTAGAAGAACGGTCATGAATCGATATGATGTGATGGGGTTTGGATTCTAGGCAAGTGAGACAAGTCCAGGTTTGCGCGTAGGCTATGTCTGCTGCTGTTTGCTGCGAGGTATAAGTACTTGATGATATCTGCTCGTTACTGTTACACATCACCACCATTTCAAACAACTATCTCATCCCAACTTTTCGCACATATCAACTCGAGCACGGTCTACGCAAACAACTCCACAATGCCCTACGTCCACTACAGGCACACGCGGTCCCGCTCCCGCTCCAACGAGCGCACTCCCATCCACACTTCCAACCACACCCCCACCCACATTGCCCGCCCACTCGTCCGCCACTCCTCCAAACACAACCTCTCCTCCGACTCCGACGACGGCTACGACGACTACCCCTACGCGCCCAACCACAAGCCCTCAAAGCCATCCCGTGCCCTAACCCTCCGCAACGAACCCTCCCAGCTAGAACGCTACAACATCTGGTCCGACCGCTCCAAGCCCGCCGACGAGCGCCACGAAAACGACTACCAAGCATCTCTCCACCACCACCACGACCGCATTCGGGATATCGACGACGTTGATGACGAAGAGGAACGTGCCTTCCGCCTCAAAGTCCAGGCTAGCTTCTCACACACTCGTCCCCCGTCGCCGCCTCGCACTGCGCATGCCTGGCCCGGCGCCTTGTTCCGCCGACGAGAGAAGTACGTCGATGAAGCGTTTGAGGCGCGCGAGCGAACTAAGTCCCCGCCTCGGCGTCGAGTGTCGTTCTGGGATGATAAGAAGGTGGATGTAGGCAAGGAGGAAGATGACGAGGAGGAGAAGTGGTTCAGGTACAGGCGCGTGAAGAGGACGCGGACGCAGGAGTGGAGGCCGCTTAGCGGGTGGAGGAGGGGATGAGGTCGGACGATGATTTGGAGTTTCTGGCGCTACGGAGTTGACTGGTTTTGTTGTGCTTTGTCGTTGTGTTGAGGATCGGGCGCGCACTGGCTGGGGTTTACATGTTGGGTTTGCTTTGAACGGAGTTTCGACGTCCCTGTTTGAGTGAGAGATGGCAATTTGCACGATACCCGACGCAGGAGGATGCCTGTCTAGTAGTAATACATGAATACCACGGTCGCAATATAATTCTACAAGCACGATTTCTGAAGTGAACCCATGCCATGTCAACGTAGCAATACTTCATTACGCGCCAGCTAAAACTAATATAGACTGGCTGCCATCCAATCCAAACTCATCCAGACCACACGCAGACAATCTCAAAGGGATTTCTTGTTACCAATACTTGCACACAAGGAGACCTAAGCCTGTCCGCTCACAATGCCTGCTCTTGATACCGTTCCCCAATCCTACCACCTACCTTCCATGCCCCAAACCAGCGACTATCTGTATTATCCATGCAAGCGCGCCGATCAGCAACGTGTGGAAAAAGACGTCGAAACAAAGCGATATAACGCGAAAAGATTTCGTAAAAAAACACGGGTCCGCGAGCGACGAAGTGTGCTGCCAACTCACGACCAAGGTGCATTCCCCCAAACAACAACACCGTCTTCACTCCGTGTCCCCAGCCGCTAGCCCAGGAAGTTCTGAGTCTGTTGCTGCTGTCCTGGTCGTGGGAACACGCTCGTTGTGGGCACCTGATCAAGGCTCATGCCACCCATCGTCCCCTGACCTGTACTTTGCCAACCCTGGCCAGTTTGCTGATTCACAAATGCGCTTTGGCGGAATGGGTTCGTACTCCCCGTGGCGTTTACTGTGAGACCGCCTTGTGCGAATGGTGAATTCTGGGGGGATGGTTGTCTTGCAAATGGGTTTGTGCCAGTAGGCATGGGTTGTAGCGGCTGCGATGGTTGTTGTTCAGGTATTGGCGCAAAGGGCGACGACTGAATAGTGGGCATGGCGTATGGTGATGAGCTAACTGGCGGCTGACCTTGTTGCTGGAAGCCCGTGCTGTGCTTCGCGAAAGGATTCGTGGCTGAGCGGTTCAGCGAACTTGCGCCTGTGGGGTTATTGAGGAGCCCTGGTTCGACTGCACCAGTCATGTTTGGCAGCACTGATTGACGGAACGGATTAGTAGAAGTTTGCTGCGATTGTAGTGGCTCTGCGATAGTGGGAAGCTGCATTTGCTGCTGCTGTGAAAAATCCGGAACGCCGTTTTGAGGTATGGACCCCAGAGTGTTCTGCGGACTGAATGTTTGCGGAGTGTAGCCACCAAATCCAGCGCCTGTGAATTGAGGCTGCAGTTGTGGCATCTGCGCCTGCGGTTGTACCTGGGGTTGCATTTGGGGTTGCATTTGGGGTTGCATCTGCTGTTGCATTTGGAACGGATTCGTGGCTTGTGTGTTTTGTGACATAAGAGGTTGTTGCTGCTGTGCAAAACCTATGTTCGCTGTTTGTTGCGGCACTTGAAAGCCATGCTGCTGAAAGTCTGGTTGTGGAAATCCTGTCTGTTGCGGATACTGTTGTATCGGTGCCTGGGTAGACATGGTTTGCTGATTATCTTCAATCGACGCGAACAAGTCGATCAATGGCGCATTCTGGTTCACGATGGGCTTTGGAGCTGCTGCCGAAGGTTGACTTGTAAACGCATTTGTTGATGTCGCGGGCTTCGGATCCTGATTCTTTGAATTTCCATTCGTAATCTTCCCGCCGTTCTTCTTGGCCTCCTTCTCGGCTATGTATTGTCGTCGATTGGTTTCAAAGTCTTTGTCATTCAGGTACTCTTCCAGGGAGGCTGCCAGACTCGTTGGTGCATGTTTGATCTTGGGAATTTCAAGTCTCGTCGAGTGCTCATGTGACCTCGCCAAGCTGAGATACTGCACGACTGCTTCGGTTTGTTTCACAAAGATGCGATATATGGCAAGGGAACGCGTTGCATCCGGTTTCGATAGTTCGAAGTAATGCTCTGCGCCGTTAGCATGGCGTACAGGTATGCAGCGCCGAACATCTCACCTAAAATGTTGATGGTGCCCTCGTTCATGACGTGGAAGAGCACCAACAAATCCATAGTGAGCAATCGGAAAGAAGTCATTGTTATTTCGTTCTCCGGCTCGTCATCAAATGGCTACTCGTGTCAGATTTGCCTTCAGTCCTCGTGTGCGCGCGTAACTATCATACCTGGCATTTGAGCAAGTATCTTATCTGCTCTTGTACGCTCTCTGCCTCCCGGAGCAACCCCTTGTCAACGCTCAGTCGCTTGAGCCGACCCTCGCCGCCGCGCACGTAGTCCACTCTTGTTGAGCCATATTCGATTGCGCGCCGTAACAGATATTCCGAGTATGTCCGTATGTTATGGCCTTGTGTCTGAACTGTTTGCGCGCGTCGTCAGCAATATCTTCTAAGCTTGTGAGCCATTACGGTCTTTGAACGTTCCACTAGCTACATGATATCCGAATTAGGAGAGCATCTCGCCAGATGTCCACACGCGGCGCAACTAGCACATCTCCCCCTTAACACGCCGAATGGGGCTGGATCTACGTACCCTCAGTAAACGAATTGATGGCCAATTTCCTGTGCGGGTTCTGTGCCAGATATTTGAGCGTGACTTCAGGCTCGCCTTCTCTTATCATAAGATGTACGATGATCAAGCTCTTGAACACAACGGTCCATGTGGAGTCGCGCAGGCGGTTCGTCAGAGCTCGAAAGATCTCGCCAACACCCGCTTCGCCGGCGTGTGTCGCGACCAAGATGTGTTCGACATATTTTGATTTCGGGGCAGCAAGCTGTACGGGTAGTCAAGTTAGCGCATTGTATCCAACGATTGACATTGCCGGTGAAGCATGTCGTAGAGGACTGGGGAGGCGGAGGCATACCTTGACCTTGGTGCCACCCTTCACGCTCTTTTCGAAGGAGCTCGCCATGGGTCCTGGGAGGTGTTGTGGTTGGGCGACGGGTTGCCCGGTTGGGCCGCTTGCGATGGGTGCTGTTCCAGAGGCCGGATTCGCGGGTGGTGACTGCGACGGTCGCGTCTATGGGAGCATTACGGCGGGCGGGAAGAATGGAGGGCGTGTCTATCAATACGTGAAGCTGGCAGTCTGGTGGCCGAGAGAGGAGAGTTGCTGATTACCTAGTACGGGCCGGAGTGGAGCGCTGGAGATGAATGCACGTCTCGCATGCTGGCGGTGGTGATCTAGCTTGATCCACGTCATGCGCGAAGCTTGAGCGAGCTCAGGGTCCACCCCTCTAAACAAAATCTACGACACGGAAGGAAGCTTGCCAACAACACACAAACAGTCACCATGCCCGACTCACCCCCACCCGAGGAGCGCAAGAAGCTCGACGCTGAGGCCAAGGCCAAGGAGGATGCCGAACAGGCTGCGCTGCCCTACAAATGGGAGCAGACCATTAAAGATGTCGACATTACCATCATCATTGATGCGAAGTACAAAGGAAAGGACTTGGACGTCAAGATCGGCAGGAACGCGCTCAAGGTGGCCATCAAGGGCCAGGAGCCTTTCATAGATGTACGTTTCATTCTCCCTCACATGAAACAAACCCCTCTAACGCATGCTTCTACAGGGCGAGCTGCCCCATGCCATCCGCGTCGACGACTCTACCTGGACCCTCACATCCACATCCGCCGGCAAAGAGATCGCAGTCCACCTCGACAAAGTAAACCAGATGGAGTGGTGGCCCCATGTCATCACCTCCGCCCCCAAAGTCGACACCAGCAAGATCCAGCCTGAAAACAGCAAATTGGGTGACCTAGACGGCGAGACGCGTGGCATGGTCGAGAAAATGATGTTCGATCAACGCCAGAAGGAGCAGGGCAAGCCCACGAGCGACGAGCAGAAGAAACTGGACATTCTTGAGCAGTTCAAGCAGCAACATCCAGAGATGGACTTTTCAAAAGCCCAGATGGGTTGAACGACGGTCAGAAGGAAGGGGATGAGTCTGCGGGGATGACTGATAACGAGATATGAGAACCATGAGAAATGATACCAGACGTATGAGAACCATGGAAAACGAAGTAAGGCGTGGACTTGGGAGTACTGGCTGCCCATGTGTCCGTGCTTACTAGATCATGAAGTAAAGGACATACTGGCAGCGGTGCGGATGAGAGAGAACTGCGTTTGCAGACGATCAAACTCTTTTACCTTGATACAATCAAACTATCTCGACCAAGTTTGTGCGTCTTCAATTTGTCAATGGTCAAATATTGAGATGCCCGTCATAACCTCCAATACAAATAGCAAAACCAGTTCTGTTCCCAGGAATGCTATGTTTGAGCTCATAGAAACTCTGCACAAAGAGAACAGGTTGCCACATGCTGATATGAAGGAGATCTACTTGGGACATGCTATGACAAGGAGCTTGGGAGTGAAACAGGCAGAATGTAGGGTGTGCACAACCGTGTAGTCAATGTAGACGGAATCGCCCATGACGCGTCTGCGACTCCGTCATGGACAACAATGAATACTTCATTGGGAGCCAGCGCAAACGAAGTAAACGGCACTTCTCTGGCGAACTACGTCAGTCCGTCAACCCAGCTGCACAGCAACAACGCATGTCAATCCAAGGATGAACGCCCGCAAGCTTGTACCAAGGAATATACCAGTATGCTGAAGTGGACACCGCTACGACCTCGGGTTGCAGGATCAGCTGGACTTCTGGAACAACGTGGTCAATACCCAGATCGAGGCTTGACTACTTGTCGAACTTACGCGCCTCCGATTTCTTATACCTAACGATCTGTTCTATGGAGGGTTGAAGTATGTTTTCTCTCATCTCCACAAACGAATATGAGCAGCTAACAATCGTAATCTTTAGATACCTCTCGTTCGCCTGATCGCGGCTGGTGAAGACACACCTGACAGCATCGCTATGTTTCTCGGGCCCTCATGGAAAATCAGCGCCGCCGCACTACACAAAAGATGGCGACTCGAAGCCCTTGCGCTCCCAGTCTTGCAACCCGATCATCCGAATTTTGAGGAGAGAATGCAGTTGTACAAGAACCTGCCAAGGTGGACACTGAGGGAGCTGGGTACGAGCGAGTAGGCCTGGTTGGAGGCGTATGGAAAAGAAACGCCGAAAATATCCAGAGAGACCGTGAAAGGTTCGTAGAATCGATGGTCATCTACATGGGAAAGAGCTCCTCGGCTGGGGAACAGGCTTACTCATGCGTTTTCCGACCCAAAAGGCAAGAGCTTCCTTGTATGCTCTGACCTGCAACTTTCTCTTCCACGATTACATTGTCAACGCCCCACGCGACAGTGTGCCACCCTGCCGTTTTTACCCACCCTCGTCTACCATCGCTTCATATTCCATCGCTTTCAAACTGTACCGTAGCTACACCATCACTTCGCAAAGATATCAATATGGCGAAGAGCCGGAGAAAGAACACATGTCGAGGCGGAGAAAAAGCTAGGGAAACGCAGCGAGACGAAGAGCAATATGAGTCTGCAGTGGAATTCCAACCTCAACATGAGCCTCAGGTCAACCCTCACAAAAAACAGCGACTAAGCGAATCTGGCGGTGGAGGAGCATCCATCTCAGATGATACGAGCAATACCCTCCGAAAAGTAGACAGCGAGGTTCTGGTGCCGGAAGTCCTTGGGCCCCTGTCCAATTTGGCCTTCATACAGATACCGTGGCCATACGACGCGGACAAGGCACCGTGGACTATCTCTGAATTTTGGTACCGCTCGGCAATCTTCAAATCGTGTCTGAAAGGTTCTGACGACTTCCGAGCATTATGCGAGCAATGGGTACCTGTACTGAAAAGCATATGCGAGCAAGCCACAGCAACCGCTAAACAAGAGCAACAAACGATGACAAAGGACCTCGAGTTTCTCAAGACCGCAATTGCAACGACAGATAGTCTAGAAGACGTGGTGTGGCCGGTTTATGACAATGGAAGACCGCTCTCACGCCGAGAGGTCCAGGAGCTCATGGTGGACTAGGAAATCGCCCTCGAGCGGAGCTACACGGGGTCAGCGGTCCAGGATTGCTCGCCGGTGTCGCAATTACTCAACTTGCTGAGGACTCAAACCTCGAACGATGTTGAGAAGCAGAGGGCGCAGTTGGAAAGCGACATGGACATCGTTCAAGGGCGTCTGACGAATCTTATGACTCTGTGTAGGATGATTGTGGCGAACCGACGCTACGGAGTTGCTATCATCAATCGAACAAAACACATCATCACTCATATCGATAACGCGATAGGCGACCAGCTTAGGGAGGCATGCAAATTGCACGGTTAGTACTGCCCCAGACCCTATACCGTCCTCTCTAATCATCGCAGCTCGGGTGGATCGTAGATCTTTGCCGGCACTCTCCGGTCGTACTTTCGAGGAACTGCAGGCGGAGTACGACGAGCTGCAGTGGCGGATGAGCCTATTGAGAGAGGTAATGGAAGAGGATATCACTAAGGAAGTGACGGCAGAAGTTTCGTCGCCATGATAGCTGGAGTGTTCTTATCTACAAAGCTGACTGTCCTCAAAACATCATCGTTTGTTGTTTGGCAAGTTTGAAGTACTCTCAAGTCATCCACCCTCATGTATCAGCTACGTAAGGGAGTTGTAGAGCAGGTGTATACAACGACTTCCCATGATGATGACCACCATCGTGCCCCACAACTACTAATACCTCCTATCACACCGCGGTCTTTATTCTTGACTTTTACTGTCTGACATGTCAAGACGTTATACTATGTCTCGACAAGTCCACACCATGTTTCCGAAGCACCCCGCTCTCTATTTTCCAGCTCCAACTTACGTCAAGCTGTCACCCTCCTGTAGCGGCATTGTACACCATGTAGTATGCGCATCACATGGTGTTGACATAGTGTAGCTGGTGGAGTATGGAGAATTTGAATTGTACTGAGGTTTCGGGGGCATAGGTGAGAAGGTCTTGACTTTGGAATGAACGCTGTGGTGAGGAAGCTTCATCTCGAAGTAAATGCACTGCTCATAATAGAAAAAAGTGGTTAGACTAACAACAGCGTATAGTCTTGCGTAGTGTGGGTTTCAGTAGTAATTTCCAAAGACGCAAAGCAGCAGCGTCGCTATCCAAGAACGCGTTCATAACATACAACAAACCCCATTCACATACCACGAAACTCCACAAATATCGACCAAACTAGTTGACTTGGTCACAAGACACCTTCTTATCTCGTCACGCCAGTCGCGTGTTCACGTGCCCATCACTCGCTACCAAGCTATTTGAACCCTTGAAACACCCACGAACGCCTTCTCCTCACCATCCATCCACTACTCGCAATTACAAACAACCATTGCATCGCCTCGACATCCCTGTCTTCCCAAAACTAAAAATACCTCTCCGTTTCGCCTACAACGTCACCGAAATGCCATCCGCCGATTCCAAAGCAAACATCACCAATGTCAATGCGGCAGCCAAGGACGCTGGACTTCACCACTTCAAGAACTTTCTCGAATCGTATGGATTACGGATTTGGAATGATGATGATGTGCAGGAGGGAAAGGCTATCTTGAGGGGTATGGGGTATGGCGTTTAGAAGAGTGGCGTGGTCTTGGGTGTGAATGTGGGATTAGGATGGAGCGATCTCGGCTGGAGCAAGGTAGAAGACGTACACGGCAGTCCTCGGAGATACGTCGAGGACCGATTGACGAGATGAACTTTTGTACGGAGCTCAACCTCCGAGTGCATCAAATCGACAAACATACAAATACGCTGAGGCCTGGAAAGCAGTGGAATTTCGATGGGATTAACAGAGGATACTGTATATGAGTATCACCAATGAAACTCTCGTGGGCTGTGGATGAGTCACGCCAATGTCACTGCGAAACTACTGGGTAAAAAGCTGAAGAAGAGACATCTCCCAAAGTATTATGTGGCGGCTTAATCAACCTCGGTCTTATGACTGTTTCGCCGTCCGCCGATTCCATCGCCAGTGTCAACGCGGCAGCCAAGGACGCTGGGCTTGCACTAGAGTACCTCGTCGGTGTATTTAACAATGGGTTGGGTAAAAGTAATTTCTGAATAAGAGTAGATTTGCTGTTTGACTCTGTGTCTAGCTGAATCTACCCTGAATTATGAGTAGTCTACACTTATACTAAGATGTTTGTCTACTTTATCACTCTCGAGTTACTACTATATAGAAAATCGTGAGGTAAAGAAAAAGGTAAAACAAGTATTCATGCTGATTGTACAAGCAGATCGACATAACACGGTAAGAACCTAGTATAGTAATTCAGTCTAGAAGCTAATACCCAGCCCCTCTACACACAGTAAAGATAAGCAAGGATACACAGTAACGGTAACAGAGAGTCGATCAGCCGTCTTTTAACGACTAGCTGCTGAATGTACCAATGCGGACGCGTGTTCGAGAGTTCAGGCGGCCATTGATCGAAGTTTGGTTCGGCTTTGGGTCGTGAACCGTGATTGAGTCGGGAAAATTCTTCGATCGACCAGTAGCGTATGTATGATAAGACCTTGAAATAATGATTCTTAAATACCCACTTTGATTCTAAGTACATTGAGACAATAAGTAGTGTTGTAGATAAGTTCAAATAGCTCCTTTAGAGTTCAAAGTCGCTCGTTGTAGACTGTGCGCTACTGCTAAATCGCAAATTTCTAACTATGCACCCAAGCCAGGCGGGGGGTGGTACTACTCAGGCGGATCAGGATTGGGCGAATGCACGTGTCGATGGATATGACGTCGTGTTTGGCATAGCCACACGCCACGTACATATAACACGTACTTCCTGCTGTCACTCTCGAGTCCAAAGTGTTCTCCTTACGTTGCACCTGACTTCTCTCTACTTCCGCACTTCATCCACAAACCACAGCAACTCTGATCAAATCGTCATCAATGGCCGCTCAAGTCCCTAACAACAACCCATCATCTTCTTCACAAGACAGCTCGTCAACCTCAAATCCACGAAGCAAAGCTGTAGAAGACGCCTTAGCTTGGGCTGCTGCGCACAAAAACGACCCACCGCATCGCAAAAAGATCGAGCGAACGCCTGGAGATGGGCGTAAGAACCATGGAGGACCGATCCGGATTACCGCGGAAGACGGCGTCTTAACTGAATATGGCAAGAAGGTGGAGCAGGAGCGACTGGCTAAGTTGGCTGCCACCAACGAGAACGGGGGAGAGAAGCAAGCAGAGTCTTGCTCCTGAACAGCCTGTTGTGAGTGAGAGCTGCGTGGCTGACCCCATCACCGGCGATGTTATTTACGTATGTAGCTACTGTCATGGTATACTTCACAATCTTACTCAACAATAATTTGGTCATACCCAAAGCTGGAAAGCAGGACATAACATGTGGCTCTTTCGAGGGGGCGTAATTGCAGTGGAACAATGGAAACGGCTAGAATTCAAGTTGTGAAGGTGGATATCGGAAGCAGTTCATACACGTTAATTCAGCTTTTGTTTCAGCTATCAAGTAGCATCCTCGAGACTACCTCGGAGGAGAATGAGTGAGCTACCTGTCAAAACCTTTTTACGCATGGATATATATACGTGTGAAGTCCAAAACACACACTGGCAACTCGAACGAGCTGCCTAGCGGGCGAACTATCATGCCATCATTCAAGGTCCTGTGTACTTGATATCCACTTCATTATCGCCAACGATAGTTCCAGTGGCCAAGGTGGTGCCAGTGTCCACCAAGTCGAGCGTGGTACCCCCTGTGAGGTAATATTGGTATCCGCCGGAGTCAGCAGCGGAGCAGTCAGTGAAGATAACTTCCCCAAAATCGGCGAGGGTAGTTCCTGGTGCTCGCTCTATCACCCACTCAGCGTCGATACCCGTTGCATCAGAATCCTCGTCCGGAGAGTAGAACACGGGCGTGTTATATGACTTATTGGTGTTTCTGTTGACGAAGGCGGCCTCCGCGGCAGTACCACTCTGGATGACTGTGACTGTGATGGACACAACTATGTCGTATCGTCAGCTACTATTCGAAAATGTTGGCCTGTAGAATGATCATAGTACTCACCGTCGCCCGCGCTAGCTGTGAAGTCGCTGGCGGATATAAAATTGACGGTATCTGGATACCATTCATAGAACGCCGTATAAGTGACAGTTCCATCTGACCCCTTAATAGCATCGAACCCAGCTTGAATGACCCTGTTCGTGTTGATTCCATCGATCCCGATCCAATACGAGACTTGTGTGCTCGAAGCCGCATCGCTAAGATCGGGCATCTTGGGAGCTATATCATCCGAGTTAGCCAAGAACGAAAATATGCGTGCGGTCCTTTGGATCGAATGAAACATTCATCGTAGCAGGTACGAGATGTGGCGATAGTAATGGTATAGCAGAAAGAGATGATGATTCATGTAGGGAATGTCAGGACAAGTCTTACATCCATACACGAAGGCGAATGCGACGTCCGTCCCAGCAGTGATGTAGGCTCCCGCCTGACCGTCGGAATCTTTACGCTTGCCCAGAGTGACGTTACGAGAGCCTAGCGGCGATGCTGAAGCAGTCACCGCAAGGAGAATTGAGCTAAGAATCTTGGTGAAATGCATGATGGCAGCAGTGCCACGGTTCGTGGTTGATGTTCGAGGGAGGGACGTATCGAGCAGCCGGGATGCAACACCAGCAACATCTCTGGATGTTTATACCTCAACTAGACCGGTCAGGCCTGGATAGTCTGGTGGATGGTCTGATGGATGACTGTATCAACAACATTGTGGCGCAGTCGTTCGCGGGGCGTTGATCGAGCCACGCCTCCTAGACGATGGAAAATCTTAGGCGTGTGTTGAAAGTCTCCAACCATGACCGATAGAAAATCGACTCAAGACGAAACAGGGTTGTTTGAGCAGTTCTGACAGAACCCAAAATAGAGCTAGAGACTAGGTTTCACGAGCTATATTTAACGTGTTACAGCATATCCTAGTTTTGGGGGCTGACCAGGCGTCCACCATTCTTAATTTTACTGTCTTTACTCGCCCAAATGCAAGTCTAGTAAGAATTACAGTTTGACAGTCTGATCTACAAGATAGAGGATTCGAAGGGTTCATGTTCAGGGGATGCGGTCTTTGCTAAGCAATGACGTTGCGGTCGCGGGATCAAGCGAGGCGCTAGGAATACGTTCCGGTCTTCTCATGTCGGCTCTCCTCACTCAGCTCTCCTCACTCAGCGCATGCCAATCTGGTACGACGGAGGTCGGTGAGTCGGAGTGAGTAATCCGTTATCTGATGTACCGTGATGTGCGTGCCGCTACCCAGGCAGATCCTGGAATACCCATTGGTCACTCGAAACACTCAGTTTCAACGACGATCGCCTGCAGTATCAAACACTGACCACGACTTGACATCGCATCCACACACCAGATCCTGTAGTCGCATTATCTAGAATCAGGGATCCCATGAGCAGGGAGCGTCCCTTGGGGCCGTAACAGTATCAGCTCCTAGCCACTTTTAGTTCTACGGCTCGATGTTGTTTCACGAAATACTGTCAGAGACACAAATAGATCACCGGCGTACGTAGGATCGCGCTCTCTTGATTTCACCAATCTCACTAATGAGTGTTAGAAATTGATGCAGCAAGAAAGTCGATTTGCTTGGTACCAGTTCGTACACTTCTTGGCGAGAACCATTCGCCAAACATGCCTACAGACTGACTATGATGTGTACGTTTGTGAAGCGAATGGTCACTCTCGGGAGAACCGTGATTTCGAAGATTACTCATTCTGGAGCAGAGCAGGCCTATTGTCTATGAAGCTTGGCCTGCACTACATCGTCGATGTGACACATGGTGACCTGATAGGCAATGCCCGTTTGGCCTGATCTTCGACTCTTGCTGATGAGTGAGCAGACTGTGAGCGGACTTCGGACGAGGGGTATACAATTTAAAGCCTGACACGCAGACGCAGTCTTCAGCTGAGTAAACTCAAAGTAGAGCATGGCCGCAGCGATCAAGCAAGACCCACATCCAAACGAATCGTAGTAACTCGCATGTGTTTCCAAAAACAGAAGCTGTGATCCACTCTACCCGTTGTGATACTCAGTAGCCTGCGGGGCGCACGGATCGGCATTCGAAACTTCTCTCCCTGCGCAGGAGTCTTGAGACAAGAACGGTCACAATTTATCGCTGCCTTATCTCTTATATGTGTATGTGATGCCCTTGAAACCCTGTTCAGAAAAGGCCGTTCATATCCCATACTCATACAACCATCCAGGTCTTGTATCTGGGCAGTGAACCAAATTGAGGTCCTCTCGACCTACATACTGCCATCATGGCATTTCCTACATTAATTCTTGGGGTCGTCTTATTCGGTGCATATGCACTATACAAGTACTTGAATACATCTCGTTGTAACAAGATTCCAACTGGTTTGAAGGAACTACCTGGTCCAAAAGGTATGTGACCACATTTCAACGTACCTGGTATATCCTGAGAATACAACTGACTTGAGATCGTCAGGTTATCCTTTCTTGGGTTCAGCGCTTGAAGTTCCCGAGAAGAACGGCTTCATCAAGTTCGCAGATTGGGGCAAAGAATACGGCCCTATCTACCAGGTCAACTTGGCCGGATCCAATCACGTCTGGATATCTTCAGACCATATCGCTAGGGACTTGTTGTCCAAGAGGGCAGCCATCTACTCCGATCGACCACATATCCCTGCCCTGATTGACGACAACCGCTCGAGCGCACAATACCTTCCTCTGCTGAGCAGAAATGATGGTTGGACCCGTCAAAGAAAGTTCGCAAGCGTAATCATGCGCGAATCGGAGAAGGTCCAATTCCATCACTATCCTGAAATGGAGGCAAAACGAATGCTAGTCGAGCTACTGGACGACCCGGATCGATACAATCAAGTCCTGGAGTCTTTTATATCTCGTGTTACCTGTCGTCTGGCTTGGGGTCATAGCGAAGCCAGTGATGAACTCAAACAGCGTGCGCGCGAACTCCTTATCGGCGTCTCTCCTACTGGGTCTCTGGCCAATAAGCTACCATTTCTGATGGCTCTTCCTGACTGGCTCTCCCCAGCAAAAGCATGGGAGCGGAGGCGCGCTAAGACTGAACGAACGTTCTTTCAGACCATGCAGGCTCAGGTCGAGAAGGATATCCAAGGGAAAGAAGCACCTCTTTCGTGGATGAAAATCTTTCTGGAAAATCGCAGCAAATGGGGCTTCAACTCCGACCTCGAGGGTGCATACGCGGTTGGGATGCATGGTATTGCAGGTGCTCTCACAATCGCTGCTCCAATGCAGACCTTCTGTCTAGCGATGACACACTATCCACAATACCTGCCAATGTTACATGAAGAGCTGGATCGCGTCTGTGGAGACCGTTTACCTGTTCAAGGAGACCGTCCGAACCTACCTTTTCTTCGGGCCATCATTCGCGAATGTATGCGCTGGCGTCCACCTGTCCCGACGGGTATCCCCCATTACCTGTCGCAGGACGATGAATACAATGGCTACCACATTCCCAAGGGTAGCACCATCCACCCTCTCGAATGGTAAGTTGTCCCAACTCGAAGACACTGTGCTCAATTGGCTAATGAGGAGTTCACAGGGCAATCGCGCGTGATCCTGATATGTTCCCTGATCCCGAGACCTTCAATCCCCTCCGGTGGATCAAACCGGAGTACCCATCTTATCGAGAACCTCTTACTCAGTATCCCACCATCATCAACTCGACACAATTTGGCTACGGCCGGAGACTATGTCAAGGCCAGTCGGTAGCGGACGAAGACTTGCTTGTCGGAATTGGATCCATCGCGTGGTTATTCAACATCAATCGATCATCAGAGAGCACAAACACATCATCCTTGCAATTGCCAAACGGAATTGGCATGAATGAGAAGGCTTCCATTTCCAGCGAAGAGCTCAATGCAGGCATTGGAACACAAGAACCAACAATGGAGCACACCATTCTCTCCAAATACATCTACCCCGGATCTCGTACAGAACTCAAGAAGCAGAAGCCGGCGCAACCCGTCTACAAGCCCCTAGAATGGGGCGATGTTTCCCAGAAACCTGCCGACGCTTCTCTAGACATGACAATCCTGCTCATCGCAAAGCCAGTTCCATTCACGTTCCAGCTCAAACCCCGTGATGCGGAACGGGCTACCAAGATCCGGAATCTGTTCGGTGAGGGCGTCGAGCGCGGCGACTACAAGGATAGCCGCGAGTACTGGGGCCCAAACCAAGGGCGGAATAAACCGCTTGGTTGGGGCAAGGTATGAGATATGCACAGCATGCTGACTGCTGACTGCTGCTGATCGGCGACCCTGCAGCAGGGCTTAGCTGCCGTACACCAGTGGGGACCCGGAGACGCAGCCCCGGGCGTTGATCAGGTGCCAGGGTTTTACCCTTCCTTCGTTCTTACATGCATGGCCAAGGCGTTGATTGCTACCCTTTTGATTATTGTTGAGCCTCCATGAGTAGATCTCGTCGCGTTTCGTTCGTTCATTTTGTGGCTTGATTAGGCATTTCGTTACTCGTCTGGATTTTCATACCCACCTAGAAGTTTAGTTTTAAATCACATACTTTCCCACAATGCAGTTTGGACCCAGACAAGTGACCTAATCACAACCATGTGCTGAGAAGCTATGATTAACATCTGTACTCGAACGTTATCTCCAATCGACCGATGTGATGAGTTTGTTAAGCGGTTGACACTCCAAGGTACTGTTCTGGGTAGCACCGACAGTTCAGCCTCTCAAATATGTGCAGCGATAGGTGGTGCCAATAGTGTGCCACTGCGTTAGGAGTGGCAGTCGCCTCATGCCCGCCAGCGCGGTATGACACAACAGAGTGAAAGGTATTTCCACGTGGTCCATTGCAATCCAACACATGTCCGTGCACATCTCCGCAAGCGCCGAACCTCCGACATGAACTTCCCGTCCATCGGACAATCCATCGATCAGCATCACCAGGCCGCCAAACCCCACCACGCTCAGTTTCCGAACCGCCAAACCGCCAAAATGCTGCCCCGCGCACTCCTCGCTCCCTTGCGCCAAACCCTCCTCGCCCGCCCCGCGCTCCCCACCCGCTGCCTGCACACCCACACCCACACCACCGCGCGATCCACACCCCAACGACCCAGCATAACGAGTCTCGTCGCGCGATTCAATGGCTTGCGGGTACAACCACTATTGCAGACGCGCGGGATGAAGGTGCGCAGCTCGGTGAAGAAACTGTGCGATGGGTGTAAGAGCGTGAGGAGGAAGAAGGGCCGATATGTGTATATCATCTGCAGCAAGAATCCGAAGCATAAGCAGAGGTGAGTTTGGGCTTTGGTGGTTTGGGTTGAGAGTGGGGGTTGAGCTAATTCGGGGTTAGGCAAGGATGAGCGTGAGAAGTGATGGATGTTGAGAAGATTGCTGAGTCGTGAGATGGTGGATGAGGGTTTGAATCGAAGAGGAGGATTTGTATCATATGTATACACACCGAAAGGCATCGAAGGCGTTTGGGCACAGTCAAGTTGTAGGAAGATCACCGCTACAACGTCACATACCCAGCATTTGCAAGAATGGGGAACAACACAACTCGAGTTCATATTCATATCCATTGGCATTACTTCGTGACCTACTTTGTCTTGAGACTCCGAATTATCTCTGCCCCAGAGGCCGGCCTATGTGCCTTCCCAGTTTTCTCCTTTGTTCGCAAATCATCAAGTCATACTCCCACCACTCCGGCCCGCTCCGACAAGCCCCGCCATTTCCAACAGCTGTCTATCCGCCTCCATATCTCCGGTTCCAAGATTGATCCTTCGCCTTGCCTCTGCCTCGCGCTCCTGCCATGCCCACTCCTTCCTCTGAGCCTCAGCGATCTCATCACCGCCACATCCCCACACCTCCAGTCTCTCGATCTCAAAACGATCCTGCCAATCCTTGCCCTTTCGACACGGTAGTTTGCTTGGATGGAAGGATCCGCCTCCTTCAGCAAGGTGCGTGAAGATACCAAACTCAAGCGCGTCATCGAGGTGCAACGACACTGGTCCAGGACGGAAAAGAGAGTGTGATTGCATGTGAGCCGATTGGTGTGGAACCGGGGTGCCGAAGCCCAGACCCGCCGGATGAGTGGGCGACTTGTTGAAGTAGACGTAGTCGTGGCTGAAGTCTGAGGCGGAGAAGACATCGTGGGTAGGTGACAATTGGAACAGTTTCGCCGTCGAGTCACCGAAACAGGTTTTACCATGGTGTTTCCACTGTGTGGGTATGTATGCACCGTAAGTGAGCGTCTGGTTCTCGGCGGTCTCAGATATGCTGTCTGGGAAGCGTTTGGGAGGGATCATATCCTGAAGAGCGCGTTCACGGGTACTCGATGGTGTCGACGGAAGGAGACGACCTGAGACTAGCAGGATGGTGGGAGCCCGCCAATTGAAGCACTGCTTTTCGAAAGATCCCATGCTGAAGCCGTGTGTATTGCCGCTGTATAAGGGGCGCAGACGTCGGAACAGATTGCTGCCTTTGATGAAGAAAGACAGCTGGCTAAGAAGTGTTAGGCTGAGGATGTCGCCCGGGTTGCGCAGAATTGGCTCTGGGTCTGCTACAGGTTTTGGTGGAGGTATGACAGGAAGCGCTTCTGCTGTGGGAGATGTCGTGCTGGACTTGCGTCGTTTGGAGAGATCAAAGTCCTTCGCAAAGAGGAAGTGTTCGAACAGCGGGTTTAGGCCGTCAAACACATAGGGTAGAGAAGCGGATATGACGGTGTTGAAAGTACGATACGTGACGCCTGGGTGCTTTTCAATGCCGAATGAAGAAACGATCACATTGGCAACCTCTCTCAACTCCTCAACGCGATCATCGGACATCTCTGGGGCCAGTGTAGAAATACTCTGCTGCGCATCTATCGGCGCAATCAGAAGTAGTAATTCAACCAGCTTGAGAAGATTATCCGTTGGGATCATCGAGTGCTGAATATGTGACTGTTCGCCGTGCCTGAAAGTCTCGAGAGCATCCATAGACTCGAGTGCTGCCAGCACCAGTTCGTCGTCCTCTTCTTCCTGGCCATCTTCCTCATCCCCTCCTGGCGCATCGATCGCAAAACCAAGATTACTGCTCGATCCCTTCGTCCCTCCAGACTTTGATATATCGTTCTCTGTCTCTTCCAAGCTCGGCCTTATGCCATTGTCGTATATGGCCATGCTCCTGTAAAGCTCCCTGAGCCAGAGTTCACGTCCCCTCTTCTTGACAACTGCTCCGTATCTCTCGGTAAGGATAGTCACAACCTTGAGAAGTGCCTCATGTGTAAGGATAGCCGGTGCTTGACTGGCAAATGGGAATGCGCCCAGGTAGCTAGCCATCTGAAAGACGACTGAACCCACGCCCAGCGCATCTGGAAGCTCGAGAAAACGGCATAGTGTAGCTTCGCTCCAGTATCGCACCCCGGATTCAGTGTCGGCAAGCGAGCGGAACACAGAATTGAAGCAGTAGAGTTCGAGGGGGGAGAAGCTCTTTTGCGCAAAGCGTTGGGCGATGGTGTAGCTAAGCTGCTCTGGCGGGTGTCAGTACAGAGAAGTCTGTTTGCGCTGCAATGAAGAGAGGCGAGACGTGCGCACCGAGAGTCAAGTGTGGATCGGCATGGGAAGTTCCCTGACCCATTCTGGCAATAATAGCTTAGACAATCTTGCGTGACTCGGTTTGGGCGCTGTCGCGTTGTTGGTGATGCGGGCGGCGATGACGGCATGCTGATCGATCTATCGATACGCCGTCGAAAATCACCCCATCGCGGTATCGATCGTGCCTCTCGGTCACTGTGAAAGCGGGAAGTAGGCTATATTCTTTGTGGCTTCTACAAGCCGCAAAACTACACAATTGAAAGTTTTTTAATGTGCACGCAAGGCGTATACTGCTCTAAATCCTTCCGCTGCACCCTGGTTCCTGGTATTTCGAGAGCGTGCATCATCATTACCATCGTCACTTACTATATCTGTTTTTTGTATGTGTTAAGAAGAGTCAATTGTGTTTCCCATAAAGAGACTAATGACCAAATCTTTCGCTCAGAGGGACTTGACAAGATTGGAATATCTACATACGATTTTATTTTTCTCGCCAGCTACAGTCTGCCCAGCAGAATTTCGATGTATAAGCTTAAGACTCCTGGCGTGCAGTTACAACCAACCAATATCGCATCCAAAAAGTTAGGTCCGTCTTGTGAGAGAGCTTCCTCAAACATTGCCTGCACAACGGATCAAGTTCCGCGCTCCCGGGTTGGCGGATCATGTTCTAGTTGATAGAGCAATGCTTGTTTAGCGTTCAGCCGCCTTTCACTTGGTTCCTCGCCCCAATTTCTGGCTATATTCTTTCAGGAACCTACCTGACGCTTAGTGTGATCTAGTCTCTCTCGATGTTGAGTAAAGTAGACATACCACAATGGAGGGGGGGGCACTGCCTCGTTTTGATTTGTTATGTCCACTTTGCAGTGCATGCGAAGATCACTGTCTAAGTATCTCAAATACAGCGCCGCATATAGGACTTAAGCAGATGAACGACTCGCCTCGTCCGTCAAAGTGTTGTTTTTCTCGTGCTTCTAAAAGCGGTATCGAACAGCCCGGGAGTGACCAATGTGAAGGTAAGATTGGGGGAAGGCACGTTAGTATGCACCTACAGAACCGCAGAATTCTTTCAGGGGTGGCAAGATGCCTTGTTTTATTTACTCTAGAGAGACTGTTGTCCATTATTCTCCATCTAGTCGCCAAACGTCCCTCCCCAGCAGGAAGCCAAAGTGTCTGATTAGTTGCCATCGAATCTCCCCTTGCCTACCACCTGCGTTGCTGGGTTGTAATATCGATAGGAAGTTCTTAAGATTGTTAGGGCACATTCTCTTAGCTCATATGGCGGTGTCTGCTCGTGTGCCTGTTTTTGGCTTTCACTGATCCACGTAGTCTCCACATGCCCCACACCCCGTTTTCACACAACACCTTCTTTCACCACTGCCCTCGCTTTCGTCCTTCTTCCTCTTACCCACGAAATAACCTCCCGATTCTTACTACCTACCTTCCATATATTCTCCAAAACTCTACTCTCTACCATCAATCCAAGTGACTTGGAAAAGTCGCTTGGCGGGATTGGGCTGGGAGAAAAGCAAGCAACCTACCTATTAAGTTAGACGAGGGTTGCAAGTTCGAACCCCCAACTCGTGATAAAACCGCGCTGGCTAAATACAACAGCTTGGGTTTTCAACAACCATGGCACATCTACGGCTGAAAACTACGCCCAAGGCAGGTCCGTTGTTCTTTTTGCCACTTTTTTTGCATTGACAGCGTGAGAAGTCGACAGCATAGTCTGGATAGCTATAAACCGCGCTGTCATAAGCCAGATAGCATTGGTATAGTTGTATCATGCATTTAGGTAGGACAAAAAGAGTCTTTTGGCCTCAACTCGCAAGGCAGATAACACATGCATAAGCTAGAACGGGATTAGGCGATCGCAAAAGTAAACGACGATATCAGCAGACAGTCTACTGGATAGAAGAAAGCTGGCGTCCAAGTAACGCGGCGGGCTTGGATGCTCTAGTTCAGGTCGTACTGAGCGTGAGAACTGTTCAAGGGCCTCTTCAAGATAGTTGACGTTGAAACCGTAGATAGATGGAATGCGGGGGCATAACACTCGGTAAGGCCATAGATCAAACTCCTCTGGACATGTAACAGACTTTTGTTCCTGATTTCACAGTGTTCACATGGCGGATTTCTTGGGTTGTACAGGCTGATACACGTAGGACGCAAAAGTCAAACACCTGAATGCGCAAGATGGGCCTATTTGTAACTATGAAGAATACCATCTTCTGGTCATCTCGCGCGACGCTCAACTATGAGAATAGTTCAGCCCTATGTTCCATGTCCACCCCGATCTCCACGACTACCACGACTACCACGGCCGCCACGACTGCCACGTCCACCACGAGCGCGAACTTTACCAAGTCTATAAATTCTGCGGTGCGATGAAGACTCACCACGACCTCCTTCCGGTTGTGTTCCTTCAAGCCAGCTCTGCACGTCCCCACCAGATCCTCTTCCATGCCCAGCGTGATGATTCGGGAGTATATAGCGACCTTGATACCCCGCAACACCAGGTTGACCGCTTGATTGATGTTCACCACGACCGAAAGTTGGGAATTCAAAGTAATCTAGATGCCTGACATTCCTAGAATCACCGCCTGCTTCATGTTCACCACGACCAGCCGGAGCAGGATGAGGCTCTGCGCCATATCCTTGAGGATTGGGGAGCGGGTTGACGGATGAGTCCCGATTATGAGCCTGTCTGGAACTCGGGCCTGGGGTTGGCTGATTCAAAATCGAATAGTATGAAAAGGTGATTGGTTGCGGACAGAGAATATCTGGGGTCACAGCAGGTTGTGGTGCTGCATGTGGTATCTCCGGTCGCAAATCCACAGCACCTGGATATGGACTAAGCGGAACAACAGGAGCGCCATATTTGACCAAAGCTGCTTGCAGACGTGGGAGTATCGGTGCAAGCTCACGTCTCTTTTCGCAAACCATGGCAGCAAGGTCGTCGCTGTCAAAACTGTCAGACAATTCGCTGTTTGGGCGATTTGATTGCGACTTTTGAGCCCAATCTTTGACGGTCAGGAGGATACGATGCACAGTGTCCTTGAAGTGTCGGTGGCACACATCTTGCCACAGTCGAGGAGGTCGATCCAGCCATTTCAGCATTGCATGGCGTACAGTGAGCTCGCGGATCTTCTCGTTGTATCTGTCCCACGGCCCTCTCGTCATCTCAGATCTACTGCGACCAGAAAATCCTCTTCCTGGCTCATTGAACCAAGGTTGTTCGCAGAATATCATTGCTTGGATCGAGATCAGTACCTGGAGCAACGTACTTTCTTCAGGTCTCCAAGGCTCTCCGTGCCAAGTTCCCAAGATAGACAGACATACTGTTCCGTCCACGTATAAGTTTGGGTTGATTTCTGCTGTACCACCTCCTGTTCCCTTGAAATGAACCGACGGTGGACTCTTCGGATAGTCCTGTGGGCAGAAGATATCGAACTCGAAGATACCGTTTTCGTAAGGTGTGTCGTGAGGACCAATAATGACGGCCTTCATAACATCAGGTCTATCTGTAGCGTATCTGACGAAAATTCCGCGTGGCAGACTTGTCCTCAATGTCTTAATTTCGAAGATCAAGCGTTTGAAGCGTCCATGCATAGATGTCGTCAGTTTCGTTGCTTCGAAATTGAATGCGTGTGTTGCCAAAATCAGTTCATTGGCTACTTCGGTAATCGGACTGACAACCAGTGGAGTTTTGGTGTGGCCAAAAGAGCTCGCGTTACCACTAGCAAGAAGGGTTTGTGAAAGGCCCGAGATCCGACGACAAAGCATAAGTAAATTCTGACCGTCCCCAGTTTGGAAGTCACCTTCGTCGTTTTCGGCTGCCTGGAGTATCAAAGAAGATTGCTGGCTGAAGTTGCAGATACTGTCTGCAAGAGACTGTGTAGTCTCATCGCAGACTGTTGAACTGCCAACGAAGGTGGATACAAGAAGGCTGGACTTATCCAATCGTAGCGGCTGTTCGTCGAAGACGGTGCGTTTGGCTGTTCCGTGATGCGTGCCGATTGTGTAGAGAAAGCCCAAGAGTGTGTGATACAAATCCTTCCGCTTAGTGGCATCCTCTAGGGACTCGTTTCGCAAGAGCTCGGTGCAGAAGTTGAGGACTTTGCTTTCCAAAAGCATGACGTTGACTACTTCGGACGGAGAACAGTCAAAGGCAGATCCTTCATTGAGCGAGGGCAACAAGCCCTTGAGCAAACCTAGTAGGAAGCTGTTAAAGGCGTCCTGAGTCTGTCGCGTGTTCTGTGCGTTGCGAACACTATCTGGTATGGAAAAGCTGGGCCGCTTACGACCGATCCCGAGCGACCCGTCTGGCTCAAACGAACGAGACTCATTGTCAGCATCGTGATCAGGACCTAATTCGAAGCCACAGCCCATTCCCCCTGGCATATAGCTCGAAGACATAGCATCTCCACCATGTCCTGAATTAGCCAACTTACGGTACTTGCCTTTGCTGTAGTTATAGCCTTCGTGCGCCGCCTTCGATCTTGACGTCTCTTCCAACTTGGCTGCGTTGAAGTTTTCATCGAAACCGCAAAGTAGAACGAAGATCAGGAACAATCGCCCGCCATCGCAACACCAAGATACTTTTTTTCCGCGGAAAGTGATCGATGATAGTCTTGTCGATGGGTTTGCGATGCACCCTACACAGCATAGAGTTGAGCAACCACTGCAAGTCCAAGAAGACGATAGTTTAGCCATTCCAGTTCGCCACCTGTGAAACAGATGGCTAATATTTGTCGGAGATTGAAAGGAACGCCCGCCACACTTAGAGCACGATCTCGCCCTCAGATGAGATATAAAACCGGCCAGTGTATCAAACGACACTGTTGATGGAGTGCCTTGATTAAGGATTGTGCGATCTGGAGCCGCCTGGTCTGGATTTGAGAACGACACTTTTGAGTTCATTGGTTTAACACGTGATGCAGATGGGTTCGTATGCGTCTCATTCGAGAGCGGCATCTGTGAGGATTGTCCAGATTTGGGATTTAGTGTGGACGATTGCAACCGTTCTGCTTGTGATTTACTCAAGCCACTATTTTGCATGTGCATAGCAAACTGGGGATCGGGATCGAAACCAGGTTGTTGAGAAGAAGAGGATACGCGAAGGTGTGGTTTTTCTCCCCTCAACGTAGCCATCACTTGAAGCATCCGTTGCTGGTTTTCATCATCATCGCTGCCGAGGATCGTTGGATTCATGCTGATCTGGGCCCTCGTATGTGTGCGTGTGTTTGCTGTTTCGTTGGCTCGCTGGGAGACTCGTCTGTGGAGAGCTGCGTAGAGAGTGTACAGTATCTAAGAAGATGAAGATAAGCCCCTCTTCGACCGTGTAAGGCTGTTCTGAGTGGCTGTACCTTCGCTTCAATGCGTGGCGTAGATCTTCCCGCGTGCTGGTGCAGGGCTGAGCTTCACTGCGTGTTTTGAAACGGACAGCTGGCTAAGTGTAAGAGGAGGATAGGCGTATTGCTGGCTAATAGTTCAAAGAATGTGTGAGCGAAATAAAATGAGTAGCTGGAACGTTGGCGTTGGAAGCGATAAATGCTGGTTAAGTTGGAAGTCGAGGAGTACGACAGGTACGAGAGTCTAGCACGATCACTCAATAAGGTTCGAGACTGAGACTGCTGTATTGGAGAGGCTCACAGTAGAAGGAAGGAGGGAGGAAGCCTGGGTTGCTGATTGCAGAGCGTGTCTGCATCATCGCACCTGGCTATCTACACAGGCGTTTGGTCGCCTCAGTTCTGATCGATGCTAACCGTATAGTATGATAAAATATTCTACCATAATCATGGATCACATAGCACGGTTACATGGACATCGAGAACAGTCTAGTCGACAAGATTCAACCCCAGAAGCCAATTTATTGCATCGACGAACCGAACCTCCAAATCGAAGAGTGTCTATCGAAAGCTCACGCCCCACACGCAAAGAAGGAAGATGGCGAAAAAGAGAGCAGGCACAAGGACCCCACCTTCCAAACCATCGCAGCACCCTGACTTCTACTTCGCAATGACGTCGAAGTCACCCGTCTCTTTCCGCATCACTGCCGCCTCACCTCCTACGACTTCGGCAACCGCAACCACAACAGCTTCCTTCTCACCCGCATCCTCCACAACAACTCGAACAACATCTTCATCCTCATCTTGGACCCCATAAACCACCTTATGCACCCACCCCCTTTTCCTCACCGCTCCACACACAACTGCTTCCGGCTCCGGCACACCATACAAAACTTGTTGCAGAAGCCCGACCCGCCTGCCGACTCCGCGTTCAGACTCTTCCCGACCACTCCGTACCATCTCATACGTCGTACCAACCTGCGGTTGCAAAAACCGCGGCAGCCGATCGATCCACGAATCTGCCTGTTCCTTCACAGTAGGCGTCGCTTCAACTCCCATCCCGCCCGCAGTACTACCCCTCTCGACCCGCGAACCGAAGATTGCCATCCCTCCCGGCATCGACAGCCCGCTTGTAAGCAGCGGTCGCATCGCCCCCGGATCGAACGCGCTGAACGTGCTCATCCACATCTCGGGCTGGAAGTCTGTCTCGTCGCTGTTATCGGGGGGTGAGTCGTCTTGGCAGAGGCTATCCAGGTGTAGTGTTGGCTCCCAGGTTGGCGTGCGGGATTTCGCTGCTCCGACGTCGACGACGAAGGGTTTGGTTATGGCGAGGAGGGGGCGCGCGCGGAGACGCAGATGGGTGAGTGTTCGGAACATTGTGGTGGTTGAAGGTTGGAGTTGATTCTCGGGCTTTTGATTTGGATAAGAGAATTGGAATCTGCGTTGTGAGAACAAAGTGTAGATATGAAAGGCAAGTCAGGAGAAGGACGAGAAAAAGAAGATATATATACCCATCCATCCACCCTCCACTAGGAAGAGATTTCACTACCCCCCTTGCTTTCCATGGTACGCGCAAGGCGACAGTGACAGGCTTTTCACTGATCTGCCCTTCTCTTCGTTACTTGGATTCATTGTGACTGTACGGTATCTGTCTGGTTGGTCTGTTCGACTCACTCACTCTTTTTCGACCCACCATCTACCAGCGAGTGAAAACCCACTCAATGTAATGTTAGCTCAGCAGCTTGGCGCCGAACCATGGGTGGGTTGTGAGGGTACATGGAAAATACACCATTGTTGGGTTAGCGTACCAGCGTCTCGTGTACCAGTGTACCGTCGAGCAAAGAAAAAGTACCAGCAAAACATCATAACCATAATCTTGGGTACGATGACAACACGAAAACGCAGCGTAGATGAACAATATACTATGTATTAGATCGCGACTAGAAATTACAGACTTATATGTACGGATGAACGAAAAGATACAAAACATTACTGCGATATGCGATGTGCGAATACAACGAAGAAGAAGAATCTGTGCAACGACGGGGTATCCAACTCCAACTGTGGAAAAGGAAAAGGGGGGGTCCAGACTATATCCAAAGCGGCGAAGAAGTGTACAAGAAAAAAAAGTAGATAGTACAAAAAACGGGGTAAACCAAACAAACAACATGGCAATGAGTCAAAGCCAAACCCTCGAACCCAAGGAAGACAGAACAACCACTAATCGTCCGTCCACATAGGCGGCACCCACTCCTGACCCGGGAAGCTAGTAGCGCGCATAACCGGCTCATCGTCCTCCATAGCCGGCAGCTCGAAGACAGGCCGCGACGCACTACCATGCGTCTCCCAGCCGGGCGCGCCGTTGCGACTCCCCGCCACGCTTCTCAGACTGCCGACTCTCCCGCCGCCGGAAGCGCTCTGTTCGAGTTCGCGTGCGCGGGCGCGAGCAACCTCTCGCGCTTGTCGGTCGCGCTCGGACTCGAGGCGGGCGACTTGAGCGTGGCGGGAGCGCTCCAGGCGCAGTTGCTCTTCTTGCTGGAGGAGCTGGTTGCGCAGCGAGTCGGCGCCCATGTCGGGGGAGGAGGGGAGGGGCGAGGCGGCCATGGATGCGGGTTGGGGGTGCTGCAGGATGCCGATGGAGGATTGGCGTTGGCGGGTGTGGCTGTGGCTTGCGGTGTTTGTTGAGAGGGTGGGTGGTCGGGGGCGCTCGGAATGCGGCTTGTCTGGTCCTCCGTGGGCGATGCCGATGCCGTTGTAGGATGGGGGAGGCTCATCTACGGATGGCTCCCCGTATTGCTGTGGCTGCAACGGCCACTGATGTTCCTCGGACGGTGAGGGCTGGTACTGTTGGGATCGGTGGGCAGGATGCTGCTCGGCAGGTGGAGGCGACTTTGATCCTGAGTATACAGAATGCATTGGGCTGTGCGGGACCTTGGGGGGCGGTGGTGGTGGCAGGGTATGCGCGATTGGATTTACAGGGCTTGAGATATAGGCCGTGTCGGGTGACATAGGAAGGGGGTACGCTGCAGGATGCGTCGCTTGTCCAGGGTGCATTGGCGTAGGCTGGACTAGGTGCGGACTATGCGATGATGGTAGGCCGTGTTCCGAATGAGGTGAGTGCCTGGATGGAGACATCATATATGGTTCCGGAGCACCACGAGGTAAAACTTCTCTGAACCCACCGCCTTGTTGGTAAGGCTGTTCAGTTGGTGTGTACTGAGGGGATGGTGTATGACCTTGAGAAATTACACGTGGTGAAGTCGACTGCGTGGCTCTTTCAGCATGCAGCTGTTGCTGAGTGGTGAACTGCTCCTCTATATATTGTCTCTGGCGAGCCCGCACAATCTCTTGCTCCGTGGCTCCTACGGGTACGTTCAAATTCCAAGGCTGCTCTTGAGTCCGCACTTCTGATATACTACTCATTCTTGGGTGTTGAGCCCGCTGATTAGGCGGTGGCATACCAGTCATCACGTTCGGTGGGGTATTTGAGATCGGCGACACCACTGATATCGTACTGGCATCTGAGTGTGAACGACCATAAGCAGGTGTCGGTGATTGTGCAGAGATTTGTGGAGATATCTGTTGCATGTTTGGATCCGAATATTGATGATCGTACACATCGGTTGGACGACGGCTTTGTGTGTCTTGTTGAGGATGGAACAGCGGCCACTGTGCCTGATCGCGAGGAGATATGAAGGCACCTGAAACCGCATTGTACGCTGCCGGAATTCTAGGTGTTTCATATCGCGGTTCGTCTAAACTCATATGGCGCGGAGAACCAGGTGGACCAAAGTTAGGATTCTGTGCATACACAGGCCCAGATACGCTTCGATTGTCGGGTGGTGGTTGGCGGGTAAACTCCGAACTCTGTCGAGGACGGAATTGCTGCTGTTGTTGCTGTTGCTGCTGCTGCTGTTGCTGCTGTTGCTGTTGCTGCCTTTGCGCTTGCATCCGCTCGATATGCGATGCTTCATAAGCGCCCGGTTCGACCGGTGGTGACTGCTGTCGTTGCTGCACTTGCTGATGTGCGACCTGCGAAGCTCCATATGCACTTTGTTCAGCAGGAACCTGCTGCCTCTGCTGCAATGCCTGCTGTCGAGCAACCTGCGACGCCGCATAAGCTCCCTGTTCTGTCGGTGGAGGCTTTCGTGTGTCCGGTTGATAGTATCCACCCGGAAGAGGAGGAGCATGACTTGCCTGGCGAGGTTTCTCAAACGAGAAAGGTGCAGCAGACGGTGCTGGCCGGGGAGCTTGACTGGCCTGTTGAGGAGGCTGTGCAAGTGCCGCTCGGGCTGCGTGCTCTTCCGCCAATCGCTTTGTCCTCTGGAAAGCAGAACCCTCCTCCTGACGTACGCTTGGCGGTTGCTGTTGGTATGGAGCACCAGGCCTTGGCTGCGGGTAGTGCTGTTGTAGCGACATGGTCTGGGCGGACGTAAAATGTGGACCCATCGGATGGTTTCCAGATACTGGGTTTGGAGGCACTTGAGCAGGAGGATACTGTGTACCCGCAGGTGGAGCTCTAGCTTGTTGCTGAGGCGGAGGCCACTGCCGAGATGGCTGTGGCTGTGGTTGTGGCTGTGGCTGTGGTTGCACTGGAGGTGGAGTCGAGTGTCGTTCAGGCTTCTGTACCTTCTTTTCACCCCGGCCGAAAATAGCACCCAGGGACGAAAATCTCTTCTTCTTACCCGCTTCCGGCACTCCAGATGTGGGGACTGGATGCTGTTGAGGTTGCCCAGATGGCATCGATGCTCCTGTAGGAAGTTGTTGGGTCGGCAATGGAGGTGGACCTGCATGCTTTCCTGAATCAGGGCGTGAACCTGCCGGCTGTACCCATGTAGATCCTTGGCTTATGTGACTGAACTCTGATCTTGCTCCATTGCTTAGCGCTCGATCCTGTGATAAAGAAGCGCGCGACTTTGCTTCAGGTCTTATCGAGGCCGGCTCGTGAGAAATGTTGCTAACAGCCGAATGGTAGGAAGCTTTCCGGTTCGGATCTCCCGGTGTCAGATTGCCATTCGAATTTGGTGCAGAACTGGGCGTATCAATTGCTTGTTGGGAATTGGTACGAGATTTACCGCCAAGCCCTTTAAAGACCGATGAAACCTTGGGTATGTGAGGTCGCTTGTCTTGTTGTTTCGGTACCTGATTACCCGGTTCCTTCCTAGAGTTCTGATTTCCTGGACCTCGAAACTGGGCTAGGTTTGCCTGTTGCTGCTGCTGCTGCATCATGCGCTGTTGATACTCGTACTCATTTCTTGGTGGCTGATCATGGAATCGCGAATTTTGAGTCAGAATGCCTTGCGGACCAGGCAGTCCTAGGGCCATCGCATACATACGTGGATCCCGAGGAGCGCTATCGCGAGGTTGACCGTTGTCTAATATGCGGCCATTTACAGGTAGTCTCTCGGATTGTTCCGGTCGTGCATTTACTTGAGAAGGAGGCGGAGGAGGCGAGGAGAGTGGCTCGCGAGGCGCAGGACTTTTATAAGCCATAGTGTTCATATCCCACGACTCCCTTTTTATAGGGACAGATCCTGGCGATAATTTAGGCTTGTATTTCGGCTGTTGAATTGCGTTGTTCGATTGCTGTTGGTCAAGCGACGAAGAAATATTAGAATAGACCGCGCCTGTATAAGACTGTGGAGACTGTTGACGCTGGTTCCCATTCTGTCCAGGATCCGGTAGCACACTTGCATCAATTGACGGTGCAGATCTGTTGATCTGATCCTGAGGCTTGCCGTCTTCATCATGAGATCCAGAGACGAAGCTCATCGGTCGTTCGGTGCTATACCTTGGCATGAACCCGTCTCGTGCTTCTGGAGCAATTCCAACATCAGATACCTCGGGGCCGACTGACTGTACACTCTGGATCGGGACAGGAGCTTGAGCAGTTGCTGGAACTCGGAACGGCTGTCCACGTTCATCCCGTAAATCCTTGACAACACCATTGTGGTCGGCGTAGAGGTCAAAGTCGTCGTCCTTGGGTCGTGGCGTATGCTCGTTGCTAGTGGATATGAATTCCTCTGGAATCTGAGGCGGAGCACGAGAAGGCATCATCGAGGAGTCGTGCTGCATACGATGTATTGTGGAAGGTGTGGACCTCCCAGTGGTGCTTGACGACGCTGAGATCGGAATAACATCCGAGACCATGGAAGAGATCGCTGACCGCAATGATTTCGATCTTTCGGGAACTGTCTTGTCAGATGTTGAAGTAGACTGTTGCTGCACGTGATGTGGCGATGCAGTAGGAATTTCGTGTTTTCCAAAAAATCCATTGGACATGGTCGTGTTGGGAGTGTTGGGAGTGTTGTCGTTGTTGCCCTCTCTAGGCTGATCGCGCTGAATCAGTTTTGGACCTCGATGCACAGGAGTTACAAGATCACTCTCATCTCTCAGGTCGTCTTGCTGACTAATTACCGACTCATTATCCCATGACGCAACGGACGAAGTGGATGCAGA